GGCTCGAGTTTTTTCAAAAAAAAAAATCGGCCCGAGTTTTTTTCAAAAAAAAAGTCGGCTCGAGTTTTTTCAAAAAAAAAGTCGGCCCGAGTTTTTTCAAAAAAAGTCGGCTCGAGTTTTTTCAAAAAAAAATCGGCCCGAGTTTTTTCAAAAAAAAGTCGGCTCGAGTTTTTTCAAAAAAAAAAAGTCGGCCCGAGTTTTTCAAAAAAAAAATCGGGCCGAGTTTATTCAAAAAAAAAAGTCGGCCCGAGTTTTTTCAAAAAAAAAATCGGCTCGAGTTTTTTTCAAAAAAAAAAGTCGGCCCGAGTTTTTTCAAAAAAAAAATCGGCCCGAGTTTTTTTTTCAAAAAAAAAAAGTCGGCTCGAGTTTTTTCAAAAAAAAAATCGGCCCGAGTTTTTTCAAAAAAAAAATCGGGCCGAGTTTATTCAAAAAAAAAAAATCGGCCCGAGTTTTTTCAAAAAAAAAATCGGCCCGAGTTTTTTCAAAAAAAAAGTCGGCTCGAGTTTTTTCAAAAAAAAAATCGGCCCGAGTTTTTCAAAAAAAAAATCGGGCCGAGTTTATTCAAAAAAAAAATCGGCCCGAGTTTTTTCAAAAAAAAAATCGGCTCGAGTTTTTTTCAAAAAAAAAAGTCGGCTCGAGTTTTTTCAAAAAAAAAATCGGCCCGAGTTTTTTTCAAAAAAAAAAGTCGGCTCGAGTTTTTTCAAAAAAAAAAAATCGGCCCGAGTTTTTTTCAAAAAAAAAGTCGGCTCGAGTTTTTTCAAAAAAAAATCGGCCCGAGTTTTTTCAAAAAAAAATCGGCCCGAGTTTTTTCAAAAAAAAATCGGCCTGAGTTTTTTCAAAAAAAAATCGGCCCGAGTTTTTTCAAAAAAATCGGCTCGAGTTTTTCAAAAAAAAAACCGGCCCGAGTTTTTTCAAAAAAAAATCGGCCCGAGTTTTTTCAAAAAAAAAATCGGCTCGAGTTTTTTCAAAAAAAAAATCGGCCCGAGTTTTTTCAAAAAAAAAATCGGCCCGAGTTTTTTCAAAAAAAAAAATCGGCTCGAGTTTTTTCAAAAAAAAAATCGGCCCGAGTTTTTTCAAAAAAAAAAATCGGCTCGAGTTTTTTCAAAAAAAAAATCGGCCCGAGTTTTTTCAAAAAAAAAATCGGCCCGAGTTTTTTCAAAAAAAAAATCGGCTCGAGTTTTTTCAAAAAAAAAATCGGCCCGAGTTTTTTCAAAAAAAAAAATCGGCCCGAGTTTTTTCAAAAAAAAAATCGGCCCGAGTTTTTTCAAAAAAATCGGCCCGAGTTTTTTCAAAAAAAAAATCGGCCCGAGTTTTTTCAAAAAAAAAATCGGCTCGAGTTTTTTCAAAAAAAAAATCGGCCCGAGTTTTTTCAAAAAAAAAATCGGCCCGAGTTTTTTCAAAAAAAAAATCGGCTCGAGTTTTTTCAAAAAAAAAGTCGGCTCGAGTTTTTCAAAAAAAAATCGGGCCGAGTTTATTCAAAAAAAAAATCGGCCCGAGTTTTTTCAAAAAAATCGGCTCGAGTTTTTTCAAAAAAAAGTCGGCTCGAGTTTTTTCAAAAAAAAAAATCGGCTCGAGTTTTTTCAAAAAAAAAATCGGCCCGAGTTTTTTCAAAAAAAAATCGGCCCGAGTTTTTTCAAAAAAAAGTCGGCTCGAGTTTTTTCAAAAAAAAATCGGCTCGAGTTTTTTCAAAAAAAAAATCGGGCCGAGTTTATTCAAAAAAAAAATCGGCCCGAGTTTTTTCAAAAAAAAAATCGGCTCGAGTTTTTTTCAAAAAAAAGTCGGCTCGAGTTTTTTCAAAAAAAAAAAATCGGCCCGAGTTTTTTTCAAAAAAAAATCGGCCCGAGTTTTTTCAAAAAAAGTCGGCTCGAGTTTTTTCAAAAAAAAAATCGGCCCGAGTTTTTTCAAAAAAAAAATCGGGCCGAGTTTATTCAAAAAAAAAATCGGCCCGAGTTTTTTCAAAAAAAAATCGGCTCGAGTTTTTTTCAAAAAAAAAAAGTCGGCTCGAGTTTTTTCAAAAAAAAAAATCGGCCCGAGTTTTTTTCAAAAAAAAAAGTCGGCTCGAGTTTTTTCAAAAAAAAAGTCGGCCCGAGTTTTTTCAAAAAAAAAGTCGGCTCGAGTTTTTTCAAAAAAAAAATCGGCCCGAGTTTTTTTCAAAAAAGTCGGCTCGAGTTTTTTCAAAAAAAAAAGTCGGCCCGAGTTTTTTCAAAAAAAAAGTCGGCTCGAGTTTTTTCAAAAAAAAAAAAATCGGCCCGAGTTTTTTTCAAAAAAAAGTCGGCTCGAGTTTTTTCAAAAAAAAAAGTCGGCCCGAGTTTTTTCAAAAAAAAAATCGGGCCGAGTTTATTCAAAAAAAAAAGTCGGCCCGAGTTTTTTCAAAAAAAAAATCGGCTCGAGTTTTTTTTTCAAAAAAAAAGTCGGCTCGAGTTTTTTCAAAAAAAAAAATCGGCCCGAGTTTTTTTCAAAAAAAAAGTCGGCTCGAGTTTTTTCAAAAAAAAAATCGGCCCGAGTTTTTTCAAAAAAAAATCGGGCCGAGTTTATTCAAAAAAAAAATCGGCCCGAGTTTTTTCAAAAAAAAAATCGGCCCGAGTTTTTTCAAAAAAAAAGTCGGCTCGAGTTTTTTCAAAAAAAAAATCGGCCCGAGTTTTTTCAAAAAAAAAATCGGGCCGAGTTTATTCAAAAAAAAAAATCGGCCCGAGTTTTTTCAAAAAAAAAAATCGGCTCGAGTTTTTTTCAAAAAAAAAAGTCGGCTCGAGTTTTTTCAAAAAAAAAAAATCGGCCCGAGTTTTTTTCAAAAAAAAAGTCGGCTCGAGTTTTTTCAAAAAAAAAATCGGCCCGAGTTTTTTCAAAAAAAAGTCGGCTCGAGTTTTTTCAAAAAAAAATCGGCTCGAGTTTTTTCAAAAAAAAAGTCGGCTCGAGTTTTTTCAAAAAAAAATCGGCCCGAGTTTTTTCAAAAAAAAAATCGGCCCGAGTTTTTTCAAAAAAAAAGTCGGCTCGAGTTTTTTCAAAAAAAAAATCGGGCCGAGTTTATTCAAAAAAAAGTCGGCTCGAGTTTTTTCAAAAAAAAAAATCGGCTCGAGTTTTTTCAAAAAAAAATCGGCCCGAGTTTTTTTCAAAAAAAAAGTCGGCTCGAGTTTTTTCAAAAAAAATCGGCTCGAGTTTTTTCAAAAAAAAAATCGGCCCGAGTTTTTTCAAAAAAAAAATCGGCCCGAGTTTTTTCAAAAAAAAAGTCGGCTCGAGTTTTTTCAAAAAAAAAATCGGGCCGAGTTTATTCAAAAAAAAAGTCGGCTCGAGTTTTTTCAAAAAAAAAATCGGCTCGAGTTTTTTCAAAAAAAAGTCGGCTCGAGTTTTTTCAAAAAAAAATCGGCTCGAGTTTTTTCAAAAAAAAGTCGGCTCGAGTTTTTTCAAAAAAAAAATCGGGCCGAGTTTATTCAAAAAAAAGTCGGCTCGAGTTTTTTCAAAAAAAAAATCGGCTCGAGTTTTTTCAAAAAAAAAATCGGCCCGAGTTTTTTCAAAAAAAAAATCGGCCCGAGTTTTTTCAAAAAAAAAAGTCGGCTCGAGTTTTTTCAAAAAAAAATCGGGCCGAGTTTATTCAAAAAAAATCGGGCCGAGTTTTTTCAAAAAAAAATCGGCTCGAGTTTTTTTCAAAAAAAAAAAAGTCGGCTCGAGTTTTTTCAAAAAAAAAATCGGCCCGAGTTTTTTCAAAAAAAAAAATCGGCCCGAATGAATCAATGAAAATAATCAGAGGGCGGCGGAGTTTACTGTACTTTGGTTTTATCTTCCACGGCTCTGAAAATTTCAGATGGAACATAGAAGCTTATACTCAGAAAATAAGGCAGCATTTCTTTTCTCTCAGGATATAGATTTTTTGGATATAGATTTTAGATTTTCGGAACAGTTTCGCCAAATGTTGTGCTTTAGTTTTTGAGAGGTAGAAAATTTGGATTAACCTCTTTATAAAATCAAGAAATTTTTTCGCACATTTTTTAAACCATTTTTGTCAATTTTCTTCAGAAATTTTAAAAATCATACCTAGCGGAGAAAGAATTCAACGAAAATCAAAATTTCGGTTTTTGTTGAAAGAATCTTTTCCAACTTTTCAAAAATTACAACTCTGTCGTATTTTAAGACGAAACATGTTTCTGTTTACACCTAAAGAAAACTACGCGCGAAGCCGGGACAATCCAGAAGGAGGAGCCGGCGTTAGCCGGCGGAGCCCTTCTGGTGTTATCAAATTTATAACTTCAAATATGCAATTTTTAGGAAATTTTGAAACAGTGAGGATTTTGGAAGAAAATCAGAACACATATCAATTTCTGATTTTTACTTAAAAATATAGGAAAATTTTGAAACAGTGAATTTTTTAAAAATTTTTTTCGAAAAACCTAAATTTTCAAGACTTTTTTTTTGAAAAATAATTCCACTTGGATTTTTAAGATTTTTACAAAAAGTTCTTTACAGTTTATTAGTTTTAGACATTTCCACATTTGAAAATGAGAAAATTTTGAAACAGTGAAAAATTTTTTTTGAAAATTAAATTTCGTGAGAAAAATGTATTTTTTTAATATTGAAAGAAATAGAAATATATCAGCTTCGAATTTTGAAACCAAAAAAATTTCAGAAAATTTTGAAACAGCGAAAAAATGAATTAAATTTTATGAAGTTTCTCCAAAACCCCTTTAAACCAAGCCTAAATTGGCCTAATTAGGCCTAGCCTTATTTGGTATCAAAAAACTTCTCATTTACCCGAAATTTTCTCTGCAAAACCTTAATTTTGTACATAAATATTTGCCCAAACTTTTTTTTGTTCAATGAAAAAAAGGTCGCACTTCTGTAGACAAACAAACTCGGCCCCAAGAAAACGAAAATTAGTCTCAAAAGCACGATTTATTTGATTTGTGTTCGACATTTTTCCACAATTTTTTTTCTGATAAAAAAAATAAATCGATTTTTGCCTCACTTATTTTTAAAAATAATCATTTTCCATTTTTTTTTTGCAGAAAAAAATGTCAAAAAATCTTCGAATCGGCGTCGAGAGTGTCGACGTGGAAATCGACGATGATTCGGGAATACTGTGGACATCGCTGCAAACCGCGTTTCCAGGTGAGACCCAATAAAAGGGGTACTGTAGGTTTTTTGGCGCGAAAATATTTCTACAGTACGCTTGAATCTACAGTAGTAAATTTACATTTTTTGGACAAGAAAAAATTAATACAAAATTAAATTTTCATCTACAGTAATCCTAGACTTTATGATAAACACAGTAGGGAATTTTAGGATTACTGTAGGTTTTGGGGCGAAAAATTTGAGATACAGTAACCCAGTCTTAAAAACGCTCGCAGTAAACTTTACCTACAGTAGTATTCAGCTCAGAAAAAATTTAGGCTTCGGATTACTGTAGTTTTTTTAAATTAAAACTCTTGAACTACAGTAATCCCAGGTTTTTTTGAGTGCTAGACAGATCCACTGTAAAATTTCCCCAGATCAATTTTTCTACAGTAATCCCATGATACAGTAATGCTTCTAGAATACATCTCCCCCTACAGTAACCCTACAGTAATCTCATGTTTCAGGCTGTTCCGGAATGTACTACTATCAAGATCGCACTCAACCGAACCCCGTCAAAAAATCCGTCAAATTCGATGGCTCAAAATTCCGTGCACCTTCGGGTACCACGTGGCAAGATTTCGATTTTTATGTTACGCTAAGTCAGCGATGTCATTCGGCTGGAGGTGGAGCACATCAGAATGGACAAACATATTCAGAAGCCACCAAGCAATTCGAGAAAAGTGTGCAGGCCGTGCAAAAGATGATGGTGGCGAGTGGAATGAAAATTGGTGAGTTTTGGGTTTTTTCTGGGCTTTTTCTGGGCTTTTTCAGGCTTTTTCAGGTTTTCTAGGCTTTACAGGCTTTCCAAAAAAAACTCAAATTAAATTTTTTCCCGCCAAAAATCCACGTGGCAATTTTTTCGAAATTAGCTGCGTATCTGAAGTTTTGGCTGAGTATCCAATGTGTTTTGATCCTTAAGAACCGCCCATTTTCAGTGATGTAAACGCGGAGCATCGTTGTTGCATAAAACTACAAGACTCCGCATTGACACCCCCGTTTTTCACTGTGTAAACGCGGAGTATCGTTTAAATTTTGCAAAAAAAAAACATAAATGAGTGGGCTTTTTGCCACGTGGATTTTCAATTTTTTTGCAAAATTAGCTGCGTATCTGAAGTTTTGGCTGAGTATCTAACGTGTTTGGGTCCTTTAGAACCGCCCATTTTGGATGGTGTAAATGCGGAGCATCGTTTGAATTTTCTGCAGACCTCTCCCATCTCCAACTCAAAAAACCACGTCGCCAAATCGCATCCACCAACTCATCCACATCATCCGAAGAATCCACCAACACCCTTCAAAACATCCAAACGCGCCTCGAAAACAAGGCCGACGACTTAACGCAACTCGAGCAACATTTTCTGGATTTGGCGCGCATTTCCACGGCCAAAGATGAGATTATTCAAGCGAATCGCGCGAAAATCGCCGAAATTTCGCGCGATTCGCAGGGAATTGCGGAGCGATTGCGCGAATTCGAGGCGAAATGTGCGGCACAAGAGGAGGAGCTGGCGATTTTGCGCGGTTTGGGTGGCGAATTCGGGGCGACCAAGGAGGATTTGGCGGAATTGGTGAAGCAGAGAGCGGAGCTGGAGACGGCTGTGACAGAGTTGCAATTGAAATTGATGCAGACACAAGAGGAGTGGGTTTTTTTTTAAATTTTAAAATTTACGGAAAGCCACGTGGCAATTTCTTTGACTAGAAAAATTTTGAATTTGTACTTAGCCCAAGTTCAGGTCTCAAAAATTAGGCTGAAAATTTTTCGGAATTTGAAAATTCACGAAAAATTCCACGTGGCAATTTTTTTTGACTAGGAAAATTTTGAATCCATAAAAATTGGTTTTTTTTTGTCTACAGTAATCCCGAGATACAGTAATGCTTCTAGAACTCATCTACAGTACCCCCTGGAAGCTTTTTGAGAACTATGTATGTACAGTAATCGAAATCTCTACAGTAACCCAGAACAATTTTGAATATAAAAATATTCAACTACAGTAATCCACAGTATAAATAAATAAATTCCACAATTAAAGCTACAGTAACCCTGAAAATTCACCTACAGTAACCCTACAGTAATCCAAGGCTCATGTTTTCCGGAATGTACTAAAAAAAATTTTTGAAAATTAAAAAAAAGCCACGTGACATTTTTTTTTTGAAATCTAAAAATTTAGAATCCAAAAAAATGGTCAAAAATATTTTCCACGTGGCAAATTCAAATATAATCTAGAATTTTTTTCGGAATTTGAAAATTGAAAAAAAATTTCACGTGGCATTTTTGACTAGAAAAATTTTGAATTTGAACTGAGCCAAAGTTTAGATATCAAAAACTATGAAACAAATTTTTGAACAATTTTTTTGAATCTGAAAATTCACAAAAATTCGAATTCCACGTGGCAATTTTTTTGAAATCTAAAAATTTCAAATCCAAAAAAAATTGGGAAAAAATATTTTCCACGTGGCAAATTCAAATCTAAGCTTATGTTAGCCTAAGTTCAGATTTCAAAAAAAATAAAATTCCAGAAACGAATCAAACCGCGGTCGGCTCGAAACCAGTCAAAATCGCATCAAAGAGCTCGCCGATCAACTCGAACTTCTCCAAACCTCAAAATCGCTTCTCAATCACGAGTTATCGCAACTTCGACCATTCGCCGAAGCCGCCGCAATTGAAGATTTCTCGGAAATTCCGAAATTCATCGCGACGCTGGATGAGAATCGAAAATTGCGCGAGGAATTGGCGAAAAAGCGGGAGGAATCTGAGATGACACGTGGCGCTTTTGATGAGTTGAACAATGTGCAAACACCGATTTTTGAGGAGAATTTGAAGTTGAGGAAAAGGTGAGGCGAAAAATCCATGTGGTATTTTTCTAGGCTTTTAGGCTTATGCTTTGAAAACCTGATTTTTTGACACCAAACAAGCCTAGGCTCAAAATTGGCTGCGTATCTCCAGTTCTGCCTGAGTATTTAATGTGTTTCCGCCCTTGAAACCGCCCATTTTTTCAAGTGTAAACGCGGAGCATCGTTTAAATTGTTTTCGAAAAAAAAATGAAAATCAAGGTTTTGTTCCAAAATTTTGAATTCCAAAATTTCACGCCAGAAATTTAATTGCAATTTTTTTCAAATCAGCTGCGTATCTGAAGTTTTGCCTGAGTATTTAATGTTTTTCGTTCCCTAAAAACCGCATTTTTGAATGGTGTAAATGCGGAGCATCGTTTGATTTTTTTTTTGAAACATTTTAAAATCAAGCAAAATTTTTGAATTTCAAAATTTCACGTCAAAAAAATTTCAGAAATTTCGTTTCAATTTTTTTAATTAGCTGCGTATCTGAAGTTTTGGCTGAGTATCTAATGTGTTTTGGTCCTTATTTTTGATGGTGTACATGCGGAGCATCGTTTGAAGTTTGAAATGTCGAAAAAAAATTCAAATTAAATTTTTTCACGCCGAAAATCCACGTGGCAATTTTTTTAAATTAGTCGCGTATCTGAAGTTTTGGCTGAGTATCTAATGTGTTTCGGTCCTGAAGAACCGCTTTTTTTATGGTGTAAATGCGGAGCATCATTTGAATTGTTTTCGAAATAAAATTCGTAATCCATAAAACCGCCCGTTTCTCACCGTGTAAACGCGGAGCATCGTTGAAATTCCAGAAACGACGATTTATCACGACGTTTCGAACACGTCGACGAGGAAATCAAATGTTTAAACGAAAATTGGGCCAAAGAAATGCGAGAAAAAACCAATGACTGGATGATGCTGGTAAGCTCGAAAAAACTGGGGATTTTCAGCGGAAAATCTGTAATTTTTGCAGCGCACCGAACTCGAAAACGAAATTCTCCAACAACGCGAACAAATTCAACACCTCCAACATTTTCTCGAAGCCGCCACGCGAGAAGCGGCTGAAAATGCGCGAAGGTTAGATCCGATTTCTGAATATTCGATAGATTTTTGAATTTCGCGCCAAAATGTACCGTATTTTCTCAGAAACGTCATCAATAATTCATGGAATTGGTAAAAAAAAAACCAAACCTTTTAATAGTTTTCCCCGCAAAAATGCCTGAAAATTCAAATTTCTCTCCAAATTTTCCCCATTTTTCTCTCAAAAAAACAATAAAGTTTTTTGTTTTGAATTAAAATTTCCACACTGATTTGCAGAATTTCGGAAATCGAGACGGCGAGCGCCAAAAAAACCGCGACGCAACATGCGTCGCGCGTCGAGGTGAGCAAGATTTTCAGTTCTCTTCGCTTTTGAGTTACCCTAACTTTTTTTGCATGTGGTTTTTTGTTTAATAAATTATTTCTACTAATTAGCTAGCTTTCAATTAAAAAGAAATTTTCAGACAGAACTTCGTGAAAAAGTCCGCAATTTGTCGGAAGATTTATCCGAATCGCAAAGATGTGTGGCGGATTTGAATATTTTGGTAGCCAATTTGGCCAGTGATGCAAATATGTCAAGAAGAGATATTTCGGATTTATTGTAATTTGAGCTAGCTTCATGTAAAAATTCGCCAAAATAAATAAATAATTTTAAAAAAAAATTATTTTTTTTGTTTGCAAACACCGTAATTTTTTAAAGGGAGGTATGTTTTTAGAAGTGTGGTGTCTCAACACGCTACCGTACTATTCAATGTGCGGCTTCGACGTGGAATTTTTGGGATTTTCATTTACATTTTTTCTTCCAGTTTTTCCTGGCTCGTACGATCGTTTCTCGTCAGAAAACCAAACTATAATTTTCAGATGGCTACTGTCAGATCAGATGTTGAAATCGACGGTGTAAAGTCGTATTTCTTTGCACCGCTCCTCAAAAATATCCTGGAAAATGAGCAGAAATTGATTGAAAACGAGGGATTTTCGCCATTCGCCGATTTTGTTTTGGGTTTGACCGAAGAGTTTCCAAAACCAGGCGATGTTTATCCGATTCTTGCTGGCACAAATCCACAAGTTTCGCAAATTGTGGCCGCAATCGATGCGATGAGTGTATTTGGTGACGAATATCGAGCAATCTCCAATCAACTGGCAGAAGTTTTGAATGGAAATGCAGTTCGCCACGATGTCCACAGCTTGAAAAATGCATCTGTTAATCAATTGGCGTTTGAAAGAGATTTAGCAACTCTTGTTAGAAAAGCATCGATTGGAAAAGTTCAAGGAAACCATCTTCTCAACTTCTTGCAAACAATCTTGATTGCCAAAACAGACATTGAAAGATTGAACGCTTTCAGTTCACTTTGTTTGGCTGATTTTGATTGGGACGCCTATGTTTTCTTGAAATTGTTCTCCAAAGGATCACCAGATGAAATCGACGAAATGAAGTTGATTCGCGAAAACATCATCGCAAAGATTGGAGGAAAACGAGGAAATTTGGTTGATTTATGGTTGAATGGAAGAAAAGTCGATCCAGCTGTTGAATTTGTTCGCAATTTGAATAAACCAATCTCGGAGACAATTGAATTAGTTGTTCCTCAAATTGTTGAGAATATTTTGGCTGTTATCAAAAAGGAAGATGATACAAGTTTGTTGGAATTGGCGCCACTCACCAGTCAATTGTTTTATCTTATTTATCGAGCTGTTGTATCTGGTGCAGTGAGTTCGGTTGCGGACATCTTTGCGAAGCTACCAAGTCAAGTCAGAAAAATCATGTTTCCAGGATTGGCTGAAGCAGTTTTGAAGGTAATATTTATACAAACACGCTGAAATGCATAATTCTAAATTTTTTCAGGATTCCATCGCTCTTCTCAACTACTTCGCTCCATGTTTCATCGAAGCATCGCAACGTCGAAAATCACTTGTTGGTCTCGAAACCGATGGAATCTTCTGTGTTTTGGCGGATTCCTGGAAAAGAGATGCAATTGTCAAACTTTTCGTTGATTTCAAGGCCGCAATTTCAAGAGATGTTTTCGGTGTTTCACTTGCGCATGGATATGAAAATGGTCCGCAACACTGTAATTTCATAATTGAATTGTTGAAGTCGTATGATGGAGAAATGCATGTTGACTGGTTGAGTTATCCACAAAGGGCGAATATCGCCAATACTTTGAAAAGTAAGTCTAGATATAACATTATAAGAAGCATTAGTTCATGAATTTCAGGAGAAGCCCTCATTTCTCAAGTTGCAAAAGAAAATATTGCAAGAGTGATCGCTGCTCTCGAAAAGATCGAAGGAGCGCCAAACAGCCCTGAACCAAAAGATCCAACTCCAATAATTCGCGAAGATCCTTCTCAAATCATCCAAGAAGAGCCTGTGAAGCAAATTGAACCACTTCCAGAAATTTCCATTGAAATTCAAAAAGAAGTTCAAGTTGAACCAGAAATTGTTGCCGTTCCAGAAATACAAATTGAGCAGGATCCTCCAACATTGGGACAGGTAGGCATTTCTGAAAAAAATAGAGCAAGTAAAAAATTATATTGATTTCAGGACGAAGTTGATGCAACAACATCATCAAGCACACCATCTTTGAAGTCCGTTCCATTCGAAACAACGGAACAAATCAGTGAAAAATCTGTGAGCGAAGAATCTGTTCCAGAAGTTGTTGCTCCAGTTCAAGAACCCATTCAAGAGCCAATCAAAACTGTCCCAGTCGAAACTGCACCACCGCCAGCTCAATCAATTCCCGCAACAACATCTCAATTCGGAGCTGGAGATATGCCAACTGTTCCAAAACCAACAAGTCAATTCCAAAGTGGTGGATTTGGAAATGCTCCAGCTTCATGTTTTGGTAAAATGGGTGGATTTGGTGGAGGTGGACAAAGTCAACCTGTTAGAAGTTTCGGAGGACCACCACAAAGAGGCGGCGGCGGTGGCGGATATCGAGGTGGCCAAGGTGGAAATCGAGGAGGATACAGAAACTAAATCTGTATTCCTGAAAAGTAGGTTAAAAACCTCTGTTTGTTGTTATGTTCTTGTTTTATTGTATTCTTTTTTAAATAATAATTTTCTCTAATTTTTATATGCATATAAATTTTCAATTAAAACAAAGTTTGAAGAATTTATGGTGGTCCGGCCACAAAAAGAAATGTACAGAAAACGAGTTAGAATTATTATGCAATTAATTAATAGAAATTGAGATCTCTGATTTGTTGAATGCGTTCCAAGAAATACGGCAAAACCACACTTCCCGTATCGATTTCGTCCAAAATTTCGAAATTTGTATCGTGTGGAGATAATAGCGGGGAATTTCGAGCTTCGCAAAAACCGAGCATATTTCGATGGATGAATAATTGATCGAGGCTGGGAAAAAGGTGATTTTTTTGGGGTTTTATGAGAAAAACTGGGGAAAATTCCACGTGTAAAACATTAGATTTTGAAAAAAGTCAAAAGTTTCTTCCTAACCTCAAATATTTCCTCAAAATCGCCACAACTTCGCCAGTCACATTGACACATCCTCGAATATCAAAAACACGCAAAAATTTCGGTCGATTATCCGATTTGCACATTTTTTCAATGGCGAAATTCGTGATTTTGGTGTAGGAAACATAGAATTGCATTAATCTGGAAGATAATTTTATTTAAAAAAATTCAAATTTAAAACCAAACCGAACCTTCTCAATCTTGCAAACGCTAAAAACACCTCATCATCCACGATTCTCAATTCGGAAATATTCAAAATTCTTAAATTCTGCATATTTTTTGCCCAAATTAGTAGCTCCTTTTTAGTCAGGCGAACACAGTGAGTTACATCGAGCTCTTCGAGCCACTGAAAATTAAAAGATTTTAAATTTCAAGGTATTTTAGGCTTACAGTAAAATTTCGAATCGAATCCGACAATTTTCCATCCAATTTATGAACATAGGCGAAGTCGAGAGATTTCAAATTGCGAAAAAATCGCGAACAAAATCGATTTTTGTTCGAATTTTCAGAACTCGCGAATTTTTCATCGATTATGCAGGAATAAATTGACAAATGCTCCAGTCTGAAATTAATTTCAGAAATTATTTTCTAAAAAAAATCTGAAAATCCAGACTAACCTTCTAGGAAACATTGACAAATTGACATTTGAAATATTCGCATTTTCCACTCGTAAACTTGTCAAATTCACCAAATTTCTTGAGATTTTCTCCAAAACCGGTTTTGAGAGAACATTTGTTGATTTTTGTGCTGTTGAGGAACTTCGGATTATATATCCTTCTAGGCTGAAAATATGGGGATTTTTTGGTTGTCTAGGAGCCGCGCCTTGAGGGTATAGTTCTCAAGCAGTCGCGTTTAGAGAATCGAAATGTTAAGGATCAGGGCCTAAATAACCTTATAGTCTAGGACCTGCGCCTTGAAAGTTTATAAGCCAAGTATCCAAGCTTAGAAAGTCTATTTCTCAAGCAGCCGCGCCTAGAAAATTCGATTTTCAAGGATCAGCGTCTAGAGAGCATGTTTCTCAAGGAGTCACGCCTAGAGAGTATGTTTCTCAAGCAGCAGCTCCTTGATACACACGCTGTCAAGCAGCCGCGCCTAGAGAATTCAATCGTCAAGGAGCCTCGCCTAGACAATCGACGAGTCAAGGAGCCGCGCCTAGAAATTCTAGTTTTCAAATAGCCTCGCCTAGACAGCCTACTTCTCAAACAGTAGCGCCTATAGAATAGAAGTGTCAAGTAGCCACGCCTAGAAAATGCAATGATCAAGGATCAGCGTCTAGAGAACTTTTATGTCAAGGTACCGCGCCTAGAGATCCCACTTCTCAAGCAGCAGCGCCTTGAGAGACTGTTTCTCAAGTAACCGCGGCTATAGAGTCTACTTCTCAAGCAGCCGCGCCTAGAAAATTCGATTTTCAAGGATCAGCGTCTAGAGAGCATGTTTCTCAAGGAGTCACGCCTAGAGAGTATGTTTCTCAAGCAGCAGCTCCTTGATACACACGCTGTCAAGCAGCCGCGCCTAGAGAATTCAATCGTCAAGGAGCCTCGCCTAGACAATCGACGAGTCAAGGAGCCGCGCCTAGAAATTCTAGTTTTCAAATAGCCTCGCCTAGACAGCCTACTTCTCAAACAGTAGCGCCTATAGAATAGAAGTGTCAAGTAGCCACGCCTAGAAAATGCAATGATCAAGGATCAGCGTCTAGAGAACTTTTATGTCAAGTAGTCGCGCCTAGAGATCCCACTTCTCAAGCAGCAGCGCCTTGAGAGACTGTTTCTCAAGTAACCGCGGCTATAGAGTCTACTTCTCAAGCAGCTGCGCCCAGAAAATTCGGTTTACAAGCATCAGCTCCTAGAAAATTCAATTGCCAAGAATCCAAGCCTAGAGAAACTGTTTCTAAAGCAGCTGCGCCTAGAAAATTCGATTTTCAAGCAGCAGAACTTCTATGCCAAGCAGTCGCGTCTTGAAATACACGCTGTCAAGGACTCGCGCCTTGAAATTTTAAAAACCAAATATCCAAGCCTAGAGAGTCTATTTCTCAAAAATCAGCTCCTTGAAATACACGCTGTCAGGGAGTGACGCCTAGAAACCCTATTTCTCAAGCAGCAGCCCCTATAGACCCCCCCTCAAAAACCCACGTCAAGCTTTCAACAAGCTGCGCAACTCGACTTGACGCAAACATTGCCAATTGTCGAAGCGCCAATCGATCCGACGCAATAAAATACACATCCTTCCACAAAATCGGATGATTGCTCAGATTATACCAACGTGGGCAGGTTCTAAAAAGGGAACTTGAGGTCTATTAAATTATCGATTTTTTCAAAAACCAACCCTCCAGCTTGTGCCAAATATTTGGGCGACAAAAACGAAAAAACCATCAAAATCACATCATCCGGCAATTCGTTGATGGTTAATCCGGAAAAACTCGAGTTACGCGAACTTCCCGCGCTTTTTCGAAGCGGTTTCAGGTTTTGACGTAATCGCATCTAAAAATCTTTTTTATTAATTAATTAATTAACTAATTAGTGTAAATACAATCGCGATTATTTAACAAAACGCCTAATAAATTTTTAAAATTTCAAAAAAAAAAATGAAAAAATTTATTAAAATTATGCTGACTAGGCATATATAATGCATGAAAAAACCCAAAAAAAAATTTCGCAAAAAAAAATATTTTGGCAAGTGAAAAGAGCAGATATGTTTTAGGATTTTGCTCGCCATTCATCTGGAACTGCTCCAACATCCACGTATAAATGATAGTAGAGCGGGCGAGTTGTGATCTGAAAAATTTGGAATTTTTCGAGCTGAAAATCTGGAGACATACCTTTCGAACTGTCCATTTGTCGGTTTCGTTTAACCCGTCATAAGAAACCCGTTTTGCACTGTTGGCAAGTAATTCATAGCTGGAAAAATGGGAATATTTGGGTTCCTGGCAAGTAGCCGAGCCTAGAAAGCCTAGGTGTCAAGGAGCTGAGCCTACAGAACCTTGTCGTCTAGGAACCGCGCCTTAAGAGCTCCTATGTCAAGCTGTCGAGCATAGAAAGCCTAGGTGTCAAGCAGCGGAGCCTAGAGAATATTTATCGTCTAGGAGCCGCGCCTTGAGAGCCTCTAAAATCAAGCAGCCGAGGCTAGAAAGCCTAGTTATGAAGCAGCGGACGCTAGATAACATGATTGTCTAGGGACCGCGGCTAGAGAACCCGTCTGGCAAGGCAAGGAGCGGAGTCTAGAAATCCTAGTTATCAAGGAGCGGAGCCTAGAGAATCTGATCGTCTAGGAGCGGAGCATAGATAGATAGCCTCTACGTCAAGCTGCCGAGCCTAGAGAATCTAATCGTCTAGAAGCCACACCTTGAGAACAACTCTGTATAGGAGCCACGCCTTGAGAACCAGTCTGAATAGGAGCCGCGCCTTGAGAGCTTCTATGTCAAGTAGCCGAGCCTAGAAATCTTAGTTATCAAGGAGCGGAGCCTAGAGAATCTGATCACATAGGAGCCGCGCCTTGAGAACTTCTATGTCAAGCAGCCGAGCCTAGTGCTTGAATTTTCCACGATTTTTAATCCAAAAATCGATAATTTCAGAATTTTCATCCAAATTTCGCAATTTTGGTGTTTATTTATTCTCAATAAGAATGTTGAAGAGAATATTGAAAAAAAAATTTGATAAAAAAATTTTGTAACGTATTTTTTTTGTTTTTGAAAAATTCGAATTTTGGCCGAAATGAAGCATAGAGAACAGGTTTCTAGATAATTTTCTGAAAATAATAGGAATCTAAATTTTTTTCACAGAAACTTTTGATTCGGAAAGTTTTTTTCAAATTTTTCGTCACAATTATTTCAATTTTATTGGAAAAAAAAACATTTCTTGGATCAATTTTTTCTAAAAAAAAATTATTTTTACATGTGTTTTTTATGAATCACACCCCCTCTCTTTAAGAGAGCCCAGAGAAAAACACGAAAAAACTCACATCAACTTCGGCGCCGTTCTTTTCCTCTTCACATGTTTCAACATCGAATATCGTGCAGTTTCCGGATTGGGCCTTTCAATCGTATAATTCATCGACAAAATCCTCGAACCCATATCATCATCTTCTCCGCCCCAAGCCCAAAATTGATTCGAATATCCATTAACAGCCTTGTAATCAGCGATAGAGACGGCTAAAACACCTCCAACGATTTCTTTGTACCATAATTGATAGCCTAGATTGCTGACAAAGGCGCCGAGATGTCTGGGGCCGGGAGGGCATGAGTAGGGATTTTTGTCATTTTGGGGGAACATGTCGACGTCGTGGAATACGACACAATCGACACCGAGTGATTCAGCGAAGAGGAATGCCGCATTCATTATTCGACCTTTGTTAAACAAATCATTTCCGTACTGCAAAAAAATATTGGGTTTATTGATTTTTTTTGGAAATTTTTTCAATTGAAACACAACACAAAGGAAGCTACATTTTGACTGAAAATTCGATTTTCAGTCAAAATTTCAGCACCTTTTTCGATGTTTCTGTACAGTTTTTCACAAAGATCCAATTTTCAGTCTTTGCTGCGCGACTCTCTGAAGAGTTCAAAAATTGAAAATTTTCTGAAAATCGCATTTGTGAGAACCCATAACTCATGTTATATGGAAAACTGAATGCATCAAATTATTCAGGAGGATCAATTTACCAAACTCAAAAATTTTCAAATGTGAAATCCTAAAAATTTTCGCTGAAAATAAATATTTCCATGATTTTCAGTACAAAATTTTGATCTGGAAAAAATTACGTTTCAAGAATTCTGTATATTTTCCAAGATCATTAGGAATTTGATAGTATTGCTTTTGAGCCTAAATATTTGCGCTGAAATCAATGAAAATTGCTGAAAATAAATATTTCCATGATTTTCAGCAGAAAATTTTGGGCTAGAAAAAATTACGTTTCAAGAATTCTGTAAATTTTCAAAATTTTCAAAATCATTAATTTTGAGCCTATCTGAAAAAATATGGATTTACTAACCAAAAACTTGTGAAAAAACGCGATTTCCAGAAAATTTTCAACTTTTGGCTCATTTTTGGGCTCTTTAGAGAGTCGCTGAGCAAAAACTGAAAACTGGATTTTTCTCAGCGTGAAAAACTGTACAGAAACATGCTGATCACAATTCCATTATCTGAAATTGCAGAATTCAACTCCTAACATGAGTTATGACGTGGCAAAGGGATTTTGGGAGGTGAAACCTTCTGAAAAAGGCCTCAAAAATGATTTTCCCATGCAAATCTACTCCCTATGCTATTCGATTTGCATGGGGAAATCATTTTTTCAGGTTTCACCTCCCAAAATCTCCTTGCCACGTCATAACTCATGTTGAGTTCTGCAATTTTAGACGGCGGAATCGTGATCAGCGGGTCGAAAACTACTACAATTCGAATTTTCAATGAATTTCAGACATGCCTACCTGCTCTGTGACAATAAACCTGAAATCCAATCTCTGCCGCTGCAAAATCGGAATCAAAAAATCAATAAGCCTTGTCAAATGCGATTGTCGATCCCGATACGGTATAATAATCGCAATCTTATCCCTCGCCTTACAATCTTTCGGTTTCCAAGTTCCACCGGGACCAATCTCCGGATGCACCGCATGCACTTCACCTTCTTGTAGATTTTGTATGAGTAAAACGGCCTGTGGAAGGGCGCCCTGGAGATCGGGGATTTTCTCGATGCTCGGGCAACTTCCATCGTCTTCAGGGATCATTTTGGAACGTGGTTTTGTTGTGGATTCTTCGATATTGAGCACGGTTAAGGTTTGACGGGCTAATTCAAGCTCCGCAGAATCTTTTATCTGGATTTTTTCTTCAATATTGATATTTCGATTGATTTGCGCAGAAGTCGCAGAAATTCTGCAAGACAAATTTTGTTTTGAAAAAAAATCAATCAATAAAATTTACCTTTGTTCATTGTCCTGTGTACTTCTCAACAATAAAACATAAATACAAGTGGAGAAAAGCGCAAAAATGATAAGACGACGTGGCGAGAAAATGCGAATTAGGCATTGTCCACCGCCGCGCATTTCGTAAATTTTTCACTTAGAATATTTCAGAGAAACATTTAAGTATTCTTCAAAGGTGTTTTGTTTTTTTTTGTGTGTGGCGAAACGATGACAACAGCTGCTGGAAAAAAGAAGAAAATATAATAAAGCTGGTTTTCAACTGGAGAGAGTGTGGGAAACACGGAGACGCAGGTTAAGAGAGAAGTTGCGGAATATGCGCCAGGGGTGTGAAGATTGACGCATTTGAAATAGCCTTGACGTAATATTTTTATTTTTTTTTCATTTTTTATTTTTTTTTTGGGGAAAACTTGCCTAATTAGGCGCTAATTCTGTGAATTTCAGAAAATTTCAGCATGGAAATCGATAAACCCAATTGCCAGACTGTGCCCGGACTCCCGCAGAAGAAATTCTATAGGCAAAGAGCGCACTCGAACCCGCACTCCGATCACGATATCGAATACCCGGTTTCTCCGGAATTTATGGATTGGGAAAAGTTGTATGGGGATTATTATGCGAAGAATAGCAGAAAAGTCGAATTCGCCGATGTTGGTTGTGGTTATGGCGGTTTGCTAATGCGATTATCCCCATTATTCCCCGATGTTTTGATGGTTGGAATGGAAATTCGTGTAAAAGTGTCGGATTTTGTGCAAGAGAAGGTGAAGGCTCTTCGAAAACATCACGAAAAAGAGGGATTGTATAGGAATATTGGATGTTTGCGGTCGAATGCGATGAAATATATGCCGAATTATTTTCACAAACATCAGCTGTCTAAAATGTTCTTTTTGTTTCCGGATCCACATTTTAAAAATAAGAAACATAAATGGCGAATTATCACACCAACATTACTCTCGGAATATGCTTATGTCTTGAGACCAGGGGGTAAGTAGCACTACTAGCGTTAAATTGAAGATCACTTAGCCTAAATGATCTCTTATCAATTTTTGTTATCAATACCCTCGTGGTTGGTATCTTTTCCTTCATTTTTGAAGAAACTGATGACAAAAAGTTTTTTTTCCAATGAAAAATTTCTAGGCAACGTTTTGTTTGTTTTCTGCAGCTCTATTGATTTTCCAAATTTTTTCTATGAGAAAAAACCAGTTTTCCCCAAGAAAAATTCAAAATTTTGCAGGCCTCATCTACACGATCACCGATGTCAAAGATTTGCATGATTGGATGGTGAAACATCTCACCGAACATCCGCTTTTCCAAAGGCTAACCGATGAAGAATTGGCAGCTGATCAAGTTGTTGGATTGTTGTATGAGAGCACGGAAGAAGGGCAGAAGGTGACGAGAAATGAGGGGGAAAAATGGCCGGCGGTTTTTCGAAGACTTGATGATCCTGTGGAATAATTGGTAAGGGTTTTTGGGGGAAAAAATGAAAAATTCTGTGCAAAATTCAAAAGTTCAGTGTCAAAAAGTGTCTTTAGAATTTTGTTGGCGCGAAAAAATGAATATTCAAACAGGTCCTTTTCTTGTGCCAAAAAAATTAGGAAATTTTGTTCTTTGGGGGCTGTAAACGATGCTCCGGATTTACGGATCTACGATTTTTGACCTATTTAAAAATTCAAGCGCATTTTCCACATCAATTGTGTAGTTCTCGCGGAGAAGCGCGCAATTTTCCATACCAAAACATATTTTCCAACCGAAAATTTTTGGTATGGAAAATTCTTCGCTTGTCCGAGAAAACTACAAAATTTGGTATGGAAATTAATTTTGGTGGGGAAAATTGTCCGTTTGTCCGAGAGAATTACAAATTTTGGTATGGAAATTGATTTTTCATGTGGAAAATGCGCTTGTCCACGAGAACTACACATTTGGTATCGAAAATTGTTTTTTTTTGTTGAAAATTCAAAAAAACATGATTTTTGCTGTCCACAAAGTTTTGGGCGCGAAAAAACTGAATTTTTAAATTCGAAAAAAATTTCTAAAGTTCAAAGCTCAAAAATTAAATTTTTTGGAGACCTGAAAAATCACCCGAAAACTAAAAAAATCCCAAAAAAATCCTATTTTTTTTACAGAATCGCCTCCTCTTCCTGCCAATTTTTTGAAAAATATTTATTTAATCCCTTGTTACTTCTTTTTTTGTTGGTTGATTTTTCACTTTTTGTTAAATAATTGTTATTTTCCGCTCGTCTTTTTCTTTTTTCTTTGATTTTTCAACGAGTTTTCGTACTCTAAAATACCTATTTTCCCTGGAATTTAACCAGAAAATCTCAAATTTTCAGCAGAAAATAATAAATCTGGGAAACAATGGGCGGCGGTGGAGAAGATGAATATGAATCGCTTCCAACTCATAGTGTAGCGGTGAGTGAAATTCAGGGATTTTCAAGAATTTTGGCTAAAAAATCATAGGAAAAACTTGATTTTGACATAAAAATAACCCAAATTTAATAAGAAAATCATAAATTTTACCCCTAAAATCCCCATTTTCAGGTTCATTTATCCGCTGGAGCCCTAGCTGGAGCCGTCGAACACTGTGTAATGTTCCCATTTGACTCAGTCAAAACACGAATGCAATCACTTTGTCCGTGTCCCGAAACGAAATGCCCAACACCGGTTCATTCGTTGGCTAGTATTATTAAAAGGTTGGCTGGATTTTTTGGGGGGAAGTTGTCGAATAAAAATGAAACTGTGAAAATTGGGATTTTTTTGAATAGAAATTTTGAAACAGTGAAATTTTTTGGAAAAATTTTGAATTAGTTAATTTTTTTAATTTAAAAAAATGCCGTTATATTTAGCATCAATCACTGGAAATTGAGAATTTTAAAATAGAAATTTTGAAACAGTGAAATTTTTCATTTTTTGTTTGAAAAATTTTGAATCAGTTAATTTTTTTATTTAAAAAGTTGTTTGTAAAAAGGAAACGATCAAAGTGTGAAATTTGGGATTTTTTCAAATAGAAATTTTGAAACAGTGAAATTTTTTAAATATTTTTTTCTTGCAAAAATTAGAAGATCAGATTTTCCCCTGAAAATCCAATTTTTTAAATAGAATTTTGAAACAGTGGAATTTTATAAATGGAAAACATGCAAATCAGTGAAAATTAAGAATTTTTTTAATAGAATTTTTGAAACATTGAAATTTTTTAAATATTTTTTTCTTGCAAAAATCAGAAGAGGAAAGGGGCAAGTTTCAGTTAAAAGCAATACTTTTGATCGAATTTTTAAACAGTGAAATTTTTTAAATATTTTTTCTCAACAAACCATTGAAGATCAGATTTTCCATTGAAAATCCAAAATTTTTATAGATTTTTGAAACAGTGACATTTTTTGATGATTTTTTCCGATTTGATATTTAAATTATTAAAAGTGAAAATTGAGATTTTTGAAAACGAAATTTTGAAACAGTGAATGTTTATGTCAAAATTTAAGAAGACTGTAATTGACCTAAGAATAAACCCAAAATTATTTGTAAAACTTCAGAAATCAAAAATAATTCAAATTTCAAAAACCCTAGGAAAGTCCAGCTGAAAATGGAAGAAATTTTTTCGAGTTTTTCATGTCAGATGAATTATATTCCATTAAAAATCCAGTAATTTGATAAAATTTTGAAACAGTGAATTCTTTGGATGTTTTATGGACTGTTTTCTGAAATTATCTAGAAAACATCTGAAATCAGAAAATATCACGAAAATTCTGTCAAATTTCAAAAATTGATCAGAAAATCCTAGAAAATCTGTCCAAAAAACCCATTCCTAATTCCAGAGAAGGTTGGCTTCGCCCACTTCGAGGTGTAAACGCAGTGGCCGCCGGCTCAATGCCAGCTCACGCTCTTTACTTCACAGTATACGAAAAAATGAAGGGATTCCTCACGAATAATTCAGTTGGACACGCAAATACCCTGGCTTATGGAGCATCTGGAGTTGTTGCAACTCTTGTTCATGACGCAATTATGAATCCGGCTGAAGTTGTTAAACAACGAATGCAAATGGCTTTCTCACCATATGGTTCGTCTTTGGAATGTGCACGATGTGTTTTGAATCGCGAAGGAATTGGCGCGTTTTATCGAAGTTATACAACGAGTTTGGCTATGAATGTACCGTTTCAAGCGATTCATTTTATGGGTTATGAGTTTTGGCAACATGTTAGTTTTTTTGAGGGGGGTTTTGAGGTGAAAAATTGTGAAAATTTCTTATAAAAAGTGGTATTTTTCTCCTGAAAAAATTTCACGAATTTCACTGGTCGAAAATCCTATTTTTCATCAGTTTTTGCAAGTAAAAATCAAATCTTCCTCCTGACAAATTTCACTGTTTCAAAATTGTTTAGAAAAAATATGTTCATTCTTGCAAAATTGATAGTGTGAAGGTAAACAATTGAAAACTTGAAAAATTTAACATTTTCTAAAAAAAAATAAAAACAGAAAATTTGAATGGTTCCTGAAATTTTGAATTCAACTGCCCAAAAATCATATTTTTCATCAGTTTTTGCAAGTAAAATCAATTTTTTTATTCTGAAAAATTTCACTGTTTCAAAATTTTTTAGAAGAAATTTGTTTGTTTTTGGAAAATTAATGCATTTTTCCATGCAATTTATCTGACCGAAAAGTTATATTTTTCATCAGTTTTTGCGAATAAAAATCAATTTTTCCTCCTGAAAAAATTCACTGTTTCAACATTTTTTGAAGAAATTCATTTATTTTCAAAAAATTAATAAAACAATCGTTTATGTTCGAATTTCCTTAAAAAACTGCTCAAAATCCTATTTTTCATCAGCTTTTGCAAGTAAAAATAAGATTTTCCTCCTAAAAAATTTCACTGTTTCAACATTTTTTAGAAGAAATTTATTCATTTTTGAAAAATTAATTGATCAATCTTGAAATATTTTTCATCAGCTTTTTCAATGAAACATCAATTATTTCACCTGAAATAATTTCACTGTTTCAAATTTTTTAGAAGAAATTTATTTTATTTTTGAAAAATAATATGTCAATACTGTATTCTGGAATTTATCTGACCGAAAAATTAAATTTTTTTTCTACAGTTTTAGCGAATAAAAATCAATTTTTTCTTCTGAAAAATATTACTGTTTCAAGTGTTTAAGAAGAAATGTATTTATTTTTGAAAAATTAATCGATCAATAAATAGCTTTTCCTGAAAAATTTTACTGTTTCAACATTTTTTTTAAAGAAAATTTTTCTATCTGTTTTTCAATGATATATTAATTTTTTCTCATGAAAAAATTTTACTGTTTCAAACTTTTAAGAAGAAATTTATTTTATTTTGGAAAAATAATAGGTCAATGCTGTATTCTGGAATTTATCTGACCGAAAAATTACATTTTTTTTTCATCAGTTTTAGTGAGAAAAAATCAATTTTTCTCTTGAAAAATTTTACTGTTTCAACATTTTTTTAAAGAAAATTTTTCTATCTGTTTTTCAATGATACATTAATTATTAATTTTTTCTCATGAAAAAATTTTACTGTTTCAAATTTTTAAGAAGAAATTTATTTTATTTTTGAAAAATAATATGTCAATACTGTATTCTGGAATTTATCTGACCAAAATGAAAAATTACATTTTTTTTCTACAGTTTTAGCGAATAAAAATCAATTTTTTTCTTCTGAAAAATTTCACTGTTTCAAATTTTTGAGAAGATAATTTTTCTATCGGTTTTTCAATAGAACATCAATATTGCACTTGAAAAAATTTACTGTTTCAAATTTTTTAAAAGAACATTTTTCTATCTGTTTTTCAATGATATATCAATTTTTTTCTCATGAAAATATTTTTTTTTTGAATGATTATTGTCGTTCCGAAAAAGACCGTTGGAAGAGAACCGAAATGGCCTAGGAAACCAAAACTACAGTAGACTTCGCAAAATTTTGGAGTCTTTTTGAAAAATAAAATGCGAAATTTACACGCTGGCTATTTGCCAACCAGTTTGATGTGCATGTGTCACGTCATTTTTAGTCTACTGTACGTGAGCGCCAATTCAAACGGGGGTTCTTTTATTTTCGGATTGACAATATGTACATTCATATTTTTCCTGAAAAAATGTCACTGTTTCAAATTTTTTAAAAGAAATTTATTTATTTTTGAAAAATTAATGTGTCAAAAAATTGTTCAGCAAAAAATAAAAATAGAATAAAAATCACAGCCAAGCTTCCACATTTTCTATCTTTCCAGATCCTCAATCCCGAACACAAATACGATCCAAAATCTCATCTAATAGCTGGTGGTTTGGCTGGTGGTTTAGCCGCAGCAATTACAACACCAATGGATTGTGTGAAAACTGTATTAAATACACAACAAACTGCTGAAACGACGGCTGAAAATGCGAATCGACGGATCTTTTTACACTCGAATAGTAGTAGTTATTATAAGGGAATTACGGATGCTGTTAGAATGATTTATACGCAAAGAGGAATGGCTGGATTTAGTTGTGGATTGCAAGCCAGAGTTATATTTCAGGTTAGTTAGCCTAAGTCCATTTGGAAAAATTGCAAGCTCCGCCCCTTTTTTTTTGCAATTTTGCGGCTCGATTTTCCAACAAAAATTCGATTTATTTGGAAATTAGGATAAATCATGCCGCAAGATTTCAAGAATTAGTAAATCTGCAATTTTAGGGCATAGTTTTTTCCTACGAAAAATTATTTGAAAAAAAGTGTGCCGCAAAATTGCATTTTCTAAGCCCCGCCCATTTTTTTGCAATTTTGTGGCTCTGGTTTCCATCAAAAATTTGATTTGAAAAATAAACCATGCCGCAAAATTCCAGAAATTAGTAGAATTGCAATTTTAAGGCATAGTTTCTGATTTCAAAAAAATTATTTGAAAAAAATTGAAATTTTTAAATAAAAAAAAATGTTGGATTAGAAATTTTTACCTAAAATTGAATTTTTCAAAAATTTTGACTGAAAATTCGAAAAATGGTTAATTTCAGGCTTTCGGGCCTTTTCCCCAGATTTTCTAGGCCAAATCCCATTTTTGCAGGTTCCAGCAACAGCTTTATCATGGTCCGTCTATGAATTATTCAAATTTATGTTATCAATGGAAGAATCTCAAAAATAGTGGAAATTATTTATACATATCGATTTTTTGACTGAAATTTCAGCTCTTTTGAAAAAAATAATAATTTTCATAGGCCTTTTTCTCCCCTCTTTTTTGCTCTTTTTTGTACTGAAAACGTGTAGAATATAGAAATTTTGTTGTTTTTTTTCTAGGACCTTTTTTTTGTTTTGTTTTTCTACCTATAAATAATGAAGATTTGCACAGTTTTTAGGATTTTTGAGGATTTTTAACCCGTTTTTTGGCGGAGTTTTATTTGATTGAAAATTTTGACTAATTTGTTTTCAGAAAAAAATCTGAAATTAAATTTTGCTGGAAATCTGAAATTTCCAATTTCTATAATTTTCAGCCCAAAAAAAATCAGATTTTTGTCAATTTTTTGATGTTAAATTTTTTTTTGAAATTAGATTTTTCCACATAAAATTTCAGTTAAAAAAAAAGATTTTTAAAAGTTTTCAGAAAAATCTGAAAATTCAAAGGCAACTAAATATTTAAAAGTGGAATTCTGAAATTTTCAGCCAAAAAAATTTGATTTTGGTCAATTTTTTGAAAAAAATTGTTTTTTCCATATAAAATTTCAGTTCAAAAAAAAATTATTTTGAGAATTTTCAGAAAAAAATATCTGAAATTAAATTTTGCTGAAAACTCAACGGTTGCTTTGAATAAAAATATTTAAATTTGAACGTGAAAAATGAAACGTGGATTTTCAACATTTCTCATTTTTTCTCACTGTTTCAAATTTTTTTGAAAAGAAAAAAGAAGGTTTCACAAATATTGATCAAACTCAACATGTTTCTATGTGATTTTTTTTCCAAAATTCTAATCCACGTGGCTCAAAATGCTCCAAATTCCAAGCCTTCGGCCAAAAAATATATGAAAATTTAATCCGCGTGGCATTTTGAGCCTAAAAAATCTCATTTTCGGGCTCAAAATGCTCCAAATTCTAAGCCCTAGACCAAAAATCTATGATTTTTGTATCTTGTAGTCTTGTTATCTGTTTTACTACTCTCTTTTCCCTTTTCTCCCTTTTTCTCTCATTTTGTAAACTTTGTTGCCTTTTTTTTCCAAAAAAAAAAAACAAAAATTGCGGAATTTCACCTAAAAATCCATCTAACGTGACCCAAATTCAATTTTTCCCCGGATTTTTTCGCTCCAAAAAAATTCTTTTCATTTTTATATAATTTCCAACCAGAAAAATGACGTTGGGTGGTGCATTTACCCTAACTTTGGTCAAAGATAAAGCTTGTCATAGTAAGATTTGGGTTGAAATTAGGTATTTTCAGATGAAAATTAGGCTAGAAATTTGCATTTTTTGTCTGAAATTTTAGCTTGTTCTCGTTATTTCTTGTCTGGAAATTTTCAGCCAAAAAATCCGAAATCATATTTATTTTTTCCAGTGAAAACGCCGTGCCCAAGTTCAAATGGTGGATCCACCAAATGTGTTGTGACAACTGTTGCTGTTTTGGCTGGTGGAGCTGCGTTGGCAGTTTATGTGAGTTTTTTTGGGACTGGGAAATTTTGCAGAGAAATCAGGAAAATTGGGCTTTTCTGAAGAATTTTCTGGAAATTTTCACTGTTTCAAAAAATTTTGAATTTGGTTCCTGTTTTTGAAAGTTGTTACTGTAGGTCGAAATACTAAAAATATATCAAAAATCAAGAAATTCCAGAAAATTTCCCATTTTTCAAAAAATGTGTTCAAGAAATCTCAGAAAATTTCACTGTTTTAAAATAATTTCTCAAAAAATCTGGATTTGAGGGAAATTGTTTGTAATTTTAAAAGTTTTCAAAAATTTTCTGAAATTCGGAAAACCCTGGAATTTTTGGAGCTTTTCTGAAGAATTTCCTGAAAAATTTTATTTTCTTCAAATTTTCACTGTTTCAAAAAAATTAAAAACTTGGTTCACGTTTTTGAAATTTGTTGACACAGGAAAACTGATCAAAAATCAAGAAACTGCAGAAAATTTCAAATTTCTCAAAAAATCTGAATTTGATGGAAATTGTTAGCTATTTGAATATTTCTCTAATTTTTTTCTGAATTTCGGGAAAACCTTTTTGAAGCTTTTCTGAAGAATTTTCTGAAAAATTTTATTTTCTTGAAATTTTCACTGTTTCAAAAAATTGGTTCTTGTTTTTTAAATCTGTTATACATATTGATTAGAAGATATAAAAAAATGAAAATCATCTGAAATTCGCAGAAAAACTGAATTTTTGGCACGGAAATCAAGACATTTTAGCGTTTTCTAGGAAAAATTCGAAAAAATCACAATTTTTTTGGAGCTTTTCTGAAGAATTTATTCATTCAAAAATTTTCACTGTTTCAAAAAATTTTGAAATTTGTTGAGAAAAGTTCGGAAATCATCTGAAATTCACAAAAAAAACAGAAAATTTTCAAAATTTCTACTGTTTCAAACCAATTTCTCCTAGAAAAATCGGCATTTTTTACTGTTCCACAGTCAATTCCTCCCCAAAAAAAAGCAATAATTTCTAGCTCGGCTACAAACTCGGTCAACGCAGTGCTCGCGTCAACAACAAAATCAATCTCTCCTCGCCAAAAGTCGCCGACGCAATCGACATCGAAGATATTGGCGAGAAAAAAGCGTTCTGCCGTTGCTGGAAATCCGAAAAATGGCCATATTGTGATGGAGCACACGGAAAACACAACAAGGAAACTGGCGACAATTTGGGACCAGTTATCATCAAGGGAAAACCTGCTGCAACTCCAGAAAATAAGGAATAAGTGATATTTTTAATGCTCTTAAGGTATATGATGATGAAGTTTTTGATTTATTCATTTAGCCTAACTCTAGTTTTCCCGAAAATTCTATAATTTTTCCAAAAAATTGTTCCAGGAGTACTGTAGGTGTATAAAAAGAGGGAGGGTACTGTATATTTTTTTCCCAAAAATACTATAGATCAAAAAATTGTTTTAGGAGTACTGTAGGTGTATGAAAAGAGGGTACTGTAGAAATTTTTTCCCAAAAATTCTATAGATTTTTGAAAAATTGTTCCAGGAGTACTTTAGGTGTATGAAAAGAGGGTACTGTAGAATTTTTTTCAATTTTTTTCTGAAATTTTATGAATTTTGATTTTTTAATGCAAATTTTCGGATTTTTAAAACCAGAAAATCCAGAAAGTTGAAGTATTTAATTTTCAGCATCAAAACTTTTTTAATTTAAAAATTCTGAAAATGCTCTTAACAATAATATTCATTTATTTATTTAGCCTAACTCTAGATTTCCTATTTTTAAATAATTCCTTGATTTTCGCCATTTCCAGCAATGGAACTTGTTTCCAATCGATATTTTCATCAATATTTTCTATATTTCTCAAATATTTCCGATTTTCTCGCGATTTTTCACCACAAATCGCCGTAATTCGACGAATTCCCTTCGCACTTGATTTATCTGACATTATTTGGAAGTCGAGGATTTGTGAAGATCGTGTGACATGGCTGAAATTTCAGATTTTTGTTTTGGCTGGAATTCCAGCCTCTACTCACGTTCCCGAACAACATTCCTCCGCAATTCCACCATCAAAACCAACAACTCGAATATTTTCCGCTTCGCCAATTCGATCAATTTTCAAATTTCGCGCCAATTCTTCATTTGGCGCGAAAATTCGAATTTTCGCCTCGAGACCCTGTGATATTGTTTGGTTTATGGCATTTTGAACGTTGGCCAGAATTTCGAGACGATTTGGGATTTTTTCACGGCCTGTCGAGTAGTCGAAACGCAAATATTCGTTTTCTGGGGGAAAATATTGATTTTTAGGGATTTAAGGTAATTAAGGAAATTTTTAAGGACCTTAAGGGGCTTTAGGTAACCAAGGAGATCTTTAAGAACCTTATTAATTAAGAAAATTTTACAGGAGAATTTTTAAGAACAACAATTTCGAGATAATTTTCTTTAATTAGAGGGTTAAGGTAATTAAGGATTTTTTTTGGAACCTTTAGGACCTTTGGGGGGAATTTTTAAAATAATTGTTTAATTAGGGGTTTAGGTAACTTAACTTTTAAAAAATTTAGAGTAACTTATTGTAAGAGCCTTAAAAAATGATTTGAAGATGATTTTCTTTAATTAAAGGGTTAAGGTAATTAAGGTTAATTGAGAACCTTAAGGGGCTTTAGGTAATTAGGGTTAATTAAGGAGATCTTTAAGAACCTTATTATATGAGAAAATTTTACAGAACAAGAAAATTTATAGAATTAGGTAGTTAAGGTAATTAAGGTTAATTGAGAACCTTAATATAATGATTTTAAGATAATTTTCTTTAATTATAGAGTTAAGGTAATTAAGAAGAAATTTACGAGCCTTCGAAACCTTCTTAATTTGGTTAATTTACAGAAGAACCTTAAGAACCTTAATATATAAATTTTGAAATAATTTTTCTTTAATTAGGGAGGAGATCTTTAGGAAGATATTTTTAAGGACCTTAAGAACCTTTTTTTAGGAAGCTCTAAATCATTTTTCAAAAAATTTTAGGGCATTTTTTAGGAGCTTAGGTGAAATTTAAGGCAATTTTCTCACCAACACTCGATCCTTTCTGCTCAACTTCTCCTTCCAAATTCCCCAATTCCCGCTTCAAAAAATGATGCAATAAATGTGTGGCCGAATGTGCTCGCATCATGCCAATTCTCCTTTTCTCATCGATTTTCTGGTCAATTTCCAGATTTTCAGCTTTGATTTGCTTCAACTCATCGATTGCGATGAGTGGCTCGCCGAGCAAAATTGTCAATTTTTTATCGCGCGATTTTTTGGCACTTTTGACACGGAAAATCGGAGTGTTCTGGAGAAAATTTGAATTTTTTTGGAAACCGAGCCGCAAAATTGCGAAAAAAGGGGCGGAGCTTGAGGAAATGTAGGAAAAAACCATGCCTTAAAATTGCAGATCTATTCATTTCTGCAATTGTGCGGCATGGTTTATTTTTTACTTCAAATTAATGGAAACCATGCCGCAGAATTGCGAAAAAGGGCGGAGCTTGAAAAAGTGCAATTTCAAGGCACAGTTTTTCTCAAGAATTTTTTAATAGGAAAAAACCATGCCCTAAAGTTGCAGATCTATTCAGATTCTGCAATTTTGCGGCATGGTTTATTTTTCAAATTCAAATGAATCAAATATTCGTAGGAAAACCATGCCGCAAATTTGCAAAAAAAAAGTGGGCGGAGCTTAGAATTTTTCCCACCTCTCTCAACAAAAATCCCGAATCTGAAGCCTGTCCACCTTGTTCACCGTAAAATTGGCAATTTTCCAAAATCAATCGATAATCCAAATCCACGTCATCAATTGGCCTAGAAATATCCAAAATCTTTGTCGGAACTTCGGCTAACTTCAACTCATCGCTGCCAATCATTTCGTAGTCATATTTGAATCGATCCGAATGTGTCGGATAATTTTGGAAATCTGGGAAATTTTCAGCAGAAGCAGAACTAGATGTTTTGGCCGATGTTTTGGACAAATTTCGAGCTTCCAACTTGGCCTGCTCGAAATCTTGCAAATTTATCGATTTTCCGTGTTCCCTGGCTAGTTCTTCAGTGATTTCCAGTGGTAAACCATGAGTTTCGAGAAGGTAGAATGCGGATTTTCCAGAGAAATTTGGATCGATTTCTGTAAATTCTCAGTTTTTTCTGAAAAATTTTTGAAAATCCGAAATTTAAAGCTGAAAATTAGCAGATTTTTGAGCCCGAAACCTGAAATTTAGAAAAAAAATTGAATTTCTCTAAAATCCTCTAATTTACAGCTGAAAATACCTAGAATTTCAGAAAAATTCAAATTGCAATTTTTAGCGCGAAAATCTGAATTTTTTTCTTCTTACAATTAGCGCCCACATTTTGGGTCCTGAAGCGAAAATTTGCGAAAATTCTCATTGTTGGCCGAATTCCCGACATTTCTCGGCCACCGGAAAAGTTCGGCCATATATATCTTTCATTTTTTTTTTCGAAAATTCTCGATTTTTCGTTCAAAATCATTGATTTTCAGGTTTTCTACGAGTTTCAGCACAAAAATGTTTTTAGATCAGAATTTTGTGCTGAAAATCATGGAAATCTTCATTTTCAGCGATTTTCAGCTCATTTTCAGCGGGAATTCGGCCAAGACAGAAAACTCGCTCCAATAATGTGAATTTTCGCAACATTAGAGCGATTTTGTTGCTTTGGCCGAATTTCCGACATTTCTAGGCCACCGGAAAAGTTCGGCCACGTATATTTTTTCTTAAATTTTTTGTGACGTAAAAGTTGAACATTTTTAAAAGTTTTTCAAAAATTTTCAAAAAAAAAAAATTTTCCCGCCAAAAAAACTCACCGAATCTCCTCAAAAAATGCGGTTTTCCCTGATCCACAACCCTCCAAAACTGCTCCTCTTCCTCTCTCAAAACCCTCCGAATCTCCGGCAAATTCTCCAGAATCTCCGGATAAACCACGCCGAGACTTTCACCAACACAATCCACTAATCCACCATCAGCTCCAAAAGCAAATCGCTCAATTCCCAGCGCATTTCCCGCATTCAAAAACGCTCTTCGCATCATTTTCCGCACCACAAATCCGGCATCGCTTCCGCTTGGCCTTGCGCCATCCGCAAGAGCCACACAAATCGCTCGCAGATGATCGGCAACAATGCGAATCGCCACCGGATTTGGTGGGGTTTTTGTGGCCAGATTGCGGATTTCGGAAATGATTTTTGTGAAGACATCGGTGTCGAAATTCGAAGACTGGCCTTGAATAATCGAGAGAAGACGTTCGAAACCCATTCCGGTGTCAATGTGATTTTTTCCGAGCGATGTGATGCGGCCATTTGGAAGTCTGCAACAATTATTGATTGATTTTGACTGTGCCACGTGGAATTTGTAGCGCTAAAAATTGGATTTTCCCAATTCTAGTAAATTTCGGAGAAAATTTTGAAAAAATGCCACGTGGATTTTTTTACTGTGGGAAGATTTTTAAAATATTTTTTTATTGAAACAAAATCCACGTGGAATTGTTGTCTTCAAAATTTGGCTAGATTACTGTAGGCGAAATTTTAGCGTGAAAAATTAAAATTCGAAATTAAAAAAAAATCCACGTGGAATTTTTGGTGTCAGAACTTGGTTACATTACTGTAGGTGGATTTTAAGCGCGAAAAATTGAAATTTGAAATTTTGAAAAAAATACACGTGGAATTTTCGGTGTCAAAATTCATCTGGGTTACTGTAGGAAGATTTTTTGGGCTCATCTGGGTTACTGTGGGAGGAATTTTTGGATTTTTTTTGCTCCAAAATTCGGCTAGATTACTGTAGGCGAATTTTTAGATGCCCGCTGGATTTTTAGCGCGAAAAATTGAAGTTCAAAATTTTGAAAAAAATGCCACGTGGAATTTTTTGCGAAAAAATTAGGCTAGATTACTGTAGGTGGATTTTCCGAATAGTTTTTTACTGAAACAAAAGCCACGTGGATTTTTAGCGCAAAAATTCGGCTAGATTACTGTAGGTGGATTTTTAGCGCGAAAAAATTGAAATTCAAAATTTTGAAAAAAATGCCACGTGGAATTTTCGTCTCACCTCAACTTCGACATAAAAACAATATTCCAAATCTCAACCACCGAATCATCCGAATTCACCAATTTCTCTGCGTCTCTCCCGCCTCCAACTCTATCATAATGTATTTCTGTGCAAACACCACACGGTCCACTCGCTCCCATTTCCCAAAAATTCTCCCGCCTTCCAAACCCAACGATTTTATTTTCCCGAACTCCCAGATCCCTCCAGATATCACGGCATTCTAAATCGGCATCAACAAGTTCTTTTGAATCGCCGGCGAAATATGAAAAATACAGGCGGTCCGGATCGATTTTCAAATTTTCAACCAGATAAGTTAGCGCAAGTTCACAAGCTTCTCTTTTCGAATAGGCGTCATTGAAACTCCAATTTCCCATCATTTCGAAAAACGTCTGATGATGCACATCTTTTCCAACATCATCCAAATCATTGTGTTTTCCGCCAGCTCGTATACATTTTTGAATATTTGCAATTTTTTCGGTTTTCGACAGCTTATCCGGGCTCAAAATCTTTCCCTTGAATTGATTCATCCCGGCGTTTGTGAATAACAGAGATTTGTCGCTTTCTGGCGGGATAACCGAGGAGGAGGCCACGATTTTATGCTCGTTTTTCGCGAAATAATCCAAAAAACTTTTCCTGAGCTGAAAAAATGGTTTTTATCCGTGCTCCGGGACGGGAACTTACCTCAAGATGTGTGTAGTAGCTTCGAGAAGCTATTCTAACCCGTTGCATGTTGAAAACCTTGAGGAATCCGCGCGGTTTTCCCAAAAAAAAAATGATTTTCGAAAAAATAGAAAATTGTCCGCGAGAACTACACAACCATTTGGTTTTCTAGGCCATCGTCGTCTTCCACATTTTGCCACGGTCTACCAGATGAACCACAGATGTTTTACACATGTTCCATAGCTCAAAATGTTCCTCACATTCTCATTTTCCATTTTGAGACCCTAAACATTGCCAGTCTCTTTCAAAATCACTAAAAATTCCCCGAAAAGCGGCGTTGTCAGTAGAGCGCAATTACCCGCGTGTTTTTTTTTTCGTGAAAATTTATTTTTTTCCCAACTTTTTTTTCGTGACGCAACAACAATAGGAAAAAAAACAAACCCGGTTTGCCTCCTATTCATGCTTGTCGTGACAATGTGTCTGCGTCTCTCACACACACTGTTTCGCACCTGTATCGATTTTTATCGCACATTTTTTGTTGAAAGCGAAAATTTTTTGTCATATATCTCTTTTACAACGCATTTTTATAGGGTTTTTTTCAACATGGCAGCTGAAGTTGTTGGTGAATTTGAAGATCCAGAAGATGGCTACGCTGATGACGATCTATTAACACCAGATGATTTGAATCTAGGAATCACCCCGTCAAGATCATTCCTAGAAACCGCAGACTTCGAGACCGAGTTAGGCGAAGTCGACGTGGAAGTTGAGCGATTCGAGGAGGATATTTATGCGGATATTGCAGCGCATGAAATAGTTCAAGTTATTGCGGATGGAGATCGAGTTGGAAGACCAATTGTTGTTATTTATGCGTATCGATTGCCTTCGAGTAAAGAAATTGATCATGCTAGATTATTAGCATATTTGACAAGGGTTATTGATAAGGTAGGCAGAGAACATTAATCTTTAATGGCCGGAGATTGGGAAAAAACATAAAAAATGGTTCAAATTTCACCTAAACTCCCTAAGGTTCCTAAGGTCCTTAAGGTCTTTAAAAATTCCCTTTAATATCCTTATTTACCTTAAAATTCACTTACTTCACAACAAAATTGAAGTTGAACATAATAAATTTCAGAAAAAAATATGTGGCCGAACTATTCCGGTGGCCGAGAAATGTCGGGAATTCGGCCAACAATGAGAATTTTTGCAACATTAGAGCGAGTTTGTTGCTTTGGCCGAATTCCCGACATTTCTCGGCCACCAAAATAGTTCGGCCACATTTCTGAAATGCATGTTTTTTTTGCCACGTGAATTTAATTTTGGAGAGAAAATTCAAAATTTAGAAATTCGGGCCAAAAATCCACGTGGAATAAAAATTTCCAAAAAAAAAAATTCACTGTTTCAAAATTTTGCATATTTTTCAGTTCGAAATCTGTATTTTCGTTGACAAGTAAAAATTCTCAATAAAGTAAAAAATAAAATTCAATTAATTTTTGGCGCGAAAATTCAGAATTTTGAAAATTCTTTTCTAAATTCGGGCCAAAAATCCACGTGGATTCATTTCCTTCCAAAAAAAAATTCACTGTTTCAAAATTTTCATTTTTTTCGGTTCAAAATCTGAATTTTCATTGACAAATACAGAGAAGTTTTGATAAATAATTCAATCAATTTTTGGCGCGAAAATTCAGAATTTTAAAAATTCTATACTAAATTCGAGCCAAAAATCCACGTGGATTCATTTTTTGAATGAAAAAATTTGAGAAATTTCCAAAAAAAAAATTCACTGTTTCAAAATTTTTATATTTTTTTTTGCAGATCGTTGACCAAGACTACACAATAATCTACTTCCACTACGGACTTCGCTCCCACAACAAACCTCCAGTCCGCTTCCTCTTCCAAGCCTACAAAGCCCTCGATAGGCGCTTCAAAAAGAACCTAAAGGCCCTTTACGTGGTCCATCCAACTCGATTTATCCGGATAATATTTGGGCTTTTCAAGGGCTTCATCTCAAATAAATTCGAAAATAAATTCCATTATGTGATGTGTATCGATGATTTGGAAAGAAGTTTGGAAATCGAAGTGACAAATCGGCTGAATTTGGCGCAGCCGATCAAGGAGCATGATAAGAGTTTTGTTTCGAGTGCTGCTCCTGGCGAGCTGCAAATTTCAAGCAGCGAACCGCTTCCCACTCAGCAATTCGGCGTTTCGCTGGAATTCATTTTATCACATCATAGCGATTCGCGGATTCCGCCGATCGTCGATCAATTGATTGAGTTTTTGGAGAAATATGCGTTGGATATGGAGGGGGTTTTTAGGAAGAGTGCAAATGTTGGGAGTATTAAGAGATTGCAGGAGAGGATTAATAAAGGTGGGTGTTATTCTTTTTGGGTGGGAAACATTTTGAAAATTCAAAAGTTTATTGATTTTTTGCCACGTGGATTTTTTAGCGCGAAAATTTGAAATCTGAAAATTATTTTGAATTGAAAAAATAATCCACGTGGATTTCAGTAATTTTCAAAAAAAAATTAACTTGAAAATCCACAATTTCCGAAAAAATTCACTGTTTCAAAATTTTGATATTTTTCAGCCAAAAAATCCACGTGGATTCGTTTTCTAAAAAATATTCGAAAAATTTCCAAAAAAAAAATTCACTGTTTCAAAGTTTTCATATTTTTCGGTTCAAAATCTGGATTTTCAATGACAATTTCATTATATTTTAATTAACTTTTCACGCAAAAATTCAGAATTTCAAAAAATTAAAATCTAAATTCCCGCCAAAAATCCACGTGGATTAATTTTTTGAATAAAAAATTTCCAAAAAAAAATTCACTGTTTCAAAATTTTCATATTTTTTAGTTCAAAATCTGAATTTTCAATGACATCTTCATTGAATGTTAATTAATTTTTCACGCGAAAATTCAGAATTTCAAAAATTCAAATCTAAATTCCCGCCAAAAATCCACGTGGATTCATTTTTTGAGAAAAAGGTTCGAAAAATTTCCGAAAAAAATTAACAGTTTCAAAATTTTGATATTTTTCAGTTCGAAATCTGGATTTTCGTTGACATGTTGAAATGTTCAATAACGAAAAATCATTAATTCAATTTTCTAAATTTTCGGCCCCAAAAAATCCACGTGGCACCAACAGAAATTCATAGGATTTTCTACAGGTCAAAAATTTTCAAATGAAAAATTCACTGTTTCAAAATTTTTATATTCAAATATATTTTTTTCCAAAAAAAACCCTACAGTACTCTCTCATTTCCAGGCGAGACCATCGACTTCGAAAACGACCCGGAATACCGTGAAAACAACTATATCGCATGTCTCCACGCCTCAGTTTTGCTCAAAACATTTTTCCGATCACTCGGCGAGCCGCTAATAACAAATGCGCTCTATCCGAAATTGGCACAATTGGCGGATGTTCCGAAAAATGAGAAAAGTGCAGCGGTTCGAGATTTTGTCAAATTATTGCCCAAGCCCAATTATTTGCTGCTCAAAACTATTGTGCAATTTTTGACCAAGGTAATGTTTGATTTTTTGTTTCTGGCGTCAGAATTTTGAAATTTTCCCTTGGATTTTTGAAAATGGGGTATCACTTCGAAATTTTCGAAAGAAAAATATGAAAATTTTGAAACAGTGATTTTTTTTTGGAAATTTTTTAATTTTGAAAAAAAAAATTTTTTTCAAATTTTTAACAAATAATGCCACGTGGATTTTGAACCGAAAAATATGAAAGTTTTGAAACAGCAAATTTTTTTGGAAATTTTTTATTCAAAAAATGAATCCACGTGGATTTTTTTTAATTCTGAACTTCAAAATTTTCGAAAAAAAATGCCACGAGGATTTTTTTTTCACTGGATTGTTCAAAAATATTTTCAAAAGAAAAATATGAAAATTTTGAAACAGTGAATTTTTTTTCGGAAATTTTTTATTTAGAAAATGAATCCACGTGGATTTAGCAATTTTTTTCATTTGAAATTCAAAATTTTCGAAAAAAAAATGCCACGTGGATTTTTTAGCGTCAAAAATTTGGAATTTGATATTTTCACTTGAATTTAAACGAATCAAACTATCACGTCGAAATTTTCGAAAAAAAAATGAAAATTTTGAAACAGTGCATTTTTTCGGAAATTTTTTTCCAAAAAATGAATCCACGTGGATTTTCGCAATTTTTCAATTCTGAACTTCAACATTTTCGAAAAAATGCCGCGTGGATTTTTTAGCGTCGAAAATTTGAAGTTCGAAATTTTTACTTGGATTGTTCAAAAATATTTTCAAAAGAAAAATATGAAAATTTTGAAACAGTGCATTTTTTCGGAAATTTTTTTTCCAAAAAATGAATCCACGTGGATTTTCGCAATTTTTCAATTCTGAACTTCAACATTTTCGAAAAAATGCCACGTGGATTTTTTAGCGTCGAAAATTTGAAGTTCGAAATTTTTAATTGGATTGTTCAAAAATATTTTCAAAAGAAAAATATGAAAATTTTGAAACAGTGCATTTTTTCGGAAATTTTTTTTCCAAAAAATGAATCCACGTGGATTTTTGCAATTTTTCAATTCTGAACTTCAAAATTAAAAAAAATGCCACGTGAATTTTCAGCGTTTAAAATTCGAAATTTCAAAATTTCACTTGGATTTTATAAAATGGGATTATCACTTCGAAATTTTCGAAAGAAAAAATATGAAAATTTTGAAACAGTGAATTTTTTTGGAAATTTTTTATTCAGAAAAAGGAATCCACGTGGATTTTTGGGGCGAATTTTCAATTTTCGAATTTTCGCGCCAAAAATTGATTGAATCATTGAAAATCCAGAGTTTGAACCGAAAAATATGAAAATTTTGAAACAGAGCATTTTTTTTCGGAAATTTTCTGACAATCTTGCGCAAGTGCGCTCCGTTGATAATCAAATTATTTTTTTTTTAATTAAAATTAAAATTTTTTTTCTTGATTGTTTTTTTTTGCAGTTTTCCTACTGTAGTCTCATACTTTTGCAGGTCGCCGAACACTCAAAAACCAATCTAATGACAGCCAACAATTTATCAGTGGTATTCGGCCCGAATCTAACATGGCCCACAAATCAACAGGTTCCAATATCGCAACTCAATAATCTCAACAATTTCTGCTATCGATTGATTGTCGATTTTGCTCTGATTTTTGGTGGTCAAAACGGGGATAATTAACTTATTTGCATTTTTTTTGGATAAAATTATGTATATAATACTGTGAGTTGTTTATTTTTGGCTGGGGGATTTTTGAACAAAACTTCAATCAAAAAAAATTCATTTCTAAAAAATTGTTAATCTAATCAAAAAGTAACATATCATTTGATGGAGTTCCTTTCTCTCTAAACTTCTTGACAGCTTCCAAATATCGTTCAATTGTTGAAGGATCAGAAAAATCACTTATTTCTGACATGACGCTATAAGAAAAAGTTGATGTTGCCGTTAAAAAACCAAAAAAGTGATTTACGAACGGTATTTTTATTCATTTTTCACCATTTTCTTAACAAACTGAATAAAGTGAAGCTAAAAACCTTAACTTTTAAAAATTTCGGAGAATTTGATGGCTTTAGAGGCCAAAAACCCACAAAATTTGGTTAGGGGGGTTAACTTTAGGTGCATTTTTGGAGGTAGGGCCCTTAGGCCTTTTGGAGGTAGGGCCCCTCAAGGGTAGTTAATGTATGAACCAGGTAAAACTTATATAGGAAAGAAAATTCGCTCTATCGCACACATAATTTATTTGGGGGTTAACTCAAGGGTCCCCGGATGTATGGTCCAGAAATATCGTCCCAAACTCTTTCAATGATTCTTAATGCGGTGTCCAAAGCAGAAAAAAACAGAAAAAACGTCCAATGCTCGCATTTCCTTCTTCATTTTCATAAAGGCGATGCAAACGGGTCTCGCAACGAACAGAGAAATAGTGTGTGTAAACGAGAGGAATAGACCGTTTGACTTTAAAATGCTTTGGACGTTATTTTTTCGCTTTTTTTCTGCTTTGGACACCGCACAAAGACAAATCAAGCCTTCAAAATCAAATGGTTGATTTTCGAAATTTTTCGAAAATCACCAATTTTACTTTTTTGGGAGATCTCAGGCTTGATTTGTCGTTTAGGCTGATTAGAAGGTCTTGAAATGGGATTTCTGAACACTTGTAGCTTCACTTCATTCAGTGTGTTAAGAAAATTGTGAAAAAATGAATAAAACGTTCGGAAATAATTTTTTTTGGTTTTCTTAACGTTAAAAAACGTTTTTTTTCGAACCTACTTGTTATCAGCTTCTTTCAATGATTTCCGACTCATTTGCTCCATTTGTGAAACACTTCCCAAAACCGTCAACCATGTATCACTCTGGTCGAGTAGCGAAATTGGCGCAGAAGCCACTTGTCTCGATAGAATCTTCTTCGGAAGGTCAGGTTCTGATGTTATTGGTCGACCCAAACCGATTCCTTGTGTTGCATCGGATTCAATCGCCTCAACCATCGCATTTGCAGAGCGGAATCCACCAGTTAAGTAGACGATAGTATTTTTGAAAACCGGTCTAATAGTTTCGGCGAATTCCAAGAAGAACGCTTCTCGTCGTTTAGTGGATTCACGTGTGTGATGAAATGCTAATTTTTCATAAGTTCCACCGGATAATTCGACAAAATCGAAACCTTTTTTCTCGTATTTCCTACAAATTTCTTTTGCGTCTTCAACCGTTAATCCACCAGATTGAAATTCGACGGAATTTGATTTGATTCCAACGATAAAATCTTTTGGAACTTGCGCTCTTATTGCATCATAGATTTCAAGAATAATTCTAATCCGATTTTCCAAGCTTCCACCATAATGATCATTTCGTTTATTAGTTGTTGGCGATGTAAATTGAGATAACAAATATCCATGAGCAGCATGCAATTGAACACCATCAAATCCAGTTTCATACGCAAATTTGGCTGCGTACGCAAATCTATCAATAACTTCACTCTTAATTTGTTGAATTGTCAACGCTCTCGGTTTCCCATATGCTGGAGTTGGTGTATCGGTGACTAATTGAACATCTGATGCTGAGTAGGGGTTTCGCTCAACTGCAATTGGAGTTTGTCTTCCGGCATGTGATAATTGGACGATTGCCAAAGCATCATCTTGTTTCGTTACTTTTGCCCATTTTTTGAACATTTCACGGCGTTTTTCACATTCACCTTCTTTGAAAATTATAGCATTTTTTGCGAATTCGAGGTTTGTCTGGAATTTACATCATATTACAATGACTATACAGGGGGGGGGTTTCTAAGTACGTGAAAAATCAAGTCTGCAATTGTGCGTCAGATATACCTTAAACAATAAATAAATGTTTGGACGTGAACTCCGAGAGAAGTACACACATATAAATTATATGTGCGATAGAGCGAACTTTCTTTCCTATATAGATTTTACCGGGTTCATACATTAACTACCCTTGAGGGGCCCTACCTCCAAAAATGCACCTAAAGTTAACCCCCAAACCAAATTTTGTGGGTTTTTGGCCTCTAAAGCCATCAAATTCTCCGAAATTTTCAAAAGTTAAGGGCCCTACCTCCAAAAATGCACAAAAAAAACCCCTACCCTATCAACAATAACATTTCCAGTCAAAATCATTCCATATTGACCATTTCCCCACTTCTCGTATAAATTTATCAGTTTATCCGACGGAATTCCGTGACTAGTTGGATTCGAAGGTTCGTAGGACGAAAGTCTCTCAGTGAGTGCAGCCTTCAGGAATCGATTCGCGGCGATTTTACCCGAATTGAAGGTGAGACGACTTCCGAGAATATCCAAATTAGCGGGGATGTCGTTGGTGAAACGATTCATGATTGCAATTGAATGAGACTATAATTTTTTGTGTCGTTCTTTTATAACTTGACTTCTACTATATTTCACAGAAAAAAATGATGACAAATGCATTGTTTTAGTCACAATCACTACATATAATGTGTACACACTCTTCTCTCAGAAACGTTCTTTGATCCTGCATTTGTTGTCATCATGTCTCTTATACTGTAAGATATATTGTGTAGTTGATGATTGGAAACTAAAAAATTATCGATTTTTATCCAAAAAAAAGCCAAAAAATGTCACACAAAACAATATTTTATTCATTTCACTGATGTAAAAACGGAATTCTGCAGAACATTAATATTGGAGTTATCCGAACTGACTTTCAACCAAATCCTCCACAAAGTTTTCCGATAAATCGACACAAAACTCAGCATAATAATCGAATCACAAACCGGAAACCATGCCAGCAAACCCGTCGATAACATGCCAATTTTCGGGTTCAAATTGAGATTCAAAATCGCGCCGCCAACGAAAATCAACACTTGCGCTCCACCGCACGAAAAACAGATGATTGTTTGAAGGAGGAGGTAGATGAATAATTGTTTTTGAATTTTTCGCGTTTTTGCGCTGAACGTGGCTTGATTTACACGTGTCAACACGTAGAATGCGCAGAAAATAATCACGAAAATTTCCAAGGAAATCACGAAAAGCGCGGAGGAAAATGTGAGAAGAATTTGGGAGGATAAAGTGGCGCTAAGATGAGCAATCGGGACGAAATCTGTGGAATTTTGAAAAATATCCGATGATTTTTGAGAAGGAAATAGGGATATTATTGGGGGAAGTGTATAGATCATTGGGATGGCGGTGATGGAAATTGCGATGAAGAGGGTTTTCTGGAGGGCGGTGAAGGTGGAGCTGAATGGGCTGAGAACCAAGGCACGAGCCATGAAGAGAATTGTGAGGATTGTTATTGTCTGCAAGATTTTTGAATGGGTTTGGGGGGTTTTTTGCAAATTTTTCGTTTTTTTTCACGAAATTTTGTTGGAATTGAGTGAATTTTCGCAAAATTTTAGGCTGAAAACGGAATTTTTGCTAATCAGATTTCAAAAATCCCAAAAAAATAGCCACGGATACACGTTTTCCAGAAATAATCTCAAATTTAAGATTTATCGTGGCAGGACCCAAGATGTACCTTTAAAATGTCATGCTGTAGCTATTTTCTCGATTTTTTGTGCTTGGTGGTAATTTTGCAGTTCGAACTTCGAAGTTACAGTAACCCTCGGACTGCAAAAATTTTATGAGATTTCTAAACTACAGTACTTCGAACTGCAAAATTAGTTTTTTTTTTGAAACGCTACAGTAATCTTCGGACTGCAAAATGTTCTGAAAAATATTTTTTTTTGGAAAACTGAATAAAATACATCAAAATTTGAGGCTACAGTAATCCGAACTGCAAAAATAGTTTGGAGTTATGGAAAACTCTACAGTAATCCTCAAACTGCAAAATTTTTTGAGCATTTTTTTCGTTGGAAAACTGAATAAAATACCTCTAAATTTGAGGCTACAGTAATCCGAACTGCAAAAATTTCAGAAGTTTTATTTGAAAACGCTACAGTAATCCTCGGACAGCAAAATTTTTTGAGCGTTTTTTTCCAAACTACAGTACTGCAAAAATAGGTACGGTAATTTGGGTCCCGCCACGATTAAGCCCATATTTTAAAGTTCTATTTAAAAATCACATTTTGAACTTTCAAAATTTCCCCTTTACGCTAATTAAAAAGTGCTTTAAAAGTACTGTACTTTAAGGTCAAACTACAGTACTCCTCAAAACCTTACCTGAATAAATGAAAACGCAAAAAACGCCAAAAACAATTTTCCAACAAACTCATATTCCTGAGTCCAATTTCTCAACGAAAAAAACGAATAAACATCATTGATCAAAATGAAAGCGGGTCTCGAAACGATGTGCAAACTAGAGTATAGTATATCACTTGAACAATATAATATGAGCAATGATTTCATCGATTTTTGGATTTCGCGACTTTCGACAGAGAAAACCAGAAAAATACAAAAGGAATTCGAAATGATGCCGAAGAAGCCGAAAATTAGAGAATTTGTTTTGAGAATCTCTTCGATCGTCATTTTTTTCAGCTTTTCTGACTGAAAATGATTTCTGCTTGAGAATTATTTTCAGAAATAAAGGGAAAAGTACACAAAATCTCTTCACGGTCTGTTATTTCTTGGGGAGGGCTTAATTACAGACAACAGACATATTTTCTGAGAAAAAAATTGATTTTGGCTGGCGTGCGAAAAACATTTTTCTTTCGGATAAGGAAGGAATCAGAAAACAAATAATAGAAACTACAGTAGTCGGACTGCAAAAATCAATTCATTTTCTAACTTTTTCCAACAAATTTCCAAATTAAAGCAGCAGCTCCAATCACAGCAACACCACAGAAAATCTTTGAAAATCCAAAATTCTTCTTTGGTGCTGGCGGATCATTTGTGAGAAGCAATTCCAAATCTTCCAACTCCGAATGCAAAAGACGAATCGAAATTGAAAGTGACGAGATATTCTTCCTCAAAACATCCTTATTCCATTTATCGATAAAACCCAAAGCTTCGAGTTCGGCGAAATTCTTGGAATCCAGTGTTTTCGAATATTTCACAATTTCCCGCGACATTGTTTGAATTGAAAAATCGAGATTTGCTAATAAATCATTCAATTGAAGTATACAAATATTTTTCGAATTTTTGTTTTCTTGACAGGATAAGGTTTCGAAAAGAATGTTGGATGTGAGGAATTCGTTGAGATCCTTGTTTTCTTCCTGGAAAATTTTGAAATTTTTTGATTTTTCCGCTTTAAAAATTGAATTTACCTTGTTCTCCTGCGAAAATCCTCCAAAATTCGTCGAATTTTTGAATGATTTCGTGGCATCAAATTCATATTCATATTTATATTTCACAACGTGTGATTTCGAAAAAACTTCTTTCTTCGATTTCTCCGGCATTTTTAGACCCAAATTGTGATCTAGCAGTTCTAATCCTTGATTTTCCGTGTCCGAATCAGTGTCGCTGTACATTTTGCTGGAAAAAACGTTGTGAGAGAGGCAAATAACGCTGAAAACGCTGAAAACGCTGAAAAACAAAAAAATTTCGAAACAAACAATGTTACGGTATTTCTGAAAGGCGCATTGCAAACACACACTGGGTCTCGAAGCGCTGCTGTGCGCCTTTGATGTTTTTTCTTTTAAAATGTTTTATTTTTTATTTTTGTTTCAAAACTTTTTCAATTAATCTAATTAAGTAATTAATAATGCGAATTGGCAAATCCATTCGCACTCCGATACTTATTATGATCTCGAAATCGATTCAACAACAATAAATTCAACACCGATTGATCGAATCGGAAACAATTCGCATTAATGTCATACTTATTTTTTTTATCGAATTTACATTTGATTTTCGCACCCTCCGGACCCATACATTGCTCATCCAACGCACAAAGAATCCACCACTTGACAACTTCCAAAGACTCACGAGTTCTTGCAAAATACATAAAATTCGCGCCGAGTTGCGCACTTTTTTTCAGAAAATAAATCGATGATGGAAAATATTCAAGAAGTTTTGGGTGAAGCACCGCAAAATTACTATGCATTGTAGTAATTGTGAAAACGATATCAGAAGTTAGCCGAACTCCACTAGCTCGCTCCTCATAAATCCGATTTGTCAAATTTCTTTCATCAGAATTCAGTATAATATGAGCATCCATCCACCAAACATTTGAATATTCTTTCAAAACTTCAGCAATTATCAGAGGTTTCCATCGATATTCCATCAAATTTCCAACGTGTTTTGGGAATTTTTCAAATTCAAACTTGCGAATCTCAATATTTTCAAAATCTTTTAATAATTTTTGAGAATTTCGATCGGATATTCCAAGATTGTATAGGATATATTTCTGATTTGGAAATGATTTTCGAATTGATTCGATCTGAAAGTTAGAGTTCATTTCAGAGCTCCATAAAAAATAATTTTTTAGAAAAAAAAACCCACAGATTTCCTGGTAAATTTCAAATGATCATCCGAAGTTGCTGATAAAAATACAATATTTTCCGGCTCCCTGGAGACTTTTGAAGTGTCCTCAAAACCTTCTTGCAACAGGACTCCCAGGTTTTTCAAAGTTGTCAAATATGAGCAATCGAATTTTTTGCCAATAATTGTTGAGGTGTTTTGTTGAAGAAGAGAAGGCGAGTAGCAGAAATTGTGATTTTCACAAAGGCATTTCGAGTTTTGCTCACAATTCGGCTCCAAAAATTTGGATAATAAAATATATATGAAAAATAGCAGTGCAAAACGCCACATAATATGTACAAAACTTTATTTTCGCAAATAAAATAAAATGAATTTTTATCTTTGGTTTTGTATTCGTAATATTTTCTTGTGATAAAAGTGTTTGTTCGGGGGAAAATATAAAATTTATTTGAATTTTTTTTTTGAGAACTTCTGTTGGGAAAACAATTTAAATTTTTTTCCACAAAAAGTACTGTAGAATTAACCTAATAGTACTGTAGAATTAACCTAATACTGAAAGGATTACTGTAGCTCAGAATCATGTACAGTAACCCAAATTTGCTAAATGAATTTTTGGGTTACTGTATCTCTAACCATTTTCTGCTATGAATTTGGCCTAGAGTACTGTAAATACCGTAGTTACAAAATTTTTTTTTTCACAAAAATTTTGATTCAGAAAATTTTTTTTGTAAAAAAATTTTTTAATTTTTTTTCAGAATTTCTGTTTGGGTAGCTGTAGCTCCCTACAGTACTCTTTAAAGTTCAGACAACTTCAAAGGAGCCTGGATTACTGTAGATTTGGACAAAAGTGTTGTGTTACTGTAGTTAGGTACTGTAGCTCGAAATTTCCACAATTTTTGTATTACTTGAAAGCTCTCTACAATAACCAATTCTGGATCATTGTAGAGATATGGGAGTACTGTAGATTGAGAAAATTCTGAAAGGATTACTGTAGCTCAGAATCATGTACAGTAACCCAAATTTTCACAATGAAAATTTGGGTTACTGTAATTTTACTTTTCTGCTCAAAATTTGGGTACTGTAGAGTTTCAAGGTACTGTAGTTCTTATGGGAATCTAGAGATGCCTACAGTATTCCAAAATGAGTTTGAGGGTCAAACAACTACAGTACCCCCGATTACTGTGGTATTGCTCATGTTAAGCTTCAAGGTAATTTGAAAAATCATAGAAAATTTTCAAATTTTGAGCTCAATATTTACCCGAAATAATTTATTTTCAAAAAATTGTCAAAAAATTTTCACATTTCATCATGAATAATATTAAAATTCGCAATTTTCGCCATCGATTTTTCCACTTTTTCCAGCCATCCCGGATTCTTTTTGTTGAAGTGTTGAAGATCGACGAAAACCGATTCGATTTTGATGTGAGCCTGATCGATGGAAGAGTCCTGGAATTTTGAAAAATTGAATTTTCAGCCGATTTTAGGTGGAAAATGGCTGAAAATCCCGCATTTTCGTCAAAAAATGGCTGAAAATGGCTGAAAATCCATGACCAACCTGACTGAATTCCTGAATCAGGGCTAGAAGCATATCATCGCGACTTGCATCAAATTCCTCGCCAGCCATCAAGACATTTCGAAGTTTTTGAATTTGCTCCGAATTTAAATGAAGCGCCAGCACTTTGTTGATTTTTTCAGTCACGAATTTGGTTTTTCTGAAAAAAACAGGTCCCTAGTAATTTTTTGAATGTACTAGGTTAATTATAGTTTAGTCATTATTATCATACCTTTTTTTACGATAATATTGAATGATAATAATCTTTTGTAAATAGGCTGTTTTGAAGGTCCCGCTTTTTAGGGGTCAATTATTATTTTTGTTTTTTGGAAGGGGGATAGGGGGTATTGATTGACTTATGTTAGGCTAAGTCAAATTGCCACGTCATAGCTCAATTTTTTCTGGGCCTCGAAATGAATCAGGCTCGTCTGATTTTTCAAACAAATATATATAGGTTTTTTTGCCACGTCATAACTCGAGCTTAGAAAATTTAAGACCAAGTATTTTATTTTGCTCAAGTTTTTCAAATTTAAGGCCTGATCTAGTTTCAGCCTAAAATTCAGGGCTTAGAATTAGCCTAAATTCTAGACCGGGCGATTCCATGGCTTCGATTAAAGTTAGCCTAACTCGCGTTAAAATTTTCTAATATTTTGGCTCCAGTAGAAAATGGCAGAGCTGAAGTTAGCTTAATTTGTGAAATTTTCAAAAATTGGGAAGCTGAGGGTTTTTTTCAGCTGGAAATGTCTTAAATTTTTGAATTTCAGCTCAAGTTAGCCTAACTTACGATAATACAACTGAAAAGTTCTTTAATTTCCCGAATTTCAGCTGTAAGTTAGCCTAACTTGAGATATTCTAACTTAAAAATTCGTAAATTTTCAACTTTCAGCTCCAGTTTAACTAATTTAGCCTAAGTTGCTATATTCTAACTAAAAATGTGGTTAATTTTCAAATTTCAGCTTAAGTTTCAGCTATAAGTTAGCCTAAGTTGCGATATTTTAAATCTGTAAAGCTGAAATTAGACTTTAAATAGTTCAGCGTTTTTTTCAGCTTAAAATTTCTTGAATTTCCGAAATTGAGCTCTAGTTCCAGCTCAAGTTATCCTAACTTGCAATATTTTCAAATATTAGTAAGCTGAAAGTCTTTTCCGACTGAAAATCTCGTAAATTTTCAAATTTCAGCTCAAGTTAGCCCAACTTGAGATAATCCAACTGAAAATCTCGTAAATGTTCAAAATCACGAAATTTTCAAATATTTTTAGATTCCTGAAAGGCTTAAAATTCCATCTGAAAATTTCAGATTCAGTACACCTTTTTCAGCATCAATTTCAGCTAAAAATCTCTTAAATTCTCAAATTTCCTTTCCATTTCCCCCAAATTTTCCCAAAATTGATCCCCACATTCAAAAAATCAACCCCCCTTCCCACAGCCAATTTTTTTCCCGTTGCACCAACCAACGCCATCATCACCAACACTTCCCAAAACACCATGTCCCTCTCTGTGTCTCTCCATATCCCACACTCTCTCGCCTCACACTCTCGACGAGAGATTGGCGTTGTGCGAAGAGACGCAGATGGTGATGGTCCGATGGAAAGGGGCGTGGCCTGCCGCGTTTTTCGGTATAAAAGGTCGGGGTCAACTCGAAAACAAATATTCTCCATCACTTTCTATTATTACTACATACCTATGTATTTTTATTATTATTCTGGGCCCAATTCGGACCGGGCCATGGTAGATTTTCGGACCACGGTGACCAAAACATTTTTAGTCACCGGGTGAAAATTTACGATGGCCTAGGCTTCGTGGGCCGGCCCGACTCGGCCTTGGTAGATTTTCCAACCGCGGTGACCTAGCAACGCGCCTTTGTCACCGGGTGAAAATTTACAAAGGCCGAGAGTCGGGCCATTTTCTATTGGGGGGCCGAATCGGGCCTTGGTAGATTTTCGGACTGCGGTGACCCACGAATGTGTGTAGTTTGGTGTCACCGGGTGAAAATTTACAAAGGCCCGGGCCATGGTGGATTTTCCTGTCTGCGGTGACCAATGAAATGATGGAGATTTGTCACCGGGAGAAAATTTACGATGGCCTAGGTCTGAATTTTTTAGGCCCCGGCCCGAAACCAGGGGGCCTTGGTAGATTTTCGGACCGCGGTGACCCACGAATGTGTGTAGTTTGGTGTCACCGGGTGAAAATTTACAAAGGCCTGCGGTCAGGCTGGGCCTTGGGCCTTCAGGCCCAAGGCCATTTGACCATAGTGGATTTTCCATCCGCGGTGACCAATGCAATGATGAAAATTAGTCACCGGGAGAAAATTTACGATGGTCTAGGCCTAAAAAGCCCGCGATTTTGGGCCATGATAGATTTTCCATCCGCGGTGACATCGCAAGAAATGATGGTCACCGGGAGAAAATTTACGATGGCCCGGTCTAGCGGGGGGCCTTGAAAAGGGCCCCGCTCAATTTTGCGCCTCGTTTCATTTACCAAACATTTCGCGTAGAGGAGAGAGGAGCGCGTGGCCGAATGGTTAGCGCGCGCGCCTTTGAATCTGCAGGTCATGGGTTCGATCCCGGTTCGGGGCGGAATTTTTTTAAATTTTTTTTCATGGTTTCCAGCTTATTTTTGTCCATTTTTCACGGTTTCCAGCTCATTTCCACCCCAAAACCACTCACATTTCATCATAAAACCGCTCTCCAAAAACCTTCTGCTTCTCCTCACTCAACCCATCCATAAACTCATCCAAAACCCTCTGATAATCCTCTTCATCTCCATTTTTTGCTCCAATCAAATTCTTCGCGAGCTGGAAAAAATCTGAAATTTTCAGGCAAAACAGGGAACCTACAGTATGCAAACTTTGCTCGTCGAATTGTGTGCCTTTAAATTTTTCGACCAACTCCATGGACAATTCAATGTATTTCAAATCGCTCTCATTTTGCGCTGACGAAAAAATCGGTGCAAAAATCGCAAAAATCACTAGAAATTTCATAATTTTCTGTATCAAAATGCACAATTTTCGGACTATTTAAATACTGTGCCACGTGGAATTACAAAATTGCAAATATTTATTCAGTTGTTGTGGCTAAAAATTTGTATGGATTTAGAATACCGTGCGGGTCGAACAAATGTTTCAAATTTTGGCACAATTTTCGTTCGGCTGGTGATTTACCGTAGTTGGAGTACGGTAGTTTGAGGCGACCGATCCCGTGTTCGGCTGATATTGAACCACCGTGTGAAACGACCCATTCATACAGAAATGGGTAGAGACTGCAAATATATGTATCTACAGTAATCTAGGGGGTACTGTAGCTTTATTTTGATACTAGATTCGGCTTGAGCATCCTACAGTAACCCGGGAGTACTGTAGATCAATTTTAGAGCTTCATTTTGACACTAGATTTGGATAGAAAAATCTACAGTAATCTAGGAGTACTGTAGCTTTATTTTGATACTAGATTCGGCTTGAGAATCCTACAGTAATCTTGGAGTACTGTAGTTCATTTTTTAAAGAATTTGAGAAGCTTCATTTTGATACTAGATTTTGTTAGGAGTCCTACAGTAATCCTCGAGTACTGTAGACCATTTCAAGCTATTTGATACTAATTTTTAAATTAAAATTCTACAGTACTACAGAAAAACGGTAGCTACAGTAATCAAAGAGTACTGTAGCTCAATTTGTAAAAGAACTCTCTTGGATTTTTTTTCGGTTTTTTTTACCAGAAACTACAGTAATCCTAGAGTACTGTACCTACAGTAAACCTAGGGAGTAGCTCATTCTGTAGAGAATTCAAAGAGCTTCATTTTAATTCTAGATTTAGTTAGAAATTTCTACAGTACCCCAGGAGTACTGTACCTTGTTTTGTAGATAATTTCAAAAACTCTATACATTTTTTTCGACTCATTTTTTTCCAGAAACTACAGTAACCCGGGAGTACTGTAGCTCATTTTGTAGAGAATTCCAAGAGCTTCATTTTTATACTAAATTTCTCCCAAAAAAAAAACTACAGTACTCCAGGAGTACTGTACCCACAGTAATCCAACTCACTTTTTATACAATTCCTCATCAAATTTCTCGCTAGTAATATTCAAATGACTATTTCCATCACCCAAATGTCCCCACGTCACAATTCGTTTCGTTTTTCCGCCAAATTTTCGGCGTACAACTTCGGTCAACTCATAAAAATGCTCCAGCGGCAGCGAAACGTCGTGTTTGTAAACATAACCATCGCGTGACGTGGCAAGCGGGGCACTTTCGCGAACTTGCCACATTTTTGCGGCATCGGCCGCGGATTCTGCCTGGAAATTTGGGGTGGATTTGAGAATGCGATCGTTTTGAGACCAAATACGGTTAGGGTTACTGTAGATTTGGGATTTTTGGCGGGAAAAACTACAGTAACCCAGGCATATTTGGTCTCAAAAAGATCCCATTTTTTCAGATAAAAAATTTTCGCGCCTAGGGTTACTGTAGAGTTGGAATTTTTGGCGGGAAAATTCGAATTTTCAAAATTTGAATACTGAATTTCAAGCGCGAATTTAAATTTAAAAAAATTTGAAACGTATATTTTCCCGGTCGGAAATTTTTGAAATTCAATTTTTGGCGGGAAAAACTACAGTAACCCAGCCATATTTGGTCTCAAAAAATCGCATTTTCAAACTTCAATTTTTGGCGGGAAAAACTACAGTAACCCAGGCAAATTTGGTCTCAAAAAATCGCATATTCAAATTTCAATTTTTGGCGGGAAAAACTACAGTAACCCAGGCATATTTGGTCTCAAAAAAATCCTCACCAAAATACCATCAGTCACCCAACCATTTTCCATACATTCCTCCAAAAACCGCCCAACTTTCTCCTGATCATGTTCCGAATTCGAACCCGATGTTTCGACGAGAATTGTGAACGGTGTTTCGGTGGGCAACACTCTTTTGAGTTGCAGATTTTCCTCGAGGCATTCAAAGATTTGAGCATCGAGAAATTCGAAACTTGAGAGGATTTCGGAGAGACGAGATTTGGCGAGACGCAGGATTTTTTGACAATCTGTGAAGGTTTGCAGACCTGAAAATTTACATTTTCAGGATTTTCAGCGCAAAATTTTAAGCCTATTAAAGTTTCTATATCAAAATTTTGCGCTGAAAATCATGAAAGCACTTAGAATTTCTGAAAATTAACATTTCCAGGATTTTCAGCCTACTAAAAGTGAGCAATTTTCGAAAACTATAGAAAATTTTAATGAAAATTTTGAAACAGTGAAAAAATAAAGATATCTAGATCAAACTTTTGCGCTGAAAATCATGAAAACACTGAAAATTTCTGAAAATGAACAATTCCACGATTTTCAGCGCGAAATTTGGAGTATAAATTGGAAAGTCAATGATTTTTGAAAACTATATAAACATTTCTTATGAATTTTTTGAAACAGTAAAAAAATGTAAAGTTTCTAGATCAAAATTTTGGGCTGAAAATCATGAAAACACTGAAAATTTCTGAAAATGAATATTTCCAGGATTTTCAGCGCAAAATTTTAAGTATAAATTGGAAAGTTAGTGACTTTTGAAAAATATAAACATTTCTTATGAATTTTTTGAAACAGTGAAAAAATGAAAAGTTTCTAGATCAAAATTTTGAAAAAAAAACCATGAAAGCATTCAGAATTTCTGAAAACGAAATTTCAGATTCCAGGATTTTCAGCATAACATTTTAAATATAAATTGTCCTATTAGAAGTGAGTAATTTTCGAAAACTATAGAAAAAAATTATAAAAATTTTGAAACAGTAAAAAAAATTAAAGTTTCCACATCAAAATTTTGCGCTGAAAATCATGAAAACACTGAGAATTTCTGAAAATGAACATTTCCAGGATTTTCAGCACAAAATTTCACATATGAAAGTCAGCTAATGATTTTTGAAAACTATAGAAATTTTTTATGAAAATTTTGAAACAGTAAAAAAAATTAAAAGTTTCTGAATCAGAATTTTGCGCTGAAAATCATAGCAGCACTCAGGATTTCTGAAAATAAAATTTCCACGATTTTCAGCGCGAAATTTTACATATTAATAGGGGAAGTAACTGGAATATCATTTTCGAAATATATATCCATTTCTTATGAAAATTTTGAAACAGTAAAAAATTAAAGTTTCTAAATCAAAATTTTGTGTTGAAAATCATGAAAACACTCAGAATTTCTGAAAATCAACATTTCCTGGATTTTCAGCGTAAAATTTCAAGTATAAATTCGCCTACTAAAAGTGAGTAATTTTCGAAAACTATAGAAAAAAATTATAAAAATTTTGAAACAGTAAAAAAAATTAAAGTTTCCACATCAAAATTTTGCGCTGAAAATCATGAAAACACTGAGAATTTCTGAAAATGAACATTTCCAGGATTTTCAGCACAAAATTTAGGGTATGTGAATGATTTTCGTGAAATATAAACATTTCTTATAAATTTTTTGAAATAGTGAAAAATTAAAGTTTCTAGATCAAAATTTTGTGCTGAAAATCATGAAAACATTGAGAATTACTAAACATGAACATTTTCAGGATTTTCAGCGCAAAATTTCACATATGAAAGTCAGCTCAAGGTGTTGCAAATTCGGAACTCTGATAAAAAGGACTACTTAGGAATAATGAATTTCGAAATATATAATCATTTCTTATGAAAATTTTGAAACAGTAAAAAATTAAAGTTTCTAAATCAAAATTTTGTGCTGAAAATCATGAAAACACTCAGAATTTCTGAAAACGACATTTCAGATTCCAGGATTTTCAGCGCTGAATTTTACATATAAATAGGCTTACCAAAAAATAGTAATTTTCGAAAATTGTAGAAAAAAATTATAAAATTTTTAAAACAGTAAAAAAATTTAAAGTTTCTAGATCAAAATTTTGTGCTGAAAATCATGAAAGCACTTAGAATTTCTGAAAATGAACATTTCCAGAATTTTCAGCGCAAAATTTCAGATATGAGAGTGCAGAGAAGCTGGCAAATCATTTTCTAAAAATATAAATACTCATTATTATTATTTTTGAAACAGAAAAATAAAAGTTTCTAGATCAAAATTTTGCGCTGAAAATCATGAAAACACTCAGAATTTCTGAAAATGAACATTTCCAGTATTTTTAGCGCAAAATTTCTCATATGTCAAATTCTCAATGATTTTCGAAATATATATCCATTTCTTATAAATTTTTTGAAACAGTAAAAAAAATTAAAGTTTCTAGATCAAAATTTTGTGCTGAAAATCATGAAAACACTCAGAATTTCTGAAAATGAACATTTCCAGTATTTTTAGCGCAAAATTTCTCATATGTCAAATTCTCAATGATTTTCGAAATATATATCCATTTCTTATAAATTTTTTGAAACAGTAAAAAAAATTAAAGTTTCTAGATCAAAATTTTGCGCTGAAAATCATGAAAGCAGTGGGAATTTCTGAAAACGAAATTTCAGATTCCAGGATTTTCAGCGCTGAATTTTACATATAAATAGGCTTACCAAAAAATAGTAATTTTCGAAAATTGTAGAAAAAAATTATAAAAATTTTGAAACAGTGAAAAATAAAAATTTCTAGATCAAAATTTTACGCTGAAAATCATGAAAGCACTTAGAATTTCTGAAAATGAAGATTTTCAGAATTTTCAGCGCGAAACTTTTGGGTATGAGAATGATTTTTGTAAAATATAAACATTCCTTATGAATTTTTTGAAACAGTGAAAAATCAAAATTTCTAGATCAAAATTTCGTGCTGAAAATCATGAAAGCACTTAGAATTTCTGAAAATGAAGATTTTCAGAATTTTCAGCGCGAAACTTTTGGGTATGAGAATGATTTTTGTAAAATATAAACATTCCTTATGAATTTTTTGAAACAGTGAAAAATCAAAATTTCTAGATCAAAATTTCGTGCTGAAAATCATGAAAGCACTTAGAATTTCTGAAAATGAACATTTCCAGGGTTTTCCGCGCAAAATTGCAGATATAAGAGCGTCAAGAAGCTAAAATATCATTTTCGAAAACTATAGAAAATCTTTATAAAAATTTTGAAACAGTAAAAAAAAAAGTTTCTAGATCAAGTTTTTTCGCTGAAAATCATGAAAGCACTTAGAATTTCTGAAAATGAAGATTTTCTTGATTTTCAGCGCAAAATTTCAAAAATGAAAGTGATTTCCAAAAAATAAATATATTTCTTATGAATTTTTTGAAACAGTAAAAAAATTTAAAGTTTCTAGATCAAGATTTTGCGCTGAAAATCATGGAAGCACTCAAAATTTCTGAAAATGAACATTTTCAGGATTTTCAGCGCGAAAATTTTAGTATAAATTGGTCTATTGAAAGCTAATGATTTTCGAAATATATAAACATTCCTTATGCATTTTTTGAAACAGTAAAAAAAATAAATTTTTAAAAAATAAAATTTTGCGCTGAAAATCATGAAAGCAATCAGTATTTCTGAAAATTAATATTTCCAGAATTTTCAGCGCGAAATTTTATATATAAATTGGCTTAATAAAAAGGTGTAATTTTCGGAAACTGTAGAAAAATATTATAAAAATTTTGAAACAGTAAAAAAAATAAAAGTTTCTAAATCAAAATTTTGTCCTGAAAATCATGAAAGCACTTAGAATTTTTGAAAATGAACAATTCCAAGATTTTCAGCGCAAAATTTTACATATAAAAAGCAGAGTTCCGAATTTGCAACACCTTGAAACCGTTTTATACCGACACCTCACACTGTGTCGGTTTCATTAGGGTCTCAGAGAATAAGAACGGAAGACCAGTGGAGAGTTGCCGGAGTTCCGGCGGAGAGAAACCGGAATTCCATTCTACCACCGCTGGAAGTCCGAAAACTCTCCGCCGGAAGTCCGAAAACTCTCCGCCGGAGCTCCGGGAGGCAAAATTTTCAAAATTAAAAAGGAAAATATGAGGTTGATGGGGCTTCTATCTGAAGCTGTTTTTGTCATCTGGAACCTATTTGAAGCATCTGAAACTGATTTATGATAAGTCGGTTTGATTTCGAAGTAGTCTGTTTTGATCTGCCACTAGCGGGGATCGAACCTGGCTATTGAGGGTGGATCAATAGGCAGCCATTCACCCAAATACACCATCCACGCGCGTAGAAACAGCGACGGCGATTGGTGTTTATATAATTAGTATCAGCCGAATTTGTATATGTTCGTACTTTTGACCCATATATTAGCTATTTAAGGATTAAAATTAATTATTTGAAAGCTGTTTCATATGAGATTTATCTAGTTTTCCAAATATTTCTTGAAAAACATAGAGAATAGATGTTTTTAACTCCAGAGAGTCAAAATTAAACATTTTAATCTTAAGTTTTTTGATTTAAAAATGTTCGTAGAAGAGTGCTGAAATTTCAATTTTCGAAACATGTGCTTATAATTTTCACTTGAAAAGTAACGAAAAATTTTCTCAGGCTGATTTAAATTTTCTAATTCATGAATACTTTAAGAAAAGATATGATAAAACTTCCTGAACAGGTATTCAAATGTTTCCTTGAAATTATACCAGACTTTAACTAGAAAAAATTATAATTTTATTGAATTCAGAATCTAATTTTTATCAATAGCTTTGATGTGAGAAATTCAAACAATATTCTATATAGAAATTACAGTACAACTTTTTTTCTATCAGAAACGAGTAAGTTTAGTTCGTAAAATCATAATGAGGCAACTGTTTTCCAGTCTTTGAAGTTGGGAGGAACTTCATTAATTTCACGAACTAAAACTTTTCAAATATTCATTTTTCCGTTCACAATTTCGTCGTCTAATTAAAAAGTTTGTTCCTCAACGTCTAACCGAAAACCTTATAGAAAAAACATGAAAATTGAAGTTTCAACTCAAAAGTCAAAAGTTCACTTCTTCTCTCCGCCGTAGTCTTTCTGGACACAATTGGTAACTCCGGTGGAGAGAATTCTCCGCTGGAATTCCAAAAGAAAGCCGAAAATCATACCGGAACTCCAGCGGACAATGTTCTCCACTGGTTTTCCAAGTTTTGGAGTCCGTTTTTGTCGTTCTGGCAAAAAAACAAATCTGGAAGTCCGCCGGAGAGATCTCTCCGACGGAATTCCGAAATTCGCTATTTCGGGACTCCAGCGGAGGACTTTGTCCACTGGATTTCCGTTCTTATTCTCTGAGCGTGTCGTTAAACGACACCCGAGTGAAACCCATCCTCGTTGAATGACACCCTAATGAAACCCATTGCTGAAATTTCGCATTGAAGTTGAACTTTTTGTAAATCGTCTGAAAATGAGTTTTTGAGTAGGGTGAAGCTTGAATTTCAGCTTCTTCTATCACTTTAAGCTTAAGCTTCAACCCAGAAGCTGTTATCAGTAATTATCAGTGTAATTTCAAAATTATCAGAATGAGCTGGGAGTTGGAGGAAATGATGTTTGGTGATTGCAGATGACATTTTTGATAAGTTTAGAGCTCCAGCTTCATCTCAGAAGCTCTTATCAGTCCTTATCACTAAATTATCAATATGCTCGGATTGAGCTCAAACTTGCAGAAAATGATGTCTGGGGCTAGTAGAGACTATTTTTGATAACTTTATACATCAAGCTTCATCTCAAAAGCTCTTATCACCTGTTCATCACTAAATTATCAATATCATCTGATAAGGCTGAAAATCGGGATTTTTGGGTTTTCGAGTATGGGGAATCGTGTGCTGATAATCATTTTGTCTGAAAACCACTCTTAAAGGACCCCATCACTCAAAAAAAAATTTTTTTGGAAAAATTATGTTTCGGCGTTTTTCGGTACGGGAAGTCGTGTGGAGCTGATCAATCGACTCAAAACTCGTTTTTAAAGGCAGTAAACATGAAACAATTAATTTTTTTTTAAATTTCAAGGTTAGTGGTTTTTCGGTAAGCGGAACATCGTGGTAATACCCATTTGACCTAAAAATGACTTTTAAAGGTACAGTCCGACCAAAAAATATTTTTTATGGAAACTAGGTTTTTTGATATGGTGATCATTGTGCTGACATTGATTCGGTTCGAAAATGGTTTTCAAAGGCATATTTCAGGTTATTACTTTTTTTGAGTTTTTTTTAACATAAAAAACCATTTTCGAACCGAATCAATGTCAGCACAATGATCACCATATCAAAAAACCTAGTTTCCATAAAAAATATTTTTTGGTCGGACTGTACCTTTAAAAGTCATTTTTAGGTCAAATGGGTATTACCACGATGTTCCGCTTACCGAAAAACCACTAATCTTGAAATTTAAAAAAAATTAATTGTTTCATGTTTACTGCCTTTAAAAACGAGTTTTGAGTCGATTGATCAGCTCCACATGACTTCCCGTACCGAAAAACGCCGAAACATAATTTTTCCAAAAAAATTTTTTTGAGTGATGGGGTCCTTTAAGAGTGGTTTTCAGACAAAATGATTATCAGCACACGATTCCCCATACTCGAAAACCCAAAAATCCCGATTTTCAGCCTTATCAGATGATATTGATAATTTAGTGATGAACAGGTGATAAGAGCTTTTGAGATGAAGCTTGATGTATAAAGTTATCAAAAATAGTCTCTACTAGCCCCAGACATCATTTTCTGCAAGTTTGAGCTCAATCCGAGCATATTGATAATTTAGTGATAAGGACTGATAAGAGCTTCTGAGATGAAGCTGGAGCTCTAAACTTATCAAAAATGTCATCTGCAATCACCAAACATCATTTCCTCCAACTCCCAGCTCATTCTGATAATTTTGAAATTTCACTGATAATTACTGATAACAGCTTCTGGGTTGAAGCTTAAGCTTAAAGTGATAGAAGAAGCTGAAATTCAAGCTTCACCCTACTCAAAAACTCATTTTCAGACGATTTACAAAAATTTCAACTTCAATGCGATATTTCAGCAATGGGTTTCATTAGGGTGTCATTCAACGAGGATGGGTTTCACTCGGGTGTCGTTTAACGACACCCTAATGAAACCGACACAGTGTGAGGTGTCGGTATAAAACGGTTTCAAGGTGTTGCAAATTCGGAACTCTGATAAAAAGGACTACTTAGGAATAATGAATTTCGAAATATATAATCATTTCTTATAAATTTTTTGAAACAGTGAAAAAATCAAAGTTTCCAGATCAAATTTTCGCGCTGAAAATCATGAAAACACTCAGAATTTCTGAAAACGACATTTCAGATTCCAGGATTTTCAGCGCTGAATTTTACATATAAATAGGCTTACCAAAAAATAGTAATTTTCGAAAACTGTAGAAAAAAATTATAAAAATTTTGAAACAGTAAAAAAAATAAAAGTTTCTAAATCAAAATTTTGTCCTGAAAATCATGAAAGCACTTAGAATTTTTGAAAATGAACAATTCCAAGATTTTCAGCGCAAAATTTTACATATAAAAAGGACTACTTAGGAATAATGAATTTCGAAATATATAATCATTTCTTATAAATTTTTTGAAACAGTGAAAAAATCAAAGTTTCCAGATCAAATTTTCGCGCTGAAAATCATGAAAGCACTCAGAATTTCTAAAAATGAACATTTCCAGACTTTTCAGCACAAAATTTCAGATATGAGAGCACGAAATAGCTAAACTATCAATTTCGAAAAATATAAACATTTTTTATAATTTTTTTGAAACAGCAAAAAAAATTAAAGTTTCTAGATCAAAATTTTGTGCTGAAAATCATGAAAACACTGAGAATTTGTGAAAATCAACATTTCCAGAATTTTCAGCCCCAAAAATTCCTCACCCAACATAGCACTTTGTACACTCAACGGTTTCGGCACCGCCGTCATTGTCACATTCGTAATCACTCCCAACATTCCTTCGCTTCCCAAAAACAAATGCGGTGTGTGAAATGAGGTGTTGTCTTTTCGAATCGCTGATCCCAATTCCAAAATTGTTCCCTTTTCGTCTGGCAAAACTACAGTAAGACCGAGTAGATGGGCGTGAAGGCTTCCATAGCGAACAAGTCGAAGACCTGGAGGAAATTGAGGATTTTCGAGATTTGTGAGGAAATTTAGAGAGCAGTTTGAATTTTTTGAGAAAAAAATTTGAAAAAATATTTTTTCAGGAAATTTAGAAGACCATATTTGAACTCAAAGTCTTGCCACGTGAATTTCCAGAAAAACTTCGAATTTGAATTTTCCACGTGGATTTTGGGTTAGAAAATCGAACGAGACATTTTGAAAAGAAAAGTTAGAAATTCAAATTTTTGACAAAAAAATTAGGATTTAAATTTTTTGACACGTTGATTTTTCGCGCGAAAACTTCGGATTCAAATTTTTGCCACGTGGAATTCTACCCTATTTAACCCTAACCAAATTCGGTATTAAAAAAACCGGCCCACCTCCAGCACAAGTCGCAATATTCCCGCCAATTCTACACGATCCCTTGGCTCCCAAATCAAAAGGCATCATATATCCAAAAGTGTGCAATTTTTCGTCGAGTTCTTGCAGAATGAAACCAGCGTCGCATTGAAGAATTCCCATTGTTGAGTCGAAGGAAAATTGCTTATTGATGTGGTTGATTGAGAGAATTATCTATAAAATTTTACTGTTTCAAAATTTTCATATAAATAAATGTTTTTTCCCAAATTTTTGATATGGATTCGACAAAAACCCGAAAATCCAGTGAAAAATTTTACTGTTTCAGAAGTTTCATGAATATTTACAGCTTCTATTTTTAAAATTGATTTTAACAAATTTCTAGACAAATTTACCTCATCGTGCACCGGCGTGGATCCACCAACCAATCCAGTATTTCCGGCCTGCGGCACCACTGCCAATTTTTGTTTTGAACAATGCGCCAAAATTGCAGACACTTCTTCGGTTGATTTTGGCGAGAGAACAGCACTTCCGCGGCCTGCAAAGAATAAGAAATGAAATAAAAAAACACGTGAAAAATATTTCACGTTTGAAAATTTTTATTGACTTTTTTTTATTTAAAAAAAATTACTGTTTCAAAATTCTCATAATTTTTCTTTGTAATTTTTGAATTTCCATTTTAGCAGGCAAATTTTGACAATTTTTAATTTTCAAAAAATTCAATTAAAAAATTTACTGTTTCAAAATTTCTATAATTTTTTGGGAATTTTTAAAAATTGATAAATTAACGAAATTGAAAACGAATTGAACAATTTTAAATTCAAAAAATTGTTAAAAAATCAATTTTTTAATCCAAAAAAATGACTGTTTTAAAATTTCTATAATTTTTTTTGGGAATTTTTAAAAATTGATAAATTAACGAAATTGAAAACGAATTGAACGATTTCAAATTCAAAAATGAATTTTTTAATCGAAAAAAATTGACTGTTTCAAAATTTTCATAATTTTTTAGTGATTTTTGAAAATTGATATTCAAACGTTATCTGTCTGAATTTTGAATTCAAAAAATTGTCCAAAAATGAATTTTTCATCCAAAATAATTGACTGTTTCAAAATTTTCATAATTTTTTTGGGAATTTTTAAAAATTGATAAATTAACGGAATATGCCTTTGTAAAATTTTAAATTCGAAAGATTGTTCAAAAATCAATTTTTCAGTCCAAAAAAAATTGACTGTTTCAAAATTTCTATAAAATTTTTTTTGTGATTTTTGAAAATTGATGTAGGAACGTAATTTGTCGTTGGGAATTATAAATTTAAAAAATTACTGTTTCAAAATTTTCATATTTTTTTGGGGGGAATTTTGAAAATTGATTTTCACCCGTTCTGTTGGAATTTCGAATTCAAAAAATTGTTCAAAAATGAATTTTTCAACTTAAAAAAATTTACTGTTTCAAAATTTTCGCAATTTTTTTGGTGATTTTTGAAAAATGCTTCCATTTTAGAAGGTAAATTTTGACAATTTTTGATTAAAAAAAATTTACTGTTTCAAAATTTCTATAAATTTTGTGATGACTTCTGAAAATTGATAATTGAACAATTTTCATTTCAAAAAATTGTTCAAAAATCAAATTTTTATCCAAAAAAAATTGACTGTTTCAAAATTTCTATAATTTTGTCTTTGATTTTTGAAAATTGATATGTTACGAAATTTATGATTGAACAATTTTAAATTTGAAAAAAAAGTTCAAAAATGAATTTTTTAATCCAAAAAAAATTGACTGTTTCAAAGTTTTCATAATTTTTTTTGGGGAATTTTGAAAATTGATTCTCAACTGTTTCTGGAAAAAAATTGTTCGAAAATGAATTTTTCAGTAAAAAAAATTGACTGTTTCAAAATTTTCATAACATTTTTTTGATTTTTCAAAAAATGATAGTATTCTTGACCATACAACGCCTCAAAACTTCAAAAAATCAAAAATTTCTCCGCCAAAAACCTCACCTTTAAACTGTTTCGTCCAATCCTGTGTAAACATCTCAATATCCTCTGTCAAAACCGCATCCTTCCCCAAAATCCCCTCGAAAACCTTCAAATCCTTCTCACAAATTCGGGAAAATCTAGAAATTGTGCACAGCTTTCTTCGGAATATCATTTAGCTAGAAATTTTTAAATGAATGGAAAAAAAACAAGAAAAAAAGGAAAAATGATCACAGTTCATTATGTGTTTTCTTTTCTTTTTTGATGAGAAAAGAGAGAAGAAAAGATAAGAGAATTAGAGAAACATACAAACTTGAAACAACAAAAAGTGATCTTTCTGAACCATTTATTCATAATCCTCCAAAACCCCATCCAAATGCTCATTGTGCACTTTAACATTAAATCGTCGTTTGGCGGCTTTTCTTTTGATTTGCACAGGTCCACGTGTTTTTGGTGTCAAATCTTTCATCGCGTCAAGACCCTTTTTATGCAAATATTCTTCGATTTTCTTCTCATCGATATGATCAACTGATACATTTCTCCACAATTTTTTGAAATCTTCTTCGAGTTCGAATGAGAAATCGGGATCGTTGTAGAAGAAGACACGATCTTTCTTTTTGTTGATTTGGGTTGGAACGATGATTATTTGATCTCCGACTGCCTGCAAAATGAAAAATTGGCGATAGATTTCCCTATGCGGAATCTGGAAATTTTCCATAAAACGTCGATTTTCCGGCGGAAAACCAATTTTTATGGAAAATTTCAGATCCGGCGGGTTTCTAGACTATTATTTTGCTCGAGCGAAGCGAGTGTAAACCGCAAGCTTCCGCGTGAGCGGACCGCCATATGATAGAATGGTCTAAGACGAACAGAATGATATAAATTTTGATGAGTTTACGTTATCCTTAAGTGATTTAACTAGGTTTAGTCGATATTTCGTCGATAAGTCGCTAAATCACTTATGGAAAACGTAAATTCATGAAAATTTATATCATTCTGTTCGTCTTACGACCATTCTATCATATGAATAACATCAAAACCCAATATTTCAACTCATTTGCTTAAAAAACATGAAAATGTCATTTAGTCGATGTCCAACTAAATTCTACACTATTATTTTGCTCGAGTGAAGCGAGTGGAACCTTCCGAGTAAACGTCAAAGATACACACACGTTTTAGATAATCCAAAGAAGTTATGGTAACTTTGCCGCTGCGCGGAAGCTTGCATTATACACAATTTTCCCACCTGCAACAATCCATCACCATCACCCACACATTCCGCCAATTCACTCATCAAAATTCCACCCTTCGCATCCTGATGGTGTTTCTTCGCCACCGCCACCAACGACGATTTTCCCTTGATTTTATAGGGAGGGCGGAAGGCGAACTTGCCCTCGTTATCCATAATTAGCCGCGGGTTATTGGGTAGCGCTTCCCGAAGGAACGCCTCACTTCTCTTGGGGAGGTCGTAGATTTGAAGCTCGTCTAGGATTTCTTGCAGTTTTAGCGGCCATTGTTGTTGGTTAAGGTGACGTTTCTAAAGAAACATTTAGATATTGTTTGATTAGCAACCCCTACCTTCATATAATCCACAATCTTGGCCATTGTCGAAAAATTGGTAGCATTCGAGATTGCTGAGCCGCCATAGTTGTCAAATTCAGGAATCGCATTCAAATTCTGATGATTTCCTCCGGATCCACCCGCTTTTTTCTTCTTTGCCTTCGCAACTTCTGAACTATATGTTGTGTGCGATGAACTTGTGGATGGTTGTGGTCGTTGTTGAACTGAGACTGTGCGAGAGGCGTGCTTTTGAAACGCCGCTTTTTGTCGCAGTAGTTCTGGATCCATCTTTAAGCGGGTTCTTTTCGAAACGCCGAAAAAACGAAAAGAAAAAAATAATCGATGGCCTAGAAAACCAATTTTATTGTTCCTCGTCCCCCAGCCACACACAAAAAAAAACAGAAAATTTTATAAATTTCAACAACAACAAATTGTACAGATTTCTTCTTCAAACAGCAAACTAATGAAATTAAAACAATTATTCCACTTGTTCCTCCAACTCCAAAACATTCAAATGTTGATGTTGTGTGGCGACAGCGTCGCCGAAATCACACAACAATCGCAACATTGTCATTTGACTGTTCAATTCGGTTTGAAGGAAGGATTGAGCGTTGGCTTGGGTTAACTCGGTGACGCGCTCGTTTTGAGCTATCCAGAGGGCGTCGAGGAAATCGGAGTAGTGGGGACCGCCTGGAAAAAATTCAAATATTTTGAATTTTCATCAGAACTTTGTTCATAGATTTAAAATTCATTTTCAGGAACTTTATGAATTTTAAACCAGAGAAATTGACTGAAGAAAAATTTTGCACAGCGTGTAATTTATTACCCGAAAATTTTCCCGCATTTTTTGAGACCTGACACAATCTTAGGGGTGGGACTAGAAACGACGAAATTCAACACAAAAGTGAGAGATTTAGAGAGAAATATTTTTGATCTACCAGAAAATTATTTAGAAAAATTTGATGTCTAGCGGTTTGAGGTAGTGAATTACCCTCTGTGTTTTGGCTTACCAAAAATTGTCGGAAAAATGTTTGGTACGCCAAATGTTTCTTCTGTTCAACCACTTTTATGAAATCTCTCCATATTTTTCGAAAATGAAAAAGTCCAAAAATCTTAAAATTTCGAACGTGACCTCATTTTTTCTTCTTGTCAAAACGCAATTAATTTCAACAACAAATTTATTTCCAACAAATAAAAATAATAAAACAAGAAGAATTTAATAACATCCACATCGAAGTCTGCGGGCGCTGCTTGGAATCGTCGTATAAAATGAGAACTCTGTTCTTCCCTCGAACGCAACACAATCACGATTTGTAGAGATCAATGCGCCAAAAAACGCATCAATCGGTTGGAAGCTGACCTGTGATCGGATAATGGTCGAGTAAAAATCGGTATGTATCGAAACTTTCAGCATCCATGCTGGAGTTCCATTATGATTTTTGCTGAATCCAGAAGTTTTCACTGATGGAAAATTGAAAAGATCACAATATTTGTCCCAAACATCATCTTCGTCTCCTTCTTCTCCTGCTATTGGAAAAAATTGAAGTCCGAAACTCGATTTGAATGCTCCATAAACATTCATAACATCAGCAATTATTTTGGGCAATTTTATGTGATCATAATTACTAATATCAATTTTCGGCACCGGCGCAACATAATTCAATCGAACTTTGAGGCAATACCGAATCATTTTGACGAAATTTTCCAGCGTCAATCGTTCATAATATGAATGCATTGGGCCGTTTTGAAATGATTTATAAACATCGGTGGCCAAATCATCGAGTTCATTGAGAGGAATTGTGATTCGTTTCGAATGTTGCATGAAAATCGGACGGCGGATATTTTGCACAACTCTGCACAGATGAATAATGAAATTTTAAATAGCGAAAAGTGAAGAGTTACCTTTGATAATCCGACAAATCCATGGATTTTGGTTACCTATAAAAATATGATTTTCATTCAAAAACCCCCAAACTTTGCGAAAAAATCGAAAGAATTCGAATTCCTCTCCGAAAAAAAACACAAAACACAATGAAAATGGTGACACATCGCTTCCAATTCCGGTGGCAAAACCACATTTCCCCCAAAATTCATTCATTAAGACAATTATTTCTTTCTATTGAACAAAACATGCCAACAGCCTACGCATCATCAATTCGCCGAAAATCAGCACAGGTGACCGTTTGGCTCGAAATTTCCCGAAAATCTAGAATCTTCCAGGGTCTATCGCTTCGCCGGCCAACTGGGCCGGTTAGTCCAGAAGACTTGGCGAAGGTCTCAAATCCTCCAACGCCAACAACTCCTTTATTTGAAAAACTGGATGAAAAACAAAAGAAAAAGGTGGGTAGAAAAAAACGAAAAGAGCGTATACGGTATTCGCTGCAAGATATCGCATGCTCCTTTAAATTACCTATTCTTCCACCATCAATAACAGACAGATGCTTGAAAATCCGGTGAAGCGGCTCAGAAAGATAGGTTGATGGTGTGCCAGTCCAATGATAGATGTGCTGAAAGCAAGATGAAATTTCTGCCAGCTATAAACTGTCACTTACAGCTCGAACACGGTTTACCATATGAGCAACATCTAGATATTGCTCTTTTAAACCATCAGTTGGCGAATCGCACGAGATAATCAAATAATCGCAGAAAATTCCACTTGTATCAATAGCTAATGCCATAGAAACACTGATCTTCGACCAATCTAAACCATCCACTGAACTCGCATCAACAACTCTCAAAAATAATCGATAAATCTTCCGACTCGTCCACGACATATCTTTTCTTCTTGTCATACTCATAATCCGCAACGCTCTTATTCCATTTAGCAATGCTTTTAGACGACTTTTGATAACATGATAGCTTCGATGTTGTTTTTCACCTTCCATTTCGAAAAAGTAACTCCAATCCAATTTTTCGCCAGTTTGTGTCAAAATCGTTGGGCCGAAAAGAATGTAGTAGAGACGGCCTTGGTATTGTTCGGTGAAGTTTTGGAGCAGAATCGAGAGCCACGAGCCAAATTCGATGATTTCTTCGGGAGGCGAATTATCGATTTCCTGATTGCGATTGAGGAAGAGTTCTTGGAGGCGGGAACGAACCTGGAAACTAGAGTTGGACATCGACTAAAGGTTTTTCCAGCAAATGAGTTGAAATATTGGGTTTTAATGTTATTCATATGATAGAATGGTCTAAGACGAACAGAATGATATAAATTTTGATGACTTTACGTCATCCATAAGTAATTTAGCGACTTTATCGACTAAATATCGACTAAACCTCGCTAAATCGCTTATGGATAACGTAAAGACATCAAAATTTATATCATTCTGTTCGTCTTAGACCATTCTATCATATGAATAACATTAAAACCCAATACTTCAACTCATTTGCTTCAAAAACCTGCTGGAAATTTTAAAAAAATTTTGAAAATAGAAGATTCTTAGATACCTTCAACTCTAATCCAACTAATTTCCCAGCAGGATTTGTCAAAACCTCCACAATATTTTCATGCAAACTCGGATCAATCAATATAGCAGCTTTGACCATAACACGTCTTTCCGAAAATGTCCACATACTGGTAACCCCTTCCAAAATCCGGCCAAATCCGCAGAGTGTACCGCGTGAAACACTGTGCAAGTTACGGCAAATATTGAGGAATACTTGCGCGCGAGTTTCAGTTGATAAAGTGATGGTTATTGATTTCAGCAAGCTTCCGCAATTGTAAAATGGGTCTTTGATGAGAAAATCTTCGTCTTCTTCCACGCGACACGAACTATTCATGAAATTGAGATTGTCTAGTTGGAATCTTCGATAAAATGCGTATTCTAAGACATAGGTTCGAACATGTCGCATTGTTTCGGTTGAAGCCAGCGAGAGAGCTGAAATCGAACGCATATCCAATGAATTGAACAATTGGGTATAGAAAACTTTGGGAAGTTTTTCAAACGGAGTCAATCCTTGAAGCTTCCGCGCATTTCTTCTTCTCTCCTTTAATCCTAACAATTCGGCAAGCTCATCTGATGAATATTCCGAATTTTCATTGGTTTTCCGGATATTTGAACAATCTTCGAGTTGTTGGGAGACATTTTCGCATGATGAATTGGATCGTTGTTTTTTGATAGTTGGAAAGAAATTTGTTATTTTCTCCGAGTTTTGACGTTTTCTAGTCATCGCTCAAAGTGGTGTGCACGTGTGAAAAAAAAACAAAATTTTTTTCAACACCAAAAAAAACAATGTTTCTACAGTAGTAATTTAAAGGCACACAAGATTTGTTGATTTGTGTCTTGCAACAGAGACATGTGTCTTGCAGCGATTACAGTATTTTTCTCATTTTTTCTCAGTTTTCCGCCGGTTTCCAGCTTTTTTCTACTGATAATCAGCCCAAATGCTTCTAGAAGACGTATTTGATGCTTCAGGAATATTTCGAAATTTTGATCGTTTCAAATTTCCAAGTTCCGTTCATTTTGATCCACCCCGCCCTTCTCGATTTTTCAAAAAACAAACACAAAAAAACCCATACACACACTTAAGCGAGGAAGATCGAACATTGCATGCGCTTGGCGAGTAAATAGAACATTCTCGAAAGTTCTCGTTTTCTCTGCGCCCTCCCCTTTTTCCTTGCGTTTTTTTGGCGACCCAATTTTCGCAGTTTTGATCCGAAAATCTTTGCGATTTTTTTCTACTTTTCAATTTATCTGTATCAGAAAAAACAGTTGATTATTTATTTAGAAGCAAATTCCAATAATGGGAAAAGACTACTATAAAATTTTGGGCATCGCAAAAGGTGCCAGCGATGATGAGATCAAGAAAGCCTATCGAAAAATGGCTTTGAAATATCATCCGGATAAGAATAAGGATGCTGGAGCGGAGAATAAGTTCAAGGTGGGTGAATTTGAGATTTTCAAAGTTTTCTGTGCAAAAAGTGGGGTTCTGTGTATCGACTAAATGACATTTTCATATTTTTTAAGCAAGTGAGTTGAAATATTGGGTTCTAATGTTATTCATATGATAGAATGGTCTAAGACGAACAGAATGATATAAATTTTGATGACTTTAGCCGAGTCGATCGACTAAACCTCGCTAAATCACTTATGGATAAGGTAAATTCATCAGAATTTATACCATTCTGTTCGTCTTCGACCATTCTATCATATGAATATCATTAGAACCCAATATTTCAACTCACTTACCTAAAAAACTTGAAAATGTCATTTAGTCGATGTTCAACTATAGTGTAGAAAGAAACCCGCCGGATCTGAAATTTTCCATAAAAATTGGTTTTCCACCGAAAAATCAAGGTTTTATGGAAAATTTCCAGATTCCGCACAGGGAAATCTATCGCCAATTTTTGATTTTTTCAGTTTCCGAGAGACTTACAGCAACATATTTAAAACTTAAATTGTTTTCAGGAAATCGCCGAAGCTTACGATGTTCTTTCGGATTCTTCAAAAAAGACAATCTACGACAAATACGGAGAAGATGGTCTGAAAGAAGGTGGACCAGGTGGTCCAGGCGGAAGTGGACACGGTGCACACTATGAATTCCGCGGTGATCCAATGAACATCTTCTCCTCATTCTTCGGAGGTTCCGATCCTTTCGGCAGCGCTGGAATGTTTGATATGGGTGGCGGCGGTGGTCACAACATGTTCTTCTCACAAATGAATGGCGGTGGTGGCGAGGAGATGTTTGGAATGCACGGCGGCGGAAGACGAGGTGCGAATCGACAAGATCCACCGGTTATGCACGATTTGGCTGTTAGTTTGGAGGATGTTTTGAAGGGTTGCACAAAGAAGATGAAGATTACGAGAAAAGTGATGGCTGATGGAATGCAGAGAATGGAGGATAAGGTTTTGACTGTGACTATTAAACAAGGTTGGAAGAGTGGAACGAAGATTACGTTTCCGAAGGAAGGAGATCAGAATCCGAATCGAACACCGGCTGATATTGTTTTTGTTATCAAGGTGAGCTTGAAGCTAGCGGCATTTTCTGGTTTTTTAAGCAAATGAGTTGAAATATTGGGTTTTAATGTTATTCATATTATAGAATGGTCTAAGACGAACAGAATGATATAAATTTTGATGACTTTACGCTATCCATAAGTGATTTAGCGACGTTTAGTCGATATTTAGTCGATAAGTCGCTAAATCACTTATGGTTAACGTAAAGTCATCAAAATTTATATCATTCTGTTCGTCTTAGACCATTCTATCATATGAATAACATTAGAGCCCAATATTTCAACTCATTTGCTTGAAAAACCTTAAAATGTCATTTAGTCGATTTGATTTCATCTCAAAATTCATATTTTCAGGACAAACCACATCCAAAATTCAAACGTGAAGGATCAGACATCCGCTACGTCGCCCGAATCTCATTAAAACAAGCACTTTGCGGTTTCACATACAATGTGCCAACCTTGGATGGTCCAGATTATCCATTCAAGTGCACTGACGTCATCAAACCACAAACTCATCGAAGATTAACTGGAAAAGGATTGCCGAATCCAAAATCACCAAATGTTCGAGGCGATTTAATAATTGAATTCCAAATCGAGTTTCCAACAAGCCTTACACCAGAAGCTCAACGACAATTGGAAGCGATTTTGCCATAGGATTATTGATTTTTTCTTCTTTTCTTTTTTGGTGTCACGGGTTATAGTCGAATTCAATTTTCATCCCCCTTTATTGATATATATACTCGGTCCCCTCTTTTTTGTTGTTGTCAAATGTCCACATAAATCTATATATATAAAATACGAATTTTCAACAAATTTGTCAAAATTATCGATTTTTTATATTTATTTCTTTGAAATGAGATCGAAAATCGGAAGAAGATAGGGGCCACGTGATAAGATCTTTTTTCTTGATTTTTTGGTCATTTTTAGTTATTTTGATTTGAGAGATGTTGGTTTTGGCGGCGAGAAATGTGGGAGCGAAGAGTTTTGTGAGAGGTGAGATTTTTGGGGAATTTAGGGCTGAAAATATCCTTAAAATCGAAAATTTCGGTTGAAAAATGTTTTTTTTACATTGAAAGATCAATTCACCAAAAGTCGAGAAAAAAATTAGTTTTTCAGTCAAAAATGATGACAAATCAAGATTTTTGAAGCTTCTGAAGTGATTTCTGATGAAAATTGACCTTCAGACGTTTTTGCTGATTTTTTGTAAAATAAAAAATTTCAAATTTTGATGAAAATAAGTTTCGAGAACTCTATTTTATCGATTTTTCGAAATTTTTCATTTTACGAAAAATCAGCAAAAACTTCTGAAGGTCAATTTTCATCAGAAATCACTCCAGAAGCTTCGAAAATCTCGATTCGTCATCATTTTTGGCTGAAAAACTCGAAAAACTAATTTTTCGTGAATTCAATCAGCCCTACTGGTTTTCAACCAAAATTTGAATAAAAAAGTCTCCCGCCAACCAATTTTATCCATAGAGCACTGTTGCTCATTCCAGGTCTCTCCTCCTCGTTCTACCAAGACGCCTTCAATTTATCCGATCAATTGACCGAAGATGAGCGATCGCTCATGTTATCAGCCCGTGAATATTGTCAAAAATCCCTGTTGCCACGTGTCACTGAAGCGTACCGAAGTGAAAAATTCGACGCAACTTTGATCCCGGAAATGGGAAGTATGGGTCTATTGGGAGCGCCGTATCAGGGATTTGGTTGTGCTGGAACATCCAGTGTTGGATATGGATTGATTGCACGGGAAGTTGAGAGAGTTGATTCGGGATATCGGAGTACGATGAGTGTGCAGACGAGTCTTGTTATTGGGCCGATTTATAATTATGGAAGTGAAGAGCAAAAAGAGAGATTTATACCGGGTTTGGCGAGTGGCAAATTGATTGGATGTTTTGGATTGACTGAACCTAATCATGGAAGTAATCCTGGAGGAATGGAGACTAAAGCGAGGTGAGAAATTTATCAATGGGGCGCGTTTGGTAAATTTTAAAAATTTTAAATTTATTGCAAAGTTTTTAATTTATCAACAGAGCGCAGTTGTTCATTTTGGAAAGAATGATGTTTTTTATTTTATCAATGGAGTGCGTTTGCTGAATTTTAAAATTTCGGAAAAATTTGAATTTTTATGTGAATTTTGATAATTATCGCTCTTGTCAAATTACTGAAATTTTGAATTTATTGAACATTTTGATAATTATCAATAGGGTGCAATTGCTAAATTTGAAAAAATAATGTTTTAATTTTTTTTTCCAGTATGGCTTCTTCGTCAAAATTTGAATTTATTACAAAAAAAATTTGAAAATTTATCAATGGAGCGCTCTTGTCAAATTTCTGAAAAAAATTGAATTTATTGCACATTTTGAAATTTATCAATAGGGCGCAGTTGTAATTTATCAATAGGGCGCAATTGGAAAAAAATAGAAAATTTTTAACTTAACTTTATTCCGCGATTTCTTGAAGCCTCAAATTTTATTTTTGAATTTATTGAAAATTTTTAAATTTATCAATAGAGCGCAGTTGTAAAAAAATCATTTTTCTTTGTTTTTCGGTCCAAAAAATTAATTTTCCAGCTACGATGAAACCTCAAAAATGTACAAATTAAACGGCACAAAAACGTGGATTTCAAACAGTCCCGTGGCAGATGTAATGATTGTTTGGGCTCGAAGTGCAAAACACAACAACAAAATCAGAGGATTCATTTTGGAAAAAGGAATGAAAGGCCTAACAACTCCAAAAATCGAGGGAAAATTGTCATTGCGTGCAAGTATAACTGGACAAATTGCAATGGACGATGTTCTGGTGCCAGAAGAGAATTTATTGCCAAATGCGGAAGGATTGGCTGGACCATTTGGATGTTTGAATAATGCGAGACTTGGAATCGCTTGGGGTGCACTTGGAGCAGCTGAGGAGTGCTTTCATTTGGCTAGAAAATATACGCTAGAAAGGTAAGGGAAACATCGATATTTTCGTGCTGAGTTTGTTGAGCATTAATTGAGTATTGTCCAAAGAAAATTATATTTTTCTGATCAAATTTTTTTTTGTTCAAAAATTTGTAAATCTGGAAAGGTCTTCCAGTTTTACAAATCCATCATTATCGAGCCAAATTTCATGATTTTAGGCTTAAAATGATTGAAATTCATTAAGTGAGCATTAATTGAGTATTGTCCAAAGAAAATTATATTTTTCTGATCAAATTTTTTTTTGTTCAAAAATTTGTAAATCTGGAAGGTCTTCCAGTTTTACAAATCCATTATTATCGAGCCAAATTTCATGATTTTAGGCTTAAAATGATTGAAATTCATTTGTTGAGCAATTATTAAGTATTGTCCAAAGAAAATTATATTTTTTTGATCAATTTTTTTTGTTCAAAAATTTGTAAATCTGGAAGCTCTTCCAGTTTTACAAATGTATAATTATCGAGCCAAATTTCAAGATTTTAGGCTTAAAATGATTGAAATTCATTAAGTGAGCATTAATTGAGTATTGTCTAATAAAAATTATATTTTTCTGATCAACTTTTTTTTTTGGTCAAAAATTTGTAAATCTGGAAGCTCTTCCAGTTTTACAAATCCATAATTATCGAACCAAATTTCAAGATTTTAGGCTTAAAATGATTGAAATTCATTTAGTGAGCATTAATTGAGTATTGTCTATAGAAAATTATATTTTTTTGATCAACTTTTTTTTTTGGTCGAAAATTTGTAAATCTGGAAGAGCTTCCAGTTTTACAAATCTACTAGGGGCTGTTAGCCCCCAGGCGTAACAGTCTTCTCATTTATTTCCGTTTCACTTTTTTCTGTGATTATTGTCCACAGAACATTGACTCACAATCAAATTTATAGAAAATTTCAAATTTTTTTATCAAAAAATGATTCGTGGCAAAATCAGGAAGGCTTCCTAATTTTTCTAATGGGACGATGCGCGAAGAAAAAAAACGTCAAAAAACGTGTTTCGAAACATAAAAATACAATGCACGAAATGACGCAAAACGTAGCGAAACTCGAGTTTTTCGACATTGAAATGTCGCGAAACAAGTATTATTTTTCTCAAAATGTGGAAAAAATATAGATTGTTTTTGTAGAAAAAACATATCAGGGGTTGAAAAAGGATATTAATTTACGAAAATTGGCAATAAAAACTTCTGAAAAGGAATCTTCGTCAAATGAAAATATTATATGTGAAATGCATTTGCCACGTCTCATGTTCCCGGAGAAAATAGTGGTGAAAACCGTTATAAACAAGTAAAAACATTGTAAGATCCGATCTCCAGTGTCTGTGGTTTCAGTACGATACAAAAAAACATGCTTGTTTCGCGACATTTCAATTTCGAAAAACTCGAGTTTCGCGACGTTTTGCGACATTTCGTGCATTGTATTTTTATGTTTCAAAACACGTTTTTTGACGTTTTTTTCTTCGCGCATCGTCCCATAAAAAAATTTTTCTTGAAAAAAACTCGGGCCGATTTTTTTTTGAAAAAACTCGGGCCGATTTTATTTTGAAAAAACTCGGGCCGATTTTTCTTGAAAAAACTCGGGCCGATTTTTTTTTGAAAAACTCGGGCCGATTTTTTTTTTACATTTTTGGATTATTCCAAATCTGTAACTTTTTTTTGAAAAATCTCGGGCCGATTTTTTCTTGAAAAAACTCGGGCCGATTTTTTTTTGAAAAAACTCGGGCCGATTTTATTTTGAAAAAACTCGGGCCGATTTTTCTTGAAAAAACTCGGGCCGATTTTTTTTTGAAAAACTCGGGCCGATTTTTTTTACATTTTTGGATTATTCCAAATCTGTAACTTTTTTTGAAAAAACTCGGGCCGATTTTTTTGAAAAAACTCGGGCCGATTTTTTTTTGAAAAACTCGGGCCGATTTTTTTTTTACATTTTTGGATTATTCCAAATCTGTAACTTTTTTTTGAAAAATCTCGGGCCGATTTTTTTTTGAAAAAACTCGGGCCGATTTTTATTTTGAAAAAACTCGGGCCGATTTTTCTTGAAAAAACTCGGGCCGATTTTTTTTTTGAAAAACTCGGGCCGATTTTTTTTTTTACATTTTTGGATTATTCCAAATCTGTAACTTTTTTTGAAAAAACTCGGGCCGATTTTTTTGAAAAAACTCGGGCCGATTTTATTTTGAAAAAACTCGGGCCGATTTTTTCTTGAAAAAACTCGGGCCGATTTTTTGAAAAACTCGGGCCGATTTTTTTTTTGAAAAACTCGGGCCGATTTTTTTTTGAAAAACTCGGGCCGATTTTTTTTTTGAAAAACTCGGGCCGATTTTTTTTTTGAAAAACTCGGGCCGATTTTTTTTTGAAAAACTCGGGCCGATTTTTTTTACATTTTTGGATTATTCCAAATCTGTAACTTTTTTTTTTGAAAAACTCGGGCCGATTTTTTTTTTGAAAAACTCGGGCCGATTTTTTTTTGAAAAACTCGGGCCGATTTTTTTTTTGAAAAACTCGGGCCGATTTTTTTTTTTTGAAAAACTCGGGCCGATTTTTTTTACATTTTTGGATTATTCCAAATCTGTAACTTTTTTTTTTGAAAAACTCGGGCCGATTTTATTTTGAAAAAACTCGGGCCGATTTTATTTTGAAAAAAACTCGGGCCGATTTTTTTTTTGAAAAACTCGGGCCGATTTTTTTTTGAAAAACTCGGGCCGATTTTTTTTACATTTTTGGATTATTCCAAATCTGTAACTTTTTTTTTGAAAAATCTCGGGCCGATTTTTTCTTGAAAAAACTCGGGCCGATTTTTTTTTGAAAAAACTCGGGCCGATTTTATTTTGAAAAAACTCGGGCCGATTTTTCTTGAAAAAACTCGGGCCGATTTTTTTTTTGAAAAACTCGGGCCGATTTTTTTTTACATTTTTGGATTATTCCAAATCTGTAACTTTTTTTGAAAAATCTCGGGCCGATTTTTCTTGAAAAAACTCGGGCCGATTTTTTTTTGAAAAAACTCGGGCCGATTTTATTTTGAAAAAACTCGGGCCGATTTTTTCTTGAAAAAACTCGGGCCGATTTTTTTGAAAAACTCGGGCCGATTTTTTTTTTACATTTTTGGATTATTCCAAATCTGTAACTTTTTTTTGAAAAAACTCGGGCCGATTTTTTTTGAAAAAACTCGGGCCGATTTTTTTTTGAAAAACTCGGGCCGATTTTTTTTTTACATTTTTGGATTATTCCAAATCTGTAACTTTTTTTTTTGAAAAATCTCGGGCCGATTTTTTTTTGAAAAAACTCGGGCCGATTTTATTTTGAAAAAACTCGGGCCGATTTTTCTTGAAAAAACTCGGGCCGATTTTTTTTTTGAAAAACTCGGGCCGATTTTTTTTTTACATTTTTGGATTATTCCAAATCTGTAACTTTTTTTTTTGAAAAAACTCGGGCCGATTTTTTGAAAAAACTCGGGCCGATTTTATTTTGAAAAAACTCGGGCCGATTTTTCTTGAAAAAACTCGGGCCGATTTTTTTTTGAAAAACTCGGGCCGATTTTTTTTTGAAAAACTCGGGCCGATTTTTTTTTGAAAAAACTCGGGCCGATTTTTTTTTTGAAAAACTCGGGCCGATTTTTTTTTTGAAAAACTCGGGCCGATTTTTTTTTTGAAAAACTCGGGCCGATTTTTTTACATTTTTGGATTATTCCAAATCTGTAACTTTTTTTTTTGAAAAACTCGGGCCGATTTTTTTTTTGAAAAACTCGGGCCGATTTTTTTTTGAAAAACTCGGGCCGATTTTTTTTTTTGAAAAACTCGGGCCGATTTTTTTTTTGAAAAACTCGGGCCGATTTTTTTTACATTTTTGGATTATTCCAAATCTGTAACTTTTTTTTTTGAAAAACTCGGGCCGATTTTATTTTGAAAAAACTCGGGCCGATTTTATTTTGAAAAAAACTCGGGCCGATTTTTTTTTTGAAAAACTCGGGCCGATTTTTTTTTTGAAAAACTCGGGCCGATTTTTTTTACATTTTTGGATTATTCCAAATCTGTAACTTTTTTTTGAAAAATCTCGGGCCGATTTTTCTTGAAAAAACTCGGGCCGATTTTTTTTTACATTTTTGGATTATTCCAAATCTGTAACTTTTTTTTTTGAAAAAACTCGGGCCGATTTTTTTTACATTTTTGGATTATTCCAAATCTGTAACTTTTTTTTGAAAAATCTCGGGCCGATTTTTTTTTGAAAAAACTCGGGCCGATTTTTTGAAAAAACTCGGGCCGATTTTATTTTGAAAAAACTCGGGCCGATTTTATTTTGAAAAACTCGGGCCGATTTTTTTTTTTGAAAAACTCGGGCCGATTTTTTTTTTGAAAAACTCGGGCCGATTTTTTTGAAAAACTCGGGCCGATTTTTTTTTTTGAAAAACTCGGGCCGATTTTTTTTTTTTTGAAAAACTCGGGCCGATTTTTTTTACATTTTTGGATTATTCCAAATCTGTATATTTTTTTTGAAAAACTCGGGCCGATTTTATTTTGAAAAAAACTCGGGCCGATTTTTTTTTTGAAAAACTCGGGCCGATTTTTTTTTTGAAAAACTCGGGCCGATTTTTTTTTTGAAAAACTCGGGCCGATTTTTTTTACATTTTTGGATTATTCCAAATCTGTAACTTTTTTTTTTGAAAAAACTCGGGCCGATTTTATTTTGAAAAAAACTCGGGCCGATTTTTTTTTTTTGAAAAACTCGGGCCGATTTTTTTTACATTTTTGGATTATTCCAAATCTGTAACTTTTTTTTTTGAAAAAACTCGGGCCGATTTTATTTTGAAAAAAACTCGGGCCGATTTTTTTTTTGAAAAACTCGGGCCGATTTTTTTTTTGAAAAACTCGGGCCGATTTTTTTTTTGAAAAACTCGGGCCGATTTTTTTTACATTTTTGGATTATTCCAAATCTGTAACTTTTTTTTTTGAAAAAACTCGGGCCGATTTTATTTTGAAAAAACTCGGGCCGATTTTATTTTGAAAAAAACTCGGGCCGATTTTTTTTTTTGAAAAACTCGGGCCGATTTTTTTGAAAAACTCGGGCCGATTTTTTTTTGAAAAACTCGGGCCGATTTTTTTTTGAAAAACTCGGGCCGATTTTTTTTTTTTGAAAAACTCGGGCCGATTTTTTTTTTGAAAAACTCGGGCCGATTTTTTTTTGAAAAACTCGGGCCGATTTTTTTTACATTTTTGGATTATTCCAAATCTGTAACTTTTTTTTGAAAAACTCGGGCCGATTTTTTTTTTGAAAAACTCGGGCCGATTTTTTTTTTGAAAAACTCGGGCCGATTTTTTTTTACATTTTTGGATTATTCCAAATCTGTAACTTTTTTTTTGAAAAATCTCGGGCCGATTTTTCTTGAAAAAACTCGGGCCGATTTTTTTTTACATTTTTGGATTATTCCAAATCTGTAACTTTTTTTTGAAAAAACTCGGGTCGATTTTTTTTTTACATTTTTGGATTATTCCAAATCTGTAACTTTTTTTTTGAAAAATCTCGGGCCGATTTTTTTTTGAAAAAACTCGGGCCGATTTTTTTTGAAAAAACTCGGGCCGATTTTTCTTGAAAAAACTCGGGCCGATTTTTTTTTACATTTTTGGATTATTCCAAATCTGTAACTTTTTTTTGAAAAATCTCGGGCCGATTTTTTTTTGAAAAAACTCGGGCCGATTTTTTTTGAAAAATCTCGGGCCGATTTTTTTTTACATTTTTGGATTATTCCAAATCTGTAACTTTTTTTGAAAAAACTCGGGCCGATTTTTTTTGAAAAAACTCGGGCCGATTTTTTTTTACATTTTTGGATTATTCCAAATCTGTAACTTTTTTTTGAAAAAACTCGGGCCGATTTTTTTTACATTTTTGGATTATTCCAAATCTGTAACTTTTTTTGAAAAATCTCGGGCCGATTTTTTTTTGAAAAAACTCGGGCCGATTTTTTTGAAAAAACTCGGGCCGATTTTATTTTGAAAAAACTCGGGCCGATTTTATTTTGAAAAACTCGGGCCGATTTTTTTTTTGAAAAACTCGGGCCGATTTTTTTGAAAAACTCGGGCCGATTTTTTTTTGAAAAACTCGGGCCGATTTTTTTTTTTGAAAAACTCGGGCCGATTTTTTTTTTTGAAAAACTCGGGCCGATTTTTTTTACATTTTTGGATTATTCCAAATCTGTAACTTTTTTTTTTGAAAAACTCGGGCCGATTTTATTTTGAAAAAACTCGGGCCGATTTTATTTTGAAAAAAACTCGGGCCGATTTTTTTTTTGAAAAACTCGGGCCGATTTTTTTTTTGAAAAACTCGGGCCGATTTTTTTTTTTTGAAAAACTCGGGCCGATTTTTTTACATTTTTGGATTATTCCAAATCTGTAACTTTTTTTTTTGAAAAAACTCGGGCCGATTTTTTTTTGAAAAACTCGGGCCGATTTTTTTTTGAAAAACTCGGGCCGATTTTTTTTTTTGAAAAACTCGGGCCGATTTTTTTTTTGAAAAACTCGGGCCGATTTTTTTTACATTTTTGGATTATTCCAAATCTGTAATTTTTTTTTTTTGAAAAACTCGGGCAGATTTTTTTTTTGAAAAACTCGGGCCGATTTTTTTTTTGAAAAACTCGGGCCGATTTTTTTTTGAAAAACTCGGGCCGATTTTTTTTACATTTTTGGATTATTCCAAATCTGTAACTTTTTTTTGAAAAACTCGGGCCGATTTTTTTTTTGAAAAACTCGGGCCGATTTTTTTTTGAAAAACTCGGGCCGATTTTTTTTTTTTTTGAAAAACTCGGGCCGATTTTTTTTTTGAAAAACTCGGGCCGATTTTTTTTACATTTTTGGATTATTCCAAATCTGTAACTTTTTTTTTTGAAAAACTCGGGCCGATTTTTTTTTCGAAAAACTCGGGCCGATTTTTTTTTTGAAAAACTCGGGCCGATTTTTTTTACATTTTTGGATTATTCCAAATCTGTAACTTTTTTTTTTGAAAAACTCGGGCCGATTTTTTTTTTGAAAAACTCGGGCCGATTTTTTTTACATTTTTGGATTATTCCAAATCTGTAACTTTTTTTTTTGAAAAACTCGGGCCGATTTTTTTTTTTTGAAAAACTCGGGCCGATTTTTTTTTTAACATTTTTGGATTATTCCAAATCTGTAACTTTTTTTTTTGAAAAAACTCGGGCCGATTTTTTTTTTGAAAAACTCGGGCCGATTTTTTTACATTTTTGGATTATTCCAAATCTGTAACTTTTTTTTTTTGAAAAACTCGGGCCGATTTTTTTTTTTGAAAAACTCGGGCCGATTTTTTTTTGAAAAACTCGGGCCGATTTTTTTTTTTTGAAAAACTCGGGCCGATTTTTTTTTTTTGAAAAACTCGGGCCGATTTTTTTTACATTTTTGGATTATTCCAAATCTGTAACTTTTTTTTGAAAAACTCGGGCCGATTTTATTTTGAAAAAACTCGGGCCGATTTTATTTTGAAAAAAACTCGGGCCGATTTTTTTTTGAAAAACTCGGGCCGATTTTTTTTTTGAAAAACTCGGGCCGATTTTTTTACATTTTTGGATTATTCCAAATCTGTAACTTTTTTTTTTGAAAAAACTCGGGCCGATTTTTTTTTTGAAAAACTCGGGCCGATTTTTTTTTTGAAAAACTCGGGCCGATTTTTTTTTTGAAAAACTCGGGCCGATTTTTTTTTTTTGAAAAACTCGGGCCGATTTTTTTTTTTGAAAAACTCGGGCCGATTTTTTTGAAAAACTCGGGCCGATTTTTTTTTTGAAAAACTCGGGCCGATTTTTTTTTTGAAAAACTCGGGCCGATTTTTTTTTTGAAAAACTCGGGCCGATTTTTTTTTACATTTTTGGATTATTCCAAATCTGTAACTTTTTTTTTTGAAAAAACTCGGGCCGATTTTTTTTTTGAAAAACTCGGGCCGATTTTTTTTTTGAAAAACTCGGGCCGATTTTTTTTTTGAAAAACTCGGGCCGATTTTTTTTTTGAAAAACTCGGGCCGATTTTTTTTTGAAAAACTCGGGCCGATTTTTTTTTTGAAAAACTCGGGCCGATTTTTTTTTTGAAAAACTCGGGCCGATTTTTTTTTTGAAAAACTCGGGCCGATTTTTTTTTTGAAAACTCGGGCCGATTTTTTTTTTGAAAAACTCGGGCCGATTTTTTTTTTTTGAAAAACTCGGGCCGATTTTTTTTTTGAAAACTCGGGCCGATTTTTTTTTTGAAAAACTCGGGCCGATTTTTTTTTTGAAAAACTCGGGCCGATTTTTTTTTTTGAAAAACTCGGGCCGATTTTTTTTTTGAAAAACTCGGGCCGATTTTTTTTACATTTTTGGATTATTCCAAATCTGTAACTTTTTTTTTTGAAAAAACTCGGGCCGATTTTTTTTTTTTTGAAAAACTCGGGCCGATTTTTTTTTTGAAAAACTCGGGCCGATTTTTTTTTTGAAAAACTCGGGCCGATTTTTTTTTTGAAAAACTCGGGCCGATTTTTTTTTTGAAAAACTCGGGCCGATTTTTTTTTTTGAAAAACTCGGGCCGATTTTTTTTACATTTTTGGATTATTCCAAATCTGTAACTTTTTTTTTTGAAAAAACTCGGGCCGATTTTTTTTTTGAAAAACTCGGGCCGATTTTTTTTGAAAAACTCGGGCCGATTTTTTTTTTGAAAAACTCGGGCCGATTTTTTTGAAAAACTCGGGCCGATTTTTTTTTTGAAAAACTCGGGCCGATTTTTTTTTTGAAAAACTCGGGCCGATTTTTTTTTTGAAAAACTCGGGCCGATTTTTTTACATTTTTGGATTATTCCAAATCTGTAACTTTTTTTTTTGAAAAAACTCGGGCCGATTTTTTTTTTGAAAAACTCGGGCCGATTTTTTTGAAAAACTCGGGCCGATTTTTTTTTTGAAAAACTCGGGCCGATTTTTTTTTTTGAAAAACTCGGGCCGATTTTTTTTTTGAAAAACTCGGGCCGATTTTTTTTTTGAAAAACTCGGGCCGATTTTTTTTTTGAAAAACTCGGGCCGATTTTTTTTTTGAAAAACTCGGGCCGATTTTTTTTTTGAAAAACTCGGGCCGATTTTTTTTTTGAAAAACTCGGGCCGATTTTTTTTTTTGAAAAACTCGGGCCGATTTTTTTTTTGAAAAACTCGGGCCGATTTTTTTTTTGAAAAACTCGGGCCGATTTTTTTTTTGAAAAACTCGGGCCGATTTTTTTTTGAAAAACTCGGGCCGATTTTTTTTTTGAAAAACTCGGGCCGATTTTTTTTACATTTTTGGATTATTCCAAATCTGTAACTTTTTTTTTTGAAAAAACTCGGGCCGATTTTTTTTTTTTGAAAAACTCGGGCCGATTTTTTTTTGAAAAACTCGGGCCGATTTTTTTTTTGAAAAACTCGGGCCGATTTTTTTTTTGAAAAACTCGGGCCGATTTTTTTTTTGAAAAACTCGGGCCGATTTTTTTTTTTTGAAAAACTCGGGCCGATTTTTTTTACATTTTTGGATTATTCCAAATCTGTAACTTTTTTTGAAAAAACTCGGGCCGATTTTTTTTTTTGAAAAACTCGGGCCGATTTTTTTTTGAAAAACTCGGGCCGATTTTTTTTTTGAAAAACTCGGGCCGATTTTTTGAAAAACTCGGGCCGATTTTTTTTTTGAAAAACTCGGGCCGATTTTTTTATTTGAAAAACTCGGGCCGATTTTTTTTTTGAAAAACTCGGGCCGATTTTTTTTTTGAAAAACTCGGGCCGATTTTTTTTACATTTTTGGATTATTCCAAATCTGTAACTTTTTTTTTTGAAAAAACTCGGGCCGATTTTTTTTTTGAAAAACTCGGGCCGATTTTTTTTTGAAAAACTCGGGCCGATTTTTTTTTTGAAAAACTCGGGCCGATTTTTTTATTTGAAAAACTCGGGCCGATTTTTTTAGAAAAACTCGGGCCGATTTTTTTTTTGAAAAACTCGGGCCGATTTTTTTTTGAAAAACTCGGGCCGATTTTTTTTTTAAAAACTCGGGCCGATTTTTTTATTTGAAAAACTCGGGCCGATTTTTTTTTTGAAAAACTCGGGCCGATTTTTTTTACATTTTTGGATTATTCCAAATCTGTAACTTTTTTTTGAAAAAACTCGGGCCGATTTTTTTTTTGAAAAACTCGGGCCGATTTTTTTTTGAAAAACTCGGGCCGATTTTTTTTTTGAAAAACTCGGGCCGATTTTTTTATTTGAAAAACTCGGGCCGATTTTTTTTTTAGAAAAAACTCGGGCCGATTTTTTTTTTGAAAAACTCGGGCCGTTTTTTTTTTTGAAAAACTCGGGCCGATTTTTTTTTTGAAAAACTCGGGCCGATTTTTTTTTACATTTTTGGATTATTCCAAATCTGTAACTTTTTTTTTTGAAAAAACTCGGGCCGATTTTTTTTACATTTTTGGATTATTCCAAATCTGTAACTTTTTTTGAAAAAACTCGGGCCGATTTTTTTTTTTTGAAAAACTCGGGCCGATTTTTTTTTTGAAAAGCTCGGGCCGATTTTTTTACATTTTTGGATTATTCCAAATCTGTAACTTTTTTTAAAAAAATCTCGGGCTGATTTTTTTTTTGAAAAACTCGGGCCGATTTTTTTTACATTTTTGGATTATTCCAAATCTGTAACTTTTTTTTGAAAAAACTCGGGCCGATTTTTCTTGAAAAAACTCGGGCCGATTTTTTTTTTGAAAAACTCGGGCCGATTTTTTTTACATTTTTGGATTATTCCAAATCTGTAACTTTTTTTTAAAAAAATCTCGGGCCGATTTTTTTTTTTTTTGAAAAACTCGGGCCGATTTTTTTTTACATTTTTGGATTATTCCAAATCTGTAACTTTTTTTTGAAAAAACTCGGGCCGATTTTTTTTTTTGAAAAACTCGGGCCGATTTTTTTTTTACATTTTTGGATTATTCCAAATCTGTAACTTTTTTTTTTGAAAAAACTCGGGCCGATTTTTTTTTTTTTGAAAAACTCGGGCCGATTTTTCTTGAAAAAACTCGGGCCGATTTTTTTTTTGAAAAACTCGGGCCGATTTTTTTTTTTGAAAAGCTCGCGCCGATTTTTTTACATTTTTGGATTATTCCAAATCTGTAACTTTTTTTTAAAAAAATCTCGGGCTGATTTTTTTTTTTGAAAAACTCGGGCCGATTTTTTTTACATTTTTGGATTATTCCAAATCTGTAACTTTTTTTTTTGAAAAAACTCGGGCCGATTTTTTTTTTTTTTTGAAAAACTCGGGCCGATTTTTCTTGAAAAACTCGGGCCGATTTTTTTTTTTGAAAAACTCGGGCCGATTTTTTTTTGAAAAGCTCGCGCCGATTTTTTTACATTTTTGGATTATTCCAAATCTGTAACTTTTTTTTAAAAAAATCTCGGGCTGATTTTTTTTTTTGAAAAACTCGGGCCGATTTTTTTTACATTTTTGGATTATTCCAAATCTGTAACTTTTTTTTTGAAAAAACTCGGGCCGATTTTTCTTGAAAAAACTCGGGCCGATTTTTTTTTTGAAAAACTCGGGCCGATTTTTTTTACATTTTTGGATTATTCCAAATCTGTAACTTTTTTTTTTAAAAATCTCGGGCCGATTTTTTTTTTTTTTTGAAAAACTCGGGCCGATTTTTTTTACATTTTTGGATTATTCCAAATCTGTAACTTTTTTTTTTGAAAAAACTCGGGCCGATTTTTTTTTTTTGAAAAACTCGGGCCGATTTTTTTTTTACATTTTTGGATCTATAATTATCGAGCCAAATTTCAAGATTTTAGGCTTAACTCGATTGTTATTCATTTAGTGAGCATTTATTGAGTATTGTCTAATGAAAATTATATTTTTTTGATCAACTTTTTTTTTGGTCGAAAATTTGTAAATCTGGAAGAGCTTCCAGTTTTACAAATCCATGATTATCGAGCCAAATTTCAAGATTTTAGGCTTAAAATGATTGAAATTCATTTGTTGAGCTATTATTTTTAGGAATTTGATACGAATTTTCATTCAGGAAATCTTTATAAAATGAATATTTTATAAATGATTTTTATTCTAATTAATTTTGAAACAGTCGATTTTTTTTGATTTTTGAATTTATTTTTTGATTGTATGAGGTAACGTATCAGTTCAGAAAAGCCATATAAAATGTATCAAATAATGTTTTTTATTATTTTTTTCGACTTGAATCACCCCATAAACGAAAAACTACGACACTTCACGTTTACAGAAATCAATTCGGCCGCCCGTTGGCACAAAATCAATTGATGCAATTGAAAATGGCTGATATGTTGACTGAAATTTCATTGGGACTTCAAGGTTGTTTGAGAGTCAGCAGGTTGAAAGTGAGTGCAAAAAATTCACTGTTTCAAAAATCGCACTTCTCAAAATGTTTTTCTTTTGAGATTGTAGCCTTGCGCACTTTCAGAAACTATACAAATGTTTCTGAAAGACGCTGGGCTACCCAAAAAGAAGGAAAAAAATGTTTAAAAATGTTTTTTAACATTGAAAGATCAAATGAGACGGACTAGATTTTAAAAAAAAACCACCAATTTTCAAGTTTTTTCCAAGAAAAAAATAATTTCTCCGAATCCGCGATAATTTTATGTGATGATTCAATTCGAAAAACAAATAAAAACATTTTTTTTTTTGACAAAAAATTTCTATTCAAAAAATTTTTTTTATTATTTTTTTTCGACTTTTTTTCGATCTCCCCATAAAATTTTCGAGGATTTGGAGAAATTATTTCTCAAAAATTTTCTTGAAAATATTTTTTCTACAATTTTTAAATGTTTTGAAAACGAACTCGAAACTTGGTTTTTTTTCAAAATCTACTGAAAATTCTGAATTTTTAGCTGAAAATTGGGTATTTTTGGGTTGAATATGAAATTTTCAAATTTATTTTCTGAATTTTAGTCTTATGATCCACGAAAAGTCAAAAAATGTCGAAAAAACGGTAAAAATCAGTTTTTCGAGTTTTTCAGCCAAAAATGATGACAAATCTAGATTTTCGAAGCTTCTGGAGTAATTTCTGATGAAAATTGACCTTCAGAAGTTTTTGCTGATTTTTCGTAAAATAAAAATTTCAAATTTTGAAAATATTTATAAAATGAGGTGAAATAGGGTTCTCGAAGCTTATTCTACCTCATTTTATTAATTTTTTCGAAATTTTTTATTTTACTCAAAATCAGCAAAAACTTCTGAAGGTCAATTTTCCTCAGAAATCACTGCAGAAGCTTCAAAAATCTCGATTTGTCATCATTTTTGGCTGAAAAACTTGAAAAACTAATTTTGACCTACTTTTGACATTTCGTGAATTGATCTTTCGATATTAAAAAAAAATTTTAAAATTGTTTTTTTCGCTCGTAAATCAGCCCCAAAACCCTTCCAGGACGAGGGCAAAGTCGAAGCCGAGCAAATCTCGATTGTCAAACGAAATTCGTGCGGAAAATCGTTGGAAATCGCGCGAAAAGCTCGTGATATGCTTGGCGGCAATGGAATTGTGGATGAATATCATATCATGAGACATATGATCAATTTGGAAACTGTCAACACTTATGAAGGAACTCACGATGTGCATGCGTTGATTTTGGGACGAGCTATTACAGGGTTGAATGGGTTTTTCTAATTTATTGTGAGTTTTTTCTAGAAATCCCCGAGAAAATGTGATATTTTATTGTTTTGAATGAAATTTTTAGCAAATCAATAACAATTTATTAACAAAAAATATACATAAATGTTCATATTTACAAATATTCCTCCACCCATTGCTCATATTTCACCATAAGTTTCATAAAAGAATCCTCCTCCTCTTCCTCAAAATCTCCCTCCAATTTCCCCCGAATTCGCTCAACTTTTCCCCGAAGAGTATCCATTTTTTCCGAGAAATCTGAACTTTTGAAAACTTGATTTCTAGCTCGGAAAATTTCAACGTTGTTGGGGAATTTTTGAAGGAGCTTATTGAGATTCGAAAATATTTCTTCGTGTGGAATTCGCAAAATCCTTTCGTAATTCCGTAATTTTTTATGGTTTCGAGAGATTCTAGCCATTTTTTTGATTCCAGTTTCAAACCAGGCTTCTAATTTTTGGATTTTTAAAATGTTTGGTTGGGAAGTGGAAGTGGAAGTTGCAGCCAGGGAATTTTGAATTTCAATTTTTGAATTTTTCTCCATTCTCAACTCATCTTCCAGGGTTTTATTCGATGTTTCAGCCAGAATTAGTTGATTTTCAGCTTTTTCCAATTGAATTTCCAGGATTTTCTTAGAATTTTCAGCCAAAACTAGTCGATTTTCCATCACAATCTTCTCATTTTCAGCTTTTTCCAGATTTTTCTTCAATTTTTCAGCCAAAATTAGTTGATTTTCCATCGCAATCTTCTCCTTTTTCGCTGCTTCCAATTGAAATTCCAGATTTTTCTGGAATTTTTCAGTCGAAACTAATCGATTTTCCATCGCAATCTTCTCCTTTTTCGATGTTTCTAATTGATTTTCCAAATTTTTCATGGATTTTTCAGCTGAAACTAGTTGATTTTCAATCGCAATCTTCTCCTTTTTCGATGTTTCTAATTTATTTTCCAGGGTTTTCTTCGATTTTTCAGCCAAAATCCTCTCATTTTCAGCCTTTTCCAACTGGTTTTCCAGATTTTTCTTCGAATTTTCTGCCGAAATCAAATCATTCTCCTTCTTCTCTAATTTCCTCTCAACCTCGATTTTCGAATTTTTCGCTGATTTCAACTCTTTTTCCAAATTTTTCATGTCATTTTCCTTTTTCCGATTCTCTTCCCGAAGTTCTCGAATTTCATCTTGAAGTCTGCAAAACCAGTGGTTTTACATTGTTTTTTATTCTCAAAACAAAAAAAAACTCACAATTTTTTCTCATCCTCCTTGCTCATCCTCAACTCTTTCAATTGTCCTTGAATCGCCTCTAAAATACTTCGCAATTTCGAATTTTCTTGCCTCGATTTCTCCGAAATCCTCTCCATTTCCTCCATCTCCATCAATCGAATCGCTTCCGAATCTCCAATATATTTTTCTCTTTTCGAAAACATCAAATCTCCCCCCTCATATTCTTCAAATTCATATAAATGCTCCAAAGTTGTGATGAATTTTTTGAGTTTTTCCGAATCTTGGAAAATTATATTCTTCAGGTAGATCCATTGAGTTTCATCGAAATTTTTGCGGAAATTCGGGGTTTCTAGTAATTGTTCGAATTTTGAAATTGGATTGATTTCGGCAATTTTGAAGTATGCAAGGGTGAAGCTGAAAAAATAGTTTTTGGCGGGAACTTTTGAAAATGTTCAAATATTGATGAATGAAACTCAAAATTCACTTACTTACGTCACAAAAAATTAAAGTTGAACATAAATTTCAGAAAGATATGTGGCCGGGTGGCCGAGAAATGTCGGGAATTCGGCCATAACAACAAACGCGCTCCAACAAATGCATTTTCGCAACATTAGAGCGAGTTTGTTGCTTTGGCCGAATTCCCGATATTTATCGGCCACCCGGCCACATATCTCTTCATTTTTTTCTGAAATTTATGTTCAACTTCAATTTTTTGTGACGTAAGTAAGTGAATTTTGAGTTTCATTCATCAAAATTTGAACTTTTTAAAAGTGCTTAACTTACTTGGCTAAATTCGCAACTTTTTCCATAAGTTCTTCAACAAACTCATTTTCTTCCAGCTTTCTAATAACCAATTGCCTATATCTAAACTCGTTTCGATATCTATGTTGTACACCATAAACCGCCCGAATCTTATCCAACCCAGCCATTATTTTTTGTTCCAAACAAGCCGCCAAAATCTGATAAACCTCATGTTTTTTATAAATATTTTCAGCGTTTTCAAATCCATAAAGACGTTCAGCAAGTTGCATATCTATATTCAAATGTTTCTGTTGAATATACTCCAAGATATCCGATTTTTCATAGGAATCTTTCAATGGAATTTTGATGAATTCTTGGGATTTCTTTTTCAAATCCTTCTTCGCTTTCTCAATAATCTCCTCAATTCTCCAAACATCAATTGTATATAACTTCCCAGATGCCACCAAAAAATCAGCCAAATTCGTTTCAATCCACTCAAGAACGGTCTCAAATTCATTTTCATGAATATTTTCGAATAATTGAATATTCCTTATCAAATATAAGATAACTTCTCTAAATGCGTCAGTGGATAATTTGCAAAATGTTCCGAAACTTGAAATAATTGGGACTGCGAACAATTTTGAGCAATAATGAATTTCCATCTTTATGATCTGGAGGAAAGAATTGGTTTTTTGGTTTAAAAAAAAATGTTTTTACTTATAATGGCATCGACTAAACTACATTTTCATGTTTTTTAAAGCGAATGAGTCAAAATATTGGGTTTTAATATTATTCATATGATAGAATGGTCTAAGACGAACAGAATGATATAAATTTTGATGACTTTACCTTATCCATAAGTGATTTAGCGACTTATCGACTAAATATCGACTAAACCTCGCTAAATCACTTATGGATAACGTAAAGTCATCAAAATTTATATCATTCTGTTCGTCTTAGATCATTCTATCATATGAAAAACATTAAAACCCAACATTTTAACTCGATTGCTAAAAAAACATGAAAATGTGATTCAGTCGATGTCCAACTATACCTTCAATTCTTCCATCGGAATATTATATTTTTCCAAAATGTCAAGAAAAGTTTCCTGATTCATCATATGAACAAGCCCAAGTTTTCGTTCCTCCTCAGTTTCAGTTTCGCATTCGACCTCCAAATCCTTCCGTACATCCTTGATCGCATTCAAAACCTCTTTTTCAAAATAAAACCTATCTTGATCTTCTTCATCTTCTCCTAAATTCTGATTCGGCGACCAAAAACATCGAATAATTGGAATAGGATTTTGGGATGGTTCGAATGCATCTTTGTAAACTTCGCGAATTTGCAAAACCGTCTCGAATCCTACCACAAGTTCATAGTAAATTGTGCTATAAAGAACTTGATTTTGGGAAACTGGTCGATTTTTGGAGTATTGTTTGAAGTGTTCATGGAAGACTTGGAATGTTGCATCATCATGGAAATAATTGCGGAGTTCGAGAAAATATTTTTCCTCAATAAAACGTGGCAATAATGGTGGAGGACATTTGTAAATTCTGGCTAATTCTCGCATTGGGTAGACATGCTCAGCAGGCAAAAATTCATGAGTGTTCTCCAAATCATCGTATATTCGATGAATAAAAATATCGAACCAGAATTTGAACATTACTTTACTGACATTTTTGAACTTTGAGGTATCGAAAGAATTATGAAATATCATTATAAAGTTTCGCTTCGAAATCACCACTAGACCTCCTTCTTCTTTATATATTCCCATATGTCTAACCTCACAAGAAGGCGGGAGTTCTAGACTAGGTTTATCATATCCATAGCGGTACAGTTCTGGAACTGGATATCTTTTTGCAAGATCCATTTTAAAATCATCGAATTTTTCGTAGAATTCACAAATCCGCTCTGATTTATCGTACAAAAATCGCAAAAATTCCTCGGGTTTCTCATCATATTTCCCGAGCTCTTTTTCTGATGGTTCATAAATTATCTGGAAAAAAAAACAGGATTTTTTTTAGATAAATAGTGAAAAAAAATATGATAACTCACTCCATCACTAAATGCCATTTTTATACATTTGACAACTTCTGACACAGACCAACCCGACATTTTTGCTTCCACAATCTTTCAATTTGCAAAAAAATAAACAACGACGCTCCGTTGAATGCCGCTTGTTGAGCACACGCGGCGTTTTGAAACATGTGTTTTCTGGGAACCCGGATTTTAGAAATGGCCTGGCCGGGCACGTGGGAAACATATCTGGAAGAAGGGCAATGGCCTAGGAACCGACTCGGCCAATTTATTTTTTTTCGCGAAAATTTTTCGCGAAAAATTTTAAAATTCGCAGGAATTTTCGAAAATGAATGTTTTCAATCAATCCTACTTTGAAAGTATATTGCAAAAAGTGAGTTTTCCAGTTACTTTCAAATTTGTCTATTCAAAAATTCAGGAATTACCACGACAGGTTTATTCCTGCAGTTATTGTAAGAAAAAAACGTATGATCTCAAAGAAGTGACACGAATTCGGAATGTGAATTCAGGCCGTGAATTATTGCAAAAATGGGCGGATATTCTGGGTGAAAATTTTCAAAAAAACATAAGAGGATTGAAATCAATTGCGATATGTAGAAGCCATTTCAAAAAGACGTGGAACAGGCATAGACCGCCGAATTTATTACCTGTTGCTGATTTGGGAAATACTATTCCAGAAGAAAATATAACGAAATCGGAATTTGTAGGTTTTCAGGAGTCTTTCATCTTTCATAGATTATTTTTTTTTGAATTTCCAGATTCGCCCGCGAATTAAGACAAATTCTTCAGAAAATTGCGCATATTGCGGTGAAACCAAGCAATTCTTGCAAATGACAACTGTTCCAACACATGAATTTTATTTCAATAAATGGGTTGCTATTCTAGGAGAGGAATTCCGGAAAAATGTGGAAAATCGTGGAGAAAAAGCGTCGGCGATTTGTCGAACTCATTTCGATGTGCAATTTCTCAGCAGGCCACAGGCATTATTGCCAAAACCTATGGAATTGCGCGAGAAAAAAGCCGCGCGTGTGAAGAAAATTGAGAACAAGCCGAATATGTTGGAATGTTGCTATTGTTCAGAAATTCGACAAAATCTGACGGAAATGGTTGAGACGCCAAAACTCACGAAATGTTTATTGCGATGGGCCGATGTTCTTGGACCCACGTTTTATGAGAATTTTATGAAGCGAAAGAATCGCTATATTTGTGTGGAGCATTTGAAAAGGGGATCGAAAATGATATTCAATGATGATATTATGGAGGGTTTTAGACGCAGAGAGAAGGAGAAGGGATTTATTGCAAATGTTGTGAAAGAAGAAGAAATGGAGATGGATTTGAAACCTGATTGTGAAATTGAGAAGATTTTGATAGAGAAAGATATCAAAATTGAGGTGGAAGAAGTGGAATTGAGAGAAATTAAGATGGAAATTCTAGAATAGTCATAATTACAGGTTTAGTTTGTTGTTTTTGTTTTTAATAAATTGTTAAGTTCTCACGATGACCAGTTCTTGGAAATTTTCAATGAGATTGTACAGTTTTTCACGCTGAGAAAAATCCTGAAGAGCCCAAAGTCGAGAATTCCAGGTTTTTCAGCAAATGAATTGAAATATTGGATTCATATGATAGAATGGTCCAAGACGAACAGAATGATATAAATTTTGATGACTTTACGTTAACCATAAGTGATTTAGCGACTTATCGACTAAACGTCGCTAAATCACTTAAGGATAACCTAAAGTCATCAAAATTTAAATCATTCTGTTCGTCTTAGACCATTTTATCATATGAATAACATTAGAACCCAATATTTTAACTCATTTGCTTAAAAAACATGAAAATGTCATTTAGTCGATGTCCAACTATAGTTTCATTTGTTTTTGTACAGTTTTTCAGCTGCACGACCTTCTGAACAGCACAAAAATGAGCCAAAAGTGGAGAATTTTCGAAATTTCGTGGTTTTGAAAGCCCATTACTCATGTTAGAGAAGATTTTATCAGAAATTGGATACAGGGCATTGTTCAGAAGGGTCGATTTACCAAATTCGACAACATTTTTCCTCCTGAACATCGCCCTGTATTCAGTATCTTCTCTAACATGAGTAATGGGCTTTCAAAACCACGAAATTTCGAAAACTCTCCACTTTTGGCTCATTTTTGTGCTGTTCAAAAGGTCGTGCAGCTGAAAAATTGTAAAAAAAAAACAAAAACAAATGTTTCATTGAAAATCTCCGGGAACTCAACAATTTCCCAAAATTCGAGAAAAACTTTATTCCTGTCGCAACGTACACGTTTTCATTTCACAAAAATTTACACAATCTCACAAAGTTAATGGGGCTATTCAGCGAAAAAAAATATGTTTTCTCAACGGGAGAAAAGCGAAGAAAACCTATTCAAGTCGGTTGAGAAAACATAAAAAACAAACACTTGAAACACACAAATTGCGACGAGACCCAACGAAAAACAACATGTTCCTTTGACCTTTTGCATTACTGTAAATTGGTCCCGTTGCGATTTTCTACAGTATCTTAAAGGAACATGTTGTTTTTCGTTGGGTCTCGTCGCAATTTGTGTGTTCCAAGTGTTTGTTTTTTATGTTTTCTCAACCGACTTGAATAGGTTTTCTTCGCTTTTCTCCCGTTGAGAAAACATATTTTTTTTCGCTGAATAGCCCCATAAGTAATTCAAGTACACGTTCTGTATTCGCTGAGCATCAATTGCTTATTTTTCCACGCATCCGTCACCACGGTGAATTGTTCCATAGATTCATCGAAATCAAACGCATCAAAATCGCCCTCCGGATTTTCTCGAATCATTTCCATTTGCCGTCGAATATGCGTCTCATAAGTTCCATCGAAAAGATAAAGGCTTTTTGCAACAATCGGATTTCGTCGATAGTTTTGAAGAAGTTCGAAGAATTGTTCAGGGAGTGCATCGTAAATTGTCAACACTTTCTGATAACTTATCAATTTTTTGAGATTTACTGCGAATTTGGATTGTTGTAATTTTTCATCTTGTTCATCCGAAAGTCTTACTTCTCGAGGAGATCTCAACAAATAATTTGTTTTTTTCGATGATTTCCTTAATTCCTTCTTGTAATTCCTCAACCGCTTTTCAAACTTCAATCTCAATTTCTCCCAAACCCGACTTTTCTCCTCATCCTCCATCAATTTAATCGCCTCCAAATCTCCAATAAATTTCTCTCTTTTCCGAAAAACCAACATTCCCGGTTTCTGCTCAAATTCATATAAATGCTCCAGATTTTTGAAAAAAATCCTGGTTTTTTCGTAATCCATAAGCACCACATTTGATAAATAAAACCATTGTTTAACGTTGAATTTTTGGCGAAAATTTGGAGTTTCGAGTAATTTTTTGAGTTTTGCAATTTTGTAGGTTTTGGCGGTTTTGAAGTGAGCAAGGGTGAAGCTGGATAAATAGCGATTTTTTCAAAAATTAAAATATTATTATCGAAAATCTCGTCGGTACCACGCGCTCCACCGAAATAAACACGCAACGCAGACCGCGCCGCGCCACAACACACATGAAAAGGGAGCTCAGAAAAAAAATTACGCATGTGTGACAACAGAAACACCAGTGTGCAACGACAAAATTACCGATGTGCGTGCACAAAGGTAACACACTTGTGTGGTAGTCGTTACACACTGGTGCATGAGTTGTCACACACTGGTGAATCGCTTGTCACACACTAGCAAATCACTTGTCACATGTGTGCACACACGCGCATTTTTATTGTTGCAGCCTCGCTTTTTGCCCATTTTCTACCCATTTCCTATCAAAACCGACTATATTCTGAACATTAACACATTTTTCCAATCAATATTTATTAGAAAAATTGAAATTGAATGCAAATAAAGAAAAAAATGTACAAATTTCAAATCAATTCAAATTATTTGGTTGATTATCAGTTTTTTGTGTTGCGATTGTGAAGTTGCCGTTGGTTGATGGTGGTTGGAGAGTTGACTTTGACGGTTGGGTTTCGGGGTTTTGTAGTTGACTGAACCATGGCGGAGACGCTGTTGATGTCGACTCTGAAAATGAAACAGTTAGAAATCACATATTTCGAACGAATATTTTGTCAAACAAAGTTTTGTGAAGTTCTTGTTTTGTTAAACTTTCTCAAAGATTTCAAGTTCTAAATTTCTAAAAGACGTCTAGTTTCCTTTGAATGTAAGAATTGGAAAATACTTTTCAAACTTTTGAAGATTAGTTTTCGATTAGGCTAATTTTTCGAGTTTAAATACGAATTTTGAAGGTAAAAGTAACTTCGAGACCCCTTAAGACCCCCATGACTAACCTTTCTTGCTTTTCAATCGAATCCAATGATGGTGATCGTGGTTTTTGTCAAGTTTTCCGGCAATATCCATTGTGAAGGCTGGTCATATCTGAAAAAGAAATGGAAATATCTAGTTTAGTTTGTCCGTCTTTGTCGATAAAAAAAACCTACCTGACAATCAAAAACTGTCCATCATTGTTTCTGACCATTTCCTAAAGTCGATTTGGGTTGAAAAATGGACGAAGTGAGCTGAAATTTCGAACAGTTATAAACGAGAGTGACAGGATTTATATTCTTCATTTATAAGAGCAAAAACGTATGAGAAAATCTCTGAAAACAGCAAGAAAGCACAGTTTTAGGCCGAAAATTGAAAAAAAAATGAAAATATTTCAACTCGACGAAACGCGCCGCGCGAAATGATTTATCAGTGTGTGACAAGTGTGTGCACACTAGTAAAACTGCTGTAGGAATGGTACAAGTGTGTGCAGCTTGTGTGCTGCCCGCCTTTTCAAATTTATTTTCCACCAGTGTGTGACAAGTTGGGACACACTTGTGGGAGTTGTGAAACTGCTGTATTTAGTGGTGGAACTTGTTACACACTGGTTGGACTTGTCACACATGCGTAATTTTTTTTCTGAGTAGAGAATTTGAATCGTTCCCTTATTTGTGTGTGTTGTGGCGCGACGCGGTCTGCGTTGCGTGTTTATTTCGGCGGAGCGCGTGGTACCGATAAGATTTTTGATAATATTCTCAATTTTACACGTACTTTCCCAAATTCAACAAAATCTTCCTGCTTTCTTCTTCCAAACCATTCTCCTTCACATCCCTCATTTGACTATATTTCAATTGTTGCATCCAATCCCTCTCCAGCTTTCCCAAATTCTTCAAAATCTTAAAATCCAGCGACCAGTACAGAATTTGATAAAATCTCGGTTTCGGGCATCGATTTTGCATACTCATTTCATTAAATTCAAGAATTCTCTTATCCAATTCTAAAGGCCACATATATTTTTGAACGTATTCCAACATTTCCGATTTTTCATAGAACTTCTTCGATGGAACTATGAATTTTGGCGGTTTCTTCAATCCCCGCAAATCCTTCTTCGCCTTCGCACAAATCTCATCAATTCTCCACACTTCAATCGCATAAAATCGATCACTTTCAACGAGAAAATCCGCTAAATTCGCGCGAATCCACCGAAAAACCATCATCCCCTCTTTTTCCGCCATATTATAAAAAAGTTGCAGATTTTGTAGTAGATATAGCATAACTTCTTTGAAAGCGTCTACTGCTGGTTTACAAAATGTGCCGTAGTTTGAGATGATTGGGGAGACGCTTTGATTTACGAATCGAGTCATGGGACACCAGACAAACTGAAAATAATGAAAATTAATATATTTTTTGGTTTTTTTAACTTTGAAAACCAGAAAAAAGGTTCACAAACGGTATTTTTATTCGTTTTTTCATCAAAAAATGGTGAAAAAATGAATAAAAATAACGTTCGTGAACCTTTTTTCTGGTTTTTTAACGTTAAACATACAGTATATTCATCCCTCGAAATCTTATACTTTTCCAAAATTTCACAAAATTGTGCTGCATTCATCAAATGAACAAATCCAAGTTTTCGCTCTTCCCAAGTTTCAGCTTTGATTCCAAGGTCAGATTCTCGAAAATCCGCTCGCAAACTCTTGACAACTTGCAAAACTTCTTTTTGGAAATAAAACGTGTCCTCAAAAATCTCATCAGCGCCTGGAATTTCCGTATAAACACATCGAATAATTGGAAGAGGGTTTTTCGATGGTTCGCAGGACGCTTTGTATTTCTCAAAGAGTGTTGAAGCTTTCTCGAAGACTTCGATGATTTCCTCGTAGAGTTTTTTGTAGAAGATTTGGCATGTGGAAAATGGTTTTGAATCGAAAATCGGATTTAAATGCTCTTGAACCAGTTGATTAAATAGATCTTGATCCTGCTCGCCGAAATATTTTTTTTGAAGATCCAGGAAATGTTTTCTTCGAATAGCACCACGGAATTTATGTGTACAATCAATTTCCGCTGCTGTTTTTTGCACAGCAAAAAAAACATTAAAATGTATCAATTCATAAGTGTAATCCATATTTTTAAATCTTCGATTTATAATTGAATCAAGCCATTTGCCAAATATTCTTCCAGTTATGGGTTTCGAAATCTCTTTTTTGAAAATATCATAAAAATATATCAGGAAATCGTGGATAGATAGAAAATTAGGAAAGGGATTTCGTTTATCGTGATAGAAACGTGGCAATTCTGTTGGATGTGAAAATCGTGCTGTTGTTGAACATCCTGGCTTATCAAAACCATATCGATATGTCTCATGAACATATGAGGTTTTTTCGAAATCTTCTTGCAATAATTGATAATTCTCGTAGAATTCGCCAATTCTTGGTGAGTTTTGAAAGATTAATTTTGAAGCAGCTTGTTTATTAGCATATTTTTTCAGCTCTTCGATTGTGGATTCAGGAACTATCTGCAATAAAAACAAAGTTTTTCAAATATAAAAAATATTTTAAAAAAAACTCACCCCATCTAATCGTAATATTTGTATTAACCTGTACATATCCATTTCCAATGTTTTTCAAACAAAAAATAATAAAAAGAAGGAGGCGCAGATGTCTCGAGTGCAAAATGAGGAAGAATCGCCGCAGGACCTACTTGGCAAATTGCCATAGTAACTGAAATCATGGTGTCTTTGACTCTCTCTGTCTAATCCTCTCTCTTCATTGCACTTTTAGAAAAAAAAATGGGGAAAACGATACTCCGCCATGTGCCGCTTGTTTAGCGGCCCTTTTTTTTGAAAAATGATAAATTTTAAATTTTAGGAAAGTCTGCTACTTAGACGATGGGGAAATTGGAGATTTTGGTGAGTTTCCGGTTTCAGAGAGAAAATTGAAAAAATTTCCGAAAAAAAAAATAAAATACAGTATGCTTCAAGGCGCACAACAGATATTAGCTGCGTACATAGTTCACGTGGCGAGACCTTGACTGCGTATCATTCTTTTTCGCATAAAACTACAGTACACTTCAAAGGCGCACTACAATATTTGGCTGCGTACGCATTGTTCGCTGTGGGACCTTCACTGCGTATTATTTTTTCACAGTGGAAAAAGTTAACCTATTTTTCACGTTTTCAGCGTTGTTTCAGCACTTCAAGTGAATTTCAGTGTACCAAAAAAATCAGCAGAATGTTGTGAATCTTTTAGTTGATCTGAGAATTTGCGCGTCGTTATTTTTGGACGTGTTTTCGAAGTTTATCAATAATAAAATAACCTATTTTTCAGAATGGCTAGACCGGATAGAATCCCAAAGGTCAAAAAAACCAAAGATCCAAATGCTCCAAAACGTCCACTTTCGGCCTATCTTCTCTGGTGAGCATTTCCTAAACTTTATCGAAACCAAAAAATAAAATCAATATTTTCAGGTTGAACGAGAATCGCGCACGTTTATCGAAACCAGGAATGCCAGCTTCAGAAGTTGCGAAACTTGGTGGCGCGGAATGGCGACTCCTTGAGGACAAATCGAAGTGGCAAAACTTGGCAGTGGAACTCAAAGCGAAATACGAAAAGGATATCCAAACATACAAGGAAACCAAAACTGAATAAATGCTGACATGTAAGATTTTATCACTTCACTTTTTTTTGTAACATTTTAATTAATTTCAATAAATTTCTAAATTTTTATTGGAAAACGCGTGAACTTTCTAATTTTTGATCTACCCCGGGAACGGATGAATTTTAAATATTTTCAATAAATAAACGGAGAAAAATCCGGAAGACTCACACTTCACTCTTAAAATGTCATCGCAAGTGGTTTTTCGTGATCGAAATCGAATTCGTTGGGAATTCAAAGATTTCAAACATGACGAAGTTGCCATGAGATATAGTGATCCATTCAAAATCGAGAATTTGTTGTGGAAAATTGGAATCGAAGTGAGAAATAGCGAACTATGGGCGATTTTGAGATGCGAAAAAGAAAACGATGAGAAGAAGCTGTGGATTTGCGCTGCAACAAACATCGATTTCACATCGTTCATGAGCCAAAAAAACGGAGAGCGTAATTCTGCTGAAAAAGAGGAGGCGTGGGAACGAAAACAAATCACCACCAAGTATTTCACCAATTCACACAAGGAAAATGGACAAAAAGTGTGCTCGAAGTATATTTGGTCACGCGGAAATACTTTTGCGAATTTCGCAAATAATTCGCCAATTGTTATCGACATCGAGTTCGCCACTATTTTGTATGATTTTTCGGAGAATATTCTAGCTGATATGGTTTTCAATGTTGATGGCGTGCAATTTCTCATGAACAAAGCGGTAAGCTAGATTTTCTGACATTCCCAATTGAATTCTCAATTTTCAGCTGTTCTACATCGTTTCCGATTACTTTTTCAATCTTTTCGTCACTCTAAAATATGCCAAAAACTACTTTGATGTCAAAAACGTCACCGTCGACGAATTTCTCAGTTTCCTGGTGGCAATTCATCCAACTTCAATTATCCTTCCCGATTTTCATCGTGAGAAAATCGTCGAATTAGCAGACACCTACAAAATTCGCTCGATTCACATGAAAAATGAGGCGTTTTTGATTGAAAATTTGAACGAAAATCAAAAAGTTCTCATCGATTCGTTGAAGTTGGCTGAAAAACATGGCTACCAAAAATTGCTCAATAAATGTCTTGATTTATTGGATTGTCGGGAAACTATCAAAAGAATCGGAGAGACGAAAGAATTCGCCGAACTTGGAGGAGAAACCAAGGCAAAGGTTCTTCAGAAAATTTTAAAGTTTGTTTAATTATATTCTTATTGCACCAGAAAACTTTATAAATACATATTAATTAATTAATTAATTGGCTAAAAAACGAAAAAATAATTATCACATAACTAATGAGCGTATGAAGAAGAGTTACCGTAATTTGAATAATTCGAATTTGTCGATGATGCCAAATCCAAATTCGAGTTTGAGAAATGGTCACCCTTCCGTTGATTCTGATTACTATAATATTTCTGAAGATTAGAGCGATTGGAAGAATTGACAATTGGCTGCATTTTCCGCTGATACCGCCCATTTTTCATCGTCGGGCTGAACATTCTATGCGGCGGCTCCTCGTCACAAATTCTCAACTCAACCGGCAGCATTTGCAAATCGTCCATCTCTTGTAAAATTTCGGTGGGAATTCGAATGCCCAGTCCATTTACAATATCCAAATTTTGCTTCAAGTATAACATGAGCAACACCTCTTGTTGTTCAATTGGATCGACGCATTGAGGAGAATCTTGGGAGGAGGTGGAGAATTGTTGACTTCGCAGTTGGATGGCTTCGGATTTTGGTGGAAGTGGTGGTGGTGGAGGGGCTGATGTGGGATGACTGGAAAATATGAGATGAGATGGTGAGTTGGTTTTGCGGTGGGAATTTGGGTTACAAAAATTATCGATTTTTTTTTCAAAAACTCGAAATTTTGCCCAGAAAAATGCCAAATTTATGAAAAATTCAAATTCAAAACCCTACCGTAATCTTTAGCGCAAAAATTTTGAATTTGAAAAATCATTTTTTAGAAAATTTATTTTGTTTGTGAAAAAAAAATCGGGAATTCTGAAAAATTAACAGTAATTATTAGCGCAAAAATTTTGAATTTGAATATTTTCGAGACCAAAAAAATCCTGGTTTTTTTTCTGGAATTTTTCGCATAAAAATTCTTGTTTTTTTCAATCTGAAAAATTAAATTTTATTTTCTGAAATTTTGGAGAGCCTTGAAATCTACCTAAAAGGGCTCATTTACGAACGAAAAAAAATTTAAAAAAATGTTTGAAAAATCAATTCACGAAAAGTCAACAAATCTCCAAAAACAGGTCAAAATTAGTTTTTCGAGTTTTTCAGCCAAAAATGATGACAAATTGAGATTTTTGAAGCTTCTGGAATGATTTCTGATGAAAATTGACCTTCAGAAGTTTTTGCTGATTTTTTGTAAAATGAAAAATTTCAAATTTCGAAAAAATAAATAAAATAGGGTTCTCGAAGCTTATAACCTTATTTCATTATGGGGTGATTCAAATCGAAAAAAAAACTAAAAAAAAACATTTTTTTACAAAAAATTCGATTCAGCAAATGTCAAAAAACTCTATTTTTTTCCACACAAAAATGAAAGATATCTCGCAGCGAAAATGTTTCAATGAAAAAAATGTCAAAAAATGTCGAGAAATAGGAAAAAAATGTAGTTTTTTGACATTTGCTGAATCGAATTTTTTTGTAAAAAAATGTTTTTTTTTTTTAGTTTTTTTTTCGACCTGAATCACCCCATTAATTTTTTCAAATTTCCAATTTTTTCATATTACGAAAAATCAGAAAAAAACTTCTGAAGGTCAATTTTCATCAAAAATCACTCCAGAAGCTTCGAAAATCTCGATTTGTCATCATTTTTGACTGAAAAACATTTTTTTTCGTTCGTGAATCAGCCCTTTTAGGTAGATTTCAAGGCTCCCTCCAAAATTTCAGAAAATAAAATTTAATTTTTCAGATTGGGAAAAAACAAGAATTTTTATGCGAAAAATTCCAGAAAATAAATTTTCTAAAAAAAAAGAAACCAGGATTTTGAGTGTGAAAAATATGATTATTTTTCAATTTTAACATTTTTGCGCTAAAAATTACGGTAGAATCTTGAATTTCAAGTTTTTTATTTTACGAAAAATCAGCAAGAACTTCTGAAGGTCAATTTTCATCAGAAATCACTCCAGAAACTTCGAAAATCTCGATTTGTCATCATTTTTAACTGAAACACTCGAAAAACTAAGCCTGGTCCAATTTCTAAGAAGCCCGGGTCCCTAGGCCCCCAAAAAAACTCACATTTTCCTCGGCTCCTCCCAATTCTGTTGCGGCATCGAAGAAATCGAGCTCAATCGACTTCTTCCCCCGCGATTCGCGCCGCCATTTTCAAAAAATTCGCGCGACGTCGCAATATTCGCAATCGATTCGCGCGACACCGCGGCGGCGATTTGTTCCGCGTCATACCATTTCTTGTTCGAATTCAAATTTTCCACCGCAAAATTCAACGAATCCAGACTTTTTCCCTTGGACAATCGTCGTCGATTTGTATTGTGATTCTGATCGATTTCTCGTTGAACTTCGATCGCTTCTCTCTCGGTTTCTTCCATTTTCCTGAGCCTTTCCTCAGGAATTCGCGAATCTTTGGGAATTTGAATGGAATTCGAGGCGACCAGGCTGGCTGAAAGTGCGTCGGTTGATCGCCATTTTGGAAATCCGTAGGATTTTGGGCGATTTTGCCGGTCTTCTGCGATTTTTGCCTGTTTTTCCTGTTGAATGTTGCGTTCCCAATAGCCGCGCATACTGTTAGTCGTGCTTTTTTGTGCGGCAACACGGCCTTCCATTATTCGACCCGACCACGATTCGAAATCTGAGGAAAAAAAATGTTTTTTGGAGGAATTGTCAAGGGGTCGCGCCTTGAGAGCTCCTATGTCAAGCAGCCGAGCCTAGAGAATGTAGTTTTCAAGTAGCCGAGTCTATAAATCATAATTGTCTAGGGTCAGCACCTTGAGAACCTCTTTCTCAAGCATCCATGCCTTGAGAACGTCGTTGTCAAAGAGCCGAGCCTATAAATCATAGGTGTCAAGCAGCCGCGCCTTCAGATCTTCTATGTCAAGCAGCCAAGCCTAGAGAACCTATTTGTCTAGGGTCAGCACCTTGATAACCTATTTCTCAAGAAGCCGCGCCTTGAGATCCTCGTTCTCAGGGATCAGCGCCTACAGGTCCTCATTTTCAAGCAGCCGAGCCTAGAGAGCTTCTATGTCTAGCATCCGCGCCTTGAGAGCTGCTATGTCAAGCAGCCGAGTCTAGAAAATCTAATTGTCAAGCAGTCACGCCTTGAGGCCCTAGTTGTCAAGCAGCCGAGCCTAGAAGACCTAGTTCTTGAAGGAGCCGCGCCTTGAGAGCTCCTATGTCAAGCATCCGAGCCTACAAAGCTAAATTTTCAATGATCAGCGCCTAGAGTCCAGAATTTTTTTCAAATTCCAAAATTTCTACAGTAACCCACCCAAAATTCTAAATGCCTACTTTAAATTCGTAAATTAAATCCACACAGAAAATGTCAAAAAAAAACTTGAAACATCAAAAATTTGTTCATTTGCGCGCGCGTAGGCAAAAAGCTTACAAGAAATGTTTGTTTTTGACGGCGAAAAAAGTTGGTTAAATAATCGAGAGAAAAGAGACGCAGACACCGAAATTTGAATTTGAATTTTTCGCGCCAAAAACTACAGTACTACAAAATTTGTTTTTTTTTTACAAAAATTACAAAATTCCCCACCTTTTTTCACAATATTTTCATGATGACTGCTCAGATTATTGATTGATCCACTGAATTGGCGCATCTATAAAAAAAATGGGGTACTGTAGGGTTACTGTAGCTAGATTACTGTAGATACCTTGGGAATGAGTTCGGGTAATTGTTGATTTTGTTCCGGACCGGCGGCGACGCGGATAACAGTTCCATTTAGAGTTGGCTCGCAGCGGAGCTCGTGAGGACTTCTGGAAGAGAAATATTTTTTTGGTTTTCTAGGCCACCTGGGGGTTTCTAGGCCATCTGAGGGTTTTCTAGGCCATCTGGGCGGTTTCTAGGCCATCTGAAGGTGTTCTAGGCCGTCTGAGGGTTTTCTAGGCCATCTGGGGGTTTTCTAGGACAAAAATTTGAATTATTTTCAAATTTTTAGTTTTCGCGCTCAAATTTGGTTTGGTTTTCTAGGCCAGCAAAATTGTGTGTGTGTACTTCTCTCGGGCAAGTTTCTGGAAGAGAAATTTGGTTTCCTAGGCCATCTGGGGTTTTTTTTTCACAGAAATTCCAATTCTGGGCTCAAAAGACCATGGAAGAATTCTATAGGAGGGTCGAGTTTGGTTTTCTAGACCAGCAAAATTGTGTGTGTGTGTGTGTACTTCTCTCGGACAATTTTGTTTTTTTTTATTTTTCATATTTTTTCTGAAATTCAAAAATATCAGTTTCCCGCAAAAACTGAAATTAGTGTGTAAACACCGCGACGCAAAAATGCACTGAAATTTTCGTACCGTAGTAAAAATTCAGTTTTTTTCTCAAAAATGCGAGGGAAAATCTGAATTTATTCAAATTTCCCGCAAGAACTGATGTGAAATCGCTTCGAGACCTCAAAAATACATGGTCCTTTGATTTTTAGCTGAAAATGCCTGGAACATGCGAAATGACGCAAAAATGCACAAAAATGCGCGTACCGTAGTCAAAAATGCACACAAAAAATTCAATGTTCCGTGTATTTCTCTCGGACAACCTTAGGGTGTCAACACCGCGACGCAAAAATGCACAGAATTTTGTGTACCGTAGTGAAAAATGCACGCAAAAATCCAATTTTCCGGTGTACTTCTCTCGGACAACTCACCCCAACGGAATCATAGTAATATGTTGCTGCTGCTGCTCATTTCTCTTCACTTTTTTCAGCGACGAATAAATTTCCTCCTCTTCTCGAATTGGCTGCGGATGCTGATTCTGCTGCTGCTGATGTGCAGCGTAAGAAACGCAAAACATCTACGAAAAAATGAGATGCGCTTAGGAGTTAGGCTCTAGCTGGAGCCGTGAAGTGTCTCGGGGCGAGAGAGTGTGCGAGTCGAGGAGACGCAGACTACTTGAGAGACAAATCTCCGCTTTCTTGTCCAGTTTATTTGGACAAAGAACGTCACATTGCTTGATTTTCATGCGATTTTTCATTTTTGCCACGTGGATTTTTCGAAAAAAAAAATCAATAATTACCGAATTTCATCCAAAAAAGTGTTAAAAAATAATAAAAGTACATGAAAAAAAAACAAAAATTTCAAATAGACATAATTGAAAATGATCGATTATTAGTTGATGATGATTTTGAAGAATTCTCAATGGGGCGCATTTTGACAAATCGATTATTTTCCTTGTTGTCGTTTTTCAATGTGATGTTGCTGAAAAATTGTGAAATTTAGGTTAGAAATCTTTGAAAATATTGATTTTCGGGGTCATATTAAGTAGGATTTGTGAAATTTGACAAAGTTTAGTTTAAAAAAAAAAGATTTTTGCTTGAACTTTAATTTCAGAATGTTGATTTTCCATTTTTTAATCAATAAAAATCCGGTGAAAATTTAAAAAAAAATAGGAAATTTGAGATTTTCAGTAAAAATTCAATTTTTTACTTGAATTTTAATATCAGAATGATGATTTTTCATGTTTTGACAATAAAAATCCTCTGAAAATGATTCAGAATTGAAAATGTGAACTTTTCACTGAAATTTGAGTTTTTTTTTAAATTGAAAAAACAATTTTGAATTTTTGACCGATTTTTCTCACAAAAATCGGCTGATAATCATTCAGAACTGAAAATTTGAGGTTTTTAACTTGGAAAGAATCAAATTTTAAATTTTCACCGATTTTTTTTTCGCAAAAATCAGACAAGAATCAAAGAAAAAATCGAAAATTTGAGCTATTCACTTAAATTTGAGGTTTTTGCTTGAATGTTAATACCAGAATGATGATTTTCAATTTTTTTAACAATAAAAATCAGCCAAAAATCAAAGAAAAATTGAAATTTCCAAATTTTTCAGTAAAATGTCAATTCTTTTCTCAAATTTCAATTTCAAAATAATAATTTTTCCTTTTTTTCTAACCGGGTAGAATTGAAATTTTGAGCTTTTCACTGAAAATTGAGGTTTTTTTAATTGAAAAAATTGAATTTTCATCGATTTTTCAGTAAGTTTGAGCTTTTCTGTGAAATTTCAATTTTTCTCAAATTTAAAATGACGATTTAACCAAAAAAATCAGCCAAAATTCGAAAATCTCACGCTTTTTTCGTGGAAAATCTTAGAATTTCAAACAAATCCCCGCCAAAACCCCTCCAAAAATCCCTCACCTATCAGCCGAGCTAATCGGCGAGTTCAATTCCTCCTGTCTCCCAGTACTTCCTCTCGCCGTCTCAATACACAATTCCTGTCCAGCGGGCGCTCGAAAATTCTTCACCTCATCCTCATCCTCTCCATCCTCCTCCATAAATGTCTTGCCACCGAATGGCATCAAAGGGCTACCATTTCCACCCAAAATATTGTTAGTGTGTGGAATACTGTGCTGATGAAATTGCAAAAGTGACATATCCCCCGGGTTCACCAGCGATTCCCCAGCTCCACTATTCATAGTCGTCGGTGTATTTGAAGTCGGCGGGTGAAGCATCATAAAACCCCTTTGATTTTGCTGAGACTGCTGGTGAAAACTACCAAACGGCGTGTTAAAATTCATTTGATGAAACTGTTGCTGTCGCAACTCATTCAATTGATTTTCCATCTGCCGCACTTTCGCCTTATATTTATCCTTCTCCTTTTTCAATTGATCCGCCTGTCGCATATAGCTAAACATCGCATTTTGCATGTCATTCCTCTCTCTTTCCAATTCCTTATATTTTTTCTTCTCCTCTCTTCGTTTCTGCTCAGATTCCTTCCATTTCTGCATATAATGCCGATTCGTCCGTTCCATCATCACAATCTGATCTTTATCATCAAAATCATCATTCTCTTCCGATTCATCTAATCTGCCTTCATAATGTGAATGTCGTCCGATTGGCGATGGATCTCCACTACCGTATTCTGAAGTATCACCTCGACGAAAATCGTTGTATCTTTTTTTATTTCTTGATGACTTATTGTTCTGGGATCCTTCGTCAATAGTGTAATTCTGACGAGTCGATTGATTTAAGATTTGTCGAGATCTTCCAGATTTTGTCGAATATTTGTCCGAATCAAATGAGCATTCTGACTCATCGCGATATCTGCAAAATGTGTTATTAAAATTTTATTATTTTTTTATTAGCTGATAAGAAAATATGGCCAGCAGTTTATGTTATTTCATCATTATTTCCCAGAGATTATGAGCACCTTTTAAAATGCTCAAATAGTGCTGACAAAAAATTGAAGTTGAACACGCGCTCCAACACGCAACGCAGACCGCGCCGCGCTACAACACACACCAATAAGGAAACGATTCGAATTCCCTCCCTTTTTTGTGTGTTTTGTGGCGCGACGCGGTCTGCGTTGCGTGTTGTCGTGGTACCGATGAGATTTTCGATAATATGTGACCGAACTTTTCCGGTGGCCTAGAAATGTCGGGAATTCGGCCAAGTTTGTTGCTTTGGCCGAATTCCCGCTGAAAATAAGGATTTCCATGATTATCAGCACAAAATTCTGATCTAGAATCATTTTCTGACCTGAAATTAATTTTTTTCAAAATTTTTGTGCTGAAACTCGTAGAAAACTTGAAAATCTACGATTTTGAACGAAAAATCAAGAATTTTCACAAAAAATTGAAAGATATATGTGGCCGAAATATTTTGGTGGCCGAGAAATGTCGGAAATTCGGCCAACAATGAGAATCTTCGCAACATTACAGCGAGTTTGTTGCTGTGGCCGAATTCCCGCCATTTCTCGGCCCTATATATTTTTTCTCAAATTTATATTCAACTTCAATTTGTTGAGTTTCATTCATCAATGTTTAAAAGTGTTCATAATCTCCGTAGTCCGGTCATATAATATGAGCAATGTTTATTTGCTCACCCGCTTTTTTCGCAAGAGAAAAAAGGAGCTGCTGACCTTTGGTAATCCTAGAATACTACCCACTGCTGCTTGTTTCTCAAATAAACACAATTATTGCGCAAGAGTAATATGTCTAGGTATTTTATGCGATCTTTTCTCAATGGGGCGCGTTTGAAAACCCGTATTTAAATGGTAAGGCAACCCAGAGGTCTAAAATGAAAGATATTCAACTCTAGATTTAAATACGGGTGTTCAAATGCGCCCCATTGAGAAAAGATCGCATAAAATACCTAGGCATACAACTCTTGGGCAATAACTGTGTTTATTTGAGAAACAACCAGAAGCGGGTTATATTCTGGGATTACCAACAGCACATTTAGCCTAACTCTCACATAAAAAATATCCCTTACCCTCCCGGACAACTTTGTGGTCCTTTCCTCAATTTCGGCGCATTATTCGTGTGATAGGCGGCGGTGGCGGAGAGCATTGCGTCGTCCGCAAAGCGCGTCGTCATCATTCGCCGCGCGGATTTCGCGGAAGAGGTGCCGGCGCGGAACGAACGACGATTGTCGATGTTTCTAGCCAGATCCTCGTTGTTCTCATCGTTTTGATGTTTGGAGGAGGATTTTTTACTGCGGAATAGGTTTCGAAATATGGTCGCCATTCCTGAAATGAGTCTGGGTATGAGTTATGACGTGGCAAGACAGAATTTTGAAGGAAATCTGGATTATCCAAGTTCATTTTCACTAACTTATACTGAATTTAGCCCAACTCATCTCTGAACCTGACGAAATTTGTATCTAACTTTGCAATAGCTTCCTAAAGTCATAAACCGTGAATATAGCTCAGAATCTCACAAGGATTTAAGACTTTAGGAAGCTATTTCAAAGTTAGATACAAATTTCGTCAGGTTCAGAGATGAGTTAAGCTAAATTCAGTATAAGTTAGTGAAAATGAACTCGGATAACCCAAGAATCCCAGAAAACCCAATAAAATAATAAAAAAAACCATAAAACAATTCGATTCAAACCCAAAAATAACACAGACACACACTCACACAATCGAATACAAAAAGTCTCCGCCCTTTTTGGCGTCCCCATTTTCTCTCGCCACCCTCCACCATCTGCCCACTCTCTCTCGCTCGCTCATCGCACCAAACAGACGACGCAATACGCGGCACACTCTTTTGATGTCGCGTTTTCAAATTGCAAGCAATTGCCGCCGACCGCGACGCAGCTGAAAGGGGTGCGTTGCGGTTTGGGTAATTGGTGTGAAAGGCGGCTTTTGTTGTTGTTGGTGAGAAAAAAGGGATGAAAGAAGAAGAAGAACATACGGGGAATGGAATATGGGATACTTCCTGTGGTGTGTGTGAAAATAGGTATAGGGAAGTTAGGCTAAATTGGATTATCCACGTGGAAGATGATTTATGGGGTGATTCAGGTCGAAAAAAACGTTTTTTTTTTCGACCTGAATCACCCTATTACGAAAATTCATGATTTTCTTCAAATTCTACGCTTCAAATAACCCTGGGGCCCTTCAAAGTTCACAAAAACACCGCGCAAAAAAAAGAAAAAATAAAAATACGTGTGCGTCAAATAAAATGCCTCAGTCCGCAATGCACACATTTCCCCAATCCACAGTAATCCTTTCTCGTTTTTCTTTTTTTTTCGATTTTCAGCGTTTTCCACATTTTCAGACAAAAATGGACGACGAGCGAGACGGCGATCAACTCAAATACGAAGTGCACACACAATCCGCGGTTTTCGGCGAGTTTTCCGACAAATATTGCGAATTTATGCGCGAAAAAGCGGACGATTTCGAAGCGCTCTCGCTGGAAATGGCCGTATTTTACGAGCAGCAAAAACAGACGATGGATGAATTGATAAGGAAATTGGATTTTTGCCAAGATTTGAAGGTGGCTATTCAGCGACATTGCCCGGTATGATTACAGGGGAAGGTTCTGGTGAATTTTTATAAAAAAGTTTTCCAGACCTGGACTTTTGACATCATTCCAACTGGCTCCACATTAACCGGACTTGGCATGAAAAACAGCGATTTGGACGCGACAATTCATATTCCGAAAGCGGCCAAGGTTTTTACTAAAAACGGAATTTTAGATAAGCGAAAGTGAGCTGTAAAAAATTGTTTTCCCGCCAAAAAATTCAAAAAAATAAATTCTCATTAGAGCATCATTGAACATTTTGCAAATTGTTCGACGAATTTGTCAAAACGACGAGCGGATGAAAGATCGTGTCAAGCAGAATATTCAATTTGTGCCGGCGCAGGTAAACAAAAAAAATGAATTTTGAATTCGGGTACTAGTTTTTTTCACAGATTCCGATTCTCAGAATGGAATCGAGCGATGGAATCGAGGTGGATTTGGGAGTGATTGTCGAGCAGTTTCTGTCGAGTTTGCACAACACATTTTTGACCAAACACTATGTGGAGTGAGTTGAGTTATGACGTGGCAAACTTGATTTCAATGTAGATTTCGACCCTGTGCAGAAAATTACCCTGGAATGCTCTGAATTTGAGCAAAATTGCTCAAAAATGAACTTAAAATTAAGATTTTTGATGGAAATTAGCCTTAAATTGCAGAACTCAACTTCTAACATGAGTTATGACGTGGCAAAATTGAAAATTTCCAGGATTTTTGGAGCTGAAACCTGAAAAAAACTTCAAAAATGCTTTTTCAACATTGAAAAATCAATTCACGAAAAGTTCGTAGGTCAAAATTAGTTTTTCGAGTTTTTCATCCAAAAATGATGATAAATCGATATTTTTGAAACTTCTGGAGTGATTTCTGATGAAAATTAACCTACAGAAGTTTTTGCTGATTTTTCGTAAAATAAAAAATTTCAAATTTCGAAAAAATTTGTAAAATGAGGTAGAATAAGCTTCGAAAACCCTATTTTACCTAATTTTCTCGAAATTTTAAATTTTTTGTTTTTCGAAAAATCAGCAAAAACTTCTGATGGTCAATTTTCATCAGAAATCACTTCAGAAGCTTCGAGAATCTTGATTTGTCATCATTTTTGACTGAAAAATTCGAAAAACTAATCTCGACTTTTCGTGAATTGATTTTTCAATGTTGAAAAAACATTTTTCGAATTTTTTCAAGGTTTCAGCTCCTAAAATCCCGAAATTTCCCAACTTTGCCACGTCATAACTCAGTTTAGAACTTGAGTTCTGCAATTTCAGCTGGCAGAATAGTGATCAGCTGGTCAAAAACTACCAGAAAACATAGATTTTTCCACGTCATAACCAATTTTCCCCCCATTTTCAGCTTTGACAATCGTTTCGCTCCATTCTGCGCAATCGTCAAAATCTGGGGTGAGAAAAGCGGTGTGAAAAATCCGAAAGACGGCGGTTTCAACAGCTACGCGATGGTTTTACTCGTCACACATTTTCTACAATGCGGCACGTCGCCGCCGATTCTGCCCAATTTACCGCAAGTGTTCCGCGAGCAAAAATTCTTTGCGCTTAGCGACACGGTGTTTCCGACGGTGGTGGATTTCACTGCAAAGTTGCCGGAAGCTTTGCCACGTGGGTTTTTTTTCAGATTTCACAAAAAAAATATGTGGCCGAACTTTTCCGGTGGCCGAGAAATGTCGGGGATTCGGCCACGCTCCAAAAATGAGAATTTTCGCAACATTAGAGCGAGTTTGTTGCTTTGGCCGAATTCCCGCTGAAAATCGCTGAGAATTGATGTTTCCATGATTTTCAGCACAAAATTCTGATCTAGAAAAATTTTTTGTGCTGAAACTCGTAGAAAACCTGAAAATCAATAATTTCGAACGAAAAATCGAGAGTTTTCAAAAAAAATCGTGGCCTGGCCGAGAAATGTCGGGAATTCGGCCACGCTCCAAAAATGAGAATTTTCGCAACATTAGAGCGATTTTGTTGCGTTGGCCGAATTCCCGACATTTCTCGGCCAGATATATTTTTTTGAAAATTCTCGATTTTTCGAGTTTCAGCACCAAAAAATGTTTCTAGACCAGAATTTTGCGCTGAAAATCATGAAAATCTTCATTTTCAGGAATTGCTCAAAACCACAGCAGTGTTGCCGAACTATTCATGCAATTTCTGCACTATTTCGCCAATTTCGATTTCCGCAAACACTATATTTCAATATCGGGCGCCTGTATTCGAGATCGAACAACTTCCGAAGAGCCAAAAGTGAAAGCGCAACGAATGAAAGAAGTCTACATCGAAGATCCATTCGATGAGCACAATCCGGGAAGAACTGTGAGAAGTTTGCAGGAAATTCGAAATATCTTCAGGGAAACGCTGAAGAAATTCGATTCGAAGCCGACTTTTCCCAAGTTGAACGATTTCTTTGAAAAAATTGAATATGAAGAGAGTTTGAGTGAGTTTATTGAGCAAGATTTGATAAATGAAGAAGGAAGTGAAGAATCACAAACATTTCATGATGCAATGGAAGAAGCTGAAGAAAATCATGATGAATACGAGTCTGAAGAAGACGAGTATTAATTTATTGATTTTTTAATTAATAAAAATTATTGATTTTTTATCAATTTATATTTTCAAAAATAAATTTTTCATGAAAAAAAGTTTAAAAACAACAACAAAATCAACGAAAAATGAAAAATAACAAAAAATTTCAACAAAAATTAAAAAAAAAAACGTAGAAGACGAGACGATTTTGTAGAATTAGGCTGAAAAGTGGGAATTTTAGGATATGGGGAGTGAAAAATGGCCTAGAAACTAACGAAAATGATTTTGATGGCCTAGAAATCCAAAAAAAATGATTTCGATGGCCTAGAAACTCACAAAAATGATTGTGGCGGCCTAGAAATCCAAAAAATGGCATAGAAATCTAAAAATTTGCATTTGATGGCCTAGAAACCCAGAAAACGGCCTAGAAACCCAACAATTTGCTTTTGATGGCCTAGGAACCCAAATATATGATTGTGGCGGCCTAGAATCCCAAAAATATGAGTGTGGCGGCCTAGAAACCCAAAAATATGGCCTAGAAACACAAAAATTTGCTTTTGATGGCCTAGAAACCCAAATATATGATTGTAGCGGCCTAGAATCCCAAAAATATGAGTGTGGCGGCCTAGAAACCCAAAAATATGGCCTAGAAACACAAAAATTTGCTTTTGATGGCCTAGAAACCCAAATATATGATTGTGGCGGCCTATAAATACAAAAAATGGCCTAGAAATCCAAAAATTTGCTTTTGATGGCCTAGAATCCCATAAAATGACCTAGGAACCCGAAAAACCACCTAGACCTTATGAAATGCGTTAGAATCGGAATTTTCAGCCCAGAAAACCCCAAAAAATCTTCCAGAGCCCTATTTTCAGCCCATAAATCCCCCTCCCTTTAAAAATACCATACCCAATGTTTTGACAATCGCTTTCCGTCCTTTTTTCGCCTTCTTCTTCTGCTCACTCTCATTTCCGCCAATTTCAATTTGCGCAAACATTTTGATCTGTTCTCGTTCCTCAATTTCAGTTGCCAAAAGGCGAAGAGCGGCCATATTTAGAGCGGTGACATCCTGCAAGAAATTCGAGGGTTTTGGGTTGAATTTTGGTTTGATTTTCATGTTCTTAAGCCTCTTTCATATGTTAGCGGAAGGAATATTTTTAAAACACAGAAATATATATATCTGGATTTTTTGAAACAGTTAAATTTAAAACAAAAAGTTATTGGCTTCGAATTCAGAATAAAAATAAAAAATTGTATTGAAATAATTTTGAAACAGTGAGAAAATTTAGAAAAAATTGTTTTTTCTCAAAAAATTCTGAAACAGTGAAAATTTTTTTTTGAGCAATTCAGGCTAATTTTCATTCAAAAATCTTAATTTTAAGTTCATTTTCGAGCAATTTCTGGTTGATTTTTTAAAATTCTAGAGCATCTTTTAAAACACAAAAATTTATATCTGGATTTTTTGAAACAGTTAAATTTAAAACAAAATGTTGCTCGCTTCGAATTCAAATCAAAATTAGAAAAAAATAAATTGTATTGAAATAATTTTGAAACAGTGAAAAAATTTCGAAAAAAAAATTTTTTTCTCAAAAATTCAGAAACCTTTTATAATGAAGCCGAAAAAACAAAAAAATTCTAAAAAAAATTTCTGAAACAGTGAAAAATATTTCAATTAATTTAGTGTTGAAGGACAAATTTGAAAAATCACAAATATCAATTTTAAAAAATAATATAAATATTTTGAAACAGTAAAATATTAAAATAAATTCTTGAGTTAATTTTCATCAAAATTCTTGATTTCAGGTTTATTTTTGAGCAAATTTGAGCCAAAAAAATTAAATTTCAAACAAATTTCACCGAAAGTTTAATTTCAAGATTTTTGAGCATTTCAGGCTAATTTTCATCCAAAAATCTTAATTTCAGGTTCATTTTTGAGCAATTTTCCCCTCAAAAACCCGGAAAAACCAACCCTCAATTCCTCGATTCCCTGTCGCATTTCTCGCTTCAACTTCTCATAAACCGGCACATTTTCCGACGTCGAAATGATATGGCTCAAATGGATTCGTGTCAAATAGATTGCCACGTGGGTGCACAACTCCACTTTGTAATATTGTTTTGTGCAACTTGCGATTGCCAACAGGATTTCATTGATATAACTTAGAGGAACTAGGAGAAGTGTTCGATCGAGATCACTGCAAAAAATCGATTTTTTGTCGGAAAATTCCAGAACACACCTGACGAGACGTGTCCAAAATGGACACTGTACATTTTTTTCAAAAGTCACACTGCATTTTTTTCGAAAAAAAACTTTGTTTCCTTTTCATCAACATTTAACTTGGGGAAATAAATGCACATTTAGTTCAGTGGTAGGCCATTTTGCTAGTGTTCAGAAGGCCCAGGTTCGAATCTTCATTCGAGCTAACTTTTTTTATTTTTTCCCAACTTCAAAATCAACTTCAGATTGCGAATTTTTCGAAGTTTCTCGGTGAAAATCAACTCAGCAGACTTTGTTTTAGTGTGGTAACATAATGTGCAGTGTGGAATTTACGTGACTGCTTAGCAAACCATAGTGTCACTGAAATTTCAAAAAAATTGACTTTCTATGAAAAAACTTCAAATTCCACACTGCACATGGGTAAATTCAAAAACTACGCTTAAAAATACACCAACTTTCTGAATATACCAACCCTTGATATGTGCTCGGAAAAAAATGCCGTCCGATTCTTTGTAATGTCCATATTTACACAGTGTCCCGAACGCGTATTGCGCCAGCACTCCACACTCCACACACTCTCTCGTTTTCTCTCTATCTCTCATCCGTCTCTTCAGCAAAGCGCACTCTCTCATCTTTTTTTGCGCTTTTGTTTTCTTGCTGAAAAATGCTGGAAATGGAATTTTTGTAACTAAATCGAATATGGAGAAGACAAAGGAAGAAAAATTGAAGCTATTCCAAGTTGTTTCATGAAAAATGGTTGAGAATGAAATGATCAAGAGCTCTTCAGAAAATACCTTGTGCAAAAACGTCATTTTTGATCCAGGAAAGCTGATAAATTTCAGTTTTATGCTTCCAAAACATTGAAATAGGACTCCTCAAGTATGTGGAATCAATAATAATTCAAAATTATGATGTTTTTGTTATTTTATTTTCCATCGAAATTTGCCCAAAATTGATCAAAAACCCAGATTTCAGAAGTTTATTTTGATCAAATATTTCCTAAAACACCTCAAAAGTATTCTAATTTACATATTTATCATAAAACAAGTGCCGAAACACATTTTTCCTTCATAAAATTTGAATTGTTTTTCTTCAAAAGAGAATAACTAACTTATTTTGAATCCAATCTTCACATGTTTTATATCAAAACGTTCCTCTCATTATTCTCCAGAACATATAGCTCAGTTTGGGAGTTTTCATGCAAGTATAATTCAATTCTAATCGTTTCAAGAAAAAACCTAGTGTTAAATTTTCAAAAAACCGACAAACAGGCTTGTGCGCTCTACCGCACATGCACCAAAAATGCGCACAACTTTTCTCTGCCTACGCGTTCGGGGCACTGTGATTTACCATCAAAATGGACACTTCAAAATAACAGCGAAATAGGGCATTTCCACACTGCACTCATGGTGTTCCACACTGCCTATGACCTTAGCAATCTATTGGAAAAAAATCAACTATATCCGTTAAGCCTAAGCTTAGTTATCCTAACTTCAAATTTTGAGCAACGTTGCAACGCATTCGTTTGAAAACAGTTTCCTTTTCCACCAACATTTTCCCCTCTTGATCAATGAGAAAAAAAGAGATGTGGCCGAGAGGATAGCATTTTAGACTGGCGAGCATGAGACCAGGGTTCGAATCCTCCTGCCCGCGGACTTTTTTTTTCGAAAAACTTGAAAATTTCACGCTGCACATTTTTTTTTTTGAAAAAAATTTTCACACTGCACAAAAAATTTGGGACACTCTCTCGTCAGGTGTGTTCCAGAATTTTATACAAATTTCAGCTGGAAAATCGAATTTCTGGTCAAAATTTGAGAAAAATCGGTTTTTTTTTCAGAATTTTCAGATTTTTGACCTCTGAAAACCTGAAATTCACATTTTCCCCTCAAAATTGGATTCTGGTCAATTTTTCAGCAGGAAAATCAAACTTCTAGTCATTTTTGAGCTGGAAACCTGAATTTTTGCATATTTTCAGACTAAAAAAATCAATTTCTCCCGAAAATCCTGGTTTTTTACTTCAATTAATTTTCCCGGAAATTATAGGTTTCAAAATATTGATTTATAGTTCCTAATGAATCTCAAAAATGTTAAATGTTGTCTGAATGTTACCTAAAAATAGCCCTGAATCTTAAAATTACAGTTCGAAATCCTGAAAACTATGATTTCCCCGGTTTTTCAGTTATCATCCAATTCAGAAAACCATGTATGATTCTATTAATATTTTCGAAATTTATCAGAATTCATAAATCAATATTTTGAAACCTATAATTTCCGGGAAAATGAATTGAAGTCAAAAACCAGGATTTTTCGGGGGAAATTGATTTTTTAGTCAGAAAATATGCAGAAATTCAGGTTCCAGGTCAAAACATGACCAGAAATTCAATTTTTCCGCTGAAAAATGGGCCAGAATCAAATTTTGAGGGAAAAAAAATCTGAAAATTGCGTATACTGGAAAAATACCACGTTTTCAGTTCAAAAAATGACTAGAACTTCAATTTTCCAGCTTGTTCGTGGCAAAAACCTCAAAATTTCACTTACAGCAGGAAAATCTGTAAATTTTCAGGCTTTTGTGGGCCCGAATCCAAAAAAATCTGAATTTCAGTGTTTTGGGGGTCAAAAACTGGAAAAAACCCGAATTTTCATAAATTTTGGCTCAAAAATTCCTCTAGCCAGTAATTTTGAGAGGGAAAAATTCTGAATTTCAGTTTTTCAGATCTCACAAATCTAAAAATTTTGTATACTGCAAAAATACCATGTTTCCAGGTCAAAAATGACTAGAAATTCAATTTTCAGCTGAAAAATGGGCCAGAATCATATTTCGAGGGGAAAAAAAGATTTTTTTCAGTGAAAATTAAAAATTTCAAAAAAGACCCCGTTCTTGTAACACCTCGAGAAATAACAAATTTTTAATATAAATATTTTGAAACAGTAAAGTATTGAAATAAATTCTTGAGCTAATTTTCATCAAAATTCTTGATTTCAGGTTCATTTTTGAGCAAATTTATAGCATTTCGGAGCAATTTTGATTCAAAAATCCTTCTATCGAGTAATTTTGAGAAGAAAAATCTGAATTTGAGGTTTTCAGCGGTCAAAATTCTGAAAATTCATTGAAAAAACCCGAATTTTCTCAAATTTTGGCTGAAAAACCGTCTAATTTCATATTTTTCAGCGGTCAAAAATTCAAATTTTTCCCCAATTTCACCCCCCCACTCCCAAAACCCAACCTCGCTCTACACTTTGCAATAACATCCACAATAAAATGTTCCAATGATTTGCTCCTGAATGCTTCAATCATCGGATGTTGCTCTTTTTTGCCCGGATCTTCCATTCTCTGTACTCTCTCCTCTCTAACAATATCAACCGCTTGTATGATATTTTCCGCCGATACAACACTGGAACTAGTTTTCGAACTCGCAACTCCCGCTTCATTATTTCCATCTTCACCCGCCACAACATCTTCTTCTTCAATCAATTTCTTCTCATATTCTTTTTCTCGCTCCATTTCCTCTCTTTCTTCAACAATCAACATTTCATCCGTTTTTTCCCAGCATCGAATTGATTTATCGTGTGAGGCCGAGAACATCACTGCTCCATTTTGGAATTGTGCCAAATCGCGAATTTCGGCGACGTGGCGATCGAGAATTTGGACGAGGATGAATTTTGTGGCATCCCATTGTTTGATTTTGCCATCTTTGCCGGCCGACCAGAAGAGTTGCTCTTCGCCGGGTGAAAAAAGAACCGCGGTTACGCTGGAAGATGAAGAAAATTGGGAGAGGAAAGGCCTAGGTTTAGGTTTAGGGTCTTAGGAAAAGGTTTAAGGTAGTAGAAGGTTTAGGTTCAGGATAATTTAGATTTAGGCTAAATGCGATTTAGGATAATTAAGGTTCAGGATATATTAAGGATAATTAAGCTTCAGATTTAGGATAATTTTAGGCTTAGGGGCTTAGGATAATTCTAGACTTATTAGGGGCTCAGAATTAGGATAACTTTGATTTAGGCTGGAATAGATTTAGGATATTTCTAGGCTTAGGGGCTTAGGATAATATTTAAATTCAGCATAAGGTTAAGGATACTTTAGATTAGGATAATTTTAGGGTAACTTAGCTTTAGGATAAGGAATTTAGGCTAAATTTGATGAATTTTTCAGTAAGAAAATCATATTTTTTGAATTTTTCAAAAATTAATCAAATTTTTGGTAATTTTTTTCAGGAATCTTCAAAATTTCAATTTTATATCTAAATTTTCCAAGCCACGTCATAACTCAAAATCTCCGCATTCCCAGAAAAAAACTCACGCATCATCATGAGCGTGCAACGATTTATGGCAATCTCCAAAATCGAGTCCCCAAATTTTGACGGATTTATCCACCGATCCAGTCACACAAATCTTGCTGGTCTGGAAAAAACGTAGACATTTTAGGTTTCAGGCTTACGGGGCCCTGTTTAGGCCTGATTTTAGGCCCTTTTCAAGCTTGCTCAGAGCCGTTTTCAGACGGCTTTTCAGGCTTGTTTCTAGACCAATTTCAGAGGCCCTTTCAGAGGGCTTTTCAGGCCTTTCTTAAGGCTCATCTCATGCCTGTTTTTCTTGAGGCCCTTCAGGCAATTTTCTGATTATTTTCAGGATTTTTCTAAAAAAATTAAAAAATACAAATTTTCGCACCGAAATTCAAAATTTAAAAATTCTAAATCAGCGCGAAAACTCAGAATTTCAAATTTTGGCGGCAAATTCAAAAATTCAAAATTTCACGGCAAAATTCAGAAATTCAAATTTTCAAACACCTAAATCCTTTTTTCTTCAAAAAAATGATGAAAATTCCGAATTTCGTTAATTTTTTCAAATTCCTCCCCAAAAGAACCACACATACCGGTGCAACATCAACACAAGTAACCGGCAAACTATGTCCATAGAGTGATACAAAAAACTTCAACGTATCCACAAAATACACAGAGCAAGTGTTATTCAACAGGGCGACGACGAGAAATTTTCCATCGGGCGAAAATCGCGCCGCCAACGCCTCATCCGGCAGCTCGAGGCAACGATTTTCGCGGATCGAAATGCGTTTTCGTGAACCTTCGGTGATTAGTGTGTATTGCCAGAAACGGGCGGTTTTATCCGCCGAAACACTCATAAAACCTTCGCCATCTGGAGTATTTTGAATCGTCCAAACTGCTGCTGTGTGAGAATTTCGAGTTTCGACAAGTTCAGCTGAGCTCACTTCGAATAGTCCAATTACACCATTCTGGAAAAAATTGTGTAATTTTCAAATTGCTTTTTTTTGAGAAAAAATTACTGTTTCAAAAAATTTAAATAAAAAAATTTGTGATTTCAGAGTTGTTCCAAAAAATTTATTCAATAATTTTTCACTGTTTCAGAAAAATCTTTTTTTTTCCGGTTCAATAAAACATTAATAATCAACGTTTTTGAAAAAACATTGAATTTTTGAAAACATTTTTTTTACTGTTTCAAAATTATTTGAACAACATTTTCAAATTTTCTGGATTGATCCTAGTTAAAATCACGTAAAATATTTACTGTTTCAAAAAATCCATAGAAAAATAGTGGGATTTTTCAATTATTCCCTCGTTTAGATTATGGAAGAACAAGCTAAAATTTGAAAATTGAAAAAAAAATTCACTGTTTCAAAATCTTTACTTGAATATTTTGTAATATTCAAAATATTATTTATTCAGAGTTTAAAATTAAAATTAAAATGCTAATTTATCGGAATTTTTTGTTCACTGTTTCAAAATATTTTAATAAAAAATCTGTGATTATAGAGTTGTTCCTTCCGTCCAAAAATGTAGAAAAAAAAAATAAAAATTTGTTGAATAATTTTTCACTGTTTCAGAAAAATCATTTTTTTTTCTTCGGATTCAATAAATAACATTAAAACTAAGCTATCGAGTGGTTTTGATAAAAATTGAATTTTTGAAAACATTTTTTCACTGTTTTAAAAAATTTTAATAAAAAAATTTGTAGTTTCAAGGTTGCTTCTTTTTCTCAGTAAATACAGAACTAAAAATTTGTTGAATAATTTTTCACTGTTTCAGAAAAATCATTTTTTTTGGCTTCAATAAAACCATTAATATTTTGTAATATCCAGTTTTTTTGAAAAATATTGAATTTTTGAAAACATTTTTGCACTGTTTCAAAATTATTTGAACACAATTTTCAATATTTCTGAATTGATCCTTTATTGCTATCGTGAAAAATATTCAATGTTTCAAAAAATCCACAGAAAAATAGTGGGATTTTTCGGTTATTCCTATGCACATATGATGAAAGAAAAAACTAACTAAAATTTGAAAATTAAAAAAATTTACTGTTTCAAAAAATCCAGATATTCATCTATGTAAATGTTTGGTAATCTTCCCACTGCAACCCTTTTGAAGTAGAAAAAATGATTTTTAGAGTCAGAAAATCCAAATTTTAGCGGTAGAAAGATATTTAGGCTAAAAATTTGAAACAACACATTTAAAAATAATTTACGAAATTCTAATGTAAATTTTAGAGTAATTAAATTGTTCAAAAAATTTAGAGAAAAAAATGTTCACTGTTTCAAAAAATTCATATAAAATTTTCTATACTTTTTCCAACATTTTTCAAACACAATAATATATGTACATCTTGTTTTTTTTTTTGAAACAGTGAAATTTTTTAATTTTCAAATTTTAGTTAGTTTTTTTCTTTCATAATATGAGTGAAGGAATAACTGAAAAATCCCACTATTTTTCATATGGATTTTTTGAAACAGTGAAAAAATCTGGAATTTGATTGATATGCAATATTTTTATGATTATAATGAAGGATCAATTAAAAATTGTGTTCAAATAAATTTGAAACAGTGAAAAAAAAATGTTTTCAAAAAATTCAATTTTTTCTCAAAAACACAGGAGTTGACTATTAAAGTTTTGTTTAAGCCGAAAAAAAAGATTTTTCTGAAACAGTGAAAAATTATTCAAATGTTAATTTTTTTTATTACATTTATGGGAAGAAAAATTGAAAATCGTATTCAAACAATTTTGAAACAGTGAAGAAAAAAATGTTTTCAAAAATTCAATTTTTGTCAAAATACTGGACAGTATCAATGTTTTTGTTGAAGCCGAAAAAAAAGAATTTTCTGAAACAGTGAAAAATTATTCAAATGTTTAGTTTTTTTTACATTTATGGGGAGAAGGAACAACTTTGAAATCACAAATTTTTTATTTAAATTTTTTGAAACAGTGAAAAAAAATCCCGCAAAATTAAATTTATTTGAATTTAAAAGATTCAAAACAAAATTATTGAATTGTTTTTTAAAAAATTAGAAAAAAATTCACTGTTTCAAAAAAAGATATATATTTTTGTTTGAAAAATGTTCCTCTGGTGAAATTACGTAGAGAAAAATAGATTTTTAGAGTCAGAAAATTCAAATTTCAGCAGTAAAAAGTTATTTCGGCTAAAAATTTGGAAGAGCACATTTTGAAAGAAATTCTAATGTAAATTTTAGGGTAATTAAATTGTTCAAAAAAATTTCACTGTTTCAAAAAATCCATATAAAAATAGTTTCCAAAAAATCTGTTTTTTTGATAATCATGGAGAAAATAAAAAGTTAATTTTAAATTTGTAGGTGCCAAAAATCATTTTGAAAAATTTCACTATTTCAAAAAATCTAGATATACATTTTTGTGTTTTTAAAAATATTCGTTCCGAAGAATTATGCAATAAATTTTTTCATCCATTTTTTCACTGTTTCAAAATTATTTGAACAAAATCTTCAATGTTTCTCGAATGGTCCAGGCGTGAAAAATATTGTTTAACCTTAACTCAAATTCCAGATTTTTTTAAAGCTTATAATTATTTTGTTGAATTTTTTTAAACGATTCAACCCCAAAATTATTGAATTGTTTTAAAAAAATTTCACTGTTTCAAACAAACAAGATATATATTTTTGTTTGAAAAATGTTGGACAAATGAAATTTAAAAAATTAGATTTCTAGAGTCAGAAAATTAAAATTTGAACAATAAAAAAGTTCACTGTTTCAAAAAATCCATATAGAAATAATTTTATTTTCCGGTTATTCCATAACTTGAATTATTCATAAAACATAGATTTTAATTCTAAATTTGAGGGCGCCAAAAATCAATTTTGAAAAATTTCACTGTTTCAAAAAATCAAAATATTCATTTATGTAAATTTTTGGTAATATTTCAATTCCTAATTCTTCGTGAAAAATTAATTTTCAATTTTTTGCCCTTTCAGATCAAATATGAATAATGATTTTACCTCTAATTTTATGAATTTCAGTTAAAATTTATCAAGTTTCAAAAAAAAAATCTTGAATTTGATTTAAGATTTGAAAAAAAATGTTTTTTCACGATCTGAATGAATTCGAGAAACATTGCAGATTTTGTTCAAATAATTTTGAAACAGTGAAGAAAATTGATTCAAAAATTCATCCCCCCCCCCCAAAAAAAAGTACTCACCTTTCCCCCGCTCAACACATAATTATCTCCCGGCACAAACGCAACCGACACAACATCCTTCACATCATTCTCCTTCAATGTCAACGAGCTTCTCAACGAATGTGTACTCCACAGTATAATCTCATCACCTCCAGCCGACGCCAATAAACTCGAGCTAGAAGACACCGAAATCGCTCGAATATCCTCTCGATGTCCAAGTTTATCCAAATTTGCCAAACTATCCGATTCAACCGCATTCGATTGCTCATTTATACTCATTTTCACGGCGTGTACAGTGTTATTTGTCAAAAGTGCATAGATTTTATAATCGATTTGATCGTCTTGTTGTGATTTGAAAGTTTTGTCAACGATGTCGATCCATTTGATTTTGTGGGGAAGAGCGATTTCGCCGATTCTGGTGACGAGAATTGTGACATCTTTTGAGACTTCAGTTTCGCTTACTTGAGTTTCATCGTTCCTGAAAATTGGGAGGTTTTGGAGTGGGAATGGAAGGATTTTCAGCCAGAAAATCCTAGTTTTCAGCCAGAAAATATCAATTTTCAGGTAGAAAATATTCGATTTTCTTTCAAAAATATTCAATTTTAATTCAAAAATATTCGATTTTCTTTTTAAAATATTCGATTTTCTTTCAAAAATATTCAATTTTCTTCAAAAATATTCAATTTTAATTCAAAAAAATTCAATTTTAATTCAAAAAATATTCGATTTTCTTTCAAAAATATTCAATTTTCACTCAAAAATATTCAATTTTCACTCAAAAATATTCAATTTTCATTCAAAAATATTCAATTTTCACTGAAAATTGGACGATTTTCATCCAGAAAATCCAAATTTTCAGCCCAAAAAAACTGAAACTCACGCCGCTTTCCTCTTTGCAGTCCTCAATTTCTTCGTCAACCGTTTCGTCGACTCATTTTCACTAAAAACCCGATAGACATCAGCAACTTTGTCAGCGCCGACACAAACCAAGAATTTGTCGTCGTGAGTGGCGACGAGTTGAAGAGCACGACCTTTTGATTGGCGGATGACGCGGCCACGGAGTTTTGTCGAAATGTAGCGCTGGAAATGGGGGTTTTTCATGAAATACATATTTTTCTAGTAGTTTTCGATCACTAAAATTGCAGAAATCAACTTCTAATATGAGTTATGACGTGGCAAAGTGGAAATTTCAGGGTTCTAGGAGCTGAAACCTGAAAAAATGGTTTTTCCCATGAAAATCTGATAGAATAGGGTTGTTCAGGAGGTTCGATAACATAATCAGACTTTATTTTTTCATTAGAGGATAAATTTTCAAAATGTATCCCACAATGAAAAAAATAAAGTCTGCTTATGTTATCGAGCCTCCTGAACAACCCTATTCTATCAGATTTGCATAAGAAAAATCAATTTTTCAGGTTTCAGCTCCTAAAATCCCGAAATTCTTCAACTTTGCCACGTCATGACTCATATTTGGAGTTGAGTTTTGCAATTTTAGTGTCGAAAACTACTAGGAAACATATATTTCATCAAAAATCCAGTTCTTTTATGAGAGGAAACTGGAGATTTTTGAAATTTTCCCTAATTTTCCTACTAACATTAGCCATATTCGCCAATCCATCCCCATCTTCAACTTCTTCTTTCATCATCGTTGATTTCTTCGTTTTCGGCACATCTTCTCCCTCTTTCTCTTCCTCAAAAATCGCGCCATTCTTCCAATTCAACTCAAAAACCAACAATTCCAATTCCGAAGTTGCAGCAACCAAAATCGTCTCATCTCGATGCAAACTAATCGAATAAATCTCATTTCGACTATCCATTATTGTGTAGAAACATGTTTGACTTGCAATACTCCATAGTTTGATGAGACTATCTTTAGAACTCGAAATAATGAATCGATCTCCTCTCACAAATTTCATCTGAGTCACCGATTCCTTATGGCCGTGTAACCGAAACAATCCTCGTTCCGCAACAATATCCCATAAAACAATTACACCATCTTTGCCACCGGTGGCGAAAATCAAACCATCGCTACTGAATTCGATGCAATTTACCGCTTTTTTATGACCAGAAAACATCACAGGTTCAGCGTCTGCAATTTTTATATTTATTTCAGAGGTATAACTTATATTTTGGCTCAAACAAACCTTCATTTTCCCTATCGATCAATTTCACAGATCCATCTGTATAACCAATTGCTAAAAGTGGTTTGGTTTCGCATTTTCTCACACATGAAATCGCCTTTTCCGATTCAATTATCTCATTGACCTTCTCCGCCATTCGCATATTGTAAAAATTGAGATATTCATTTGAGGTGACTGCCACAATATTGCTATCAATTGCGATTAATTGTCCGTTTGTTGAACCGACACAGCCACAAGATCCAGCATGTTCGTATTTTAGATAATCTTTTGTGATTCCCATGCTGGAAAAACTGCGGTTTTGGGGAAAAACGGGGCGAAAACAGAGAAAAAAAAAGAAAAAAATAAAAATAATGTTGGTTTTCTCTTCCACGGCCACCTGGGGGGAAAACTCGGCCACATTGTAGCGCGTTGGTTTTCCATGGGAAAAAACGAGAATACCGCCTTTAGGAACGTTCCGTTTGAGCCTAGGTTGGACTAGGGAAGCTAGAGTAACTTTCCGCTGAAGCGGAAAGAATTCCGCGTCGGCGGAAGCTTGCGGAACGTGGCAGTTTTTTTGTAGAAAAAAATTTCGCAAACGGTATACGGTATGTAAATGCACACAATGCATTTGATTTGACGCGCATTTATTTTTATTTTTTTCCTGTCTGAAAATTCCCCACCGTTTTCAAATCCAAGAAATTCCAAAATAACGGCAATCTTGTGTTTTTTCTTTAGAAAATAAATAAGTATGTCACGCTAAAATAAAAAATTTTATGAACAATTTCGAAAAAAAAATTTAAAATCTAGTCGGATCAAATTTCAACGAGAATCCAGTTGGTTTCATGTGTTCGGGTTTGACAGCGAGTTGTTTGAGCAATTTCGCAGTCTCGGGATCCACCACGACATCGGGTTTTTTCTGTTGTTGTTTTTTGCTGGCCGGAGGTGGCGCTTGATTTTGTTCGCTTTTCGCGGGAAACGTCGGAAAATCTTCGGATGGTACCGGAAGCGGATTTTCACTGAACCATTCGTGTGTCAACGCCTCCGATGTGGTAATTCGATTCTTCGGATCATACGTCAAAAATCGCATCAACAATTTGAATCCGGTATCGTCCAACAATCGTCCCGACAAGAATTGCTTCCTCAATTGATTATACGGATAATTCTCGAATTGCAATCGACTCCATCCCTCCAATTCCACAACATCTGGCCATATTTGTGTGGTTGGTGTGCCGAGTTCCATGAAGATCTTCTTGATTTGCTCGAGTTCACCGCGACCGGGAAAGAGTGGTTTGAGGAGAATGATTTCGGCCATGATGCAACCGATTGACCAAACATCCACTGGAGTTGAGTAATACTGGAAAAATTGGGAATATTGAGGTTTCTTGTAATTTTCCGCAGAACTCAACTTCTAACCTGAGTTATGACGTGGCGAAATTGGAGATTTTAGGAGCTCAAACCTGAAAAAATGATTTTTCTCATGCAAATTTGATAGCATAGAGTTGTTCAGAAGGGAAAAATCATTTTTGAAGCTTTTTTTCAGGTTTCAACTCTTAAAATCGCGAAATCTCCAACTTTGCCACGTCATAACTCAGGTTAGAAGTTGAGTTCTGCAACTTCAGACAAATATCGACTCACCCTAGCTCCTAGCAACAATTCCGGAGATCTATACCAAAGTGTAACAACGACGGAGGTGAATTTCTTCAAAGGATCTCCATATTCTCGAGCCAAACCGAAATCTGCGATCTGAAAAAACAGGATTTTTTTTTTAGGAAAAAAAGGAAAACTTCAAAACCTTACCTTTAGGACACCTTTATGTGATAAAAGCAAATTCGAAGTCTTCAAATCTCTATGCAAAATCCACAATCGATGCATATGATCAATTCCCGACAACAATTGATGTAGCAAAGTCTTCTGCTCGCCCACCGAAAACCTCTTATTCCTCTTCTTCATCGTGTCCAGGAGACTTTTCAAGTCGTGTTCCACAAATTCCATGGCCATGTATATTTTATCCATATTTGTGCCAATCAAAATCTCCTTAACATTCACAATATTCGGATGATTTCCCGCCTTCAAAAGCATATTAATTTCTCGAAGTGCAGTGATCGGAAAACCCTCTTTCTCCTTTTCCATTTTCAACCGTTTCAACGCCACAATTTCATCAGTTCTTTTGTCTTTTCCACGATAAACCACTCCAAAAGTTCCCTCATCTACACGATTTACACATTCATATTCCGCAATATTCCGGCAACCCATGATTCCTGGGTAGAAAACAGGGAGCTTTGAGATGAGTTGCTTCTGATAATCATTCTCCAAGCGAGATCGAACATCTGGAGTTAGACTATCTCTTTGTTCCTCTGTCAGATCTTCCCACTTATGATTTATAAATGATTCTTCATCGTCTAGATGTTCTTGATCGGAATCTAGATCTTCCATAACTTCAACAATTTCTGGGGAATCCTCTCTCAATGGAGAACCTTCTTCTTCTTCTTCCTCATCACTTTCAAACTTCGAATACTTCTTCGGGCCAGCTTCAGCTTCCAGGGTGAATGTGGAAATCGGTTTGTCCTCCTCGAGAATCTCCACAGGAGACATCTCAACATCCTCAATTTCTATAACTTTTTCCGCAGATTTCTTAGATTTTCCTGGCTCCAAAACTCGCTCGAATAATTTGTATTCTTCCTTTTCCTTCTCTTTCCCATCTTTATGCGATTTTTCAGATGTTCTGTGTGATTTTCGATCTTCTGTCGATGAACTTCTTCGTCGATGTTTCCTGTCTCTAGAATGTCTTCGATGATGCTTCTCCTTCTCCTTATCCCGATATCTATCCCTTTTATGATGTTTTTCCGGGCTCGGCGGTGATACTCTCTTCCTCTTCTCCCGGCTCTCCGGTTCCCGACGCCTTTGCGAATCTTTTGGTTGAATCGTGAATCTTTCATCCTCATCATCATTCTCACTATGCTTTCGTTTGCTTTTATTTAGCTTGTTGAGAAGTTTGGCGCGTATTTCGGACTCTAAAATTGAGAATTTTCCGAGTTTTCCTTATTTTCTCACCTTTTTGCGATCCATCATCATCTGACGCTGATTGCTGACGACGTTCATCCGAGATTTCTCCCTCATCGTGCGAACTTCGGCTCATTTTTCTGCTGTCTAGAGTTTCGAAAATAAAACCTGGAAATAAAAGTAGAAATGCAAGCGCGCTCCAGCGAGAATTGTGTGTTTGCAGACGCGGCATTTTATCTGACGCGCATTTATTTTTATTTTTTCATTTTTTCAGCGTGTGCTCTTTTCTTTTTTAGTCTACTAAAAAACCCTTCTATATTTTTTTTCCAGAACACAATGGCCCTACCAGGCGAGCGATTCCACGTGTTAGCCCAACTCGAACATCTCCAATCAAAATACACCGGCACCGGCCATGCCGATATGAATCGACACGAATGGATCGTCAACCAACATCGCGACACGAGAGCCTCGCAAATGTCTCACCCAGGAATGACGTCGTTCATTGCGATTGTCGAGAATGAGAGTCGCGCGCGGACAAGATTCAATTTGCTGAATCGAATGATTCAACCGTGCGGACCACCACCTGATAAAAATCCACTTGATGATGTTTGAAACAAATAAACTAATTTATTCCTGGGATTTTTTTGAATAGGAGGTTTTGCTCCAGGATCATCTATTTCTAAAAAATAAGCATCTGGTGTAAAATTTGTGTGAAAAATTCCAGAAGTTCTATGAACTTCACACGCCTCGCTTTGAAAATGAATCGATTACACCTGGAAAAATCACCCTATCTCCTCCAACACGCAACAAATCCAATACACTGGTACTCTTGGGGTCAAGAAGCTTTCCAGGAGGCTCGCCTCAAAAATCTCCCAATATTTCTATCAGTCGGCTATTCCACGTGTCACTGGTGTCATGTGATGGAAAAAGAATCATTTGAAAACGTGGAAATTGCAGATTTTCTCAATGAAAATTTCGTTTCGATTAAAGTTGATAGGGAAGAGCGACCGGATGTTGACAAATTATATATGGAATTTATTGTGGCGACAACTGGACATGGTGGTTGGCCAATGAATGTTTTCCTGGCCCCCGAAAACCTGGCGCCAATAACGGGCGGCACATATTTCCCACCGGATGATTCGAGAGGGATGCTCGGTTTTCCGAGCATCCTAAAAATGATTAGTGAAGAATGGCGAAAAGATGCGGAAGGGCTGAAAAATCAGGGAAAAATTCTGCTGGAATTGATGGGAAAAAGTGAGGTCCAAAGTGCGCAGCTCCCTGAAGCTGACCGGGTTTTCGAGGCGATTTATAGTCATAAGACGGCGAGTTTTGATGCGACATTTGGCGGGTTTGGAAGAGCGCCAAAGTTTCCCAAGTGTTCTGATCTCGATTTCCTCGTTCACTACGCTTCTTCGCAGAAATCTGAATCCCCCGAAAAATCACAAAACACTTTGAAAATGCTGAAAAAAACGCTGGAATCAATGATTTTTGGGGGAATTCATGATCATATTGGCAAAGGTTTTCATCGTTATTCGGTTGATCGTGAATGGCATATTCCACATTTTGAGAAAATGCTGTATGATCAGGCACAACTATTGGGCACGTTTTCCGATTTTTATAGGCTGGAGAGGTGAGGAATTTCTGCGATTTTTATACTGCAAAAACAAAAAAAAAATTCTGCGCGCATGGGGAATCGAACTCGCGTAGCTCGTTTCTTCGGCGCGTGTGTATACCACTTGTACATGAGACCCCAAATAGTACAATGAGGAAAATTGTGTTTTTTGCAGCTCGCCCGAAATTCGTCAAATAATCCAGGATATCTACGAATACCTAATCGAAAATCTGCAACATCCAGAAGGCGGTTTTTATTCAGCCGAAGATGCTGATTCATTTCCCTTCGAAAATTCCCCGCCGAAAAAAATCGAGGGAGCATTTGCTACGTGGACTAAAGATGAGATAACTCAAGTTTTGATGGATGAACGTGAGCGGGAGATATTCTGTGAGTATTTTGATGTGGAAGATGAGGGAAATTTGCCAAAGCATGCGGAAGAGGAGATGGGAAAATTGAAAAATTGCTTGAGAAGAGTGAAAACTGATGAAGAAGTTGCGGGAAGTTTTGGGATTTCTGTGGAGGATTTGCAAAAATCTATCGGGGAATCGAAAAAGAAATTGTTGACGGCCAGAAAATTGCGACCAGCTCCACATTTGGACTCAAAAATCGTGTGTTCTTGGCAGGGATTATCGATTAGTGGATTGGTGAAAGCGTATCAGGCGATTGGAAGTGAGGAGATGTTGAGAGACGCCGAAAAATGCTGGGATTTTGTGGAGAAATATTTGATTGTGGATGGGGAGACGGGAGAGTTGAGAAGAGCTGTTTATTTGGAAGAGGATGGTGGGGAGGAGAAGAGGATTGAGATGGGGTAAGTCGGGATTTTTTTGCGCTTGAAAATCCACGTTTTTTGAGTCTAAATATGCCTGGGATTTTTTTGGAAACCTTTTTTGCCACGAGGAATTTTCACTAACAAATTGAAATCTGAAATTCAGAAATTCTGAAAAAAATGTGGATTTTGGGGCTCAAAATTCTAATTTTTAAAAATTTTGCGACGTGGAATTTCGAACAAAAAATTCCAGATGAAAAATTTGAATTTGAATTTTCAAACAAAATTTCAAACGTGGATTTTTTAGCGAAAAAAATTGAGATTCAAAAACAATTTTGCCACGTGGATTTTTCTGGGTTCAAAATTCGAATTTTTCGAATTTTTGCCACGTGGAATTTTGAACAAAAAATTCCAGATGAAAAATTTAAATTTGAAGTTTTTTAACAAAATTAAAAAAAAAACATGACCACGTGGATTTTTCAGCGCTTAAAATTGAGATTCAAAAAATTTTTTCACGTGGAATTTTGAACCAAAAAATTCCAGATGAAAAATTTAAATTTGAAGTTTTCTAACAAAATTAAAAAAAAAACATGGCCACGTGGAATTTTTACTAAAAAATTGAAATCTGAAATTCAGAAAATCTAAAAATTGAGATTCAAATAAAATTTTGCCACGTGGATTATTCGAAGCTAAAAATTGAGATTCAAAAAATTTTGCCACGTGGATTTTTCCCGCGCCAAATTCAAATTTAATTTCCAGAAATTCCCCAATGGCCTTCTCGGATGACTATGCTTTTCTAATTCAAGGTCTACTCGATCTCTACACAGTAACCGGAAAAGACAAATATCTGAAAGCGGCTGAAAATCTGCAAACAAAAATGGATCTGAAATTCTGGAATTCCTCTGGTGGATATTTCATATCGGCTGAAAATGAGGAGCTGAAAATTCGAATTTGTGAGAATCAAGATGGCGCCGAGCCATGTGCAACATCAATTGCAACTCTGAATTTGCTCAGGTTTTATGAGATTTTGGAGGTGGAAAAGTATCGAGAGGCGGCTGAAAAATGCTTGAAATGGGCTGGCGAAAGGCTGGAAAAGGTAAGGGTCTTACGGCCTTAGGCCCCTAAAAATCGTGATTTTTAGGCCCTTAGGCCCCCTAGAAAATGCCCAATTTTCATTTTCAGGTCCCGATTGCTCTTCCAAAATTGGCCTTGGCTCATCAGAGATGGCAAAATGGAGCACAAGTTTTTGTGTTGGTCGGTGAGCCCGATTCTGAGCTCTTGGAGCTCGCTAGAACATTTTTGAATCAGAAATTTATCGCGAACTCGAGTGTTGTACATATTTGTGAAGCTGGTGAGTTTTTTTTTGGGAATTTTAAAAATTATTTTGGTTTCGAAAAAATTCACTGTTTCAAAAAATCTATGAAATTATTTTCACAGTTTCAAAAATAATCCTATTTTTCCAATTTCTAAAGAAAAATTCTTGGCTCATTTTGTGTCTAAAAACGTGGAATTTTTCTCAAAAATTTTTTTAAAATTAATTTTGGTTTCAAAAAAGTTCACTGTTTCAAGAAATTTCAAAATAATTTTCACAGTTTAGAAAATTATTCCTCTTTTGTGTGGTTCCAGAAAAACTCCTCGCTCATTTGGTGTCTAAAAACGTGGCATTTTTGACATAAGAATTGTCAAGTGTAATTTTCCCTAGAAAAAATTCACTGTTTCAAAAAATTCACAAAATAATTTTCAAAGTTTCAAAAATAATCGGATTCTTGTTTCTCTATGAACAATCCTGGCTTATTTGATTTCAGAAAACGTGGAATTTTTGGTTGAAATTGCCACGTGGCATTTTCACTGTTTCAAAAAATCTACAAAATTTTTTTACAGCTTCAAAAATAATGAACAGTGTGTATTTGTTGAGAAAAAAAAATTAATTTTGGTTTCAAAAAAAATCACTGTTTCAAAAAATTTACAAAACTATTTTAAGTTTTCAAAAATAATTCATCTCGTGCTGTGTACGTCAAAAAAAATCCGGACTTATTCAAAGTAAAAAAACGTGGAATTTTTGACGTGAAAATTGTAACGTGGTATCGTGGAAAATTGTGGAAAATTGAAAATTGTCACGTTAAATTTTGAAAATTTGAAAAATTTCACAGTTTCAAAAAATCCACAAAACTATTTTCACAGTTTTAAAAATAATTGGATTCTCTTTCCTCTAGAAACAATCCTGGCTTATTTGGTGTCTAAAAACGTGGAATTTTTGGTTGAAATTGCCACGTGGCATTTTCTTCCGAATTTTGAAAATAAAAAAATTTCACTGTTTCAAAAAATCTACAAAAATTTTTTTACAGCTTCAAAAATGATAAACAGTGGGTATTAGCTGAGAAAAAAAAAATTAATTTTGGTTTCAAAAACTTTCACTGTTTCAAAAAATTCACAAAACTATTTTAAGTTTTCAAAAATAATTCATCTCGTGTGCTGTGTACGTCAAAAAAATCCGGACTTATTCAATGTAAAAAAAACGTGGAATTTTTGACGTGAAAATTGTAACGTGGAATTTTCCCCAGAAAAAAATTCACTGTTTCAAAAAATTCACAAAACTATTTTTAGTTTTCAAAAATAATTGGCTGTTTTTTCTAGTCCAATAAAAATCCTGGATCATTTGGTGTCAGAAAAAAAACGTGGAATTTTACTTCAAAATTTCCACGTGGCGTTTCCCTCAAAATATAAAATTGATTTTGTTTTTAAAAAAATCACTATTTCAAAAAATCTACAAAAAATTTTTCTTTTTTTGGGGTCTGTAAACGTGGAATTTTTACCGTAAAAATGCCACGTGGAATTTTCCCAGAAAAAAATTCACTGTTTCAAAAAATCCACTAAACTTTTTTCACAGTTTCAAAAATAATGGATTTTTTGTGTTCCTCTATAGACAATCCTGGCTTATTTGGTGTTACAAGAAAGTGGATTTTTTGCATTTTTTGCATGACGTAAAAATTGCCACGTGGTATTTACCTCTAAAATTTTCATTAAAAAAAGCGTATTCATTTTTCGTCATTAATTTTGGTTTCAAAAAAATTCACTGTTTCGAAAAATTTACAAAGCAATTTTCACAGTTTCAAAAATAATCGGATTCTTGTTCCTCTATGAACAATCCTGGCTTATTTGATTTCAGAAAAAAAAACGTGGAATTCCATAATTCAAAATTTTTGCAGACACCCTCTCCGCATCTGGAATTTCCCATTCTGCAATGTTGTTGGGCCCAAAACCGGCTGTTTATATTTGTTCGGGTTTTGTGTGCGGAAAACCGATTCGAAATTTGGATGAACTTCGACAAAAATTCGAAAGAGATTATTGATTTTGTCTAGAAGTTTCAGAGAATAAAAGATTTTTAATCAACGTTTTTTTTCGTCGCCAAAAAAGTCCAAACTTAATCCAAGGCTTCTTCATCTTTTTCCCTTTTTTTTTAGTTTTATCGATTTTTTTGCATGCATTTTGTGCCTGCTTTTTTTCTCTGCGCATATATTTTTCATCCAAAAAAAATATTTTTTGAATGAAATTTTCAGATGTTTTTTGTTTGGTCATTGGTTTCATCGGCGATTGAGGTGAGATTTTTGAATTTTGAAAATTTGGGTTAAAATTTGCCACGTGGCAACTGAAATTTGAATTTTTTTTGAAACAAAATTCCACGTGGCAGAATTTTTTATTAATTTTTAAAAATTTGTAATGTTTGAAAAAATTAAAATTTCGATTTTTCAGAAATTGAAAGGCCACGTGGCAACTCAAATTTGAATTTTTTCCATAATTTTTGTGCGAAAAATTGAATTTCAAATATTTAAAAAATTAAAAATTCAATTTTTCAGAAAAATGAAAAACCACGTGGAAACTCAAATTTGAATTTTGTTCAGAATTTTGGCGTGAAAAATTTAAATTTAAAAATTATAGATTTTTCAGAAAATGAAAAGCCACGTGGCAGCTCAAATTTAAAATTTTGAAAATTTCAAATTCACGCCTGAAAATTCAAAAAAAAACGTGGCAATTCAAATTTTTTCCAGATTTTTGGGCGGGAAAAATTAAATTTCAAATATTTTTTTTTAAATTTAGATTTTTCAGAAAATGAAAAGCCACGTGGCAATTCAAATTTAAAATAATTCAATTTTTCAGAAAATTTAAAAAAAAACGTGGCAATTCAAATCATGTGTCCCATTTCCAGATTTTTGGACGGGAAAATTTCAAATATTTTTTGAAAAATGAAAATCCACGTAGCCGAAAAAATCACGTGTCCCCCCAATTCTAGCATTGCTCATTTTAGGCCGCCCGAAAACGTCACTTGGCCAATTTCCTCCGCTCACTTTTACAACAACAACGGGTCACCAAAAACTATGAGATGCTCATTTGGAAAAATGATAGGTTTGAATTTGGCGCGAAAATCTGAAATTCAAAAATTTTTTTCAAATTTTATTTTTTTTCAGAGCGATTAGAGAGATGAACAAATTATACCGACCAATTAGTGAGCCGAAACTGAATTCGAATTTGATTTTGCAAAACGATTTAATCCAAGTTTTCGCCGAGAAATTTGAGGTTAACATGAGCAACGCTTCAGAATTCCAGCCAAAAATCAATAATTTATTTCAGACACTGCGTGTTAGCGAATGGCGTTTTTGTCCAACAATTTGGCCGTGCGAAGAGGATTCGATATATTTTGTAGTTTATGATGAATTAGATGTGCCTTTAAGGAATTGTGGGTCACAAGAAGATCAAATTTTGGCGCCGAATTTATTCAAGGTTGGTTTTTTGAAGGGGAAAACACTGGAAGAGAACAAAAATTAGCCAAAAATCAGGAAATTTTGTTAAAAATCGCATATTGCTCATGTTAGAATTCAGGATTTTCAATATTTTCTGAGCCACACAATTTTTTTCTGCTCTAACATGAGCAATGGGCTCTCAAAAACGTGAAAATTCTTGAATTTTGGCTCATTTTCGTGCTTATTTTGAAGATTGTTTGAATTCAAGTCGGAAAAAAAAACATTTTTTTCCAAAAAATCTCGAATTTCGTTGAAAGTAAGTCTCCGGCTCTGAAAAATGTTAAAAATTCAAATGTTTCACTCGAAAACCAATGAATTTAATATGAGAATTGCTCAAAACGGGTGAACTTTGAATAAAATATTTAAAGTTTAAGATGAGCAATGCTAGCTAATTCCAATTTTTAGCTAATTCGGCTGAAAATCTGAATTTTCAGGTTTATTTTATTCCTGGATTTTTTTCTTATCATAAAATTTCTGAAAAATCTCGAATTTTCGTTGAAAATAAGCCTCCAGGTTTGAAAAATATTGAAAATTCAGATTTTCATTCGAAATCCAATTTTTTCTAAATGCTGGCTAAAAATATTTTATTATTTTTTGCCACATGGAATTTTTTGTAGAACAACTTTGAGCTAGAAAATTTAACTTTTTTTAAAATTTTTTTTTCGACTTGATTCACCTTCGGAAGGCTCGAATTATCAAAAATTCATATTTTCTGTGAGCCACAAAATTTTTTTGAACCAAAAAATTTGGTAAATCTTCTCTAACACGAGCAATGGGTTCTCAAAAATGCGATTTTCAGAAAATTCTTGAATTCCGGCTCATTTTCGCGCTCTTTTTTAACAAATTTGGTTCATTACTCATAGTACAAAAATTGAAAATCAATACAACTTAATTTTTTCCAACAATTCAATAATAGTCTTATGTTGAATTTCATCAATATCTTCTCCTAACTTCTCTTCCAATCTTTCTCGAATCAATTTCCAACAACTTCCATCATCAAACTCATGTTTTCCAACGCCCGTAATAATCGAATTCAAAATCGTATCCTCGCTGAAAATATCGTGTGCTCTTTGCGATTTCTCGGTTCTGACAATCGGAACTCGTCTTCGGCTCACAAAACATTCGTCGCCAACAAAATGACATTCGACGTGTTCGCCGATGAATTTTGTGATTTCCAGCTCCGCTTTTCGATCCGATTTTTGAACTTTGAAACTTTTTCGAGTGTATTCGCCCATTCTCGCGTAAACCGATGTCATCATTTCCTCGTATTCCAGAGTTGGGGTAAATGGGATTTTTGGCAGGTATTTTCTACAAAAAAATAAATGGGTTAATATGAGCAATTGAATATTTTTTTTGAAAATTCTTGGATACTTTTTGTACCCAAAATTTCGAGATTAATGTTGTTGCCACGTGGATTTACAACCAAATTTGAAAAATAAAAAATTTGCGCTTTTCATGAATAATTTGCAGTTTTTGGGCGATTTGGATAATCGATTATTCCATGCAGTTGATTTGATTTTCCACTGACCTCGCCATTTTTTTCACGCGTTTCACGCATAATTTTTGTAATGATTTGAATTTTCTAATTTTTTTTCAAAATAAAAAATAGAAAGAAGGGTTTTATTTTATTATCCACGTGACACACACGTGATGATAAAATCTCTCAAAAATGCTATATAAGCAACAGTCAGAAAGGTGTTTACTCACTTCGAAAATTTCTTTCCTAACATTTCTACAGTATTCTACCTAGTAGCTGTCTCCGCTAGCCGCTCGGGGAAAAACGTGAGTCGGGTGCTCTCTCTCTCTTTTTCTACCCACAGGAATATGTGAGATCTTTGATTCTCACATATTTCTGTGGTTTCGCCTCAGGGCTGCTCAAATTCCCACTTGCCAAAAACCTGGAAGTGGGGTCTTTTTTCGTTTTCAAATCCTGTTGAATAACTAGGTCACGCTTGTGATATCAATAAATTCAAATTTCGAAAAAAAGTGACCTAGTTGTATAGTTTGACATTATCTAAATGACATTTTCAGTGTTTTTAAGCAAGTGAGTTGAAATATTGGGTTTTCTAAGACGAACAACATGATATAAATTTTGATGACTTTACGTTATCCATAAGTGATTTAGCGACTTATCGACTAAATATAGACTAAACGTCGCTAAATCACTTAAGGATAACGTAAAGTCATCAAAATTTATATCATTTTGTTCGTCTTAGACCATATGAATAAAATTAAAATCCAATATTTCAACTAACTTGCTTAAAAACCTGAAAATTTGAGCAGCCCTGGGTTTCGCCGCTTCTGATCTCTCTCTCTCTCGCCCCACAGTAATATGTGAGGTGTTAGGAAACCTCTAGCAAATGGCGGTTAGAGGGGAACTTTCACTTCCTTATTACTGTGGTTCTGTTGCGGATCTCTTCTTCAACATAATCACAGGAATATGTGACATATTCCTGTGATCATGTTTTTGCCCGCTTCTCTCTGTTTCGCCCCACGGTATTATATGAGATGTTAGGACACCTCTGGCACATGCCATCTGGAGGGGAACTTTCATTTCGTTCTTATTGTGGTTCTGTTTTGCTGCAGGTTCTAAAAAGTGCGTTTCGGCACTGACGCTCATTCGAGGTGCGGTTTTAGTGCCAGTGCTTTTCAGCACCAGTGCGCTTCGAACATCCGGGATAGCCGATGTTTTTTTCTTTTTTTGCATTTTTTCATTTTTTGTTTTGAACAGTTGGTTGTTTGGAAAATCTCACTTTGAAAAATAAGATTTTTCTTACGGTGGAGATTTTTTGAATTTTTGACGTAAAGTAGGTGGAAAATGGTGCTTTTTTTGGTGGAAATTGAGGCGAGTAGGTAAAAATTCTGGTTTTTCTGTTAAAGTAGGCGATTTCCGTCCAGACTCCGATTTTTCTTGAAAATTTACATAGAGTAGGCGAATTCCGTTGTTTTTTCAGCTAGAAATCCGATTTTTATGAAAATTTACATAAAGTAGGCGAATTCCATTGATTTTTCGATCAGACATCGAGTTTGGCTTGCAGACTGCCTTTTCCGACTTAATTTAAGTCGGAAAACTTTTTTCCGGGAATAAAAACTCGGAAAATAACTTCGGAAAACTTTTTCCGACCGGATGATTTCGGAAAAACACGGTTTTCCGAAATTTTTGTTTCCTAATTCCTGAGCCCGATGAATCCACGCGGACAAATTTTGAATTTGAATTTTTAGCGCACATTTTTTTTGAATTTGTTTCTGAGCAAAGTTTTGTTGAATTTTCACGTCTAAAAATCCACGTGGCAAAAATTTTGAAAACCAAAAATTATATTAAAAATTCCACGTGGAATTCTTTTTAAATTTCAAAATTTTTTTTTGAATTCCACATTCAAATTTTCTAGCTCAAAGTTATTCTACAAAAATTCCACGTGGCAAAAAAAATGATAAAATGGATTTTTTTGCCACGAATTAGCTAACATTGCTCATTTTAAACTTTTTCACCAATTTTTCAAGCATTGCTCATATTAAATTCATTTCTCAGCTGATTCAGAATATCTGCTACAGCCAAATTTAGCTGAAAATTGGAATTAACTAGCATTGCTCATCTTAAACTTTAAATATTTCATTCAAGGTTCATTTTCTAACGTAAGCATTGCTCATAATAATTCATTGGTTTTCGACTGAAAATCTGAATTTTCAACGAAATTTCGAGATTTTTCAGGCCAAACCTTGAAAAATTCAGATTTTCAGTCAAAAATTAGCTGAAAATTTGAGTTTTTCAAAAGAAACTCACACAAAAGCCTCTTTGAATTTCTCCACATATAATCCAAAAGGCAACTCTTCCTCTTCCTCACATTTTTTCTCCAATCCCATATTTTTCCCACGAACTGTCACATTTCGAATCATTCCCTGACACTGCATAAACTGTTTGACTCTCAAATTCGTGCGAATAAAACTGTTGAACAAACTTCGCTGGAAAATCCCATAAACATCTTCGGCTTCCAGGAATTTTTGACCGGGTTTTATGAATTGTCTCATGTAGAACTCGAAATCTTCCCGTAATTCTGTCTGATTTTCCGCATGCGGTGCCATTTTTCGCATAATTTCCAGCGATTTTTGACGAGAAAATTTCTCCGAAACATCGCGAATCTCGAAATAACATCTACCATCAGGCTCTACAAGTTTGCCTAATTCATCAAAAGCCCGCTTCAAAATCTCATCAAATTTCCAAATTTCAATACAATATCGATAATTTCGCTGAGTACTGAAGACACCTTCGGAAATCAGATTTTCGAAGAATTCCGAGATTTTTCGAATATTCTTTTTATCCAATTTTCGCCATAAATCCATTCCATATGAAAGTTGATCGAAGAGTTCGAGAAATGTGTGACGAGCCAATTTACAATAAGTTCCATATGGTGTATTTGTTGGGGCAGATTGGTAGATATTCACCGGAACAATCTGGAAATATTCGAATTTCAGTGTTTTGATGAAGCATACCAAATCGACCAAGTCAAAATTGCCAAAAATCCCTGTGAGCACTTTTCTGAAGCTCAAAAATTAGTTCGTTTATTTTCACCTTGTTCCTGGGTGGAAAATCAATTTTTATAACTTGAAGGTTGTTCGAAAATCTGTCAGCTTTTTAGTTTATCAAAAAATATCAAATAGCAGCTGAAAACTGTGATTTTTAAACGTGCTCAAAAAAGTTTATGGATCGTGCAAAGTGAAAAAAATGCACCTTTGTTCGCGCACTATTTTTGCATTTTCAGAAATTGATAGAATTTGTCTGAAATAGTGTTTTTATTGATAATGGATGAAAAATCAGTGGTAAAAGAAAAAGAAATAATTTTGAAAATTTCAAATTTTTCTTGATTCATCACTGATTTTTCCTCCATTATCAATAGAACTATACTATTTCAGACAAATTCTTTCAATTTCTGACCATTTTGGCTCGAAAAACACCAGAAAATGCAAAAATAATGCGCGAAAAAAGTGAATTTTGTTCACTTTGCACGATCCATAAAGTTTTCTGGGCACATTTAAAAATTACAGTTTCCAGCTTCTATTTGATATTTTTGATAAGCTAAAAAGCTGACAGATTTTCGAACAACCTTCAAGTTATAAAAATTGATTTTCCACCCAGGAATCAGGTGAAAAAACGGACGAACTAGCTCTGGAGCTCCGGAAAAGTGCTCACAGGGCAATTTTTGACTTCGAAATCGTGGTCGATTTGGTATGTTTCAGAATCCTTACCGTCATATCTTTCTCCTCCAATTTCAAAATTCTCAAAACCTTGTGAAAAGTATCCACCTCCACAGTCCTCAATATTCCCAATCCACGATCTTCCTCATTTTCCACCGGAATCAAACCCTTTGGAAATGGTTTCGAATACTTTTTCATCATAACAATGCCCAGAATATCCTCGACTTCTTTGGCTTGGAAATATTTCGCGCCGTTGTCCAGGTTTTGAAATTGTCTGAGAATTGCATGTTTTTCATTGAACCATGGAGAATTTTTGAAGAATTTTTTGACAGATTCACGCCAATTCAACATTTCCTGAAGAACTTTAAGATTCTCCTTCTCATTCATTTGCAAAAGATGTTTTGCGCATTCTTCAATCAAAGAAGTGTCGTATTCTTTGTTGAATAAGCTATGAATCCCAAAACCATCTTCTCTGGGCGCAAAAACAATTTTCAAATTTTTCAAGATATTTTCCTCTAGCAAATCGAATGGAATCAATTCAAATGTTCCCTCCAAACTTCTTCCAATCTCATTCAACACTGATTTTCCTGTGAGTCTTGCGCAAATTCCAAGTTTTTCCCCCAAAATATCCGATGATTTTGTGTAGAATCTAGACAATGCGTCTTGCTTGGAAATGAATGTTTTATTGGTTCCGGTGTCCCACAAAACACACTCTTGGTTCTCGAAATTCAAGCCAAATCCATAAAATTGCGAATTGTTTGGGAAATGTTGTGATTTGAACAGGTTGCTCAGCAGAATTTCCGGGCTCAGCAAGAAGAATTTGGTTTCTGCCTTTTTGAACAACAATGACAATAGCGCTTTTCTATCATCTGGATCTTCTAATTTACCATCTGGTGGCAGGCGATCGAGTGCGTTTAGGAATTCCTTTGAAATCACCTAAAATCATTAAATTTTGGAGAGAGAAGATGCATAGTTTGACCTACATTTCGATAGACAAATTTTTCAACAACCGCTTTCAAATATGAAATATTCCAATTAGTGAGACTGATGAGTTCTCCCATTTTAGGCCGTTGTCAAAAAAAAATAAAAATATTTTTCTGGTCTGCAAGCTTGCGTGAAAGTGTTTGCACACACCGTAATATTTTCAAAGGGACACACATTTATATCTCGTGGTCTCGCCACGAGATCTCTTTTTGAATGAAAAAAAAACATTTTTTTCGGCAAAATTTTGCGCGCAAAAAACAACAATTTTCAGCTCCACGAGAAATGCGATCGACTGGCAATACACAAAACGCTCACTCGATCACTATATGCTTGCGGATTTCAAATGTTTGTCGAAATAGTCGACGCATTCTCCGAACACTTGCTAATCGATGAGAATTTCCGAGTTGTGCAAATTTGTAGCATGTTCGCTCCACCGCAAGACGACAGATTTCTAGCGGCAAATCCCAGGAATTTGAATTTGACATCATCAACTTTGTCGTTGGCAGTGAATCAGGAGAAACCTTTGCCAATTCTTCAACACCTGTTTTGGGGCGATATGACGTCATCGCAACAATTTTTGGCTGGAAATTCGACTGAAAATCTGGAAATTGTGCGGACTAGCCCGAGAAAAAGCCGAAAAACTTCACCGCCACAAAATAGACGAAGATATCATTCCTGCAACTCGCCAGAAATCCAGATTTCCCCAAAATTCACGGATTTTTTCACTGAAAATTATTCGAATTCAGAGGAATTCCGAAGTTTACCCAGATATATTCGAGGAGTTTCGAAATCGCCAAGAAATTCGATTTTTGATCTGGAAAATCATAGTTTGCCTAGATATATTCGACAATTGAATGAGAATTTCTCGAGGTTCGCGGGGAAATTTTAATTTTCAAATTTTCAAAATTTACTTTCAATTTTCAGCGAGGATATTTCCATTCAAACTACAACTGCGACAAATTCCGAATCATTTTGCAGTGAAAATTCGAAATTCGACATTGAAAATGAAAAAATTCGAATGATTGATGAAACTGATACAGAGACAATTGATTCCAGTCGAATTTTTGAGACAAAAATCGATAAGTCTTCCGAGGCAATTTTGAAGAAACAAGAAGTTAGGCTAACTTTTGAGGAAAATGGAGAGAATTTTAAAAAAAATGGGAAGATTGGTGAGTTTTTTGGTATCAAATTTACCCCAAAAAACCCCCATTTTTCCAGAAAAACACCATCAAGAGCCTTCAAATTCAAATTCTCACCAAAAAAACCAAAGAAGCGTAAGTTTCCCCCCACTCGCTGAAAATCCACGTCATCACAATTTCAGACATCAATAATTCCAGCAAATTCCATCAATTTCCGACGATTTTCAGCGTTTCCAGAAGGTAAAATCAAAATTTTTCAGTGGGGGACTAGTTTTCGCAGATGGCCGAGGGCATTGGTTTTCTAGGCCACCTAGTTGAAAAATGCGAAAAATTTTCACATTTTTCGCCGGAAATTCAAGTTTTTTACGTGTTTTAGCTGAAAATCGAGGAAGATCGGTGAGCCCGAGTGCTTTTGAATTGTATCAGACGAGATCGCTGAGAGGATTCACCAAAGCGGCTGGTAAGTGTTTTGTTTAAAAGAGGGAAACGGAAAAATCTTGGAACACAGCCAAAAATGTGTTCTTTGGTGTTAAAAACAAAATGTTGTTTATCAGATGACCTTGCATTTCATATTGACGCGGTTTTTTTGCAACTTTTTTATTTGAAAATAAATTTTCTTGAGGAAATTTTAGCCAATTTTGACATTATTCATATTTTTGATCCGAAAAGTTACCCCAAGTCCTACTGAAAACTTAAAAGTTATCAACCATTATCTCGTGGTAATGATTTCCGAATATTAATATCTCGTGGTATTAATATTCAGATAAGATCACTTTTGAAGCCGCTAGAAGTTATCCTAAGTCCTCGTCAAAATTTTCTTCAGCTCAAAGTAATCAACCATTTTCTCGTGGAAATGGTTTCTAAATATTAATATCTCGTGGTATTAATATTCAGATAAGATAACTCTGAAGCTTCGAAAATTCATATAATATCTAGTGAATAAAATTTTAAGCCCAAAAAACTCACAAAGTTCCATCGTTCCCTTGTTGTTCCTCAATCCAGTTAGACGACTTTCATTATTGATTCCTGAATATTTGAAAAATGTAGAATTCTGAATCCAACACGAGTTTCTGCTTTTCTGAAAATATGTATGTTTTTGAAAAAAAAACCCAGAAAAATCGAGAAATTAATGCGAAATCGGGAAAATATAGGAGACAGTTTGTAGTTTGAATAAAAAGTGAATAGTTTGCACGTTGTCTAACACTGTGAGAGACGCAGACATTTTGGTGTGTCAGTTGGCGAAACAAGGGAAATGTCATTCACTTCATTTGGTGACTATATATATATGTCAAGTTTGTACCAAAATAATGTGTTCTCTTATCTGGATATTAATACCACGAGATATTAATATTTAGAAATCATTTCCACGAGAAAATGGTTGGTTGAAAGACTTAAGATAACTTCTAGCAGCTTCAAAACGTGATCTTATCTGAATATTAATACCACGAGATATTAATATTCGGAAATCATTACCACGAGATAATGATTATTTACTTGAAGTTGCTATTTTTTAAATTTTTTTATTTTCAGGAAATCGCTCCTCTTCGCGTCAAAACCCTCGGCAAATCCGTCAATATTTCACCGCTCCTCAAATCCCTCGAAAATCCATGGCAAAACCCGATTCGGTTCTCGTTTACACTGCTGGAAACGCTGAACTCTACCAAGAGATTCGACAGAAGTTATCGCAATTTCTGGCGCCCGACGAGATCACGGTGTTCAATGTGACGATTGAGGCGATTCGAAAACAACCGTGGAATGAAAAATCGACGATTTGTGTGATTTTGGCGTCGACAAATGAGTTGGATGATGAAGCTTGGCAGCGGATTCAGGATTATTTTAATTGTGTGAGTGATTTTTGGAGGGAAATTTGAAGATTTTTGATTAAAAAAACACCAATTGTTAGCCAAAAAATGTTCCGGAAGACTTTGACCCGAAAAGTTTACGCTTCAAAAATAATATTATCGAATTTTCAAGCCTAGGCTCATTGTTTGTTTAAAAAGCACGTTCTAATTAGTGAAGCTTTTCAAAAGTTAATTAGTTTAAAACTTTTAAAATTTGAAGAATCATTGAAACACTGTGAAATGGCTTGGCTTGAAAATTTGCCAATGGCTTTTTTAAACCAGGAAACAAACTTTTGAATTGAAATTGCACAGTTAGTCAAGTGCTGCTGAATCGAGATTACAAACCCAGTGAATCAAATTGGTAACCAAAATTCCTGTTTATTGCAGTAAATTGATATTCTATTTTCTATAATTGTTTTTGAAACAGTTGATGAAGTTTAATCAGCATAAATATACTCAGAAAACTTCCCGTCAGCCGTCAGAATCCACTTTTAAATCGAAAAAAACAAGAAGCCTCTTCTAGAAATTCGATATGATAATTTAAAAAAAGATGTTGTTAACATAAAAATAGCAACTTCAAGTAATCAATCATTATCTCGTGGTAATGATTTCCGAATATTAATATCTCGTGGTATTAATATTCAGATAAGATCACGTTTTGAAGCTGCTAGAAGTTATCTTAAGTCTTTCAACCAATCATTTTCTCGTGGAAATGATTTCTAAATATTAATATCTCGTGGTATTAATATTCAGATAAGAGAACACAATGTTTGGGTACAAACTTGACATATATATATAGTCACCAAATGAAGTGAATGACGTTTCCCTTGTTTTGCCAACTGACACTCTAACCATACACCAAAATGTCTGCGTCTCTCACACTTTTTATTAAAACTATTATAAACTGTTCCCTAGATGTTTAGAACTGTTATTGGAATGAATTTGATCAATCAATTTTGATTTTGTTGAATCGAAGATCTAGAGAAACATCGGAAATCCACTGATTTGGTTAAAACTTTGAAATTTGATTTTTAGAGTGTTCTGAACACATTTTAACGATAAAATATCATGTAAATTCCAAATTTGTGAATTTTCTATGGTATTACTGGAAAATATACGTTTTTCGAACGATTTCTAGCTTTCTGAACGTTTTTTAAAGGCTTCTACCACATTTGTTTTTAAATTTTCATCAATTTTCCATATTTCAGAACGGAAAAATCATTTTTATTTTGGACACTTTTCAAAAGTCAAAAAATGTGAATTTTTACTTCAAAAATCTTAAATTATATAAAATTTGAAGATTTTTGATGAAAAAACATTAATATTCAGCCAAAAATGGTCCGGTAGAATCTGATTTTAGCCCGGAAAATTTACGTTTCAAAAATATGAGTGTAGAAAGCTAGAAATCGTTCGAAAAACATTATTCGCGATTTTTCAGTCTTTAGAAATAAAATTGATGAATAAATTTTGATGTTGTTGAATCGAAGATCTAGAGAAACATCGGAAATCCAGTGATTTAGCTAAAACTTCGAAATTTGATTGAGAATGCTTAAAATGATCTAATTAGAGTGTTCTGAACACATTTTAACGATAAACTATCATGAAAAATCCAGATTTGTGCACTTCCATATTTTCTGGATGGTCTTACTGGACCCGAGCCTTCTAGGCAATGAAATTCTTAGGTTGAGGTCGGAATCGACAGCTGACATATTCTTCTAGACATGAAAAACAAAAATTAATGATAATCGAGGCTAAAAATATTTTTTTCAATGATTTTCTGAAATTTGTGAAAATATCTAAAAATCGAAAAACATCAGGATTTGAGAAGAGATTCAGTTATAAGGCCAGTATAGAAATTAACTTAAAAAACGTCCCGTCAGAAAAATTAAAAACAAGAAGCCTTTTCTAGAAATTTGATATGATAATTTAAAAAAATATGTTTATAACATAAAAATAGCAACTTCAAGTAATCAATCATTATCTCGTGGTAATGATTTCCGAATATTAATATCTCGTGGTATTAATATTCAGATAAGATCACGTTTTGAAGCTGCTAGAAGTTATCTTAAGTCTTTCAACCAACCATTTTCTCGTGGAAATGATTTCTAAATATTAATATCTCGTGGTATTAATATCCAGATAAGAGAACACATTATTTTGGTACAAACTTGACATATATATATAGTCACCAAATGAAGTGAATGACATTTCCCTTGTTTTGCCAACTGACACTCTAACCACACACAAACTGTCTGCGTCTCTCACACTTTTTTTTAAAACTATTATAAACTGTTTCCTAGATGTTTAGAACTGTTATTGGAATGAAATTGATGAATCAATGTTGATGTTGTTGAATCGAAGATCTAGAGAAACATCGGAAATCCAGTGATTTAGTTAAAACTTTGAAATTTTATTTTTAGAGTGTTCTGAACACATTTTAACGATAAATATCATGAAAAATTCTTATTTGTGCATTTTCAGATTTTCTGGATGTTTTTCGAACGATTTCCAGCTTTCTGAACATTTTTCAAGGCTTATACCACATTTTTCTTTAATTTTTCATTATAAAACCCATATTTCAGAACGGAAAAATCATTTTTGTTTTGGACACTTTTCAAAAGTCAAAAAATGTGAATTTTCACTTCAAAAATCTTAAATTGTATAAAATTTGAAGTTTTTTACTTCAAAAAGGACAAATTTTCAGCCAAAAATGCTCCGGAAGCATCTGATTTTAACCCGGAAAATTTACGTTTCAAAAATTATATTTTCAAAAATATGAGTGTAGAAAGCTAGAAATCGTTCGAAAACCATTATTTCCGATCTGTCAGTGTTTAGAAATGAATTTGATCAATCAATGTTGATGTTGTTGAATCAAAGATCTAGAGAAACACACTGAAAAAATAAAACATTTTTCTGTTTCACGTGAAACTGCGGACTCATTGTTCTGACCGCGTGAAGACACACGACTCCGCCCTCTTTTTTTTTGCAATTTGCGGCGCACTCTCAAAATTTCAATGGAAAAAAGAACGAAATTTCTTTGACACGTGGAAAAACGTGAAAACGAAACGGGCTTTTTTTCGAGTCTGCAAACACCGGACAGCAGCAAAAAATGTTCTATTTTTTTCTATGTGGAGAAACATCGGAAATCCAGTGATTTAGTTAAAACTTCGAAATTCGATTCGGCAATGGTTCAAATGATCTAATTAGAGTGTTCTGAACACATTTAAACGACTAAAATTCATGAAAAATTCAGATCTGTGCATTTTCATATTTTCTGGATGGTATTACTGAACCCGAGCCTTCAAGGCAATGAAATTCTTAGATTGAGGTCGGAATCGACAGCTGACATGTTCTTCTAGACATAAAAAACAAAAATTGATGATAATCAAGGATAAACATATATTTTTCAATGATTTTCCGAAATTTGTGAAAATATCTAAAAACATCAGTAATTGGGAAGAGATGAGTATAGAAATTAACTTAGAAAACGTCCCGTCATATTCCACTTTTAAATCGAAAAAAACAAGAAGCTTCTTCTAGAAATTTGATATGATAATTTTAAAAAAAGATGTTGATAACATAAAAATAGCAACTTCAAGTAATCAATCATTATCTCGTGGTAATGATTTCCGAATATTAATATCTCGTGGTATTAATATTCAGATAAGATCACGTTTTGAAGCTGCTAGAAGTTATCTTAAGTCTTTCAACCAACCATTTTCTCGTGGAAATGATTTCTAAATATTAATATCTCGTGGTATTAATATCCAGATAAGAAAACACAATATTTGGGTACAAACTTGACATATATATATAGTCACCAAATGAAGTGAATGACGTTTCCCTTGTTTTGCCAACTGACATACAAAACCACACACAAACTGTCTGCGTCTCTCACACTTTTTATCAAAACTTTTATAAACTGTTCCCTAGATGTTTAGAACTGTTATTGGAATGAAATTGATCAATCAATTTTGATGTTGTTGAATCGAAAGATCTAGAGAAACATCGGAAATCCAGTGATTTAGTTAAAACTTTGAAATTTGATTTTTAGAGTGTTATGAAGACATTTTAACGATAAAATATCATGAAAAATCCAAATTTTTGCATTTTCAGATGTTTTTCGAACGATTTCTAGCTTTCTAAGGGTTTTTTTGAATATAAAAGGCTTCTAAGTACCGAATTTCATAAATTTTCCATATTTCAGAACGGAAAAATCATTTTCGTGTGTCAAAATCAACTTCTGGCCAGTATAACGCATTCAACTTCAAATTCCTCCAAACAAGACCTTTTTCGCTTCGCTTTCGACACAAAAACCAGCAAACTCAAAGAGAACAACAAGGATTTCGCGAAATTTCTCGAAAAAAATCTGAAATCGCTGAAAAAGCAGCCGAAACACGCGATCAACGAGACTTATTGCGCTAAAAAATCGGGTGCCAATTTCAGTGTTGTGCTGAAGAAGGACAACGACACTCCGCTGTTTCTGTACATGCAGAATTTGGGATGTTCACATGCGTCGGTGCTGTTTTCGGATGCGACGACGCAGGAATTGTTGGCGCCCAGTGGGTTTTTGGGAGATTTTTTGGGGGAAAAGCTGAAAATATTGTGCTGAAACTGTGAAAAATATTGATTTTCTGGCTTTCTCAACCTGAAAACCATGATTTCTAGCTGAAAATTCTCCTAAATTCTAAGTTCTTAAATTTTTAGAATCGGCTCATTAAATAACAAAAAAGAATTTAAAATAAATTTATTCATGAAAAGTTTGAAACAGTAAATTTTTTGAGTATAAAAAATTCGAGATTTTCAAATTTTAACACCAAAAAGTCCACGTGGCAAAATTTAGAAAGATCAAACAAAATTCCAGATTCTAAACCTGAAAACCATGGATTTTCTACCTGAAAATGTTCCTGAATTCTTATTTTCAGTGGAAAATTATCAAAATAACAAAACAGAATTTAAAATAAATTTATTTATGAAAAATTTGAAACAGTAAATTTTTTTAAACCTTGAAAATTGATAAAAATTTTGAATTTTCGACCCAGAAATCATGATTTTCACCCTGAAAATTCAACAAAACACTTGTTTTTCAGTTTTTTTGTCTGAAAATCTCCATTTTTGCAGACAGCAACTTGCTCCGCGATTCCCTTCAAAGCGTCGGCCTAAAAATCGCCCAAAACCGCATTCCCAGCCTAACTCGAGCCGTCATGACTTCCGAATTCGCATCCGAAATCGATGAGATTCCCGGCCTCCGACTTGGCACAAATATCGGCTCAAAACCCGAATTACTATTAAGGAGATCGGAAATTGTGGAAAAAGAAGGGCTCCCCGAGCCAAATCGGGAATTTTTACCGATTGAAATTGTTGGAAATCCTTCTGAAAATTCTGTGAAAAGTTTTGATTTCAAGGAGTATTTTAACACTTTGACTTCGAAAATTGGAGCGGTTTTAGTGTATTCTGAAGTTATGACAACTACAATGGATGTTTGTGAGAGTTTGAATAACTCGATTCCCTCGCAAAAATCGATAATTGTTATCGCAAATCGACAAATTTCGGGGAGAGGAAGAGGCGGGAATGAATTTATATCTCCAGAAGGCTGTGCACTCTTCACATTCTCCTTTTTTATCGAGAAGTCTTCGCGATTTGCACGATGTGTCCCGATTTTACAACATGTTTTTTGTGTGGCTCTCGTTGAAGCGGCGAAAAATTTGAGCTTTGCTGAACTGCCGCTGAGAATCAAATGGCCAAATGATTTGTATTTCGAGCGATCGCATAAAGTTGGAGGAATGTTGATTTGTTGTAAATCGAGGGATGATGGATTTCTGGTGCAGATTGGTGGGTTTTTTTGGCCTGGGCTGAAAATTTGGGATTTTTTGAGACTAAATAAGCCCAGGTTTGAAAATTTGGGATTTTTTGACACCAAACGGGCCTCTAGGCCTGAAAAATCTTGATTTTTGAGACCGAATTCGCCTGGGCTTGAAATTTCCGGAATTTTTTGAGACCAAATGGGCTTGGGCTTGAAAAATCCTGATTTTTGACACCAAATGGGCTTGGGCTTGAAATTTTTGGGATTTTTTAGGACTAAATAGGCCTAGGCTTGAGATATTGGGGTTTTTGGACATCAAATAGGCTTAGGCCTGAAAAATCTTGATTTTTGACACCAAATGGGCCTGGGCTTGAAATTTCGCGTTTTTTAGGCCAAATGGGCCTCTAGGCCTGAAAAATCCTTATTTTTTGACACCGAATGAGGCTAGGCTTGAAAATTTGGGGGTTTTCTGACACCAAATGGGCCTAGGATTGGAAATTTGGGATTTTTTAAGACTAAACAAGGCTGGGCCTGAAAAATCCTGATTTTTGACTCCAAATGAGCCTCTAGGCCTGAAAAATCCTGATTTTTGACACCAAATAATCCTGGGCTTGAAAAATCTTGATTTTTGACACCGAATAAGGCTGGGCTTGAAAATTTGGGGTTTTTTTGACATCAAATGGCCCTCTAGGCTTGAAAAATCCTGATTTTTGACTCCAAATGAGCCTCTAGGCCTGAAAAATCCTGATTTTTGACACCAAATAATCCTGGGCTTGAAAAATCTTGATTTTTGACACCGAATAAGGCTGGGCTTGAAAATTTGGGGTTTTTTTGACATCAAATGGCCCTCTAGGCTTGAAAAATCCTGATTTTTGACTCCAAATGAGCCTCTAGGCCTGAAAAATCCTGATTTTTGACACCAAATAATCCTGGGCTTGAAAAATCTTGATTTTTGACACCGAATAAGGCTGGGCTTGAAAATTTGGGGTTTTTTTGACATCAAATGGCCCTCTAGGCTTGAAAAATCCTGATTTTTGACACCAGATGGGCCTGGGCCTGAAAATTTGGGATTTTTTTCAGAATAAATGAGCCTGGGCCTGAAAATTTGCGGTTTTTTGACTCCAAATGGTCCTAGGCTTGAAAATTTGGGGTTTTTTGAGACCAAATGAAGCTGGGCTTGAAAATTCCGGGATTTTTTAAGACCAAATGGGCCTAACCTATATTTTTCATTAAAAATTTGGAGCATTTTGAGCCCGAAAATAATAGCTTTCAAGTAGACTAGGAAAATCCACGTGGCAAATTCTTGGCAACTGAAAATTCCGCGTTTTTTGACACCAAATTTGAAAATGTTGAATTTTTTGTATTTGAAAAATTGACTGTTTCAAATTTTTCATTTAAAAAATTGATTTGAAATGTTTTTGTTAATGGTGTAGTTTTTCGATAATAAAAACATTTCACAGTTTCAAAAAATTTTTGAATTTTTTTTGGAAAATACAATGTAGTTTCATCAATTTTTTCATTCAAAAAGTAAATTTAGGCTTTTTTTTAGCTACAAAACCTGAATTTTTGAATAAAAATTTAAATTAAAAAAAAAAATTGACTGTTTCAAATTTTTCATGAAAAAAATTGATTTTGAAATTTTTTTGTTGTCTACATCATTTTTTTTCACAATAAAAATATTTCACTGTTTCAATTTTTTTTGAAAAATACAAGATGATAGAGAGAATATGATTTGGTAGCCATTTTTGAAACCCAAAAATTCACTGTTTCAAAAATTTTATAATTGTATTTTTGTGAAATGAAAAACAATGATAATTGCTTTTCATCTTTGTCCTAAAATTAAATTCAGTAAATTTTTTTGCAGGTTGCGGAATAAATGTGACCAATGAAAAACCGACGATTTGTCTGAATGATATGATTCCGGCGGAGCTGAAAAGCGGCGAGAAAAAAATCCATATTTCCCGCGAAAAATTGATTGCCGAGACGTTGAATCGATTTCAATGTGAGCGGCGCCCAAAAAATTGAATTTTTAAATTTTCAAAAAAAATTTCCAGGGTATCTAAATGACTACGAAACGAATGGTCCCTCAAAATTCCGCCAAAAATACTACGAGTTTTGGCTGCATTCGCAGCAAGAAATTCTGCTCGCTGATTTCAATGAACGGGTTCAAATTCGCGGCATCGATGATTACGGTTATTTGCAAGTTCGCTCCAAGACCAATCCAGAGAAAGTGAGTGTGTTCCTTTAAATAACAGTATCCAAATTTTATTATTTTTTGTTTCCAGATATTTTCGATTGGCGATGATGGCAATACTTTTGATATGATGAAAGGTCTCATAAGGCATAAATTCTAGGAGCTACAGTAATCCTACAGTAACCCTGTATATATAGAAAATAAATAGATTTTTATTAATTAATTAATCACATACATAATTGCACCAATTCCTGAATCACCGTATCAATTTCGGATTTTTTGGTTTGCCGACCGAAACTGAAACGCACGGTCTTTGAAGCGGTGGCGAAATTGAGCCCGCATGCAATTAAAACTGGACTGCACTCGTTTTTATGGCAAGCTGCGCAGGTGGAAGCGGAGAAGGTTTGAGCTCTGAAAAATTGGGAGTTTTTGGGGTAATATGAGCAATGGGTTCGAAAATTTCAAGAAAAAATGTCACTGTTTCAAAATTTTTATAGAATTTTGATGCAAAATTTTAAATTTGTTAATTTTTTCTTTACGGAAAATACTTAAATTTGAGAAAATTATAGTTTCTCATTGTCAGTGATATTTGAATTTTCAAAAATATTTAAAAATTCACTGTTTCAAAATTTTTATAGAAATTTCATCCGAAATTTCAAAATTTGCTTACAATTAAAAGAACACATTTTTTGCTACAAAATACTTCAAGTCCTCTAAGTCTTTAGTGTCAAAAAACTTGGAATTTTAAATTAGGAGATTTTTTGGTGTAACATGAGCAATAGGCTCAAATATTATGATTTTTCAGCGAAATTTTAATGTTCAAAAATTTTTTAAAAATTCACTGTTTCAAAATTTCTATACAATTTTCATCCAAAATTGCGAAATTGCTGTAGTACCAAAAAACCAAGTGGAATTTTAGTGTAAAATTAAAAAGTGGGTTTTTTTGAGACCTAACAAGCCTAGTTTTGGGAAATTGGAACTTTACAGTATAATATGAGCAATAGGCTCGAATATTAGCCTTTTACCAATCGGTGCACCTCGCTCTATCGCACTCGCCATGGAAGAGAAAAGTTTTTTTTCGCGTCCTAGGATCCGACACACTCGGCCATCTTTATGTTTTTGTTTTTCTTTTTTTTCGAAACGGTTTTCGTTTGCATTTTGAACTCGTGCGCTTTTTTTGGCGCGTCGCGTGCGATGCGGAGCGTGTTTGTTCGATGGAGCGAGGTGCACCGACGTATGAAAGGCTAATATTATATTTTTCAGTGAAATTTGAATATTCAAAAAATATTTAAAAATTCACTGTTTCAGAATTTTTATAGAATTTTTTATCCAAAATTGCAAATTTGCTGTAGTTTTTTGAGACCTAACAAGTCTAATTTGGGAGTCGGGGATATTTCAGTATAATATGAGCAATAGGCTCAAAAATTATGATTTTTCAGTGAAATTTGAATTTTCAAAAAATTTTAAAAATTCACTGTTTCAAAATTTCTATAGAATTTTGAATGGACTCAAAAATTATAATTTTTCAGTGAAATTTAAATTTTCGAAAAAAATTAAAAATTGACTGTTTCAAAATTTCTATACAATTTTCATCCAAAATTTCAAATTCGCTAGCATTTCTTGAAAATTAGGCACATTTAGTATCAAAAAACGTGGAATTTTCAAATTCGCCCCAAAAATCCACGCACCTTTCCACCAAATCGCAAGAATGCGGAGAATAGTTAAAAAACGCTACGCTGGAAGTGTTTGGGAGACGTGGCGATTGTTGGAAATGAACCAAATGCGCAGCAGTTGGTAGATGGATCTATGAAAAATTACTGTAGGCGGGGGTACTGTAGGTACAGTACCTTTAATTGTTGCTCAAAATAGTCGCGGATTTCTCGAAGATGATTTTCGATTTGTTGACCATCGGCCAGGAAAATCCGGGCGGCTTCTCCTAATCCAACAATCATTGGAGTGTTTTCGGTTCTGCAAAAAAGTACTGTAGGGGTACTGTAGGAGTACTGTAGGAGGCGGAAATTTGGAATTTTTTGATATCAAACAAGAGGGGTTTTAGTCTACAGTAACCCTAATTATTTTGAAATTACAGTACCCCGATCTTCTTCCCATCTCCTGTCCTCCACCATAAATCATCGGCTCCAAATCCGACTCAAATTCCGGGCCCAAAACCAGTGCGCCACTCCTCGGCCCATAGAATTTGTGACCAACTACAGTAATCGCGTCCGCCTGCAGATCCGCCAAATCAATCGATAATTTGCCGGCCCCCTGTGCCACGTCAGAATGTAGAATTATTGATTTTTGGCGAATTTCGCGGAAAATCTCGCGAATCGGTTGAATCACGCCTGTCTCGTTGTTGGCTAGCATAATTGTGACTAAACACGTTTCGGGTCTAACAGCGAGGAGTACGGTAGATGGGGAAATTTGACCGGTTTGTGGATTGATTGCGATGTAAGTGACGTCTATGAAAAATTTTGAAATTTATTTTTTTTACAAAATCCTTTTCCTTCTGACAATGAAACAATCAAAGAGAAATCGGAAAATGAAAAATTTATGAAATTTTTGAAACAGCGAATTTTTCGGGGCTAAAAATTTAAAATTTTCTTGAATTCTTAAAACTTTGCTAATATTTTTCCAGTCAAAAAAAAAACTTTTATGAAATTTTTGAAACAGTGAATTTTTTCTCAAAGTTTTGAATGAAATTTCCTGGATTCCACGTGGAATTTTTTCCATAAATCAATTTTATTAGAATACGGATATTACCTTGTGTAACAAGTTGTGTAATTGATATTTCTTCAAAAATTTAAAATTTTCAAAAATCTTGAAACAGTGAAAAATTTTCTTAAGATATTTTACAAAGCAAATTCGTGTGACAATATTTTGTGAAAAAACAATTTCAAAAATTTTCAAGTAGTAGAAAATACTGAATGTTTCTCCAGTTCAAAACAAACTTTTATGAAATTTTTGAAACAGTTAATTTTTTCCCAAAGTTTTGAATGCAATTTATGGATTCCACGTGGAATTTTGAATTTTCAATAATGAATAAATTTTATTTTGGAATATCAAAAAAAAATTATATTGATATTTCTTCGAAAAATTTAAAATTTTCAAGAAATCTTGAAACAGTGACATATTTCATGAGATACATATTTTTCAAAGGAATTTTATGTAAAAAAAGTTTCTCTCAATTTTTCAGTAGATGCTCACAAGAACTGATCAAAATAAAATTGATAAATGCTTTATGAAATTTTTGAAACAGTGAATTTTTTCTCAAAGTTTTGAATGAAATTTCCTGGATTTCACGTGGAATTTTCTCTAATAAATCAATTACCTTATTTTATTGATTATTCTTCAAAAATTTAAAATTTAAAAAAAAATCTTGAAACAGTGAAAAATTTTCGAATTTATTTTTTCTCAAATCCAAGTGAAATTTGTTTTAAAATGTCCCTTTTCATATTAATCAAAAAGAAATCGGAAAATGAAAATTTATGAAATTTTTGAAACAGTGAATTTTTTTTCAACCAAAAGATTTTCAAATTTCAATTTAATTTCGAGAAATTTAATTGATATTTCTTCGAAAAATTTAAAATTTTCAAGAAATCTTGAAACAGTGACATATTTCATGAGATACATATTTTTCAAAGGATTTTTTTGGGAGAACTTATGAATAAAAGTCAGTTTTTCAAAAAAACCTTTATGAAATTTTTGAAACATTGAATTATTTTAATTTTAATTTTATTTTCTTTTTTTTAATTTCAGATTCCACGTGGAATTTTCGCTAGTAAATCAGCTTTAATTTTTTTAAATAATGTATTTTTTGAAGCCAAAAGAATCTACAGTAATCTACAGTAATCCCCCTCAAAAAACCCACCAATTTCCCCATTTTCTTCGCGCACTTTCAACGGCTCCAAAATCGATGGATGCTCAATACAACTCGTAATCACATGCGGCTTTTTCGCCGCCGAAATTCGATTTTTCGCGCGCGAAATTGCGCTATGAATAATCCAATTATTCGATTCAGTTCCTCCCGACGTAAAAATCACCGAATCTGGCCGGGTGTTGAAAAGTTTCGCCAAATTTCGGCGAGCCTCGGCAATTTCGCTGGCGGCTAATTTTGCTGGAACATTTTTGAATTTGAAATTTTTAAATTTTAATTTTTCCAGCCAAAACCCACCATTTTCATTGTTACTCGATGGATTTGCCCAAAATCCCAAAGCTTCTGTGATTTTTGCGGCGACTGTGGGTGCCAATGGTGTTGTCGCGTTGTTGTCCAGGTAGATTTTGGTCATCTGCGAAATTTGGGGGTACTGTAGGTTACGGTAAGTTATAAGGAGAGATTTGCGAAATTTTGATACCGAATAAGGTTGGATTGCCACGTGGCAATGATTATTGATTGAAATTTTGAAAAATTGATTTTTGGCTCTCAAAATATGCAACGTGGATTATTGTATTACTATCAGTTTGAATTTTGGTTCAAAAAAATTTCAAATAATTTTTGAAACAGTGAAAAAAAATTCAAAAAAAATTTTTTTTGAAAAAATTCTAATTTTTGCACGAAAACCTCGGCCTACTGTAGGTTTTCCTAGATTTTTTTTTAATGAAAATTTTTTGCCACGTGGATTCCAAATGATTGAAATTCTGAAAATGTTTTTATCAATTTGAATTGTGGTTCAAGAAAATTTCAAAAAATTTTGAAACAGTGAAAAAATTTCATAATTTTTTTTTTGAAAAAAATTTAATTTTTACACGAAAACCTCGGCCTACTGTAGTTTTCCTAGATTTTTTTTGAAGAAAATTTTTCGCCACGTGGATTCCTAATGACTGGAATTTGAACATCAATGTTGAATTTTTTTTTCGAAAAAATTTCAAACATTTTTGAAACAGTGAAAAATTTCTTAATTTTTTTTTTGAAAAAAATCTGATTTTTGGGCTAAAACCTCGGGCTACTGTAGGTTTTCCTAGATTTTTTTCGAATAAAAATTTTTACCACGTGGATTTCTATAGATAGAACCATTAAAATGTTTTTATCAATTTGAGTTTTGGTTCAAGAAAATTTCAAAAATTTTTGAAACAGTGAAAAATTTCATATTTTTTTTTGAAGAACATTTTTTTGCTACGTGGATTCTTTAAGCCAAAAATCTGGAATTAGAAGATCAATTTGAATTTTGGTTCAAAAAAATTTCAAAAATTTTTGAAACAGTGAAAAATTTCAAAAAAAATTTTTTTGAAAAAATTCTGATTTTTGCACGAAAATCTCGGCCTACTGTAGGTTTTGCTAGATTTTTTTTGAAGTTACATTTTTTGCCACGTGGATTCTTTAAGCCAAAAAATTCTGAAAATCCGTGAGGAGTCTATTAAATCACGATCAATTTGAACATTTTTCAAAAAAATTTCAAAAATTTTTGAAACAGTGGAGAATTTCAAAAGTTCTAATTTTTGTGCTAAAAATGCCACGTGGCAACAATTTTAAATTCAAATTTTTTTCTCCAAAACCTGATTTTTTTTTCACCAAATAAAATTCCTGTTCCTAATCCCTCTTTAAATATTCATGTCAGAAAATGTTTTGCCAATTAAAAATTTTCGGTGTGTTGAAACCAAATACTTTTTTACTATATACATTTTTGGCGCGAAAATTTAGCAGATTTTTTACCGCACGCACAGCAGTAACTAACCTTTTTTATCACAAAAAATTTATATTTGACAATAAGCAAAAAAAAAGAAAAATAATAAAATTTTCACGAGAAAATGCGAAATTTTTGTGAGAGTGTGTGATAACACTCACTCATACAAATATTTTGCATTTTACTCTTCTTTTCCATCTCTTTCTACCTTAACTTTATTTTATTTTTTTTTGGAAATTCGAATTTTAGCGCGAAAATTTGAATTGAAAAACATATTTTTGCCACTGTATTTAGATTTTTATTTCAAATTTAATTCCGTTCCCAAAGTTCTCATCAAATTTATTTCGAAATAAAAAAAAATCTATAGAAATTATGAAACAGTGAATTTTTTTTCGATCAACAAATTTTCAAATTTCAATTTTTTTTGCGCTAAAAACAGTTGCCACGTGGAAACGTTATGGAAATTTTGAAACAGTGAATTTTTCATTAGAAAACACTTTTCCACGTGGCGAAAAACCTTTAAAATTTTTGAAATAAAGACATACCACGCCCAGCTTCGTGCAAATTAACTTTTAAAATTGGCGGTGTGGGTTTTGAAATTTTTTGGCGAGGTGAAAACAACCTTTTTGACTGAAAATTACGACTTTTTTACGGAAAAACAAGCAAAAATCTGCTGTTTTTGAAGAAAATCTCAAATTGGCGAGGTGAATTGCCGTATTTTTCTATTGGCGCCGTGCAAATGCCTCACCCTGGGCGTGGTATGAATAAAGACCGATTCACTTAATTTTATAATCAAAAAATATTTCAACATTGAAAAAATCATTAGGGCTGATTCACGAACGAAAAAAATGTTTAAAAATGTTTTTTTAACATCGAAAGATCAATTGACGAAATCATCAAATTTATTTCGAAATCGAAAAATTTATGGAAATTTTGAAACAGTAAAATTTTTTTCGATCAAAAAATTTTAAAATCTCGATTTTTTGCGCTAAAAACAGTTGCCAAGTGGATTTATTTTTAAATAAAAAAGTAAACTTTCATCAAATTTATTTCGAAATGGAAAAAAAATCTATAGCATTTTTGAAACAGTGAATTTTTTCATTGGAAAAACGTTTCCACGTGGCAAAAACCCTAATTCCTCTTAATTTTTGAAGTAAAGACATACTTGGCATCAAATTTATTTCGAAATCGGAAAATTTATAGAAATTCTGAAACAGTGGAATTTTTCATTAGAAAAAACTTTTCCACGTGGCAACAAATTTAAACATTGAAAAAATTTATGGTAATTTAGAAGACCCTATCAAAATTATTTCCAGATAGAAAATTTTTCTAGAATTTTTGAAACAGTGAATTTTTTCAATAGAAAAATTTTTTCCACGTGGCGAAAAACCCTAATTCCTTTAAAATTTTTGAAATAAAGACATATTTAGTTAATTTTATAATCAAAAAATATTTCAACATTGAAAAAATTTATGGAAATTTTGAAACAGTGAATTTATTTTTCGGGCCAAACTTTTATAAATTCCACGTGGAAAAAAAAATTAATTCTTAAAATCATATTTTCTAGCTTCAAATCTAGAAAAAATTCAAAATTTTTTTGAAGCTAAGGCCAAATTCATGTCTGAACCAAAACGAATCGGCCGTCGCGTCTTCCCCAACCGCGAATCCTCAGAAATCCGAAAATCCCAACAATTTCTGCACTATTCAACAAAGCCTATTCTACCACCCGAAGAGCCACCAATCGATTACACGATAAAGGTGAAAAATGGTGAGTTTTCTGGGCATTTTCGCGCCAAAAAACTCCCTATATTTTCAGATCGTGACTACAAAGTGGTTGGTGATGTTTTTCACCGAGTTCCATCCACCGATTTTTCACGGGAGGAGGATAATTTGAGGTAGGCGTCAAAAGGTTTTCTTATCGATCAAAAATCAAAAGCTTATCACGGGAAAAATGAGGAAAACGGGGGAAAAACGGGGGAAAATGTGCAAAAAAAAATAAAAATAAAAAAATTGTGTGCAAACACGGCGACGCGAAAATGCACACATTTTTTCCTGGGGGTTTTTTCACGGGGGAAATTTGAAAAACACAGAAAAAATCATGCAGAACTGCTTTTTTGACACAAAAAACATCGAAAATGTCAAATTTGATTATGCTTATTATTTTTATTCGAAAATTATACCAATTCAAGGTCAAAAAACCATTTTTTTCACAGATCTTCCCGCCAAAAACCAAAAAGCTCCCAAAAAACCGTCGAAGAAATCCTGGACGAGCTGGACAATGTGCTTTTTGAGGCGTCGATTCCATTCGATGAGCTCAAGAAAAAAGTGGAGAATTTCAACCTGAGCTTTAAGCCCTATGCTCCAGATTCGGATTTGGAGGAGATTCAAAAACATCAGAGATATACTAAAGAGCCGATTCGAATAGAACCGATAAGGATTTCGAGAAAAGATTCGAATTCGAATGAAAATTTGAATTTGACTGCTTTGAGCTCGAGTTCCAGCAAGAATTCGAGCAAAAATAATGAGAAAAAGATTGAGGAAATGTTTAGAAAAGTGAGTTTTATCAAAAATATATAAAGTCTGAAGCAAAGTTTACAGAAACTTCCCTAAATTTCATAAATTTTTTGAAACAGTGAATTTTTTTAGTCGAAAAACAATAATTTCCAAACATTATGTTACATGATTGCTCAAAAATTGTCATTTTTTCAATAATAATTTTTTGAAACGTATTTTTTTCATGAAATATTATTTTTAATTTTGAAGTTTATGTCTTCTCACTGAAGATTCATTAAAAAGTTAGAAATTGTAGAAATTTTGAAACAGTAAAATTTTTATGATGGAAATCATGCTTCAGCAAAACTCAAAGGAACTTCACAAAATTCATAAATTTTTTGAAACAGTGAATTTTTTTTGCTTAAAAATTGTCAATTTTTCCATAATAATTTTTTGAAACATATTTTTTCCATGAAATTTTTTTGAAACAGTGAAAATTTTTATGATGAAAAATATAAAAGCAAAGTGTAGCAAAGTTTACAGGAAATTCACAAAAATTCATAAAATTTTGGAAACAGTGAATTTTTTTAGTCGAAAAACAATAATTTCCAAACATCATGTTAAATGATTGCTCAAAAATTGTGAATTTGTCAATAATAATTTTTTGAAACGTATTTTTTTCATGAAATATTTTTTTAAATTTCGAATATTTTTTTAAATTTTTTTATTTTTTTAAATTTTGATATAGGTTTTTAAAAGTTGTTATTCTCTCGCACTGAAGATTCATTAAAAAGTTAGAAATTATAGAAATTTTTGAAACAGTGAACATTTTTATGATGAAAAATATAAAAGCAAAGTGTAGCAAAGGTTACAGGAAATTCCTAAAAATTCATAAATTTTTTGAAACAGTGAATTTTTTTGCTCAAAAATTGTCATTTTTTTTAATAATAATTTTTTGAAACGTAATTTTTTCATGAAATATTTTTTTTTTAATTTTGAAGTTTATGTCTTCTTTAGCACTGAAGATTCATTGAAAAGTTAAAAATTGTAGAAATTTTGAAACAGTGAAAATTTTTATGACGAACATAATGAAGTCTTTAGCAAAGTTTAGAGGAAATTCATAAAAATTCATAAATTTTTTGAAACAGTGAAATTTTTTAGTCGAAAAAAATTGTGAATTTTTCAATAACAATTTTTTGAAACGTATATTTTCATGAAATAAATTTTTTTTAATTTCGAATATTTTTTAAAATTTTTTAAAATTTTGATATAGTTTTTTAAAAGTTGTTCTTCTCTCGCACTGAAGATTCATTAAAAAGTTAGAAATTATAGAAATTTTGAAACAGTAAAATTTTTATGATGGGAATCATGCTTCAGCAAAACTCAAAGGAACTTCACAAAATTCATAAATTTTTTGAAACAGTGAATTTTTTTTTTTGATAAAAAATTGTACAATTTTTCAATAATAATTTTTTGAAACGTATTTTTTTCTACCTTTTTAATAAAATCCCGGTTGGGTGGTGTCTCGATGGAAGCAGGATTTTTCAATGGGGTCCCCCTGTTCTCATTTTTCAAATGTCGCAATTTTGGACATTTCCCATTTTTTCCGAAAATCATACCTTCGCGAACGTCCAAAAGGATCCGATCCTGGACCTTCTGAACAAAAAACACGTGATCTAACCACTTGACCATTTCTGACACAAGAAATGACCATTAATTCGCTTAGAAATGCTCGAAGAAAAATTTTTGACGTGAGAAAAAATATTTGTTTTAAAAAAGGAGACTGTTACGCCTGGGAGCTGAAAGCTCCTAGGCTCATGCAATATTTTTTAAATTTTGAAGTTTATGTCTTCTGACTGAAGATTCATTAAAAAGTTAGAAATTATAGAAATTTTGAAACAGTGAACATTTTTATGATGGAAATCATGCTTCAGCAAAACTCAAAGGAACTTCACAAAATTCATAAATTTTTTGAAACAGTGAATTTTTTTGCTTAAAAATGGTCAATTTTTCCATAATAATTTTTTGAAACGTATTTTTTCCATGAAATTTTTTTGAAACAGTGAAAATTTTTATGATGAAAAATATAAAAGCAAAGTGTAGCAAAGTTTACAGGAAATTCACAAAAATTCATAAAATTTTGGAAACAGTGAATTTTTTTAGTCGAAAAACAATAATTTCCAAACATCATGTTAAATGATTGCTCAAAAATTGTGAATTTGTCAATAATAATTTTTTGAAACGTATTTTTTTCATGAAATATTTTTTTAAATTTCGAATATTTTTTTAAATTTTTTTATTTTTTTAAATTTTGATATAGGTTTTTAAAAGTTGTTATTCTCTCGCACTGAAGATTCATTAAAAAGTTAGAAATTATAGAAATTTTTGAAACAGTGAACATTTTTATGATGAAAAAAATGAAAGCAAAGTGTAGCAAAGTTTACATGAACTTCACAAAAATTCATAAATTTTTTGAAACAGTGATTTTTTTTGCTAAAAAAATTGTGAATTTTTCAATAATAAATTTTTGAAACGTATTTTTTTCATGAAATATTTTTAAAATTTTTAAGTGTATTTCTTCCTTCGCACTGAAGATTCATTAAAAAGTTAGAAATTTTGAAACAGTGAAAATTTTTATGATGGGAATCATAAGTGAGCTAGCAAAACTTAAAGAACTTCTCTAAAATTAATAAATTTTTTGAAACAGTGAAGTTTTTTTGATAAAAAATTGTCAGTTTTTCAATAATAATTTTTTGAAACGTATTTTTTTCATGAAATTTTTTTTTTGAATTTTGAAGTTTTTTCTTCTCTCGCACTGAAGATTCATTAAAAAGTTAGAAATTGTAAAAGTTTTGAAACAGAAAAATTTTTTTTATGGAAATTATGTTTCAGCAAAACTTAAAGGAACTTCCCTAAAATTAATAAATTTTTTGAAACAGTGAATTTTTTTGCTCAAAAATTGTCATTTTTTAAATAATAATTTTTTGAAACGTATTTTTTTCATGAAGACATTTTGAAACAGTGAAATTATTTTGGAAACATAAGGGTCTATTAAGCTTAAGCCTAAGGTTTAAATTAAGGCCTAAGCTAGGGCCTAAAACATTGAAAAAAAATCCCCCAATTCTTGCAGACCCAAAAAGAGATCAGCGAAGCCAAGGCCTATTTTTCGCCGGTCTATTTTCAGGCTCAATTTGAGCTGGACGGAGTTCCAGCCTGGAAACGGAATTTGTTGGCTGAAAAGAAATCGAAAGAAACTATTAGGAGAATTGAACATGATGCTTGGGTGAGTTAGGCCTAAGGCCTAAGCCAGGGCCTTATTTAGGCCTAAAAAGTCTATTTTGAAAAATTTCAGGCCAAATTCGAGAGATTCAAAATATCTCTCACCGAAAAACGACAACAAATCCGGCGAAGTTCCAGTGTGCAAATTGGGAGATCGAAAAAATAAAATAAATTTTTTTCTGTTGTCCACGAGAACTACACACGCCATATTTTCTTCTTTTCTATCTGACTATAAATAAATATTTGATGAAAAATGTGTTTGACTAGTGAACAAGACTAATATTTGACGAACATTTTGGCGGGAAAAATCGTATTTTTTCTGCTTGGGAACATTGGATTCTACTTTTTTGGTTTTTTTTCATTATTTTTACTAACATGAGCAATGAACTTTTCTGAAAATTTGGAATTTTTGAAGTAAAAAAACAACGAAAAAATTCACTGTTTCAAAATTATCTCAAAATAAATTATGAAAATTTTGAAACAGTAGATTTTTGACTTCAAATATTTTATAGAAAATTTCCAAATTCAATTATTTTCAGAAGAGAATAATGCATTGCTCATTTTAAAGTTGACATGAGTAATCAATCTGAAAATTCTTCATAGATATTTCAAAGCTGAAATCTAACATGAGCAATGCATAATTTTTTCTAAAAATAAGGTCCTTTTGAATGTGGAAAAATTCACTGTTTCTAAATTTTTGTATAATTTTTTTTTGGATTTTTCATAGTTGATAATTGGTTACTTAAATTCCGCTGAAAATTTTGAAACAGTAAATTTTTGCAAAATTTTGAAATTCTGTTTTCCAAATTTTCATTGCTCATTTTAGTTGAATTTTCAGAAATCTAACATGAGCAATGAATTTATTAATTGATATTTTTATTTAAAAAACATTGCTCATTTTAGTTAAACTCGGATGAAAGAAGGAAGATATTAACAGTTTTGAAATTTTCTCAGAATAAATTATGACAATTTTGAAACAGTAAGAATTTTTAGCTTCAAATAATTGAAAATTTCCGAAACTTCCAAATTCAATTATTTTCAGAAGAGAATAATACATTGCTCATTTTAAAGTTAACATGAGTAATCGATCTGAAAATTCTTCATATTTCAAAGCTGAAATCTAACATGAGCAATGAATAATTTTTTTTGAGAAAATAGGGGTCTCTTGAATGTAGAAAAATTTTCACTGTTTCAAAATTTTTGTATATTTTTTTTGATTTTCTTTCCCTAATTGATATATTAGTAAAATGTGGCTGAAAATTTCAACATCAATCAAAACAAAAATAAAAGTTTTGAAATTTTTCCGAAAAAATGTCATAAAAATTTTGAAACAGTAAATTTTTGCAAAATTTTGAAATTTTGTTTTGCAAATTCAATAGCTATTTATTTTCAGATTAATTGCTCATATTAGTTAAATTTATCAAACATGAGCAACGAATTTCTTAATTGATGTTTTTCATTGAAAAAACATTGCTCATTTTAGTGAAACTCGGATGAAAGAATCAGTTTTGAAATCGTTTCAAAATATTTTATGAAAATTTTGAAACAGTAAAAATTTTTAGCTTCAAATTATTGAAAATTTCCGAAATCTAACATGATTAAGGTTCTTTTGAATGTAGGAAAATTTACTGTTTCAAAATTTTTTTAATAGTTTATTTTTGATTTTTAATAGTTTTTTTTTAAAATTGATTTTGTAGTCTAACAAAAATTGTATTTATTTTCAAAAGAAAATAACCCATTGCTCATTTTAAAGTTAACATGAGTCATTATCCGAAAACTTCAAAAATTCCCCCCAAAGTTCATCACTTCTCATTCTTTTCATCGTCGTCAAGTGTGTTTTTGCTGCACTTTCTCTCACACACTCTCTTATTTTCCCACACTCTCTCACTCGCCGTTTTCCTCGTCGCAACCACCAAAAATACACATAGAAATTGGAAAAACCGTACAAATTCATCATTTGTGCACAAAAATATTATATTATTATATGATACTATACACTGTCTGCGTCTCTCTTGGTTTCTCATACTCTCTCTTGCAGCGAGAGAGAGTGTGGGAAGAGGAGAGAGTGCAGAGATGGAGAGAGAGGGAAAAGTGGGCGGAGCCTGTTTCGGTTTGTTGTGAAAAGAAAAGCGTGTAGATAGAACTTGGAGGAATTTTTTTTGATTTCGGGTGAGGTTGGGCCTGTTTTTATGGGCCGGCCCGGGCTTCAGGCTTTTTAATCTAGATTTTCTGGGCTTTATTAAAAATGATTTTAATCATATTTTCCGAAATTTTGAGATTTTTCAGAAAATTATTGGAATTTTTAATTGAAAATCCAATTTCAGAGCAAAACTTTTGAATGAAAATTCTGAAATTTTCAGATCTTACAAGGGAACCTTTTTTACTCAACACTTCAAACCTTGATGAAATTTTGTCCAGAGACAGCTTTTGGGGTCATAAGAACACCCTAAAAATTTAAGTTACCCAATGGACCTATGAGCCAAGTTCTGGGCTCTCAAAAACTCAAAAAAGGCCTAAAAATGGTCACAAAAGTCATCATAGCTTTATTTCAAAAATTTTTTTGGGAGAAATAAAGTTTCAGATATTGATCAGCATAGTCGATTACCTAAAAGTAAATCAATAAAAAACATTTTTTCGAAAAATTTTGAAGTTTTTTATTTTTGGGCTGAAAATTCATATGTGCCCCTGCTCATTCTTTTTTTCAAAATCAAAAATTTTTCTGAAAATTCGATTTATTGATGTTTTTTGGGTAAATCGACAACGCTGATCATCATCTGCTACTCAGTTTTTCATAAAATTGATCGAGAATTGAGTTATGACGTGTTTTACGAGCCAATTTTGGCAATTTTTGAACTTTTGATAGCCCAGAACTTGGCTCAGAGGTCCATTGGGTAACTAAGATTTTTAGGGTGTTCTTATGGCCCCAAAAGCTGTCTCTGGACAAAATTTCATCATGATTTGAAGTGTTGAGTAAAAAAGGTTCCCTTGTTAGTTTAATTTACGAGGATTATTTACTGAAATTCCAAGAAAATTTGAAATTCAGATTTTTTTAAGACGAAAAATTTTGAAATGCAAATTTTCTTCTGAAATTCTCAGATTTTCAGAAAATTACTGGAATTTTTCAATTTTTCAAAACAAACTTGTTTTGTCTAAAAAAATTCTGAAATTTAAAAATTCTGAAATTTAAAAATTCTGAAAAATTCCAATTTTCCCCTGAATGTCTAGCTTCAAAAAAATCCCATTCAATTTTTTTCCAAATTTTTTTCTAAAAAAAAATTTCTAAAATTTTCAGATCTTGAAAATTAGTTTTCCCATGAAAAACCTTCTCCAAAAATTCAAATTTTTCAAAAAAAAATTCCCAATTTTCTCCCCCAAGTTCACCTCAAACCGTTCTTTCCACAAAATTTTCCAAAAAAATTTTTTTGCGATAACAAAAATTATCTTATCATTTTTTGATTCCAAAAAAAAAATTATGTTTCATTTTTTCATTTTTATTTAATTTTTCCGTGACATTTTTTTGTCTACGTCATAAAAACATAAAAATCATCATTTCCAGCTCCAATTTCCCGCCAAAAATGACAGTATCCCCTCCGCACTACGGTATTTGGAAAGGGAATGGCGAAACAGTATTATACAGTAAATATGATTATGACACGATATATTGGATTGAATCGCTGTGGGATGATAAACAGGTTCACACGTTTTTCAAAAATCATTGGTTCAAATCGGTTTATTTATCGATTGGTTATGTGATTTTGATCAATTTGTTGCAGAAATTTATGGAATCCAGGAAACCGATGAAGTTTGTTGGATTTTGGGGAGGGAAATTGGGCTAGGCCCGAAAGGGGCCTAAAAAATTGGGATTTTTTGAATATAAATTTGTATTAGTCTATAGAAATTTGAAGCCCAAGATTGAGCCCGAAAGCCTAGTATCAAAATTTCTGGATAAAAAGCCTAGGGTTAGAAATTTGAAAATTAGCTGAGGCCTAGGCCTGAAAAATCCAGTCTAAAAGAGCCTGGGCCCAAAAAATCTGAATTTTTAGAGTTCAAATTTGGATTAGGCTTAAGCCTAACCTAAACCTGGGCCCGAAAAAGCCTGGTCTTTCTGGATTTTTTGAGTGTAAATAGGCCTAGGCCCGAAATGAGCCTGAGCTCTCTGAATTTTTCAAATATAATTAGGCCATAGAATGACAGAAGCCTAGACTAGGCCCGAAAAATCGGGAAAAAACAGTTTAGCATGAGGATAGGCCTGGCCTAATTGAAAATGGGCCTGGGCTTGCAAATTTCTGGATTTTTTGAGTGTAAATAGGCCTAGGCCCACAAAATTCCAGTCTAAAAGAGTCTGGGCTCGAAAAATCACTGGATAAAAAGTCTAGGCCTGAAAATTAGAGAAACCTAAACCTCAGATTAGGCCTGGCCTGGTAATCTGAGGCCTAGGCCCGCAAAATCCAGTTATTTTGGATCAGGCCTAAAAACAGGCCTAAACAAATCTAGATTTTCGGTACTGGCCCAAGAAATCTGAATGTTTTAAATCTTAAAATTGAGCCCGGGCTTCAGAAATCTGAATCTATATATCCGGAAAATTGTTAAAATTTTGGCCCAGAAGCCCGTGGCCAAAATTTCAACAATTCTAGGCCTAAGCCCGATTCAGGCCCAAAAATTTCCCAATGACAATTTTTCTTTTTTTTTCCTCCATAAAAATCCACTGTTTCAAAATTCCTATGTATTTTTTCTCAAATTTCTCACGCTAATTTTTCAATCCTGTGATATTCAAAAATCCACGTGGCATAATTTTGGTGCCGAATTCAAAAAAAAAAAAAGAAAAAATTCCAGTATTCGTCCACTTCTTTTGTTCTGGAATGGTGGTTTGGCGATTTTCAGTATTGTCGGCACTTTTCGATTCGGAATCGAGTTTTATGACGCGGTATTTAGAAAGTGAGTACTGTAGAGGGGGTACTGTAGGGATCTACAGTACCCCTGGAATTTTTATACTGTATCTAGACTACCGTACCCCATTTCCAGAGGTCCCTATGATTCAATATGCTTCGCCATCAATCCATATTCACCGGCTGCATTCTGGGGATGCATGTTTGCTCTATCGAAAATTGCGGAATTTGGGGATACTGTATTTCTAGTGCTACGAAAACGTCCCGTCATATTCTTGCATTGGTATCATCACGCTGTTGTGCTGGTTTTGGCCTGGCATGCTGGTAAGATTCGGGGAAAAAATAAAAAAGTTTCGCCGGCAGGAGGTCTCGAACCCGGGTCGTGCGCATGATAGGCAAAAGCGCAACCAGCTGACCTATATCTATCTTTTTTGATAAGGGGGAAAATGTTGGTGAAAAGGAGGGAGCTGCTTTTTTCAAGCAAGCCTGAATTTTTGACCTCAGCGAGACTTTTTTTTTGTAAAAAATTTTTCAAATCAAAACACAAAGTTCAAAGGATTATCCTCAATTCTTAAGTAAAAAGGTCAAAATTTCACTTTTTCCTAAAAAAAAACTTTGGTTTTTTGAATTTGCAAAATTTAATCACTGAAAATCTGGAAAGAAAAACCGGTTAGGCTTCATCTTATTATTTTTTCACGTCATTCTAAATAGAAAAAAGGTTGATAAGCAATTATAATTAATTAATTAATCAAGGAACAAGGTATACACATCATGATTGTTTTATTGGGCGGAAAAGGGGATTTTTAGGCCCTAAGTTTGGGCCTGAAATTCGGGCCTTTTGAGTCCAAACTCGGGCTGGGATTTCTGGATTTTAGGGCTTGAGTTTGAACTGCAATTATCGATTTTTTGGACCTATATTCAACTTGAAATTCCACGATTTTAAGCCTGAATTTGGCCTGAAATTCTAGGACTTTTGGGGGCATTGCTCATATTAAACCTAATTTTATCTCAAAAATAATTCGAAATTCAAATTTTTGCGCGAAATTTCCACAAATGTATTCGATGTTTTATCAAATGTCTAGTTTCGGATATTATTTTTCACTTTTTCTCTCCGAAATTCTCATTTTCGCATCAAAAACCAACCGGTTGGCATTGGAAACACACGCTTTTTGTTTTGTTTTGTATTCTCCTCATCCAGAATTGGATAACACATAAAATGAGAGAGGAAAAACTGCCATGGTGACAACTTTAGTCTTTTGTGTTCCGGTGGACAGGGGATTTTTCAACGAAAAAAAAAAAAAAAAAAAAATTTTGCCGGGAGGTGGATTCGAACCGGGGTCGTATGTGTGGCAGGCAAAAGCGCAACCAGCTGAGCTATGTCTATCTTCTCTCACGAGGGGGAAAATGTTGGTGAAAAGGAGGAGGCTGTTGCGAACATGAACTTTTGAACTTTTGATCTCAGAAACCTTAACTTATCTCCGTAGAAATGTAGTTAGTCGAACTAGAGAAGTTCGCCTAACTAGAAAATTTAAAAAAAAATGTGATTTTTGATCTCTAGCACCGATTTTTGCAGCCGTCGAAGTCACAGCCGCTGGAAGATGGTTCATTTTCATGAACTATTTCGTTCATTCACTGATGTATACTTATTATGCGATTACTAGTGTTGGATATCGATTGCCGAAAATTGTTTCAATGTGAGTTGGGTGGAAATCGGGCATTTTTTGACACCAAATATGCCTTGGTTTGATTTGAGGATTTTTTGAAACAGTGAAGTTTTTGGAAATCTAATTCCACGTGGAATGCACTTTTAGGGCATTTTTTGAAAGCCAAATTGAAAGAAATCATTTTCTGAGAATTCACCAGAAATTTTGTGAAATTTTTGAAACAGTGAATTTTTTTTGAGAATTTTCGAAATTTTCAATGGACTGAAAAATTCATTTAAAAACTTTGAAACAGTTTTTTTTTCGTAAATCGAACTCTTGAAATATGTAATTCCACGTGGAATGCATTTTTTGAGGTCAATTTTTGAAAACCAAAATGTTAAATTAATCATTTTCTGAAAATTCACCGAAAAATTTATGAAATTTTTGAAACAGTAAAATTGATCTGTCACCACAAAACACTAGGTGTGTCATTCTTCTTCATAATTTTGTGAATATTTTGAAACAGTGAAAATTTCTGAAGTTCATGGTGTCGAAAAAAACCTCACAATTGTTGGAAAATTAATTTTTGAAAATTTCAAATAATTTTTGAAACAGTGAAATTTTTTCGAAAATATTTTCGGACATTTTTTTGAAAGCCAAATTAGAAAAAAAACAGCATTTTCTGAAAATTCACCAGAAAATTTATGAAATTTTTGAAACAGTGAATGTTTTTGGGACTTTTAAAAAAATTTCAATGTACTGAAAAATTCATTTTAACTTTCAAACAGTATTTTTTTCTAAATCTAAGTCTTGAAGTATGAAATTCCACGTGAAATGCATTTTTTGAGTCAATTTTTGAATTCCATAATCAAAAAAAAATCATTTTCTGAGAATTCACCAGAAAATTTGTGAAATTTTTGAAACAGTATTTTTTCCTATATCTAAGTCTTGAAGTATGAAATTCCACGTGGCGTATATTTTTGAATCAATTTTTGAAAGCCAAATTAGAAAAGTAATCATTTTCTGAGAAATCATCTAAAAATTCATGAAATTTTTGAAACAGTGAAATTTTTAGAAATAATATTTTTGGGAGTTTTTTGTTGTTGGTAAAATAAAAAAAAACATTTTCTGAGAATTCTTCTCCAAATTTGTGAATTATTTGAAACAGTGAATTTTTTTGGAGTAGATTTTTGTGATTTCGAGGAAAAATCATACAATTGTTGGTAAATTAAATTTTGAAAAATTCAAACAATTTTTGAAACAATGAACTTTTTTCGAAAAAATATTTTTTTGCAGTTAGAAAACTAAAAAAATCATTTTCTAAGAATTCATCAAATAATTTGTGAATTATTTGAAACATTGAATTTTTTGGAGTAGATTTTTGTGATATCGAAAGATACAGGGTGGCTGATAAGTATACAACGCTGTGTTTTAAGTTGTAAGTTGTAACATGTTCCAGTACACATCTGATGAAAATTCATCATTTTGAATTCCTGGAGAACCTTCGAAGTTAAAACTCAAAAAATCACTTTTTCCCTATTTTTCCGAAAAAAAATTTTTTTTCAAAATACTTGAAATTCTGCGGATTTTCAAAATATTTTCCTGTTGGATAGAATAAAAAAAGATGTTTGAGAAATACAAACTAACGATTCCAATTGTTAGTCCGAAATTTTCGGATAAAATGTGAAATTTTTCGAAAAATGAAGATGTCTAGCAAATTTCGATAGTTATAACGGTCAGAATTTTCAAAACGTGATGTTATGATTGTAATGGGTTGAGAACATCATATTTGTTCATATTCAGAAAGTTGAGATCTCATTTTAAGCTCTAGCTCTTATCACAGTACGCTAAACTGTCAACACTCAAAAAACAACAGTTTCGCGGCGCACACCAATTCCGATTTTCTGAAAAGGTGCTCTTGAACTGAATTTTTTTTGAATAAGGTTTATGAATGCTGGAAGTAGAACATAACGTCTAAAAAGTGTGTCTGGTTGTATATAACTGATTTCTTCGTTTTTCACAAAGTTCTGATAGAGGAAAGTTGGCCTAAAATCAATGTAAAATGGACCTTTTTCAGCTCAAATCACCAATACACACCCAGAAATTAACTTTTCTTAAAACACTCTCACATTAGCTTTCTAGACTCATTGGACTATCCGATCAACACTTAACATAAGAAAAATGACAATCGGGGGCTTTCTGGGAAAGGCTTGAAAAACGTTGTATACTTATCAGCCACCCTGTATGCCAACATGAAAAAAAATCATTTGCTGAGAATTCACCGAAAAATGTATTACATGTTTAAAACAGTGAATTTTTTTTTGAGAATTTTTAAAATTTTCAATGTACTGAAAAATTCTTTTAAAAACTTTGAAACAGTGAATTTTTTTTCCTATATCTAAGTCTTGAAATATGAAATTCCACGTGGAATGCATTTTTGAGTCAATTTTTGAAAACCAGAATGTTACATTAATCATTTTCTGAGAATTCACCGAAAAATTTATGAATTCTTTGAAACAGTGAATTTTTTGGGCTAGATTTTTTCGCAAGTGCACAGATAATATTGTTGGAAAATTAAATTTTGAAAAATTCATAAAATTTTTGAAACAGTGAATTTTTTTCGGAAATATTTTCGGGCATTTTTTAAATTCCATGAAGAGAAATAAAATCATTTTCCGAGAATTCATCAAAAAATTTGTGAAATTTTTGAAACAGTGGCTTTTTTTTGAAGAATTTTTTGAAATTTTCAATTCACTGTAAAATTCATTTTAAAAAACTTTGAAACTGTAAACTTTCGTAAATCTATCTCTTGAAGTATGAAATTCCACGTGGCGTATATGTTTGAGTTAATTTTTGATGGCCAATTAGAAAAAAAAATCATTTTCTGAGAATTCACCGAAAAATTTCTGAATTTTTTGAAACAGCGATTTTTTGGGGTAGATTTTTGCAATCGAGAGAAAAACCTCACAATTGTTGGAAAATTAATTTTTTGAAACAGTGAATTTTTTTCGGAAATGTTTTTGGGAACAATGAAGTTAACAATCATTTTCTGAGAATTCACCAGAAAATTTATGAAATTTTTGAAACAGTGAATTTTTAAAATTTTCAATGCACTGAAAAATTCATTTAAAAACTTTGAAACAGTATTTTTTCGTAAATCTAACTTGAAATATGAAATTTCACGTGGTGTATCTTTCGAATCATCTTCCGAATTCCATAATAAAAAAAATCATTTTCTGAGAATTCACCGAAAAATTTATGAATTCTTTGAAACAGTGAATTTTTTTGAAGTAGATTTTTTCGCAATTGCACAAAAAAAATATTGTTGGAAAATTAAATGTTGAAAAATTAAAACAATTTTTGAAACAGTGATTTTTTTTTTCGAAAAAAATTTTTTAGGAAAAAATTTTTAAGGCCTAGCCTTATTTGGTTTCAAAAAGTTCAGATTTGTCAGGCTTAATTTCAAGCCTAAGCCTAAGCCTGAATCTGGGCTTATTTGGATTCAAAAATCCCCGAATTTCAAGCCCAGGCTTATGTTATATCAAAAAATTCCAAATTTCAGGCTTTGGCCTAAACATAGGCTTATTTAGTCTCAAAAAATGCCCAATTTCAGGCCTCGGCCTAAACTTAGGCTTATTTAGTCTCAAAAAATGCCCAATTTCAGGCCTAAGCCTAAATCCAGGCTCATTTAGTCTCAAAAAATGCCCAATTTTCAGGACCGTCACAGCTCTCCAAACAGTTCAAATGTTCATCGGCGTCGGAATCTCAATACTCGTCCTAATCATCAAATTAAACGGTCAACTATGTCAACAATCCTACGATAATTTGGCTCTAAGTTTCGCCATATATGCCTCATTTTTGGTGCTTTTCTCCAATTTCTTCAACAATGCTTATTTGGTCAAAAAACCGAAAAAAGAATAAATTGGAGCGAGAAAAAACAAGAGGAAAATACGGTTTTTCGAACATTTTTTCATTTATTTATTTGATTTTTCTGTCTACGTCCAGTTTTGGTCTATTTTTAGTTTTTCATAAATTTTTTCTTGTTTTTGTAAAGTTCTACAGTAATCCTAGATCAAATTCAGCGCAAAAAAACACGTGGAAAAAAAACCTACAGTAATCTGAGCTTTTGAGTCTTAGAGTGAAAAAATGCCACGTGGAAAACCCTACAGTAACCCTGGAAACTAAAAAAAATCTCGAAAGATCTACAGTAATCATCTACAGTAACCGTAGAAGCTCAGAGTTTTGAACCCAAAAATTTTTCAAATTCTACAGTAATCTGGGATTTTGATTTTTGACTTAAAAAATTGCCGTGGCAAATTCTACAGTAATCCTAGCTCAAAATTTTTAGGTTGATAATTTTCAACATCTACAGTAATCCTATCCCTATTTCTTGGCGCGAAAACCTACAGTAACCGTAGAAACTACAAAAGCTACAGTATCAATCTACAGTAACCCAATCCCTACTTTCTGGGTCCTAAAAATGCCACGTGGCAAAAAATACCTACAGTAACCCTAGAAACTACAAAAAAAATATCGAAAAATCTACAGTAATCATCTACAGTAACCGTAGAAGCTCAGAGTTTTGAACTCAAAAATTATTGCAAATTCTACAGTAGTCTGAGCGCTATTTTTTGGTGGAAAAAACCTACAGTAATACTAGCAGTGCAACATTTTAAAATTTTAAATTTTCGAATTCTACAGTAACCCTATCCCTACTTTCTGGGGCCGAATTTGCTACAGTAATCCTAGCTCCACTTTTTGGGCGCCGAAAAAAATCAATATTTTTCTCACTCTTATCAGTTCCGATTTTGCGGAGTCAAAGTAAACAGAAAATTATCACATCACAATTATTTTTGCTCGAATTTTCCAAATTTTTTTTCCAAAAAAATGCTCAAAACCTGTTGCTCCGAAGACATCGAGCTGAAATTCGATCGATTGTGTTTGAATCGAATTGGATTCGGTGGATTCGCGCAAGTTTTTCACATTTTCTACAAGGAAAAGGATGCCGTGTTGAAGCAATTGAAAGAGCCCGATGATGATAAAGGTGAGCCGGGGTACTGTAGGTTTTCGCGCGCCAATTTTCCGATCATTTTGAGACCAAACATGACTGGGTTACTGTAGAATTCACTAGGTTACTGTGGAAATTGGGTTATAGTAGAATTTTTTCGCTTCGAAACCCTGAGCTTCTGAAGCTCTGGGTTACTGTAGAAATTGAATACTGTAGATTTTTTCGCTTCAAAACCCTGAGCTTCTGAAGCTCTGGGTACTGTAGATTTCAAAAAATTACCGTATCGCAGCCAAAAACCACATGTTTTTGGGTCATTTTTCACGGTGTATAAATTTTCCAATAAAAAATTTGTTTACCACAACCACAAAGTTGTTGTTGTTTTGGTTTTTAAACAGTAAGTTCCGGGGTCTACAGTACTCCTGGAGTACTGTAGATACAGTAAGCGAAGAATATGACAAATGAATTTCAATTAAAATGTGAAATGTGAAAAAAAATCAACAAAACATCAAATTTTTTCTCAAATTTTTTCCCAAAAAAACTCACATTTCTCCAGTTTTCCTCGAAATTCGGGAATCATTTGACCAAAAAAATTTTCCTCATAAATTGTTTTGAAATCTCCCACGATTTTCCTGTAAAATAGAAGAATTAGCAAAAATGTAAGAAAAATGTACATTTTTTTCATAAAAAAGCTCTTTAAGCACCAATTTTACTATAAAATATCGAAAATTACTAGGAAATGAAAAAAATTTGAATTTTTCATCGAAAAAACCACGAAAAATGAAAAATCTCCTCGACAAACAAAAAAAACAAGAAAATAAAAGTAAAAATGGAAGCGCGCCCCATTGATAAAAATAGAATGTCTCGCACTCTCTCCATTCTCCACACTTTCTCACCTCCTCGGCGTCCTTATGGCGTTCCTGTCTGTTTTTTTTTACTATTGATTTCTTCTTTTTATTTCTAGGTTACTAGTATTCTCCCTGGGAAAAGCAAAGCTTGAAAGACTCTCAGGGTTCCCAAAGTTCATACATTATTTAACGTGTCTCTTTTAAAATCCGGGGGGGGGGGGTTCCCATTTTTAAAAATCCCCAAAAAATACAATAGGCGAGCAGCGTGTTTTCTATTCTGCAGCGCCTTTTCGCGTCAGCGCGTAAGATTAAATGTTTGCGGACCAGTTGGTGTTGACACACACTTTTAATTTTTTCGTTCTTTCTTTAGGTTTGGGATCTAGGTTATGCTTTAGGTTACCTAGGTTTAGGTTATTTAGGTTTAGGTTATTAAGGTTGTTCTTTAGGTTACTTAGGTTATTTAGGTTTTTTTAGGGCTAAACGCTACAGAAAAGGCCCCCACATTAAAAAAGTTTTTAATAAAAAATTAAAATGATTTTTTCGCCAATTTTTTTTTCTATGTAAAAAACAATTTTATACTTTCAATTTTTTCGCGGGTAGGTCAAAAAAAGTTTTTTTTGTGATTTTTCCTAAAAATTTTTATTTTCGCTCATTTTTTCCTCAAAAATATGCAAATTTTTTTTTGAAACAGTGAAAATTTTCCTATTAAAAATCTGTATATCTACAGTACCCAATAATTACTGTAGCTTTTTTTTTTCCAATTACTATAGGTAAATCAAAATTAGGCTCTGAAAATTCATCTACAGCAAATATTGGACACCCTAAGGATACTGTAGATCTAAATTCCACGTGGGAAAAGATACAGTAACCCTAACAGCTCCCTTTAAAGAATTGCCGATTACTGTAGGTCAACATTTTCTACAGTACCCAATGATTACTGTAGCTGCAGATCACTAAAAATATATCAAAATTAGGTAACTTTGGGATACTGTAGATGAAAATCTCAGCTACAGTAACCCTACAGTAATCCGAAATTCCTGCAGATTTCGCAAAATTGCGAATTGATTACTGTAGCTTGTGTAAAATGGTACTGTAGATCAAAATTTAGAGCTAAAAATGAATGTAGATACAGTAATTTTTTAAAAGCCCTAGGAATACTGTAGTTCCAAATTCCACGTGGCAAAACTACATGATTATTGTAGCTGCAGATAACTGTAGGTAGATCAAAATTAGGTATTTTGATAACCCTAGATTGTTTTTTTGGGATACTGTAGATGAAAATCCCAACTACAGTAACCCTACAGTAATCTTGCAGCTCTCGCAAAAATGCTCAACGAATGCGAATTGATGTTTTTGTTGGGCCCCCACGCGAACATCTGTCAATGTTACGGTATTCTCCACAAAGACCCGATATTTTCGAGTGGAATTGTGATGGAATATTGTGCGGGTGGAGATTTGCAAAATCTGATGGAAAAGCTGAAAATTGAGGAGATTCTGGTGGAAACTATGACTGTTTTGGGATGGTGTCGACAGATTTCGGCAACGATGCAATATGTTAGTCAGAAGATTGTGCATGCCGATTTGAAACCGATGAATAGTGAGTTGAGGGGGGTACTGTAGGGGTTTTTTATCATCGAATTCTGATCATTTTGATATTATCAACGTCAAAGTGGCTGGCACCGAAATGAGAAAATAAATTCAAAAACCCGTTTTCGCGGGGATACCGTACACACAAGCACGCCCCTCTTTTCGCTGCGAGATATCGCAGTTGGGTAAATCGGTGCGCCTTTATTTCAATCGATTTTTTTGTTTTTTACGCAAAACCGGCGTTTAACTTGGAAACGTCGAGTATTACTAGCTATTTATCGATGATTTAGGCAGCATACGACATCTGGAGAAAGAAGGTAAGACTTTTCAGTCGAATTTCCATTGAAAAATCATGATTTTCAGGATTTCCGCCAAAATCAACCAGATCTTCGCCAATTTCGCCGAAAATCAACCGGATTTCATCGATATGTTCAACAAAAGCTGCAAGAGCAAACTCTTCCAGGTTCAGGTGAGAATGTTCATTTGAATTTTCATGAAAATGTGAAGATTTTCAGGTTTAACAGCAACAACTTCGGGAATTTCGCCGTTATTTCGCTCAACATTTGCATTTTTAATAATTACCTGATTATCAACGAAAATAAAATGTTTATGATATATAATTGATCAACTAAAACTGAAAGTACGCGAAATTCACATAAGAATAAACAAAAATTACTTTTATCTTCGAATTTTATTGTTTTCCTCGATTTTTGATGATGGTTTGAGGAAGTTGAAACTATTGCAGCTGTTGCTAAGCATGCCAATGAACTTCGGCATGTGTTCGGTGGAATCCGGTTGATTTTCGGCGAAATTGGCGAAGATCTGGTTGATTTTGGCGGAAATCCTGAAAATCATGATTTTTCAATGGAAATTCGACTGAAAAGTCTTACCTTCTTTCTCCAGATGTCGTATGCTGCCTAAATCATCGATAAATAGCTAGTAATACTCGACGTTTCCAAGTTAAACGCCGGTTTTGCGTAAAAAACAAAAAATCGATTGAAATAAAGGCGCACCGATTTACCCAACTGCGATATCTCGCAGCGAAAAGAGGGGCGTGCTTGTGTGTACGGTATCCCCGCGAAAACGGGTTTTTGAATTTATTTTCTCATTTCGGTGCCAGCCACTTTGACGTTGATAATACCAAACATAATTGGGGGTGCTGTATACGTTGGGCTACAGTAATCCGGGTTTTTAGAGGGTACTGTATTTAATTGCGGTTATGATGATACCAAACATGATAGGGCTACAGTAATCCAGGTATAATGTAGAAATTTTTATCCAGAAAAAACGTCTACAGTACTTCAGAGGTACTGTAGTCTGAAAATTAAATTTTTAAGATTTCAAAAAATTAACTGTTTCAAAATTTTCTCATATTTTTGTGTGGGAATTGTGAATTTGATTATAGTTCGAATGAAGTTACCAAAAACTACAGTACTCCAGGAATACTATTGGATTACTGTAAATCAAAATTTTCTACAGTACTTCTGAAGTACAGTAGTCTGAGAAAAAAAAATAGAAATTCAATTTTTTTGGTTCCAGAAAATTCACTGTTTCAAAATGTTCATATATTTTTGTGTGGGAATTTTGAGTTTGATTTGAGTTTTTGTGCTTCTAAAAACTACAGTAATCCAAGATTACTATTAGATTACTGTAGATCAACATGTTCTATAGTACCTCTGAAATATGAATACAGTACTACAGAGGTACTGTAGTCTCAAAATTCAATTTTTAGATTCCAGAAAATTCGCTGTTTCAAAATTTCCATATATTTTTGCAGTTGGATGTCTTTTCTCGATACAGTACTCAGATTACTGCAGATCAAAATTTTCAACTACAGTAACCCACTTTTTTGCAGTTCTAATAAAAGAGCACGTTTGCACATGTCACTCAACAACCTACAAATCGCACACATTTTCCGAAAAAACCTATCAACTATGCTCCAAATGTCACGGTGTTTCACGCGATCAAATCACCCTCAAAATCGCCGATTTCGGTCTCGCCTTTCCACGTGGCAAAACAGACGCGAATGCTTGTGGCGGTACACTAACATACCGTGCACCCGAAACATTATCCGGAAAATATTCGGAGAAATCCGATGTCTATGCCTTTGGATATATTATGTTCTATTTGGTGTTGGGTGAACCGTATCGAATGAAAGAAGAGGGACAAATTGCGTTTTTGGTGAGAGATTTGGGGGAGGCAGGGGGGAAAGAAAGAATCGAAAATTACAAGAACTCACAAAATTATACAATTTTTTTGAAATAGTGAAATTTTTTTGTTGAAAAAAATTGATAATCCAAAAAAACAAATAAATTGAAAATTGAAAAATTATACAGATTTTTGAAACAGTGATTTCTTTCATCAATCCCATTAAAAATCTAGATTTTAACAAAAATTTTAAAAATTGTTCGAAACAGTGATTTTTTTGAGACCAGAAACCGAAATGAATCATAAAGACGAGAATTTATGAAATTAACACATTTTTCTGAAACAGTGAATTTTTTTCGTTGAAAAATTTAGAATTCTTTGTGAATTGAAATTGCCACGTGGATTTTGAATAAATCATTGAAAAGGTTTTGAAAAATGAAAATTATACAATTTTTTTGAAACAGTGAAATTTTTTTGGGAAAAAATTTGGATTCTTGGTTAATGAAAATTGAATTTTGAGTTTTGAAACAAGAACAATTATAAAAAGAATTTTGAAACAGTACATTTATTCAACGACCTTATTAAAAATCTAGCTTTTCACAAAATTATACAAATTTTTTGAAACAGTGAATTTTTTTCGTTGAAAAAATTGGGATTCTTGATTAATTAAAATTGCCACGTGGATTTTGAATTTGAATATTCTAAAACCAAATATCAACAAGTTTTGAAAAATGAAAAATTATACAATTCATTTGAAACAGTGAATTTTTTTTGTTGAAATTTTCAACTTGAAAAAAATTGGTTTCTAAATATATTAATTCTCTGTTAATTAAAATTGCCACGTGGATTTTGAAAAACAAAAAAAAATTGAATTTTCCGAAGCCAAAATGCCACGTGGCATATATTTTTGAAGTGAAATGATTATTTTTCAATTAAAATGGCAATGTGAATTTTGCAAGTAGAAAACAAAAGCTGATCAAAAATTTTGGAGACTCGAAAAAATTATAAGAAATTTTTGAAACAGTGATTTTTTTTTTGAAAAAAATGGGGTAATGGATCATAAATACAAGAATTTATGAATTTATGACATTTTTCTGAAACAGTGAATTTTTTTTGGGAAAAAAATTTGAATTTTAATTTGAAAGTTACTTAAAGTTTCCACGTGGATTTTGAATTTCGTCATCGCAAAGATTCATCGATTAACGATTTTGAAAATTGAAAAATTTTAAAACAAATTTGAAACAGTGAAATTTTTTCATTGAAAAAAAATGTCCACGTTTTGAACTTGCTGACAAAATTATGCAATTCAATTGAAACATTGAATTTTTTGTTGAAAAAATTGGGATTTTTTGTAAATTGAAATTGCCACATGGATTTTGAATTGCATTCCATTAAAAATCAATATCAACAAATTTTGAAAAATGAAAAATTATATAAATTTTTTGAAACAGTTATTTTTTTTTGTTGAAAAAATTAGAATTATTTTTTTAATGAAACGTGGATTTGGAATAGATATCTCACAATTGTCAATCGAAAGATCAACAAGTTTTGAAAAATGAAAATTAAACAATTTTTCTGAAACAGTGAATTTTTTGTTGAAAAAAAATTGGTTTCTAAATATATAAATTCTTCGTAAATTGAAATTGTCAGGTGGATTTAGAAAATCAAAAAAAATTGAATTTTCCAAAGCCAAAATGCAACGTGGCATATATTTTTGAAGTTAAATGTCAACGCCAATTTTGCAGGTATAAAACAAAAGAGGATCAAAAATTTTGGAAACTCGAAAAAATTATAAGAAATTTTTGAAACAGTGAAATTTTTTTGTTGAAAAAATTAGAATTCTTTGTTAATTAAAGCTTCCACGTGGACTTTGAATTGCATTTCGTTAAAAATCATAATCAACAAGCTTTGAAAAATCGAAAAATTTTACAAAATATTTGAAACAGTGATTTAAAAGATCTTATTAGAAATCTAGATTTTCACAAAATTATACAATTTTGTTGAAACAGTGAAATTTTTTGTTGAAAAAATTTGGATTCTAAATAGATTATTTCTATGTTAATTAAAATTGCCACGTGGATTTACATTTCTTACATTTTTTATTAAATTTCTCGATTAACCATGATCAAAAAGTTCTGAAAATTATGCAAATTTTTTGAAACAGTGAAATTTTTATCCAAAAATTATCAGATTTTAGAAACCCTCTCATTTGTTATCAAAACATCCCATTTCCAATTTTTTTCCAGAAATTCAGCAAAGTCGCCTTGGATATTTCGGATGTTTCAAGTAAATCAATAGCAAAATTGATTCAAGAATGTACTTTGGATGATCCAGAAATGCGTCCGAATTTCAGTCAATTAACAATTGAACTTCGAAAAAAGTTTGCGAATTATGAAAAATTGGCATCGAATTCGAAACAGAGAAAGAGATTTGAGAAAGAGAGAAATGAGTGTAAAAGGATTTATCAGTGGGTTTTTTTTGGGAGGGAAAAATTCACTGTTTCAAAAAAATTTTTATTAAAAATTTTGGGGATCAATTTTCAATGATTCTAGTTTTGTAAGAGTCACAAAAATTTCAGAAAAAAATTTGAGCTCAAAAAAGCTCCAAATTTTGTCCAAAAATAAAAGAAAACTTTTATTTTTACATGAAAAAAATTCACTGTTTCAAAAATGTTTCATAAAACTTTTTGGGATACATCTTTCAATTTTCTAGTTTTTTCGAGACTCACAAAAATCTGTATTTTTGAGCTCCAAAATGCTCCAAATTGTGCCAAAAAAAAACAGAAAATAGATTTTTTACATGAAAAAAATTCACTGTTTCAAAAAAGTTTCATAAAAAATTTTTGGGGATCAATTTTCAATGTTTCCAGTTTTTTACGTAACTCAAAAAAATTCCAGAAAAAAAATTTGAGCTCAAAAATGCTCCAAATTCTATCCGAAAATTACAGAAAATATTTATTTTTACAAGAAAAAAAGTCACTGTTTCAAAAAATTTTCATAAAACTTTGGAGATACTTTTTTCAATTAACTTTTTCTAACATAAAATTAATTTTCGAAATTCAAAAAAATTCCCCATTTTTTCTCCAGAAATCTGCTTCCCTCAGTTTCCCTCGAAACTATTCAAACATCAATCGAAATCAGTGATGAAGAAGAAAATTTAAATCAAAATTCTTCAAAACACTCTTCATTTTCTCAAAATTCTCAAGAAAATCGATATGAAAATAACAATTTTGAAGAAGATGATGAAGAAAATCGAGACTATCAGGAAATTTTGGATACAAATTCGAATCCCAGGCTTGAAAAGTGAGTTTTAGCCGAAATTTGGGCACGGAAAATTCAATATTTTTTCAGAAAACGCTTCCGGCAACTTACAACAACTCTGGCTTCAAAGGTGAGTTTTGGAGGGGCGAAAATTTATTTTCCACGTGGATTTCTTGGCGTGAAAATTAAAAGTTGAATTCATAAGAAGGTTTTTATTAGAAATTCAATTTTGAATTTTCAGAAATCAAAATTTTGAAACAGTGAACTTTTTTTTTGAAAAAAATAATTTTTTGCTCTAAAAATTTTTGCCACGTGGATTTCAGAAACTTTGGAATTTTTCGGGGTCCAATTTTATATGAAATTTTGCCACGTGGCATTTTAGGCACAGGCATAAATTGCTGACTTTTTTCCTGCTGGCTCTGCCCCATGCCACGATTACACGTTTCACGTTTTTTAAATAATTTTTTCGATTTCATCTTTTTTTCTTCACTAAATTTCGAAATGCAAAAAATCAGAAATAATTTTTGCTTGAAAAAAAACGTGCCGCACCTTGCCAAAGAAATCCCGCCTCCCGATTCACGCCAGAATTTGTTTTTTCTGCGACAGGAATTTCTGAATTAAAAAAGTCAAGAATTTATGCCTGTGTAGGGATATATTTTTAATTGTAAGCTTGCATTTTTTTCAATTGAAAAAAAATTGAGGAGCTTTCAAAAAGCCAAATTTTGAAACAGTGATTTTTTTTTTGAAAAAAAAATCGCTTAAAATTTTTGCCACGTGGATTTTTTGATATAATCTATATGGATTTGTACTCCAAACGTAAAAATTCCAGCAGTTTTTCAGAAACCCAAATTTTGAAACAGTGATTTTTTATTTTTTGAAAAAAGTGTTGCATTAAAAATTCCGGTTAACAGCTCATTAGAAATGTAGTTTGTCAAAATGTCAAAATTTTGAGTTCTATCAGAAATTGAATTTTGAATTTTTAGTAGTCAAACTGTTGAAACAGTGGATTTTTTTTTTTGAAAAAAAAATATTTTTGCTCTAAAAATTTTTCCACTTTCACAAACTTTGGAATTTTCGTGGTCCAATTTTATATGAAATTTTGCCACGTGGCATTTTAGGGATAAATTTTTAATTGTAAGCTTGACTATTCTAATGAAAAAAATTGAGGAACTTTTAGATATCCAAATTTTGAAACAGTGATTTAAAAAAAATTTTTTTCAATTTTTGCCACGTGGATTTTTAGGTATGATAATTATCTGATGAACTTCAAACGTAAAAATTCCAGGAGTTTTTCATAAACCCAAATTTTGAAACAGTGAATTTTATTATTTTTTAGAAAAAAGTTTTGCATTGAAAATTATAGTAGCACAAATATTAGAAATTTAATTTTGAATTTTGAGAAATTAAATTATTGAAACAGTGAGTTTTTTGAGAGATTCAAGTTGAAAATTTCAAAATTTCAGAAAAATGTTATTCGCCAATCGAAAATCAACCCGAGACTTATTAGAAATCCAAAATTTGAAACAGTGAACTTTTTTTTGAAAAAATAATAATGAATCTATGTATGTCTAGAATGATTTTCCACATTTTACAGAAAATATATTTTTCATGTGCCGATTGAAAACCAATCCGACATTTATTAGAAAACCAAAATTTTGAAACAGTGAACTTTTTTTTGAAAAAATAATAATGAATCTATGTATGTCTAGAATGATTTTCCACATTTTACAGAAAATATATTTTTCATTTGCCGATTGAAAACCAATCCGACATTTATTAGAAATCCAAAATTTGAAACAGTGAACTTTTTTTTGAAAAAATAATAATGAATCTATGTATGTCTAGAATGATTTTCCACATTTTACAGAAAATATATTTTTCATGTGCCGATTGAAAACCAATCCGACATTTATTAGAAAACCAAAATTTTGAAACAGTGAATTTTTATTTTTATTTTTTTTTCGAAAAAGTGTTGCAAAAATTTGCGGCATATTAGAAAATTAATATTGAATTTTCAGAAATCAAATTGTTGAAACAGTGAATTTTTAAGAGATGCAAGTTGAAAATTTCAAAATTTGGATGCTAAAATTAATTTACGGCACAAAAATAATCCTAACTTGAATGCCATCATTGTTTATCGGCCGATTGAAAAACATTCCACAATTTTTAGAAATCTAAATTTTGAAACAGTCAAATTTTTTCAAAAATTTTTGCCATGTGGATTTTTAGATATATCAATATGCGTTGAACTTCAAACGTAACAATTCCAGTAGTTTTTCAGAAACCCAATTGTCAGAAGTCAAATTGTTGAAACAGTTAATTTTTTAAGAGAAGCAAGTTGAAAATTTCAAAATTTCAGAAAAAATGTAATGTGCCGATTGAAAACCAATCCAAGATTTTTTAAAAATCCAAACTTTGAAACAGTGAATTTTTTTGTCAAAAATTTTTTTTTAATGTTTGCCACGTGGATTTTTTTTTGATTCACTAGAAAATCAATTAAAATTTTCAAAAAACCAGTCATGTTCGGTCTCAAAAAATTGCAAATTCCAAGCTTTTTTCAAAAATCCTGCAATTTTTCAGTTCCAACGTCTCTTCCGCCAATAAAAAATGCAAATTCATCCAATATTATCAACAACAAAAACCCATAAATACACATGCTCATAATAATAATATTCCCACAAATCAATCAATAACAATCCATGACGTCATCATCATTCGGCTGAACTTTCAAGGCGCTTAGCATTTCCTCAATGATCAAAATGGTCTCGTCTGGATTTTCAAAGGGAGGTAACCCGATTATCTCACGACATTCAGAGCCAATAAATTTGTCCTAAAAAAATTTAAAACATTTTTTTTTGAGACTTAGGCTAACTTCAGAGCCATCTACAGTACCTCAATCCATTCCCTTAGAACCAATTCAATATTATTGTTTGCTGCACAGTATTTCCTGGCCATTTTCATCGCCTCTGCCCTCAATTCCATATCCAGATCCTCTAAACATGATTCGATCAATTTTTCGGGTTCATCGATTTTCTCGTCGGTTTCATTGAGCCATTGCATTGTTAAAAGTCGCGGTGGAGGATCGACGCAGTTTTGCACGATGTTTTGAGCGATTTCCATGGGAATTCCACCGAAATAGTCGCGGAGGATCTGGGAAATTCGTGATTTTTTTGGGGTTTTCAGAAAATTTCCAGATTTTTGACACCAAACACGACAGGTTTTTGATGATTTTCAGACAATTTGAAGATTTTAGACACCAAACATGACCTATTTTTGATGATTTTCAGAAATTATTTCATGTTGGATGTCTAAAATTCCAGAATTTTCTGAAAAATCTGAAAATCTCCATAAAAAATCTTTTGGAACTACTGTAAAGATCAAAATTTGAAAAAAAAGAAACAAATTGATGTGTGAAATTTTTTACTGTTTCAAAATTTTAACAAATTTTTTGGAATCAAAGAAAAGTGCTGATTTATCAATTTTCGTTTCATACTTAAATTTTGTGCTGAAAATCGCTGAAAATGAAGAATTCCACGGTTTTCAGCACAAAATTTAAGTCTGGGAACAAAAAATCTGAAAAAAAAATTTTGACTGAAATTTTTTATGGGGTGATTCAATTCGAAATTTTTACGATTAATAGAAAATCCGAGTCATTTTTGTGCGATTTTTTCACGTTTTTGTCGATTAATTCCATATTTTTTTGCAATTCATTGCATTCAAAAATGAGGAATTTCAATACGAAATAGAATTTATTTGACCTCTTTTTTGAAACGTGTCCCAAATTCACTGCTTATTTTTTGGATTCATTTCGAAATGAAATAAAATTGAGAGAAGATGAGTTTTTGTTGATAATTCCAACTCATATAGGTCACGTTTTGAAATATAGGTCAAATAAATTTTATTTTTAATGCAATTAATTGCATTTTTTGCCAAGAAATGAAAGCGAGGAATTGACAAAAACGTGAAATTAATCGCCCTAAAAGACTCGGATTTTTTGTCAATTAATTGACAAATTCACGTCGATTAATTCGACTGAATCACCCCATTACTGTTTCAAAATTCTCTCAAATTTTTTGGATTCAAAGAAAAGTGCTGATTCTGACTTCTCATTTTTCGTTAAATTTTGCGCTGAAAATCGCTGAAAAATGCTGAAAATGAAGAATTCCACGTTTTTCAGCACAAAATTTAAGTCTAGGAACTTTTTAGGATAAAATTTTTATGAAAAAAATCACTGTTTCAAAATTCTCTCAAAATTTTGTGGATCAAAAAAGTTTTTATACTTAAATTTTGCGCTGAAAATCGCTGACAAATGCTGAAAATGAAGAATTCCACGGTTTTTCAGCACAAAATTTGAGTCTCGGAACTTTTTATGAAAGCGTCTGAAATTTCAGAATTTTCATGAAAAATCTGAAAATCACAAAACATTTAAAAAAAAAATTTAAATCTGAAAAATTTCACTGATTCAAAATTCTCTCAAATTTTTTGGAATCAAAGAAAAGTGCTGAGTTATCATTTTTCAATCTCAAATTTTGCGCTGAAAATCAGAAAAATGCTGAAAATGAAGAATTCCACGGTTTTCAGCACAAAAATTGAGTCTGGGAACTTTTTACAAAAAATTTTGATGGAAAAAAAATCACTGTTTCAAAATTTCGTGATAAATTTATTCCAAAAAACAAAAATGTTGACTTTATTCAAAATAATCCAAAAAATTCAGAATTTTCTGAAAAATTTGGAAAAAAAATTTTATGCCTACATACATGGCACTGCTCTCAAAATTGTGAGGGGAGATCATGACATTTGGAAAAAATTTTCGAGGGGGGATCATGACATTACATACAAAAAATCTAAATTTTTTTCAAAGTGAAATCGGTACGCTAGAAAAAAAATTGGGTTTTTGCATGTGGTCATTTTTGACATATTTTTTCAGGTTCGATAATTTGGAAACTAGTTCTTTAGGAATATCGAATGTAGAGAACGAGCGAAGAGGTCAACGGATACCTTTCATTGGCTAATTATTCTTATTTTATTTCTAAAATTCTCAATTATATTTTTCTATATCCTTCTAAAATAAAAAATGAGTTTATTGTAGTAAGTTCCTTTCAGAAATCTTCATGCAATGATCATGCTCAACCCTTCTGAACAATTCCATATAAATTATAGACAATGCGTTATTTATTTGATAATCAAATTGAAACTCAAAAATATTGAATTAGAAAACAAAAGAAAAAAAGTGGATTCCACCGAGGATTCGATCCAAAAACCGTCAGATTATTAAGCGCGATCTCTACCGACTTGACCATGAGGCAACTTTTTTCACACGTTTATTTTTAAGTGATAAAAAAGGGATAGAAGGGGGAGATAAAATGAAAAAGAGAAGGAGAAGCGGAAAAAAATCATGACATTTTTGAAAAATTTCCATTTTTATCGAATTTCGCCGATTTTGTTATATGTTTCGACTGTATAAGTAACTTAAGGATGGTAGAAAGGAATGTCTGTCGAAATTATCTTAAAAAGAAGGTTTATTTCTTGAGATATGATCCCCCCCAAAATCGAAGCCGTTTTGCTATGTCATTTTGGGGGGGATCATATCTCAAGAAATAAGCCATCTTTTGAGATAATTTTAACAGACATTCGCTTTCTACCATCCTTAAGTTACTTATACAGTCGGAACATATAACAAAATCGGCGAAATTCGATAAAAAATGGTAATTTTTCAAAAATTTCATGATTTTTTTCCGCTTCTCCTTCTCTTTTTCATTTTATCTCCCCCTTCTATCCCTTTTTTATCACTTAAAAATAAACGTGTGAAAAAAGTTGCCTCATGGTCAAGTCGGTAGAGATCGCGCGTAATAATCAGACGGTTTTTGGATCGAATCCTCGGTGGAATCCACTTTTTTCTTTTTGTTTTCTAATTCAATATTTTTTGAGTTTCAATTTGATTATCAAATAAATAACGCATTGTCTATAATTTATATGGAATTGTTCAGAAGGGTTGAGCATGATCATTGCATGAAGATTTCTGAAAGGAACTTACTACAATAAACTCATTTTTTATTTTAGAAGGATATAGAAAAATATAATTGAGAATTTTAGAAATAAAATAAGAATAATTAGCCAATGAATGATATCCGTCGAATTCTTCGCCCTTTCTCTACATCCGATATTCCTAAAGCACTAGTTTCCAAATTATCGAACCTGAAAAATATGTCAAAAATGAAACTCCCCCTCTCTCTTTGATTTTTTTCATTTTTTTCACCATTTATTTTTTCAAATTTTTGACGAAAAAAAATTGAGGGGGGATCATGACATTTCAAAATTTTGGGGAGGGGGGATCATTACATGGAGGGTCCGTTGGGCAAAGATGCCATGTATGTATGCCTAAAAAATTTCACTGTTTCAAAATTCCCTCAAATTTTTTGGATCAAAATTCAATTTTTTTGCGAAAAAAAATCACTCTTTCAAAATTTCGTGATAAAATTTTTCCTTCACACAACTATTGATTCTATTCCAATCTACCGACGAATATTCAAAAAATCTGGAAAAATTTCTGTCTGAAACTCACTTTCAAACAACTCGTGAGCACATACGGCGAGCTCTCGCTCGATTTTCTCAAAACAATTTGCATAACTTCCTCCTGCGTGGGTAGAAAACATGGAAACATCCAAGCCGCTTCAAGACACGTGTCCAAAATCTGACAATCAATATTTTCTTGGTGTAAACCACGTGTCAATAAATCCCTGGTTTTCTGGTGTTTTGCCAAGATTTCTTCACCAAAACTCGATTTCAGAGCCTCGAAAATCGCTGTGGATTCCTGGAAAAAACACGTGGATTTTCAGCCAGTGAAAGTTAATTTTCAGCCAAAAAACTCACAAGAATTCGGTCTCCAAGATGATCCAAAAATCTTAAAATCCGTTCACTTCCAACTTTTCCCTTGAGCTTTGGTATGAGCAATGCCAAATCGGTGATTCGAACCAGACGACGATCATTGGTGCGGATTTCGAGATTTTGGAGAAATTCGTCGATTTGCTGGAAAAATCGGAGGGATACTGTGGATTTCCGCGCAGCTTCCGGAAACGCGGAAAACAAAATTTAGAAAAATTTGGATCGTGGGTACTTTCCGTAAAAAATCGAGTTAGTTTTGATCCAAAAACATTTGAGAAAATTTTGAAACAGTGAAATTTTTTTTGAAATAAAAATTTTTTTCACGAAAAATCGAGCTAGAACTTGATTTTTCTTCCAAAAATCCAGGAGGGACTAGTTTTCCATATTTTAAAATTCTAGTCCCCCATTCAAAACCCGCCAAATTTGATTTAAAAAAATTTTGAAACAGTGAAAAATTTTTTTTTGAAAAAAAAGTGGGTGATTTTGATGAAAAAATAGTGCAAAATGAGGCTGGGGACTAGAAAACCCACTATTAGAAACCTAGTCCACGACTTCAAAAACTAGAAAAATAATTTGTGAAAACTAGTCCCCAGCTATAGAAACCTTTAGGGACAAGTTTTCGATTTCAATGAAGTGGCGGACTAGAAAAACCAATTATTAAAACCTAGTCCCCGACTTCAAAAAAATCGCTCACCGCATCCGTCATATGTTGAATAATCAAAATCTGATGATAAATACGAAAAGCAGATGATACAGTAACCATTTCGACCATTTGAGCCTGTTCCTCAGCTCCAACAGCGGGCTCTTCGAGCAAATGCACAATTGCCTCAACTCGATTCGACTCGTATTTCCATTTGTCCGGAGTGTAGGGAATTATGAGGCCTGGGTGGGTTCTGGAAAAAAATTGGGCCCAATTTTTTTTTCGAAAAAAATCATATCAAAAATCCCTCACTTTTGTAATTTCACCAATAATTTGATCGTGTTGAGACCCAATTGTCGAGCACTGTTTCGAATTGTGTCAACAATGCTTAGCGATTCTTCGGGAACAAGTTCCGACACAAAATATTCGAGGATTTTGGTGAGCGGATCGATGATGTGTATTGAATCGATCTGGAACAAAAAATATATAAAATTTGAAGGCGGGGACTGGGTTTCCAATAGTGGGTTTTCTAGTCCCCGACTTCAAATTGATTTTTTTTTGAAAATAGATTTTTGAAGTCGGAGACTAGTTTTTCAAATTATTTTTCTAGTCCACAATGTTTCTAGGTGCAAAAATGTTGATTAGAAGTCGGGGACTAGAAAAATCAGGTAGGCTTTCTAGTCCCCGACTTCAAATTGCAAAATTTTTAACTTTTTTGTTAATTTGAAGACGGGGACTAGGTTTTCTTAATTTGTTTTTCTAGTCCACAATGTTTCTAGGTACATAAAATGATAATTAGAAGTCGGGGACTAGAAAAATCAGGTGGGGTTTCTAGTCCCCGATTTCAAAATGCAATTTTTCGGCTTTTTTTGTTAATTTGAAGTCGGGGACTAGGTTTTCATAATTTATTTTTCTAGTCCACCACTTCATCGTGGACTAGAAATTACAATTTGAAACCTAGTCCCTATAGGTTTGATAGCCGGGGACTAGTTTTTCAAATTATTTTTCTAGTCCACGAGTTTCTAGGTGCAATAATGTTCATCGGGGACTAGAAATCCAAATTTTTAACTTTGTTTTTATTTGAAGTCGGGGACTAGTTTGGTTTTCTAGTCCCCGGCCTCATTTTTCACAATTTTTCCACCAAAATCACCCACTTTTCTCACAAAAATCTGCACAACTCCACTAATAATCATCAATCTGCGCGCATCTCCCAAATTCAATCGACAAATGAATTTCTGCAGAGTTCTTCTAACAAAAACTGAAGTTTGTGGTTCATCGATTTGATTCAACGACCAATGAATGATTTTCAGCCAATTTTCAGCTTTTCGAGACTCGAAAATTTGGGGACTTGAGTAGAAATTGAATAGATCGTCGATGAGTTTGGCTGGTCGATTTTGAAGGAGAAGTTGCTCGCTTTCGATGAGCAGATCTTGAAGTTGAGGGTTGATTTTGTAGGCCTACAAAAAAAAAAGTCAACATTAAATTACAAAAGAAATTATAAAATGTTATGAAAATTTTGAAACAGTGATTTTTTTAATGAAAATTTTAGTGAATTTTGAATTCTTTAGGGATAGAAGAATAATCAAATTGAAAAAAAGAAATGCAAAAATATTATTATTAAAATTTTTGAGACAGTGAATTTTTTTAAACAAAAAATTAATGAATTTAGTATCAGGAAATAATTCAATGAAAAAACTAACTCAAAAAAATGCGAAAAATATTATAAAATTTTTGAAACAGTGAATTTTGAAAAAATGTTTGAATTTTAAATTTTCATCATTGTTGGGTTAAATTTTTAGGCCTAGGCTATTTCTAAGCCTGAAAATCTGGGTTTTTTTATTGGGACTAAATAAGCTTGAGCTTGGAAATTCAGAGTTTTTTAATGGGGTGAGTCATAAAAATGAATTGACAAAAAAAGTGCGATTAATTTCACGTCTTTTGACAATTAATCGCACTCATTTCTGAAAAATTTCTGAAAAAATGCGATTAATTGACAAAAAACGTGAAATTAATCGCACTTTTTTTGTCAATTTATTTTTATGACTCACCCCATAAGAGACACTTATCGAAGAATTGAAAAAATTGCAAAAAATTTATAAAATTTTTGAAACAGTGAATTTTTTTCTCAGTGAAAATCACTGAAAATGGCCAAAAATTGATCAAAATTAAATGTCCCACGTCATTTTTTTCCGAAAATTCAGATTTTTGCTATGGAGTAGCTAGAAGAAACAACGAATTCCAAAAAAAACGCGAAAAATATTATAAAATTTTTGAAACAGTGAAAACACAAATTTTCTAGTGTCAAAAAAACGTGGAATTTTTGAATGAAAAATTTAGTGAATTTTGAATTCTAATTCTATAGCGATAGAAAAATGATCGAATTTTGGAAAAAATTGCAAAAATTTAATAAAATTTTTGAAACAGTCAAATTTTTTTTCAGAAAAAAAAAGAGAAATCGACTTATTTTGTGTCAAAAATGAGGATTTCTTTGAAAGTTTGAATTTTTAAGTGAAAAATTTAGTGATATATGAATTCTCATCGATACACCAATAATCAAATTGAAAAAAATGATTGAAAAAAATATCAAATTTTTGAAACAGTGAACTTTTTTGAAGTAAAAATTTGGAGAATTTTAATTTTCATATTTTTGGGTCGAATTTTTAGGCCTAGGCTATTTCGAAGCCTGAAAATTTGGGATTTTTATTGGGACTAAATAAGCTTGAGCTTGAAAATTCAGAGTAGATTATAGTTTCGAAAATAGCACCCTCAAATCGAATTCGAAAAAAATGATTTAAAAACAAAAAGTTTTTGAAACAGTGAATTTTTTATTGGAAAAATTAATGAATTTAGTATCAGAAAATATTCAATGAAAAAACGAATTCAAAAAAAAAATGCGGAAAAAATTATAAAATTTTTGAAACAGTGAACTTTTTAAATACAAATTTAGACTAATTTTGTGTCAAAAAATGTGGATTTCATAAAAGATTTGATTTTTTTAAGTGAAAAATTTAGTTAATTTTGAATTCCGTAGATAAAACAATGATCACATTGAAAAATATGATTGAAAAAATATCAAATTTTTGAAACAGTGAATTTTTTTTAAATTGAAAAAAATGGTTGAATTTTGATTGAATCTCCATCATTTTTGGGTAAAATGTTCAATTTGTACCGAGGCTATTTGTACATCTGAAAATTTGTAATTTATTTAGAAAATGCAATCCTGTAAGTCTGAAAATTTAAAATTATGAAATTTTTGAAACAGTGAAAAATTCACAAACGTTTTTTCCTAAAAATAAAAAAGTGGATTATGACGTGGCAATTCAGAATATTTTCAGTATTTTGTACCTAGGCTAGTTGCACGTCTGAAAATTTTGGATTTATTTAGAATGAAAAAGCTTAAGCTTGAAAATTCAGATTTTTTTTTGAGAGAGTGATAAACCCAGTAGGAATTGAAAAAAAAATGCAAAAATATTATTATAAAATGTGTGAAACAGTTAATTTTTTTTAAAGAAAATCACTGAAAATAATCAAAAATCGATCAAAATTAAATTTTCCACGTCACATTTTAAACATTTAAAATTTTTTTTCGAGAATTCAGAATTTGATTTTGATAAGGAGTGAGTAGACGAAAAAACTAATTGAAAAAAACGCGAAAAATAATATAAAATTTTTGAAACAGTGAATTTTTTGGGTCCAAAATTTGAAGCTTTCTGGGTAAAAAAATTTTGAAACAGTGAAAATTTCCAAATTTTCGAGCCCAGCCATATTTGTTGTCCAAAAACGTGGAATTTTGAAAAATGAAAAATTTATTGAATTTCAAATTCTCTGGTGATATTTCTGGTGAATTCTCTGGTGAATTTCAAGCCCAGCCAAATTTGGTGTCAAAAAACGTGGAATTTTTTGCCACGTGGCAAACTTACCCCATGTCTAATTGCTGATTCCAGTAACCTGATGGTGATTTGAATCGGCACACATCTTCCCTCAAAATCCAGATTTTCGAGCAATTTTTCGATGAGCAAAATGGTGGGAGCTGGAAAAAATGCACAATTTTGGAGCCAAATATTGCTCTAGGGTGATTTTCACGCCGAATTCCGTGCTCACCATCAAATTTCACCGATTCCACCAATTTATCCACCAAAGTGTCATCGAAACAATGCGGCAATTCGTCGAAATTTTGGCAATTTTCCACGAATTTCTCAATATTTTCAGACAATGAGATCATTTCTGAAAAAAATCTGGAAATCTAGAATTTGTTGGCTGAAAATCAAAAAAATATCCAAAGAAAATCAATAACTACTGAATTTTTTGTTGAAAGGAAAAACTAGGGAAGGTTTATTAGAAGAATTATATATTTACAGCAAAATAGAGGCTGAAAAGCGAAAAATTTCAGACAAAAAAATTTAAAGCTTTGCTGGTGCAGCGAGAGCCGCCTCGATGTCCTTTTTCATGTCTTTTGGTTCGGTGGTTGGGCCAAATCTGAAAAAAATTTTGGATTCAGAAAAATTCACTGTTTCAAAATTTCAAGAATGATTTTTTGAAAAATCAGGAAATTTTGATTCTGTTACTGCATCTTGATTGAAAATTGTCAAAAATTACTGATAGAATTTTTCAATTAAAAATTTGTCTTAGATTTTTTTTCTTCAAAAAATAATTTACTGTTTCAAACTTTTATGAAATTTTTAAAAATTAACAATTTTTTATTGCTTTAACCAAATCATTTTCAGGTAAAATTCATAAAACTCTTGAAAGAATTGAATGAAAAATTCTGGATCATTCATAAAAAATTTACTGTTTCAGATTTTTTTGATAGATTTATTTAATCAAAATTGTTTGTTAGATAGTTTTCTACATTGTAGAATTAATGAATTTTCATGAATTTAGGCTCAAAATAAACCAGAAATCTCAAATTTTCAGGTGAAATTCATAAAACAGTTCAAACTCTTCCAAAAATTTTTTTAAAAATTTTTGTGCAGGAAAATTTAAGTTTCAAAATTTCATGATAAATTTGTTGAATAAAATTTTTTCTCGTTTGGGTTATGAATCTATTATATTTTGAAAAATTCACTGTTTTAAATTTCAAAGAACAATTTTTTGAAAATCAGAAAATTATTTTCTGAAAATTCATCAAAACTCTCGAATTTTCAAGTAAAAATTCATAAAACTTGAATTATTTCAAAAAAAAAACTTTACTGTTTCAAAATTTCATGATATATTTGTTCAAGAAAATTTCCTTTGGTGTTGAATTTTTTTCGCAAAAAAAATTACCTTTCAAAACTTTGTGATAAATTTGTTGAATTAAAAATTTTTCATTCAGTGTTTTGAACAATTATTTTCTGAAAATTCATAAAAGCTCTCGAAATTTCAGGTAAAAATTCATAAAACTTGAATTATTCCAAAAAAAAATTTTTACTGTTTCAAAATTTCATGATAAATTTGCTCAAAAAAATTTTCTTCGTTTCAATTTTTGGATCTATTTCGTTATGAAAAATTCACTTTTTCAAATTTTGGAGAAAATTTTTTTTTGAAAATCAGAAAATTTTATTTACTTTGGAAAAAAATTGAATATTTCTATTTAAAAAAATTACTGTTTCAAACTTTCCTGATAAATTTGTTCAAAACAATTTTTCTCGTTAGATGCATGAAAAATTTACTGTTTCAAATTTTCAAGAATAATTTTTTGTAAATCAGAAAATTCTGATGCTGATATCATAATTTGGGGAAAACATTGAAGTCTTTAAGCACTGTTTCAAAATTTAATGATTTGTTTAATGAAAAAAATGAACAATTGCATACAGCTTTTCTAAATTTTGAACAATTTTTGTCAAAAAATTAATCTGTTTCAAAATTTCCTGTTTCAAAATTTCATGATAAATTTGTTTAAAAAAAATTTTCTCGTTTGTTTTCTTGATCTACATATTTTTAATGAAAAATTTACGTTTCCAATTTTAAAGAAATTTTTTTTCAACAATTTTTGCTTTTTCTTTTTTTTTTGAATTTTAAAATTAATTGACTAAAACCCCACCTCTTAACAACATTTCCATTTCTATCCACCAAAAATTTGGTGAAATTCCACTTGATTGCATCAATCAAAGTGCCGCCCTTCTCCTTTTTCAAATATTTGTACAATGGGCTCGCATTATCCCCATTCACATCGATTTTTTGGAACAAATCGGGTTCGAATTTGAATTTGTCGGCGACGAAAGAAGCAATGTCGATTTCACACGATGGTTCTTGTCCGCCAAATTGATTGCATGGGAACGCGGCGACTTCGAGACCTTGATCTTTGTATCTGGAACAAATATGGGATGGTTTTGAGGTTTCTAAACTAAAATTTTGAATTCAGAAAAAAAATATTACCTTAAAATAATATTTTTCAAATATTTTTTTTGATTTTCCGAAAAATTGACACGCAAAGTAAAAATGTAATAATAAATTATCAAAACATTTTTTTTCAAACAAATTTTTTGAAACAGTAGATTTTTTGGGATTATTTTTAGGTATTTACTCCTCAGACATAAGCGACATCAAAACACAAATTTTCCTATTTTCAATAATCAATTTCTTGAAACAGTGAATTTTTTTTCTCGAAATTCTGCGAAAATCCTAAATTTCAGCTCGAAATGGTCCGAAAAAATCAATTTTTGAGCCAAAAACATTCTACGTTACTTTAGAAGCTTCAGAACCATTTTTACAGTGAAATTTTCGCATTTTTCAAGGTCTCCAGCTCAAAATTCATCAAAAATCCCGAATTTCAGCTTAAAATTAATCAAAAATCTCAAATTTCAGCTCAAAATTCTTCAAAAATTCCAAATTTTGGCTCAAAATCCACCCAAAACTTCACTCACTGATCCAACAACTCTTTCAATTGTGTATAATTCGAGTTGGTCAATCCGCATTGCGATGCAACATTCACAATAATCAACACTTTTCCCTTGTATTTCTCGAGATTTGTGTCTTTTCCTTGCGCATCTTTGACAGTTATTCCGTAGACTGAAGACATTGCAGCAAATGAGCTCGAAACGAAACGACGTGCACTGGCTGCAACAAATGGGGACATTTATATTAGTGAAGGGAAGAAGAGGGGAGAGTACAGTTTAAAGGATCATGAAAAAATTGTTAGGGTTACGGTAGGTGATTTTAACAGTGCACAATTGAAAAATTCCTCATGGATTACTGTAGATGATTTTAAAGGGAGATAATAAAATTTCTAAATGAAAAATCGATAATTTCTTAAGAGGTACTGTAGCTAGACTCAAAAATCGGAGTCTTGGGGTATTGTAGATGCTTTTTAAAGGTTCAGGACCCAAAAATGTTAGAAATTCGATAATTTCTCGAGAGGTACTGTAGATAATTTCAAAGGTACATAAGAGTTCAATGAATCCCCAGAAGAGTACTGTATCTAGGCTTCAAAAATCCTAGGGGTACTGTAGATGAATTTTTAAAGGAACACGATTAAAGGGTTACTGTAGATAATTTTAAAGGTTCAGGAATATTTGAAAAATCTAGGATTACTGTAGTGGATAATTTTCAAAAATCAATGATTTCCTACTGTAGATGAATTTTTAAAGGAACATGACACTCAAAAAATGTTAGAAAATCACAAAAATGCAATAAACAAACCTAACATTTTCGCGATTTCTGAAAAAAATGCACAAATTTTTCCGGGACAAAAAATTTCAAAGATAAAAAAGGGTGAAAAATCAACCGCAAAACGTTGTGATAAAAAACGGAGCCAAAAAAAGAGCAAAAATTTTACCATGGTAACAAGATAACAACAAAAAGAGCATAATAAAAAGTAACAACAACAACGAGAGAAAAAAAATGAAAACAGAGTTTTTTGGGGCCAAAAATCGTGGAATCTAGGCGCTAAGCGATAAATATTTCGTCACATTTTTCATCGATTTCTTCTTCAGACTTTTACTTGGTGCCGGTGGTGGAGCGCCGGCTTTGGATTGTTTCTGAAATTCGGGAATGAGTTAGGCGAACTTGGCCACGTGGCAAAAAATCCACGTTTTTTGACACCAAATGAGGTTAGGGGAAAAATGTTGTTTTGTCCTATCATTTTTTGTAGTTCTATGAAAAATATTGAATATTTTTTGAAACAGTGAATTTTTTGAAGCCACGTGGATTAGATTTTTGGCGTAATTTGGAAATATAATGAAAATTGTTTTAAAATTTTTAATAATAAAAATTTTGAAACAGTAAATTTTTTCAATGACACAAGAATGAAGAAAATATAGATTTTTGTTCAAAATTCTCATCTTTAGGCCTATTATTAAGCCTGAGCCTAGTCTAGGCTTATTTAGCCTGAAAATTGAACTTTGAACAAAAAAGTGGAGCGTGGAATAGATTTTCGTGTGATTTTGAAAAAAATCATTAATGTATTGAAAATTGATTTTAGAATTTTTAATAATAAAAATTTTGAAACAGTGAATTTTTGTAGTTAGGAAATTTAGTGATTCAGGAATTTATCAGAAAATTTTTTTTCGAAAAAGGAAAAAAACCTTGAATCGAATAAATTTTGTGAAAAAAAATTGAAAAAGAATTTTTTGAAACAGTGGAATTTTTTAAAGACAAAAGAATGAAGAAAATTCAGATTTTTGATGAATTTTTCAAGCAAAATCTCATTTGAGATTTTGCTTGAAAAATTTTTGGAGACTAAATTTATTTTTATTTTTTTTGGAGACTAAATTTATTGGGTGTTCCAACGTTTTGAAATCGAAATTACACAACTAATAAAAATTTTGAAACAGTGAATTTTTGTAGTTAGAAAATTCAAACAAATTAAGTTTGTGAAGAAAATTGAAAAAACAATTTTTTCTTGAAACAGTGAAATTTTTCAATGGAAAAAATTCATAAAATGGCGTGAATCCAGCCAATTTATAACATTCCCCAGAGTAAAATGATGAAAAACCAAGTAAAATCATCAAATGATGACAAAAAAGTGTATGTTTTATTTTTCTGTGGAGAAAAAAGACTACATTTTGGCCGAAGAAAAAACTGCGAGAGTGCATGGGAAAATTAGAGAGTTTAGAGATAGTGAGAAGTATTTGTTGTTTACTGGACATTTTTGAGGTGTTGCGAAATAATTATAGACATCGACTAGAGTGTAGTTTTACACGTGGAAAAAGAACGGTGTTTGAGCTCGAAATGCTCCAAATTTTATGAAAAATTTATTCAAAAAGAATTTACCGTTTCAGGAGAAAATGTTGTAGGGTCGATTTTTCACATGGGAAAATAACGGTGTTTGAGCTCAAAATGCTCCAAATTTCATGTCAAATTCAAAAAATCTATCGAAATTGCCTAATTTTCAGAAAATTTTATTCGAAAAAAATTTACTGTTTCAAAATTTTCACTTAAAAATTTGATTTTTTGAGAGAAAATGTTGTGGTGTTAATTTTTTCACATGGAAAAATAACGGTGTTTGAGCTCAAAATGCTCTAAATTTCATGAAAAATTCAAAAAAATTATTGAAATTGCCTAATTTTCAGAAAATTTTATTTGAAAAACATTTACTGTTTCAAAATTTTCACTTAAAAATTTGATTTTTTGAGAGAAAATGTTGTGGTGTTAATTTTTTCACATGGAAAAATAACGGTGTTTGAGCTCAAAATGCTCCAAATTTCATGTCAAATTCAAAAAATCTATTGAAATTTCTCAATTTTCAGGAAATTTTGAATTTAGAAAATTCACTGTTTCAAAATTTTCTCTTAAAAATTTGATTTTCTGAGAGAAAATGATACCACAATTTCTATGGAATCAATTTTTAAGATTCAAAATTTTCCACGTGGAAGAAAATTGCTGTTTGAGCTCGAAATGCTCCAAATTTCATGTCAAATTCAAAAAATCTATCGAAATTGCCTAATTTTCGGAAAATTTTTTTTGAAAAAAATTTACTGTTTCTAAATTTTCACTTGAAAATTTGATTTTTTGAGAGAAAATGTTGTAGTGTTGGAGTTACACGCGGAAATCGAGTCATGTTTAAGCTCAAAATGCTCCAAATTTCATATCAAATTCAAAGAATTTGCTGAAATTGCCTAATTTTTCAGAAAATTTTATTCCAAAAAAAATTACTGTTTCAAAATTTTCTCTTAAAAATTGGAATTTTGAGAGAAAATGTTGCAATTGACAGCTTTAATGAAAAAAAACCAATTTTTAAAGTTCAAAATTTTCCACGTGGAACACAGAGTCTTGTTTGAGCTCAAAATGCTCCACATTTCATGAAAAATACAAAAAATCTATTGAAATTTCCAATTTTAAGAAAATTTCATTCGAACTAAATTTACTGTTTCAAAATTTTCTCTTAAAAATTTGATTTTTTGAAAGAAAATGTTAATATGATCCAAAAAATTAACAATTTTAAAAAATCAAAATGTTCCACGTGGAATTATAGCCACGTTTGAGCTCAAAATGCTCCAAATTTCATGAAAAATTCAAATTTTCGTGTATTTCCCGCTTCAAAAGCTCAAAATGCTCCAAATCTCAGCCCCCAAAAATTCGCTTACCGATCGATTTTTCGCCTCAACCTTCTTCTTGGCTTTTCCAGTCAAATTTCGATGTCGAATCTTGACACCAGTGAATTTGGGCAAGAATTTCATTCCGGCTGTATGGACTTCGCCAATCGATTGTTTGACTTGTTGCCGGATTTTCTCGTTCATAACTCTTTCGCTCATTTTCTCTTCAGACACTTTCACACTTCGACGAGCCTGGAAATTGAGATTTAATTGGATTTTTCGGCTAAAAAATTGAATTTTTATATTCCAAAAAAAAATTACGTTTCAAAATTTTTAATAAAAAAATTTATTTTTGTGAGAAAATGTTAAACCTGGTGTGAGACGAGCAAAAATGATTAATTTTTCAAAACCAATGAAATTACGCCCAAAATGCTCCAAATTTCATCAACAATTCAAATTTTCAGGATTTTTTATTCAAAAAAAATTCACTGTTTCAAAATTTTTCATATAAAAATTGGAATTTGAAAGAAAAATGATGGGTTCAGTCGGTGTATTGAAAATAATAGTATTTTTCATTTTCAGGTTGAAATCTAGTAAATTTTGTGCTAAAAACCAATTTTCAAAACCAAAATTTTCCACGTGGAATTCGAGCCATGTTTGAGCTCAAAATGCTCCGAATTTAAAGAAAAATTCAAATTTTCAGAAATTTTGGTTCAAAAAAATTCACTGTTTCAAAACTTTCACTTAAAAATTTTATTTTTGAGAGAAAATGTTATTTCTTTTAAACCGCTTCTAAATAAATCATAATTGATCTCAAAATGCTTCAAATCTTATGAAAAATTCAAATTTTCAGGATTTTTGCATCGAAAAAAATTCACTGTTTCAAAATTTTCATATAGAAATTGGAATTTTGAAGAAAAATGATGGGTTCTATTCACAAAGATTAAAATTTTCATTTTCAGGATGAAATCTAGGTAATTTTGTATTAAAAAACCAATTTTTCAAAACCAATTTTTTCCACGTGGAATTAGAGCCATTTTTGAGCTCAAAATGCTCAAAAAAATCATGAAAAATTCAAAATTTCAGGATTTTTGCTCCGAAAAAAATTCACTGTTTCAAAATTTCCATATAAAAATTGGAAATTTGAAAGAAAAACGATTATTCTACCAAATCTTCCGAAATTTTGAATAAAAAACTTCACTGTTTCAAAACTTTCACTTCAAAATTTTATTTTTTCGAGAAAATGTTATTTTATTTTTAACTCTCCGCTTCCAAATAAATCATATTTGAGCTCAAAATGCTCCAAATTCTATGAAAAATTCTAATTTTCAGGATTTTTTATTCAAAAAAAATTCACTGTTTCAAAACTTTCATATAAAAATTGGAATTTGAAAGAAAAACGATTGTATTACCAAATCTTCCAAAATTTTGAATAAAAAACTTAACCGTTTCAAAACTTCCACTTAAAAATTGGGTGAAATTTGGAGCAAAACCTCAACGAATTTTCTCCCCCCAAAAATCACTCACCCTAGCCTGCAACGCCATCAAATTCTCAATCGAAAACTCAACAATCGGCCTGGACTCCTTGCCAAAAATATCCGGATTATTATTGAGGCCTTTCAAACAAGCCAACGCCTGGTCGTGTTCTTTAAAGGCCACAAATCCGAAACCAGCAGATTTTGGTTTTTTATCGGCGGTCAATCGATTTTTATCCATCCAAACACGACATTCGGTGATTGTTGCACCAGAAATTGAGGCTTTTTGGGCGATTTCACGCAATTTTTCATCGTTGATTCGTTGTGGGAGATTGTGAACACAGAGACGAACTGGAGACACAAACCTGCAAAAATTCGGGGACTTTTGAAGTGTTCAGCCAAAATATTCACTGAAAAATCAATTCACGAAAAGTCAAGAAAAAATTAGTTTTTCGAGTTTTTCAGCCAAAAATGATGACAAGTCGGGATTTTTGAAGATTCTGGAGTGATTTCTGATGGAAATTGACCTTCAGAAGTTTTTAATTTTTCGTAAAATAAAAAAAAATTCAAATTTCGATGAATTTTGAAAAAAATTAATAAAATGAGGTAGAATAGGGTTAAAAGCTTCAAGAACCATATTTCACCTCATTTTATTGATTTTTTCAAAATGAATCAAAATTCGAAGATTTTTAAATTTAAGAAAAATCAGCAAAACCTTCGGCAGTTCAATTTTAATCAGAAATCACTCCAGAATCTTCGAAAATCTCGATTTGTCATCATTTTTGACTGTAAAACTCGAAAAAATTTTGATCTACAATATTTTTTCGACATTTTTTGTCTTTTTCGTGAATTAATTTTTGTTAAAAAACATTTTTTAATCAGATTTTTTTCCGAAACACGAATCTAATTTTTTGCTTAAATTTAAGTGGAAATTCAGATTTTTATAGCCTGAAATCCAAATTTTTTAAAATCCCTCACATATTAGTATTCTCCAATTTCTTTCTCATTGCCTCAGCCAATCGTTCTCTTTTTGCCGCATCTTCTTTACTCATCCCTTTTGCCACTTCAGTTCCAGCTCGAATCAATCCAAATCGAACCAATCGCAAATTCCGTTTATCTTTCGGCACTTTTGTCAATTTATCCTTTTCCATATCGACTGCTTCTTTTCGCGGAATTGCCAGATTCGCTTTGATTAATCGATTGTCAATGATGAGACCTTCTTCGATTCCATCGATGCAATTTGAGGCTTCTAATGGGGTTGAGAAATGGACGAATGCGGTTCCTGGAAAAATTGGTTTTGAGGTTTTGCGGGGAGAAAATACTTTAAATTGTGATTTTTTTAACAAAAAATCATTAAATTTAGGTTGGAAAGTGTGTAAATTCATGATTTCTGCTAGAAATTTGCTGAAAATCGTGAAAATCAATAATTTTCCACTGGATTTATTTACACGAACTTCTAAAAATCAAGAGACCACAGAATCTAGATTTTTGATGAAATATATGTTTTCTGGTAGTTTGATCTCTAAAATTGCAGAATTCCACTCCTAATATGAGTTATGACGTGGCTAAATTGGAGAATTTCGGGATTTTAGGAGCTGAAACCTGAAAAAGCTGCAAAAATGATTTTTTCCCCATGCATATCTGATAGAATAGGGTTTTTTCTATCAGATTCGCATGAAAATCATTTTTGAAGCTTTTTTCAGGTCTCAGCTCCAAAAATCCCGAAATTTCCCAACTTTGCCACGTCATAACTCATATTAGGAGTGGAATTCTGCAATTTTAGAGATCAAACTACCAGAAAACATATATTTTATTGAAAATCTCTAGATTTTCAGAAATTCCTGTATTAAATCCAGTGGAAAATTCTTGCTTTTCACAATTTTCAGCAAATTTCAGTCAGAAATCATGAATTTACACACTTTCCAACTTAAATTTATTGATTTTCAGCGAATTTTCATGAAGATTCACCTTTCGGATGTCCACTATCTTTATATTTGCAAATAATGGCCAAATCAATAATTCCAAATCTGGCCAATTCCTCTTTAATCGTCTCGATTTTTGTGTCAAATGCCAAACTTCTCAAAAACACAACTTTTCCATCAATCACATTTTGATCCGTTTTGATTTCTTTTTTCGTGGATTTTTTGGACGATTTTTTGGGGGTTTCTTCATCTTCTTCTTCTTCATTTTCAGATTCGGATTCTGATTCATTTTCGCTGAAAAAAAAATGAATTTTGAAGCTTTTTTCTCAATTGAAATTCAGAGTTCTATATGAAAATTCTAAAAAAAAATGTTATTTTTAATGTTTAGCTTCCAAATAAATCATATTTGAGCTCAAAATGCTCCAAAAATCATGAAAAATACAAATTTTCAGGATTTTTTATTCAAAAAAAAATTCACTGTTTCAAAATTTTCATATAAAAATTGGAATTTGAAAGAAAAATGATGCATTCTGTTTGATAGGAGCCGAAATTTTCATTTTCAGGTTGAAATCTGGTGAATTTTGTGCTAAAAAACCAAATTTTCAAAAGCAAAATTTTCCACGTGGAATTAGAGCTCAAAATGCTCCAAAAATCATGAAAAATTCAGATTTTCAGGAATTTTTTGGTTCGAAAAAATTCACTGTTTCAAATTTTTCATATAAAAATTGGAATTTGAAAGAACAATGATGAAGATATTTCAGAAATACATAAACTTTTCATTTTCAGGTTGAAATCTAGTGAATTTTGTGGTAAGAACCAATTTTGAAGATAAAAATTTTCCACGTGGAATTACAGCCATGTTTGAGCTCAAAATGCTCCAAATTTTATGAAAAATTCAGATTTTCAAGAATTTTTGGTTCAAAAAAAATCACTGTTTCAAAACTTTTCATTAAAAAACTGGAATTTTGAAGAAAAACGTTGGATATTTCAAAAATAATCAAAATTTTCATTGACAGGTTGAAATCTAGTGAATTTTGTGCTGAAAAACCAATTTTTAAGATTAAAATTTCCACGTGGAATTAGAGCCATGTTCAAGCTCAAAATGCTCCAAAAATTATGAAAAATTCAAATTTTCAGGAATTTTGGTTCAAAAAATTCACTGTTTCTAAATTTTCATATAAAAATTGGAATATGAAAGAACAATGATATTTCAGAAATACATAAACTTTTCATTTTTAAGTTGAAATCTAGTGAATTTTGTGCTGAAAAATCAATTTTTCAAAACCAAAATTTTCCCATCTGAAATCAGAGCCATGTTTGAGCTCAAAATGCTCCAAATTTCATGAAAAATTGAGAAAATCTGTTGAAATTGATTAATTTTCATGAATTTTGGGTTTAAAAAACTTCACTGTTTCAAAACGTTCACTTAAAAATTTCATTTTTGAGAGAAAATGTTATTATTGTTTTTTAGATCCAAAATAAATCATATTTGAGCTCAAAATGCTCCAAATTTCATGAAAAATTCAAATTTTCAGGATTTTTGCTGTTCTATCTAAAAAAAAGTTTTCTAGCTCAAAAACCCCCCAAAACCCTATTTTTTATGTCAAAAATTGTCAATTTATTTTTCCCCATAAAATCCTCACCTATCCTCTTCTTCCTCATCATTCTCTTCTTCTTTCTTTTCCTCCTCCATTTTTTCCACCTTCACCTTCTTCTTCAAATTCGCCTTCTCCTCATGTGCATTCGTCTCAAAAGTATCCTTATCCAGTGCCCAATCCGCAGCCACACTTCTACCCAAAATCTTATTCGCATTAAACCACTCTCTAGCCTTTTCTGCATCCTCTTTCTTAACAAATTGGATGAAACCAAAACCGGCGATCGATTTCGGGTTCTTTTTCGATGGCGGGAGAACAATCTCTACAAATCTTCCGAAATTCGAACAAATGTTTTGAAGATCCTCTTTTTTGGTCTGGAAATTATTGAGTTATGACGTGGCAATTATGTTTTTCGCTCACTTTAAACGGCATATTTCTAATAATCAATCTCCACTGCTTCATCGCCGCCTTCTCAAATCTTTGCCGAATTGCCGAAGTTCCACGTGACCCTCTGAACTCATTTCCGTTTCCCCCCGCATTTTCAGCTCCCTCTTCTGTTTTAGCCCGCTTCGCAATTGGTTGACGATTCGCATTTCTATGCTCCTGCGGTTCTTCCTCCTCTTCTTCTTTATATTCTTCAGCATTCTCTCCGAAATCCTCGTCATCCCAAGTTTTTCGCTTATTTCCGGCGAATCCGTAGTTGCCGAATCCACCACGTTGATGATAACCCATCTAAAAACAACTTTTGTTAGGCGAAATTCGAGCAAAACTAGGAGAAACTAGGAGAAACGCGCGAAAAAAGAAAAAATATTTCGAAATGGAAGAGAAAACATGTGGCGCGCTAGGCCACGAAAACTCGGCCATCTATTGTTTTTCGCCGAAATTTTGCTGAAAATCGTGAATTTCAGGTCTGAAAATGATGAAAAGCTAGAATTTGGCTAAGTTGAGCTGTACTTTACTCTAGGAGAGACACGTGGTAAATTATTCGCAAAGGGCGAGGAATTCAGGGGCAAGAGAAAAAAAACTCATCTGCCATTTTTTTGCTCGCCGAAAAATTGAACTGAAAAATTATCGTTGAAATGACATTTGCCACGACAAATTTCACGTTCACGCAAAAATATATATTATTTTTTCTTTCTTTTTTTTCTGAAATTGAGAAAAAAGCCTGATAAACGCTTTTAAATCTTTAATTAAAGCAAAATAATTTATTTCCATCCAATAAACAAAAAAAATCACAACATAATTAAATACCACCTTATTTCTTCTTAGATCTTAATTTCTTAACTGGAGAATTCGATTGATTTAGTCCAACTTGACTTTGCTCAATTTCCTCTTTCGTCACCGCTCCCGCTTCCAATTGTTCATTTAATTTGGTTTGAGTTTCAAAGTGCATTAGGAGATCGTTGACTTGCGATTGGAGATCGGCGATTTCCTATCAAAATTATGGGAATTCAAAACATACATGGCATCTTTGCCCAACAGACCCTCCATGTAATGATCCCCCCCCTCCCCAAAATTTTGAAATGTCATGATCCCCTCCCCTCAATTTTTTTTGTCAAAAATTTGAAAAAATAAATGGTGAAAAAAATGAAAAATATCCGGGGGGGGGGGGAGTTTCATTTTTGACTTATTCTTTCAGGTTCGATAATTTGGAAACTAGCGCTTTTAATATCGGATGTAGAGAAAGGGCGAAGAATTCGACGGATATCATCCATTGTTTCTTATTTTTTCTTATTTCTTATTTTATTTCTAAAATTCTCAATTATATTTTTCTATATCCTTCTAAAATAAAAAATGCGTTTATCTCAGAAATTTTTACAAATTATCATTCTCAACTTTTCTGAACAATTACATAATAATAATAACATATCCAATATCCAATGCGTTATTTATTTGATAATCAAATTGAAATCCAAAAATATTGAATTACAAAACAAAAAGAAAAAAAAATGAATTCCACCGAGAATTCGATCCAAAAACCCTCTGATTATTAGGCGCGATCTCTACCGACTTGACCACGAGGCTACTTATTTTCACACGTTTATTTTTAAGTGATAAATAAGGGATAGAAGAGGGAGAGAAAATGAAAAAGAGAAGGAGAAGCGGAAAAAAATCATGAAATTTTTGAAAAATTCCCATTTTTTATCGAATTTCGCCGATTTTGTTATATGTTTCGATTGTATAAGTAACTTAAGGATGGTAGAAAGGAATGTCTGTCGAAATTATCTAAAAAGATGGTTTATTTCTTGAGATATGATCCCCCCAAAATGACATAGCAAAACGGCTTCGATTTTGGGGGGATCATATCTCAAGAAATAAACCATCTTTTTAGATAATTTCGACAGACATTCCTTTCTACCATCCTTAAGTTACTTATACAATCGAAACATATAACAAAATCGGCGAAATTCGATAAAAAATGGGAATTTTTCAAAAATTTCATGATTTTTTCCGCTTCTCCTTCTCTTTTTCATTTTCTCTCCTCTTCTATCCCTTATTTATCACTTAAAAATAAACGTGTGAAAATAAGTAGCCTCGTGGTCAAGTCGGTAGAGATCGCGCCTAATAATCAGAGGGTTTTTGGATCGAATTCTCGGTGGAATTCATTTTTTTTCTTTTGTTTTGTAATTCAATATTTTTGGATTTCAATTTGATTATCAAATAAATAACGCATTGGATATGATTATTATTATTATTATGTAATTGTTCAGAAAAGTTGAGAATGATAATTTGTAAAAATTTCTGAGATAAACGCATTTTTTATTTTAGAAGGATATAGAAAAATATAATTGAGAATTTTAGAAAAATAAAATAAGAATAATTAGCCGATGAAAGATATCCGTCGAATTCTTCGCTCGTTCTCTACATTCGATATTCCTAAAGAACTAGTTTCCAAATTACCGAACCTGAAAAAATAAGTCAAAAATGACCACATGCAAAAACCCAATTTTTTTCTAGCGTACCGATTTCACTTTGAAAAAAATTTAGGTGTTTTGTATGTGATGTCATGATCCCCCCCTCGAAAATTTTTTCCAAATGTCATGATCTCCCCCTCACAGATTTGAGAGCAGTGCCATGTATGATTCAAAAATTCAACCCCAAAAATCCCTTACCGCTTCATATTTCGCCGTCTTCTCATCAATCTTCTCCCCAATCTTCTCATACTGCCCCTTCCAAACAACCTGATCCCCCCGCAACATTCGATTTATCTCCTGCTCATCCTTCAACTCGCCCGCCAATTTCTTGATCCGCTCTCCCGACCAAACAACCTTCTTCTCCGCCGATAACTTCGACTTCTGACAAGCCTCCAGCTCAGTTTTCACCGCCTTCAGCTCACTCGTCTGCTCTTTCAATTGCTGCTCCAACGATTCAACTTGAGCACACGCCACTTTTTCCATCTTCCCCATCGCTTTCTCAACCTCCCCGAGTTTCTCCTCAAAATATTTCCGCTGATTTTCAAGTTGACTTGTGAGAAGTAGAGTATACTCTAGTTTGATCCCATCTAATTTGTCATCTTTTTTCGAATTATGCCCATCACTTCGGTCTGCAGTATTTTGATATTCCACCAGTTTTCCATCCGAATCATTTTCAATCAATCTATGCACATAATTATCACCAGCATAATCCCAAACCCGTTGCTCGCCGCCAATTTTCAAACTATAAGTATGCGATGTCTGTTCCCAATGTCGATGGGCGTGTTGCGAAGCATAGCGACCACATCCGATGTTTCCGCAAATCAGGCAAATCCACAAATCATTCGATTGTCCACAATCGTTGCATCGTTGCTCAGCGACAACTTCGGGAGTTTGAACATATCGACAAACCGGGCAGCTGCAAGAAATTGCTAGGAACATTCAGGCTCCAAAAAAACCCACGTGTTATCCATCCACTGCTCCAAACATTGCGCATGAAACGCGTGATTACACAATATCGCCAAAACACTTTCATCCATTCGCTCCAAACAAACACAACACGTTGGGAGTTCGGTTAAGTTGCTGGATTGTGAGGTGAGAAGTTCATCAGATGTTGTCTGGAATTGTTTGAACTTGGGAGGGGGAGGGGGAGTTAGGATAAATCACTTACACATTCGATTCTATCAACAAATAGCAAAACACAGTGATGTGGCTCAAAATCATTGAATGGACAATTATTGTACTCTTCGTAGAAAGTAACGGCGTCATTCTGAAAAACGAAGGGGAAAATCAAAATTTGGGCATAGCTTCCGCATCTCCGCTGAAATTCCAATAAAATTCTGAAAAATGCTGGAATTTGCAAACAAACTATTTGTCAGCAAATTCCAGTTTTCAGATTCTTATTCGATATTTCAGAATAGGACTTGGAAAGGTTTTTTGCGAGCGGAGCGAGTGTAAACCGCTAGCTTCCGCGTCAGCGGCACTATTTTCCGCGAAGCGGCCACGTTGGTTTTCTACGTAGAAAACCAACCGCTTCGCAGAAGCTTGCGTTCCAAACACTCACATGTTCCTTGAACTTAATAATCAACATATATTGATTCGGCGTCGAATCCCGCACAACTTTCATCCGTTCAATCATCGGCAGCGAAACACCAATAAATGTGATGATTTCGGATATTGTGATTTGCGCTGGTATTCCCAGCATACACAACATTCGACATTGTGCCGAATTCGCCGATTTTTCATCGTTGTATTTGTAGAAGTGCAAGATGCCTTCGGTTTTTTCGGTCAGCGGGTTTCCCGAATAATATGGGGCGTGTTCGGGAAGCGCTGAAAAATATGTGATTTTGGGTTGAAAATTTTGAGCTTGGATTTTTTGGTTTTATTTCGAAAATTGTTGTTTTTTGTAAAAAATTTGAAAAAAACCTCAATTTTTGAAAAAATTTGATTTTGATCTTTTCGCCGCTAAAATATCTACAAGTTTTCGATATTTTTCTCATTTCTCCCAAATATTACAAACTCCCACGTGTCAACTCTTTTTTCCTATATAGCTTTTGAGGCAAAATAGCTATTTCGCCTCAAAAGCTGAAATTTTCCTCAAAAAGGAGGGAAGCGCACAAGTGCGCCCCACCGCACACTTCTAAATATGTGTGTACTTCTCTCGGACAACACGCCATTTTCAAAATTTTCGCATTTCCCTCCCGCCTAAAAACCCAATTCAATTTTCTGTTTCAGAATGGAATCGACGGGTAGTGCAGAGAAGACAGTGCAAAAACGACCATTTATTGAGCATTTGGGATTCACGGACACATCAAAAGCGCCAAAAATCGATATAACAATAAGGGGTGAAAAATATTACTACGAGTTTTTGAAGGTGCAACGTGAGAAATATATGATTGTGAGAAAATCGAAAGATGATTCGGAGGAATATCGATCGCAATTGCCGGTTTACATTAATCTCAACTTTTTTGGATGTCATTATTTTAAAAATCTATTAGCAAAGTACAAAGATACATTAGAGAGTTTGATTATGAGCGTAACCAAGAATCGCTCGTTCAACTTTGATATCGAATATCTAGCAAATCTTCGAACCCTTCAATTGAGCGGTGATTTCAATATCGGAACAATCCTCACAAAATTACAAAAACCTTTGGAATATTTGAGTATTCAAGTGAGACATCGCAATAAAATCGACTATGAACAAGTGTATCAATGCACGGGAAATCTAGTGATACCCTTTAGATATTTGACAAATGAGCAATTTGTGAAGATTCAGGCGAAGAATGTGCGAATGGATATGGGATATTTGACAGAGGAGAATATCGCCGATTTCTTGAAGAGCTATCAGAACGATACAATTGGGAAAATCGTTAATTTTTATACTTGGGATATTGATGGCGAATCATTTTTCAGTATACCAAAGTTATGGAAACTTCTTGGATCTAACGACACTGATTAGTGAGTTTCTAGAGATTAAAATTGAGCAAATTTTTTGGTTTCCAGCAAAAAACTCCTTGCCATTCGCCACAACACCAAACGCAAAGTGGCTCATTTGAGTTATAATAATAAAACCTTGACGCTGAGGAACTTGATGAACTAATTGCAATTATTTATTATTTCGTATTTATTAATTAATTAATTTATTTGTTAATATTAAACTATTTATTATAGAATTGTTTTTGGGTTGTTTTTCAGTGGAGAAGTCTGAATTTTCCTGGTTTTCAGACAAATGCGTCTTATTTTTTTCTCTGTTTCAAAATTGAATTTTGGACGAATTTAGGTACTTCGTCAGTCGCGTGCGGCTGTGCGTCGCGGTAGGGGAAACAATCAATAATTCATTTTTCCGACCGCGACGCACAGCCGCACGCGACTGACGAAGTTCAGTTTTTTTTCATTTATTCAGTTCAGCACTGGATTTTATTTTTCAAGGTTCTCTAGCTTGTCAATCATGATCTCAAGGAGCGGTTACTAGAGAATCAGGTTCTCTAGGCTCCGCTACTTGACAACCGTGCTCTCAAGACGCGGGTCCTAGACAATTAGGTCCTCTAGGCGCAGCTACTTGGCTTGGACGCTCTCAAGGCGCGGGTCCTAGACAACACGGTTTTTTAAGCGCGGCTCTTTGTCAGAGTGGATCTCAAGACGCTGATCCTAGACAATTAGGTTCTCTAGGCTTAGCTACTTTAGAACTGAGCTCTCTAGCCGCTGATCCTAGACAATCAGGTCCTCTAGGCTCCGCTGCTTGACAGCAAGGCTCTCTAGACGCGGCTCCTTGCCAGTTGAGCTTTCTAGGCTAGGCTACTTGGCATGAGCGCTTTCAAGACGCGGTTCCTTGCCAGAGTAGATCTCTAGGCGCAGCTACTTGACAACCATGCTCTCTAGGCGCAGGTCCTAGACAATTAGGTTCTCTAGGCTCCGCTACTTGAGAACTAGATTCTCTAGACGCTAATCCTAGACAATTAGATCCTCTAGCCTCAGCTACTTGAGAACGAGGTTCTCTAGGCTTAGCTACTTGACAACCGAGCTCTCTAAGCTCCGATACTTGACAACCGAGCTCTCTAGGCGCAGGTCCTAGACAATTAGCTTCTCTAGGCCCTGCTACTTGACAAAATCCTCCTCACCTGTTGCTCCCGTTCCCAACGATGTTCCCGCTTCCCCATCTCCCTCCTCTCCACCACCAATCAATTTATCACCATCCAAATGCTCAACAACAACTTCCGAATAAGTCCGTCGTCCCTTACTATCCTTCTTCCACTCAACCTTCTCCGCTTTCCCCTGATGATTTTCTGCATTCAGCACCGGCGCCTCTTCTTTCGATTTCGGTGGCGACACTCGCTTCATTGTCAACAATCCCAGACGCTTTCGCGTTCTTTCGGCGGCGCTTGGCGAACTTTGAAGATGGTTGGGTGAGGTTGAGGTTTCGGAGAAGGTGGCAAGTTTGGCGGTGGCTGTGGCGACTTCGAGACGAATCACCAGTGGAACATACACGCTACTCATTAAATGGGGAGTTTCAAGCTGGAAAATGGGAGGTTTGAGGATAGATTTGGACATTTTTCTGAGCAAGTAAGTTGATATTTCGGGCTCTAAGGATAGACAGGTTGAAGACAAACCAAATGATATCAATTTTCATGAATTTACCTTATCCATAATGTAGTTGGACATCGACTAAATGACATTTTCAGGTTTTTTAAGCAAATGAGTTGAAATATTGGGTTCTAATGTTATTCATATGATAGAATGGTCTAAGACGAACAGAATGATATAAATTTTGATGACTTTACGTTATCCGTAAGTGATTTAGCGAGGTTTAGTCGATATTTAGACGATAAGTCGCTAAATCACATAAGGATAAGGTAAAGTCATCAAAATTTATATCATTCTGTTCGTTTTAGACCATTTTATCATATGAATAACATTAGAATCCAATATTTTAACTCATTTGCTTAAAAAAACCTGAAAATGTCATTTAGTCGATGTCCAACTATATTATGGATTGGGTAAAATCATCAAATTTGATATAATTTGGTTTGTCTCAGACCTGTCTATCCTATGAGCAAGATTAAAGCCAAAAATATCAACTCACTTGCTCGAAAAATATGAAAATGTTTTTTTAGTCGAATTCCCACATCTCGAAAATCTAGAAATGGTGGTGGCTTTTCCCATGGAAAATAAAGTTAGATATTCTAGGTCACGTCAAATTCAGGAATCCTCATTTCAAAATTCAAAATCATGAATTAAGTCAAGTTTTTAAGGAATTTTTGCGCGAAATTTATTGATTTTTTTGAAATTTTCTGGGAACCTTTTTAAAAAAATATTTAAAAAAGGACAAAACCTCCTCAAGCTTCTCCACAACAAAAAAAAATCCATCAAAACATGAAAAATTTATACAAAACTCTACTCATAATTCTAGAAACCTGCATAAGAAAAATACAAAAACTGAGCAAAAAAATGGCAAAATTATCCTGAATTCAATTATTTCGATCTGATTCTCTGCAAAATTCCAGTCGAATCGGTTCGAATGACCTGAGGTTTGAAGATCTTCTTCGGTTCGATTTTCAGATTTTCTTGACTTTCAGCCGATGACGTGGCAAATGAGGAGACCAACGTGGCAATTGAGCCCGAATCCATCGAGTCCAGATGATTATTTACAGTGTTTTCGGTGGGGAAGAAGTATTGGAGGCTTTTCCAGATATCGTCGCGGTTGAGGCGAGACAAAAATGTGGCGCGCAGCTGGAAAAATCAGTGATTTAGTTTCTAGGCCACGGCTTTTGTAAATTCTAGTCCCTCGTTCAATTCATCGAAAAAATCCAGAAGGGACTAGTTTTCCACCTCAGAAAATCGAATTTTTTACTGAAAATTGCTCATAATTATCAATGGAGCAGGAATATCAAAAAAGAAAAATAATAATAATTTAATTTTTTTTATTCAAAAAGTTTTGAAACAGTGATTTTTTTTGTTGAAAAATTCAGGATTTCATAAAAATTTAGATTTCTAGATTGATTTTCAGAGCAAATTTCAGCTCAAAAAATTGGAATTGAAAAATTGTGGTTTTTCGAATATTTTTTGGGGTAAAATTATTTTTTTTCTGTTGAAGAAATATGATATCATAAAATAATTCAATTTTTTTTATTTAAAAAATTTTGAAACAGTGATTTTTTTTGTTGAAAAATTCGGGTTTTCAGAATTTTTTAAAAACAGTTTTGGGATTTCATAAAAATTCAAATTTCCAGGGCAAATTTCAGCTCAAGAAATGCTGAAAATCATTAGAAAATCAAATTTTTTACTGAAAATTTCTCTAAAATCATGAATTTTGAGCATTTTTTAATCAAAAATTTAGATTTTCAGCTCGAATTTCACTTTTAACCTAAAACATCCAAGAGGGACTAGTTTTCCACATCCGTAAATTCTAGTCCCCCTTTATTTTCTAGACCATCCTCACCTGCCTTTCAGCTCTCGTAATCAAATGCGGTGCCAAATTGCCAACAATCGTCTCGGCCGTAATCAATCCAATCACCTTATCCAATCCCTCTTCCATTTTCGCTCCAATCTTCCCCTCTTTCCTGCTCGGCGCCAAAATCGTGGATAATTTCGAGATTCCGCATTTCTCCAGCATCGATTTCACATCTTCACCCATTCGAAACAATGACAAATTCAGCGCATTTGCTGCGATATTCGGGCGAATTCGCTGTTTCTTCTCGCGTTTCAACAAATCCTCCACAACTTGACGTGCCACAAAATGCACCCGCTTCGGCAAAATCGGCAATTCTTGCTCATTATAAGTTTCCGCATCGAATTGCTTATAAAATGGATTGGTGCGCGTCAAGATCTCGTAACTCAATCCACCGGCAGCCCAAGTATCAGCTAGCTCGAAATCGACTTGTTGACGTGGGCCCGGGCGAGCGGCGAGGATTTCGGGCGCTCGAGTTCGACGATTTCCGCCGAGGTAGATGTCTTCGTGGGGATAGTCGACGAGCCAGGAGCCGGTGGCGAGAGCACAGCCGAAGTCGGCGATGACGAGTTGCGGAATCTCGTCTGGAAAATGGAAAATGGCTTCAGAAAGCTTCAGGAGCATCTAGAAGTCTTCAGAAGGCTCCAGAAGGCTTCTGAAGACTTCATAAAAATTCTAGAGACTTCATAAGGCTTCAGAACGCTTTAGAAGGCTTCAGCAAACTTCATAAGGCTTCAGAAGGCTTTGGAAAAATATTAGAGGCTTCAAAAGGCTCCAGAACGCTCCAGAAGACTATTAGAGGCTTCAGAAACATTTTAGAGGCTTCAGAAAGCTTCAGAGAGCTTCAGAAGAATTTTAGAGGCTTCAAAAAGATTCAGAAAGCTCCAGAATGTCTCAGAAGGCTCCAGAAGATTTTAGAAGACTTCAGAAGGTCTCAAAAAGCTTTGGATAAATTTTAGAGGCTTTAGCAAACTTCATAAGACATCAGAAGGCTTTGGAAAAATATTAGAGGCTTCAGAAGGCTCCAGAAACCTTCAGGAAAATTTTGTAGGCTTCACAAGGCTTCAGAAGGCTTCAGAAAGCTCCAAAAAGTCTCAGAAGGCTTAGGAATATTTTTAGAGGCTTCAGAAGAATTTTAGAGGTTTTATAAGAAAATTTTGGGGTTTGATAGAAAATTTAGATTTTGAAAATTATTTTCAAATTGAAATTAATCAAAATTCAGTTCTCCTATGAAATTTTCTGTTGGTTTTCGTTGTTTTCAGATAATTCTAGACACAAAAAACATTTTTCAAATTTTTCTTCGCTGATTAATGTATTGATTCGTCACTCTTTCGCTAAAAAACGAAATATAGTTCAAAATTAAAAAATTATAAAAGCCTTCAAACTATTATATTAATTCATTAAGAAGAATGCTCAAAATTTTCGTGATCCTTTCATTTTTCTCGATTATCTCAGCTAATCCAACATGTGACAAGTCCGAACTACAAAAATGCAATCAAATGATTGTAAGAATGCCGTTATCATCTAATTTTACTGCACTAGAATACAGAAATGGTCTCAAAGATCAAGCAGCTTGTGACAATCACAAATACTGTGCTGAAGTCTCCAGAAGATGTAATGGTGAATAAGGAGACACTCAATATTTTGCCGATCTTCGAAACTATTGTCCAATTCGCAAATTTTTGGCCAGTGATTTTTTTATTGATTGTGCAGTTAAAGTTGTGATGAATTATAAGAATTGGGGACAATTTGATGAACAATGCGAAAAATCAGGAATGTTTAAGTGGAGTAATAAAATCTGTGGTATCAAGAAAATCCACGTCGAACAATGTTCCGATGCGGTTTTTGGAACATATTGCAGTTTGGAGCATTCTAGACAATTTATCAAGATTTATGAGAACATATTGAGAATTCATGAAATGCAATGCAAAATTATTTATTAATTTTCGAAAAATTGGTATAAATATTCCGATGTTTTTGAAAAACTTGGTTTTTATGAAGTTTTTTTGTTGAAAATGTTGCATTTAGAAGAGTTTTAGAGGCTTCAGAAGACTTCAGAAAGCTTCATAAGAATTTTAGAAGACTTCAGAAAGCTTCAGAACAATTCTAGAGACTCAGAAGGCTCCAGAAGGCTTTAGATGGCTTCAGAAAAATTTTAGAGACTTTAAAAGGCTTCAGAAGGCTTTGGAAGAAGATCAGAAGCTTCAGAAGAAGGCTTCAAAAACCACCAGAAGCATCCAGAGGCCTTCAAAACCAGTAATAGGCCTTCAGAAGCCTTGAGAAGCCCCCAGAAGGCTTTAGAAGACTTCAGAAAAATTTTAGAGACTTCAGAAGGCTCCAGAAGGCTTTAGAAAGCTTCAGAAGCATCTAGAAGCCCCCAGAAGGCCTCAGAAGGCTTCAGAAAGCTTTAGAAAGATTCAGAAAGTTTCGGAGAGCTCCAGGATAGTCCATAAGGCTTCAGAAAAATTCTAGAGACTTCAGAAATTGTCAGAAGGCTTCAGAAGGCTTTGAAAGAATTTTAGAGGGTTCAGAAAAATTCTAGAAGCTTCAGAATATTCCAGAAGGCTTGAGGAGGTTTCAGAAGAAATTTGGTGGCTTCAAAAAGCACATTTTAGAAATTTCAGAAGCCTTCAAAAGCCGTGATAGGTCTTCAGAAGCCCCCAGAAGGCTTCAGAAGAATTCTGGAGCCTTCAGAATGTCCCAGAAAGATTCAAAAGGCTTCAGAAGTCATCAGAAAGCTTTAGAAGGCTCCAGAAGAATTTTAGAGCCTTCAGAAAGCTTCAGAATCTCCAGATTTCCAAAATTCACCCACCTTCATAATCATAATGCAACAAAATATTGTCACTTTTCATGTCTCGTTGCGCAACACAATTCTCGTGTAAATATGTACAGGCTTCCATTAATTGTGCCATCATAACTCTGCAAAATTGAATTTTGGCTGAAATTCTGAATTTTTTGGCTGAAATTTGGCTGAAATGAGTGGATTTTCAGGATTTCCAAGCAAAAATCTCAGGAAAATTTGTTAAGAAATTCAAATTTCGAGCTAAAAATCTCTCCTCACCTCCCAGTCCAATAATTCCGATGATGTGTCCAAACATAATCATGCAAAGTCTGTCGATATCTCCTCATAACAATATACATAGTCTTGGGAGTTGCCGTAATTGCCTCATACCATCTTGCAGTATGCAGTGCATCTGGATATCTCTCAACAGCATCCGGTAGAATTTTCAAAGTATCAATGAAGGCCGTGGTGATTCTCACGATGTTTGGATGTTTTTTGGGCAGCGGCTGGAAATTCGTAGATGTTCCGAAATGGCCGTTTTTGATTAATTGAAGAGCTTTTGGGTAGGCGGCTAATTCGTTGCCCATTGTTTCCCAGAGATGATTTTCGCCGGATTTGTCGTGGTCGTAATTGAACATTAATTTGATGGCCAGCGGGTATTTCTGGAAAAAATGGGCGGGGTTTTGCTGGAATCTGAACAAGTTGCTGAAAATTTGAACTTGAATCGCTCTAGGTGCGGCTCCTTGAAAACTAAGCTTCCTAGGCGCTGATGCTTGCGAGAGAGGATGCCTAGATGCGAATGCTAGACAACTAGGCTCTCAAGGGGTGGCTGCTTGAGAACCAGGACTTCTAGGCGTGGCTCCTCTCTAGAGTGGATCTCTAGGCGCGGCTCCTTGACATATGAGTTCTCAAGGACTGGCCTCTTGTCATATCAGCTCTCAAGGGGTCACTCCTTGACAATTGAATTTTCTAGGCGCGGCTACTTGAGAACTAGGATCTCTAGGCGCGGATCCTTGACATACAAGCTCTCAAGGGGTGGCTCTTTGACAATCCCATATTTTTTGCTCGAAAGCTCTGAAAAACAGTAAATTCAGGAAAATTTCAGTTGTTCTATTTTCAGATCAAAATTTGACGAATTTTCCGAATTTTTCAAGTTTTCAGAATCTCCAAAAATCCGAATTTGTCATTTTCAGCCTAAAAACACACTTTTCTGAAAATTTTCCAAAAAAAAAAAATGAGGAAAATTTCGATTTTCAGCATTTCCAGCTCATTTTCTTCACAATTTCCAGGCCAAAAACACTCACATTCATTCGAAATTCCATATCCGAACTAGGTCTTCTCGAATTCTTCCTCAAAATCTCAGTCACCTCATTAAATCCTCCACCAATTCCTCTGCTATTTCCATTTTCCCCCGCCAATTTCGCCTCATAAACCGCCGCATTACAGCCTTGTCCCAAGAACTCGCCGAATTCGTATTCATCAATTCGTCGCGGCATCTCAGCGGCTCTCAAATCCTCATTATATCTCGCATTTTCGCCGAATAATTTGCGAATTCTCGCCAGAAAATCTGCATATTTCGCGGGTCTTTTGGCGAATACTGGATGAAATTTGCGATGTTTTAGGAGGTTTTTGTTGTTGGCAAGGCGATTTTTTTCGATGAGAATCGAGGAAAATGGACGGAATATTCGACCATTTCGAGCAATCAATTTGGTCTGAAAATGTTTGGATTTTTATGTAGTTTTGGCCTAGATTTTCAAGGTGAATTTTTTTCCAAAGAATAGTTTTGGCCTAAATTTCTTATTGCAAGTAAATTTTTTGAATTTTGAATTTTCGCGCTAAAATTTTTCCACTACCAACCATTGCTCATCGAATTTTTTTTTCAAAATTTTTCGACTAAAATTCTTGAAACCTAATTTTCGCGGGTTAATTTTCAGGGTGAACTTTCTTCCAAAAAGTAGGTTTGGCCTAAATTTCCTATTGTTAGTAAATTTTTTGAATTTAACTTCTAAATGCATTCCATATCATTGATTTTTTTTCAAAATTTTTCAACTAAAATTATTGAAACCTAATTTTCGCGGAATAATTTTCAAGGTGAATTATCTTCAAAAAATAGTTTTCACCAAAATTTCCAATTTTTTTTTAGATTTTTGAATTTTAATTTTTGGTGCCTAAAATTGTCTTATTTATTGTTCATTGTGCAATCAATAAAATTCACGAAATGATTATCGAATTTGTTTTTCAAAATTTTTTCAACTAAAATTTCTGAAACCTAATTTTCGCGGGATAATTTTCAAGGTGAATTTGTTTCCGGAAAATAGTTTTCACCAAAATTTCAAATTTTTTGAATTTAAGTTCTAAAATAATTTCATATCATTGATTTTTTTTTTTCAAAATTTTCTATCTGAAATTTTTGAAACCTAATTTTCGCGGGTCAATTTTCAAGGTGAATTTTTTCCAAAAATAGTTTTCACCAAAATTTCCAAGTTTTCGAACTTCAATTTTTAGCTCTCAATTTCCTTCTTCATTATGAAATCAATAAATTTCAAGAAAATCATTATCGAATTTTTTTTTCAAAATTTGTTTAACTAAAATTTTTGAAACCTAATTTTCGCGGGTTAATTTTCAAGATTATATTTCTTCTTCTGGAAAAAAATTATCAAGTTTTCAGGCATTGCTCATATTAATTTCAATTTTTCCCGCATTGCTCATATTAACCCCCACTCACCAATCGAAAAGTCGTCTGTCTTCCAGCATTTCCAGCATTCCTCAACACAACATGTGCTCCCAAATTATGCGAAATCGGAAATATTCGCGGCCACCAGAGTCGGATTATTGTGTTTCGTGCCAGGACCTCGTTTGCGATACGGTATGCCGCTTTTCCAAAACGTTTCATTGACATAATTACTTTTAATTAGCTAGAAAATAATTAATTAATTGATTAATTAGGGTAAATAAGGTAAGAAAATGGATGAAAACCATTGATTTTGAAATAAAAATGAAAATTCACATGAAAAATAGCAATTTATTAAAAAAAGACTAGAAAAAATGCAAAAAATCAATATTTTTGTACACAAAAACCCTATTCGCTGAGCTTTTTCTCTCTGAAAACGCTGAAATTCCAGATTTATTTCAGCAATCCCAGACTTCTCGCCTCTTTTTCAGCCCATTCGGCCAGTTTTCCATCGTCGGTGATTGGCGAATCGTCTTCACCGCAAACCGCGTCGATGTAGAAGGAGCCTGGAAAAGAGTACTGTAGGGTTTTTGGCGCGAAAAATGTAGGTATACTGTAGAAAAAAACTCACGTTGTGCAGTCAGTGCTTCAAATTCATCGTCGGAACTCGCCTCATTGTCAGAAGCAGAAGCTGAAAAATTCAAAATTTAAAATTTGAAAAGTGTGCGGGACAAAAACTGTGCCAGGATGGCAGAAAATCTACCGAATACCTTGAGAAGCTCCCAGAAGCCTTCAGAAGCGTCCAGAAGCTTCCAGAAGCTTTCAGAAGCTTTCAGAAGCCTCAAAAAGTATTTTTCTTTCGGATTGAACAATAGACGTAGTAGAAGCGCAGATCATTTTGAAACATCATTTTCAAATGTATCAAAAAATTTTGAAACGTACATTTTTTTGGACGCTAAAATCAATTACATTTACCGTATTTCTTCGAGCTGAATTTTAGTGAAATTTAAAATTTGGCGCCAAAACGCTTGCAGAAGCTTTCAGAGGAAACACATTTTTCTGAAAATTATCCGAAAAAATTGAGGAAAATTCCAGATTTTCTAATTTTAGGTCAAAATTTAACGAATTTTTCGAATTTCAGCATTTCCAGCTCTTTTTCGTCACATTTTCAGCCCAAAAAACACTCACATTCATTCGAAATTCCATATCCGAACTAGGTCTCCTCGAATTCTTCCTCAAAATCTCAGTCACCTCATTAAATCCTCCACCAATTCCTCTGCTATTCCCATTTTCCCCCACCAATTTCGCCTCATAAACAGCCGCATTACAGCCTTGTCCCAAGAATTCGCCGAATTCGTATTCATCAATTCGTCGCGGCATTTCAGCGCCTCTCAAATCCTCGTTATATCTCGCATTTTCTCCAAACAGTTTGCGAATTCTCGCCAGAAAATCCGCATATTTCGCGGGTCTTTTGGCAAATACCGGATGAAATTTGCGGTGTTTTAGTAGGTTTTTGTTGTTGGCTAGGCGATTTTTTTCGATGAGAATCGAGGAAAATGGACGGAATATTCGACCGTTCCGAGCAATCAATTTGGTCTGAAAATGTGTGGATGTTTTTGTAGTTTTGGCCTAGATTTTCAAGGTGAATTTTTTTTCCAAAGAATAGTTTTGGCCTAAATTTCTTATTGCAAGTAAATTTTTTGAATTTTGAATTTTCGCGCTAAAATTTTTCCACTACCAACCATTGCTCATCGAATTTTTTTTTTCAAAATTTTTTTTTCTAAAATTTTTGAAACCTACTTTTCGCGGGTTAATTTTCAAGGTGATTTTGGCCCCAATATTTTTCCAAAAATACGTTTTAACCTAAATTAATTTTCGATTGTGAATAAATTTTTTGAATTTTGAATTTTCGCGCTAAAATTTTTCCATTACCAACCATTGCTCATCGAAATTTTTTTTCCAAAATTTTTTATCTAAAATTTTTGAAACCTAATTTTCCCTGAATAACTTTCAAGATAATATTTCTTCTGGAAAAAATTATCATTGCTCATATTATTTTCTTCCAAAAAATAGTTTTCACCAAAATTCCCAATTTTTTGAATTTTAATTTTTGGTACCTAAAATTGTCTCATTTATTGAGAATTGCGCAATCAATAAATCTGATATCGAATTTTTTTTTTCAAAATTTTTTCAACTAAAATTTCTAAAACCTAATTTTCGCGGGATAATTTTCAAGATGGTTTTTAGCACCAAATTTTTTTCCAAAACTAAGTTTTCACCTAAATTAATTTTCAATTGTAAGTAAATTTTTTGAGTTGGCTAAAATAATTCCATTACCAACAATTGATCATCAAAATTTTTTATCTGAAAAATGTTGAAACCTAATTTTCGCGGGATAATTTTCAAGATAATATTTCTTCTGGAAAAAATTATCATTGCTCATATTATTTTCTTCCAAAAACTACTTTATACCTAAATTTACAATTTTTTGAGATTTGAATTTTTAGGTCTCAATTTCCTTATTCATTGTGCAATCAATAAATTTCACGAAATGATTATCGAAAAATTTTTTTTCAAAATTTTTCAACTAAAATTTCTGAAACCTATTTCTCGCCGGTCAATTTTCAAGGTGAATTTTCTCCAAAAAATAGTTTTGGCCTAAATTTTTTGAATTTCAATTTTTAGCTTTTAATTTCCTTATTAATTGTTCAATCATTAAATTTTACGAAATGATTATCGAAATTTTTTTTCGAAAATTAGTTCAACTAAAATTTTTGAAACCTATTTTTCGCGGGTTAATTTTCAAGATTATATTTCTTCTTCTGGAAAAAATTATCATTGCTCATATTAGTTATATTCTCAAAAATGACGTGGCATTGCTCATGTTAATGAAATTCCCACCAATCAGAATTGTTGCCCCATTTTCCGAAAATTTCAAAAATTTCCTAATAATTCCTACAACTTCTCCGGCATTGCTCATATTAATTTAAATTTTTCAAGCATTGCTCATATCAACCCTCACTCACCAATCGAAAAGTCGTCTGTCTTCCAGCATTTCCAGCATTCCTCAACACAACATGTGCTCCCAAATTATGCGAAATCGGAAATATTCGCGGCCACCAGAGTCGGATTACCGTATTTCGTGCCAGGACCTCGTTTGCGATACGGTATGCCGCTTTTCCAAAACGTTTCATTGACATCTTAAAGCTACTTTTAATTACAAAAAAAAATAATTGGGGTAATTAAGGTAAGAAATTGGCTGAAAACCATTGATTTTGCAATAAAAATGAAAATTCACATGAAAAATAGCAATTTATTAATTTTAGGACTAGAAAAAATGCAAAAAATCAATATTTTTGTACACAAAAACCCTATTCGCTGAGCTTTTTTAGCTGAAAAAAAGGCTGAAATTCCAGATTTCCAGATTTATTTCAGCAATCCCAGACTTCTCGCCTCTTTTTCAGCCCATTCGGCCAATTTTCCATCGTCGGTGATTGGCGAATCGTCTTCGCCGCAAACCGCGTCGATGTAGAAGGAGCCTGGAAAAATTTTTTTTTGGAATTTTTGAAGAGTACTGTAGGGTACTGTAGAAAAAACTCACGTTGTGCAGTGAGTGCTTCAAATTCATCGTCCGAACTCGCCTCATTGTCAGAAGCAGAAGCTGAAAAAATTCAAAATTTGAATTTTGAAAAGTGTGCGAGACAAAAAACTGTGCCAGGATTGCAGAAGCCTTCAGAATCATTCCTGAGCTCCCAGAAGCCTTCAGAAGCCGTGATAAGCTTTCAGAAGCCTCCAGAAGCCCTCAGAAGCAGCTAGAAGCCTTCAGAAGCTCCCAGAAGCCTTTAGAAGCTTCCAGAAGCTTCCAGAAGCCTCAAAAAGTATTTTTTTCTTCCGGATTGAACAATAGACGTAGTAGAAGCGCAGATCATTTTGAAACATCATTTTCAAATGTATCAAAAAATTTTGAAACGTACATTTTTTGAGTTATAGTTACCCTATTTCTTCGAGCTGAATTTTGGTAAAATTTAAAATTTGGCGCCAAAACGCTTGCAGAAGCTTTCAGAAGCTGCTATAAGCTTCCAGAAAGCGCCCAGAAGCCTTCAGAAGCTCCCAGAAGCCTTCAGAAGCCCCAAGAAGGCTTTAGAAGCCTCTAGAAATTTCCAGAAGCTTACAGAAGCCCCCAGAAGCCTCCAGAAGCCTCCAGAAGCTCTCAGAAGCCGTCAGAAGCCTCCAGTATCTTTCAGAATCCTTCTCAAACTCCCAGAAGCCCCCCGAATCCCCCCAACTAACTTATCCTAAATCCGCCCTTCTGATTCGACGACGATTGACTAGTCTGCATAGAAGTTTGCAAAATCGCCGAATAATCCGAAAAATCAACAACAACTCGACTTCCGCGAACTGTCAATTTCGAAGCATCCGCAGCAGTTCCACCAACAACCAAAGTGATTGGAGAGAGTTTGGGTCCCGATGGGAAACCTGGAATATTTTTTTGTTTTTTTTTTTTGTGAAAATGAAATGATTACTGTATGTACCTTTAATGAATCGTTGAATACTATCATTAGAAATCAGAATCGCTCCACTCAAATCCACATGCTTCAAAGAACCCAAGCCAATCAGGGCCGAAAATCCTTCATCTGCCAAATAAGTGCAATTTCTCATTTGAATCAGCTCCAATTTTTTGAGCTCCGCCAATTTCTTCACAACTTCCGAATTCAGCGCGGCCAACGATGAAACATCGAGTTGCGATAACTCGGATAGATTCTTGATTGCTGAGAGACCTTCGGATGTTATTGATGAATCGTCTCCGGCATTTGCGAGGGAGAGACTTTGAAGTTTTTGAAGACCGGCTGAGATTGCGATGAGGAGTTCGTCGTTGACAAGAATGTTGTAGTCGAGGCTGGAAATTTTGGAAATTTTTTTTGGAAATAATTCAATTTTTTTTATTTAAAAATTTTTGAAACAGTGATTTTTTTTTGTTGAAAAATTCGGGAAAATTCAAATTTCCAGATTGATTTTCAGAGCAAATTTCAGCTTAAAAATTGCTGGAAATCATTAGAAAATCGAATTTTTGATTGAAAATTGCTCTAAAATTATGATTTTATAGCATTTTTCAGTCGAAAATTTAGATTTTCAGCTTGAAATTTACTGAAAATCATCAGAAAATTGCTCTAAAATTATGGTTTCTAAATATTTTTGGGTTAAAATTATTTTGTTTCTATAAAATCTGTACATCGTAAAATTAATCAATTTTTTTATTTAAAGACACAAGAGCGCCTAGAAATGAGCAGAAAATGAGTTTGTTATTCATTCTCAACACCTTTCAAGTAATCGGAATTCATGAAAATCAAGAAAAAATTTTGAGTCTAGCAAAAGTGAAAAAATAAAATAATTGTTTTTGAAATCGCTCAGCCGACGGAAATTTCAAAAGTGTTTGCACACAGTGTGTCGCTAGAGCGCACATGCTGGTTTTGTCGTTTGAAAATAAATGCGGGAAATCTGTTTTTTCCAGTGTTTCTTGTGTCTTTAAAAAAATTTTGAAACAGTGATTTTTTTTGTTGAAAAATTCGGGTTTTCAGGATTAAAAAAGGTTTCATAAAAATTAAAATTTCCAGATCGAATTTCAGCTCAAAAAATGCTGAAAATCATTAGAAAATTGCTCTAAAATAGTGGTTTTTCGAATATTTTTTGTGGTAAAATAATTTTTTCTGTTGATATAAATGTATTTAAAATCATAAAATAACTCACAAGGAATGATCGCACAAGTGACCCCCTGAAATTTTGATCTACTATGTGGAAGTTGATGTATATGGCGAGGTATGAAAAACCCCAAACGGATTTTGTAGGAGAAAAATCATTGGGGAAGTTTCAGGGGTCTAAAATTTTAGTTATAATAAATTTCGAAAATGACATATATTTTCAAAAAATCGTATTCCAGCTCAAACTTCATGAAAATTGACAAACTTTGCGTCATTTTGCAGCTAATGTGAAGTACTTTTAACGGTACTTACGACCATATTTATCAGATTTTTTTCAAGATTTGGAAACATGAGGGAAAAAATCAAAAAAATTTTTTTACATTTTCATATGAAATCGTCGTTTTAGAAGCCTGGGCGGATTGTGGGACCCGTTTCATCGGATTCAGCGTCAAAAAATACGTCGGAAAACATATTTGAATATTGTCAGAGTCAGCCATTTTTGATATGTTAATATCCGATTTTTTATTGTCAACCCATAAATTTTGACAAAAAAATGTCATTTTTTTGTTTTTTTGAAACAGTAAAATTTTCCTATGTAATTTTTCATGGTAAAAATGATTAAATATCGTTTTCAAAACAATTTTTGTGAATATCAGACGTTGTTTCATAATTATCAGATTTCAAAAAATTTTCGAAGCATTCAAAACTGAAAAAAAAACATTTTTTGCAGTGTAAGTGTCCGAATCCAAAAAGTTTGTTTGCGAAACATTGCTTACTATTTTCCACGAAAAAATGGGCCATAAGGTGCTCCATGAAAGTAACAGTCTCAAGAGTTGGCTGCTTGGAAAAAAAAATTCTCAAGACTCGGCTGCTTGAAACAAACAGTCCGAAGGCTCGGCTCCTTGAAACAAACAGTCTCAAGAGTTGGCTGCTTGGAAAAAAAATTCTCAAGACTCGGCTGCTTGAAACAAACAGTCCGAAGGCTCGGCTCCTTGAAACAAACAGTCTCAAGAGTTGGCTGCTTGGAAAAAAAATTCTCAAGACTCGGCTGCTTGAAACAAACAGTCCGAAGGCTCGGCTCCTTGAAACAAACAGTCTCAAGAGTTGGCTGCTTGGAAAAAAAATTCTCAAGACTCGGCTGCTTGAAACAAACAGTCCGAAGGCTCGGCTCCTTGAAACAAACAGTCTCAAGAGTTGGCTGCTTGGAAAAAAAATTCTCAAGGCTCGGCTGCTTGAAATACATAGTTTCAAGGCTCAGCTCCATTTTTTCTTCAAGCTTTTTATTTCTCCAAGTCAAGCCTTGAGACTATGTATTTCAAGCAGCCGAGTCTTGAGAATTTTTTTCCAAGCAGCCAACGCTTGAGACTGTTTGTTTCAAGGAGCCGAGCCTTCGGACTGTTTGTTTCAAGCAGCCGAGTCTTGAGAATTTTTTTTCCAAGCAGCCAACTCTTGAGACTGTTACTTTCATGGAGCACCTTATGGCCCATTTTTTCGTGGAAAATAGTAAGCAATGTTTCGCAAACAAACTTTTTGGATTCGGACACTTACACTGCAAAAAATGTTTTTTTTTCAGTTTTGAATGCTTCGAAAATTTTTTGAAATCTGATAATTATGAAACAACGTCTGATATTCACAAAAATTGTTTTGAAAACGATATTTAATCATTTTTACCATGAAAAATTACATAGGAAAATTTTACTGTTTCAAAAATAAAAAAATGACATTTTTTTGTCAAAATTTATGGGTTGACAATAAAAATCGGATATTAACATATCAAAAATGGCTGACTCTGACAATATTCAAATATGTTTTCCGACGTATTTTTTGACGCTGAATCCGATGAAACGGGTCCCACAATCCGCCCAGGCTTCTAAAACGACGATTTCATATGAAAATGTAAAAAAATTTTTTTCATTTTTTTCCCTCATGTTTCCAAATCTTGAAAAAAATCTGATAAATATGGTCGTAAGTACCGTTAAAAGTACTTCACATTAGCTGCAAAATGACGCAAAGTTTGTCAATTTTCATGAAGTTTGAGCTGGAATACGATTTTTTGAAAATATATGTCATTTTCGAAATTTATTATAACTAAAATTTTAGACCCCCTGAAACTTCCCCAATGATTTTTCTCCTACAAAATCCGTTTGGGGTTTTTCATACCTCGCCATATACATCAACTTCCACATAGTAGATCAAAATTTCAGGGGGTCACTTGTGCGATCATTCCTTGTCAATTTTTTTTTTATTTAAACATTTTTTGAAACAGTGATTTTTTTTGTTGAAAAATTCGGGTTTTCAGGATCTCATAAAAATTACAATTTCTAGATTGATTTTCAGATCAAATTTTAGCTCAAAAAGTGCTGGAAATCTTCAGAAAACTGAATTTTTGACTGAAAATTTCTCTAAAATTATGATTTTTGAGCATTGTTCAGTCAAAAATTTAGATTTTCAGATCGAATTTCAGCTTGAAATTTACTGAAATATATCAGAAAAATGCTCTAAAATTTATTGGTTATTGTTTGGGGTCAATTCATTATTTTCTTTAACATCATAAAATAATTCCATTTTTTTATTTAAAACTTTTGAAACAGTGATTTTTTTTGTTGAAAATTCGGGTTTCCAAGATTTCATAAAAATTCAAATTTCCAGATTGATTTTCAGATCGAATTTCGGCTTAAAAATTGCTGAAAATCATCAGAAAAATGCTCTAAAACAGTGGTTTTATAATGTTTTTTGGGATAAATTTTTTTTTTCTTGATTTCATGAAAAATCATAAAATAATTCATTTTTTTCATTTAAAAATTTTTGAAACAGTGATTTTTTTTGTTGAAAATTCGGGTTTTCAGGATTTCATACAAATTCAAATTTCTAGATTGATTTTCAGAGCAAGTTTCAGCTTAAAAATTGCTGGAAATCATCAGAAAATTGAATTTTTGAATGAAAAAACTGAAATAACGGTTTTTGAGCATTTTTCAGCTCAAAAACTACTGAAAATTCCAAAAAAAATTGCCAACTCACGCCAACTCGGTAATATTTCTCATATGACTAATATGAATCAATCCAGCTTTGGTCAAACTTTTATAACTATCTCCACAAAGCGTAAAAATCGATAAATCCTCCATTCTTCTCGCAATCATACTCAAATTCTCATCACTTATCCGATAAACCTCATTAATTCTGAGTTCTTTGAGCCCTGCTGAATTTGTGCACAAATCTTCCAATGCCAAATTATCCACCTTCGAACATCCATCCAAATAAAGTGATTCTAATTGTGAGCCAAATAATCGAAAAGCTCTTCCATGTAGTCTTTTCGAATTGCGCAAATCAATAAATTTCAGCTTTTTCGAAATCTCAGACTTGAACAAGAAATAAAAAGCCTTGTCTCCAGTCGTCTCCATTCCTCGATATGAAAGTTGCTCCAATTTCGATAAACTCTCCCCGAGTTCCTCTAACTCTTCACAATTCGCGTGTATTCCACTGATATCTAATTCCACCAAATTTGGGCAGCAATTTGCGATAACTTTGAGAGCTTTATCATCGAAAAGTTGGTGGATTCCGGAAATGTCGAGGGATTTTAGGTTGATTCCTGAGCGGGCGAGGATTTGTTTGAGGTGAGAGGTTCGCATTGGACGAGATTTGTTGAAGAGCGTTTCGCGGGCTAAGACGATTCGATTTATGGTTTGCCAGGACTGGAAATAATTGATATTGAAGAGGAAAGAAAACTGAACTGTTTTGAATTTTCTAGAAAAATCTCATAAATTTTTTGAAACAGTAGATTTTGTTAGGTTCGAAAATTATGTGTACATTATTTTACTTTCGAAATTTTCTAGAGCAATTCTTCAGTGAAATCCATCAACTTCGAAATTTTGAAAAATTAAAAACATTTGTGATTGGAGTTTTTTCGCTTGCCACACTAAGTAAAAAGTCCTGTGAAAAATCCTATAAAATTTTTGAAACAGTGAATTTTTTGGATCTAGAAACGCAATGAATTTTTTCTGGGAAAGTTTTAAATTTTCTAAAGGAATTAATTACTGAATCCAACGTTGGGGCTAAAAATTAATTTTGAAAAATAAAAAAACATTCTCACATTGTCCATAGATTGGAAAATTCAGCGAAATTTTAATAAACCCGAGAAAATCTCATAAATTTTTTGAAACAGTGAATTTTTAGGATTCCAAATTTCTGTCTAATTTTTTTTACTTTCAAAGTTTTTTAGAGAAATTCTTCAGTGAAATCATTCAACTAGCGAAGCAAAATAAAAAAAAAACCGGAGAAAATCTCATAAATTTTTTGAAACAGTAGATTTTTTTGGATCTAGAAACCCTGTGAAATTTTTAGATGAATTATCAGAATTTTCTAGAATTCTTCAGTGAAATCTTTTAGTTTTGAAATTCAAATAACAAAGCAAAATCAAAAATCCAGAGAAAAATCTCATAAATTTTTGAAACAGTAGATTTTTTAGGGTTCAAAAATTCTGTGGAATTTTTTTCTGGGAAAGTTTTAAATTTTCTGGAGGAATTCATTTCTGAAAACCTTCAACCTTGAGGCTAAAAATTAACTTTAAAAAATAAAAAACATTACTAATCGAACGGAATGTACAGCGAAATTTTAATAAACCCGAGAAAATCTCATAAATTTTTGAAACAGTAGATTTTTCAGGGTACAAAAATTCTGTCTAATTTTTTTAATTTTTGAAATTTTCTAGAGAAATTCTTCAGTGAAATCATTCAACTAGCAGAAGCAAAATAAAAAAAAACCGGAGAAAATCTCATAAATTTTTTGAAACAGTAGATTTTTTTGGATCTAGAAACCCTGTGAAATTTTTAGATGAATTATCAGAATTTTCTAGAATTCTTCAGTGAAATCTTTTAGTTTTGAAATTCAAATAACAAAGCAAAATCAAAAATCCAGAGAAAAATCTCATAAATTTTTGAAACAGTAGATTTTTTAGGGTTCAAAAATTCTGTGGAATTTTTTTCTGGGAAAGTTTTAAATTTTCTGGAGGAATTCATTTCTGAAAACCTTCAACCTTGAGGCTAAAAATTAACTTTAAAAAATAAAAAACATTACTAATCGAACGGAATGTACAGCGAAATTTTAATAAACCCGAGAAAATCTCATAAATTTTTGAAACAGTAGATTTTTCAGGGTACAAAAATTCTGTCTAATTTTTTTAATTTTTGAAATTTTCTAGAGAAATTCTTCAGTGAAATCATTCAACTAGCAGAAGCAAAATAAAAAACCGGAGAAAATATCATAATTTTTTTGAAACAGTAGATTTTTAGGATCTAGGAACCTTCTGAAATTTTTAAATGAATTCCCAGAATTTCCTAGAATTCTTCACTAAAACCATTCAATCAAGCAAACTCAAAAAACCCGAGAAAATCTCATAAATTTTTTGAAATAGTAGAATTTTTATGGGGTGATTCATAAAAATAAATTGACAAAAAATTCGCGATTAATTTCACGTTTTTTGTCAATTAATCGCATTTTTTTAGAAATGAATTCACGTTTTTTCACGTTTTTTCAAATTTCACGTTTTTTGTCAATTAATCGCATTTTTTTAGAAATGAATGCGATTAATTGACAAAAAACGTGAAATTAATTGCGAATTGTTTGTCAATTTATTTTTATGAATCACCCCATTAGGGTATACCTGTGGAATTTTATATCTGTGGAATATCTGTGGAATATCTGTGGAATTTTTTTTTACTTTTGAAATTTTCAAGAGAAATTAATTCTGAATTTAACCTTGAGGCTAAAAATTAATTTTGACAAATAAAAAAAAATATTCTCAACAGAAAGGAAAGTCCAGCGAAATTTTGAAAACCGGAGAAAACCTCAATAATTTTTGAAACAGTGATTTTTTTTTTGAAAAACCTTATGAAATTTTTAGATGAATTTTCAGAATTTTCCAGAATTCTTCAGTGAAATCCTTCAATGTTCTGTATAAGAAAAATTAATTGAGCAAATTCAAAAAATCCGAGAAAATCTCATAATTTTTTTGAAACAGTAGATTTTTAGGGTTCAAAAATTCTGTCTAATTTTTAATAACTTTTAAAAATTTCCCAGATTAAGTTATTACTGAATTCAAAAATTCTGTGAAATTTTTTTTAAGCTTTCAAAATTTTCTAAAGAAAATCCTGCGTCAAGTGAATGTCCAGCGAAAATTAAAAAACCGGAGAAAATCTCATTATTTTTTCGAAACAGTAGTTTTTTTAGGGTTCAGAAATTCAGTCTAATTTTTTTCTGGGAAAGTTTTGAAATTTCTAGAGCAATTCTTCAGTGAAATCCTTCCCCTCTTAAAAATCTCATATAAATTTTTTGAAACAGTGAAAGTTTTTAGGCATAGATGTATAACTGTGGAATTGGAATTCATGATTTTATTGAAATCTCATAATTTTTTTGAAACAGTAAATTATTTCCCAAAAAATCTCACCTTAATCGAAACTTCCATATATTTTTTGCTAACTCTTTCCATGCGAATAGTCTCCGAAATTGGCAAAAATGAGACGACTCGCTCCAAAATTCGAAGTGGAAGGCTTTCGATTGGAAATACCTGGAAATGGATATTGTTGGGTAAAAATTCAGGATTTTCCACGTCTCCAGGTCAATTTACCTCCGAATTAATCGATCCCGAAGCTAGAGATTGTGTAGAAGAAGCTCTTGACAATGGCGTGTCCTCTCGACTGCTTCCACCCCCAAAATCATCCGCCAACACCAAACCCTTCCCACCGCGTTTTTTCGAAACATAGCCAGCTACAACCATGACTTGGTCGTAGAATTTGAGCTCTTCTGATGTGGCATTTCGAGCACGGTCTGCAGCATCGACAGTTCTGGAAAATATTGATTTTTAAATCGAGAAATGACAAAAATTTGATACTATTATCCAAAAATCCCATCGGTACCACGCGCTTCAACACGCAACGCAGACCGCGTCGCGCCACAAGACACACAAATAAGGGAACGATTCAAATTCCCTCCATTTTTTTGTGTGTTGTGGCGCGACGCGGTCTGCGTTGCGTGTTTATTTCGGTGGAGCGCGTGGTGAGATTTTCGCAACTAACTTAAAGGTAATCGTGGCACTTCCACAATTCTTTCGATGTTTTGGCAATGTTCCAAAAACCGACGAATTCTTCTCCTCTTTCGGCAAAATGCAATTGGTGATTTTGCCGTAATTCGAGAAAAATGAGGTGAGTTGCGATTGTGTGACACGTGGCGAAATATTCGACACAACGATTTTGCGGTTGTCCCGCGAGGCGGCTTGGAATGCGATGCTTGCGTCAAAATCATCTGTCTCTCCGGCATCGAAATCTTCGCCATCGGCTAATAACATTGGCAAAAGGCGGCGGTATTTAATAAATTCGGCCGCTGAATGTGACCATGTTCGGCGTAATTTTCCAATACTGAAAAACCGGGCGCGCGTCACAAATTGTTGAAAAGCCTCTGTCATATCGTGCAATCCACGACTTTCCAGATTTTGGCCATGAAGACGTCGCAACGCTTTGAACATTGACTAAAAACCAAGAAAAATGTGATGTTTTCTTATCAAATTTGTTGTCCTTGCATGTTTCAAACCAGAAAAAAACATACCTGTTGTTGTGATTTGCCCTCCGGTCCTGTGCCGAAACGCATTGATTTAAAACTCCTGTTGAAATCCATCTGAAAATCGTTTTTTTATGGTTTTTTCAAAGAAAACATGTATTTTAACAATAAAAGAGAAAAAAAATCGATCATGTTTACCACTTTTTCCTGTGTTGTTGACATGAAATGCGCCAATGCACCAGAATATTGACATTTTTCGAAAAAAGAGACAGCTGTTCCAAAAGGACAAAGGTTGTTTTTCGGGCCCGCGGGGAGTGAAAAAACGAAAAAAAAAATTTTGAAAAAAATTTCGAAACTATTCCGAGAGAACTACACACATTTCTTATCGCCACGAGACTCTTATCAATTTCGTTATGCGTCTTCTAATCAAAATTACGAATTTACAGTTCTCGGAGTTTCAAACACTGCAAACTTATACTCCCTGGATCCTCTAGTAAATGAAATTCCTTCTGAAATTCTGAAAACCCCCAAAAACCTCTCGAAAACACTGAAAATTCGTCTGAAAATACAAATTACGGTTGCTCGACATTGACGCATTTCTTGTTGACGCAATGCGAGTGCTGACGTGTTTTCGATGTTTTCTTTTCATTTCGCGTTTTTTTCACACTTGACTTCATTTGTTAGGTTAGGTTAAGTATAATATATGTCAATTTGGAATCATTTGGTGTGTAAACCAATCATGAGTTTTGTCCACAAAAAATGTAGAAATACTGGTAAGTTTTCGCTTTTAATTTTTTGAAATAAATTTCAAATTTTCTCTAGAAGTTCCATATTTGTTAAGCGATTTATACCGCTTCCCAGTTCCTGATGAATTTGTGAAATGGAGTAAGAAGATGGATAACTATGCGCCGAAAGAATACACAGATCCCAAAAATCTTGGAAAACCTTGGATGGATCCGGAAGTTTCTTCCATTTCGAAATGGAATTCAATTGATGGAAAGATCAATAGAAAATCTTATGTCAGTTTGTATGCATTTGATGAGCATTTGCGACCAATAAATCCCATGGGAAGAACTGGAATTTGCGGAAGAGGAATTCTAGGGCGCTGGGGACCGAATCATGCCGCAGATCCCATCGTAACCCGGAAAAATCCCGAAACTTCCGCTCTCGAATTTGTCGCAATTCAAAGAAAAGACAATGGTGAATGGGCGATTCCAGGAGGAATGGTAGACGCCGGTGAAAATGTGTCCGAAACTTTGAAACGCGAATTTTCCGAAGAAGCCATGTCTGGAGTAAATGTTGATGCAAAAGATTTGAAAAAATTGTGGGAAAATGGCCGGGAATTGTATCGTGGATATGTGGATGATCCTAGAAACACAGATAATGCCTGGATGGAAACTGTTGTTGTGAATTTCCACGATTCTGAGAATATCTTGAAAAATATCAAACTTCAAGCCGGTGATGATGCAATTGCGCTCCGCTGGATTGAATTGGACTCAGATGTTCCACTTTACGCGTCTCATCGACATTTTATTGATCTTCTTAAGAATAATTTGCATTTTGTTTAGGATTCCTCTCTCTCTTTTGTCTTATTTTGCTCTACGAGGTATATTCCATTTATTTCAATCAATAAAATTTCTAGAATGAGTCGCGGAGAACGTCGTGCAGCTCCAGCCATCGAAGGTCTCATCTCAATCAAAGTCGACAATTTGTCCTACAACACTTCGGCTCAAGATCTTCGAAGACTTTTCGATAAATATGGAGAGATTGGAGATGTTCATATTCCAAGGGATAAATATTCGAAACAATCGAGAGGTTTCGGATTTGTCAGATTTCATGAGTGAGTTTTGGTATTTGAGCAAAAATGAGCTTGAAAAATCACAAATTTTGAGCAAATCTGGCAGGTTAAGCAACGTTGACTCGGGTTAGTCGCTAGTTCGAACCCCACCCGGAACTTTTATTTTATATGGATCTTTTTTATACGACCTTCGGAACATCTTTCCATCAAAAATAACAAAAAAAGATCCGGGTGGGGTTCGAACTAGCGGGACTAACCCGAGTCAACGTTGCTTAACCTGCCAGATTGGAGACAAAATTCCTCGTTTTTGGCTCATTTTTGCAGTCAAAAATAACTGAAAATACAAAATTTTTGCAGTAAACGCGACGCGGAATACGCGGCGCAACGTTGCGATGGAAAACACGTGGATGGTCGTGAACTTCGTGTAACTGTCGCCAAATACGATCGTCCGCCACCAAATGGTGATAATAATCGAGATAGAGGAGATAGGGATAGAAGAAGGTGAGGCAGGCAAAAAATATTTGGAAATATTTATATAAAAAACTAACCTACAGTTGCTGGAAAGCTGAAATTTGGCTGGAAATCTGAGGAGAGCTCAGATAAAGCTGTAATTAGCTGAAACTCCGAGATTTTTGCCGGGGAAGCTGATAAAATGCTATAATTTTTGCTGGGGAAGCTGAAGAGTTGCTGTAACTTCTAACTGCTAGCTGAAACTTAGCTGAAAACTCAAGAGACTGAGCTGATGAAAGGCTGTAATTTTTTGGTTGAAATTCCCCGAGAATGCTGAATTTTAGCTGAAATCTATGAGATTGCTAAAAATTTGGCTGTAAGTTGAATGAAATGTGTTGTATATTCAAAAAAAAACTCTGAAATTCTTGGATTTTTCTCGAAAATCTAATAAGGAAGATTCTGAAATTATTTTCAGAGAAAAATTATCTGAAAATTTAGAATTCTACTAACCTGAATCAAGATTTTCACCGAAAATTGTCATTTTCTTCCCCCACCCCAAAATTCTAGACAAAAATCAAAATATTTTTTCCAGATCCCGTTCGCCACGTGGTGGCCGCGGAAACCGCCGCTCGCGCTCGCCACGTCGTCGCCAATCCCCACCGCGTCGCCGCTCTCGCTCACCACCGACTCGTCGCCGAAGCCGCACACGTTCGCCACCCGGACGCTCACCGTCTCGTTCACGCTCGCCATCTCGTGAACGCCGTGAAGAATCGCGCTCACGTTCGCGTTCAAGATCCGCGTCGCGTTCGCCTTCCGCGTCACCGCAACGTGCCGCTTCTTCGCGCTCGCCATCAAAAAGCCGCTCAAGATCACCCTAACTTCATTTTTTGGCCTTGATTATTTTTGTTGCTCTCAACTATTTTAAAGTATTCATAAGTAATGGTTTTATCGTATTTTTCTTTGATGAAATGAATTTTATTGAAAAAGATCATCCAAAAAATCATCAATATCATCATCGACACTTTTCTCAACCTCTTTTTCAATCGGAGCTTCCCAAATTTCAGTGGACGATTTCGCAGATGCAGATGACGTGGATTCTGAAAATTTTCAAATTTTTTTTTTCGCGAAATGTGATACAAATTGACCTACCCGCTGGTTTTTCCAATTTTTCCTCAGAAACCAACAAATTATCGATTTTTTCGTTCTTTTCTGATTTCTCATGACGATTCTTCTCCCACTTCCTTAAAATCTTCTTTTTCTTCTCAACCTCTCGCTTCTTCGTGCCATAATTAAGCTTCTCCGAACAACCCTCACATAGTCTAACTTTGACCAACGTGTTCTTCTTCACTCCATTTTCCACATACGCGAAATTCACCTCCCAGCTTTTCAGATGTTTTTGAATTTCGCATTTTCGAGCGCCACAAATGAATTGACCTTTTCCATCTTTCACTTCTTTTTCCGTTCGCCAACGCATCGCAATTTTGTTGTTTTTATATAGAGAGAGATCAACAATACAGTATTCTGCAACAAAAATTATTGATTTTTATTTTTTAAAAATGAAAAAAAATGTTATTTAACCAACCCTTAAATAATTTGTCATAATACCTCTTGGCCATTCTTGTTTCCCAAGATTTCTCCGAATTCGCCAAATCTTCTTCATCCCATATGAATTTGTGATTATCTTTTAGCACATCAAGATCAGTTCTTTCGTGAGAAGTACTGGGTTTTAGCAGTTCTGTCGATCCCGGAAATGATAAATAATATAAATTTATAATCTCCTTATGTCTTTGATAAGCATTCAAACTTGACATCCTTGCCATTTGTCGATGCATTCTTCCATGCTCATCTTGAAACCATTTCTTCCCATCTTTTCGTTCTTTTTTCGGCTCTTCTCCAGGATAATCTTTTTCCCTGAAGTCCATTCGCTTCTTCTTTCTTTCCACATCACTTTCCTCATCAAATTCTGATTGTAAATCATCAATTCCACGATACGGATTCCTATTAGACTTCATTTTCGTCGAAAACTCCGAAAAACGCGAAAAAAAATAATCGACACAGCCGACACAAGTGTTACCGTATACCCTAAAAAATAGCTGTGCCTTGAATCCAACAACGACGTCGTGGCAAGTTTGAATGCATTGCGATGCAGTTTGGTTTTTTGTGCGTTTTGACACGTGGATTATTTTGGCGCGAATTTTTGAAATTTGAATTGTTTTCCACGTGGCGGGAATTGTCTAGTTTTCAAATTTTTCTCGGTTCTTGTGAGGTCGTTTTCAAAGAAAATTGAAATTTCACATTTTTTCTTTTCAAGCTAATTGCTGGTTTATGTCTAGCATTTTTTTTCTAGAAATTTCTCTAAAAATCCACAGTGAGCCCTGAAAACGAGCAAAAATCCCCGAATTTTCCATGAAATTCAATGCCTATTTCGCTCATTTCCTCTGAAATTTTCCAGATACTTTTTTTTCTTTAGCTTATCCGCGAAAATTGTGTTTCTAATCCTCTGTAATATTTTCTTCAAAAGTCCAATTTTTTTTTGAAATCTAGATAACTTAGCGTGGAAAATATGTAGAATTTCCTTTGCAATATAGTTGGACATCGACTAAATCAAATTTTAAGGTATTTTAAGCAAATGAGTCGGAATGTTGGATTTTAATCGCGTTCATAGGATAGAAAGCTCCAGTGGAGCTGCTCCACGACAAATAGAAATATATAAATTTTTATGACTTTACGTTACCCATAAGTGATTTAGCGACGTTTAGTCGATATTTCGTCGATAAGCCGAGTCGATCGACTAAACGTCCCTAAACCACTTATGGATAACGTAAAGTCATGAAAATTATATCTCTCTATTTGTCGTGGAGCTTTCTATCCTATGAACGCGATTAAAACCTAATATTTCAACTCACTTACTAAAAAAACATGAATTTGCAAATGTCAGAAAAATGAACTTTATGAATAATAATTATTCCTTTTCCCTTTCCTGTTCTTTTCAAAAGTTTATGAAAGTGTATATGAAACCAGAAACCAAATTTGTCCTTTTTATCTTTTTTTTATAAATGCACGCGTTATCAAGGTTAAACTTGGAGGAGACGCGTCGACGAGCCACAATACGTGTACCTATCATTCACATAGTTTATTGACACAATTTCCCCATGATAAAATCTATTTAGTTATTGCGGCATTGAATAGATTCATATCTTGCTAGCTGTTTTTCGGCCCTGACCTTCAGAGATATATCTTCATCTGTTCCTTCTTCATCATCCAATTTTTTTTTGGTTTGTTAGTTGGCCGCTTTTTTTCCAGACTCAATTAGTATTTGTATAAAAAGAGCGGAATAGCTAGTGAGCGAGAGAGAATCCAAATTAGTTTATATTTACTATTTTTTATAAATATTAAAAATATATATAGATTTTTTTCGTCTGCTTCCCATAAATGTGTCGGCCAGCACCGTCTCGAACAGAACAAGTATGAAAAAAAAAACATTTATAACATGTAGGATGACACAAGCGAGAAAATGGGAGGGGGAGAGAAATAGAAGGCGGGAACGGGAGAGCGAGTGTCGTCCCTGACCTTTCTTATATTCTCCCATTCCTTCACATCCTGTTACTTGGGGTCTGCTGGCTGCTGCTTCATTTTTTGCTAGTTGTGTTGTGTTGTGTTGCGATCTGGTCTTTTTGTGATTTTTGTTCGAGCGAACGAATTGAAAAGTTTTCACAGCTGCAATTTGCACCTGCTTTTTTTCTTTTTTTGATCACTTGATAGAGACTTTTTTCGAAAAAAGCCGTGGGATAATTGCTCTAGACTTGATTCAAAATCTAAATTTAGAAATTGAATATGAGAATGACAATATTTCGTGTGCAAAAAGGCGGATTTTTTCAGTGTAAAAATATGTGGCTTTTATCAAAACCGGAAGTTTTTCGTCTAGGAAGAAGATTCTGGATTGAATTTTGTTCTTAATATTCCCAAGGATGGAATTTCTCGGTTTTCAGCTTTTAGGCGGCGAATTTTTAAAAATGGTGCGCTAAAAAATGAAGGAAAGTTTTTGGTACATCAAATTTTTCTTCATTAATTTTTATCGCATCACTTTTAAGAGTTCGGCCCTCGAAAGCTGAAAACCGAAAAATTCCAGCCGTAGGAATTTTGAGAACACATCTCATTCCAGTTTCAATCCAGAATCCTCTTCCAAGACGAAAAACTTCCGGTTTTGATAAAAACCACATATTTTTACACTAAAAAATCCGCCTTTTTGCACACGAAATATTGTCATTCTCATATTCAATTTCTAAATTTAGATTTAGAGCATGTAATGAAGAAAAATTTGATGTACAAAAAATGGAAAAAAATTCTTTGTACATCAAATTTTTCTTCATTAATTTTTAGCGTACCACTTTTATGAGTTCGGTATTTGAAATCTAAAAGCCAACTGAATTCATATTTTGACATCATCTTCAAACAATAAATTTGAATTCGGCTCCCGAGGTCCTATTTTTGGCCTGAAAATGAAAATGCCCTCCCGCTTTCTTTCAATTTCCGTCCACAAATTTGCCGATAATTCATTATAATATTAACCTTGAAAAAAAGATCGACCCCGCTAATCCCATATCACATAAATACAAATACATTCACCTTCCCCCTTTCATTTTTTTTCCATTTTGTCTCTCCCCACACCGATAAATAGAAAAGTACACTTATAAGTAGGGGGGGCAATGATGAATCAATATAGGCCATTGCGTTCCCTTTTTTTCCATCGCATATGATTTTTGTCTTGTTCAAATAAAAAAAAGCGCACATTTTTGTAGGTAAATTGTTTGAACGGCCAACTCGGTTCGGTCAACAAAGGTCACCTCTGACGCCCGCTTCTTGCTCAATTCTTCTCCCCTCATCTGGACTCTGACGGAACCCGGCACGGATCAGCCCCTCTGAGATAAACTACGAAAAATGGAAAACGGACACATTGGTGAGTGGATTTTTTTTATCTGGAGGCGATGAATAAGTCAAAAGCGCCCCATTGAACTATGAATTTTGAAAATTGGTTTTTTTTTTCCAGAAGAAACTAACAACTTTGAGGCTTCGGCCACAACCAACGGAACATCGACCAACGGTGGAGTTGTTCAAATCAACATGGACTACAACACTGACTTCCCAACCCTTCCCGACGCTGCTCCAACCAACAACTCGGCCGCCAACGCAGCCGGAGCCAAAGTTCCCGTCTGGTCACGACCATCGCTCGCCAAAAAGGACGTTGTCGTCACATTCCGCTTGGCCTCCGATGAACGATCATCGAGAGTCAAGAGTTTTGGAAATACCAGCGAGGAGCAAAAGAAGGCGCAATTTATTGCACAACAAACTAGTGAGTATTTAGCTGCTAGGAATTTCGAAATTCAAATGGCCTGGCAACGGGGATTTTGAGCACATTTAAAAATGTTCAAATATTGATGAATGAAACTCAAAATGCACTTACTTCACCAAAAATTGAAGTTGAACATAAATTTCAGAAAACATGAAAAACTGAAAAAATTAAAAGTTATATGTGGCCGAACTATTTTGGACATATATCTTTTAATTTTTTTCAGTTTTTCATTTTTTCTGAAATTTACGTTCAACTTCAATTTTTTGTGAAGTAAGTGCATTTTTGAGTTTCATTCATCAATATTTGAACATTTTTAAAAGTGCTCATAATCTCCGTTGCTCGGCCATTCAAAGGGGGAATACCCTACGATACACTATTAGATTCAGAATTTCCTATGCACCAAAATTTCTGGCTCACAAAACATACACGTTTTCAGCTCCCAAATATGTTCGAAAATGAATTAGACACTGTGTAAGTCTATTTGCGAGCATATTTTGGAGGCTGAAAACGTGTATGTTTTGTGAGCTAAAAATTTTGGTGCATATGAAATTCTGAATCTAATGATGTAGTACTCCCCTTTGCCAGAAGTTCGAAATTCAAAATATTTTTTTTTTCTAGAAACCCGCATCGAGTTGAGCGAATCAAAAGACGGTGAACTCACCGTTGTTGTTCGCGGAGAACGTGCCAAGGTTGAAGATGCTCGCGCTCGTATCGTCCGCGACCTCCAAACCCAAGCCTCTCGCGATGTCGAAATTCCAAAAGAGCACCACGGAAAACTCATCGGCAAAGAAGGTCAACTTTTGCGTCAATTGGAACAATCGACAAATTGTCGTATTCATATCCCTGGACGTGATGATGCGTCGCGAGCCATCAAAATCACCGGACCACGCGAGGGAATTCAACGCGCTGCCGCTCATATTCTCGCCGTCTCGGAACGTGAATCGAAATTGGCCACCGAGCACGTGATTTGTCCAAAACACTTGGTTCCATTTGTTCGTGGACCATTCAATAAGACTTATGAGCGTTTGACTGCTGAGACTGGAGCCAAGATTAATATTCCACCAGCAGCTGTGCAAAATGAGCTTATCTCAATCACTGGTGAAAAAGATGGTGTTCATCGTGCCGCCGCGGAAATTCGCGCAATTTTGGAATCGAAAAAGAATGTTTCGACAGTCACAATTCCAGTCAATCGTGCACAACACAGATATATTGTTGGACAACAAAGAAGTGGAATTCATGAGATTCTTGAGAAGACTGGTGTTATTGTTGATGTTCCAAATGAGGAATTGAATAGCGATATTGTTACGTTGATTGGAGATTCAGCACTTTTGGGACAAGCTTTGGAATTGGTTGTGAATCGCGCCAGTTCGGTTATCACACAATCGATTAATGCTCCAACTTGGTTGCACAAACATTTGATTGGACCAAAGGGTGCTACTCTTACTGTAGGTTTTTTTTTCAATTTAAAAATTAGATTTATTTTTGTTTTTATTTCTACTTTTTTTCAGGCCCTCGTTCCAAACCGCAATAGTGTTCAAATCGAATTCGACGACAATGGCACTATCTTCTTCGAAGGTGCTCCAGCTGAAGTCAAATTGGCTCAAACCGCTTTGGCCGCTGAAGTTGCTCGTCTCATCTCATCGATGGCGATTGAAAAAGTCAAGGTTCATCCAAGTCTTCATAGACATGTTATTGGACGTGGTGGATCATTGAGTAGGTTTCTTGAGCTTCGGATTCCCAAACCCCCCAACTTGGGGAATTTGACGAATAAAATATTTTTTTTTTCAGTTTCGAAAATCAAGGATCAACACGAAGTTCAAATCACAATTCCAAACGAGACCACAAACTCTGACGAAATTACCATCGAAGGAAAGAAGGATGGTGTGAAGAAGGCTGTTGCTGAAATTCGCGCAATCGTCACCAAAATTGAGAATGAGAAATCGCGTGATATTATCATTCCACAAAGACTTCACAAACTTATCATTGGAACCAAAGGAGCTGGAGTTCAACAAATTCGCGACGCTCATCCAAATGTTTCGATTCTCTTCCCAGACGCGAAAAACAAGTCGGATGTTGTGAATATTCGTGGAGACAAGAACGAGGTCGATGCGGTCTACAAGAAATTGACTGTTTTGAGCAAGGAATTGGCCGAGAATAATTTCCAACAAACAGTTTCGGTGTTCAAAGAGTTTTTGAAGCATATCATTGGAAAAGGTGGAGCCACCATCAGAAAGATTCGTGATGAAACTGAGACTCGTATCGATTTGCCGGATAATGATGATGATAAGATTACTGTGACTGGAAAGCAGGCGAATGTTGAGAAGGCGATTGCACAATTGAACAAGATTCAAGAGGAATTGGCGAATGTTGCTGAAGAAACTTTGGATATTCCACAAAAAGTTCAAGCGAGACTTTTGGGAAATGGAAGAAGACTCATTTCAGATATTGAGGAAGAATGTGGAGGTGTTCATATCAAATTCCCAACTGAGAAGAGTGAATCAACCAAGGTTACAATTCGTGGACCAGCTGGTGATGTCGCAAGAGCTGTTGGCTTGCTCACCGCTTTGGCCAAGGACAAGGAAGCCAATTTCACCGAGGATACCGTGAAGGCTAAAAGTGAGTTCCATCGATTCCTCATTGGAAAGGGTGGCTCGAAAATTGCCAAGCTCCGCGAGCAATTCAATGTTCGTATCATGTTCCCAAGAGAAGGTGATGCTGATAAGGAGACGATTCATTTGCTCGGACCAAATGATGAGGTTCCAAAAGCCAAGGCTCAATTAGAAGAGGCTATTCGACAATTATCGGAGACTGTTGACATCAAATTGATTGTTGATCCAAAATACTATAAACACTTTTTGGTGCGCGGAGCTGCGTTGGTGAGAGAAATTCAAGAGCAAAATGGAGGAGTTGTGATTTCGTTCCCGAAAAATGGAACTGATAGCAATGAGGTTTCATTGAGAGGATCGAAGCAATGTGTTGAATCGGCCAAGTTGAAGATTGAGGAGATTGTTGAAGATCATGAGAAACAAATCACAACAAACATCTCGATTCCTGCACAATTCCATCGATCACTTTTGGCTGGACGTGCTCAAAAGATTCAGGAACTTCAATCGCAATTCAATGTTCAAATTCGATTCCCAAATAATCGCGATAATTCGCTTAGCGGAGAAGAGGCTGACAAGGTTTCGATTTCGGGTAGAGATACCAAAGTGGCTGATGCTATTGAGGCTCTTTTGGCGTTGGTTCCGATTTCGAAGGTTATTCAATTGCCGACTGATATGCATAGAACTTTGATTGGAAAGGGTGGAGAATCTGTGAGTTTTGGGAAGATTTTTAGACTGAAAAAAAAAACAGTGCAAAGACCAGTTCAAAAATTTACCAATTTTCAATTTTTCCAGATCCGCAAATTGATGACTGAGTACGATGTCAATATCTTGATTCCAAAAGACAATGCAAGCGAAGATATCACAGTTACCGGACAAGTTGAGAATGTTGAGCAGGCATTGGAAGGTTTGCGCGAAAAATTGGTTGAATATGAAGCTCAAGCTGAAGATCGCAAATTGAAGCAATGGTCGATGACGATCGAAGTTCCATCGGATTATCATCAAAAAATCATTGGACAACGTGGCGCCACAATTACAGCGCTCAAGGAGAAATTCGGAGTTTACATTAATGTGCCACGTGAAGAGGGTAACGAGAATATCACAATTCAAGGATATGAGGAGAAGGCTCGCGCGTGTGCTGCTGAAATTGAGGAGATGATTGGTGATTTGAGAAGTTTGTTCACTCAAGAGATTAGTCTTGATTCGAGATATCATCCGAGATTGATTGGATCGAAGGGAAAGAATTTGAAGAAGGTTATGGAAGATTATCGTGTTGAGATTCGTTTGCCACGTCACGGAGCCGAAGATCCAAATTTGGTTGTTATTGCTGGAAAAGATGAGAATGATGTTTATGATTGTATTGATTTCTTGAGAGCTGAAGAAGAAGACTTCTTGTTGGATAATGTTGATCGATTCATGTCGAATAGATCAAACGAGAATGGACATCATCATAATCAATCATCGAATGGCAATGGAAATGGTGTGCAAATTCGCGGAGCACCATGGCAACAATTGGATATTGGAAGTGCTGAACAATTTCCCGATATGGGACCACAAGCGACGGCTGCCAGTCATGTTGGTGGAGGAGCTTGGGGAGCGTCGCGTCGTTGGTAGATTTTGGTGAGTTTTCTTTTTTGCCTGGCGGGAAATGGGGAAGTTTGAAAATTTCATTTTGAAACAGTGAAATTTGATGACTTTCTGGAAAATTTGAATTCAAAATTTTTGATCTCCAAAGTCCACGTGGAAAAATCTGAAAATTGAAATTTTTAGCTTAAAAATCCACGTATGAAATTTTGAGCTCGAAATTCCACGTGGCATAATTTTGGGCTTCAAACCTCAAATTTCAAAATGTTGAGCTCAGAAATTCAACGTGTCAAAATTTCGAGCTCAAAAATCCACGTGGCATAATTTTGGGCTTAAAAATCCAAATTTTGAGCTCAAAAATCCAAAGTTGAAAATTTTGACCTCAAATATCCACGTGGAAAAATTTTGAGCTTGAAAATCGAAATTTTGAGCTCAAAAAATCCACGTGGAAAAATTTGGGGCTTAAAAATTCAAATTTTGAGCTCAAAAATCCAAATTTCGAAATGTTGAGCTCAGAAATCCACGTGTGATGTTTTTGAGCTCGAATTTCCACGCCGCAAAAATTGCAATTTTCAGAATTTCAAGTTTTCTGAATTTTTGACTGAAACTTTAAAAATTCTCAAGTAGCCTAACTCTAAATTTTTTTGCAGAAATGTCTCATTCAACTCGTCGTCCTCTTCTCCTTGGCAAATTTCCAAATTTCTTCGAAGTCTTCTTCTTTTTTTTCGTCCTGAAAAAGTGTATTTATTATTATTATTTTTGCCCCCAAAATTAATCAATTTTTGACCGTTTTTCCCCTAGTTTCTTCTTTTTCTTGTTGAATTGATTTATTGCACTTATTGTTGATTTCCACCCCTAGAAATTCTCCCCCCAAAAAACCGATTGTGCCTTTTTTCTCGCAAAAACTTGTAGTAGTGATTTTTGTCCTGGTTCATTCCAAATTTATTTATTGATTGATTGATTCATTTAATTAATTAATTAATTAGTCGCGCCCTAATTAATTTTTTTTGTTTTCGTGTAAATTGTTTCCCCCATCAAATCCAACTTCCAAATCGATATATATTTATTTTTTTAATTATTATATGAGAAGAATATGAGAGACGTACAGAGTTTTATTCATATAAATATATATTAATGAAATTTTTTTCTTTTGATGGATGTTTTTTGGAAGAATTGGTGGATTTTTCGAATGTACTTACCTGAAAATTGGAAGAGTTTGGCTAACTTGGAAATTTTAGGCCAGGAAAAAGAAATGACGTGGCTTTTGGTGGCGACGGTTGGATCGATTTTGATCGCGTTGAAGGTTTTGCTGATTCCCGCCTATGTTTCGACGGATTTTGAGGTACTGTAGAAAGGATTACTGTAGGTCACGTTTTTTCATGAGAAAGGAAAAATCTGGAATAATTTTGGTACGATGGGAGATTACTGTAGCTTTCGAGGTTGCTGTAGACTTACTCTCATTTTGGGATACTGTAGCTCTTCAGAGAGCAGTACTGTAGCTACTGTATTTTTCAAATTTATGGAGTACTGTAGTTTTGGAGGATTACTGTAAGATGCATGAATGTGGTTGATAGCGTCGCGGTCACGCGCTGCGTGTTCATTTTCATAGTTTCCACAAGACCCGCGCCGCGTGACCGCAACGCGTTCAACTACAGTAATCCTCCAAAAAACTACAGTAACTGTAACTAGGAAATACACAGTATCCCAAACATAATATTTTCATAAGAACCTTTAAAATAGACTATGTACAGTAATCCTACAGATTTTCAAAATTTTCAAAAAAAAATCAATAATTTCCCCAGGTTCATCGAAATTGGCTGGCTTTAACCCATCAAAAACCAATCAATAAATGGTACACTGAAAACACATCCGAATGGACCCTAGACTATCCGCCATTTTTTCGCCTATTTCGAGCGGTTTCTGGGCGAAATCGCCGAAAAAATCGGGATAGATCAGAGGATTTTTGAGCTATCGGAGAAGCCTGTTTTCACACGTGGCATATTGTTGTTTCAACGATTTTCGGTCATCTTTACGGACATATTTTATTTGGCGATTTGCGCACTGTATTCTTTCACTTCGCCGAATTTGGTGGCGAAATTGCCGCCGAAAATGCGACAAAATGCGCGGGAAATGTGCTTCATTTTACTGGCCACTTGCCAAACGTTGCTCATCATTGATTCGATTCATTTTCAATATAATTCCATGTTGACTGCCATATTTTTGTTGTCGCTTTATTTTTTGGAAAAGGACGAGTTTTGTAAGGTTGGTGGGGTTGCTCAGATTAAAGTTTTTACTCTGTTTCTCTTCCCAATAACATGTTAGAGACGCAGAGGATTCATACACTTTTCTATACATGATTTTTCAAGCCGAAATTCAAATTTAATTAAGCTGAAAAATTTGTTGATTGCTCATATTAGATGAGATTTAGCTGATTTTCACTAATATGAGCAATGCTTTTAGCAACAAAAAAAAGTTCTCAAAATTTTGAGGTCCGAAACATGTCCAATGGCTAAATCCCCAGTTAGTGGAAAAATTGAAATTCAAAAAAAATTGTAAAAATTTTGAAACAGCAAAATTTTTTTTCTCGAAAAAGATAGAAAGACTATCAAATAGATAAGTGTGTGAAACAATTAAAAAAATTTTGAAACAGTCAAATTTTTACTTAGAAAGATATAGGAATACTAATTTTTTGAAAATTCAGAAAAATTAGTAAAAATTATGAAACAGTAAGTTTTTGTTTCAAAAATTGTTTTCCTTGAAAATATGAGCAAAAATTATCAAATAGATAAGTGTGAAAAGTTTTGAAACAATTTTGAAACATTTATTTTTTTCACATAATTAAAAAGTACAACAAAGCAGTACAATCAGTTAATTTAGGAAAATTTCAAAAATTGAGTATTTTTGAAACAGTCAAATTTTTTTCATAACATAAAATAGTGTTGCCATTGTTAAATCAATTATATTTCTGAAAATTTAAATAATTTTGAAACAGTCAATTTTTTTTTGAAAAAATTTTCAAATTAAATTATTTTTGCAAAAAGCAAAAAATTTGAAACAGTAAGTTTTTTTTCAAACAAAAAGAGACATTATCAAATCAGTTATATTTCGGTAAAATCAAAAAATTTTGAAACAGTAATTTTTTTCACAAAATTAGAAGGAACAACAAAACATTACTATATCAGTTAATTTTGGAAAATTTCCAAATTTGAATTATTTTTGAAACAGTAAATTTTTTTCAAAACAAATAGTAGTCAAAACTTATCGAATTATTACTATTCTGAAAATCAAAAACTTTTGAGACAGTGAAATTCAAACAATTTTTGAAACAGTGATTTTTTTCTCACAAAATTAGAAAAAACTATTTTCTTGTTAAAAATCACACTAATTTTTTGAAAATTCGAAAAAATTAGTGAAAATTATGAAACAGTAAGTTTTTTTTCAAAAATTGTTTTCCTTGAAAATATGAACAAAAAATTATCAAATAGATAAGTGTGAAAAGTTTTGAAAAAAATTTGAAATAGTGATTTTTTTTCACAAAATTAAGAAGACTCAGAGATTCGCTGGCCAGCTGGTCACTAGGTGGGACCGACTGTCCATCTGAAATTGACACGGACAACCACATCGCCCGTATTTTTTGCCAGACGACCTGGTCGCGAGGTGGTCCAGTTCATGCAGACCACCTCGCCCAGGTTGTCCAGCTCGACCCGACCTCGCGTCCAGATCGTCTCGCTTAAGAGAAAAAAGTCCAAAAAACTTGTGAATCAGAGCATTCTAGAAGAAATTGGCTCATTTTCTGTTTTTTCGGAGTACTTGAAACCTTAGGAAGTGAAAAAAACAGTAAAAAATGCATTATTTTGAGTACAAACCACCGTCTTGCTAGCTTTCCAGGATTTCAAACACACGGGCCACGTGGCCGGAAAACTCAAGGCGACCTGGTGGCCGGATCAAATTCAGCTCGTTTTGAACTTTCCGGCCACCTGGTCCTGATCTAGTGGCGAGCTGGCCAGCGAATCTCTGAGGAACAACAAAACATTTGTATCAATTAATTTTGAAAAATTTTCAAAATCGAATTATTTTTGAAACAGTGAAATTTTTTTGTGAAAAATTTTGGAAAATTTCCATGATGGAAAACATATACATAAAGTTTAAAAACAGCGAAAAATTTCGAACAATAGGTTTTTTTTCAAATAAAAAAATCATAATATTATCGAATCAATTTTTATTTCGAAAAATTAAAACATTTTGAAACAGTCAAATAAAAAAAATATTTTGAAACAGCGATTTTTTCTCACAAAATTAGGAAAAACGACGAAACGCTGATACATCAGTTAATTTTGAGAAATTTCAAAAAATATATTATTTTTGGAACAGTGAAATTTTTTTGGAAAAATTTTTAAAATTGCGATAAAAATGATTAACACATTATCGAATCAGTAATATTCTGAAAATTAAAAAATTGTGAAACAGTGAAATTTTTTTTCGAAAAAATGAATTTTTCACTGTTTCAAAAATGCTTCTAGCTCTAAAAAATCATCCGATCTTTTTCCAGGCCGGCCTAGTCTTCTCAATCCTCATCAATTTCAAACACATCTACATCTACTACGCTCTCGGCTACGTCTTCTATTATCTCCTCAACTATTTCCACACACTCAACCACCAAATCCCCATCAAAATCCTATTTCTTGGCTCCGCAATTCTTGCTCCATTTTCGGCCTCGTTTTTGCCATTCCTAGCCACCGGTGGACCTCAATCAATTCTTGATATTCTCCATCGACTCTTCCCAATATCCCGTGGACTTACTCACGCATTTTGGGCACCCAATTTTTGGACTCTCTATAATTTGCTCGATTTGGTGTTGTACAAATTGACGAGGATTTTGAAAGTGGCGCCGAATTTGGTGGCGCCAAGTTACACCAATGGATTGGTGCAGGAATATGAGCATAGCGTTTTGCCGAACGTTTCGCCAATCGGAACTTTGATTTTGGTCGTGGTGTCGAGTTTGGTGGCGATGTTTGCGTTGATTTGGAGAGGAAAGGAGAGAGGTGGGTTTTTTTAAAAGTGAAAACAATTCACTGTTTCAAAAATTAGTTATTTTTTTGTGGATTTCCGAACGATTGATGATTTAACATACGATAACAAATTGAAAAATAAAAGTGGACTTGAATTTAAAAAAAAACAATTCCGGGATAAATTTGATTGATTTTTGAAACAGTGAATTTTTTCAGAAAATTAGATACTGAAAAATTTTGACTCACTTTGCCTATTTAGAAATCAATTATAAATTCCAAATACATCCAATTAATTTTGAAACAGTGAAATTTTCGAAATCAATTTTTTCCACAGTTAAAAAAAACTTTCCAAGTGGAAAAATTTTACTGTTTCAAAAATTATTCAATTTTTGTTGGGATTTTCTATAAAACTTGTTTTGATTCGCGAAATTTCCTCCAAAATCTCAGTTATTCAAAGAAATTTGTTTTCATTAGACTAGAGATGTGGTAATTGAGAAAAAAATAATTTGAAAATGTTTATGTGATTTTTGAAACAGTCAAATTTCGAACATATTCGAAGTAGTTAGTTTTGAATCTATTTTAAATGTTGAATTTTGGAAATTTGTCAGTAAATTATAACAATCTCATGAATTGATGTGGTTTTTTTGAAACAGTGGATTTTTCTGGTCAGAAAAATTTTTATGTTGAGGATTTCTGAATTTTTTCCACATTAAAGAAATTCACCAATAAAAAAATAATTCTAAGAAAAAATTAATTGATTTTTGAAACAGTAAATTTTTTCAGTAATAATTTTGAAGGTTTTGGAAATTTTGAAATTATTTTTTTTTAATTAATAATTTTGAAACAGTAAAATTTTTCGAAATAAAATTGTTTTGAAAATTACTGAAAAGTTTTATATAAAATCAAATTAAATAATTTTGAAACAGTAGATTTTTTAAATTCCTAAAAAAATTCCCTTTTCTCCCATGAAAACCCCTCATTTTTCGCAGATTTCTCAATATTTGCCACAATTTCCGCCCTTTGCTTCTTCTATTTTGGATATCATGTTCATGAAAAGGCAATTATCCTGATCACAATCCCTTATACAATTTATGCCATCAAAAATCCAAAATTCATCAAAAATCTCATTTTTATCCAACAAATCGCCACATTTTCCATATTCCCGTTGCTTTTCACAAAATTCGAGATTCTCGTCAAATACGCCATTGGTGCCACGTATTTTTTGCTTCAATTATTCCTGGCGAAAAAAATGACACGAGTTCCAATATCGATTTTTTTGCCAACGGGGCATTGCGTATTTTACACGTTGCTCATGTTAGCCGAGATTTATAACACGTTTATTCATGCGTGGATTTTTGGCGCGAAAACATTCGAATTCTTCCCGCTTTTATTGATTTCGCTGGTGAATTCGATTGGTGTCACGTGGTTTTTTGCCACGTGTCTCTGGCGTATTTTGGGAGCGGATGAGACGTGGAATTTGGCAAAGTGTCGAATGAGAGAAGAGTTGATCAAGAAGCGGTTGACGTATTCGGTGCAGAGTGTGGATTATGAAGAGCATGTCGAAATTGTGGGAGGTGGGCGATTTTTTTGGGGGGAAAAATTCTTGCCACGTGGCAGTTTTATAAATATGAAAATTGCGAAATTCAAATAGTTTTCGAAAAATTTAAAATTTTTCCGAAAAATTAAAAAAAAATTACTGTTTCAAAATTTTTATGAATTTTTAATGGGAAAATGAATTTTGATTTTTTTCTTTTTCTCGGATAATCAGAATTTTCAGAAATTTAGCCACGTGGTAATTTTATAACCTGATTGTGAGTAATTGTTTTTCATGAAAATTTCTGACTCATTAATAAAAATTGCTAATTTTGAAATTTTGGAACTCAAAAAATTACTGTTTCAACATTTTCATAAATTTTTTGTAACGGAAGTATTTTATCCGGGGTTCAAAATTTCATGAGGAAAATTTCTTAAATTTCAGTCTTAAAATTCCATGCTGTAATTCTGAAAAATCTTAAAATTTTTCAAATATTTTCGAAATAAAATAATTTCAAAATTTACATGATTTTTTTGTGGAAAAATGGATTTTGGCTGGTTTCTGTTTTCAGTTGGAAATAACAAATTTTAGAAATTTTGCCACGTGGCAATGTTAAAACCTGAATAATTGTTTTTCAGGAAAATTTCTGACTTATCAATAAAAATTGCTAATTTTGAAATTTTTGAACTCAAAAATTCTACTGTTTCAAAATTTTTATGATTTTTTAGTGGAAAAATGGATTTTGGTCGGTTTCTTTTTTCAGTTGGAAATAACAATTTTTCGAATTTTTGCCACGTGGCAATGTTAAAAATGATCATTTTTGTCCAAAAAAGTTCTGACTCACTAATAAAAATTACTAATTTTGAAATTTTTGAACTCAAAAAAAATTACTGTTTCAAAATTTTCATAATTTTTTTTTGGAAAAAATGACTTTTGATTTCGTAGTTATGTATGAAAGTTTACCCAAAAAGTTCATTTACAAAAAATGCCCAACCAGGAATTTTTTTTTAGAAATTTCGCCACGTGGCAACTTCATTATTGAACAAATGTTTTTTTTTCAGAAAAATCTATATCTAAAAAAAAATCCGAAATTTAAAACTTTTCGAAACTGTGAAAAATTTACGGTTTCAAAATTTTTATGAATTTTTAATCGAAAAATTAATTTTAATATTCTTTTCTTTATGAAATCTTTCATTCCCATTTTCAAATTTTCAGCTCAAAAATTTACTGTTTCAAAATTTCCATGAATTTTCAATGAACATTTCTATTTCGATACACTAACTGCATCCTTAGGAATATCAAAAAAAAAAAAATTATTTTCCAGGAATCGACATTTCGGCGAGCAAAACCAACCCAGATTTCGTAGTAATCTCCTTCTCAATCTTCACCTATCCAAATCTCTTGCATCTCGCAACATTTTCCGATTGTCAAATTCTCGAAACACCCTACATTCCGCAATTTTTGGCGATCAGAGAAGCCGAAAAACTCGCCGCATTCGTTCGAAAATGCTGCGAACAATGGCCGAATTTCCGGCCAGACGTCATTTTTTGCGATGGTTTCGGCGAATTTCATTCGAGAAACTGTGGAATGGCGTGTCATGTGGGAGCGTTGACTGGAATTGCGACAATTGGAGTCGCTAAGAATTTGGGATTGGGCCAGGAAAATAAAGAAAATTTGGAAGAATTTTTGAAGGCCGCCAGAAAATCGCTGGATTCGGAGAAGAAGAAGGGATTTGTGGCTTTTGATTTGGACGAAAAAACACCGTGTAGAATGAATATTTTGAAATTGAATGGAAACATTACGGTAGGGAATTTTTTGGGAGGTCTGCGGAGTACTGTAGCACCTTTTTTGGAGAAAAAACTGGGGTTTTAGGTACTGTAGTTTTTCAAAGTACTGTAGCCTATTTTTTTGCTGCTTAAAATTATCTGAAAATTAAAGCATGCGAAATTTTAGACCTTACAGTAATCCTGAATTTTTTAAAGAAAAATCTGGAATTTTTTTTCTAGATCTGGGGAGTACTGCAATTAGGTTATTGTAGGTTTTGTACTGTGGATACAGTAGTCTTGGAATTTTAGAAAATCTGAGGATTACTGTAGCCTATTTTTTGCTGCTTGAGATTAGTTGAAAATTGACACGAGGAACACACCCTACAGTATTCCTGAATTTTTTTTCTCGAAAAATCTGATTTTTTGTCAATATCTGGAGATTACTGTATTTAGGTTACCGTAGTTTTAAATACTGTAGGTACAGTAGTTTATTTTTAAAAACCTTGGAATTTTAGAAGATCTGAGGAGTACTGTAGCCTCTTTTTTAGTTGCTTGAAAATAGCTGAAAATTGACACATGAAAAATCTCTAGACCTGACAGTAATCCTGAGTTTTTAGGTACTGTAGTTTTTGGAGATCTGCGGAGTATTGTTGAAAATTCCCAATTTTTCAAAAATCAAAAAATCTACTGTTTCAAAATTTTCATGAATTTTTTTTTACATTTTCTCAGGATTGACAAATTTATTGAAAATCACTAATACAGTAATCTTGCAGTCCGGTGTTTTCGTATCTGCTGGTTATGGAATCGAACTCGATGTTGCCACCCAAATCGCAATTCAATGCCTAAAAACATCTACAACCTGTGAACCGATTCGAAAAGCTGATTTGACGTCAAGGGATCTGGTGAGGAAATATTTTGATTAATTAATTAATTAATTATTGCTTTAATTTTGGGTATGTATTTTTGGGTATTTATATAATTTTTTTGAGTAATAATAAATTCAAAATTCCGCTAAAATTGTTTATTCTAGACCTGTTGAAAACATCGAAAACCCGTAAATTTTTAATTCTAATCTTGTTTTTGTCTGAAAATTATTCCCGAATTCCTTGATACGGTTTTGATAATTCAATTGTTGACGGCAAACAAATCAGATTCAATTTGAGCAAAATTGTGAAGATTAGAGTTATTGTCGAGCAAGCGGCGATGATTGTCAGAATTATTATTACCTGCAAAAATTCACTGTTTCAGAATTTCTATATGTTTTTTTCTGTGAAATTTAGTTTTTGTTTAACAAAATATTTAAAATTCAAAAAATTGACTATATTTTTTTTGGAGAAAATTCACTGTTTCAGAATTTCTAAATATTTTTTTTATGAAATTTATTTTTTGATTTATTTCCTCATTCCTTAACCTCAAAATTGTGTTCAAATTTTTAAATTTTGAAAAATTTTTGGAGTATGAAAAAATTTCACTGTTTCAAAATTTGCATTCATCCAGATTTTTGATTTCTTCTATTTTCTTGACAGAAAAATGTTGACCACGTGGCACAGCGATTTTCGGAGCCAAAATGATCAATTTTCTGATGTGGAAAAATTCACTGTTTCAGAATTTCTATAAATTTTTTTGCGAAATTTTATTTTTTGATTCATAAAATTTTTAAAATGCGAAAAATTGACTATATTTTTTTGGAGAAAATTCACTGTTTCAAAATTAACATAATTTTTTTTTAGCAAATTTCAATCAGTTGTCATCTTGTATCTGAAAATTATAATAATAAAAAAATGCAAAACAATGTGGATTTTTAGAATTTTCGAAATAAATTCACTGTTTCAGAATTTCTATATGTTTTTTTGTGAAATTTTTATTTTTTGATTTTTTTGTCATACCTCAAACTTGTGTTCAAATTTAATTTTGAAAAATTTTTGGAGTATTAAAAAGATATTTACATTTTCAAAATTTCCTTTGAAATAATTCACTGTTTCAAAATTTGCATAATGTTTTTTGAGCAAATTTCAATCAGTCATCATGTTGAATCTGGGGAATATATTAATAAAAACATTATAACGCAAAACAATTCGGATTTTTTCTGCCACGTGAATTCTTAGAATTTCAGAAAAATTCACTGTTTCAGAATTTCAATACGTTTTTTTTGTGAAATTTATTTTTTGATGTTTCTTTTCATTCCACAATTTCAAAATTCTGTTCAAATTTAATTTTGAATAAATTCACTGTTTCAAAATTTGCATAATGTTTTTTGAGCAAATTTCAATCAGTAACAACTTAAATCAGGGGGGGCAACTTAAATCAGCAAAAAATGAATTTCGCAAAAAAAACATATAGAAATTCTGAAACAGTGAATTTTTTTCGATATATCTAAGAATCCACGTGGCAGAAAAAATCCAAATAAAAATAATGCAAAACAATTTGGATTTTTCGCCACGTGGATTCTTAGAATTTCCGAAAAAATTCACTGTTTCAGAATTTCTATATGTTTTTCTGTGAAATTTTATTTTTTGATTTTTTTTATCCCTCAAATTTGAATTCAAATTTAATTTTCAAAAAATATTGAAGCTGAAAAAATGCACTGTTTCAAAATTAACATAAGGTTTTTTCAGCAAATTTCAATCAATATTCAAACTGAACATTAATCAAAAAATTAAAATCCAAAACAATGTGGATTTTTTTGCCACGTGGATTTTTAGAATTTCCGAAAAAATTCACTGTTTCAGAATTTCTATATGTTTTTCTGTGAAATTTTATTTTTTGATTTTTTATCCCTCAAATTTGAATTCAAATTTAATTTTCAAAAAATATTGAAGCTGAAAAAATGCACTGTTTCAAAATTAACATAAGGTTTTTTTCAGCAAATTTCAATCAATATTCAAACTGAACATTAATCAAAAAATTAAAATCCAAAACAATGTGGATTTTTTTGCCACGTGGATTTTTAGAATTTTCGAAATAAATTCACTGTTTCAAAATTTCTATATGTTTTTTTGTGAAATTTAGTTTTTGATTACATAACTACGTTTGTTATTTCTAAAAAATTGATCATATTTTCAGAATTTCCAAAAAAAATTCACTGTTTCAAAATTAACATAAAATTAGCATTCATCCAGATTTTTGATATTTCTTTTATATTTCATACATAAAAAAAGTTGACCACGTGGCACAGGGATTTTCGGAGCCAAAATGTTCAATTTTCTGATGTGGGAAAAATTCACTGTTTCAAAATTTCTATAGTTTTTTTGTGAAATTTATTTTTTGATTTCTTTTTATTCCACAATCTCAAAATTGTGTTCAAATTTAATTTTAAAAAATTATTGAAGTTGAAAAAATTCACTGTTTCAAAATTAACATAATGTTTTTTGAGAAAATTTATAACAGTAATAGCTTACAAGCGTATCTGGGGAATATATTAATCAAAAAGTTATAATGCAACCCAATTTCGATTTGTGGATTCTTAGAATTTTCGAAAAAAATCACTATTTCAGAAATTCTATATGTTTTTTGTGAAATTTCGTTTTTTGATTCACAAAATTAAAATGCAAAAAATTGACTATATTTTTTTGGAGAAAATTCACTGTTTCACAGTTAAGATAATTTTTTTTTGAGCAAATTTCAATCAGTAACGACTTTTTTCTAACAAAGGGAAATATTAATCAAAAAGTTATAACCCGAAACAATGTGGTTTTTTTCGCCACGTGGATTAGAATTAGAATTTCCGAAAAAATTCACTGTTTCAGAATTTCTATGTTTTTTTGTGAAACTTATTTTTTGATTTCTCTTTTTATACCTCCAGCTCAAAATTGTGTTCAAATTTAATTTTGAACAATTATTGAAGCTGAAAAAATTCACTGTTTCAAAATTTGCATTCATCCTGATCTTTAATTTTGATTTTCACTATATTCCAAACGCAAAAAATGTTGGCCACGTGGCACAGGGATTTTCGGAGCCAAAATGTTCAATTTTCTGATGTGGGAAAATTCACTGTTTCAGAATTCATATATGTTTTTTTGTGAAATTTATTTTACGATATTTATTTCCATTCCTCAACCTCAAAATTGTGTTCAAATTTTTAAATTCCGAAAAATTTTTGGAGTATGAAAAAATTCACTGTTTCAAAATTAACATAAGGTTTTTTTCAGCAAATTTCAAACAGTTCCGTTTCTAAATAATAATCTGATTCAAAAAAATTCGTGAAAAAATCACTGTTTCAAAAAATCATAAGTTTTTTGGGGGTATTTTGATATTCTGATCGTGAATCTGAGCTTATCGGACAATAACACATTTTTTGCCACGTGGCAATTTGTCGCCAAATTTCAAAATTCAAAATCAAAACTAACCCATCCCTGAATTGCAAAACAGCATTCCGTCTCACTAGGACCACAACAATCAAATTGATGAAAAGCAGAAGCTTGTGGGCATTGAGTATGTCTGAAAATTTCAGAATTTTTTCAAAGTTACCTTAACTTTAGGGTAAAGTTAGAAGAACTCACTGATTAACGCTTAAATTGCGACACCATTGTCCCAAATTTTTCTCCGACCAATTTTTGGGTCGAATTGCGGCTCGTGTTGTGTTTGTTGAGCGATCCAGAACTGGCCAAACTACCTGCAAATTTTTTTTTGGATTTGAAAAAAAAATTTTGCTGTTTCAAAAATATAATTTTTTTGAAACGTATATTTTCTGGGAAAAAATTCAAATTTTTTGGAAAATTTTCAGGTTGAAAATCTAACTTTTTTTTGTTTGAAAATTTTTTGCTTTCAAGAAAATTCTCTTGTCAAAGTTACAGTACTCTAAAATTTCCCTGAAGAAATGTTGCTGTTTCAAAATTTTGATATTTTTCAATAATTTTCTGAAATTTCGATGAATTCAATATTTTTGAACATATAATTTTTGAAACGTAGATTTTCTGGGTGAAAATCCAAATTTTTTTTTGTTCGAAAATTTTTTGCTGTTTCAATATTTTGCTATTTTCAATTTTTTCAAGAAAATTCAATTTTCAAAATTCACCTGTCGAAGTTACATTAACTCCTTTAAAAATTAGGATTTTTCTGAATTGAACATTTTTTGCTGTTTCAAAATTTTGTTAATTTTGATAACTTCGAATTGTTCGATAGTTTTTCTTCATCATGGGATTAACAAAAATTTCAGTCATTTTTATTTTTTTTCAATTTTTAAAAATTCAATTGTCAAAGTTACAATAACTCTAAAATTTCCTGAAAAAATTCGGATTTTTTTGAATTGAAAATTTTTGCTGTTTCAATATTTTTTAAAATTAATTTTTTTGCGCGAAATTTCAATGTTTCCCCAATTTCTATCCAAAAAAGTACAATTTTCAATTTTTCTCGAAAATTCTTATCTAACTCATCAAAAATCTCCAAATTTTCTGCAAAACAAAAAAAAAACTAACCATAGAACAAGTTAGAGGAACTAGTAGACCAATAATGAGACATTTTTGAAAAACCATGATTTTTTGACCTGCAAAAATGAAATTCTCAGCAATTTTCAGGTTATAAAAGTGTGACCGATGAAAGATAAGAGAAGAACAATGCTGAAATTACAGATAAAAATGATTTTTTCGCCCGATTTTTTATCAGCGTAGGTCACAAAGAAGAGAAAAGCTGGTTTATTATTGTAATAATAATAACATTTTTTTTTGGTCAAAAGTTTTTTTTTAAATTTTTGGGTAGGCGGAATTCAATTGGGCGCGAAGACAAAATCAAATTTGAATAAGTGGAGGCCAAGATTTCTGGGGTTCACAGGTTCCAAAATAACTAGTTTTATGTGACAAATCAAGGTTTGTATAGGTCAACAATTACAAAAACTATGCGAATAAGAATTTCTTCAAATTGACCTTGGAAATTGGGCGAACAAATATAAAAATAAATAAATATCAAAAAAAGTTCGGGAGCGGCATCGAACCCTCGACCTTGCGAACAACAGACACGTGTGTTAGCCACTAGCACACGCACGCTTTTTTTAACGCGGAGTGGAAAGTTGGTGTTGTGTTTGGTGTTCGTCGCGTGAAATGATAAATTAATTTTTTTGTTTTGTTTTTTTTTTCGAAAAAAGTTCTGACCTTGGTTTCTTAACAAAGCAAAAACGAAGAGAAAAAAAAATAAATAATAAATAACAAAATACTTTTTTTTTGACAAGAATAGAACGATTTTTCGGTTGATTGGTGATTTTTGCAAGTGAAAGTGATGATGCCATTGCAAAAAATCAAAATAACAATTCATAAAAAAATATTTGGCTAGGCTAGGCTACATTGTAGTCTCGGCTAATATAGGATAGACTACAGATAAGGGCATTTGTGGGGCAAAATTTGCAAAAAACACAGGTCGTGGCCTAGAAAACCAATTTTTTTTTGAAAAAATACGTGGCCTAAAAAACCCTTTTTTTTTTTTTTGAAAAAGTACGGTCGTGGCCTAGAAATCCAATATGCTTGTTTTCATGTCCTAGAAAACCAATTTATATTCGGAAATGCGGCCTAGAAAACCAAATTTCTTTGTTTTTTATAAAAAATACGGTCGTGGCCTAGAAAACCAATTTAAAAAAAAATACGGTCGTGGCCTAGAAATCCAAATCAAAAATATCCCGGGAAGTTTAAAAATTCAAATATTTGAACAAAAAAACAGGTCGTAGCCTAGAAAACCAAATTTTTTGGTTTTTTAATGAAAAATTCGACCGTGGCCTAGAAAACCAATTTGCTTATTTTCATGGCCTAGAAAACCAAATTTCTTTGTTTTTTTTTCGAAAAAGTTTGACTGTGGCCTAGAAAACCAAAAGCCGCGCAAATTTCAAAAATTCGAAAAATTTCCAAAAAAAAAACTTTTTTATCCCAAATAAAATTCCACGACGCCTCCTAGCGCAAAATTATTTTATTCTCACGAAAAAATCGAAGAAATTGAAAGTGATGTGTGAGGAAATAGCTAGTGATTTGGAGAGACGCAGACGAAATTTAGAGAGAAAATAAATCGAACCGGGAATGATTTGGGAAGAAATCCAAGAGAGAGAGAGAAAACTGGACATGAAATTCTAATGAGAGAAATGAAATGAAATGCGGAAAATCCAAATTGGAAGAAGAAGGAGGATTTGTGAGATGAAGAAAAAGGAACGAAAAGAGGAATAGATAAAAATATCGATTGATTTGGGTTTGGATTGATAGGTTTTAGCGCGAGAGATTTAGAGAAAAATAATTTTGATCTACCGAGAAAAAATTCGGATAAATTTGAGGTGGAAAATTTTCACTGTTTCAAAATTTTTTTAAATTAAACTGAAGCTTCAGCTGAAGATACTGCTTCTCTGAATGAAATTAAAATTTGAATAAAATTCCACGTGGAAAATGTCTAAGAAAATCTGAAAAATTTCACTGTTTCGAAAATTTTTCATAGAAAAGTTTGTATTGTTTTTTATTGGTAAAAGGTTCAATTATCTGAAAATTATGGTTTTCTGAATAATACCAAATCAAATTTAAATTAAAAAAAAAATTCCACGTGGCAAAACCCTAATTTCCAAAGTATTTCAAATTTTAGTCACAAAATCCACGTGGAAAAATTCTTAGAAAATCCGATTTTTATCGTGTTGGAATTGAAAAATTTCACTGTTTCAAAAATTTTTCAAAGAAAAGTTTGTATTATTTTTTATTGGTAAAAGGTTCAATTGAATGAAAATTATGTTTTTCTGAATTATACCAAACTGAGATTAAAACTTCAAAAAAATCTCCACGTGGCAAAACCCTAATTTTCAAAGTATTTCAGAATTTAGTCACAAAATCCACTTGGGGAAAATTATAAGAAAATCCGATTTTTATCGCTTTGGAATCGAAAAATTTCACTGTTTCGAAAATTTATCATTAAAAAAATTGCATTATTTTTTTATTCCTTGATTGGTTAAAAATTCAAAAAAAAAATTCCACGTGGCATAAAAAGCCAGATTTTCAGAAAATCCATTAATTAGGCTATAAAATTCACGTGGAAAAATCATTAGAAAATCTGAAAAAATTCACTGTTTCGAATATTTTTCATAGAAAAATGTATGTATTATTTTTTGATTAAACTAATATTTATTTTTCTAATTATCAAAAATTTCAAAAATTCATCAAACCCCTGATTTTGAGGAAATCCAATATTTAGCCTGAAATTCACGTGGAAAAATCATTAGAAAATTTGAAAAAAATCACTGTTTCAAAAATTTTTCATAGAAAAGTTTGTATTGTATTTTATTGGTAAAGGGTTAATTTATCTGAAAATTATGTTTTTCTGAATAATACCAAACTTAAATTTAAATTTGAAAAAAAAATCCACGTGGCTAAACCCTAATTTCCAAAGTATTTCAAAATTTAGCCACAAAATCCAGGCGGAAACATTCTTTAAAAATCTGATAAAATTTCACTGTTTCAAATATTTTTCAAAGAAAAGTTTGTATTATTTTTTATTGATTTTTCAAAAGGTTCAATTATGCTTTTCTAAATAAAATTAAACATTTGAAATTTTTTTAAAATTTGAAATTTTTTCAAATTAAACTTTGATAAAAAAAAATTCAACGTGGCAAAAACGTAATTTCCAAAGTTTTCTAAAATTTAGTCACAAAATCCACTTGGGGAAAATTATTAGAAAATCTGAAAATTTTCACTGTTTTAAAAAAATTCCATACAAATTTTTGCATTATTTTTCTGATCATCGAAATTTTAAAAAGAAAAATTTCATAAAATTCCAAAAATTCTCACATATTTAATTTATAAATTTTAAATAAATAAATTAATTAGCATTTTCCGGCGGCGCACTCGGTAAATTTCGAAAAACCGGATAAATCGGGCAAAACGGTTCGAAATCGTCTTTTTCGATTTTTTCCATCGATTCTTCGTAACTTGGTGGCAACGAATCATTTAATGAATATGGAGGCGGAGCTTCGGAAGTTTGGCTAACTTCAGGAGCCAAGTTGGTGAAAATTGGGATAGTTCCGATAACTAAGGGAATATCGCAGGTGACACTGCTCATGAACATTTCATCGTTTTCGATTTTGATTCGGGCGATGTAGGTGACCTGGAAAAAGTTAGGCTTAGGCTCAGGCTAAGGTTAGGCTTAGGTTGGGCTTAGCTTTTTTAGTAGGGTCTTAAAATTCACAAAAAAATACGTTTCAAAATTTTGACATAAAACTTTCTTTACTGTTTCAAAATTTCATTAAAAATTATTCGACGTGAAAATTTTGTTATTTTGAGGTCTCATTTGAAACTGAAATCTGAGCCTAAGACTAATGCCGGGCCTAAGGCCTAAAGGCCCCTCCAAAACACTTACCTGAATAACAGGACATTCTTCAAAAGTCGCCACAGTCACCGGAATTTTCATCATAACCCTAAAATCCGATTTCGTAAATTTCGGCAAATCCAATTGCTCATGATGTTTCTCAATCGTTTTCTCATAATTTTTCACCGAATAATGTGTGGAATTCGGTGAATAAGTGTGAAAACTCGAGCCACGCCGTGCAATTGCTCGAATTTTTTGCAAAAGTTTGATGGATATCTCGATTATGGGTTTTTTGGAGGAGTTGTTGATGTGGATTTGGATTGGCACGATTTCGCCGGCTACGAAGCCACGTTTTGGAATTGAGGCCTGTAAAGAATGGGATTTTTTTGACACTAAATATGATAATCAAAATTTTGAAACAGTGAATTTTTCAAAATTGTTCTAACGATTTTCTCAGTGAAATGTTTGTCAAATCTAAATTTTGAGAAAGTAAAATTTTTTTTTGAAGAGCTGTATTCAACGAAATTTCAAATTCCTGTCATTTTTAATTTTTTATCCTGTTTTTCTTAAACAAAATTTTTGAAACAGTAAAATATTATAAAAATTATTCAAACGATTTTTTTCGGTGTAATTTTTGTCAAATCAAATTTTTGAAGCAGTAAAATTTTGAATTGAAAGAAATTGAAATCACAGAATAAGAGCATTTTTTGTTAGATTTTTGAAACAGTAAATTTTTCCACCCACCTTCAACTCCACAATTCCACTCTTAAAAATCAATCCAGTATTCCTAGCCGCCGCCAATTCCGTATAACACGTGGCAAACGGATAATTGAGCAAATTAACCTGTGGAATCACAGTAAAACACTTCTTCGATCTCTTATTCCAAATCCACGGTCGATCCAAAGTGACATGAATATAATATCGAATATTTCCATAGATACATTCAAAACTTGGCGGCAGGAAATTCGGGGGTAGATCAAATGAGAATGCGAATTTGTGTAGACCACGTGGTAGTTTTTCACCTTGCCACGATTTTTTGGCAATGTGTAGATATTCTTTCCGCGCGGAATAGGGAATTGATTCACTGTAGGATACGGTTTTGCCTTGAGAATCCCTGAAAAATTTCTTGGGGGGTTGAGAAGGGAAAAATTTTTCAAAAAAAAAAAAAAACAAAACTCACGTTCTTGATCTGTGCTCACTTTCTGACCAATGAGCGTGCGCTTCACCGTGAGCACAAATTTCGACAAATCTAGCCTGAAAAAATCGTTGTTTACACAGCGCAAGTTAGCCCAAGTATCAACCAATTTTGAGGATTTTGAGAGCCGAAATCCACGTGGAATTTTCATCAATTAAAATTTTTGAATCCAGAAATAATCCAGAAAATGTGAAAAATGTTATCACAAAAAATTCACTGTTTCAATAATTTCTTATAATTTTTTGCAGTTTCAAATGTTTTGATTTCTACGGCTTGCTTCCTAAAATTATACAACTTTTTAAATTTTCATCAACCAAAAAATTCACTGTTTCAAAATATTTTGAAAATATTTTTGCAGTTTTAAATAATTTGATAATTTTTCACAAACTGAACTTTTAAAAAATTTGGAATTATGAATTACTAATCAAAATTGTACAGTAATATTTCAGAAATTTTGAAAATTCAAGTCTAGGTTTGGAATACTGTAATATTGTTTCAGAAGTTTACAAAACTAGATTTGCAACCAAAAAATCTGCTACAGCGGAATATTCGAAACTGAAAAAATTATAACAAATTTTTGAAACAGTGAATTTTTTCGTTGATGAAAATTTTGAAATTTGTATAATTGTTGGGCCTAAATACACGTGGAATTTGTTTCCAATGCGAAAAAATGGTTTTTTCACTCCAAAACTGTAGAATAATGCAATAATTCTGAACTAAAAAATTCACTTTTTCAAAAATTTCTTATAATTTTTGCAGTTTCAATTTTTTTGATAAGTGTATAAAAATTATGAAAATTTTCATCAACCAAAAAAATTCACTGTTTCAAAATATTTTGAAAATATTTTTGCAGTTTTAAATAATTTGATAGCTTGTCGTATTGAGTTTTGAATTCAGAATTAAACTGGAATTTTTGCCATAAAATATGTATACTGTGATTGTACAGTAATATTTCAGAAATTTTGAAAATTCAAGTCTAGGTTTGGAATACTGTAATATTGTTTCAGAAGTTTACAAAACTAGATTTGCAACCAAAAAATCTGCTACAGCGGAATATTAGAAACCGAAAAAATAATGTCAAATTTTTGAAACAGTGAATTTTTTCGTTGATGAAATTCGGTTAATTTTGGGTTATTCTAGGGCCTAAATCTACGTGGAATTTGTTTTCAACGCGAAAAAATGGTTTTTTCACTCCAAAACTGTAGAATAATGCAACAATTCTAAACTAAAAAATTCACTGTTTCAAAAATTTGTTATAATTTTTTGCAGTTTCAAATTTTTTGATTTCTACGGCTTGTTCCCTAAAATTATACAAATTTTCAAATTTTCATCAACCATAAAAATTCACTGTTTCAAAAATTTTTTATAATTTTTTTGCAGTTACAAATCATTTGGTAGTTTATCTTTAATTTTTCAGAAAATTCGGAATTTTGAATCGCTAATCAAAATCTGGTATCAAAATTGTACAGTAATATTTCAGAAATTTTGAAAATTTTAAGCCAGGTTTGGGATATTGTAGATAAAGTTTCTGAAGTTGACAAAACTAGATTTGCTACAAAGAAATCTGCAATTTGAAACAATAGAGCAAGCGAAATTGTAGAAACCGAAAAAATAATAAAAAAATTTTGAAACAGTGAATTTTTTCGTTGATGAAATTTTTGAAAATTTTTTTGATTTCTACGGCTTGTTCCCAAAAATTATACAAATTTTGAAAATTTTATCAACCAAAAAAATTCACTGTTTCAATAATTTTTAAATATTTTTTGCAGATTTAAATAATTTGATAATTTTTCACAAATTGAACTTTTAAAAAATTTGGAATTCTGAATTACTAATCAAAATTGTACAGTAATATTTCAGAAATAATGAAAATTCAAGTCAAGGTTTGGAATACTGTAATTTTGTTTCTAAAGTTTACAAAAAAAAATTCACTGTTTCAAAAATTTGTTATTTTTTTTCAGTTTCAAATTTTTGATATTGTAAACACTTCACAATCCCGAACCAAGGTTCAAATTTTCAAATTTTCAAAATTCATCCCCAAAAAATCCCACCTTCATATCCTCATCCAGCTCCAAAATCACAAATCCTTCGACTTTTTCGCCAGGTTGAAAAACAGGCGGCGATTTCAGAAATTCAATTTGCAAACTCATCTGAAACAGTGAAAATTTTTGAGTAAAATGAAAAATGAAAATGTGTTTTATCACAAAAAAATAAACTTTGTTTGGTTGCCATGTGACCAGAAAATATACTTAAAATTGCGAAATTTTTTCTGACTAAACATAATTTTTTGTGTTTGTTTTGGACACAAATGATTCATATTTGGAAAAACGAAAGAAAATACGTCATAAAAATCGCATTTCAAATTTTTTTTGATAAGAAATTTTCATAAAATCATCATTTTTTGGGCAAAAATTGATTTTTACGAGTCAAAACTTGGAAAAAATGTCAAATTCTCTACAAATCGAATTTATCAATAGTCCACACGGTGTCTATTTTCCCGGGCAAATTGTTGATGGAAGAGTTGTGCTAAATTCGGAGGAGACGATTAAGGTGGGTTACTGTAGACTGTAGGGGTACTGTAGGCGAGTTTTTTGATACCAAACATGCCTAGGGAACTATTTGAGGGAGCCTTAGATGAGCCTGGATTTTTAGATAGGCCTAAATTTTCAGGCAAGCCTAAGGTAGGCCTGGATTTTTGGACAGGCCTAAATTACGCCTAATATATTTCTGAACGGCCCTGAGGCGTGGATTTTTAGATAGGCCTGGATTTTTAGACTGGCCTAAATTGAGCCTATACTTTTAGGCGATCCAGAGGCCTGTAACATTCCTAATTGTAAGGCCTGGCCCTAATCAGGCCTAGATTTTTGGGCAATCTCTATTTAGGCTTCAATTTTTAGACAAAGATAGGCCAGGCTAGGGCTGTAAAAAAGTGGTGTTCGTGTGCCGAAAAACACATTTGTGTGTTCACACGAATACACCACACAGGCAAAACACACTGCACCCGAATACACAGCACACGAATACACTGATGCACACGAACACACTACACCCAAATACACTACTTTTTTTGCATGCGTTTTCAACCAAACACACACAGAAAAAACAGTGTGTTCGTGTGCAGTGTATTCGGGTGCATAGTGTCTTCGGGTGTATAGTGTATTCGTGTGTTTGGTGTGAAAGTGTGTTCGCTGCTGCCTCGCCGCGTGTGTGGTGTGTTCGTGTGAACTATTTACAGCCCTAGGCCAGGCCTAGCCTCAGATGAGCCTAAGCTAAGCCTAGGTTTTCTGTCTGATCTTAACTAACAAGCCTAGATTCTTTCTAAAGCCTGAAGCCTAAATCAGGCCTAGAATTTTCGAAAATTGGTTTTTTTTTCGAAAAATAAGTGTTCCGTGGATGAAATACGTGGGATTTTTCAGCAAAAAATTTGAATTTTACAAAAATCAGCTGTAATTCCACTTCCAGGCCCGTTTCCTCAAAGTGTGTATCCACGGCTCGGCCGAAACCCATTGGTCCGAATCCGAACGACGTTCTCGCACGAATTCCGAAGGAAAATTCGAGAATTTTACCGAACACGTCAAATTCGCCTCGAAAATCGACTATTTGAATGCGGAGACGGTGGTTTGGACGTGTGCGGACGGTTCGAATAAATTGCCACGTGGCATGCACATTTTCGAGTTCAAATTTCAACTTCCGATTGGTCTTCCGCCAAGTTTCGAGGGTTTTCACGGGCATATTCGATATAGTATTCATGTTGAGTTGGATCGAGTTTGGAGTTGGAATAAGAAGACGAAAAAATGTTTTTCGGGTGAGCAAAATGGGCTAACTAGAGTCTAGTTACCATAACTTCTTTGGGTTATCTAGGGAAGTCGAGCGGAGCAAGTGTAGACCGCAAGCTTCCGCGTAAGCGGCACTATCTTCCGCGCAGCGGCCACGCGGACTGCTGTGACGTGGATTTATCGTACTGCAGGTTGTCCACATCGCAAGCTTGTTTAGAAAATACAGAAAGTTACCATAACTTCGCCTCTGCGCGGAAGATAGTGCCGCTCACGCGGAAGCTTGCGGTCTAGACTCGCTCCGCCCAATTCCACATTATTTCCAGTCATCCCAATATTCGACCTCAATCAAATCCCCTCCGCAATCAATCCAATGGTCAACACAATCTCCAAAAACATGGGCCTAGTCTTCAAAAAAGGCTTGATCTCCATGACGGTAAATCTACCCAAACGTGGATTTGTAGCCGGTGAATCAATTCAAATCCTGGCCAACATTCAAAATCAAACCAAACTCGAAATCATTCAAATCCGCGCCAAGTTAATGCAACTCTCCACTTATCAAGCTGCACGGGGACATCATTTCGCGAAAAAACACGAGGATAAACAAGTTGCCGAAACTCGTCAGCAATTACACATTTGTGGAAAAGCTGCACAGCAACTTGCGCTAAATCTTCGAGTTCCGGCGTGTGTTCCAAGTTTCACAAATTGCCCGATTCTGAGTGTCGAATATTTTTTGAGCGTCAAAATCGATGTGAATAAATTGATGGGGAGCACACTTAAGTGTGAATTTCCGATTATCATTGGCACGATGCCAGTAGTCGGACCTCTAGCGACCCAGGTTATTCCAGTGGCAGCGACTCAGATGGTCCCTGGATATCCAGTGGCTCAAGAGGCAGCTCCCAGTGCACCTTCAGCTCCTCCCAGCTACCCAAGTGCACCTCTACCTTCAGCTCCCGAAGCCTATTCACAGAATCCACCCAGTTACGAAGAAGCCACGGGAAATACTGTGAAGGGTGAGGATTTTGGTGCGTTTGCACCAAGATATCCGGTTTTTAACAATTTGCCTCTACCAACAGCACCGCCTATGGAGAAAATGTGAAATTTTTTTGGGTGAATAAATTATTTTCTTGAATTTTATCCGTAAATTTTTAAAAACAATGTTGAAAAACTCACTTTTCCTCAAGTTTTCCTCGTTTTTGGAAATCATTTAACCAAAATTCGCCTCATCAATCTTTTCCATCATTTTCCTGACAATGAATTTGATCCAATTTGAATCGTGATCTGAAAAATTTAAAGTTTTTGAATAAAAAATCAAAAATTCCAATTTGGAACTGATAAAATCAACCATTTTTCAAGATTTTCACAAAGAAAATCAAGAAAAACAGAAGTTTATCAGTTTCAGGCTAAATCCCGAAAAAAACTCACTTCTCATCGAATCCCGGTGTCGATTTGCCGATGCAAAAAAAAAAGAAATGAATAAATAATCGATTTTTTGGTTGGCGCGTCGAAAAAATAAAAATTCGCGGGCAGGTTTTGGGTTACAGTAGATCAAAATCTTGAATTTTATCTAAATTTGTCATATGACCGATAACACATTTTTTACTTTTAATTACATTTTTCTGATAAGCTGACATTTTCAAATGTGCTCTCAAAGTATGGTAAACTCTTTTCAAATCGAGTTCATCAACAGTCCACATGGTGTCTATTTTCAAGGCCAAACTATTGATGGAAGGGTGATTTTTGACACCAAACAAATTGATAAGGTGAGGGTTTAGATTCTGATAAATTAGATATATTTTTTACAGTTTCAAGTTAAAATTTCAGAAATTTTTTGCCACGTGGCTGAGAAAATTTTGGCATAAAAAATCAAATTTTGAGAATATAAAAAATGCACTGTTTCAGAAAAATGATAAGTCATTTTTGAATTCATATTTTCAATTTCTTTATGCACGATACAGAAAATTAGAATTTTTGAATTCTAAATTGCATGCCACGTGGCTTTGAAGCTTAATTTAAAAGTGTTCACATAATCAATAATCAATTTCGAATTTTTCCGATGAATTCGGATAGTTTTTGACACCAAAGAAGTTGAAGGTGAGTGTTTAGATTCTGATAAATTAGATATATTTTTTACAGTTTCAAATTACAATTTCAGGAATTTTGTGGCTCTGATTTTCATGCCACGTGGCTTAGATTTTTACTTGAAAATCAAATTTTCAAAAAATTCACTGTTTCAAAAAAATGAGAAACAAATTTTTCAAATTAATATTTTTGAAATCATATGAAAAGGCTTTTGATACCAAATTTGCAGATCCGTTCTCTGCAAATCTACATTCGTGGTTTTGCCAAAACTCGTTGGTCCATAAGCACGAAAAATCATAAATATAATGAACCCAATTCCCATACTATTTCATCGAAAATCGAATATTTGGAAGCATCTGACAATGAGGCTATTTTTTGGAATTGTGTGGATGATTCAGATGAATTGCCACGTGGCACAATGATTTTCCCATTCAAATTTCAACTTCCGCTAAATCTTCCGCCAAGTTTTGAGGGTTTTCACGGTCATATTCGATATAGTATTCATGTGGAATTAGATCGAGGTTGGAATAGGAAAAAGAAGATCAGAAAATGTTTTTCGGGTGAGGAATTGGGGTTGTTATGACGTGGATTTATTGTACTAGAAGCTTTCCACGACATAGAAATCCGCAAGCTTGATTTGATTTTTCAGTTGTTCCAATATCGGATCTGAATCGTATTCCCACTGCAATCAAACCCATCGAAAAAACAATCTCAAGAAACTTCGGATTTGGTGAAACATGGCAAGAGAATGGCCCAATTTTCCTGACCGTAATCGTACCGAAAACTGGATTTGTGGCCGGTCAATTGATCCCAATACAGATTAGCATCGAGAACAATACCCAAAGAAAAAACTTGAAAATTCGCGCAAAACTGCTGCAAATCGCCACATTCAAAGCTGACGATTTCGATAATATAACGCGAATAAAACACAGTGATCGAAAAATCGCACAAGCTCGGAAACAACTCTATTTCAAGTGGCCCGTTCTACGCGATCGCATATATCTACGTATTCCGGCGTGCGTTCCAAGTTTCACAAATTGTCCAATTTTGAGTGTCGAATATTTTTTGTGCATCAAAATTGATTTGAAAAAGGGTTCATTGAAATGTGAATTTCCGATTATCATTGGGACACTTCCATTGGGTTTGACAGAAAATCGAGTGCTTTGGCATATTCATCCAAAGCCTGGATTATTTGGAGCATTTGCGCCAACTTATCCACGTGTCTACAGTTTTTTGTCAATGAATTGTACATTTGAAACTACAACACTCCGCTTTTACACTTAGAATAAATTCATACACTTCTATACAAATCGAGTTACAAAAGATTTTTTCGCGTGGCGGGAAAATTACACGTTTTTCTAATTAGCTAATTAATTAGCTGGGTTATCAATGATTAATAATTTTCGATACATGATGCCAAATCATTCAAAACTGGCAATTGATATTCGGATTCAGTTGGTTGGTGAATTGGAGCGAAAGCTCCGGAATTTCGATTTTCTTGTTGGTGGAAGACACGTTCGACAACAATTGGTTGGGCTGATTGGCGAGTAGGTGTGGAAGCATTCTGGAAATTTAGGGTTTGGGGATTTTAGGGAAAAAAATTTGGCAGAAATCTGATACATTCCAAAAAAAACCCAAAAATTATAGAAAAAATTTTTCACTGTTTCAGAAAAAAGAAAAAGGAAATAATTCTACAAATTGATATTTTTGAATCATTAGCTTCATCCAAAAAAATCCACTGTTTCACGAATTTCTCATTTTTTTACAGTTTCAAGTATTTTGATCATCTAATCAAAAAAAATGACAAAATTCAGAATTTTTCGGCTGCAGCATCTCAAAATTTCGGCGAGTAAATTTCAAATTTATTTTCGAAAAATGCACTGTTTCAAAATTATTAGAAATCATTTTTTGTTTGAATATTTTTGATCTTGCAGCTCTATCAGTGTAAAAAGAATGGGCAATTTCCGAAATTGGTTTAATTTTCGAATTTTAATTTTGTGGCCCTAAATTTCACCAGCAATTATTTTTCAAATGCTTTTCGGAACTAAAAATCAGATTTAAAAAATTCACTGTTTCAGAATAGTTATGAGTCAGTTTTTAAAATGAAATTTCTGATGACGAGGAATTGGAATTGGTTCTACAAAAAACCGAATTTTTAAAATTTACATAATAAAAAAAATTCTTTCAAAAAATCGATAATCATTTTCAAACTTTTCTTATGAATTCTTTTTTGTTTTTGACACGAAAAATCAGATTTTCAAATTCTCGAAAAAATTCACTGTTTCAAAAAAATGAGAAATAATTTTTCAAATTTATATTTTTGATTGTTGAGTTTTTCAGCTGTAGAATCTTGAAATTTTGGCGACTAAATTTCAGATTTGAATTCTAATATTTTGGCACCAAATTAAAATTTTCAAATTTTCGAAAAATTCACTGTTTCAGAATTGTTATGGATCAATTCATCTGAAGAAAAAATGAATTTCGCGACATTTTTTGTCGCGAAATTGCAATTCGCGAAACGACACGAAATTAATAAAATAAAAGAGGAAATTCTTTTTTCGTGTGTTGGGTCTCGCAGCGATTACGTGTCCCTTTAATATTTCTCCTTTATTTTTGTGTTTATTTCGTGTCGTTTCACGAATTGCAATTTCGCGACAAAAAATGTCGCGAAATTCATTTTTTCTTCAAATGAATTGATCCATTAGAAATCATTTTTTCAATTCATATTTTTGATTTGTTCATTGTAAGATCAGGACATTTTTTTTGAATTTCATGCCACGTGGCTTATTAAATTTTTAGATAATCGATAATCATTTTCAAACTTTTCCGATGAATTCCATTGAAAAATTCGTAAAAAAATTTCTGAATTTTTTAAAATTATTGTTCAAACATTTTCTGGCACTAACAATAAAAATCAAATTTTCAAATTCTCGAAAAAATTCACTGTTTCAAAAAAATGAGAAAGCAATTTTTCAAATTAATATTTTTGATTTTTGTATGTATAATTTTCCCTTCCAAAAAAACCCACTCTAATCAATCCTCGAAATCTCGATTGAATCAACGGCGATTCGCCGGGCAATTGTGTCAAATCCTCCGTTGTCGTCAATCCAGCGGCACTTGAAAACTCTTGTTTTGGTGGTGGAGCAGCAGGTGCAGAATACTGTTGTGCACCATAACTCGCTGGTGCAGATTGGCGAACATCATAAATGAATCGATTGTCATTCGACATTCCGATATATTCCGATGGTCCCAGGTTTTTAGAGGGCGTGTAATTTTGAGCCGGCGCTTGAGTGTAGACTTGTTGATGATAAGCAGTTGGTGTTTTCTGGCCAGATTCTTCTACAAAAATTTCCTGATCTTCGGATTGTCCCAAATCTTGATTTGATTTTTGCTGGCGATTGAAACAATATCCAGATTCATCTTGGCCATACTGAAAATTTGAATTTTTGGGGAGAATTCGACATTTGCATTGGAGCGCATTAGCCATTTTTCAGCAAAAAATCAATATTTCTCGTTGAAACATAGTGAAATTTTCAGTTGATTGTTTTATGAGAAAATTCTGGATTTGCATTGGGGCGCATTTGCTATTCTTAAGGATAAATTGCTCGGTTTTTTGCTTAAAGGCCCCTGGGATCCAACCTACATAACTAAACATTTGAATTTCTTGTAGAAACGGGGGATTTGCGATAGAGCGCACTTGCCATTTTTCAGCAAAAATTCAAGATTTCGCATTGAAAAATAGTGCAAAATGCTGGAAATTTTCAGCTGATTCAAACTCACAATATTCTGTGCAATTTTCGGCTCCTGAATTTGCAAATTCTCCAATTTTTGCATCAATTGCTCAGCGTGTTGTTGCTCTTCCTCGAATTTCGGAGCCACCTGAGCTCTTGGTGCCTGATTCAAATACGATTGTGGAACTCCAGTCGATCCATAATAATTCGAATGAACTTCTGGAACATGTTGCTGGCGAGTTGCACGAACTGGAGACGATGGAGCCGAGTTGTTTGAGAGCACATTTCGATAGAGTCGAATGGCTTCTTGAATTTGAGATGGCGATAGAACATCATCTGCTATTGGAGTCGACAAATTCGGAATCGCCGCCTCGAAAGCTGAAAAAGGTGCGGTGTTTAAAGGCGGTACGGGCTAATCAAAATTTTATGGAAAAAAACTATACCATCTGAAAGAGGAGGTTCCGTTTAGTATGTTCCCAAATTTTCATAATTATTTTTCACGTTTTTAAACGTGAAAAATATTGCGCGTGAATTTTTTCACGCGCAAACACGAAAAAGTTGCGCTCGACCTCAGAGAAATAGCATAGAGAAACGAGAGACACAGCGCATAGAAGGGGGCGGGGCCTAAATACGCTGTGTCTCTCGTGTCTGCATGCTATTTCTCTGAGGTCGAGCGCAACTTTTTCGTGTTTGCGCGTGAAAAATGGTATTTAAACGTGAAAAATAATTATGAAAATTTGGGAACATACTAAACGGAACCTCCTCTTTCAGGTGGTATAGTTTTTTCCATAAAATTTTGATTAGCCCGTACCCCCTTTAATATGAGCAATGGGAAGCTTGTGAACCTACCTTGCTGCTCCTGATTCGACTCATTTCCAGATTGTTGCTGCTTTCCAGCTTGATCCGCGTAGAAGCTTGGAGCGTATGACATTTTTGAGCTGGCTCAAAATTTGCAATGGCTCGAAAATCGTGGATTCGCTCTTTTATACGTGGATTTTTCGGGGGATTTGGGTCACGTTTATTGATTTTTCACATTTTTTTCAAATGTTTCCATCATTTCCGGACATTTTTCCTGTAAAATTAAAAAATAGCTTTTTGAGCACCAGTTTTGGTATAAAACTATCGAAAATGATTTAAACTTGTGTTACTTTCACTAGGAAAAGAGATAAATATGATTTTTTCATTCAAATTCATCGAAAAACACGAAAATGAACAATTTTCGATAAACAAATAAACAAGAAAATAAAAGTAAAAATGGAAGTGCGCCCTACTGATAAAAATTTAATGTCTCGCACTCTCTCAAAAATGTGTGTGTTCTTGCTATGAAACAGTAAAAATGTAGAATAGAATTCAAATTTATTGATTTTTATAAATTTTACTGTTTCAAATTTATTTGAAATGTGTTTTACGCGAAGAAAAAATGATGTTTGTACAAATGTATCAAGAATTTCCTAATAATTATCTTGCTGTTTCAAAAATCTGCAATCTTCGAACTTCTCTTCTGATTTCCGTTAACTCCCACGATTTTTTATCAGGTGTGTTTTATGTTTGTTTTTTTGCCTAGCAACCAACCAATTTTTATATAAAATTTAACATTTTCAGAGCTAAGTTCAAGGTTTCGAGCTAAAATGACAAATGTGCTGGCAAAAATAAAATTTTCCAAATCCTCTTATTATCCCGGTGAAAAAGTGGAGGGATTTGTGGAATTTAATTTCGATAAGGATGAAAATTTGAAGGTGAGTTTTTGGCGGGAAATCAAATTGAATTGCCACGTGGCACTTACAGTATTCCTAGAATTTCAGGTGAATTCAATTGAAGTAACTATGAATGGTGAAGCTCACGCACATTGGCAAGAAGGGTAGGTCAAAAAATATTTTTTAAAATATTAAAAATGTTTTTTTTAAATATTTTCAGGTTGCTAAATCACTCTGCCATCATCAACTACACAAAACATTTCATCAAAGTTCTCGCGGATTCGAAAAATTCTGGAAAAATTGTGGCGAATTTTGATTTTTGCTTCAAACTACCCGATCGAGTTCCGCCAAGTTTTGAGGGGGAATTTTGTGATATTCGATATTTTATTCATGTGAAAATTGAGGGGGGATATGGAGATCTTGCGACTTTGGAGAAGAGTTTTACTGGTGAGCAAAGGGCTTTAAAAATTGGGCCTAAATTAGGCCTGGAAGCCTGAATCGTTTAAGCCTGGAACTAAGCTTAGTAAGGCTTAATTTTGAGCTTGATCTTCAGCATGAGATTTTAATTAAACTTTATTAAGAGCCCAAGCCTAAGCTTTATTAACCTAAATTTTGAAAACCTAAGCTTAAGGCCTAAATTTTGAGCATAAAATTAAGCTTTAGCCTTTAGGCTTTATTTTTGCAGTTCTTCCAATCTCCAACCCCCAACCCAACAACCTCAAAAACCCAATAATCCACATGAAAACCAGCCTAAAACAACCGGACTCTGGAATTTTCGGATGGTTTCAAAACGACATTCTCGAATTGAGCGGCTACATCGTAAAGCGTGAATATTTGTCCGGCGAATACGTAGCACTCAAACTTGTGCTCAAAAATTATTCCAGCCAATTCCCGATAGAATCGCTGAAAATCGACATGATTCAGAGAATTCGAGCGATCGCCAAGAAAAATGTGGAATTCTTTTATTATACAGGAGAATCTGATAATAATCAAATTATTGAGAAAATCTCGGAAAACATTCTGAAATGCCACGTGGAATCTGAAATCAGTTTGAGTCCGCGCACTGAAACCAACTTGAGAATCGATATGAAAGTTCCGAATTCAGTAGCACCGACGATAACTCAAGAGATGTGCACAATTATTCAAGTTGAATATTTTTTGCGAGTTACTGTGGATGTTTCCAATGTTTTTGGGGAGGAAATTGGCGCGAGAACAATCCACGTGGATGCACCAATGGTGATTGGTGGGATTGAAATTGAAAAAGAGGTGGATGGTGAAGAGCCACCGAGTTATGAGCAAATTTTGAATCAAAATATGGAGAAGTTGGAATAAATTATTCATTTTTTGAAATTTTTCAGAAAAAATTACAGTACTTTATTGAAAAATTCAGAAAATCGGCTACCGTAATCTCAGGAACTACAAGTAACTCAAAAAACGTCACTTTTGATCAACATAAAAATTTGAAAACTACAGTATTAATCTTTTTTGCCACGTCATAACTATTTTTTATTGTGAAAAAATTTTGAAGTTGAAATACAGTAACTATTCAAAAATGATTTAGCTAAAAAATTGGCTACCGTAATCCTACAGTAACTCTATGAGAACTTACAGAAAATTCTGTTCTACAAAAAAAATTAGAAACCAAATATGTACAGTACCTCTTCCTACAGTACTAAAATATGTTTGCCACGTCATAACTCTCGAAACCAATTCAATTCAATTCCAAAAAATAATCTGGCATCGAAATTTCATTTATTTATGCAAATCTGCACCTACGCGAATTTTTATTGTGAAATGGAATGAAAAACGGAAAAATAATTTTTTTTGGTTCATTTTTTTGTGTGTGTTTTGCTTTTTTTTGAGATTCAAAAATCACACCGGAAATTCGGATCATCGTAGGAGAAAAAAATGTAAATATTTATTCATTTTTTGGCGTACACCAAAAATTTTTCAAATTTTTTTTTTGAGAAAATTTGAATAGAATAGATCAAAATGAATTAATGTGTGTGAAAATTCCGAATTTTTTTTGGTTTTTGAAAAATTTTCTTTGTTTTGTAGCTCGAAAAATTTAGCCACGTGGATTTTTTTCGCGCAGAAAATCATTAGCAACGAAAAATCTATTAGTTCAAAGCAAAAAAAAAACGCGTGCCTGGTGAAATTCGATATTTTTCCTGTCACACACAAAAAAAACTTTTCAATATTTTTTTTGCAATTTTTCTTCCGGCCCCAAAATCGAATTACTATTTTTTTTTTATTGTTTTGGGCGAAAAAACACATTTTTTTTTCTGCAAACGAGAAAAAAATGAGTTAGTCATGCGAAAAAATGGGGTTTTTCACACTAATTAAATTAAAATTTTATTTTAGTTAGACTAATTAATTAGTTTGAAGTGTGAAAGGAAAGTGTCTGATTTTTTGAAGGTTTGATTTTTTTCCCGACATTTTTCGCATTTAAAAGAGCTCCATAATTATCTGATATTTTCATTTGGTTGCACTTTTTTTTCGAAAAAATTTTCTGGCGTCTAAAATCCAAAATGATGCAATTTTTCTGAACCTATCAATTTTACTTAAAAAAATTTCTGGATTTTTTACGTTTCATAAAAATGATTTCTGAAATTTTGTTTCGAATATTTTTGATGGGCTGATTTCTCTGTGGATAATGAAGAATGGAATTTGGAGGCTGAAGCACCCTAAGACCCGCATCTAGAAATTCACTCTGACAAGGAGCCGCTCCTAGAGATCATATTCCTGAAGTAGCCGAGCCTTGAGAGCTTATTTGCAAAGGAGCCGAGCCTAGAAACCATATTTGTCAAGGAGGCGAGCCTAGAGATACTCTATGTCAAGGAGCCACTCCTAGAGATCATATTCCTGATGTAGCCGCGCCTAGAAACCCTATTTGTCAAGGAGCTGCGACTAGAGATACACTCTGACATTCCAGGAAATATTTTCAAACCACCCCCCCCCCCAACTTTTTGTGGGTTTTTGCCCTCTAAAGACATAAAATACTCCAAAATTTTCAAAAATTAAGAGCCCTACCTCCAAAAATGCACCTAAAGTTCATATATGGACCTTTAATTCGCTAGCCAGCACCTAATCACGTCTCGGGAAAAAGTAGCAAGTTTTGCTTTTTAAAATGTTTAAAAACTCACTTTTCCTCCCAGTTTTCCTCGAAATTCAAAATCATTCGCCTCATAAATTGTTTTCGATATTTCCATGACGTTTTTCCTGTAAAATAGAACTTAATCAAGTACTTTAAACCGAAGAAAAATTCAAAAAAGTACATTTTTCCATAAAATGTCCTTTTGAGCACCAATTTTAGTATAAAACTATCGAAAATGATTTAAACTTGTGTTACTTTTACTAGGAAATGAGATAAATATGAATTTTACAACAAGTTTCATTCGAAGTCATCGAAAAACAATAAAAAACTTTCGACAACCAAAAAAAAAAACAAGAAAATAAAAGTAGAAATGGAAGTGCGCTCTATTGATAAAAGTTGCATGTCGCGCACTCTTTCAAAAATGTGTGTGTTTCTTGTTGCGTTCCCGTTTGTTTATTGATTTTTTTTGTTGAATTTTCGTTTTATCTTGCTGGATTTTTTACGTTTCAACAAAAATGTTTATTTTTTCGAAATAAAATGGCGTTTTTCTCATTTTTCCACCAAAATTGCCCCATCCCATCATTTCAAAATGTGATTTTTGACACATTTTCGCCTCTCATGTCATTATTTTTCCCCTTTTTTCTGTTTTTCTGTGTGAAGAGCTCGAGCTCGATTTTCTTTTTGCTGCTCTTTTTTGAGCCATGTACTTTTAAGAGGAGCTTCAGACTAATTAGTGAGAAAATAATTGGAATTTTCCGGCTGAAAATTCTGGAATTTCTGGGTGAAGTGCATAGACTTATCAAAAATTCATAGAAATTTCTCCAGAAAATTTTTTTTTCTTTTTTTTTTGAAAATTCTCTCAGCTTTTGTGCTCTCTGTCTTTCTCTCTCAAAATTTTTTACACATTTTTTCTGTTTTCATTTTCCGCGGGAACCTTATGACAAAACAGAGATTTTTGATCGATTTTGTTATTTTTTCACTTTTCCAAATCATGTGTTGTTTTTTGTGCCACGTGGCAAAAAACAATAATTTTTTTTGGTAAATAGTGCCAAAAAATATTGAGGGGCAATAAATTTCCCATTTTTATTGACTTGTTTTTTTCTCCGTTTTATTTATTTTTTGGAATAAAAATAAGAAGGAAGTTAGGATAACTTTCAAAATTTTTCTTATAGTAGCGGGCAGCGGGGATAGAACCCGTGACCTTGAGATTGATAGTAGCTAGCACTACCACTAGGCTATCTTCCCCGATAAAAATCGATATTTTCAAAGCCACGTGGCGGAAAAAATGCAGTTTTGTTATAGTAGCGGGCAGCGGGGATCGAACCCATGACCCTAAGTTTGATAGTTGGTAGCACTACCACTGAACCACTTCCTCTCTCCGAAAATCGATATTTTAGCGTTTTTTTGCCGAAATTTTGTTCCTTCTCAAAAAACCGTGCAGAAATACGTTTCAAAAATCTGTGTCTTGAAATTTTCTGTGAAAATAATGATTCTGTTATCCTAAATGTCGAATTTTTCGCGCCAAAACTCCAATATTCAGATTCAAACTGTCGTCCTCCACCAACAATTACACGCGTCCCAAATTCTATCGATCCGAATCGGAAATGTCGCCGATTCCGACGGGTGGCGGCGGAATTTCGCCGCCAGTCATAATCGGCTCCGCACCTCCGCCCCTACATCATCTACATTATTTTGGAGCGGCTTCTTCGGGTGGCGGAAGACTTCGAGATCGATCGCCGAGATTGTCGGTCGGAACTATTGGGGTGAGTTTTGAGGGGGGAACCGCGACGCACACGCGTCGCAGGGTGATAGTAGAACAATCCGCGTGGAAAATAATGAATGTTCAACAATTATATGCCTCAAGTTTTACTTTATGAAAATTTTGAAACAGTGAATTTTTTGGAATGAAAATTCTGAAACAGTGAAAAATAAAATTTCAAAATAAAACAGTTCGCATCCATGTGGTTTTAGTTCAACCGCGACGCACACGCGTCGCTGGTGAGGGAATTGTCTCCGAATTCAAATTTTCTAGAAACATTTTTGCTGGAAATAATCCGTGTCGAGAATTTATTAAAAAATTTTTTCTCAAGTTTCATTTTTTGAAAATATTGAAACTGTGAATTTTTTTCAAATGAAAATTCTGGATTTTTGATGGGAAAAATCTGAAACAGCAAATTTTCAAAATTAAAAAAAGGTTAAAAATCCACGTGGAATTTGAATTTTTCGTGCCAATTTCAATTTGAAAACAATATTTCAATATAAAATTACTTTTTAAAAATTCAAAACACAGTGAAAAATTGTTTTTCCGTTTTTTTTCTGGGAAAAAATCCTCGTGGAAAATAATTTAAAATTCATTTATCACTGGAGTTTGAAAAACTATTTGAAAAATTGTTGAATTTTTCTTGAAACAGTGAAAAATTGTTTTTCCGTTTTTTTTTCCTGTTGGAAAAAATCCACGTGGAATATAATTAAAATTTTACTTATCACTTTAATGTGATCAAAAACTATTTTTTTAAAGTTTTCATTTATGAAAATTTTGAAACAGTGAATTTTTCAAATGAAAATTCTGGATTTTTTGATGAAAAAATTCTGAAACATTAAATTTTCAAAAAAAATTCGAAATCCACGTGGCACAAAAACTTCCCAATTAATTTGGTGCACGATTTTTCTGGCACCACAAAAAATCCAATTTCCCTAAAAGTGCATTTTTTTTCTGAAAAACCTCCCCAATCTTATCGAAATTTTCCATCTATTTTCTCAAAGATTTATACATTTTCTTGAATTTTTTCTCATTTTTTTGCTCTTTTTGAGAGTTGAACTTAAATGTATAATAGTTCCCAGTGGTAAAATTTGTGAGCTCAAAAATCGTTTTCTGAAATTGATACTTGTTTTGTTTTGATCTTCAAAAAAACTTTTTCTCACACTTGAAAACTGATTATATTACGTTACTTTTCCAGTTGTTTTTCTCACTGATTTTTCTTTTTTTTTTTGAAAAATAAAACTGAAAAGTTTTCCCGCCTCGGAAAATCATTGAAAAATCAATTTATACATTATGTAAATACGTTTTGCATATTACATTTTTCATAATATCAATATGTTTTTTTCCAAACCGCCCGTGTTTTTTCCCATGAGAAAAAGAATTAGGTTCATTTTTTTCCAGTAAAAAAAGAAAAAAACAAAACGCCCCCACCAGGCATCGAACCTCCCACCTCTAGCCTTGAAGTGTGTGCCGCAACCAGCTGAGCTACGCGCGCATCTTTTTCAGCAGGTTTAAATGTTAGAGAAAATAAATTAGGGAAAAATGTGCGCTTGACTGACTTTGCGAAACAAAAGAAAACGAAAATTACTTTTTTACGAGTTTTCCTCTTTTTTCCAGCAATGCAATAAATAGTTATTCCTCATATTTTTCCAGTCTGAAATGCGTCGTCATCGTGTCGATTCGTTCTCCGGCTCCACAATTCCACCCACTTCGCCAAACATGCTTCACAAAGGATCGCCCTTTAATCAAGGTTAGTTTCGGTGAAAAACACGAAAATTTGCTGCTGCGCCCATTCATCCTTTTATGTCAAAAGAGCATACACACACTAAATCAGATTTTTTTTTGGCTGGCTCTCCCAATTTTCTCTCGATATATTTTTTTTCGCTATTTCTCCCCCAATTTTCCTAGACGCTTTATATGTCGAATTAATTTTGTCACACACGAAAAACATCGTAAAATACATATAATATTTGTATTTTCCTTCGTTTGCCCAAAAATTGGGGAAAAAACAAAAAAAAATTAATAATTTTCGAAAAAAAAACCATGCGCGCGCTACGAGACCCAAGCAAACAATTGTGTGCGCCTTGAAAATACCGTAATCTTTTTTTTTTCAAAAAAAAATTATTTTTTCACCGGTTTTTTGTCTTTAAAAGTGCGAAAAGACTGACATCATGAAGAAAAAGAAGAAGATGATAATTAGCATAAATGAATAGAATTCCACCCACTTTTCAAACATTTTTCAAAAAGAAACTATGTACATTTTTAACACAAAATGTTCAAATAACCAACCTGTCAACAATTGAAAATACAGTAATCCGATTAATCTTGACCTTAATTCACCCTCGATTTCCTTTTCATTTTTTAGCGCATTTTTATTCGTTCTATCACTTTTATTGTTGTCAAAATTGAATAATTTATTTTTTCCTATTTTTCGTCGATTTTTAATCTTTCGCTCCCTGGGGAAATTGACAAAAAGTTGCAATTTTTTTCGAAAAAAAAAAAATAAACATTTGCTCATTTTTTTTTGGAAATGGGAAGAAAAAACAATTTTTGCGTGAAATTATTATTTTTTCATTGAAAAAAAAAACTTTTTCATGTTCCTTTAAGGTACTGTACATGATTATTCTCTGTATTAAAACCCATCCGAAACATTATATGTTCCTTTAAATTACTGTACTTTCTTTTTGAGGCCCAAAACCCCCCAAAAACCCCGAAAAATCGCGCTCTTCTCGCTAAGCTCCGCCCCTTTCGCACACAACTGATAGCGCGCCACACAACCCGTCAACTGTCGGTCGCCGCGTTTATACACCTCCCCGCAATTTCTCTCTTCTTCCTACCTTACTCGAAATAAAACCCGTCGATGAAGACCAATAAATGACGAATCCTAGAATCCTTGAGGAAACTGAGGCATTTGTCTGAGCGGGAATTTTTTGAAATTTGAATTTTTGGAAAAATGAGAGGGAAAATTTGAATTTATATCGAAAAGGAATAAAATAACATTTAAAATTCATTGAATTTTTATTTTTGTGCGATGTTTTTGTTTTTTTCTATCTATTTTTTTTGCCAGAGTTAGCTCATCTCACACAAAAACACAACTTTTTCTTTGCCTTCCTAGGTAATTTCTTCTTTCTACTCTAATAGTCGGCTAATTGTCCCGAGCCGTTTTTTTTTCGAAAAAACCCTAACTATAGGTATATTCCTTCCTTTGTTTATTGCTTTTTTGCGGAGCTCGAAAAAAAATATATAAAGAAAACTTTTTGTTTATTGATCTGCGCCACGAAAATTGTATAGACAAAAAAATTCTCTTTTTTTTTCGCTGTGCATTGTTCCAGATGTGCTCAGCAAAGTTTTTTCCCCAGCTCGAAATTAAACTTTTTCTTTTCCTGAATTTTTTGAAGAATTCTTGAACACACAAAATTCAATTTAGCATGAAGTGTTTACGAGATTTTTTCGGCTGCCAAATTCAAATTCAAATTTTTTTGCAGGCGCCGGCCGTGGCCGCGGTGTCATGTCTGACAGTCATATGCAGAAGACGTATCATGAGGCGATGCGACAGCGGAGGACAAGTTTGCCGGCGAATAGTTTGGCACTGGGGAAATTGTCGCAGGTGAGTTGGGATATAGCCACGTGGATTTTTTCCCCTAATTTTTGAAGCTGAAAATCCACGTGTACTAAAGACTTATGGCTATTAATCATTTGAATTTTACATACATTTTATTTCTGAAAACTTTGAAACAGTAAATTTTTTTCCCAAAAAGAAATTTTACACGTGGATTTTTTGGGGCCTTAAATTCGAGTATGAATTAAAAATTATTCAACTTGGTTTCATTTTTGAACATTTTGAAACAGTAAATTTTTTTGTGTGGGAAAAATTGTAAGACGTGGATTTTTCGCGATTTCAAAATTCGAAGGCTTATTGAATTTCATATATCTTTTTTTTATTTCTAAAAATTTTGAAACAGTAAACTTTTTTTTGGAAAAAAAATTTGAAACGTGGATTTTTTTTCGCTGAAAATCAAAACGGACCAAAATTTTATATATTTCGGTTTTCTTTTTGAATATTTTAAAACAGTGAATTTTTTTCGGGGAAAAAAATTTTGACACGTGGATTTTTCGCGGTCTAAAATTCGAATATGAATTGAGTTTTATATGTCTTAGTTTTATTTGTAGAAATTCTGAAACAATAATTTTTTTTGAAAAAAAAATTTTACACTTGGATTATTGGGGCCATGTTTTTTTGCTTTTTAAATTTTTTTTAAAACAGTAAATTTTATTGTAGATTTTTTGTGCAAAAAATTGGCCACGTGGATTTTTTTAATGGAAAATTCGGATTCATATTGAATTCTATATATCTTGGTTTTTTTTCTGAAAATTTTGAAACAGTAAATTTTTTGTGATTTTTTTCTGAAAAAAATTTTACACTTGGATCATTGGGACCATTTTTTTTTATTTTTAAATTTTTTTAAAACAGTGAATTTTTTTGTGAAAAAATTTTTTGACACGTGGTTTTTTTCAAACTAGAAAATGTTCTATGGTAAAAATCATATGATTTCAAAGAAGGATTTGAAAATCACGTGAGAATTCAGGGATCAAGTTACTAAATCTCGAAAAAAAACATTTGCCACGCGGGGATTTTCTGGCGCGAAAAAACTAAAATTCAAATTTTCCAGATCACCGGCTCTTCATTAAGCGAGGCGAAAGGTTTGATTGCCGACATGTTGATGAGTCGAGAGCTGCCTGGAAATGTTGCCACGTGTTTGAGAGCCGTTGCCACGTTGTTGGAGCAAAGGGTGAGTTACAGTAGGCCTTGCAGTTTGGGGTACTGTAATTTTGAACTGCAAGATTTATTGAGGTTTCTGAGCTACAGTACTGCTTGCAGTTCGGAGTACTGTAGTATTTTTTGGTTTGAGATTTTATTTCAAAGGAAACCCTACAGTATATTTTGGTTAAGCACTACAGTATCCCTTGCAGTTCGGATTACTGTAATTTAGAATTTTAGCTCTATGAAAATGAGTTTCCAAAAAATATTGTATTTATTCTTGAGCTACAGTACCCCTTGCAGTTCGGAGTACTGTACTTTTGCTTTGAATATGGCAAACACTACAGTACTCTTTGCAGTTTGGAGTTATTGACAATTCAGCTACAGTAGTCCCTACATTAATTCTCCCCCAGTAGATCACAATATGCTCGGGTTACTGTAGAATTTTGTATTGGATGTCTGAACTACAGTAATACATGCAGTCTGGGGTACTGTATTTTTATCAGACGTAGTTCCATAGGATTAACTACAGTACACCTTGCAGTTCGGATGACTCATAAATATTAGCTACAGTAATCTCTATTTGGTATTGTAGAATTATGTAGATCAAAAATAGGTTCTCAAGAAAATTCAAAAATTATCTACAGTAACCCGGGTTACTGTAGAGCATTTCTGGTCCCAAAAAATCTGTAATTTTCAGCCGAATCACATGAATGGTCTCAATGATTTTGGTTTACCGTGCGTCGTCGAAAATCCATATAGTGGAGAACAACTTCATGTTGGGGTTAGTTTTTTTTTTGAATTTTGAATTTTGAAATTAGAATTTGCCGCCAAAAAAAGGGTCCGAAAAAGGGTAAAAAAAAGATCAAAAGTTCAAAAATTTGTACAATTTTTTGTTGGTTTTTTTTCTCTTCGGGGAAAATGGAACATCTGTCAACGATTTTATACATTTTCTCGAACATTTTTTTCGCTCTCGCGATTTTTTGTGACGAAAATCTGCCTAAGTACTTCCGATTTGTGCTAATTCGATTTTTTTTCTCAAAAAAAAGGGATTTTTTTTCGAGATTTTGTGAGGAAAAATGTGATATTTTTTGATTTTTTGAATTTTCCGCTAAAAAAATGCTACGTGGCAAGTTTTTAGCGACTAGGCGCTGCTATTTGACGTTGAAGTTCTCAAGTCGCGGGTCCTTGTCAGAGTGAACCTCTAGGAGGGAGTGCTAGACTTTTAGGTTCTCAAGGGGCGGCTGCTTGAAAACTAGAACCTCTAGTCGAGGCTACTTGTCATAGTGAATCTCTAGGAGCGAGTGCTAGACTTTTAGGTTCTCAAGGGGCGACTGCGAGAGATCTTGGCTCTCTAGGCTCGACTGCTTGACATAGACACTCTCAAGGAGTGGCTCCTTGTCATAGTGAACCTCCAGGAGCGGGTCCCATGCAGATGGGTTTTCTAGGCGCGGCTGCTTGAGAAGTAGACTCTCTAGGCTTGGCTGCTTGGCATAGTGAACCTCTAAGAGCAAGGCCTAGACGTTTAGCTTCTGTAGGCTCGGCTACCTGACAAAATTGTTCTCTAGACTCTGATACTAGCCAATCACACTTCCTAGGCTCGGCTCCTTGTCAAAGTTTATCTCTAGGCGCTACTCCTAGACGTTTAGCTTCTCTAGCGGCGGCTACTTGAGAACTAGGCTCTCTAGGCTTGGCTCCTTGGTTTCAACTATTTCCTCCCAATTTCTCTCCACGTTTTTTCTTCGAAACTTTTTTTTGCCAAAGAAAAATTCAATTTCAAACCCAAATGGTCTCATTTTCTCCATTTTTTCGAAATTCGTTTATTTTTTTCCAGTTTTCCAGTTTTTTCTCTGAAATTTTGTTTCTGTCTGAAACTATTATCTAGGAAAAACCATACAAAATCCAATTTGCGCGCACTTTTTCATTTCTGCAAAAAAATATGAGATTATCTCATTTAATGCCATTTTTGCTTGCTCATTGATTTTCTGAAAGTGCACAACACATTTTCAGAATTTTCAGACAAATTTGTTTTTTGTCTGAAATTTTTTCGTGCAAGAAAAAAAATAGATGTGAAAATATGAAATGTGTATTTTATTACAAAACAAATATTATTTTTTTTTGAAGAATTTTGTAGAAAAAATATTTTTGGAATTTTTTTGACACGTAGATCAAAATTTTTGGATTACTGTAGAAGTGTTTAAAAATTTCTGAATTTCAAAATTGGAATATTTCGCGCCAAGACCAATTTTGACGTCATTTTTCTGCATTTTTTCAATTTTTTTTTTTTGAAAAAATCAGGATGTGCGCAATTAAAAAGTTCTTCTTTTTTCTCTTTTTGCTCCTCGTAGACTACCGTACACCCACGTATTTCTTTTGAAAAAGAAAAAAAATGTTTTTCAATTTTTTACTATTGAAAAATAATGAATACACTCGTGATTAATCCTGAAGGGGAAAAAAGTGCGCGAATTTTTTTTTTCAAAAAAAAATTATTTTTCTCTGATTTTTTTTCAAAAAAAAGAGTTTTTTTCACACGAGAATTGCAATTCTCCAACAATTTTTAATCTTTTTATTTTCGCGCCAAAAAAAAAGGAAAAAAGTTGCGAAGTTTTTTTTTGTCTCCGGAAAAAATTGGCTTCATTTAATTTTTTTGGCGAGCCGCGAACTCATTAAAAATTGTTTTTCTCCACTTTTATTTTTTGAGAAGCTGAAGAATTAATTTTTGATTTTTGAGAAAAAAATGCGCGAAAAATCCACGTGGCAAAATTTAATTTGAAAAAAAAATTGAATTTTGAATTTCAAATTTTGTGCGAAAAATTCCACGTGTCAAAAAAATTTAGAAAAAAAAAATCCACGTGGCAAAAAATTCCCACGTCATCTTTTTCCTGAATTTTGAATTTCAAAAATTTTTGAATAATTCTGAAAGTTAAATTTTTTTCAGAAACCAAAATGCCACGTTTCAAAAAAATTTTAAAAAAGTTCCACGTGTCAAATATTTCTTACTGTAAATTGAGCCACGTGGCACAAATTTTACTTTCAGAATTATTTTCGGAAATTTCTAAAACTCAAAATTCAAAATTTTTCCAAATTAAATTTTGCCACGTGGCACAAAATTCCCACGTCATCTTTTTTTTTCTGAATTTTTTGAACTCTGAAAAAAAATCCAGGTGAATTTTTCTCTCGAAAACTATCGACTTTTCGCGGCTGCACTTTAATTTTCCAGATTTTCTGTCTGAAAACTTTTTCAGCCAAATTTTTTCTTGTTGTTTATTCTTGCTGAACACTTATATTTTATGCGAGGAGCAATTTGATTTGCTCCTCTCAAACACGACGAAAACACACTTTTTTTCTGATTTTTTATTCTCCTCCGCCTCCTTTTTCTAGATAATATTCGCATTTTCCCTAATCTGTTGCTGAAATTCACTAATTTTTTCCGGAAGTTCTTCTAACTTTCTCTGATCAAAAGATGCCACCTCCACCAACGCCAACTCCAAATTCTTCCACCACAAATTCAACAATCCCACGAAGCGCTTCTGATCTTCAACATCGAACATCAGTGAGTTCGAGAGCTAGTTTGGTGCATCGCGGGTCGAGTTCGCGCAACTCGACGTCTTCTGTAAGAGAGATGCATATTGTTGGACAATGTGCGAATTGTGATTTGGATTTTCGGTGTACTTGTTGTTGGAAATGCTCGCATTTGTCTTTGGCCTATTTGCCGGTGAGTTTCTTGATTTTTTTTTTCGTGATCTAGAGAGGATTTGGAGCATTTTGATACCCATATTGCTCAGGTTAATCACTTTTTTGGGTGTTTTTCGTAAAGGAGCATTCTCTCTCTAAGCATTATTGCTCATATTAGATCAGGTCAGCTTTTCTTAAAGGCGCATAGTCTCCCAAGGCTTTGGGTCTCGCAATGATATTTTTGGAAATTGAATTTAGAGCATTTCGATACCTATATTGCTCAGGTTAATATTTTCTGGGTTTTTTCTTAAAGGCACATGCTATCCCCAGGATTTAGGTCTCATCACGATCTTCTTTGAAATTAATTTTGGAGCATTTTGATACCCATATTGCTCAGGTTAATCTTGATCTTCAGAAACTCAGTCTTCAAAATTTTCTTAAAGGAACATACTCCCCCCAGTCTTTGGGTCCCGCCACAATCTTTTTTGAAATTAAATTTGGAGCATTTTGATATCTATATTGCTCAGGTTAATCACTTTTTTTGGGATTTTAAAAGAACATAGTTTCCCCAGGCTTTGGGTCCTGGCACGATCTTCTTTGAAATTAAAATTAGAGCATTTTGATACCCATATTGCTCAGGTTAATATTTTTTTTGGGATTTTAAAGGAACATACTCTCCCTAGGCTTTGGGTCCCGCCACGATCTCCCTTTAAAACTTCACAACCTCCCACTTTTCATACACCCTCTTGTATAGAATTTCAAGCCGAACACGATAAGCTAGGTTTGATAGATCAAAATCCGAAACCAAATCCTTCAAATTCGAAAAAAAACAATTATACTTGACGTCTTTCCGGGATTAACTAACAATTGTTTTTTATCTTTTCAAATGTCTTTTTTTCCAAAAAAAAATTATGATGTGATTAATCCGTGATCTTCTAAAACATTTTTTTTCTTTTTTTTTCTTGCAAAATGAAAAAAAAAATAGTAGATCAGAGTAAAACTCAATTTCAACAAGCATTCAAAAAGTTCCGCTTCTTTTTCTTCATTTTTTTTGGAAAAATGTGCTCGGTGAGCACATTTTCCTAGGATTACTGTACATTTTTCGTCCGATTAATGTGATGTTTTTTATGAGCCATCATCATCATATTTGGGCTCATTTTTCATTTTTTAGACAAGAAAAAAGGTCTAAAAAATATTTTTTTTGTTTGTTTTTGTTATGAATTTTTTGAGGGGTGAATGATAAAAAAAAATGACCAAGTTATTCATTTTTTTTTTGAAAAAAATTGTTTTGAAATTTTTTTTGAATAGAAGATTTTTCAAAACTCTGAAATTTTGATGAGAAAAATCCACGTGGTACAGAATTTTTGAATTCTCAAATTTTCATTTCAAAAAATTTTGAAATTCAAAAATTCTACGTGGAATTTAAATTTGAACCGGAAAATTTGCTGTAGAAGATTTTTCCGAATTTTTTCAATTGGAAAAATTTCTCAAAAATCCACGTGGCACTGAATTTTTGAATCCTGAAATTTTCGTTTAAAAAAATTTTGAAATTTAAAAATTCCACGTGGAATTTTCATTTGAACCGAAAAATTTACTGTAGAAGATTTTTCAGAATATTTTAAATTAGGAAAATTGCTCAAAAATCCACGTGGCACAGAATTTTTGAATTCTGAAATTTTCTGTTTTTTTTTCTAGAATTAATTTTTCTCCGACAAATCCACGTGGCACAATGTTTAAATTCTAAAATTTTTGTTTCAAAAAATTTTGAAATTTTCGTTTAAAAAAAATTTTGAAATTTAAAAATTCCACGTGGAATCAAAAAATTATGATTTTCTTGAATTCTGAACTTTTTCCCACCAAAAATTCCGAAATTAAAAAATTCCACGTGTAGCAATTCTACTCCTCGAGAACTACACACAAATCACCAAAAATTAATTAGGTGCGTGCAAGTTTTGACGAAAAAATAGACTAGAAGCTCAGCTAATAAAATTTCCAGCTCGCGAGCCATTTTTTTTCATGCTCAAATTTCATTTTTTTTTCTAGTTTCCCCGGGCAACAAACCCTAATTTTTCACTCTCAAAAAAGATATCAAAAGTTGGCCAAAAAATTGCGAGTTTGAGTTTTGACCTCCTCACAAATTTTCTTTTTGTGCTCTTTTTTGCTTGCTCCAAAGCAAAAAAAAAATTTTTTTTGCGATTTTTTTGAGCCTAGATATGTTTATTTACATTTTTCCGTCAAACAAAATTCTTTTTTGTTACTCCACGAAAAAAAAATATTTCCATTTTTTTCTAATTACACTAACTCAATGCATCTTTTGTCTGCGTAGTGCTTTTCTTTTTTTTTGTTTTGTTTGAATGAAAAAAGTAGAGGAAAAAACATGTTTTTTCCCGGTGTTTTTGGACTTTTTTTGAACTTTGCTTTTTTTCTTGGGAGAAAATGGATTTTTTTCTGGGATTTGGCTAATTTTTTGAGAATTTTTAAGAAAATAATTTTTTTCAAAATTCGAATTTCATATAGAATTTTTCTGAATTGTTTAAAAATCCACGTGGCAAATAGTTTAAATTTAGGAATTTCTGTCTGAAAATCTGAAAATTTTGAGCCGAAAATCCACGTGGCAATTAATTTTGAAAATTTTTATGAGCTCCGATTCTTAGCTCGAGGTTCTGAAATTTTCCTGCCAAGGAGCCGAGCCTTGAGATCCTAGTTGTCAAGCAGCCGCGCCTAGAGATTCACTCTGTCAAGGAGCCGAGCCTAGAGAGCATAGTCCTGGAGGAGCCGCGCCTTGAGAACCCATCTGTTAAAGGAGCCGCACCTATAGATTTACTCTGGATAGCATCCGCGCCTTGAAAGCTGCTATGTCAAGTATCCGCGCCTAGAAAACCTATCTGTCAAGGACTCGCGCCTATAAAATCTAGTTCTCAAGCAGCCGAGCCTATATAATCTAGTTTTCAAGCAGCCGAGCCTATAGAATCTAGTTCCCAAGCAGCCGCGCCTATAGAATCTAGTTTTCAAGGACTTGCGCCTTGCGAACCCATCTGACAAGTAACCGAGCCTTGTGATCCACTCTGGCAAGAATCCGAGCCTTGACTAAATTTCAAAAACTTCCAGATTTTCCATTTTTTTTCCGCAAATTTCTCTAGACCCTCTTCAGATCCCATTATCTCTAACCCCAAACCTAACTCAATTTTTTTTGCTAGCAATAAAAATCCTCCTTCCTTCCTCTTGTCCACTTTTTTCAAATGTCCATTTTTTTCGAAAAAAAAGTGTGCTCTTTTTTTCCTGCTCCAAAACAACTCAGAAAAAACACAGCTGTTTTCCATCGAAAAAATGTATTATTTTTCTAGCTTTCTAGTATTTTTTTTCATATAAAAAAGAAAGTTTAGCGCAAAAAAATGCTCAAAACTTTTCTTTTTTTGGGCTCAGATTTCTGAAGAGCACACACAAATTAGTGCACTTTTTCAATTTGATTCTTGCTTTTTTTTTCGCGCCCGAGACGACACAACATACAAATTATATACAATTATGCACACTTTTCGCCCCGAGTTCCGCTAACTTTTTTGTTTTTTTTTTTGGAAAATGTTTTGAAAATAAGACAGCTTTCTTCTCGTTTTTCAATTAATTTTCTCGTGGGACCAGTGGATTTTTTATTGTTGTTTTGACCAAACAAAAAAGTTGGGTTAGCGAAAAAGTTACGTCACTTTTTAGGAGCCCAAATGTGACTTTTGGTGTACTTTTAGGGTTTGAAAATTAAAAAAAATAAAAATAAAACGTTGTTCGTCGGGTGGGGGTCGAACCTGGGTTCTGCGAACGCGAGGCACGCGTGCTCACCACTCGGCCACAGGGCTGTTTTTCTCTGCACTCCGAAATTTCGCATATAAAATGGGTGGTAGAAAATTATTAGCGCATTCTTGAGAGCGCGCGCGAAACGTTGAAAATTCAAATTTCCCCCAAGTCTAGACGAAAAAATCCTCAAATTTCACCCCCGAGCTTCGAAAAAAAACGCCAAATTCTCCTTTTCCTCCCCCAAAAATCGCAACATCTCGTGTAATTCCGTGAGAAAATCATCGTTTTTTGCGTGACTACAAAAAAGTTTCCCTAGGGGTCAAATTGATTTGTACACACACATACACACATAAATGCACAGATTTCTATTTATTTACTACTAGGCTCCTGAAAAAAAAACAAAAAAAAAGTTTTTTGGCCAGCTGTCTAAGCTTTTTTGTTCCTTTTTTTCCCAAAAAAAAACAAAGTCACGTGTGTTTTTTTTTCTGTTTTTGAACACTAGGAAATCTGGGAGAGTTGGATTTTATTAGATTTTTTGGCACCTCCCGGAAAAAGCTTTTTTCTTTTGTTTTTCTACTTTTTTTTGGGTTGGAGCCAGATTTTTTGTGGAAATTTTCTGATTGAAAACTTGTAGATCAAAAAAATTTCCGAAAATCCACGTGGCAGGATTACTGTAGTCCTAGATGAAATCTGGATTTTTGAATATAAAATTTTTGTATTTAAAAATTAGTCAGCATTTCAAGGCGCGGCTGCTTGACAATTGATTTTTCAAGGAGCAGCTACTTGACCCTCAGCATTACTAAGCTCGGCTCCTTGCCAATTGGAGTCTCTAGGAGCCGCTACTTGAGAGCCAGAATTTTTAGGCCCGGCTCCTTGACGATCAAATTCTCTAAGCTTGGCTACTTGGCATACACGCTCAAAAGGCTCGACTCCTTGTCGAAGTGGTTCTCAAGACACAAGTCCTTGACAACTAGGATTCCTAGGCTTCGCTACTTGAAATTTATATTCTCTAAGCTCGACTGCTTGAGAACTAGGGTCTCTAGGCGCAGCTACTTGACACCCAGCATTTCTAGGCTCGGCTCCTTGACAATTCAATTCTCTAGGCACGAATACTTGAAAAATTCTCATTTTTTCTCCCTCAATTTTTCCCCGAGACAAATTTTACTCATATTTTTTCGCAATTTTTTTCTCGCTCGATTAACAAGACTAATATATTCACATTTTCGCTCATTTCTTCTATTTTTGCTCAAAAAAAAAATTTTTTTTTGTTGATCATCGAAGAAAAATGAATCATTTTTTTGTTGTTGGCTCCCCGCGCGGCGGAGCCAACTTTTCAGGATTAATTAAATCCTGAAAATGAGCAAGAAAAGTTCAAAAACTCATTCATTTCTGAATAAAATGTGTATGTGAGTGGGGGCTCTTTTTTTTTTTTTACTTTTCCTTTTTCTCTCCACACTTTTTTTTGATGATGAATTTTTTTTGCTCCGCCGCGAGAGCCGCAGAAATGTTAGGAGGCTCGTCGTTTTTTTTTGTGGAGCATCATGTCGTGCTCTCATCATTGATTTTCAGATGAGATGGAGATGAATTAGATGATACTTTTTCCCTGAGTTTCAGAAATTGCTTTGGGCCTTTTCGGGGTCCAAAAAGCCTGGATTTGGGTTTTTCTAGGTTTGTCAGAATCTGAAAATTCCAGCCCATTTCTAGAGTTTCAGAAATTTTTCTGGAATTTTCTAATTCTATTTTGAACTTTTTTTTGAGCTAAAATTCTAGAAATTTTCAGATTTTCAGACTTTTGATCTCTATTTCTCATCTTTTTCCCAAAAAATTTTCCAATTATAATTTGAAATTGAAAAAAATTTGCATTTTTATGATACTTTTTTCCTCTTCTTCTTTCTTCTTTCTTTTTTTTTTGGAATAAAATTTGGAGTACTGTAGCTCCTCATTTTTAGCGCGAAAATATACGTTTCAAAAATTTTTAAATGAAAAATTGTGATCTGGATTTTTTTCAATTCTGAATGTGAGCCCAAAATTTGATCTACAAAAAAATATTCTGAAAGTACTGTAGCTCATTTTGGGGCTAGAATTCTGGAGATTACTGTATCTCCTCATTTTTAGCGCGAAAACTCAAATTTTCCAAAATTACTGTAGCTCATTTTTAGCGCGAAAACTAAAAATTTCAAAAATGTTAAATATACGTTTCAAAAATTTTATATGAAAAAGGCCCAAATTTTGATTTACAATACAGTAATTCTGCTAAAAATCCCCGCCAAAAAGTTGCAACATTCCTATGCATTGCTCATATTATTTCCAATCGACTAAATGTCTCAAAGATTGGATGTTTTTCTACTTTTCTTTTCTTTTTTTGCTGACATCAAATTGGCCAGGAAAAAACCACTTTTTTCCTCAAAAATCACTATTTTTTGGGCCGGAAATTCAGATTTTTTGGATCAAAAAATCATGGATTTTTGTTTGGATTTTTGGATTTTGAATTGAAATAAATTGGGCGGCTTCAATCAAAAAAGCTCGATTTATTCATTTATTTATTTTCATGTATGTTTTCTAGCCACAGCCAAACAAAAAAAAATTGAAAATGGAAATGGAAATTGTTATTAGGTTTGTATTCATTCGTCTTGTTTTTCTGCAGCGTTTTCTAGGGGATACTGTAGGTTTTGGCGCCAGAAATTCGGGATTTTTTCTGAAATACAGTGGATTTTCTTTTTTTTAATTCACTGTTTCAAAAATTCAATATTAAAAATGAGGATTCTCGAAATTTCGATGTTGCTACCATTTTCTTTAGCTACAGTAATTTAAAGGAACATAACTTTTTTTTTCTAAAAAGGAAACTTGGTTTAATTTTTATAAGAAAAAGGGTACTGTATTTAAAGGCGCAAAAATTATTTTTTCAAAAAAAAAAATTTACTGTTTCAAAAATGTCATATCAGAAATTAGGATTCTCGAAATTTTGATTCTGCTCTGCCAAGATACAGTAATTTAAAGGGACATATATTTTCTGAAACTGAGGAAAACTTGGGGATTTCTGGTTACTGTAGGTTTAAAGGATCATTGGGTTCAGTTATTTTCAGGGGAAAAGAGGTACTGTATTTAAAGGCTCAACAATTTTTTTCTCAAAAAAAAAATTCACTGTTTCAATAAATTTTTATTAAAAATGAGGATTTTTCAAATTTTGATTCTTCCTCCGTTACAGTACCTTAAAGGGACATAGCTCTATTTTCTGAGAGGAAGTTCGAGATTTTTGGTTACTGTAGGTTTAAAGGATCATTGGGTTCAGTTATTTTCAAGAGAAAAGATGGTACTGTATTTGAAGACGCAACATGTTTTTTTTCAAAAAAAAAAATTCACTGTTTCAAAAATTTCATATCAAAAATGAAGATATTTGAAATTTTGATTCTGCGTTTTGTCTCAAGCTACAGTAATTTAAAGGTGCATCTAAGTAGAAAACCCCTTAGGTTTAGGGTTACTGTAGGTTTAAAGGATCATATGAAATTATAAATTTTTTGTGATGTTTAAAGGATCTTTCTACAGTAATATTTTGGCGCCAAAAATTATGATTTGTTGTTTTCTCTGCAAAAATAAAAATAATCTAATTCGATTTCCGATTATTTTCTGTTCAATCTGACGTGAATAATATATTTTTTCGTGTATTTTTTCTTGTTCGTCTGAAAAATCTTCCTCGAATTTCTAGCCCTTGTATATGCTTTCACGTCGAAGTGAATCGCATTCGCCGGCGGCTCCGCACCGCCTGAAATCCGCAAGCGTCGGCTCGGCCACCGATGATAATTTGATCTACACAACATTGTTGCGTAAAAAATTCGCAAAATGTTTCGGATTCTCGCAGAGTTCAAGTTCCTCGTCGAAATCCACAAAAGCTATTCAGACGATGCCGATGAGTGAAAGCGATTTGAATTTGGCTTGTTGTCAGGTGGTTACGGAAGTAAAAATATTGGAATTTTGGGGAAAATTGTGGCCTAAATCTCTCAAAACCCTTTATAACTCTCTATTTTCCAGGCTTCCAAACCACGCGTCTCAAACATCACATTCTCCACAGTCACCTCAGCCACCGGTCTTCCCACGATTGCCGCCGAACCCAACAAGGCGCGCTCAAGCAGGCAAGTTTTATCACCAACATTTCACCCCAGCTCTCTCGCCTGGCCGCGTGGCGCAATGGATAACGCGTCTGCCTACGGAGCAGAAGATTGTAGGTTCGAATCCTGCCGTGGTCGAGAATTTTTTTCTTTTTTTTTGCAATTTTATTTTGTTTGCCTAAAAATATCCAATTTCAATTTTTTTTTCATCGAAAAACAAACATTCTTTTCACTTCTTCTCGCTTCTCTAGTTCTCTAGGCTTTTATGGGTGTAAATCACCTGTTTTTTCTTGAGAGATTTAGAGAAAAGGGTAGAGAAAAACTTTCTAATTAGCTTCATTTATTATTTCTTTTTCTCGAGAAGAAAACGACAAAAAATTGTATTTTTACTCCGAAAAAATGTAGATGCACTTTCTGTTTTCCCCCCAAAAAAATCCATCCACTTTTGTGTTGTTTTTTGTCCAAAAAATTTTTTTTTCTTTTCCGGGCCCTTTTTTCTGAACAACTCTAAGATGACAAAAAAAACAAAAGGTTTTTGGTGTTCGAAAAAATCTTTGACTTCTTTTTTTGGGGAAAAACGCAACAATTTTTCTTTTTAGAACTTTTTTGGCACAATTTTTTTTCAGAATTTTTGTTAACGCTTGAAAAAATATTCAAGAAAAACTGAAAAACAACACAAATTCAGGCTTCTATCGATTTTTTCTGCGAAAAAATTACCCTTTTCTCTGAACCCTCTCGATTTTCTGCACTATTTCGCAGCTTTTTTGATCTCTAATTGTTTTTGTTGTTTGTGGAAAAAATAGGAGGAGAAGGCACGGGGGAAAAAATAGAAGAAGAAAATTGGCGAAAATTCAATTTTCGCCACACGCTTTTTTTGTGCATTTTTTATTGAGAGACAAGATGCTCTCCGTGAACGTTTTCAGAGAGGCAGAAGCTCTCTGAAATTGTTTTTTGTCGATTTTTCTGGAATTTTTCAGAAGGTTTTCTAGTGTATTTTTTCTTAGAAAAGAATTGAAGCTGGATCAATAAATTCCTGAAAACTGTTTTTCGAAATCAATTTTTTGAAACAGTGATTTTTTCTGAAATTTTTTAACCAGATTTTCAGTTTTGTGACTAATTTTTGAACAGGTTTCTTTTTCAAATCAATTTTTTGAAGCAGTGATTTTTTTTTCTCTAAATTTCATAATTTTTTCTGAAATTATATGGAACAACTTGTCTGAATCAATTGTTGATCAGATTTAATTTTCTCAAATCTAAATTTTTTGAAACAGTGAATTTTCCGGAATTTTCAAATTTTTTTCAGAAATTTTTTGATAAAATTGTCTATTTATTAATTTTTGATCAGACTTATTTTTCAAATCCAAATTTCGAAACAGTGCATTTTTCTGAAATTTTCAAACCTGGTTTCTAAATTTTTCAAATTTTACCTGACAAAAATAAATTTAAGGAATACTTTTTTTGAGATGTCCGAAAATTGAATCAATAATTTTTGAAAATGCACATTTTATTCAAATCTAATGGGGTGAGTCATAAAAATAAATTGACAAAAAAAGTGCGATTAATTTCACGTTTTTTGTCAATTAATCGTATTTTTTCAGAAATGAATGCGATTAATTGACAAAAAACGTGAAATTAATCGCACTTTTTTGTCAATTTATTTTTATGACTCACCCCATAAATTTTGAAACAGTGAATTTTTTCTGAATTTTCAAATTTTTTTCTGAAATTTTACCGAACAACTTTTCTGATTGATCAATTGTTGATCAGATTAAATTTTTTCAAATCTAAATTTTGAAACAGTGAATTTTTCTGAAACTTTTCAAACCTGGTTTCTAAATTTTTCAAATTTTACCTGACAGAAAAATTTTAAGGGATATTTTTTTCTGAAAAATCAGGAAATTGAATGAATTATTTTTAAAAATGCACATTTTTTTCAAATTTAAATTTTAAAATAACTTTTTTCTGAAATTTGTAAATCGTTTTCATTAATTTTTGATCAGTTTTTATTTTCTCAAATCAAATTTTTGAAACAGTGATTTTTTTCTGAAATTTTTATATAATTTTTTTCTAACATTTTTTGAACCTGACTAATTTTTCATCAAACTTTTTTTTCAAAATCCAAATTTTGAAACAGTGAATTTTTCTGAAATTTTTCAACCAGATTAATGTTGTGACTAATTTTTGAACAGGTTTCTTTTTTAAATCAAATTTTTGAAACAGTGAATTTTTTCTCTTCCCAAAAACTTCTCAAAAACTCCCCCCTAGCCATGACTAACTCTCTAATTTCCATGACATTTTTCTCATCAGATTTTCTCGAAAAAAATTATGCTAATTTACTAGCTCTGCACTTTTAGGTTTTCGAGTTCACAAAAATTTCAGACATTTTTTCAGCTATAAAAAAAATCTGGAAAAAATAGAGCGAGAGCAATTTTCAAGCGTAAACAACTCAGGCCCTAATTTGAAAGGGGCTATGAATTATTTATGAGCTCTGGATTTTTAGAGCTCTAGAAATATATTTACTGAAGGGCTTTAAGGCCTTAAGGCCTTAAATTTAGGGCCTTAAGGGCCTAAAGATTTTTTTTAGGCTTAGGATCTAGGCTTAGAACCCTTATTTTTGAGCCCTTCGGAAATTTCGTGATTTTTTTTGCTCATCTCACTTTTTTCCCAATTATTTATAAATAACCAATTATCCTCTAGGAACTTTAACATGAGCAATGTTTAAAAAATCGAGCTCCGCTTCTTCCGCTTCTGCTCCATCAACATCTGCCGAAATTCAGCCATTCGGGGTGATGGTTGTGAATCGATTGCAGCGAAGAGTCAACTCGCCGTTGACAGCGTTTGCCAGGCAGGGAACCCCTAATTAATTTTAATTAGCACTAATTAGCAGCCTAATTATCTAATTAATTAATTAATTAATTATTTTTTAGCTACTGGAAACCTGAGCAACACGATTCCACGTCCACCAATCAAACTTCGACATCAACATCCACGTCGACGATAACATCAGCGCCACCCAATCACAATCACAGCCACAATCATCACACTTCAGAGCACTTGCGGAAAGAATCGGTGTCGCGGAAGGAAAGCGGAAGCCACGTGGATACGGTCGTCACCACCATCGATGGACAAAGATATGATACGAAAGAACTAGATGGCGATCAGGATTTGGCTGATGTTGAGGATTGGGGATTTCCGATCTTTAATTTTGCCAAGAAGTATCCCAAGACTTGTTTGAGTAGGGTGAGTGATTTCAAATTTATTTGAACTCAAAATTGGAGGGCTCACAGATGAGCTCAAGTTCCCAGGGCAACGCTAAATTTCAAAAAAAAATTAACTGGCCGCTGAAGCGGTAGATAGTGCCGCTACGCGGAAGATTGCGCGGTCTACACTTGCTCCGCTCGAGCAGCGTCAAAAATTGACGAAAAATAGCAAATGCGCTCCATTGAACACTTACCGTTTTGTTGGAAAATTCAAATTTTCATTTTTTTTCTATCGGTGAATTTTAATCTAAAATAGTCCTGGAGCTTGAAAAATGCTCAATTTCTAGCCAAAAACCATAAGAACATGCGATTTTCCACTAAAAATTGACTAAAAATAGCAAATGCGCTCCATTGAACTTTCACCGTTTTGTTGGAAAATTCAAAAAAAAAATTATTCTTATGGTGAATTTTGGGCAATTGCTCATGTTATAGACAATTCGGAGCTGAAATGAGCACTGACAATTGAATTTTTAAAGTTCAAGTGCTCATTTCAGCTCAAAATTGTCTATAACATTAGCAATGGCTCAAAATTCATCGAAAAATGAAAATTTGAATTTTTCAACAAAACGGTGAAAGTTCAATGGAGCGCATTTGCTATTTTTAATCAATTTTTGACGCGAAATCGTAATTTTAATGGGTTTTGGTGCTCCAGGACTCATTTCAGCTCAAAATAGTCTATAAAATGAGCAATGGCTCGAAATTCATCAAAAAATGAAAATTTGAATTTTCCAACAAAACGGTGAAAGTTCAATGGAGCGCATTTGCTATTTTTCGTCAATTTTTGACCCGAAATCGTGTTTTTAATGGGTTTTGGTGCTCCAGGGCTCATTCCAGCTCTAAAGGGGCTATAACATGAGCAATGGCTCAAAATTCATAAAAAATGAAAATTTGAATTTTTCAACAAAACGGTGAAAGTTCAATGGAGCGCATTTGCTATTTTTCGGCGGAAATCTCAATTTTCGCAAGTGCAAACCGCAAGCTTCCACGCGCAAGATCTACAAATAGTAACCCAAAATTTTCCAGCTCACCTACACAGTCTTCCGTCAAGCCGATCTCTTCCGCATCTTCAAAGTCTCGCCCATCAAATTCTTCAACTACTTCCACGCGCTCGAAAAAGGCTACTGGGAAATTCCCTACCACAATCGAATACACGCTGCCGACGTTCTACACGGCTGCTTCTACATGTCCGTACATCCGGTGAAGCCTCAAATCGGACCACCACCAAGTCCCGACTCACTGCTCCCACCTCCAACAACCGCAGCAATTCCGATCATGAGCTCGATGTCCACCCTGGAGCTAATGGCTTTGTATACGGCGGCGGCGATGCATGATTATGATCATCCCGGGAGAACTAACGCCTTCCTAGTGGCTGCGGAGGATAAGAAAGCGATCCTGTATAATGATCGGAGTGTCCTGGAGAATCATCACGCTGCTGAATCGTGGAGACTTCTCTGTCACAGTGAGAATAGCTTCATCGAAAATTTGGATGCTGCAGAGACCAAGAGGTTTAGATATCTGGTTTTGGAGTATATCCTGGCTACAGATCTTAAACAACACTTCGAGATTATCATGACATTCAATGAAAAAACTAATGATATGGATTTGACGAATGAATCGGATCGATTGCTTTTGGCGAAGTTGATGATCAAAATGGCGGATATCAATAGTCCGACGAAGCCTTATAATTTGCATCGCCAGTGGACTGATCGGATTTGTGAGGAATTCTATGAGCAGGGAGATGAGGAGATGCGACGGGGGATGGTGATTACGCCGTATATGGATCGGAATGATGCGCAGGTGGCAAAGTTGCAGGATAGTTTTATTGCGCATGTTGTTAGTCCGTTGGCGGTGGCGATGAATGAGGTGAGAATTGGGAAACATCAAGCCTAGTAGCCGCGCCTAGATAATCTGATTGTCAAGGGTCAGCGTCTAGATAGCCTAGTTCTCAAGCATACGCGCCTAGAGAACCAAATTTTCTGGGACTCGCGTCTTATTCACTCTGGCAAGCAGCCGCGCTTAGAGAGTCTGATTGTCAAGGGTCGGCGCCTAGTGAATTTTATTGTCAAGGAACAGCGCCTAGAGAGCCCAGTTCTCAAGTAACAGCGACTAGAGAACCTAATTGTCTAGGACTCGAGGCTGGAGATTCACTCTGACAAGTAGCCGCGCCTAGAGAGCATAGCTGTCAAGCAGCCACGCCTAGAGAATCTGATTGTCAAGGGTCAGCTACTAGAGATACTATGTTTGAAGCAGCCGCGCCTAGAGAGCCTAGTCCTCAAGTATCTGAGCCTAGGGATGACGATTTTCTAGGACTCGAGGCTGGAGAAACTACTCGTCTAGGATCAGCGTCTTTAGAGCCCAGTTCTCAAGCAGCCACGGCTAGAGAATTTGATTGTCAAGGATCAGCTACTAAAGATAATATGTTTGAAGCAGCCACGCCTTGTGAACCTATATCTCAAGCATCCGCGCCTAGGGATGACGATTATCAAGGATCAACTACTAGAGAGCCTAGTTCTCAAACAGCCGCGCTTAGGGATGACGATTGTCAAGCATCAGCTACTAAAGATGCTATCTTTAAAGCAGCCACGCCTTGTGAACCTATATCTCAAGCATCCGCACCTATGGATGACGATTGTCTAGGATCAGCGCCGAGAGATCTTTAGTTCTAAAGTAGCCACGCCTTGCCAATCTAGGTGCTCTAGGACTGCCATCTAGAAATCATCTATGTCAAGCAGCCACGCCTAGAGAGCCTAGGTTTCAAGTAGCAGCGTCTAAAGAAACTTCAAACTCAAAAAATTCAAAATTTGATTTTTTTTTTCAAATTTTAGACTCTCTAAAGCCTCTCAAAAATCCAAATCCAATTTTTCAAAAAAAAAATCCAATTTCACAGGCCGGTCTTCTACCAATTCTTCCGGGACTAATCGAACCCGAAATGATGATCAATCTGAAACATAATCATCAAAAATGGCTCAACGAAATTGAAATCATCAATGCTTCAACAGCAGCAAATTGTAATGGTAAGGTTCTGTTTTTTTTTTTGCTTAAAAACTTACCCTAACTCCTAAATTTCCTCCCTTAGGTGCTCTAAGCAATGGCGTGATCGAGGAAGAAAGTACGGCCAGTGATAGTCCGGATCCACGAAAAGATTCACCATCTTTGGATTCGGAACTTGATGTAAGTTGGAATTTTTTACCTTAATTTAATTAAGAATTACCTTAAACACCCTAAGCATGCCCCTAATTTTTCCCTATTTTTTTCAGTGATCTCTCTCTCTCTCTCTGCGATTCCAAGTTTGCAATGCTATTTCTCTGCTTATGTGTATGTTTTTTTTTGCATGATTTGCCACGTGGCAGAATTTTTTTCTTCAGAAAATCAAAAAAAAAATTTTCAGAATCCGTTCACAATTTGCTGCAGTATTCAAGAGAGCGCTGAAGAATATGTTTGAAAAATCAGATTTTTTTTTTCAAATTCAAAATTATCATCAATTTTTACCGGTCCCTTGTCCCATTTTTGTCTGAAATTATTTCTAGATCTCCACAATTTTTCATCGAAATTCAATTCTATTTTGTTTTTGTCACACAGTTTTGTATCAAAACGGGCTCGATTTTTTTTGGAAATTTTAATTTTAATTTTTTTTGTTCGGAAAAAGCACTTATTTACGGTAGACTCTAAAATATACATATGAGATTTTTGTTCTTGCCAACACACCCACTTTTTTGATGTCATTTGAACCATGTTTAAAAGAAAATTCTATAATTAATTAATTAATAAAGATTTTTACTAACTGAAAATTTGAAAGAATTTTTGCCAGGCTCGGGCTCTAGGCATGGCTACTCGAGAGCTAGGGCTCCGCTACAAGGCGCTACTTCTTGTCAAAGTGAATATCTAGGTGCAGGCCCTAGACAATAACGTTCCCTAGGAGCGGTTGCTGTGAACTAGGCTCTTTAGGCGCTGATCCTCGAAAATTGAACTTATCGACGCGGCTACTTGACAACTAGGATTTCCAAGTTCCGCTACTTGGGCTGAAAAATTAGAAAATCATTCCTTTTTTTGGGGATTAAGTTTTTCGTTCAAAAAATGACTCGTGGCAAAATCAGGAACGGTTTCTAATTTTGCCATGGATGACGTCATCAAAAAATTTAAAAAAAAAACATAATTGAATGTCTTTTTTTATTTGAATAATTATAGACATGACCGTCTCCAAACAGAAATTTCGGGTTGGAGACATGACTTTTTCTCAATAATTTCATTTCTGGATGAAATTCTGAATTTTCTTGTTTTTTAACAGTGTTAAAAATTTTCTTTCAATTTTTTTATCTTCAAAGTTGCTTCTGGGTGGCACTTAGGTCTCAACTCATTGACTTCATTCTTACATTTTTGGATTATTCCAAATCTGTAACTTTTTTTTTGAATTTTTTCAACGGTCTCAACTCATTGACTTCATTCTTACATTTTTGGATTATTCCAAATCTGTAACTTTTTTCTTGAATTTTTTCAACGGTCTCAACTCATTGACTTCATTCTTACATTTTTGGATTATTCCAAATCTGTAACTTTTTTTTGAATTTTTTCAACGGTCTCAACTCATTGACTTCATTCTTACATTTTTGGATTATTCCAAATCTGTAACTTTTTTCTTGAATTTTTTCAACGGTCTCAACTCATTGACTTCATTCTTACATTTTTGGATTATTCCAAATCTGTAACTTTTTTCTTGAATTTTTTCAACGGTCTCAACTCATTGACTTCATTCTTACATTTTTGGATTATTCCAAATCTGTAACTTTTTTCTTGAATTTTTTCAACGGTCTCAACTCATTGACTTCATTCTTACATTTTTGGATTATTCCAAATCTGTAACTTTTTTTTGAATTTTTTCAACGGTCTCAACTCATTGACTTCATTCTTACATTTTTGGATTATTCCAAATCTGTAACTTTTTTCTTGAATTTTTTCAACGGTCTCAACTCATTGACTTCATTCTTACATTTTTGGATTATTCCAAATCTGTAACTTTTTTCTTGAATTTTTTCAACGGTCTCAACTCATTGACTTCATTCTTACATTTTTGGATTATTCCAAATCTGTAACTTTTTCTTGAATTTTTTCAACGGTCTCAACTCATTGACTTCATTCTTACATTTTTGGATTATTCCAAATCTGTAACTTTTTTCTTGAATTTTTTCAACGGTCTCAACTCATCGAAATTTTTACATTTTTGGATTATTCCAAATCTGTAACTTTTTTCTTGAATTTTTTCAACGGTCTCAACTCATTGACTTCATTCTTACATTTTTGGATTATTCCAAATCTGTAACTTTTTTCTTGAATTTTTTCAACGGTCTCAACTCATCGAAATTTTTACATTTTTTGGATTATTCCAAATCTGTAACTTTTTTCTTGAATTTTTTCAACGGTCTCAACTCATTGACTTCATTCTTACATTTTTGGATTATTCCAAATCTGTAACTTTTTTCTTGAATTTTTTCAACGGTCTCAACTCATTGACTTCATTCTTACATTTTTGGATTATTCCAAATCTGTAACTTTTTTCTTGAATTTTTTCAACGGTCTCAACTCATTGACTTCATTCTTACATTTTTGGATTATTCCAAATCTGTAACTTTTTTCTTGAATTTTTTCAACGGTCTCAACTCATTGACTTCATTCTTACATTTTTGGATTATTCCAAATCTGTAACTTTTTTCTTGAATTTTTTCAACGGTCTCAACTCATCGAAATTTTTACATTTTTTGGATTATTCCAAATCTGTAACTTTTTTCTTGAATTTTTTCAACGGTCTCAACTCATTGACTTCATTCTTACATTTTTGGATTATTCCAAATCTGTAACTTTTTTCTTGAATTTTTCAACGGTCTCAACTCATCGAAATTTTTACATTTTTGGATTATTCCAAATCTGTAACTTTTTTCTTGAATTTTTTCAACGGTCTCAACTCATTGACTTCATTCTTACATTTTTGGATTATTCCAAATCTGTAACTTTTTTCTTGAATTTTTTCAACGGTCTCAACTCATTGACTTCATTCTTACATTTTTGGATTATTCCAAATCTGTAACTTTTTTCTTGAATTTTTTCAACGGTCTCAACTCATCGAAATTTTTACATTTTTGGATTATTCCAAATCTGTAACTTTTTTTTTTGAATTTTTTCAACGGTCTCAACTCATTGACTTCATTCTTACATTTTTGGATTATTCCAAATCTGTAACTTTTTTCTTGAATTTTTTCAACGGTCTCAACTCATTGACTTCATTCTTACATTTTTGGATTATTCCAAATCTGTAACTTTTTTCTTGAATTTTTTCAACGGTCTCAACTCATTGACTTCATTCTTACATTTTTGGATTATTCCAAATCTGTAACTTTTTTCTTGAATTTTTTCAACGGTCTCAACTCATCGAAATTTTTACATTTTTGGATTATTCCAAATCTGTAACTTTTTTCTTGAATTTTTTCAACGGTCTCAACTCATTGACTTCATTCTTACATTTTTGGATTATTCCAAATCTGTAACTTTTTTCTTGAATTTTTTCAACGGTCTCAACTCATTGACTTCATTCTTACATTTTTGGATTATTCCAAATCTGTAACTTTTTTCTTGAATTTTTTCAACGGTCTCAACTCATCGAAATTTTTACATTTTTGGATTATTCCAAATCTGTAACTTTTTTCTTGAATTTTTTCAACGGTCTCAACTCATTGACTTCATTCTTACATTTTTGGATTATTCCAAATCTGTAACTTTTTTCTTGAATTTTTTCAACGGTCTCAACTCATTGACTTCATTCTTACATTTTTGGATTATTCCAAATCTGTAACTTTTTTCTTGAATTTTTTCAACGGTCTCAACTCATTGACTTCATTCTTACATTTTTGGATTATTCCAAATCTGTAACTTTTTTCTTGAATTTTTTCAACGGTCTCAACTCATCGAAATTTTTACATTTTTGGATTATTCCAAATCTGTAACTTTTTTCTTGAATTTTTTCAACGGTCTCAACTCATCGAAATTTTTACATTTTTGGATTATTCCAAATCTGTAACTTTTTTCTTGAATTTTTTCAACGGTCTCAACTCATTGACTTCATTCTTACATTTTTGGATTATTCCAAATCTGTAACTTTTTTCTTGAATTTTTTCAACGGTCTCAACTCATCGAAATTTTTACATTTTTGGATTATTCCAAATCTGTAACTTTTTTCTTGAATTTTTTCAACGGTCTCAACTCATTGACTTCATTCTTACATTTTTGGATTATTCCAAATCTGTAACTTTTTTCTTGAATTTTTTCAACGGTCTCAACTCATCGAAATTTTTACATTTTTGGATTATTCCAAATCTGTAACTTTTTTTTTTGAATTTTTTCAACGGTCTCAACTCATTGACTTCATTCTTACATTTTTGGATTATTCCAAATCTGTAACTTTTTTCTTGAATTTTTTCAACGGTCTCAACTCATTGACTTCATTCTTACATTTTTGGATTATTCCAAATCTGTAACTTTTTTCTTGAATTTTTTCAACGGTCTCAACTCATTGACTTCATTCTTACATTTTTGGATTATTCCAAATCTGTAACTTTTTTCTTGAATTTTTTCAACGGTCTCAACTCATCGAAATTTTTACATTTTTGGATTATTCCAAATCTGTAACTTTTTTCTTGAATTTTTTCAACGGTCTCAACTCATTGACTTCATTCTTACATTTTTGGATTATTCCAAATCTGTAACTTTTTTCTTGAATTTTTTCAACGGTCTCAACTCATTGACTTCATTCTTACATTTTTGGATTATTCCAAATCTGTAACTTTTTTCTTGAATTTTTTCAACGGTCTCAACTCATCGAAATTTTTACATTTTTGGATTATTCCAAATCTGTAACTTTTTTCTTGAATTTTTTCAACGGTCTCAACTCATTGACTTCATTCTTACATTTTTGGATTATTCCAAATCTGTAACTTTTTTCTTGAATTTTTTCAACGGTCTCAACTCATTGACTTCATTCTTACATTTTTGGATTATTCCAAATCTGTAACTTTTTTCTTGAATTTTTTCAACGGTCTCAACTCATTGACTTCATTCTTACATTTTTGGATTATTCCAAATCTGTAACTTTTTTCTTGAATTTTTTCAACGGTCTCAACTCATTGACTTCATTCTTACATTTTTGGATTATTCCAAATCTGTAACTTTTTTCTTGAATTTTTTCAACGGTCTCAACTCATTGACTTCATTCTTACATTTTTGGATTATTCCAAATCTGTAACTTTTTTTTTTGAATTTTTTCAACGAAAATCAAAATTTCGGTTTTTGTTGAATTTTTTCAACGGTCTCAACTCATCGAAATTTTTACATTTTTGGATTATTCCAAATCTGTAACTTTTTTCTTGAATTTTTTCAACGGTCTCAACTCATTGACTTCATTCTTACATTTTTGGATTATTCCAAATCTGTAACTTTTTTCTTGAATTTTTTCAACGGTCTCAACTCATCGAAATTTTTACATTTTTGGATTATTCCAAATCTGTAACTTTTTTCTTGAATTTTTTCAACGGTCTCAACTCATTGACTTCATTCTTACATTTTTGGATTATTCCAAATCTGTAACTTTTTTCTTGAATTTTTTCAACGGTCTCAACTCATCGAAATTTTTACATTTTTGGATTATTCCAAATCTGTAACTTTTTTTTTTGAATTTTTTCAACGAAAATCAAAATTTCGGTTTTTGTTGAATTTTTTCAACGGTCTCAACTCATCGAAATTTTTACATTTTTGGATTATTCCAAATCTGTAACTTTTTTCTTGAATTTTTTCAACGGTCTCAACTCATTGACTTCATTCTTACATTTTTTGGATTATTCCAAATCTGTAACTTTTTTCTTGAATTTTTTCAACGGTCTCAACTCATCGAAATTTTTACATTTTTGGATTATTCCAAATCTGTAACTTTTTTCTTGAATTTTTTCAACGGTCTCAACTCATTGACTTCATTCTTACATTTTTGGATTATTCCAAATCTGTAACTTTTTTCTTGAATTTTTTCAACGGTCTCAACTCATCGAAATTTTTACATTTTTGGATTATTCCAAATCTGTAACTTTTTTTTTTGAATTTTTTCAACGAAAATCAAAATTTCGGTTTTTGTTGAATTTTTTCAACGGTCTCAACTCATCGAAATTTTTACATTTTTTGGATTATTCCAAATCTGTAACTTTTTTCTTGAATTTTTTCAACGGTCTCAACTCATTGACTTCATTCTTACATTTTTGGATTATTCCAAATCTGTAACTTTTTTCTTGAATTTTTTCAACGGTCTCAACTCATTGACTTCATTTTTACATTTTTTGGATTATTCCAAATCTGTAACTTTTTTCTTGAATTTTTTCAACGGTCTCAACTCATTGACTTCATTCTTACATTTTTGGATTATTCCAAATCTGTAACTTTTTTCTTGAATTTTTTCAACGGTCTCAACTCATTGACTTCATTCTTACATTTTTGGATTATTCCAAATCTGTAACTTTTTTCTTGAATTTTTTCAACGGTCTCAACTCATCGAAATTTTTACATTTTTGGATTATTCCAAATCTGTAACTTTTTTTTGAATTTTTTCAACGAAAATCAAAATTTCGGTTTTTGTTGAATTTTTTCAACGGTCTCAACTCATCGAAATTTTTACATTTTTTGGATTATTCCAAATCTGTAACTTTTTTCTTGAATTTTTTCAACGGTCTCAACTCATTGACTTCATTCTTACATTTTTGGATTATTCCAAATCTGTAACTTTTTTCTTGAATTTTTTCAACGGTCTCAACTCATTGACTTCATTCTTACATTTTTGGATTATTCCAAATCTGTAACTTTTTCTTGAATTTTTTCAACGGTCTCAACTCATCGAAATTTTTACATTTTTGGATTATTCCAAATCTGTAACTTTTTTTTTTGAATTTTTTCAACGAAAATCAAAATATCGGTTTTTGTTGAATTTTTTCAACGGTCTCAACTCATCGAAATTTTTACATTTTTGGATTATTCCAAATCTGTAACTTTTTTCTTGAATTTTTTCAACGGTCTCAACTCATTGACTTCATTCTTACATTTTTGGATTATTCCAAATCTGTAACTTTTTTCTTGAATTTTTTCAACGGTCTCAACTCATTGACTTCATTCTTACATTTTTGGATTATTCCAAATCTGTAACTTTTTTCGAAAAAGTAAAAAGTATCTATCTGTAAGAGTACAGTACCATATTTTGATCTACAAAAACCCCTACAGTACTCCCCAAATCCCCTTCCAATGTATGTTTCTCCAACCTTTTTTGCCACCTCACCCATGTCTAGTATCCACTATTCAAACAAATATGATGCTGCTTTCATTCATTCACGCCACAAAAAATACAGTAGTCGTCTCATGCAGCAAAAAGTTGTGTCAACAAAACAACTTCCATTCATCGAGTTGAGCTTGACCAGTTTTTTGGAGCATTTGGGAACGAACAATTGCATTTTTGGGCGAGCGAGCGCAAAAAGTTTTCTTTATGAGTAGTAAAAGCATCTAGTTTTTCTTACAAGGTCAAAAATTGGGAGCTGTGAAAAAATCCTGAAAATCTGATTTCTGTGCGCAATGGGTTCATTCGTCTCGAATTTCGCCGATCAAAAGAGCGAAAAATCTGCGGCGCATTATTATTATTGTTTCAAGTTGTATTTGGCAACTTGAAAAAAAACACAACAAAAATGTGTGTGTACATAAAATTATTGTTTGTTTTCATTCAAAAAAATAACATCAGGAACAAGGATTTGACGCCAAAAATGAAGAGCGAAAAAGAGAAAAAAAACCAAGTTTTTGTGTTTCTGTGATGTCGGAAGAACGCAACTTTTCAAGTGGTTTTTTGGGTTTTGGCGGATTTTTGAAGATAAAAAATTTCTTCTGAGAGCTACAGTATCTTTTTAGAAAAATATGATCTCAAAATGTTTTTCAGATTTCTGCGCCTACCGTATCCGAACTGCAAGATTCTTTTGATCAACAAAAATTGCCCGAAAATCAGATCTGAAAATTGAATTTCAAAATACAGTTTTTTTTTGAAAATTCAGAATTACAGTAGACAAAGTTTTTTTCTGAAAAAAATTCATCCTCAGATTTCTGCGACTACAGTATCCGAACTGCAAAATTCTGAAATTTTGATCTACTAAAAGAGTAATCCTTCAGATTTAGGCAACTCCAACTACAGTATCCAAACTGCAAGATTGAAACGCTTAGCAAATTTTGATCCACAAAAAATTTGGCTGGAAATTACAGTAATCCTTGAGATTCCGCCAACCCAAACTACAGTATCCGAACTGCAAAACTCAAAAGTTTAGCAAATTTTGATCGACAAAAAAAATGGCTAAAAATTACAGTAACCCTCCAGATTCCAGCAATCCAAACTACAGTATCCGAACTGCAAAATTCTGAAATTTTGATCTACTAAAAGAGTAATCCTTCAGATTTAGGCAACTCCAACTACAGTATCCAAACTGCAAGACTGAAAAGTTTAGCAAATTTTGATCCACAAAAAAATTCGCCAAAAATTACAGTAATCCTTCAGATTCAGGCAATCCAAATAACAGTATCCGAACTGCAAAACTGAAAAGTTTATCAAGTTTTGATCCACAAAAAAATTCGCCAAAAATTACAGTAACCCTTGAGATTTAAATCTGAACTCAAAAGATCTTAAATTACAGTTTCACTACAGTAACCCCGAGTTGAACTTTAGTCAACTTCAAATCCAACCTGAAACTGGCTCCAGCTCGTCCCTTAGCAGAAAAAACAACGTTTTTCATTTCAAAAAGATCACTTTCTTCACGCAAAACTCGTCTTCAACCGCGTAAAAAATCGTTGTTTTCGCGCGCCTCCCAAAAAAATTTTCAACATTATGTATATCCGTTTTTGAAATTCAACACCGCTTGCGCAATATTTATTTTTTACGCCTTTTCGGCTCGAGGCTCCGCCCCTTTTTCAACAGTTGCTATAAATTGGAGCCACAAGTTACAAGGAATATGTATAATATGAGCATGAGCATTTCGAGCATGAGCATTTTTTTTTCAAAAAAAAAACTGGACAATCTTTTTGTATTTATTTACCTTGTTTCCCTTTGTTTTGTTTTTTGTACCAGCTTTTGGCGCGTTTTTTTTCGAATTATAAAAACCATAGAGACACACACAAGTTTTCAGACAGTGTGTTTTTGGACAAAAAAAATTATGAGCCGTTGGTTGATTGTTGTTCTTGTGGCTGCATTGGTTTTTGAGGTGAGTTGGGATTTTTTTGGGGTACTGTAGAAGCTTCAATTTACTGTAGCTTGTATTTTTTCAAAGCTTAAGATTCGATCTAAATTTTTGAGCTTTTGTGCCACAATTTCTTGAGGAAATTGATTAGAGTACTGTAGGTAACCTAGGTTACTGTAGTCAGAAAAATCTACAGTATTGCTGATTTTTTTTAAATCTCAAATTACTGTAGCTTTTAAGCTCAGGATTATATTAATCAGGATTATATTAAAATTTTAAAAATTTTTAAAAATTGTTTAATATGAGCAATGAAACATTTTTTTCGAAGCTGAAGATTTGATTTTTCGAAAAAACTCTGTAGATCAAAATGTTGTCCTACTGTAGATTTAGAAGTACTGTAGCTCTATAGTTTTTTTCCTAGAGTACTGTAATGGAAATAGAATCACGTCGGAAAAAAAATCTACAGTAATCCTGATTTTTTTCCTAGATCACAAATTACTGTAGCTTATAAGTTTTTTTAAATATGAGCAATGAAACATTTTTAAACGAAATTTTGTCATGCTGTAGCTTTAGGAGTACTGTAGCCCTCTAAACCCCCAAATTTTCTCGCAGACCTTCGCCACCACTCCCGAAGATCCCATCATCGTTCGCTCGAAACGTCAACAATGTCGATGTGTCAAAAACCCGAACGGCGGTTTGACTTGTAGTTGTGCCAAAGGTCCCGCTAATGGATCGTCGGCTATCGGGGCTGGAACTTCGGTTCAACACGATGTTCCACAATCGACTGATATCGCGAATCAATTGACTGCCATGCAACAACAAGGCTCTTCGGGACAAAATAGTGCCGGACAAGCCAGGTGAGCAGGCTAATATGAGCAATGCATTAGAAATTTATATTTTTGAAGGTTAACCTGAGCAATTAGTTTATTATGAGCAATGCGCAAAAATTTGTGATTTTCTAATATGAGCAATCCAATAGAAAATTGTGGTTTTGAAGGCTAACCTGAGCAATGGGTTTATTATGAGCAATGATAGATTTTTTTGTTCGAAAGTTTAGAAGCAATATTTGATGAGAATTTCTAACATGAGCAATGCTATAGAATATTTGATTTTCGAAGGCTAGCCTGAGCAATTTATTTTGTTATGAGCAATACTAGATTTTTTATGTTCAAAAATTTTAGAGCATTTTTCAATGAGAATTTGAAATATGAGCAATCCAATAGAAAATTGTGGTTTTGAAGGCTAACCTGAGCAATAGGTTATTATGAGCAATGCGCAAGAATTTCAGATTTTCTAATTTTTTGAAGGTTAGCCTGAGCAATAGGTTTATTATGAGAAATGCTCAAAAATTCGCGATTTTCTTATCTGAGCAATCCAATAGAAAATTATATTTTTACAAGGGAACCTTTTTTACTCAACACTTCAAATCATGATGAAATTCGGTCCATGGACAGCTTTTGGGACCATAAGAACACCCTAAAAATTTTAGTCTCCCAATGGACCTCTGAGCCAAGTTCTGGGCTCTCAAAAACTCAAAAAGGCCTAAAAATGGTCATTAAAGTCATCATAGCTCCATTTCAAAATTTTTTTTGGGAGAAATGAAGTTTCAGATATTGATCAGCATAGTCGATTACCTAAAAGTAAATCGATAAAAAATATTTTTTCTAAAAATTTTGAAGTTTTTTATTTTTCGGCTGAAAATTCATGAAAATTCATATGTGCCCCTGCTCATTCATTTTTCCAAAATCAAAATTTTTTCTGAAAATTTTATTTATTTCTGTTTTTTGGGTAAATCGACCACGCTGATCATCATCTGCTACTCAGTTTTTCATAAAATTGATCGAGAATTGAGTTATGACGTGTTTTATGAGCCAATTTTGGCAATTTTCGAACTTTTGAGAGCCCAGAACTTGGCTCAGAGGTCCATTGGGAGACTAAAATTTTTAGGGTGTTCTTATGGTCCCAAAAGCTGTCCATAAACCAAATTTCATCACGATTTGAAGTGTTGAGTAAAAAAGGTTTCCTTGTTAAAGGCTAACCTGAGCAATCAAAAAATGTTTGGCTCAGTCTAGTCTAAGCTGAGCAATCTCCAATGTTTCCAGATGCGGCTGCATCCAAATTGTCTTCCAAGGCACACCATCCTACAACTGCCAATGTGCTGACAACAACGGTAACCAGGTAAGCCACCCCCAGATTCCCCATTTCCTTGTGCTTCCGCTTTTCTCCCCAAACCCAATATCCTCTAGCCAACCACCACAACAATCGCACCAACCACAACTTCCACCACCACTACCACCACCACAACAACAACCCAAGCACCAACAACGACTGTCCCAACAACGACATTCTCTTCAACCCCATCTCAGGTGAGCCCAAGCTTTTCCCCCGAGCTCCTTTAGAATGTCTTGCTTTTCTAGCAACAACCAGGAAACGGAAACGGAGCGTGTAATTGTATTATGATAAGCATCAGCTCGCCACAAACCGCGCAATATCAATGTCAATGCGCGCAACCACAGGTAACTCTACTCATTTTCCACACCCACACCCCTTCCCCCTCCCTTACACGTGTGATGATATTCTAGAGCTCTGCCGAAGTGCAACCGGATTTCACGCAACCACAGGTATCCTCCTCCTCCTATCAACCGCTCGGCGTTTCACGTAACGCAACGCAAGACGCGTGCTATTGCATGGATCCGGCGACGCGTATTCTGTCGAGCCAGTGTGGATGCGCGTGTGATTGTGTTCAATTAACTGTGACTGTGCCTAATGCATTTTGTGCCTGTTCCTAACTTTTTTTGTTGTAGACTGTGATAGAATGTGTGATAATAATAATATTATATTTTTCTTAAACATATTGTCGAAGTTGAAAAATGTGGCCGGCGTGAAAAGTAAAAACCAGTGTAGAGGCGTTACGGCTGTGCGTCACGGCTGTGCGTCACGGTCGGTAGACAACCAATAACCCCCTTGCTTCCCGACCGCGACGCATAGCCGCACGCGACTGATTTTCACTTTTTACGCTGGTCACATTTTTCAACTTCGACAATATGCTGCATGTGTTTTGAATGGGATATTGTCAAAATTGAAAAATGTGACCGGCGTAAAAAGTAAAAACTTAACTTCGTCAGTCGCGTGCGGCTGTGCGTCGCGGTCAAGCGACAATCAATAATTCAATGTTCCCTTTGCTTCCGCGACACACATCTGCATTGATTTTTACGCTAGCTTATAGTTAGGTTTAAGCTTGAGCCAAATCTCACAGCATGTTACGGAATATTTTGAAAATGTATACCCTTTAAAATGGTAATTTTAACTGTGCATCTAACAATAAGTTTAATGAAAAGCTTCTACCTTAAGGCTAAATTCTAAATTGTTAAGCTCAACCTTAAGCCTTAGGGCTTTGGCTAATAATCAATTACCCTAGAAGCCTAATTCCCGACTCTAACTTGACCTTATCCATTTATCCATTTAAACTTGAGCCTTAAAGCTAGCAATGAGCTTAATCAGCCTCAACCTAACTCATAATCAATATCCCTAAATCCAGAAAGTTTTGAAACAGCCTAGTGAATGCAAAAAACCTAACTTTTACTAACTTCAAGCAAAACCTGCTCAACTCGACTCTAAGTTTCCCAACTAACCCTGTCAATTTTTGCAGGCCTACCCATCCGACACCTTCGACTACACTCAACAACCAGTAGGTTACGCCAAGGTCAGTCTCTGAATAAATGTGTCTGTTTCTAGTCAACCCAATCACCATTCATCTACACCCAACCATCCACAATCGCACCAACTACCACCACCACAACCACAACCACACCACTCCCAGTCACAACTGACACATCGACCCAATATCCGTTGACAACAACGTGTGTGATGTATGTGAATGTGCCAACCAGTGCTTGCTCATGTTTACCACAATACGATCAGTGTGCACAGAATGTGTGCTGTTTGAAATCGAAATATCGAAGCATGAAGGTGAGTTGGTGTTGTGAGATTCGGTTTGATGTGGGGACGGGGGGATAAGTACCTAGATAATACACGGTACGCTTTTCTTTACGTCGCTTGAACAAACGAGAAATTTTTAGGAGAGGAGAGAAAGCGCGCTCTATCGCACACAATTTTCTCATTACGTCATCATTTTTTTCACTTGTTTCCTCTCTGTCTCTGACCTTTCTCTACTTTTTTCCCATTTTTTTCTCGACGGGTGCTCGCGTAAAGGAAAGCGCTCCGTGAATAAAATATTGACCCCAAACTCGCAAGTTTTGCTTTTAAAAATGTTGAAAAACTCACTTTTCCTCCAGTTTTCCTCGAAATTCAAAATCATTCGCCTCATAAATTGTTTCGATATTTCCATGACGTTTTCCTGTAAAATAGAAATTAATCAAGTACTTTAAACGGGAGAAAAATTCAAAAGAAAGCACATTTTTCCATATCTAAAATAGCTTTTTGAGCAGCAGTTTTAGTATAAAACTATCGAAAATCAATTCCAATTATGACATTTTCACTAGAGAAATGAAGAAATATGAATTTTACAACCTGTTTCATTCAAATTCATCGAAAAAACAACAAAAAAACTTTCGACAAACAAAAAAACACGAAAATAAAAGTAAAAATAAGAGTGTGTGTGAACACCGACTGCCCGCAAGCACCAAATCCTACGCGCAAAATAAAATAACGACACTCCGCTCAAACAGTGTGTGAAAATTAAACAATCGATTGTTATAAGAATCCCCAGAAAATATTTCTAAAATTTTTGAAACGTACATTTTCCGGGTACTCATATTTTCCCCGCATGAAATCAACTTCAACAAAACCAAATTCCACAAAAAAAAATCTGAAAATCTTTTTTTTTCAGAAAACCGAAGAATCCTCGCCATCCACCATCGATATGTTGATGGACGTTTTGAAGACGATCAAAAATAAATGGGAATAATTCTGGAATCGAACTTACCCTAACTTGTCTGTAAATATATGTCTTTTAAATTTAATTTTTCTTAATAAACCCTTATTTGTATTGTTTATTTCAAATATTTAGAAATACATATTATTAAAGGAACATGGTGCAAAAAAGAACTAAATATATTACAGTAATCCAAAGGGAATTTTGTATTTGGCGCGTGGGAAAATTTTGTATAGGGCAAGAGGCAACCGATCGAAAATGTGACTATTTAATGGAAAATGAAAATGAAAAAAAAATTAAATAAAAATGAGATCATTGCTCATATTAAGTAAGTATATTGGGTCTAAAGTCATGCACTGGGACGATACAAAGTTTGAAAAAAGGGCTTTGAGGTGAAGAAGGGTGAAAGGGAACAATTTAGAAAAAAAAACGAAAATTAGAGGAATGGTGATAGGGAGACTGGTGATTTGTCGCCACTTCCGCCACGTTTCACCAACGCGTTGTCGGCCGCCTCTTTTTTTCGCCATTTTGTGCGGCGATTTTGGAACCAGACCTGGAAAAATGATACAATTTTGTTAAAGTTTTTTTTTTTGAAAATTTTTTAAAATTAATTTTGAAGATCAGCCAACAAGTTTTGAACTTTGAAAAAAAAACGCGCGAAATTTCGCCACGTGGATTTTTGAGCTCTCAAAATTTTTGCTAAACATTGCTCATACTAGTAACAATATTTCATCTAATATGAGCAATCCTATAATTTTTGCTGTTTAAATTGCTCTAGACTCAAAAAATTGCAGGGAATTTGAATTTCTGCTTGGAACTTCATGAAATATGTAGTACTGTAATCTGAGCAATTTATATTTTTAAAAAAGTATAATATGAGCAATCATATTTTTTGCTGTTTAAAATGCTCTAGGCTCGAAAAATGCGGGGAATTTGAATTTCTGCTTAGAAATTCATGAAATGGTACTGTAATCTGAGCAATGTGTGTCAAAAAGCGTGAAGACCAACAAAGAAACAAAGTCATTAGCAAAAGTATAATATGAGCAATATTTTCTTTCTCATCCCCCTTTAAAGGTGGAGTACGAGGAAAAAACAAGTTTCAATCATTCCCGGGTTCTTACTACACTTTGGAAATGTCCGTTTACTAAAAAAATTGCGAAAAAAGAGCATCGGAGAAAAAAACAAAGAGAAACAGCAGTCGGCATTTTCGCATGTAGTGGGCAAACGCGCTCTAGCGAACAAGTGCGAAATTCAAATTTTTAGCAAATAATTTTTGTTTTTTTTTTGTTTTTTTTCATTTTGAAGTCATAATTACGAGTATTTTACAGCCAAAGAACGATGAACGATCATTTTTGCACATACTGTGGCCTTAAAGGAAAGTATTTCGAAATGAAAACAGTAACAACGAGTAAGAAGCAATTGGAAAAATGGATTGAAAAATTGGGAGTTGAATTTGCGAAAAATGTGAGAATGTATGGTCGCCCTTACATTTGCCGATCTCATTTTGTTAGAGATAGTTTTGGACGTGTCCCAGCATTGGCATTACCAAAACCTCTGCCATTCTCCTCAAACTTTGCTGAAAACGTGGTTATGACAAATTCAACTTCGAAATCAGACAAAGAAATTGCGGTTGCTTCAACTTCGAAATCAGACAAAGAAATTGCGGATGTATCTGAAGTTGTAGAAATTCAAGAAAAAACCGATGATGCTGAAGATTTATCAAATTTGTCAGATGAAAGCGGATATGATTTGATTCAGCAACAAGTCGAGGCAGTAAAAGATCCAAATTATCAACCGAGCACTTCTGAATATCGACAAATTTTGGATGATGAAAGTTTTGATAATGATTTTGACCAGACAGTCGACGAGAAGGAGTCAGATATCGATTTTGTGCTCGTCTCTTTTCAACTTTTATTGCCCTTGATTTTAAAATGCTACAGTTGTTTTTCAATTGCAAATTACAAACTGTCGAAATTCGGAGCTGTTTTGACATTTGATTGCACGTGTGAATGTAGCAGGACTTGGAGATGGTCTACCAGTCAGAAAGTGAAGAAAAACGACAATACAAGTTCGAAAAGATTTGAGCTGAATGTTTCTTTGACAACGGCCGCTGTTACAATCGGATTGTCGTATTCGGTATGTTTTGAATCTTTATAACTAGAAAAAAAATGAAATTCGATTTTTTCAGAACATCATGTCAATCTTCAGCGTAGTCAGAGCACCATTTATTTCAAAAACCACTTTTTATGAAACCAGAAGGCTTGGAGTCGTACCAGCGATCAATAAGGTTTTCATGGAGCAGAGACAAAAAATTATCAAGATTTTGAAACAAATCGTAAGTTTTTTTTGTGAATTTTGCTTTTCTGAAATTTGTAAAAAAAATACGCCAACACAAAAATTTCGGAAATTGTGATAAAACTTTGATAATGTTTGCCTCTAATTTCCCAGAAAAACTAACTCATCAAAAAACTAAAACAGTTTTTAAAAAATTATTCAAATTGAGGAGAAAATATTGAAATTTTACTAAAATATAATCTTTAATCATAAAAATGACGTGAAATGAAAAAGTGTTATTTCTTACAATTTAGAATATTCCGATTGATGCGGCTGGTGATGGAATGTACGATTCTCGCGGTTATTGCGCATTCTGGTGCCGGTACATTATCATTTGCACGCTCACAAAGTTCGTTTTACATTACAAAAATGTGAGGAAAACGGCAGGAAGTGAGTTTCAAACCAGAAAAATCGAACAATTTTTCAAATTTTATAGAAGGATCAAAAGGACTGGAACCAATTGCTCAGTCACAGTGTTTGTCGGAATTGGTTGATATGTTGAAGGAAACTTTCGTTAATGTAGATCCAATTCGAAGTTTGACGACTGATCGCGATTTAGCTGTGGCTGCAAACATGAAAAATCAGTTTCCAAAAATCATTCATCGATTTGATCTATGGCATCTTATCAGGAATCTCACTATGGACATTTGGCCGAAGAAAGATCAGAAGCAGATGATTCCAATTAAACCATGGATTCAGGCAATTATTAATAATGTATATTCGTCCATTCAAAATTCCGGCGGAGATCCAATAATTGCGAGAGAATTGGTTATGTCAAGCTTCGCACATTGTCTCGATCAACATTCGAATTTCCAAAATATCACATGGTACAAATTCACCAAAGTGAATCAATGCCGGCATTCTCCAACTTCAACAAGTCACGTTGGATTTTTGAATCCTAATAATGTGAAGGATATGAAAGCTTGGGAAGCTTTGAGAAAAATTTTTGTGAAGGGAAATCGATTGAATGATATTGGTCAAATTTCGGCACATTTTATGACAAGTGAATGCGAGAGCTTCAACGCATTATCGAAAAAATATGCGCCCAAAGATAAATACTTGTGAGTTTTTCTTTTTGAGATTGCAAATTTTTAAAAATTCAGTAGCAAACTCTACAAAACTTGACATTCAAGAATTTCCCTGCATTTTTTCTCGAATGCTTGAAATCCATATGAATTTCAGCCCGAAAAATATGAAAATCTAAAGCCTGAAAAGTATGACGCTAAAAAATGTAGGACAGTTTTAAAATTAAAAGTTTGACTGTAGCTAATTATCAATCTTTTTACAGCAGCTCACATGAAACTACGACACGACTAGCAGTTCTTCACTGGAATCATTTAAAAATTGAAGAATTGGAGGGAAGAAGGACTGTGATCGGTGGGAAAAGCTCGATGAACAAAACAAAACAGCAAAAACGAGTCAAAAAAATGAAATCTCCGTCTGACCACTCTTGGAGAATCGAAATCAAAAACGCAGCACTTTCAATTTTTGGTAAGTTTTTTTTACTTCTAACATTCAGTGAACATATTTTTCCAGGTGAAGAACTTTCAAAGAAGTCGAATAATTTGCAAGAAGAGGAAAAAGAAGAATCCAGTGACGAAGAATTTTCTTTAGAGAATTTGACCGACAAAGATTACTTTGAAAAAAAGGGTGAGTTAATATCTTTTTTTCAAATTTCAATCGAAATGATCGTGATTTTTTAGCTTCAGCAAGTTTTCGACGAATTCGAATCAAGTTCAGAAAAAGCGAAAGCGATAGTGATTCAGAAGAATCAGATGAACCAGATGAAGCTGATTAAATCTTTTACTTTTATTTATCTAAAAACTGTTCAATGTTCTTTTTTTCTAAAAACTTGTCAATTTTCTTTTTATTTTTCACTTTTCTTTTATTTATCTAAAAACGTTTCAATGTTCTTTTTTTTTCTAAAAACTCGTCAATTTTCTTTATTTTTCACTTTTATTTTATTTATCTAAAAACGTTTCAATGTTTTTTTTTTCTAAAAACTCGTCAATTTTCTTTTATTTTTCACATTTCTTTTATTTATCTGAAAACTGTTCAATGTTCTTTTGTTTTCTAAAAACTCTTCAATTTTCTTTTTTTTTCTAAAAACTTTTTATTACAATAATTTCATGATTAAATCCCATAAAAGAAATTATCAATCACAATCATTCTCATAATTAAAAGTAAAACCAGATAAAAAACCGGTGTAGCTGGAGGATGGCCATTTTTCTCGAACTCTTTTGATGATGCAAGCAGGCAATGGCAACCTTTTTCTTTTTCAGTTTCAAGTTGAGATCCGCAACAAACATTGAATATGAGTAAAATCGGTAATTCCTATAATAAACTCTTATGAATTTTAGAAAAAAACTAGATTGACTCACGTTGGTTTCCAAGAATTATCATCAATTCCCAATCCAAACTTATATCCAGTTTTGAACACTTTCAAAGTCTGAAATAATACATTAATTCATTGTTTTCCTGTACATAACCCACTTCCTCGTCCAAATATTTTTCGAAATTATCACAATCAACAAGACATCTGTTGTGTTCACTCCTTCCAAAATTTCTCTTCGAGTTTTTCAGACACCAATTTTCCTATGTTCGCTTGAAATTTCACATTTGATGGGAATATACTCGCGCAGCAATATTCCATGTCATCCAAATTATTACATTTACCACATAAACATGTTGCCTCGTATTCTTTAAACAACTTTTTCAGGCATTTTTTAGAATCTTCAATCTCTCGTTCGTTCATCAATCTACGGTGCTTTTCCATCTCCTCCAGTGTTGGGTCAAATTCACATTCTCCGCGCGTGTTCTTCAATTTCGTTTCCATTTAATAGAGCTGAAATTTTGAATTTTTTGAAAAAACAAATAAAAAATAAAAAAAACACGAGAGACGTTTTTTTTCTGTTGAAACATTGAGAGAGGGAAAAGAAAAAAATTGTCGTCATGTTTGATGCCTTTGCGTACTTCCAAACATCACAAACCGCATATTTTTGCAGAGCGTTTTTTTGAGACTTGTCGAACCACACCTTTAAATTTCAAAAAGCCTCATCTCGCTCTACTCAAAAACCCATATCATCTGTCATTCAGTGCATAAAACCCATATATCGAATCGAATAAAATTAAAATTCAAACAACACACTTGTTTTTCCCGTTCCCCAGGGGACTCATCAATGTACAGTTGGTCTTCCCTTTTTCCCCCCAACATAAAAAAGTCTAAAATAAATAAATAAATATCAATAAGGTGGGGTTAAATGGGGTGTATAAAATGAAAACACCCATCCGGATCTTATGATTTTTTATTGTCCTTGAAAAGGAGAAAAGTTGTATTATTAATTGGTTTAACAATGGGCATTTGTAGTTATTAGGGCGATGACTAAGGCCTTATTGTTAAGGTTTTATTAGCGTATTATGTATTTAAAAAGATGTTGTATGAGACTTACCTTAACTTGCGATTCACTCATGCTCAATTCCTGTGCCAATTGTGCTCGATCGGCGCCTGCCAAATATTTCGTTTGCTCGAATTTCCTCTCTAATTGATAGATCTGATGGCCGGTAAAAGTTGGTCGCGATTGTTTTTTCTGAAGGCTTAGCGAGGTTGGCGACAGTTGCATTTGATGGGGGTTGTGATGATGTGGGAGGCGAGCGAGGTTTTGAAGACCGCCGGGAAGACCGGTGAGAAGGTTGAAGGGGTTGATGGAGCGGGAGGCTGGAAAGATATGGGATTAGGGGGTTTTGGAGAAGGTAGAGCTATACTACGTGGCTAATTTTTAAAGAAAAATCTGGCACCTATGCTGAAATTGTGCTGAAAATCGAAAAATTAGCACAATTTTACTTGAAAATTTTTTCACTGTTTCAAAATTTGGATAATTTTTTTAAATTTGATATTTTTCCCATTGAAAGCTTCAAATTATGTGCTGAAAATCGAGAAATCAATAAATTTCAGTGAATCCATAATTTTCAGCGCAAAATTTGAGTCTAGATTTTTCACTGTTTCAAAATTTGGATAATTTTTTCAATCACTTTGAAAATTCGATGTATCGATTGATTGGTTATCAAGATCAAAATTTAGCGCTGAAAATTATGAAACCCTCCATTTTCAGCTAATTTCAGTGAATCTATGGTTTTCAGCGCACAATTTTTATCTAAAAGATTTTTTCACTGTTTCAAACTTTGCATATGTTTTGGAATTGTTTTTTGGAATCTGATATCATAAAGACCTCTCCCTCTAAACTGAAATTTTGTGCTGAAAATCACGAAACCCTTCATTTTCAGCGAGTTTCAGTGAATCTATAATTTTCAGCGCGAAATTTGAGTCTAGATTTTTCACTGTTTCAAAATTTGCATGTTTTGCTTCATTTTCATCAAATTTCGGTGAAGTCATGAGTTTCGGTGAGAAATTTTTATCTAATAAAATTTTCACTGTTTCAAAATTTGGATAATTTTTTTCAATCACTTTGAAAATTCGATTCATCGATGTTCAAGGTCAAAAATTCGCAGTGAAAATTATGGAATACTCCATTTTCAATGAATTTCCGATTGAAATACTCGAATTTTGTGCTGAAAATCATGAAAGCCTTCATTTTCAGCGAATTTCAGTGAATCTATGATTTTCAGCGCAAAATTTGGGTCTAGATTTTTTCACTGTTTCAAAATTGGGATATGCTTTGCAATGATTGAAATTTGATACTTTCCAATTGAGAGACTAGAATTTCGTGCTGAAAATGAATTTCCAATTGGAAGCCTCAAATTTTGCGCTGAAATCACGGAAACCTTCATTTTCAGCGAATTTCAGTGAATTCATGATTTTCAGCGCGAAATTTGGGTCTAGATTTTTTCACTGTTTCAAAATTTGGATAATTTTTTGAAATCTAATATTTTTTCCCATTGAAAGCTTCAAATTATGTGCTGAAAATCAAGAAATCAATAAATTCCAGTGAATCTATGATTTTCAGCGCAAAATTAAAGCGTAGATTTTTTCACTGTTTCAAAATTTCCATATGTTTTGCTTCATTTTCATCGAATTCCAGTGAATTCATGATTTCCGGCGCGAAATTTTTATCTCATAAATTTTTCACTGTTTCAAAATTTGGATACATTTTTTCAGTCACTTTGAAAATTCGATTTTTTCGTGTATTTGGCTGCAAGGTGCTGAAAATCATACATTAACCCCTTTTTTCTCTCATAATTCCATTCCATTTCATCTCAACTCAACACACTAATAAATAAATCTCATAAACTTCTTTGTTCCTCTTTATTTTTGTCTGGTGCATCATCATAACAACACATTTTATGGTCCGCACCTCATGTCTCCCTAATCCTCACGGCCTTTCCCCCCTAAAACACATATGCTGCCATTTAACTACTGTAATAAAACTTTTTCGCAACAAAATCTTATTTATAATCCCTCCAAGTTCCTACAGTAGGAAAAATAAATAGAAGTTAGCTGTTTTTTTTGTGGAAAATGTCATTTCACTTATATGAAATGACCAAGGACGTTTAATTAATGAGCCAGTTAGGCGTCAGGATGTTTGGGGTGGGAGGTAGTTTTGGAGAAGAGGGCTAATTAATTTTGATTGGATACGGAGGCGGAGAAAAAAGTTTGTGTAGCTGCTTGGAGAGTAGATTTCGGAGTGAGAGGTCGAGAGGGGGAGCCTGGAGAAGCCTAGAGAAGCCTAGAGAGCCTGGAGAAGCCTGGAGAGCCTGGAGAGTCTGGAGAGCTTGAAAGCCTAGAAGCCTAGAAGCCTAGAAGCCTAGAGAAGCCCAGAGAGCCTGGAGTGCCTAGATAGCCTGAAGAGCCTGGAGATTTTAAAAAGCCCAGAGAGCTTGAAACGCCTAGGCTTAGGTTAGACTTGAGTTAGGCATAGGTTAGTCTTAGGTTAGGCTTAGGTTAGAGAGCCTAGAGAAAAGTCTGAATCTAGAAGGTTAAGCCTAAAAATCCAAGCCTAGAAATCGGAATCTAAAAGCCCAGAAGCCCGGAAGCCTTAGCCTAGCCACATAAAAATCGCAAACAATGAAAAGGCCCAAGCCTGGGTCCACCTTGTTTAAAAGCCCAGAAGCCTGGGCCCACCAGGCTTCTAATCTAATTTTTTCAAGTTACCACATCTCTTGCCTGTTTGATATCCTGTCAGGTTAATTTAGGGTTTTCAAGTTTCAAAATCGTGGCCTCATATTCTAACAAGCCTAAGTCTAAGCTCAAACAGCCTTAGCCTATGCCAAGCTTCAACATTTTCCAAGTTACCTCATCTCCCCCCATTTTTCTCTAACAACATAAATACAAAACAAATCATCATCATATTCTTGCCCTCCTATGAATAATGCATTGCGCTGGCAGTTATGAATATAAAATACAGTATCATCTCTCATAACCTATCGTGTAAACGGGGGGAGAGGCAGATGGGTGAAACTGAGAAGAGAGGAAAAGTCAAATTCAATTTATTTATTTATTTATTTATAAATGTTGTATTTTGATGATGATGACACGATTTAGACATGCATTTGTTATTATTATTATTAGATTAGGAAGGAACGCTTGAAGGACGCCTATGGGTTTCTGTAGGGGAAGAGGAATACGGTATTGAGAACATTTTGATTTGGGTCAGACGCGAGACGACGAGAGTATTTTGCAAAAATTTCCCAAAAATGAATTTCGTGTGTTCCTTGAAACAAATTACGGTATTTTCTCAAAGGGACACACATTTTCTCAAAAATATCTCGAAGCGACGATGACGTCATTAAACTCTCGTCGTCTCTCGTCTGACCCATTTTCTATTGGAGTAAAAGATTTTTGAAAGGAAAAATTCAGGAAATTCACAGAGCCGTGGAAGAGAAAACCGAAAAATACAGTAGACGGTTTGGTTTTCTAGGCCATCTCATTTTGAGTTTCGTGGATCATACAGGATAAGGTTCCAAATTTGGACCCCCCTTATGAATTTTGCCACATGGATTTGATTAGAAGACAAATGAATTATCAGATTTTTTTTTAAACATGAGCTATGACGTGGCAAAGAATTTAGAAAGTTCTGGAAATCTGTGGATCAAAAAAAGAATTTCAAAGAACAATTTTTGCGTGACGTGAACTATGACGTGGCAATTAGGAATTTGTGTTTTTTTGCCACGTGGACTTTGGGTTTGAAATTAATTAGAAAATTTAAAAAAAAAAGCTAGAATTTTACACGTGAAATATGACGTGGCAATTGGAAAATCCAATTTTTTATATTAATTTTGTGTGGCAGGATTTCTTCCACGTGGATTCTCGGGATTCAGATATGTTTTTCAGGCTACGAAAAACCACGTGGCATTTTTCCCCCGTCAAACTCACTATTCTCTTGCGCAGCTCTAACAGCAGCCGCCGAATTGCTCAAATGTTGCGACAACAAAAACATATAAGTCTGCAATTGGCTCGAATCCAAACCCAACGGATTCCCATTATTCGACACCACTCCCGAATCCGAAGAAGTCGAGCTCGAAACCGTCGGCGGAAATATGAATTGCTGTGATGAGAATGGACTGGATGCGGTGTGTTCTTCATCGGTGCTCGCGCATCTCAATTCATCATCTGAAGCTGAGGAAGAAGCTGATGGGCTCGAATTCTCCTTTTTGTGGTGCTGCTCGAGGAGCAGATTTGAAATGCTATAGGCATTTTTTGCGCGCTCCTTGTCGTCTTCTGTGATCAGCACGCTCATCTGGAAAATTAAAAAAAAATATTTTTTTGAAAAATGAGCATCCGTAACCAGGTAATAAAAAAGAAGAGAACATCATTATTATTTTTTTTATGACAAAAAAAATATTTTTTTTGCAATGAACTGTACGAATTGGAGAAAATTAATATCGAAAAAAATGGGGAAAATATTTTTTTGAAGAGGAAAACAAATCATAAATTACTGGTTAATCTATATGTAAATCAAAGCCAAAAACACTATAATTATTAATTTCTGTGTAAGCAAATTATTTTGGCTGAAGGCTTGTCATTTTCGAGATATTTTTAATAATATTATGATTATTTTAGTGGTCGGTTGGTTGGGGAGAAAATGGAAAATTTTTGAGAAAAAGGGGTTGGAAAAAAAGTATGTTCCTTTAAATTTATCAGATTACTGTAGATCTCTTTTGCCTCGAGACCGAGAATTCAAAAATTTGAAGGAAAAAAACAGTACCCCCTATAAATCGTGGTGGGACCCAAAATTTGAAAAAAAAACTATTTCGCAATATCAAAAATATAGCCAATTCACAGCTACAGTAATCCTCAATCGTGACCGGACCTAGAATTTTTATTGGAAATTTTGATCCGTGGAAAACTGTGTGCCTTTAAATTATCAAAAATAATTTAATAATTTATCAGATTACTGTAGGAAATTTGTAGTCTCCTTTGAAGACTCAAAATTCAAAAACAAATTTTTGCGTTTAAAAAAATACTACAGTAATCCTGAATCGTGGCGGGACCTAAAATTTTTCAATTGGGTGTTTTGATCCATAAAAAGTTAAGTGCCTTTAAATTTATCAGATTACTGTAGGGAATTTTGATTCGTAGTGAGGCCCGCGCCTTGAAAATATAGCTAGTTCAAAACTACAGTACCCTGAATCGTGCTGGGACCCGAAATTTTAAAATCCGGAATTTTGAAAAAAAAATTTTTTTTAATTTCTAGAAAACAGTAACCTAACTAATTTTAAGTCAAAAAAATGCATGTTCTTTTAAAAACCCTCACCTACAGTACCCTCCCCTAAAAAAACTTTTTCTTGCAACTTTTTTTTCCTGGAGGCAATAAAAAATAATGTGATAGAGAGTTGAGTACACACAATTTTCCAAATAAAATAAAAATTTATACATTTTATTATGAGTAATAATAATATGTGTCCTATTAAAGGTAGGAAATTGGGTATTATATTAGCAGGTATCGAAGGGATTAAAATGAGCAATCTATATGGAAAAAGGGCTAATAAAAATGCAATTAGGGTGCGCGCGCAGGTTTCAATATTTTGTTGTTGTGCTGCTGCTCCCGAGAAAAGGACAGGTGGATTTTGGAAGATTTTTTGACCAATATATTTTGAATCGAAAAATATTAGTTAGCGGTGGATTAAAATGGGATTTAAATTATTTTTTGATAGAGTTCTAGAGAAAATAAAAAATAAAAATAAAATAAAATATTTTTTGATGAGATGAGATGAGGTGAAATTTGAGAAAAAAACTCATGTAATTGGGAATTTGAGAGAGAGATTGAGACACACTTTTTTATTTTATATAGTTGGAAAATTGGAAAATCAGAGAGCATGCCACGTGGATTTTCAGCTGAAATTCTAGAATTTCAAAAAAAAGTGCCACGTGTAATTTTTTGAACTCGAAATTTTCAAGACTAAAAGTGCCACGTGTATTTTTATCTCAAAATTTTCAGGACTAAAAAAGTGCCACGTGGATTTTCAGATGGAAAATTGGAATTCAAGAATTCCAGAATTCTGAACAAAAAGTTCCACGTGTAATTTTGAGCTCAAAATTTTCAACGATAAAAAAAGTGCCACGTGGATTTTTAGATTTTCAAATTTTCAGCTGGAATCTAGAATTCCAGAATTCTTTTAAAAAAAGTGTCACGTTACTATAGCTCAAATTGTATGCAGTTCGATATACTGTAGCCCACGATTTTAGAGGATAATTTGCAGTTCGGAAGATACTGTAGTTCAATTTTACAGTAACCCGAACTGCAAAAAGCTTAGCTTCCAGCGTTTTTGGATTTTCAACGTCGAAAAAATTCAGTCGAAAACAATTGTGACCCCAAAAATGTTCGCAACAAATCTCATTGACTCATGACACTTTCTCTCTCTATTGTTACCTGGATTGACTCACGCACAATCAGAGAAAAGCCAGAAAAAAAGTCGACGCCAAAAAACAAAAGGGCTAGTAAAATGAGTCATAATTGGGGGTATATCACCACTATTTATATATAAGCAACAAAAAAATAGTATTATAATAATACAGTAATATGTATGAAAATAAAAATAACTAAAGTTGTTTTGTTTTTCCTCTCCCCTTAACTAAACGTTTTCATCTCGCCGATACTAATTAGTAATATTAGTAATCAAAATAATAATAATATAATAGTGATAGGCTCTTCCTTTGTTAAATTATTAATTTCATTAATTAAACACTTCCCCTTTTGTGTTTGATGTTGAAATATCGTGCCGAAATTGGGAGGGAATTAGAAGTTGCCACGTGGCTTTTGACTTGTTTTAGATTCAGAATTCTATAGATTTTCAGAAGGAACTTAATTTTCAGGTTGAGATGGTCTTTGAAAACAAAATTCTGGGAAAAATTGATTTTTGAAAGCAAAAAATTTCATTTTCCAAAATGTCGTGAATATTTGGGGATTCGAAATGATCAGAAAATTTCGTTTAGAAAAGCTCTAGAAAATTTGGAGCACAATTTTCAGAGTTACTAGAACTTCAAAAAAATGCCACGTGGATTTTTTTTTATTCCAGAATTCCACGTGGCAATTCAGCTCCAAAAAATGCCACGTGGATTTTGAGCTCAAAAATTCTACTGGGAACATAAGTTTTACGTGGCTAAATTTAAATCTAAAATTCCAGAAATCTACGTGGCAATTCAGCTCCAAAAATTGCCGCGTGGATTTGATTTAAAAACTTCTGGAAATATTTCAAAAAAATTTTCAGAAGCTGCAAATCTGAAATTCCAGAAATCCACATGTTCATCATCTCAAAATTTCAAATATTTCTCGAAATGACCAGAAAAATAAAATTGGAAAATTGGAAAAATAAAAATAAATATGGCTTCTTCTTTTTTCATTCGGCGAGATTTTTGGGATGTGTAAATGACAATTAGAGGCGGATATTATTATTATTATTATTTATTATTTATTATTATTAGTTAGTTTTGGACAGGAGAAAAAATGAAAAGAGAGGAATTGAAAATAATAATAATTTGTTTTTGTTTAGTTGGAAATGAGGCGTTGGGGATTTGAATTTTCAGGATTTCGCGCTTTTTCGAAGAGGAGAGTAGCTCAGCTGGTTAGAGGTTAGATTATTAGGAGAGAGGTCTGGGGATCGAATCCCGGTCATAATAATTATTTTTTATTTTTTTTTCTTGAAAGTGAGGTAGCTCAGCTGGTTAGCGTTCAGATTATCAAGAATAATGTCAGGGGTTCGAGACCGGCCCAGGGAAAAAACAAAAAGAAAAATTAAATAGCTCAACTGGTTAGGCCTCCAAATATTGCTCAAAAGGTCCAGAGATCAATCCCGCCCTGAGCAAATGTTTTTTGGTATTTTGAACTATCCAAAATCCTATTTTCAAATAAAAATTCCAATAATTTCAGGGCTTCTTCTGTCTTTTTTCAAAAAGAAATCATAGAACAAAAAAAAAAGTTTTTTTTTTCAACAAAAAATTAAAAAATTGCCAACCTAAAAAGTCATAAAATAAAAATAATCCGATTTTTTCTCTGTTGTCAAAAACCAGACTAGATAATCAAAAACTATTGAGCCTCACTCAGCCAAAATGCGAAAAATGATGAAGAAGAGAAAAGTGGGCGTGGCTTGGCCTGTGTTGGGCCAATTGCCATCAAAAATGGGCGGGGTTTCGGCGGTTTTGGACGGCGGGAAAAGTGAAGATGATGATGATTTACAGAATTCTATTTAATTGTGAAGAAGAGGAGAAAATTCTATATATCTAATTAAAAAAGACAGAGAGAGAAGGAAAAACAAATTACTGTGTACTGTATAAGGCGAACGATTTTAATTGAATTTTATTTTATTTGATAGATTGACGAACTTTTTGACAATATATATATATATATATATATATCAAGGTCTTTATTATGATTAAAAATTATTGATTTACTGTAAATACGAGAATGGGAGGGGAATTTTGATCTACAAATAAAAAGTTTTTTCGAAAAAATTTAGGCACTAAATTATCTGGTAGATCAAAAATGTGGCCACAAAAAAATCCAGAAAAAATACGTTTCAAAAATGTTCCAAATCTCAAAAACAACTGTCAGAAATTGCTGTGTTGATTTCTCTGATTACAATCTAAATATTCTTATAGTTACCCTAAGTCCCCTCGTACTGGTCATCCAAAAATTCACAAGGAACTATAATATTTTTGATGATCGCAACATCAAAAATAAACATGTATACTTTTTTTTGGGCGATGCATTCAATTCAATTGAATTCAATTCAATCAAATCATAAATGTATGTATTTTATATTTATATTATTATTATTGTATTTTTATTATTTATATAACATAACATAACTATCTATTTATAATATTTGCTCTTCTCATCTCAGAAAAAAAGTCAAAATGTTACATAAATAAAAAAATAATATTATGAAATTAATAAGCAGGTTTCCTTGAAACATCTGTCTTTTAACCGGAAAAAATATGGGTTACAAATTAAGTAAGGCATTCACTAATATGATAATGATGTGCAAGAGAAAAGCAGGTGCTATTTATTTCTTTCGGGAATTTTCTAAAGGGAGTTGGTACTGTACTTTTGGGTTACTGTAGAAATATTTTTTGCGCTTTTTTTTTAATCTACAACAAATTTTTTGTTGGCTCAAAAATCATGTGGATTCGAATCTGAAAATGACGCAATTTTTGATAACTGTATTTTTATATCTACAAAAATACAATTTTTCAAGAGACACAGTACTTTTTGGTATACTGTAGAGTCATTTCGCATCGAATTTTGATCTACAATTGTTGTGCTGCTTGAAGTCACTGCTACGAATTTTTCTGATTTTTTTTTGAGAATTTTTTTGAAACGTATTTTCTTTTGGTTTTGAATTTTGCCCAAAATTCTGAAACATGAAATTTTTTCAAACCTAGTAACTTTAAAAAACACAGAAAATCCAAATAACCTACAGTACCCCAAAACCTTCTTTCAAAAAGTTGACAGCTTTTGTCTAACTCACTAAAAATCCCATTATTTTTTTCAAAAAAGTGACCTTGGACACTTCTTTTTTTGAGAAAATAAAATAAAATTGAAAATAAAAATAAAAATAAAAAAGGGTCCTGATTATGCTCCATTCAACTTTTCTTTTGTTGAAAAAAAAAACTTCGGGCCCCGTTTTTTCTGTGAATAAAAAATGTATCTATTTTATATAGAAAAGATGAGATTTTACAACTTTTCGCCGTTTTTTTTTGAATAAGAAGAGGGGAATATAAATAAATATACATACCGTATATTTAAAATATAATTGGATATTTTTTTGAATAGCGTCGAAATCGAAAATCTTCGCGCGCGCATAAGTTTTTATTCGATTTTTGGCGCGAAAATGAGATTCATCATAAAATGAAATAGAATTTTGTGAAAATAATAGGCTTTTTTGGAAAGACTGAATTAATTTTATTGGAAAATTTCGCGCGAAAAATTTGAATTTGAAAAATATTTTGAATACTGTAAATCTGGAGCAATTATTTGAGTTCTTCGGGTTACTGTAGATCAAAATTTCGGCCCAAAAAGAAGCTATGGGTACTGTATAAAACTCTGATTACTGTACTTTTGGCGTCTAGTAGTTTGGGTATAATTTTTTGAGATTTGAAATTCAAAAAAAATTCAATTTTTCATCTGTAGATCATAAAAATATTCTGAAATTTGCAAAATTTCTTCAGAATCTGGTGCAACTCAATTTCCGGCCCTCAAATGATGGCGCCAAAATGATGAGCCTCATTTTCGCCACCCATTTCATCTCATCTCATTTCATTTTCCCGCGAAAAGTCAACAAAAAAAATGCCAGCGGGCAGATGTTTCAATTCGAAAAATTTATCGACTGGCACAAACAAAATTCGGGATTTCGGGATTTCAATTTAATTTTTTTTGGAGCGGCGCAAAATTCTTGGGTGTAGATAGATAGATAGATAACCTTCACACCCAAATAACACAAATTTGTTTAACAATAATATAAATAATAATAAAAATAAAGGTCATCCTCAAAAGGCGGGCTGTAAAATGATTTACATAATATAAACATATTAATTAGAATAGGTTTGGAATTTTATTAATTAATTAAGATTGGGTAATAATAGTTAAGGTAAATAAGGGACTTTAGGAATTTTAAGAAACTGAATTAAAGCCTTAGTAATTAGGGAACAAATTAAAATTAAGTCTGAAAATTAAAAATTCCTAGACAAATTTTCAGAAATAAATCTCAAAAGTGCAAAAACATGGGGATTACTGTACCCAGGTGTCCAGGTTCTCCATTCTCATTCAAACATTTTCAAAACCTTTTCTTTCCTCGAAATTTCCCGAGGCTACCGTACTCTCTTTCCATAGAAAAATGTATGAATAAAGCAAGCGCTTTATTCATGCTTTGATTCAAAAACTGAAAAAAGGGTTGCGCAAGTGGCAAGTTGTCGGAAGTCTTGTTTGAAAATTTATATTAGAATCAATCAAGGAAATATTGCGCAAGCTATTTTATAGGATACTAATTGGTACGTAGAAATTAAAATATTTGAAATTTGGAATTTGGAAAAGGGGGTTATGACGTGGCAAATACAACTGTGGATTTTGGCACGTAGTTCAAAATACTGTATATATATTTTTTGAACTCAAATGAGAGTACTGTATAATAGAAGAATTGTAGATAAAAATAAGTTTTAGGGTCAACTTAGGGATGAAATACGAAATTTCAGATCATGAAACATTTTCCGAATTCTCCGGATTTTCCTGTTCAAAAAATCCGGAAATTTCCCTACAGTTTTCCGGGTTTTGATTTTCCGGCACAGAGCTGGAGGGAATGTTGCAATTAGCACATTCCTCGAAAGATTTTTGTCAAAAGCTTTTCAAACTTTAGTAAAACAAGTTCAATGTTCGTTAAACCAGTGAAAAACCGTGTAAATTGGCTTGAAAAAATACAGTAAAACTTACAGTAACCCAGGGAAAAATATAGCGGCACAATTTGATCTCTGAATTTCTCAAATTCAGTTTTTTTTTGAAATATCTGAAATTCTATTAGCCCAAAAATACAGTACCCAAGTCAAAAGTTACGGTATTTACAGTACCTACAGTACCCCCCCCTCTAAAATATCTCATCAATCAATCAATCAATCCATAAAAGCGGCACCTCCAATTTTTTTGTTTGAAACGTTTCCATTTTTTTTTTGTAATACATACAAATATAAAGAGACATAATGTAATAAAACACTAATCGTTAAATCCTTTCCTCAGAAAAACGGGCGGCACCTGGTCAAAAAGCGGATTACTGTATGTATGGAGAGATCCATGTTATGTTATTATTGCGTTTAATTGCTTTACAATGTGTTACCTTTTTCTTTTTGGGGGGAAGAGAGGATAGAATATCTTATGGAAAAAGGATTAATTGAGAAAATATGTGGACAAATAGGAAGATTTTGAGGAAAGGTAAAATTGTGTCAAAAAACATCACAGCAAAAAATTAAAAATTCAGAAAATTTAAGTTTTTCCTGGAATAATTTTAGATTTCAGAAATTTTTTAAATTCTAGAGTTCAAGCTTGCAAAAAATTGATCCAACATTTTTCTATCAAAAAAAAAGTTTCAGAAAAAAGTCACTAATTTTCAATCTGAAAATATCTAATTTCAGGGTTTTCCTAGAGGCTTTATGAATTTTCTATAGGTTTGAAGGGTTTCTTAAGGGCTTTAAGGCTTTTCTAAAGGCTTTAGGGATTTCCTGAGTGATTCAGAGCCTTCCTAAAGTCCTTGAGGCCTGCCTAGGTGCTTTAGAGCCTTCCTAGAGGCTCTAGAACACTTCCAAGAAATTTGGAATATTGTTAAAAGCTTTAGTGTTTTCCTAGAGTCCTTAAAGCCTTTCTAAAGAGTTTGGGGATTCCTTAAGGTCTTTAGGGCTCTCCTAGAGGCCTTTGAGCCTTCCTAGAGGCTTCACGGCCGTTCTATAGGCTTTAGAGCTTTTCTAGAAGATTTAAGACTTCCTTAAAATATTCCGAAATTTTTTTGAAAACATCTTGTGCCACGTGGACTTTTGTAGTGAAATGAAATTTTTCAAAATAACTTTCACAAAAATCTTCTCAAGAACACTCTAGCTAAATATAATCGAATCATCTAGAAAAATATACACATTTTCTTTTCTCGTTTCTAGTACCTACAGTAATCCGCTAGGCAATTTCAATTTTCGTCAAAAAATTACGAGATTTTAGAATCTGGTTACTAGCAGTAACGGGGAATAAAAATAAAAAAGTAATAATAATAAATTAGTCGAAATTGGGGGGGAAAGAAGATGGAAATTAGAAATTGAGATTTTCGTCAAAAAAAATCGGAAGACTTTAGGGCAAACTCTCTTCACACATATGTTTTTGCAACTTTTATGACCGAATTAATTGAGCCAACAAAAAAAAACAGAGTCAAATGTGAATTTATTTTATGTTAAAATACATATGCTTCTTATGTTAGCAAAAAAAAGACCTTGAGAGTTTTTGTAACTTTTTTTTTTGTTCATGAAATGAAAAAAAAGTAACCTTGAAATTAAATTGAGCCAGGTGAATCTATCCTATTAATTAAAATAAATAAGTGACTATGTATTTAGATCAATTAAATTTATTGTTATAAGAGTTCGCGTAACTTCTATAAGTTAGCTTAAATAAAAATAATTGAGCAATTAATGGGTGAATAATTTATCAGACAAATAAATGTTGCCTTTTTATTTTTATTCAGAAATTTTCACATTAGATCTTTAAAAAACAAAGCTAAGAATCTCAAAAGATTCAGTCAGTTCACATTAAAATTAATTTGATTTTTTTTTCAGGAAAAAAATGGATCAAAATATGCCGCCGGCGTCCCGCGGCGATTCGAAATTCGACCGAAAAAAACAGCTTGGCTTTGATGACACCCGGAAAATTTGGGGAATTGTTTTGGGGCGTCAAAAAAAAATTCAGCAGCTTTTGCCACGTGGATTTTCAGAGCAACAAGAAAAAAAAACATTTTTGATTTTGAGAAAATTTTCGATCTATAGGAACAATTCTACAGTAACCTAGAAATTTGTCCTGAGAATCTTTGATCTACAAAAAAATATTATCTACAGTAACTTTCCAGAAATCTCTCTCTACAAAGGATTCACTACAGTAATCTAGTGAAGACACCTTTTCAAAAGTACCGTAACCTGAAAAAAAGTGCCAAAAATTCGGAAAATGTTGATCTACAGTAACCAGCGAGAACTACAGTCTTGTGAAATTTCATTCAAATTCTGCCAGTTCAAAAAATCAAATCCCCTATCTAAATAATTCTGTGAATTTCCCAATTTTTTTCGCGCCAAAAAAAATTCAAATTCCATCAAGCATGACTAATTTTAGTCATTACGTTTTCAAAAACGCCTACTTTTTTTTATTTTCAATTTGAAAATTCAAAATTCAAAATTCTCTAGCCACATAGTAATTCTTGATCTCTCTAAGTACTAAGAAGTATCAAAAACGTATGTGCTCGAATTCAAGTTTTTCATATTTTGCCACGTGGCAATTTCAAGCGACCACTTCGCATTTGTTGACATTTCTAACGTGTCCCTTTAACTTGTTCTGCGGGTACTGTATTCTGAAAAAGACGCCGAAACAGTACAAAACTGCAAAATGGTATTTATTGCATTTGCATTCTTGGTGAGAGTTTTTTGGCGGGAAAATTTGAAAAAAAAAGTTCTGACTTCCTCGTTTTTCAGACAAAGATGATAAATTAAAATAATTATATTTCAAACATCAAAACATAATTTTTGGCTCCCAAAAATCCAATTTTTCAGGACAATTTTCACAGATCTAATTCTGGGCGCCTGCGTCACACCTCACATGTTTTTCCCGGCGTTTGCCGGAATCTCGACGGGGATTTTTGCATTTTTCGCAATTCCCATCCCTGCTCAAATTTTCATGGCTCAAATTGCTCTTGGAGGTATCTGAGCTATCCAAAAAATTATAATTTTTCACTCAAAATCACGAAATTTCAGGTCTCGCCACATCAATCGTTATGATTTTCGAGAATCGTCATCATACTTTGGTGCGCGGGAAATTCAAATTTGAAAAGAATTGGGCGCGTTTCCTATTTTACACAATTCACGGTGTCTATAGTATACTATTCCTACTTCCCGTGTATTTTCAGATTCCCGAAGCGTATTCAGCAAAGATGCTATTGCTCAGGGTAGGTTTGGGGGAGGATTTAGCTAGAGAGGCACTTTAAAGGGGGTACGGGCTAATCAAAATTTCATGGAAAAAATTATACCATCAGAAAGAAGAGGTTTCGTTTAGTATGTTCCCAATTTTTTATAATTATTTTTCACGTTTGAATACCATTTTTTCACGCGCAAACACGAAAAAGTTGCGCTCGACCTCAGAATAGCATGCAGACACGAGAGACACAGCGTATTTAGGCCCCGCCCCCTTCCATGCGCTGTGTCTCTCGTGTCTGCATGCTATTTCTCTGAGGTCGAGCGCAACTTTTTCGTGTTTGCGCGTGGAAAAATGGTATTCAAACGTGAAAAATAATTATAAAAAATTGGGAACATACTAAACGAAACCTCTTCTTTCTGATGGTATAATTTTTTCCATGAAATTTTGATTAGCCCTTAACTCCTTTAAGGACATTTTTCAAAAATCTACAGTATCTTGGACAACCCTACAGTAATATTACTTGGCGACATTCAAAATTAAAACCAATTTTCCTCGAATTTTCAAAAACAAATTTGAAAAACTCACATTTCCTCCAGTTTTCCTCGAAATTCAAAATCATTCGCCTCATAAATTGTTTCCATCATTTCCATGACATTTTTCCTGTAAAATAGATTTGAGTGAAATTTGAATAAGTACTTTAAACGAAAGAAAAATTCAAGAAAGAACATTTTTTCATCAAATTACTTTTTGAGCACCAGTTTTTGTATAAAACTATTGAAAATGATTTAAACTTGTGTTACTTGTACTAGGAAAAGAGATAAATATGAATATTTCATTCAAATTCATCGAAAAACAACGAAAAAAACCTTGATGACAAAAAAAACAAGAAAATAAAAGTAGAAATGGAAGTGCGCCCTATTGATAAAAATTGCATGTCGCGCACTCTTTTAAAAATGTGTGTTTTTTTTTCGTTGCTTTTTTATTATCACCCTTTTAAAAGGGTCTAACTAGACTATAGTCTCTCTGTTTTTCCAGGAACGTCTCCCCTGCCCGCATCCAGATTATTATCTCGACACCGTCTTCGTTTTCACCACAAATGCCTCAACTCTCATCGAAACCGCCGGAATTTTCATAATTTTCGTGGTCTTTGAGGCGATTTTCATGTGCTTCCACAGCTCTTTCCACCTCTTCCGATTCGATGTCAAAATTTCGGAACAGACTCGAAAAATGCAACGAAAACTGTTTGGCGACATGATTTTGCAAGTTTCGGTGCCGATTTTTGTGATTGTTGTGCCGATGGCGTATTGTTTGGTGGCTAGTTGGGCGTTGTATTATAATCAGGGTGAGAGAAACAATTTTTTTTGTTTTTTTTTTCCAAAAATAGATTTGAAAGAGTAGAGAACGAAGTTTAGTGATGTAGAAAGTTTTTTTTTGGAAATTTTCTGAAAAAAAAATACAAATTTCTAATTTTTTAAAAAATAGGGGGTTTGCTATTTATGAGGCACAATTTCTCCTCCACTCCAACAACATTCTTCCAGTCCTCAACAACATTGCCGTGATTTTCATTACATCTCACGGCATTTCCTCAACAATCACCATATTTGCCACCAATCACACGTATCGTCAGCATTTTTGTCACGTTATCCTACGCCGAAAATTAAAGCCAAGTCAAATGCGTCGCCCAAGCACAATTACAGTCAATGCAGTGACGCAATTTTGATTTTTTGTTTGATTTTCAACTGAAAAAATGAAAAAAAATACGGTGTTGTCAAAGAAACATGTTGTTTTGTGTGTGGGTCTCGCAGCGAACGCTTTTTCATTTTTTTTTTCGAAAAAAAAAAATTTTGTTTGTTTGTTCGCCAATTTTTGCGCTGAAAGGTGAGGTTTTCAAAGTTGTTTAATCAAATTCTTGAATAATAACCATGTGAGAAAAGAATATTAAAAAATCAAATAATTGTTGGTTGCTACGTGACACACAAACATAGTTGTTTGAACAAATATTTAAGAAAAATGTTCATTTCTCAAAAATGCGTCTACTAACATCTATATTACTAATATTTTCTATATTTTCCTTGTCATTAGGAGCTATTTCAACTAACAAATTGATTATTGGTGGGTAAATGTGTTCTAGACGATTTAAAAAAAGAAAATCAATATTTTCAGACACCGATGGGGCTTTCGATGACATCCGAGCCCTCACAATCGCTCTTTCCCAAAATCAACAACAAATCGATATTCTCGCAATAACCACAACTCACGGAAGTGTTTCAGCAGAGCAAGCAGCTCGAAATGTGCACCGCATTCTAATCGCCACCCAACAAACCCAAATCCCCGTTTACATTGGAGCGAATGACTCAATCATTCCAAAAGGACCCGTTGAAGTTTGGGAAGAATTATATGGAAATGATGGACTTGGAGGGGTCCCAAATGTCTGGCCCGAAGCCCAATTGAATATATCGAATTTCACCGGGAAAATTGGAGGGGTTGATGCGATTATCGCGATTCTAAAGAGCCACCCGAAGGAAGTTACGCTAATTTGCATTGGACCTTTGACTAATTTAGCGTTGGCAATTCAAAAAGATCCATCGGTTGTGGAGAATTTGGGCAAAGTTATCATAATGGGTGGTAATTACCTGGGTAGGTAATTGACGTTTTTTAACGTTAAAAACCCCAAAAAAGTCGTTCACAAACCGTATTTTTTATTCATTTTTTCACCATTTTCTCAACACGCTGAATAAAGTGAAGCTAAAAGTGTTCAGAAATGCTATTTAAAGACCTTCCAAGGCAAATCAAGCCTTCAAAATGAAATTGGTGATTTTCGGAAATCAAGAATTTGATTTTGAAGGCTCGATTTGCTTGAAATAGCATTTCTGGACACTAAAATGCGTTTTAGCTTCACTTTATTCAGTGTGTTGGGAAAATGGTGAAAAAATGAATAAAAATACCGCTCGTGAATCACTTTTTTGGTTTTTTAACGTTAAAATTCAGGGATTGGAAACACTTTGACAAATTCCACTGCCGAGTTCAATTTCCTAATGGATCCTGAAGCTGCAGCAATCGTCCTTCAAAACATCCACGCAACAATCATCCCATGGGACACAAGTTTTCTAAAGGGCCCCGAATACTCAAAGAAAGTCGATTACCAGGAATCACTCCGTTTAGATTCACCGCTCTCCAATTTCTTGTCCGAAATCACCAAGAAAGCACGAAAATTCAACACGGAACACGGGCAAACCTATTCGTTTATTGATGATATTGCAGTTGCGATTGGAATTGAGCCGAAAATCGCGGAGAAGGTGCAAAAGTTATATGCGAATGTTGAATTGACGAATGGAACTGTTACGAGAGGACAAGTTGTTATTGATTGGTTGAGTGCGGCTTATAATGAGAAGAGTGGACAATTTGAAGCGGAAGAGGAGAGAAATGTATATAAGGGGATGCATTTTTGGTCCTGGTGCTATTATCGAAAATCTCACCACGCGCTCCACCGAAATAAACACGCAACGCAAACCGCGTCGCGCCACAATACACAAATAAGGGAACGATTCAAATTCCCTCCCTTTTTTGTGTGTGTTGTGGCGCGGCGCGGTCTGCGTTGCGTGTTTATTTCGGTGGAGCGCGTGGTACCGATGAGATTTTCGATAATACTGCTTGAAAACTAGCATTTCTAGACGCGGCTCCTTGTCACATTTGATCTCTAGCTGTGGCTACTAGACAACTAGGTTCTCTAGGCGCGATCACTTGAGAACCAGGCTCTCTAGGCGTTGATCCTTGCCACTTTTGTTCTCTAGCTGTGATTCCTAGACAACTAGATTCTCTAGGCGCGATCACTTGAGAACCATGCTCCCCAGGCGCTAATCCTTGTCAACTTGAATTTTCTTGCGAAAAAACCGCAATCTTTTTCCAGGACCATGATTGGCTGGCTCAAGAATTCGTCGTCGAATACGATGTGCAAGAAATCAATCGATTATTGATGCAAGCAGTTAGCCCAACTCCAATCGCTCAAAGTTTGGTGCAAAATTCGGCAAAAAGTTGATTCCCCTTTGCCTTTTTAATATCAATTTCTCGATTTTTCCAGCTTCATTCAAATTTTTCGCTGTATTTTTGATGATTTTCCCATGCCTTTTTTAAAGAATATATGATGTCGAAAAATGTTTTTATTCATGTTTTATGGAAATGTTGAAGATACCTGGAATATTCATAGTTCTGTGCATCATAAATCATTGCTCAGGTTATGGGCTCGGGGAGAAGCTAATCATTGACACGGACGGTGCTTTTGATGATATTCGAGCTCTAACACTTGCGCTAACCCACAAAGATACCAATATTCTAGCGATTACAACTACAAGAGGTGGAGTTACAGAAACTCAATCAGCCAAAAATGTCGACAGAATCCTACGAGCCACCAAGCAAACGCATATTCCGATTTATATCGGATCAAATGACTCAATCATCCCAAAAGGACCATTGGTTGTTTGGGAAGAATTGTATGGAAGTGATGGAATTGGAGGAGTTCAAGATGTTGAGCCGAAAACTTTGGAAGATTCACCGAGGATCAGTAGATTTATGACGGCTATTGATGCGATTATTGAATTGTCGAAACTGAATCCGGATTTGACTATGGTTTGCATTGGACCGCTCACGAATTTAGCAAGGGCTATTCAGAGAGATCCGAGTGTTGTTGGGAGATTGGGAAGGGTTATTGTTATGGGCGGAAATTATTTGGGTGAGATTTTGAAGGCTGGGCATCGACTAAATGACATTTTCATGTTTTTTAAGCAAGTGAGTTGAAATTCTGGGTTTTAATATTATTCATATGATAGAATGGTCTAAGACGAATAGAATGATATAAATTTTGATGACTTTACGTTATCCATAAGTGATTTAGCGAGGTTTAGTCGATATTTAGTCGATAAGTCGCTAAATCACTTATGGATAACCGTAAAGTCATCAAAATTTATATCATTCGGTTCGTCTTAGAGCATTCTAACATATGAATAACATTGAAACCCAATATTTCAACTCACTTGCTTAAAAAACATGAAAATGTCATTTAGTCGATGTCCAACTAACGTTTTAAAACGACTTTATGTGTTTTAGGTGATTCTTGCTCTCTAAATTTTTCTAGAAATGAAAAATTCACGTTTTCAGAAATTTCAAACGTGAACTTCCAACATCTTTTCTCATTTCTAATAAAAATTATTCATTTTTAATGTCTGCGACTCCAGCTTTTTTGTCTGCGTCTCCATCACTCTCACCTATGGCATTTTTATTCAGAAGTTTTGAACCATGAATGAAAACGACATAGTGAGACAGTTAATGGATCCTCGAGACGCAGACAAAAAAGCGGCGAAAGAGTGTGCCACGTGGAGAGTCGCAGACATTAAAAAATGAATAATTTTTATTAGAAATGAAAAAGATGTTGGAAGTTCACGTTTGGAATTTCTGAAAACGTGAATTTTAGTTTTTTCATTTCTAGAAAAATTGACATGCATTTTTTTCCAGGAATCGGCAACACTCAAACCAATTCCACGGCCGAGTTCAATTTCCTGATGGATCCTGAAGCTGCAGAAATCGTCCTTCGAAACATCCACTGCACATTAATCCCATGGGACACAAGTTTCCTCAAAGGCCCCGAATATTCGAAACAAGTCAACTATCTGGAATCGCTCAATTTCAAAACACCACTTTCCAAATTCCTCAAAGCTATAACGCATCGAGCCCGCGAATTCAACATCAAACACGGCCAAACCTATGCATTTGTGGATGATATTGCAGTTGCGGTGGGAATTGAGCCAAAAATCGCGCAAAAAGTGCAGAAATTATATGCGAATGTTGAGTTGACGAATGGAACTGTTACGAGAGGACAAGTTGTTATTGATTGGTTGAGCACTTCGTATAACTCGAAAAATGCACAATTTGAAGCCAAGAATTTGACAAATGTAGGGGGGAGGGGGAGATATTTAAAAAAAATACTTTTTTTCAGAAAAACGGCTGGCTGTCTCATGATTTCGTCACTGCTTACGATGTCCGACGAATCAATAAATTGATGGTTGAAGGGGTTAAAAGAAGAATCTGAATTTGAGATATCTAGATGAAGTTTTCAAAAAAAGACGTACAAAATTAGTCGAAAAATTTGGAACACCATGCGCAGGGTCGTGTCTTCCCCCTACTGTTCCAATTTTCGTAGACAGCCAGACACATATATATGTATAGCAAACAGCGCGACCGACGTTTGACGGGCAAAGGCAATGCGCTATGTTTTGTATGTGAAGGGGGCGGGGCGTAGAGAAAAGGGGAAGGAAATGTGTCTTTGTTTCTGGTTTTTGGTGGGGTTTTTTGAGTTAGGATAACTTTTTACTGTCATTACAGTAAGGTGGGAGTACTGTAGCTCGTTTTGTAGAGAATTTCAAGAGCGTTTAAATGCTATCACATTTGTTAAGGTTTTTTTTTGACATAGGAGTACTGTAGCTCGTTTTGTAGAGAACCTGAACTTTTCTGAAAAAACAACTACAGTAATCTTGGAGTACTGTAGTTTGTAGCTCCAAACTTTATTCCCAATTAATTTTTTTCCCCCTCCAATTAACCCAGAATTTCGATAACTCCTCCTACTAAATGTAGATTTCCGGCCACCAAAACCACTTGATCTTCTTCTTCCCCCGATTTTTTCTCAATAAAATCAACCGATTCAGCGATGCTCTCAAATAATCGACCATCAAAACTACTTGAATCTTCGGAAAATTTTTGCCACGTGTCCAGGCATTTTTGAGCTTCCGCCAAGTTTGGCGAATATTTGGTGGGACACGAGATGATTCGGGTGAACATGAGGGGTCTCAAGATTGGCAGCAAGATGTCCGGGCTGCGATTCGGGCAGTGCACCAACAGCACGCGGCGCTTCCTGTGCTCCCCGAGCTCGGCCATCTCTTGCTCCGCCCATTTCGCGCAACACTCCATGCTCTTTGGTGTGTGTGCACCGTCCAACAGCCATGTGACTCTTCCCCGCACGATTTTCTGACATCTCCCCGCTAACCGGCAATTTTCCAGTGATGCGCATATTTTTTCGGGAATCCTAGCATCTAGAAGACGATGGAGCTGTCCAGTTGTTCTGATGAACAACTGGACAGCCCGATTTGAAGAGCCAGTGAGATATTGGCGATTTGATGATCGCCCGGGATTCCTGGGGTGATAGACCGTGCAAATTTGTCGGCGGTGATTGGTGGGACGAGGTGGAGAGGGGTGTTTCTGGCGGCCGCGCGGGATTTGATCACCTGGAAGTTTAACGATGGTCCACAAAGCCTAGCAGTCTGGTAGGCTTTTTGGCCCAAAACTGTACAGGGTGTGCTTCGCAAGCCCTGTTTAGTTTTCCTAACAAAAACAAACACAAATGCCAAAATCAGTTACATTTCACAAAAAATTATCTGAAAATCTTTGATCTGAAATTTCTGATGGAACTGAAACTGCCCTAATATTTCCAGACAACAAAAAAAAATGAAAAGATATTATTTTTCCCCTGAAAAACATGAGATCAAGGTTGATTTTTATCATTAAACTGTGTCTGAAACTGACCGCCCAGTTTTTCAGATTGGTATAAAAACTCATTTCTCTCCGGAACCCTCAGAAAATCATGGAAACTGCCAAATTCATTCCGATTCTCCTAGTTTTCGTAATTTCCATCGAATCTCAAAATTGCACCGATGATCAGAATAAAAAATTGGAAGTTTGTATGAAAGTGAGTTCTGAATTTTGATTTTGAGCACTGAAAAAATAATTTTTCAAGAACTACGCCATCGAATCTCTTCAACAAAAACCCGACAGTTTCTGGAATGCCTGCAAAACCTTTCATAAATGTTCGGAAGCTGTGAAATGCCAAGATATGCATGCCACAAATCTCGCAAATACCCAGTTTTGTTTCGCAAATGTCATCGAAAATAACACATTTTCACATTGCTTAAAAACGGTGACCAAATTGCCGTGTTGGAATGTGATAACTGAAAAGATTTCGAAAATAATTGAAGGTGTTGAGAAGGATAAGAAGAAGAATTGTCAATTTTTGAAGATTGAAGCGAGAAAGTGTTTTGAAGATGGAATTAGGGGAACTAAAGGATGTGGGGAGAAAGAATTGAAGGATTTTGGAAAAATTTTTGATGATTTGGTGAAAACTGTGGATTGTTGAAATTATTAATGATTGATAAAGTAGTTCATTTTTCTATTGATTTTTTGGAAACACATTTATCCTTCATCTTTAGCCATCAAAAATAGGCGAGCTGTTGTAATTTCTGCTGATTTTTTTTCAGAAAAAAGTTTTGTTTTAAATTCAGTCGAGATTAATGTTATGTAAATCACAGAGTGTATTTTCCTACCCAAAAAATTTCCCGCAATTTTTGAGACCTTTTTGAGAAAAAAAAATCGGCCCGAGTTTTTCAAAAAAAAAAAATCGGCCCGAGTTTTTCAAAAAAAAAAATCGGCCCGAGTTTTTCAAAAAATAAAAACGGCCCGAGTTTTTCAAAAAAAAAATCGGCCCAAGTTTTTTCAAAAAAAAAATCGGCCCAAGTTTTTCAAAAAAAAATCGGGCCGAGTTTTTCAAAAAAATCGGCCCGAGTTTTTCGAAAAAAAATCGGGCCGAGTTTTTCAAAAAAAATCGGCCCGAGTTTTTCAAAAAAAAATCGGCCCGAGTTTTTCAAAAAAAAATCGGCCCGAGTTTTTCAAAAAAAAATCGGGCCGAGTTTTTCAAAAAAAAAAACGGCCCGAATTTTTCAAAAAAAAAATCGGCCCGAGTTTTTCGAAAAAAAAAATCGGCCCGAGTTTTTCAACAAAAAAAATGGGCCCGAGTTTTTCAAAAAAAAAATGGGCCCGAGTTTTTCGAAAAAAAATCGGCCCGAGTTTTTCAAAAAAATGGGCCCGAGTTTTTCGAAAAAAAATCTGCCCGAGTTTTTCAAAAAAAAAACCGATCAAAGTTTACCAAGCTTCATCTTCTTTTTTTTAACTGAAACCTTTCAATTTCAGACAACTGTTCCTTTGTTCTGAAACTAAAAACATTTTCATCTTCCAAAGAAAAATGAACAAAATTCTTCTATTTTTCCTCTTTTCACTATTGATTTCTATAGAATCTCTGAATAACTGCACAAATAAGCAGAATAATCAGATGGCTAGATGTTTGGATGTGAGTTTTTAATATAAAACTTTAGGCTAACTTCATGTTTCCTAGGAAATCGAAAAATCCAAACGTGAATCGAATTTTGGAATTATTCAAAGCACTCAAGAATATATTGACAAATATTGGAAAAGATGTGAAAATTATTATAAATGCGCGGAAAATATAAAATGCACTGATTTCCACGCTGAAAATCTTGAATTCATCTTCAATTGTTTTGAATTTGTCATTGATCATCAAAGTTTTTCACATTGTACCAAGAATATTACAATCATGAGATCGTGTGAGTTCTTGAAGAATCAGGCGAAGTTTGAAGATCAGAAAACCGAAGGTTGTGGTGAACAGGAACTTCAGGATTTCAGAAATTTTAATAATGATTTTGCAAAAATTTTGAATTGTGAATAAATTGGTTTTTTTTATTTTTGTTTCAAAAATTTTCAAAAAAATATATTTTTCTTTCAAAAAAAAAATCTGCCCGAGTTTTTCAAAAAAAAAAATCAGCCCGAGTTTTTCAAAAAAAAAAATTGGCCCGAGTTTTTCAAAAAAAAAATTGGCCCGAGTTTTTCAAAAAAAATTGGCCCGAGTTTTTCAAAAAAAAATCGGCCCGAGTTTTTTCAAAAAAAAAAAATGGCCCGAGTTTTCAGAAAAAAAATCGGCCCGAGTTTTTTCAAAAAAAAAAAAATGGCCCGAGTTCACATCAAAAAAATTGTGCACTTTTTCCCAGATCTCCATCTTGAACATCTCAAATCAAGAAATCAATCAATTTTTCCATCCAAGTTGACCTCATCCAACATTTGTCAAGCCTAAGAAATTTCAGACAACTGTTCTTTTCGGGTCTATAAAACCCCAATGTGAAACATTATTTTCATTCTTCGAAAAATCATGCTAACTAAAATTATTCTATCATTCTTTTTTGTGCTCTTCATTTCCATCGAAAGTTGCACGGATGCTCAGAAAACATTGATGGATAAATGTAAAAAAGTGAGTTTTTTGATGCAAAATAAAATTGCAAAATAAAATTATCCAGGATTTCAACAGTGCAAGAATGCCATCGAGTAAATATCAAACTGCTCAACAAAAAACTGATCAGCTTTGGAATGCCTGTAAAAACTTCTACAAATGTTCGGAAGATGTTCAATGTAAAGAGCAGCATTACAAGAATGTCGGAGAATCGATTATTTGTTTTATAAATACTGTTGGAACTAGCAGTTATGCACGTTGTATGAACAATGTCATTGATTCGGATTGTGGGAAAAGAATTGGTGAAAGAAGTGATAAAATAAGCAAAGGTATTGAGACGGATAAAAATAAGAATTGTGATTTCATGAAAAATGAGGCGAAGATGTGTTTTGAAGAGCAGAACAGGAAAACCGAAGGTTGTGGTGAGAAGGAACTTCAGGATTTTAAAAATGTTTTTGATGATTTCGCGAAAATTTTGAATTGTGAATAAATTGGTTTTTCACGACCGATCAATTGAAATATTCTTAACAGTTTTGATCATTTGCCTGGCTTGTTTCAAACTTTTCTGTGCTCGATTTGATAGAAATGAGCGGAAGCTTCGAGTTGGCCGAATTTCGCGGATTCCACAATCGGCTTCGTAGAAGTTGAGAAGAGCTTTGCAGATTGATTCGCCGAGCGATTCGTCTGGAAAAAAGCAAAAGTAGGTGGGGGAGGGGAGTTAGGGTAAGTTGAAAAATAATTTTTTTTTAAATTTTAATAGAATTCGTGTGAATGATTCTAAAATTTGTAAAATAGGCTTAGCCTAAGCCTAAACTTTTTGATGTTTTTGAAAACTTTCAGATTTTTTTTGAAAACTTTCAGATTCGAAACATTTGATCAGGAGCATTTTTCAATTTTTCTGCCACGTGGATTTTGAGCTCAAAAATTTTTCCATGTGGATAAGGATTTTTCTGAGCTCCAGATCTTCCACGTGGATTTTCGGACTCATTAGAGTTTGCCACGTGAATAAGGGTTTTGAGCTCCAGATCTGCAACGTGGATTTTGAGCTCAAAAATGTTTCCATGTGGATGAGGATTTTTTTGAGCTCCAGATCTGCCACGTGAATAAGGGTTTTGAGCTCCAAAATATGCCACGTGGATTTTGAGCTCGAAAATTTTCCACGTGGCATTTTGAGCTTCAAAATATTGCCACGTGGATTTTTGACCTCTAAACTTTTTTGAAAACAAAAATATTTTTTCGATTTTCCGAATTATGTGAACTTTTTTTCCCACGTGGATTCTAAAAGGATTTCTGATCTTCATGTGAATTTTTAAGCTTCCAATTTTAGCCTATTTTATAAATTCAACTTAGGTTAGGCTAGGCTTAGGCTAGGCTTAGGCTTAGGCTTAGGCTAGGCTAGGCTTAGGCTAGGCTTAGGTTAGGCTTATGTTTAGGCTAGGCTTAGGTCAGGCTAGGCTTAGGTTAGGCTTAGGTTAGGCTTAAGTTTTCCTCACATTTATACTGCAAATACGCGGTGCAATGTTGAACCCCCGTCGCCGAATCCAAATGTCGATACGAGAAAAACGAGACCTCCATCGTATAACACAAACATCCCAACAACTCTCCCATCGTTCTTCTCCCAGTACCCGCCTTCTCAACATCAGTGTTGAATTGCGTGAACTCGAGCGAATAATCTTCGGCGATTTCCGACAGTAATTGAGGCAACCACAATTGCCGATCACCAGAGTTGGCACTCACATTTCCGTACAGAAAACAATTTGGTTTTTGCGAATGTGCGTGAAGATCTATGTAGATTACGGGGTTCGCCATCGGATTCGCGTCGTATTGTTGAAGCAGATTCTTGACGGCGAAGATTGTGGGATGCGCCCATTCAGAAGGTTGTCGCCACATTCGATTCAAATCATGTCCCACCAGTGAACATCTATAGTTCCCATGGTAAACACCGTCGGGATTCAACATCGGGATAAGCTTGAAACAGTAGACTTTTCGCAATTTTTGAGCTCGCTCATCTTTCGACACCAGAAATTCGATGATACCGTGCATGACGTGACTGCTTGGCGTTTCGCCGGGATGAATTCGGGCGGTTAGGAAGATCATTTTCTTGGCGCCCGAGTTGGTGAGGGGATCGGTGGAGCCGTCGATGGTGAGAAGATCGAGACGACGCTTTTGCTGAAAATGTTTGTAGAGTGAAAAAGGCGTGAGGGAAATTTGGAGCTCAAAAATACAGGTGTAAAATTGGAGATAAAAAATTTCCTTAAAATCCACGTTAAAAATTTTGGAATCTCAAAAATCCACGTGTCAGAGTCAGAGCTCAGAAAAATCCTTATCCATATGGAAAATTTTTTAGCTCAAAAATACACGTGACAAAATTCAGAGCCCAAAAATCCACGTGGCACATAACTTCTGAAATTATAGTAGAATCCACGTGGAAAAAAACCTCACAAAATTTCAATAAATTGTTTTCAAAAAAGTTTAGAGCTCAAAAACCCACGTGGAAAAATTCTGAGCTCAAAATCCTTATCCACGTGGGAATTTTTTGGGAGCTCAAAATTCCACGTGGCAAAAATCGGAGCTCAAAAATCCACGTAGAAAACTTTGCAGCCCGAAAATCCACATGGAACAATTTTCCAAATTTGAAAAAGCCTAGTGGCCTAACTATTCTCACTAGGCTTCCAAACCGGGCCGGTTTTTTTGGTTTCAAGCTCAAACGGCTTCGGGTCTGAACCAAAAGATACATGTTTGGGCCCGGTTCAAACTGGGCCGGCCCAAAAACCCCGCTCACCACACTCATCGCCAACAAATCCCTGCTGAAAAACGTGTATTTTCTGGCCTCCAATTCGCCCAACCATTTTTGCATATATCCATAAGTGTACGGTATACAGTAGGCAAATTGGACAGGATCAGGTGATTCGAAAATGAAGGCGAATGAAAGAATCCAACGATCCGAGTGTTGTGTGCTACGGTAGTAATAAATATGGCGAGATGGAATGCGGGTCCTGCAGCGAAAAAACATTTGGAAAATAAAAAAGGCGTCTAACAGCTTCTGGAGGCTTCCTAAGGGCTTATTAAAAGGGCAATTTAAGCCCACTCGTAATTGCGGAGCATCGTTTGACAACCCCCAACCCACCAATTATTATTCTCCGCAGATTTCACAACCGGTGCCGCAATTCCCATCTCAAAAAGTGTTCGCTGCTTCGAAAAATTGACGATGTTAAATATGACTCGCTGATTTTCTGTCGCATTTTTTGTCTCAAAATAAAACCACACTCGATATTTTTCACCCAAAGTGTCGGGGCGAATGAATAAATCGTATTCGGATTGACTGATTTTGTCGGCGCGGCCGAGGTTTCCTGGAAAAATGTTTTGCAGTTCGGAGTACTGTATATATAGATTACGGTGGGTAACTTTTTTATTCTAACATTTCTAAGTTCGGATTACTGTAGGTTTCACAATCTGAAACCAAAGGACCATTTTTTTTGCAGTTCTGATTACTGTAGGTGAATTTTTTTATTCCAACATTCAACAATTTTTCGAAAAACAATTTTGTTTTTGCAGTTCGGATTACTGTAGGTCGCGGGATTTTTTACTGTAGTAGATACTGTAAAAGTACTGTAGGTACAAGAGTTACTCTATTGAATTTTTCCAAAAATTGATTCAAAATGCAATTTTTGGCTCAAATTTGCAGTTTGGATTACTGTAGATATAATAGTTTTTTTAAAAAAATGTTGTTTTTCGGGTTACTGTAGGTTTTGATATCTGAAATCTGAAACCCAGATAACAATTGTTTTGCAGTTCGGACTACTGTAGCTCGGGTTACTGTAGGATTAGGTAGAACCATAATTTTAGAACATCGGAAATTCCCCCATTTTTGCAGTTCGGAGTACTGTAGCTCGGGTTACTGTAGGTAGTCTAATAATAAGCTTCTTTACCATAATTTTAGAAATTCAAAAATTCCTCTGTTTTTGCAGTTCGGATTACTGTACCCGCTCACCTGACTCAAAACTCGCGTCAAAAATCAAATTTCCTGCCGCCGGCTCCACTTCTGGATACGAAACATTCCCGATTGTCTCGATTTCCTCCTCGCCACGTGGCAAACTCATCGAAAAACCAATTTTGAATTATTTTTTGGATTATTTTTTGAAAAAATGGGAAAATTTGAAAATTCGAAAAAAAATTGGGGAGGGAACCGGAAATTCAGTGCGAGCTTGAGTGAACAATTTTTGGAGACGGGATTATTGATTTTTTTTGAAAAAAAAAGGGACAATGAAATGAATTTAAAAATTTTTTAAACATAGGATTTAGGCCTTAAAAAATTACAGTAACCCATACTTTAATGAATTAGCCTACAGTAATCCAAACTGCAAAACTATGAATTCATGGTAGGATGTAATTCAGCAATACTTCAAACTACAAAAATCTACAGTAACCCGAACTGCAAAAAAAATTTTGAAAATCTACATTAAGCTGAAATTGAAGCCAAAAGCTTGAAAAAAAAACCCAGTTGAAAAAATAGCGATTTTCTACAGTAACCCAAACTGCAAAACTATGAATTCATGTAAGAATGCTTTAAATTCAACAGATCTTCAAACTGTAAAATTTAAAGTAATCAAGTCTGCAAAAAAATATTTAAAATCTACAGTAACCTAATCTCAAAGCTTCAGAAAACCCCCTAAAAACCAAGAATTGTTCAGTATGACCTACAGTAACCCGAACTGCAAATTTCTAACCAGAAGCAGTACCTACAGTACCCCGAACTGCAAAGCAATGAATTCAAGAAGATTCTCGACAACACTTCAAACTTCAAAAAACCTACAGTACCCCGAACTGCAAAACAAAATTTTGAAAATCTACAGTAAACTAATTTTAAAGCTGGAGAAACCTTCTAAAGCTATGAATTTTCAAAATTTCCTACAGTAATCCAGACTGCAAATTTTAAGCTTACAGTACCCCAAACTACAAGAAAATTTGGAAAATCAACAAAAAAAATGGTCTTGAGTGAAAGACAGTACAAAATCATTTCTACAGTAACCCGAACTGCAAAAAAATAGGAAATCTACACAAATCTGAAATTGATGCTTCAGAAAAAACCAGAGAAAATTTAGAAGACTACAACATAAATCCCTACAGTAATCCAGACTGCAAATTTAAAGCCTATAGTGACACGATCTACAAGAAAATTTGGAAAATCAACAAAAAAATCGTCTTGAGTGAAGAAAACACTACAAAATAATTTCTACAGTACCCCAAACAGCAAAAATATAAATTCATGTCAAGATGTTCTAAATTTTCCATAAAATACTTCAAACTAGATACAAAACTCTACAGTACCCCAAACTGCAAAAAAAAATTCATTTTTTTGGTGGAATCCGAATACTTTCACTGTCCTCAATAACAGTTTCCGATTTCCTTCTCACCGGTGGATTTTTATTCCAATCATCATCCACTCCATTATTCTCCACCACAGCCATCGATTGTGTTTCATCAGCTGTTCGCGTCGATATGAATCGCACCATCTTCGCGTTATTTGACATTGTCTTTGGTATTGCAGTTCGACACGTCGATGTTCTTCCCTCGATCGCAGTTCGTTGCAGCGAATTTGTCGCGGCGGCGATTTTCTTGCTGTGTGGACGTCGCGATGGTCGCCGACGTCGCGGTTTTTGTGGACTGTTTTTTCTCAGAAATTCGACAGTTGACACCGGAAAATCGGGAGATGGCTGGAGATCATTTGAGGAGGTTTTTCTTTTTTTCGAGTGGTGGTGATGGTGTTTTTTGTGCTTTTTCGGCGGCTTTTTCGGTTTTATCGGCTCTTCGGCTGCTCGATCACTTTTTCGCTTTTTTGTCTGGAAAAAAATGGGTTACTGTACCTATTTTTTTGTAAAAAATACAAATCATATGCGCTACCGTATCCCAAACTACAAAAATCTAGTCATCCCGAACTGCAAAATACTTGTATAAACTAGAAAATCCATCAAAAAGTGTATTGTTCTACAGTACCCCGAACTGCAAAAAATTAAATTACCAAAAAAAAGACAGTAACCCAAACTGCAAAAGAATAGAAGCTCAGAGAAATTACAGTACTCCCGAACTGCAAAGTTTTTACCTTCCTAATTACAGTATACAGCAAACTGCAAATTTATACTGCCTTAACTACAGTACTCCCGGACTGCAAATAACCGGTGAGTTGTATGGAAGTACAGTAACCCGAACTGCAAAATTCAGATTTCTAATTGGATAACCTACAAAAAAACACTAGCTACAAAAATCAGAGTTACAGTATCCCAAACTGCAAATGTATAAATGTATATACTAAACTACAGTATCCCGAACTGCGAAAACCGTGGTCTATATTTTCTTCTCCAAATTCGAAGTACAGTACTCTCGAACTGCAAATCTACAGTAACCCTTGGAAATTATGACTGGAATGTTAGTAACTCAGACTGCAAGGGTATCGCCGTAACTACAGTATTCCGAACTGCAAAAAAGTGTAGATAACCTACAGTAATCCAACTAAAATTCTATAGTAGCCTCCGAACTACAAATCTACAGTACCCCGAACTGCAAAACTCCTATAAGATTTTTTTGTAGGAAAGTTACAGTATTCCGAACTGCAAAATTGAAGGTTAGCCCAACAAGTTACAGTAACCCTAAGTACATAGCTGAAACCACAGTAACCCGAACTGCAAAACTTTTCTACCGTATTTTTCTACAGTACTCCCCCTACAGTACTCACACAATTTGCGACCAAAATCATCCAACAAGATATAGAAATTAGACTTTGAATTATTACAAATATTGATATTATTTTTGTGTTTAACATTTGTTTCACTTGGAATTTCAATTTCCTAAAAATGAGCCATTTTTCTTTTTTTTTGTGTTTTTTTTTCGCAGATTGCAAAATATTTTGTTTCTGGGTCACGTGACTCAAAAAAAAACTCAAAAAATCCAGAAAAATTGGGGCATTTTTAGAAAATGTCGGGGTGGAAAGAAGTAATAACAGAAATAATAATTCAAAGTGCAATTTCTATATCTTTTTCGATGATTATGGCGAATTGTGTGAGTACTGTAGGGAAGCGGGGTACTGTAGATCTAAATTCTTGGGTTACTGTAGCTTCTGGGCTCCAAGTATCTAGGAGTACTGTAGCCTTGTAGTTCGGGATTCTCCAGATTATAAATAAACCTGAAAATGTTCAAGACTACTGTAGTTCAGGGGGTACTGTAGATCACAATTGATTCATTGTATTTAGTCCGGGTACTGTAGCTTAAAAGTTTCCAGGAGTACTGTAGTTTAGACTACAGTAGATCTAAAAATTTGTAGTTCGGGATGCTCCAGAATATAAATTAATCTGAAAATGTTCAAGATTACTGTAGTTCAGGGGGTACTGTAGATCACAATTGATTTGTATTTAGTCCGGGTTACTGTAGCCTAAAAATATTTAGCAGTACTGTAGTTTAGACTACTGTAGATCACGATTCTGACCTTTTTTGTAGTTCAACTACTGTCGCGGACGCTGCGAACAAGGCTGAAAAGAGAAAGAAAAAGAAGAGAGAAATAATAAATATTCAAACAACCGCGAGGGTCTCGTAGCGCCTACAGTAGTTTGTGTGTCGCTCCTTTAAATCGACGTCTCCTTTTTGGGTTCCGGCGTTTTTAGGCCAGTTGAAGAAAACCAGAAGAATTCCGAGTTTTTAGCCTCGAATTGCTGACGTTTAGCACGTCAGACTTCTGTCTATTATTCTGCCTAGAACTGCTGATTCGCTAGAAGTTGGGATCCTAGAAGTCACCTTCTACCAGTCGTTGTTCCCTAGGAACTTCAGGTTAGTGAAAGTATTTGCTAGGGCAAGTTATAGTTAGAGCGCTGCTAGACCTTTAAACTCTCCCAATTTCAAACACCACTTTCAGTTTAACAAGGAAGGAATTCGAGTATAAGTCTTTTACTATGCCCTGAATAAATTCTTTTGTTTTATAAAATGTCTTCTTTTATTTTTACACCACTTTCGGAGGTTTTCCGAGATAAATATGTTCTCATGTCGCTCTGTCATTTGGCCGGTAGTTCCTACTATTCTCAATCATACCACTGAACCGTTTTCAATCGTCGTATTCACCACCGCTGCTGCGACATGGTGCATCGACCAAATTAGAGCTAAGAGCACATTTTCTCGAGAGAACCACGGTCTAGCGCGTTTTAACTACCTTCCTAGCAAATCGAGTTTTTATATTGTTAACCTCTTTTCTTGCAGTTTTTTTTTTCGCTGATGTTTTATGCCGAGGAGCGAGTTTCTCAACGAGTTTTGCTAGATCTTCAAGGATTGGAGAAATTGTTCCTAGAACAGTTTTTCTAGTCGTGGAGATTGGCGAGATTTGCCAGGAAATCGTGAATTGACCAAATTTCGGTGGAGTAGGCTTGTTTCCGTTTCCGGCTAGTCTGTTGGATTTTAGTTGGAGGACCGATTGTTTCAGCGAATTTTGCTAGCTTTCGACGCTTGGAGGGATTGTGGTCAAAAGCAGTTCTTCTAGTCGTTGAGAAATGGCGAGATTTGCCGGAAGATTGGAATTTCGATTGCTTTTCGGTGAACATTGTTTGGTTTCGGTTTTTCGAGTTTTAGCTTCATTTCGGAGATTTTTCGAATTGCCGGAGAAATTCAGCATCGAGATCTCTGGAAGTTGGCCAGGAATTCGTGAAAATGTCCGAAAACTAGACAAAAAGTCGATTTTCGAAACATTTCGAAAAATTTCGAATATTTTCGAAAACATGAAAGGTTGGCTGACAAGAAGAAACTTGTGACGGATAGATTCTTAAGAGTCCCGCTAGTAATTTTCTTTCTATTTCCGTGTTCTTTGTCTTTGCTCTAGTCCCATTTCCCTGCTTTTCCCCGGATTTTCCTGTTCCAAGTGAAATTGCATCATGTCCTAGCTCGGTCGAGGTTTTCGGATCTTAGGCCACGGCAGAAAATCAATAATCAATTTATTGTTTTCTGTCAGCGCTTGAATGTGAATCAATGCATGTTCATCTAGACAAGGTATATCTAAGGAAAGCAGAAGCACGATAACTAGAAGGTCCCTTGGTCAGTCATTGTTACCTACTTGTGAGTTTTGAACAAGGTGAATTAATTTTGGCGTTTTTCAGTGAGATGCCAAGAGGAGCTAGCCAAAGTCAAACAAGCGAGCAAGGACAATGGCTAGACGGCTAGAAAGCAATCAGAAGAAGTGCTTGTGGGAATGGTGGACCAAGGCAAACAAGGACACCTCTCTAAGCCAGGTTTCATAGTTTCTGTCTTTCAAATAAAGTTAGTCTCGAATATTTAAAATTCATTAGTTTTTGTATTCTCATGGAGTCTAGTTACTCAACAATTATCTTAATCTTTTCTTTCTTATTTTTTATTTTTTGGCGGGCTCCTACCAATCTCGGTGATTCAGTATAGTTTTGGACAAAGAGGTCCGACTTGCTAGGAATAGTTTATTTCCTGACAACTAGTTAGCAATAACTAGAAAGTTAAGAAGTAAATGAAACTAGAATTAGCCAGGCCTAGAAGTTTCTCGGTTGCTAACTTATGGATAATTTGATGACCAGATCTGGTTTTAACTAGATCCGGGCTTAAAAATTTGAAATTATCTGGCACTGAGATCTCATTTTTTGGTTAGAAATAACTAGAACTTGAGAAAAAGGTGATCCCAATTCAGCTAGAAATGCCCGGAAGTTTTGCGCACTTCTGAGCCAACTATTGAACTAGGATTTCCTTCTCTCCAATCAGGGAACTTTTAGTGTAGATTCAGTAGTCTACATTATTAGTTATAGTGTCATTACGATTTTCGATGAGGTCTTCCATTTATGGGAGTCATTAGTGGGGTGTTACAGAGGCACTTCTACTTTTGACTTGATAATTTCCAACGCTAGGTAATTATCAAGACTAAGCACTTACGGGTTTAAATGTCTACACCACACATCAAATTTCATTTCATTTTCAATCACTTCAACTAACTCATCTAGTCATTGTTGTTTTATACTAATCTAGGAATTCATTAGTTCCACCCAAAATCTAGGAATTCATTAGTTCCATGTCTCATTATCAACTGTATCATTTTACGTAGACTTTTAGACCCGCCCTTGCATTCTTCCCAGGCGTTTGAGCAAAGTCTAAGCGAGGCTTTAGCTCATCCTGCTTAGGATTTATGCTAAAAACCCAAAGAAACCACGATTTCACTCTCTAGAAGAGATATTTACTAGGTCCCAGGCGACAACACAGGGAGTTCGGGGGTACCACATTAGCTCAGGCGACAACACAGGGAGTTCGGGAGCACGTCCAGGCGACAACACAGGGAGTTCGGGGACACAAATTCGGACTAGGATAACACAGGGATTCTTAGTACTAAGGGAAATAGAATAACACAGGGATTTCTAGGACCCAATTAGAAAGTAAGGCTAGGATAACACAGGGATTCCGGAGCCCGACCTTTCCAGATTATTGTTTGATGTGATTATGTTTTGCGTTTGTTATGATGATTATGAGTGGCAGTTATAATTGGATTTTGGCAGACTGGGAATATTTGTGCGCAAGCATCGACAATTATCAACTCAACAATCGATCAATTATCAATCGAATACCAACAATGACAGGATCAATATCTATCAAGAACTCGAATCAAGCTGCCTTGAATGTCAATACATTCGAGGAGGCGCGAAACGAGATCGCCAGATTACTTCAAGTTTGTCAAGAAATCGTAACCAATCAAGACCAAGTGGACCAACTCATTCAGAGGAAGGACAAGGATCTCGACTTCAAAGAGGGAATTGTTCAGGAAAATTTGGCTAGAGCTCAAGAATATTTGCGTTGGCTCGACAACTTCCACGGAATCTACGAAGAGCGACTTCGATTGGCTAGAGATGTACAAGACAACAACGTCAACTCACAACTCCACAAGCTGATCGAGTTTGCGAAATCAAAAGGGAAAGACGCATTACGATTCGAATTGGAAAACACCGTTACCAATCTTGGCATTATGCAAGCTGAAATTCAGTTTGAACGAGGAATTGGTATTCAACAAGCTCAACCACAAGAATTGGGAGAGCTAGGTCATCCGACCATTGGAAAAGAAGATCAACTGCCACAAGAAGCACCAATGGATCAACAACAAGTCGAGGATTTGGATATGACAAATGCACAACAACATGACGAGGAATTGGCAACGACAAATGCTCGAGAAGTTCAACGTGCAACAATTATTGAATTATCCTCGCAACCAGCCTATCAACATCATAAGGGTAATCAAGTCAGTGAGAGCCCGATGGAGAGCCCAATTTTAACTTCTTCACCAGAGGAAATTGAAGATGCAGCTCGAAACCAGGCTCACACTGTTTCATTTGCTCGAGATTTTGGCCAACCGGGAAATAAACAAGGCAAGCCAGTAAACACCTCGACTCCTAGAATTCATGGAGATTTCAATGGCTTTGACGCTCGACTTGTCGATGAGCCGAGCCGGCGAGAATTTCGTGACTCTAGAGGAGACCAGGGTGAACAGGCTCGCACCTTCGTGAAATTCCCGGCTAGCCAAATCCCAGGCAGAATTAGTAATCCTAAGCAAGCAAATTTGACGAGACCAAATTTCGATATCACCATTTCACCGGAATCACACCAGGTACCGTGGGAAAACTTTGAAAATCAAAATTACCATCAAAATTCGAATCCAAATTTCAATCAAGTTCGAAATTTCCGAAATTTTCAACCAAATTTTAATCAAAATTCGAATCATCGAAATTTCCAAGAATTCCAAGGTTACCCACAAAATTTCAACCAATTTCAAAGTTGCGGTGAGAATTGGAATGGTCCAGCCAGAAATGCTAGCCTGGGTTTCAATCATTTCCAAAATTACGGCCAGTCATTCCAACATCAAGACCCTAGAATATTCCAAGGACAAAATCCTAGAATGTTTCAAGGAAACCCTAGAATGTACCGACCAAATTATTGTGATAATCAAAATATCGTGGGACTAGATACTAGACATCAGAGCCGAGGTGTGGAGTTGCAGAATGCAAATGGGAATTTGAGTAATCCAAATTACCCGAATTTCCAGAATTCCAATCTGTTTAACAATTTGAACCCAAATTGTAGAACTTTTGGAAATCAAAACCTTGAAAATTCCTATCCCCAGCCTAGTTTCAACATTTCTAGAATTCATGATGGAAATGCAAGTAGAAGTAACGAGATTCGTTTCAAGTTACAGAAACTGAAACTTCCAGAGTTCGATGGAGATGAAATGAAATTTACCGCGTTCCTCCAATCCTTCGATGTTTTTATTGGTCAAGATCCATCAAGAACGGATCTTGAAAAGCTCATGTTTCTCAAACAGTGTTGTAAAGGAAAAGCAGCACAAGTATTGGACAACTATCCGGCTTCTCCAGGTTTTTACAATTTGGCTCGTTCGGCTTTGAGCAACAGATTTGCCATGGGCAGAGATGGTCCTCAACGAGTCTGGATGAAGCTAGAGCGTATCTCGAACTGTGACCTCAAACCGGATCAGCTATCCGAGACAATTGACAAGATCAAAAATGCTATTTTCCAGCTACAATATTTGGGCGAGAAAGTAGATGGTATCTCGATTGAGACTACCATTCTACGCAAGTTTCCAGATAAAATTCGCCATCGTTTGAAGAATATCTCGACACCACACTTAGTTCCAACTGGCTCGACTACCCTAGATTTGTTGAACCGGCTAGACTATGTGGTGAATGAATATCAGCGAGACAGAGAATTCGAGAAGGATCGTCTGCTCAGCGCCAAGTATTCTTCTCGTTGCATCGATGCAAATGTTGCTAGCTGTGATGGGACGAAGAACAGCAATGAGAAAATCGATTATGAGAAGAAGAACAAGTCAAACACAAAACCCGCGAGTAGAACCAAGAACAGCGAAGATGAGCAGAAAGAAGACAATCCGGTTGAATGTTTATATTGCAAGTCAACTGAACACAGTCTATTCTACTGCAAGTTATCGTTTGAAGCGAGAAGAAAGAAGGCTATGGAAGATGGAAGATGTATGAATTGTTTGAAGCTCGATCATGCAACAGAAAGCTGCGAAGTTCGCTATTGCCGAGTAGACAATGAAAGCCATCACGAATCAATGTGTGAATATGCGATTTTCGTTCACGAAGGATTCAAGATGTTCCACGAGAATCCAGAAGAATTTGCGAAACTCGCGGAGAATCCGGAAGAGTTTGGAGAACGTTTTGGGAAATTTTTTCGTGGCCAACATTAAAAATCTAAAATTTCTCATTTCTAGATTTCTAAATTCTTCTCTAGGTAACTTCTCAAAATTTTCACTAGGTAACTTTTCCAATTTTTATCTAGATATCTTTCCTTATTCTTCATTAGGTAACTTTTCAAACTCTTCCCTAGGTAACTTTTCATATTCTTCACTAGGTAACCTTTCAAATTCTTTTCTAGGTAACTTCTCAATTTTTCCAGTAGGTAACTTCTCAATTTTTCCAGTAGGTAACTTCTCCTTTTTTACACTAGGTTACTCTCATTTTATTTATAATTATTCTTTAATTTCAAATAATCTAATTAAAAATCTTTCAAATTCTTCTCAAAATTCTATCTCTTCTTCTCTAGTTCAAAAGACTTCAATGATTTCATATCCAAATAATTCTTTCAATATTTCAAATTCTATTTCTAATCTTCATAATTCTACTTCAAACCTTTCTTCCAATTTTTCTTTATCTAGTAATCAAAATCTTCTTTCAAACTTTTCAAATCTTCTCTCAAACTCAAATTTAATCTTTTCAAAATTTATCTCGAATGTTGGTCATATTTCCCAAGAAAACCTAGATTTTTCCGTTTTTTCTGTTGGTTTTCCAATATCATTTGTGGAGAAGGATATCATAATGGAAGAAGATTCTTCTCAAGCGATAGATGCGCCAACAACAACTTCAAATGTGTCAGGCCAGTTTAGTTTTATCAAATTACTGACTGATTCTGACAGCGAGTGTGTTTCCAAGCCAGTTCAAGATGATCATAGTCTAGAAGCTAGTGACCGTCTAGAATTAGCAGCGGAAAAATCTGTAGCAGTGGAAAAACTAGAAAATAATGCCTCGAAAGCTTATTTTTTGGGAATCTACAGCACTGAAGTCAACGCTAGAATCTCCACTCGCACCGTTAAGATCAGTTTTGTTCCTAGATTAATAGAATTGATGACTTCGACTGAAACTTCCAGACATTGTCTTAGACAAGTAAAATTGCTCCAGGACATGTTTAGAACATTTTCATCTCGAAATTTCATGTTTACAATTTCTAGACATTCTCTAAGGCAAACATTATTATTATTGACCCTGGAAATGTTTGGAAATCTTTCAATAGCAAGTTCTCAGTTAGAAACTTCTAGATATTGTCTAAGAAAAGCGAAAGTTTTCACTAGACATATTTGGAAGATTCTCACTTGCTAGTTTTTTCAGCTCGAGATTTCTAGATATTGTCTAAGGCAAGTAAAATTGTTCCCTGGACATATTTGGAAATTTCAATAGCTAGTTCTTTGTTTGAACTTCTAGATATTGTCTAAGTCAAGTAACATTGTTCCCTGGACATATTTGGAAGCTTCTTACCTTCTAAATAGAGTTTAAAACCAAGTAACATTGTTTCTGAACGTATTTAGAATTCGATGCCTAGGAAATTGTGCCGATTTGACTATTTTTCCGTGTTTTTGCTAGAATTTTGAGAATTTTTGTAATTCCCGAACTTCCAAAAGTTTGTTTGCATCTAGTTATTGTCCAAGATAAGTAACATTGTCTTTGGACTTATCTAGATAAATTTCAAACGGCAAATTCTCGAAGAACAAGTTATCTTGACCATTTTTTTGTGTCAATTTTTCTAGAAATTTGAGGATCGAAAACTCCCCGAATTCTTGCTCCTTTGGAACATTACCTCCGAGTATTTAGGCATTGTAAAATTATGCCCAGATACCTTTGGTTTGTCTCCAGTAGGAACAATCTACTAGAAACTTAAATGTCTCTACAAGTCGAATATGTGTGAGTAGGAATTCCCATTTTCTCCCACTGGGTTTTTTCTACGGTACCCTACCCGCTGGTTCGCCTCTCTTTTTTCTTTCAACCTTTTAACCACGTTTTCTGTCGAAACCGGCAAGGCTGCCTTCCGGGCCCCCCAATGTCGCGGACGCTGCGAACAAGGCTGAAAAGAGAAAGAAAAAGAAGAGAGAAATAATAAATATTCAAACAACCGCGAGGGTCTCGTAGCGCCTACAGTAGTTTGTGTGTCGCTCCTTTAAATCGACGTCTCCTTTTTTGGGTTCCGGCGTTTTTAGGCCAGTTGAAGAAAACCAGAAGAATTCCGAGTTTTTAGCCTCGAATTGCTGACGTTTAGCACGTCAGACTTCTGTCTATTATTCTGCCTAGAACTGCTGATTCGCTAGAAGTTGGGATCCTAGAAGTCACCTTCTACCAGTCGTTGTTCCCTAGGAACTTCAGGTTAGTGAAAGTATTTGCTAGGGCAAGTTATAGTTAGAGCGCTGCTAGACCTTTAAACTCTCCCAATTTCAAACACCACTTTCAGTTTAACAAGGAAGGAATTCGAGTATAAGTCTTTTACTATGCCCTGAATAAATTCTTTTGTTTTATAAAATGTCTTCTTTTATTTTTACACCACTTTCGGAGGTTTTCCGAGATAAATATGTTCTCATGTCGCTCTGTCATTTGGCCGGTAGTTCCTACTATTCTCAATCATACCACTGAACCGTTTTCAATCGTCGTATTCACCACCGCTGCTGCGACAACTACTGTACTTTTCAGATTACTGTATTTCTAGCGATTTTTAGCGCCAATTTCTCTACAGTACTCCCCCAAAATTCCAGGCAAAACCTCGCAAACTTTCCACGTCATCATCCACACAAACAATGTCGATTTCGCCGCCAAAAAAACCGCAAATCAAATCGCCACGTCACCACAAAACACGTCATCATCATCATCGCCAACACCAGCACAAACCAGCTCTTCAATTATCGCATTCCACGTCGCCGTCGCCAATGTTTCCAGTGGGAAGTGTTGAGAAGCGCAAAAATCGAAATCGAAGCAAATCGCGTGCCGCCAAATCCCGATTCCAGCCAAATATTTTCGAAGAAGCTGATGAAACACAATCGATGGGCGGTGGAATTGGTGAGGATGCGGGCGAATTTCAGGATGATTGGAAGAGGAATCCGCCGGTGAGAAGGAAATCTGAAACACAAATTGATGATAGTGATTGTAATAGTAGTTCGAAAGGTGTGATTGTTGGTGGAAAAAAATAAATATTTGGATTTATTTGGTTCTCAAAATGAGTTTTGAAGTTACCGTACTCGGAACTGCAAGTCTCCAGTAATTTCTAAATTTTAAGCAAAAAAAAAACTTGGGGTTCTCGGAGTAATTTTTGCAGTTCGGGGTACTGTAGTTTTTTTTAAAAATAACTTTTGAAATTCAGAAAAGATTTTTTCGGAAAATTACATTTTTAGAAGCTTTTGTAGCTCGGTTACTGTAGCAAAATCAGAGATTGAAAAAGTTCAACAGGTTTTTCTAGTTCGGTTACTCATTTGTAGCTCGGAAATTTCAAATTCAAATATTTAGAGGCTCAAAAGTACTCAGAACTGCAAAAACAATGAATTTCTGTAGCTCGGTTACTGTAGATTCTTTTGTAGCTCGGAAAATTTAGAAAATATTCAAAGTCTCATCTACAGTACTCAGAACTGCAAAATTTAAACTTTGGCAGGTTTTTGTAGCTCGAATACTGTAGGCTCATTTGTAGTTCGGAAAATTCAAAAAATATTTAGAGACTCAAAAGTACTCTGAACTGCAAAATCAGTGAATCAAAAAAGTTTTGCAAGTTTTCGTAGCTCGGAAAAATTCAGAAGCTCAAACTACAGTACTCCAAACTGCAAAAAATTCTCAATTTTTGTCCAGGTCTTTCCTCGTGCATACGACAAATTTGTATTAGAGTAGAGATTAATAATATTTGACAACGAACAACAACAAAAAAACGACTATAAAAATGCAATTAAACAATTTGCGCATGTTGTGCAAGCGAATAAAACTCGGATTCGGGATTCTTCAACAAATTGTCGGGTGTATCAAATTCAACAATCCGGCCGTCATTCAACACAATTATTCGATCATAATCCATTATTGTATTCAAACGATGCGCAATTGTGAGTACTGTAGAAGTGGCGAATTCGCGGCGAATCGTTTGTTGAATTAGTAAATCGGTGGATTGATCGATGGCAGCAGTGGCTTCGTCGAGAACAAGGATTTTGGGTTTTCGGAGAAGAGCACGAGCCAGGCAAACTAATTGACGTTGACCAACACTGCAATTTAATTTTTTGATTGTGAGATTTGAAGACAGTGTTCAAATTTCAGCTCGAATCCTGGTTCCAGAACTTTAAAAATTAAAATTCGCATTTCTAAAATTACTGGCCAAAAATCAAGATTTTTCAAGCGTTTTCAATTTTTGAGCCAAAAATTTACTCAATTAGGTTCTATAGACGCGGCTACTTGAGAACTAGGCTCTCTAGGCTGGGCTGCTTGATATAGACGCTCTCAAGGCGCAGCTCCTTGTCATAATGGACCTCTAGGCGCAACTACTTGAGAACTAGGTGCTCTAGGCTCGGCTGCTTAATATATACGCTCTCAAGTCGCGGCTCTTTGTCATAATGAACCTCTAGGCGCAACTCCTAGACAATCAGGTTCTTTAGGCGCGACTACTTCATAACATTTCCACGGGAAAATTTTTTAAATTTAAATTTTTTCAAATTCCACGCTGATTTTGAATCCGAGTTTTGTTCAGTGTAAAATTTACAAATTTTTCAGCACAAAACCCAACCAACCTAATATTATCGCCACCTTCCGTAATCAAATAATTCAATTTATCCATTCTTCCAACAGCAAACTCTTTCAAATTCGCCATCTCCAGCGCTTTCCAAATATCATCATCCGAATACCGCTCAAACGGATCCAAATTAAATCGCAATGTTCCGCTAAACAACACCGGATCTTGCGGGATAATCGTAATATTCTCTCGCAAATCATGCAATCCAATTTTCGAAATATCAATTCCATCAATCTCAATCTTCCCAAAACTCGCCTCAATTATTCGGAACAACGACAAAGTGATACTCGATTTACCGGCTCCAGTTCTTCCAACAATTCCAATCTTCTCATGTCCCTTTATATCACAATTCAAATCTCGAACCACTAATCCCAATCCGGCTCGATATCTTGTCGCATAATCCGTGAATTTGATACGTCCCTCGGTTGGCCAATTTTTGGAATTTGGCCAATTCTTCTTCGACCATTCAGCTTCTTTCTCAATTTCCGAATATTCTTTGACTCTTTCAACTGACACAATATTTGTCTCGAGTTTTGTGATTTGACGAACAGCAAAATTCAGAACTGTTGTGATCTGAAAAAAACAAGATTTTTTGTACATTTACGTTTTGAAACGTACAATTTCGGGGTAAAAAGAAATCGGTCAAGTTGGTGTCAATGGGAAGGGGGGCATTCGATTTTCATACATTTTCAGTATTTTTTTTCGAATAGTTCATGATAACCCATCAACTCCGGACCGATTCCGTGATTTTTATTGAAATGAATGATAGTTATATAGTCTTATCAAATAATGCGACCGACATTTTACAGGGGAGATTTCGAAATCGAAAAGAAAATTGCGAAATCTTAATTTCGCCCCGTACAATGTCGGTCGCATTATTTGATAAGACTATATAACTAACATTATTTTCGATAAAAATCACGGAATCGGTCCGGAGTTGATGGGTTATCACAAATTGTTCGAAAAAAATATTGAAAATGTATGAAAATCGAATGCCTCCCTTCCCATTGACACCAACTTGACCGATTTCTTTTTACCCCGAAATTGTACGTTTCAAAATATTTGTTTAGTTTTTGAACTTGCGATCGCGATTTTTGATGAACCCAATAGTTCTCAAGACGCTGATCACATATTTCCCTGTCAAAAACTGCAAAACTCGATTCCTAACTTGAGTTATGACGTGGCAAAGTTGGAAAATTAAGACTTTAGGAGGTCAAAACTAGTTTTTAAAATGAATTTCATAGCAATCTAATAGAATAGCGTTTGATAATCATTCTGAAATCTAGTTCTGACCATCTAAATTCCCAAATTTTCCAACTTTGCCACGTCATAACTTATAAAAGGAGTGGAGTTTTGCAGTTTTCATAACAAAATAGTCTTCAGCGTGTCGAAAACCACTAGAAAACATATATTCTATTTAAAAAAAAACTCACATTCAACGCATACGTCACCGACAATCCAATAACTCCCGAGCTCATCGTCGATGTGCCACGTGTCAACGCGGCAAACAACGCCGAGAACAGCACAATACAATTGCCGATGAATTCGAGTCGAATCGATAGCCACCGATTCGCCACATAGTTCAAATAGCGACACTGCACGTGATTATCGATTTTTTGTTCGGATAACTTGGAGAATCGTTCGGTGAGGTGGAATGCTCGAATTGTTGTCGCGCCTTGAATCGTTTCACTCAGATGACTATAGATTGGTGAACGAGTAATGGATTCGAGACGTTTCAATTGACGTGACGTGGCAATGTAGTATTTCTGAAAATGAACACGTGGCAATTTCACGTAATCCACCCCCTCCAATTCTTACCATAACAATACAATACATAATCGCCAATGGCACAACAACAATGCCAAATTCCGGCGTGGAATAGATAATAATCACAACCGTCGAGAAGACTTGCAAAATGCATTGAGCAAAAAATTGCACATTAAACGGGAGCAAAATATCAATAGTCTCAATATCTTTACCAATTCGATTCAAAATTCGACCAAACGGGGTTGTGTCGAAAAATGACATGGGCACGCGGAAAAGTGTATGCATGAGGGGTGAATGCAAGTTTCGTGAGGCTGATATTCCACCATGTAATAGCGACATCATTCCAACAAATAATAGAATGATTTCCGAAAATCCGAGCACCGCATAAACTCCCAATCTCATTTCAACCGTATTTGTTGTATTATTCTTGTGATGTTGAGCAAGTATCGAATTATCATCCGACCAATCCGTCAACCACAAATTCCTCAACACCGCAACCACACTACTCGCCGTCATTCCAAACACAAACAACACAGCCGTCATGAATCCCATCGCTCCGAAATACGTGGCATACGTCTTCACCTTCACCCGTCCCGTCTCCACTTTTTCGGCGCCAATCAATCGGCCGGCGGCGTTGATCGAATATTTTGAGCGGGTTGATGGCAGCCGGCCAACTCGCGCATGGGTTACGGTGCTCGTGTGACGATGGCGACGTGTCAAAATGCCAGATACTGTCGACACGTGGCTGGTGCCAAGAAGATCGTGTGTGTTGAATTGAGAAGCGGATGGGTGTTCCAGAACATCATCATCGTAGTCCGAATCCGAATCGAAATCGGGAACTGCAAAAATCCACGTGGCAGTTCGAAATTTTAACGGAAAAATGTTTTATATTTGATCATTTTTCGAAAAATTCTGGAAAAATTGGGATCAGAAAATCCACGTGGCATTTGAAATTTTCAAATTTTTTATAAGATTTTCCAAAAGATTCTGAAAACGGTGAAAATTTCTGAACAAATTGTTTCTGAGAAAAAAATCCACGTGGAATTTTGGGGTCAAAAACTTGCAATTTTTAACCATTTTTCAGCCAGAAAAACACCTAGACATTCTGTTTTACGCAAAAATCCACGTGGCAAAGGTCGAACTTTTTGGCCGAATTCCCGACATTTCTCGGCCACCAAAATAGTTCGGCCACATCTTTTTCTGAGTCAAAATCAAGCTAAAAACCTCTATTTTCAGAAAAAAAAGCTGAAAATTGAATTACATGTGGCCGAACTATTCCGGTGGCCGAGAAATGCCTGAAACTCGGCCAATGCAACAAACGCGCTCTAGCGTTTCGAGAAACGGCGGCCGAATTCCCGACATTTGCCGCCCACCAAAAATAGTTCGGCCACATCTTTTTTTCAGGTATCAATCTCTAAAAAAAAAGCTGAAAATTGCATAAAAAATGCCAAACCTCCTTCGGGTTCCGATCCTTCCTCTTCCTCTTCTTCTCTCTCCTTCACTTCGCGTTCCTGCGTCTCTCGTTCCCTCTCACAATCACTCAACAATTCATCAAAACCAGATTTCCTTAAATCCTCATAATTTCCACAATATCCAATTGTTCCTTGACTCATCACAATAATCAAATCCGACTTTTCCAAAAATGATAACTCATTGGTGACTAGGATTCGTGTCTTATTTCGAAGCATTCCAAACGGTCCGATGACACTATCAAATAGTTGATTTCCAACATGCGAATCGACAGCAGACATCGGATCATCCAACAAATAAATCTCATAATTTTGATAAACCGCGCGAGCCAATGATATTCTCGCCTTCTGTCCTCCCGACAAATTAATCCCCTTCTCTCCAATCTCCGTTTGATCTCCAATCGGCAAAATTTGCAAATCTCGATGGAGCGCACATGCATCCAAAACTCGCGAATAAAAATACTCATCATACTGTTTGCCAAACGTGATATTCTGACGAATCGTGTTGTTTTGCATCCACGCCTGTTGGGCGACATACGAGACTCGGCCGTGTATTCCGACATGTCCCTTTAGTTTTTGCATCTCGCCCAATAGTCCTTGTAGAAGTGAGGTTTTTCCCGAACCAACTCTTCCGACTACGGTAACCAGTTGACCGCGTTGAATTTTGAAATTTAGATTTGCAAGGGAAATTTGGGTGGATGTTGGGTCCCAGGTGAGCGAGACATCTTTGACAACAATTGCATCACCGTCTGAAATTTTGAATTTTCAAATAAAATATGGGAAATTTTTTTAAAAGGTTCCCTTGTCAGATGTTTCTGAAAATGCCGGATTTTCAGCCAAACCTTAGTTAATTATAGCCAACAATCTAGCTTTGAAAATTGAAAATTTTCAAATTTAAATAACCCGGCAACGGAGATTATGAGCACTTCTAAAAATCTTCAAATTTTGATGAATGAAACACAAAATGCAGTTACTTCACAAAAAAAATGAAGTTGAACATAAATTTCAGAAAAAGTGAAGGATATACGTGGCCGAACTATTTTGGTGGCCGAGAAATGTCGGGAATTCGCCAAAGCAACAAACTCGCTCTAATGTTGCAATGATTCTCATTGGAGCGAGTGGCCGAATTCCCGACATTTCTCTGCCACTAAAATAGTTCGGCCACAAAAGATAGTAAAAATTGAAAATTTTTCCTTGCCACGTGGATTTTTGCGTAAAACAGAATGTTTAGGTGTTTTTCTGGGTGAAAAATGGCCAAAAATTGAAAGTTTTGGCCCCAAAATTCCACGTGGATTTTTTCTCAGAAATAATTTGTTCACAAATTTTCACTGTTTCAAAATTTCTTTAAAAATTGCATTTTCCCCCAATTTTATTGAGAAAATATTATAAAAAATTTGAAAATTTCAAATGCCACGTGGATTTTCTGATGGAAAAGTCCCAATTTTTCGAAAAATGATCAAAAAATTTGGATTTTTAAAAGTGCTCATAATCTCCGTTGCCCGGCCATTTGAATTTGAAAATTTTCGATTTTCAAAGCTAGATTGTAAGCTAGAATTTGGCTGAAAATTCCGAATTTTCAGCAAAGCTTTTCCTCACCATCATTCGCACAATGCTCCACCATTTTCCCCTCCAACTCTTCCGAATACAAAAACTCTTTCAACCGTCGATTCGACACAACAATCTGCACCGTTTGATTAATCAAATCCGCAATTTGCGACATCGGACTTCGCAGTTGATTGAAAAGTGTGAGCGAAACAAACGCAATCTCCGGTGTCAACACATTCTTGGGGTCGATATAAATGAACGTGGCAAAACTGGAGAGCGCCACCAAAAACGGCGAAGCACAATTCAACATATCGGCAAAAGTGCGTAGAAACGAGGCGCGTTTGATCAATTTCAACTCGTGCTCTCGCAACTTCTCAATCACTTGTTCCATCGGCGGTTCCCACGCATACAATTTGATCACTTTTATTCCATTCAACACTTCGTTCACCATTTTTGTTCGCTCATCTTTATAAAACATTTGTCGGATTTGCCATTTTCGAATGAGCATTGTTATGAGAAAATTGATTGGGAAGAGAAGAATCATAATTGCGACACCACTAATTACTGATATTCCTAATTGTTGGAAAAGAAGGAAGAGAGCAAGGGTGATCTGAAAGAAAAACATAAGAATGTGAGTTTTTTCATTTTTTTTTATTTTCCCGACCGCAACGCACAGCCGCACGCGACTGACGAAATATGAGTTTTATTTCTTTCCGGCAGCCACATTTTTCAACTGCGACAATAATAAACCTAGTGACATCTCACAAGGGAACTGTTTCAACTTGCAATCGAGATTTTCAATGAAATATATGTTTTCTAGTAGTTTTCGACACGCTGATCACGATCCCGCTGTCTAAAACTGCAAAGCTCGACTCCTAACATGAGTTATGACGTGGCAAAGTTGGAAAATTGGAACTTTGGAGAGTGAGAACTAGCCTTCAAAATTATTTTCATGCAAATGTAAAAGCATAAGGTTGTTCAGAAAGGTCGATTACATAAATTTTGGTTTATACAAAAATCCCGAGCCTCCTGAACAACGCTATGCCATCAGAATTTCATGAAAATAATTTTGAAGGCTAGTTCTCACCCTCCAAAGTTCCAATTTTCCAACTTTGCCAAGTCATAACTCATGATAGGAGTTGAGTTTTGCAGTTTTAGACAGCGGGATCGTGATCAGCGGGTCGAAAACTACTAGAAAACACATAATCTCGATTTCAAGTTGAAACAGTTCCCTTGTCAAAGTTCAAAGATCCAGCCAACCTGAAACGGATTCGACCAATACTGCATAGTTTGCGGTGTAATCGTCTGAAATCGATCCACATCAATCGCCATCAAATTCACAATTTCTCCAACAGTCTTCTCGCGCCTCGCCGAATTCGACAATCGTAACGTTTTCCGATAAACGGCCGCTGTTAAACAAGTCTGCACTCGAGTTCCAACACGATACATCAAATAGTAATAGTGTGAGAGGAGAACCGAAGAGAGTTCGGCTGAGATGAACATGAGAACCGCGAGGATTACACCATGCCACGTGGGTTGCACAGTCTTTTGCTCGATGAATCGAATGAGACCTTTGAGGAGCATTGGATTGCAGAAGAGTAGAATGTCACTGACAGCTTTTGTTAACATTGCCGAAATGATTTCCCATTTAAACATCAAGAATAAGCACCAAATAATGCTATTTTTATGGTTGAAATCCGCCTTTTTTGCTCCCTGAGTTCTCCAAGTTCTAAACCATTTCGGAACCAAAATCGCCGAAATATCTCCCATATTCAACCCATACAAATCACCAATTTCCAGCGGTTTCTTGACACCCAAAATACACAAATCATTGAACCACCACATCGTAATCCGGTTCAAAAACGACGAACTCATCTCGGGACTCTGGTTTTTGATGGATTTGTAGGCGGTTTGAGCGGAATCGGCGAAACAATGCAAAATTGTTTGAATCAGATAGCCGGAGTATAAGATGAGGAATGCGGTGAATTTGGGGAGCTCGAAGATGTCGAGTCTGGAGTTTTTGGGGTTTGGTGGGGTTGTGAGTTGATTGATCCAGGAGATGAGTTCAGGGGTGGCGCATATCAAAAATGAGAGATATGATAGGAAAAGTCCGACGGAGGTGACGATTCCATAGGTTCGAAAGGACACAATCAAAGTGCACAGGAGAATCTGCAAAAAAACAAATATTCTGGGAAAACCTAACGATTATAATCTCACCATATCAATAGCCAGAACACTTGGATAAATAAAATCCACCAAATACACATCTCTTTGCACAATTTCCTCATAAAAAGCCATTCCAAGAATTGCAAAACTGTCAGCTACAAGAATCATACTTATCCCAACTTTCAGGTTCAGCTTGAAACTCCAAGGTAGCGGGTTTTGACGGCGGAAAAACAGGTGGAAAATATTGATTGATGCCAAAATGAAGAGAATTGCTGTAGGGATCCAGATGAGCACTGTATGTTGATAGCATTTTGGTAGGCTTGGCAGACTTGGGGATTTCCATATCCGAGAGTCCTGAAATTTTCTGGCTTAGAGCTTTTCGCAACAAAATAAAACTCACCCAAAAGGGCTCTCCGCAAAACTGCTCCATCCACAGCTTTCAAGAATGAAAAATGCAATCGATTTTTCTCGCCCAGCATTTTTTCGAAAGTTGAATTGAAAGCGCGCGCGCGGTTCAATTCATATCAACACACAATTTTTTTTTGAAAATTTGTTTTCCCGCCGCTGGGTCTCGCAACGATTCAATTTTTACTTTTATTTTTTTTCGTTTTTTTCACAGCTGCAAAAACTGAATGATCGCGCGAAACGCGCCAGCACTTGACGCGTTTTCGGTTTTTGCACGAGAAAAAAATTTTCTTTTTTTTTTGTTTTTTTCCATCAGAAAATTAATTTTTTTCTTCTTTTTTATTTTTTTGTGAGTTTTTCAGGAAGTTTCACATATTCGGACAGACTATCGTTTGTAGAGAATTTAAAGGAGAATTTTATTATGTTTGGATCGAGTGATGAAAATGGGGCTGACGGATGCTAAAGTTGTTTTTATGAAGTCCATTTTTTTCGAAGAAAATTTTTTTTATTCTGGAATTGATCGAGTTTCAATTTTTGTGAGTTGGAATGAATATACAATTGGTTGGAGATGGTTTTCCGATGGTTTTGAGTGAGATGAGATGCATTGGAAAGGCATTTTTCGAGGTCGTCGAATCAGACTTTTTGTTGTTGAAAAGTGAGTTATTTGTATCTAAATTTGTGAAAAAATTATGATTTTATATTCAGATGGGCCTGATACGAGTTGACGGGAACATGAAGATGTCAGAGAGTCCCAAACAAGAATTATTTCGACGAAATAATCCAATTGATTGCCGAACTGACCAGAAATTCGCGAAGGAGATCACGTGGAGAGACTCACGAGGAGAGTTTTGGGATTCTAAGGAACATTTTAATGAAGGTAATTCCTATTTTTGATTGATTTTTATAAAACAGTAAAATCAATTGAAGAAATAATAAAAATGCAATGTTTCCGTCATTTTGGCGTTATTTCACCATGCTAGAGGCATGGGGGAGTATCAAGACTTAGTCTATCTTTCTCAGCAGCAAAAACTATATCAAGATACATGTTCAAATAACATTTCTACCGTTCATTTTCGAAAAGTAAAATTCTATTTTCATTTTCATCGCATTTTATTTTAATAAGAACTAATATTTCATATGTCCGTGATTCAAAACTGTTGAATTCAAACAAACAATGTTGTTTTCAGGTATTGCGAACGTCAGCCAAGTGGAATCAACGGTTTCGATCATGGACGAAGTGGAGTTGATTATACTATTCAAATAACAGATTTTAAATAAATTGTTGTTGTTTTCAACTTGAGCTTTGTTAATTTTCTTCAAATTTCGATCAAAAAATGCCGCAAAATTAGGAGCTGTGGAATAAAACTTCAAATTTCGATGATTAATGTGGTATTCTGATTGTTAGAAGAGATCCTGCTTCAAAAGCTTCAGAATCATCTCAGCGAAAATGAAATATGATTTTATCATGAAATTGTAAGCCATACTTGTAATTTTTCAAATCACTGTTGAAATTTTTCCCGAAAAACATCGGTTCTTAGAAATTTTTAAGACAAAAGATGGTTATTCTCTCGTCTAACAGTACAAATTCCTTGTCCGGTAAGAAGTTCTTCTTTCTTTTTTCAACATAAGTATATGAAAGATCTTATTTCATATAAAAAGTTTGAAAGTTTTGCTTCATTATTTAAAAAATATCTTTTTTGTGAGGGTACTTCAAAATCTCACGTTTTTCACGCCTAATAAATTTTTTCACTCAGCAAATTATATTTCTCTGTTTTCGTCTCATTCTCCTCTATCTTCTCATGTACGATTCATATGTGGAAACTTCCGCTAACTTCAGCTTTTTTCAAAAAATTCGAGAAAAAATTAAAAAAAAAAATTTCGGCGAGAGAGTGTGTGCGCCTATAGAGACGCCGACAAACACACACGCCCGTGGAGGGCGAGAGAGAAGAGTGCAGGAGACATTGCTGGCGCACAATCGGTTTTTGCAGCTGTGTTTTTTGTTTTTTTTTGTTTTTCGCCCGTTTTCAATCAAAATTCTGGCAATTTGTATATCGAAATATAGAGGAAAAGAAGAATCAAGTGATGAATGTGAGTTCTCTCTAAAATTTCGCTCCCAAATTCAAGATTTTCAGAAAACATTGGATATGAAAAAACCCAGAAGCAAAAAACTGGAAGAGAAGAAAAATGCGCAGAAACAATATGTAAGTTTTTTTCTAAGATTTAAGAAAACCCCCTGAAAAATATTATTATTTTCAGAAAATGCTGATGAATTTCATGAAAATTTATGAATCTCAACAAGTCAATAATGGTCAATTCTTAACAATTGAGGATAATAACCGACCAGAACTTCAAGTTACTCCAAAACTCTCAAATATTCGCATGAAATCAATGATTTTGCCCCAATCCGAATCTTTGGCTCCAGCAAGAAGACGAGCAGTTTCCCGACACGCTGATTCAAATACTGAAATTCGAGATAGTGGTCTGGTCTCCCATCCGGATTGTGCAGAAATTGTTATCGCATTTCGCAACCACAAGACTGGCGTCTATCAATGCAATACATGCCCGAAAAAGGAGAATACCAAGGAAGAGATCGAAAATCATCATAAAAGTGTACATGTTGGAGAATACACTTCAACAAAATCTCGATCAACGAGAAGATCTTTGGGATTACCTCCGAAATTGTAATTTTGAGCTGGAAAATGGTGGTTTTGTTGAAGTTTCCCTTATAAATACTTTTAATGAACAATTTGCTTTTCGATCAAAATGTGGGAATGAAAAATTTTCACGTTTTTCTGCCACGTCATCGTGTCCTCTAATTATATCTCTCCCCCAGAAAATTCTTCTAAATACTTAAAAAGTTTTTTCATCCGGATCTCCCAAAAAACTCGCTAAAATCGGATCGAAATCCACCTTGTCCTTTAATTTCCCTATAAAACCAGCAGATCTAATCAATTCTCTTCATTCTTTTTTCCCCAAGAAAAAATGAAAGTGCAAACGGCGACTTTTGTCGCATCCTCGATTTCCGCAATCACCTTGATGGCTTGCCTCGTCGCCATGTCGTCGATTTATTCCGATGTTTCGGGATTCTGGGTCGAGTTGGAGACCGAGATCAATGGATTTAGAGTGAGTTTGGCTAACTTAAATGACATTTTCATGTTTTTTAAGGAAGTTAGTTGAAATATTGGGTTTTAATTTTATTCATATGATAGAATGGTCTAAGACGAACAGAATGATATAAATTTTGATGACTTTACGTTATCCATAAGTGATTTAGCGACTTATCGACTAAACCTCGCTAAATCACTTATGGATAAGGTAAAGTCATCAAAATTTATATCATTCTGTTCGTCCTAGACCATTCTATCATATGAATAACATTAAAATCTAATATTTCAACTCACTTGCTTAAGAAATATGAAAATATATTTTCCACCACAAAGTGCAATATTTTGTAGAGTGTCACCAATGATATGTGGAGAGATCTTGTTGTCATCGGCAAAACCCATCGTCGTACCCGTCGTCAATATGAAGAAGTCAATGCCACACCATCACCAATCCATCCACAACCAGAATCTGGTTCACCTTCAAGCCCACCAGGTTCACCACCAGCAATTCCACCAGTCTTCAATCAACCCAATACACCAAACGGGGCTAATGGAAATGGTCCAACTTGTAATTGCAACGCTGATAACAAATGTCCAGCCGGACCAGCTGGACCTAAGGGAGCTGCTGGACAACCAGGACTCGATGGTATTCCGGGACTCGATGGTGTTCCAGGAGTTGGAGCTGAAGATGTTGCCCCACAACGTGAATCAGTTGGATGCTTCAGTTGCCCACAAGGGCCAGTCGGACCACCAGGAGCTTTGGGAAGACCGGGACCTCGTGGACTCGCTGGGCCACGCGGACAAAACGGAAATCCTGGAAGAGACGGGCAACCTGGACATCCAGGAGAGCAAGGACCAGCCGGGCCAATCGGAAAGATTGGAGAGCCAGGAGTTCCAGGAGAAAAGGGAAGAGATGCTGAACATCCAATCGGACGGCCAGGACCAAAGGGAGCTCGCGGAGATCAAGGACCACCGGGACCACCAGGACAAAATGGATTGCACGGACCACAAGGAGAGCCAGGACCGGTTGGACCTGATGGACCGGTTGGAAGACAAGGACCACAAGGACCTGATGGACTTCAAGGAGAAGCTGGGCCTGATGGAAGACCAGGAAAGGATGCGGAATATTGTCATTGTCCGGATAGAGCACCGCCTTCATCGGAAGGTGTTAATAGCAACAGAGGATATAGAAGCTTCTAGATTTTCTCTAACTTTGTTGGTTATTCATAAAATTTTGTATCGAAAGGAGGGAAATTGAATATTTCTAGATTTTAGATCAAATTTTCAGGATTTTTGAAAACAAGCCTAATTTTAGGCTGAAAAATTCTGGGCTTTGCTGAAATTTTTTTAAAAAATTGTAGGCCTGCTTGTCAAAATTCCAGAATTCATGAAAAGAAGATCGGATTTTTGAAACTAGGCCAGTTTTAGGCTGAAAACATTTTGGGCTTTCAGATAAATTCTCTGAAATTTCAGGATTTCACGATTAGGCCTAACAAAATTTCAGGATTTTGCAGCCTAATTGGGCTGTGGCTGGAAAGATAAGGCTGAAAAATTCTGGGCTTTCTGGAAAAAAATTCTGAAAATTTAAGGCCTGGCTGGAGTTAAATCTGGACTTAATTCAGGCAGACCTGGTTTAATGAGGCCTGATTCTAGGCTTGGCAAAACTCCAGAAATTTTGAAAATACACTGCTCCACATAATTATAACCTCACTTCATTTTTTTGAACAATTCGAATTTTTGAGTTTCTCGCAAAAACATCAAAAATCGAAAATATGTCAATATCCGATACTAATTTGAAGTTTAATCGGAATTTTTTATTGTTTTTCAAAGTTTTGCTTCAAAAAAGTTAGAATTCCAGCAATTTTCAGAAAGTGAGGTTATAATTATGTGCAATTGCGAAACTGATTTATTTATAAAATTCAAGATTTCTCTTTCGGGAGTTCCACGATAGAAAAATTGGATTAGACTTCAAATTAGTATCGGAAATTGACATATTTTCCATTTTCTAACTTTTTCCAAAAAACTCAAAATTTCGAATTTTTCAAAAAAATCAAGTGAGGTTATAATTATGTGGAGCAGTGTATGACTTCGGTTTCAAACGACGCTCCGCATTTACACGAGCACTTTTCCCACCCTAATTTTCGCTCTCCGAAACATTTTTTCTCACAATTTCCATCAAGACAAACTACAAATCACAAAAAAAGGCATCACCTTATCTTATTTACCAAAACTTCTATTGTTTTCATTTCTTTTGAAACCGGTTTCAAAGGGTCATCATCAAAAATCTTGTGATTTTCAAAAAGTATAAAACAGCCGAGAACTTATCAGTTTTCCTAACCGAAAATGAGAAGATTTTTGCTGATTTTTGTAGTTATTTTTCTAGTCTGCGTAGCTTCGGCGGATATTCAGTGAGTCGTTTTTTTTTTGAAAATGAAAAATCCACGCTCAATTTTTTTGTAGAATTTCACGTCAAAAACGTCAATGGGGATTCGGCTATCCGTTATTCGGTGGAATCGGGAATACGTGGGAATCGCCTGGAAATCTACCGTACTCTTGGGGCTATAATGCGGGTGGTAAATAGATATTTGATCTAAATACCTGAAAACTTTTTTTTGATTTGATTTGTCGAATGAAATAATTTTTTATCAATGCCAACTGGTTTTTGTGAACTTTGAATAAAAAACAAAACAAAAATCTTTTTGGCGAATAAATTTGTATTGGGGCTATAAAAAACGCTGAAAACTTTTTTTTGAGCAAAAAAAAATGAAAAATCTTCAAATTTTCCTAGCATTTCTGGTGATTTTGCTGGTTGCTGCTGAAAATGCGGATAAAAATTTCGAGCATCCCAAAAATTTGGGATGGAAGGCGCCGGAAGGGTGAGTGGAATGCCACGTGGCAATTTTCCCGGAACTCCCGCCAAATCTTTCCAGACATCGTGAAAAACGCTACGGTGGTTGGGGTGGCGGATATTATCCGTATTACGGTGGTGGATACGGTGGTGGCTACCCATACAGTTACGGTAACTACGGTGGAAGTTCCTGGGGAACTTATTCGAGCTATCAAGCTGGTGGATTTAGCCGATATAGTAGTGGAGGATGGGGTTGGGGAAAATGATTTTTTTTTCGAAATAAATTTTTTTGTTTTTTTTGCTTTGTTGTCTTGGCTATGACGTGGCATGACTCAAGAACAAAACATTTATTTTTATTGCAAGAAATTGTTCATTCATTCAAAAAATGATTTCTAAAATTATTTTCCTGTTTTGTTTTCTGAATGGTTTCGCCCATAATTTTCCAACTGATCAAAATTGCGGTTTGAAAGCTGATCTCAAATTTCGAGCATGTTTGAAGGTAGAAACTTTGGAAGTTTTTGAATCGGACCTAGCTCGATTTCTATGATCCGATTCAAAATTCGCCAGAGACTTATAGCTTTTTTTTCATTTAAAATTTCAATTCCAGGTTTTTGAGCTCGAAACAAAATCCAGCAAAAATTCCACAACCATCTGGGAATCCACCAAAAACTACAACAAATGCATCGAAACCCTGAAACCTTGCAAAAAATTCAATCAATCAGCACTCTTTTTCACTCTAATTTCATATTCGAATTACATTCGAGAAGTTTTCGGAAATTGTTTGAATTATGATCAAGAGATTCGTGAAACAGAATTCGATTGCAAATTTTTGGGAGAAGATCTGAAGAATTATTCAATTCAATCGATGAAAGATAAAAAATGTGGAGAAATTGAGAGATTTTTGAAGATTCATGATGAGATGTTGCACACTGTTGGATGCGAGATGTCTTAATGATTTTTTAACCTCTGAGATGATAAATTTGAAAATAAATATTGTAATTTGTAGTTTGAATTTGAAATTAACTTATTACATACATCTGCTAAATAACTCTATAGTTGAGCCAAAACAATTCTTGGCAGCATGCCAACTTGTACTGCATCTGTTATAAATGTGTAATTATTTGTATCTAGGTCAATCTTTGTCCTTTATTTACACAAAAAACTGCTCATTTGCTCATTCCTAGATACAAATGAAGGCAATACTAATCGTACTTTCTCTATTTGTCGCATATTTAAATGCAGGTAAGCTATCAGATGTTTTTCCTATAATTTCTAATCGTTTTCAGCAAGTATTGATCAATGCTCGAATTATTCCTTAGAAAAAGAGCTCGATGCAATCAATAAGACTTGTCTCACAAGCCATGATAAACAAATGTTGACTGGAAATGTTGTCAAAGGTTTTTTGAATGGCATGTTGTATTCATTTGTGATGCCAGTGGTACAAGAAACAATTGGACTGTCCGAAATGCGAAAGGCTTTGGGCTTCAAGAAAATGGGACCATGGAAAGTATATAGATATGGGAAGCCAAGTGAAAAACAAATCGAAAATGCGAATGGAATTGAGGAATATTATGAGTTGATGGAGCCAAAAAATATGATTAGAAGTTCGAACACTCCCATTCTATTAGAGAAAAATGTCATTCCCAATATTGGGCGTTTTGATGAACGGATTCCTGGTATTCGACATGTTTATCGATGCGAATTTGCGGAAATTATGAAAAGAATTGGAAAGATTGATCGAGAAACTGTCGATAAAATGATTGAAAAATGGACGGAAATCTCAAAAAAAATGAATAAGGCAACGGACGTTTACGGAGATCATGGTGATTGTGAGAGAGAAGAAAAGCAACGGGAATGGGAAGCGATGGTAGAATCCGCGGAAGAAGACGAACGACTTGCGGAACCACAAATTGAAAATGTATAATTCAAATTTTTTCTGTGACACAAAGAAAGCTTTCTCATTTTTTGCTTTGGAAATAAAGTTGTCAAAGTTATGAAGATTGAAAATCTTTTAGAGGACTATGACGTGGAAATTTGCACTTGTTAAATATAATGCAACTTTTCGGAAATTTTCAGAATTTTTTATGGGCCTATGCAGAATAATATTTTGTAATAAAAAAACATATTTTTCCTATGCAGAAAAACGTCGAAAAAACAAAATATACAGTTTATTATTTTTGAGTAGAGACAATGTGAAATTGAGAGAGTGCAGACAGTTTTTTTGTATTTTTTGTGCGAAAAATCAATTTTCTGTCTGCACTCTCTCAATTTCACATTGTCTCTACTCGAAAATAATAAATGGGAAAAATATGTTTTTTATAACAAAATATTATTCTGCATAACAAGATGAAAAAAAAACAAAAATTGGTTGAAAACCCAAAAAAAATGTTGAAAAAAATGCAGGAAAAACATAGCCTTCCAGAAATTTCCCGATTTTTTGTGTTCAAAAAACAATTTGGCAATAAAAAATTTACAGATCTTCTCTACTCACACGATTCAAATCTACCCCTCCTTTTCCAAATTTCCAAAATTGAAAATATTCTGCGAATCAGAAATTTGCCACGGGATTTCCTCTGATTCTCCTTGCGCAGTTGAGCAACTTGGCAAATTTCCAAAAACATTGAAATTATCTTCCTGATCTTGATCTTCGACAGGGTTTCCAGCTTCGGAATCATATTCCTCTTTGATCTCTTTCCTTCCCGTGTCTTGCATGATTTTTTGGTAGATTTTATCTGATTCAGAGTCAGATGACAAGTTGAAATAATTGATTTCTTCGGAATCTCCAGCAGATTCTGGTGGTGGGATTTTTAAAATGGGTTCGATGGAAGCTTGATATGCATCAAAGTTGCTGGAAATTATTGATTTTTTTTCGAAATCTAGACAAACTCTTAGGTACCTCGCAACCTCTTCTTCATAGAAAAACGGATCATTTGGTAGATAATCCTTGGTATCATGGAAATCTTCCGAATTCAACAGCCACGCCGATTTATGTGATATTATTTCAGCAATCGGTAATTTTGGCACTTCCGGCTCCTCCTTCAAAATTCGTTGAAGTATTCCGAATTCCAAATTGTTCAAAAATAGCTCTTCGCCATGAATCGGAAGTTCGGATAACTCGAGATTGTCGAGTTTTCTTGAGAAATTATCCAATATTTGTTCGACTTTTGAAACATCGGTTTCAGCGTCGGAATTTTGTTTGAGAAGCGGTGGTGGAGAAGCTTTGATCTTTTTCTCTATTGGCTCTTCTCTTTTTTCTTCTTCTCCTTTAAATTCTTCTTCCAATTCATCTAATTTTTTGATAACTCTGTTCGAAGTTTTGACATGCGCGAAAATTCCAGCTTTTTGAACTTGCCTGTATCTTCTCTGAAAAAAATGATTTGTAAAAATATTCCATATTTCAAACTCACTTTAAACGGATTTTTCTCCATTTTCGGCTGTGAAAAACGTGCACTTGGTCTTAAAATCGGGTCGAGAATCGAAGTTGTTCTATTACTCTCATCTTTTCGACGTTTTTCGATTTTCTTTCGAGTTTCCTCGAGATGCGGCAACCATTTCGGTGGCGCAGGTCTTTTTTCTTCTTGCTGATTCATTTTGCAACTTCTAGAATTCCAGTTTTTCGAAAAATTTTCAAAATGAAAAAAAACATTTGCTCACCGTACCCAATTCAAAGGCACACAACAAAAAATGTTTTCCGCTGCAAGACCTTGCTATTTTCAACGTGTGCCTTGAAACACACTACGGTTTGTTTATTGAATTTTTATTTTTGCGCGTGAGAATTTCCAGCATTTTCAGATGAAAACCGAAGGTTCTACGTGGGTTTTTCAGCAGAGTGAATCTACACGGTGTTGGTGTTATAACTCATTGGAGAAATCAACGGGTGGTGAAAAAGTTGAAGAATTTGTGCGAGGAGAAAAAGTGGACAGATGAAGGAGATTTGAGTTTCAGCAACAATGTTGACAAATATTTCGATTTGTTGGTGCCAGCCCTGAAAACATCTGATATCGAGGTTCTTTCAATATCCTCGACGAAAATCCTTGGTTTCGAAATTGCTGTGAAAGATGTTGATGATGTAAATTTCTAACAGTTTCATTTTAAATACCTATCTAAACCTGTATTTTTCCAGATGCTCTCAACTTCATTGAAAATGTGAGGATTTGGCGATTTGACAGCAACTGCTTATCGATGCGTCGAAGTCTTCACAACATCCAATCAATTCGAGGAAATCCTGGAAAAATCTGAAGAAATCCTCAAAGTTGTTGATATTCGTTGCGGAAATGCCGCGTTAATTTGAGTGGAAAATACGATTTTCTAGGTAAGTTGAATTTTTTTCGGCGATATCTACATCAGAAGTTTATGAATCTTTTTCAGCCAAAATGCTGATTCAAGTTTTCCAATTTTGTGAAATCAATGATGAATTTCAATTGGATGTCGATTATTTGGTGCAAGAATGGGAGGTTAGATTTTATTGCTTTTCAAGTTTGAAAACCAGAATATTTTTGAAGCTGAACCATCTTGGTTTGTTTTTTGAAAATTAAAATTGAGTTATTTGGGAATTCCGAATCTCAGCAAAAAAAAACAAATCATTGATTTGAATCAAATATTTCGAATTCAAAAGGTCTTTGAATTACTGAAAATTAGGCTTAAAATCTTGGATATTTATTGAAAAATGAAAAAAAACGGTATTATTTCCAGGTTGGGCCACATGGCTTCACTTTTGGCGTGCTCTAACACAAGCTCAACAAAAAGAAGTCCAAAAATATCGACTCGAACATCCTCGATCAAACAATATCGTCCTGCTCATCGCAAAACCGAATAACTTGATGTGTTTTTGTCCCCGTCCCCCGTATTTTTGTTTTCTGTATTTTTATTGTTGGTTTTTTTGTTTTGTTTTGTGAATCATAAAATTTCCGAGAATTTAACTAATTTTTGAGTCTGAAAAAAGAGAAATTCAAAAATCTCGCGCCGAAACAAGCTGCCGCTGCAAAAAAGCCACGCTGCGATCGCGCTGGAACAAGCTGCCGCTGCAAAAAAGCCACGCTGCGATCGCGTTGGAACAAGCTGCCGCTGCAGAAAAGCCACGCTGCGATCGCGTTGGAACAAGCTGCCGCTGCAAAAAAGCCACGCTACGATCGCGCTGGAACAAGCTGCCGCTGCAAAAAAGCCACGCTGCGATCGCGCTGGAACAAGCTGCCGCTGCAAAAGCCACGCTGCGATCGCGTTGGAACAAGCTGCCGCTGCAAAAAAGCCACGCTGCGATCTCGCTGGAACAAGCTGCCGCTGCAAAAAAGCCACGCTACGATCGCGCTGGAACAAGCTGCCGCTGCAAAAGCCACGCTGCGATCGCGTTGGAACAAGCCGCTGCCGCTGCAAAAATCACGCTGCGATCGCGCTGGAACAAGCCGCTGCCGCTGCAAAAAAGCCACGCTGCGATCGCGCTGGAACAAGCTGCCGCTGCAAAAAAGCCACGCTGCGATCGCGTTGGAACAAGCTGCCGCTGCAAAAAAGCCACGCTACGATCGCGCTGGAACAAGCTGCCGCTGCAAAAAAGCCACGCTGCGATCGCGCTGGAACAAGCTGCCGCTGCAAAAATCACGCTGCGATCGCGCTGGAACAAGCCGCTGCCGCTGCAAAAAAGCCACGCTGCGATCGCGCTGGAACAAGCTGCCGCTGCAAAAAAGCCACGCTGCGATCGCGTTGGAACAAGCTGCCGCTGCAAAAAAGCCACGCTACGATCGCGCTGGAACAAGCTGCCGCTGCAAAAAAGCCACGCTGCGATCGCGCTGGAACAAGCTGCCGCTGCAAAAAAGCCACGCTGCGATCGCGTTGGAACAAGCTGCCGCTGCAAAAAAGCCACGCTACGATCGCGCTGGAACAAGCTGCCGCTGCAAAAAAGCCACGCTGCGATCGCGCTGGAACAAGCTGCCGCTGCAAAAAAGCCACGCTGCGATCGCGTTGGAACAAGCCGCTGCCGCTGCAAAAAAATCACGCTGCGATAGCGTTGGAACAAGCCGCTGCCGCTGCAAAAAAATCACGCTGCGATCGCGCTGGAACAAGCCGCTGCCGCTGCAAAAAAGCCACGCTGCGATCGCGCTGGAACAAGCTGCCGCTGCAAAAAAGCCACGCTGCGATCGCGTTGGAACAAGCTGCCGCTGCAAAAAAGCCACGCTACGATCGCGCTGGAACAAGCTGCCGCTGCAAAAAAGCCACGCTGCGATCGCGCTGGAACAAGCTGCCGCTGCAAAAAAGCCACGCTGCGATCGCGTTGGAACAAGCCGCTGCCGCTGCAAAAAAATCACGCTGCGATAGCGTTGGAACAAGCCGCTGCCGCTGCAAAAAAATCACGCTACGATCGCGTTGGAACAAGCCGCTGCCGCTGCAAAAAAATCACGCTGCGATAGCGTTGGAACAAGCCGCTGCCGCTACAAAAAAATCACGCTGCGATAGCGTTGGAACAAGCCGCTGCCGCTGCAAAAAAATCACGCTGCGATAGCGTTGGAACAAGCCGCTGCCGCTACAAAAAAATCACGCTACGATCGCGTTGGAACAAGCCGCTGCCGCTACAAAAAAATCACGCTGCGATAGCGTTGGAACAAGCCGCTGCCGCTGCAAAAAAATCACGCTGCGATCGCGTTGGAACAAGCCGCTGCCGCTGCAAAAAATCACGCTGCGATCGCGTTGGAACAAGCCGCTGCCGCTGCAAAAATCACGCTGCGATCGCGTTGGAACAAGCCGCTGCCGCTGCAAAAAAGCCACGCTACGATCGCGCTGGAACAAGCTGCCGCTGCAAAAAAGCCACGCTGCGATCGCGCTGGAACAAGCTGCCGCTGCAAAAAAGCCACGCTGCGATCGCGCTGGAACAAGCTGCCGCTGCAAAAATCACGCTGCGATAGCGTTGGAACAAGCCGCTGCCGCTGCAAAAATCACGCTGCGATCGCGTTGGAACAAGCCGCTGCCGCTGCAAAAAAATCACGCTGCGATAGCGTTGGAACAAGCTGCTGCCGCTGCAAAAATCACGCTGCGATAGCGTTGGAACAAGCCGCTGCCGCTGCAAAAATCACGCTGCGATAGCGTTGGAACAAGCCGCTGCCGCTGCAAAAATCACGCTGCGATCGCGTTGGAACAAGCCGCTGCCGCTGCAAAAAAATCACGCTGCGATAGCGTTGGAACAAGCCGCTGCCGCTGCAAAAAAATCACGCTGCGATCGCGTTGGAACAAGCCGCTGCCGCTACAAAAATCACGCTGCGATCGCGTTGGAACAAGCCGCTGCCGCTGCAAAAATCACGCTGCGATAGCGTTGGAACAAGCCGCTGCCGCTGCAAAAATCACGCTGCGATCGCGTTGGAACAAGCCGCTGCCGCTGCAAAAATCACGCTGCGATCGCGTTGGAACAAGCCGCTGCCGCTGCAAAAATCACGCTGCGATCGCGTTGGAACAAGCCGCTGCCGCTGCAAAAAAATCACGCTGCGATCGCGTTGGAACAAGCCGCTGCCGCTGCAAAAATCACGCTGCGATAGCGTTGGAACAAGCCGCTGCCGCTGCAAAAATCACGCTGCGATAGCGTTGGAACAAGCCGCTGCCGCTACAAAAAAATCACGCTGCGATAGCGTTGGAACAAGCCGCTGCCGCTGCAAAAATCACGCTACGATCGCGTTGGAACAAGCCGCTGCCGCTGCAAAAATCACGCTACGATCGCGTTGGAACAAGCCGCTGCCGCTACAAAAAAATCACGCTACGATCGCGTTGGAACAAGCCGCTGCCGCTACAAAAATCACGCTGCGATAGCGTTGGAACAAGCCGCTGCCGCTGCAAAAAAATCACGCTACGATCGCGTTGGAACAAGCCGCTGCCGCTACAAAAATCACGCTACGATCGCGTTGGAACAAGCCGCTGCCGCTACAAAAATCACGCTACGATCGCGTTGGAACAAGCCGCTGCCGCTACAAAAAAATCACGCTGCGATAGCGTTGGAACAAGCCGCTGCCGCTGCAAAAAAATCACGCTACGATCGCGTTGGAACAAGCCGCTGCCGCTGCAAAAAAATCACGCTACGATCGCGTTGGAACAAGCCGCTGCCGCTGCAAAAATCACGCTACGATCGCGTTGGAACAAGCCGCTGCCGCTACAAAAATCACGCTGCGATCGCGTTGGAACAAGCCGCTGCCGCTGCAAAAATCACGCTGCGATCGCGTTGGAACAAGCCGCTGCCGCTGCAAAAATCACGCTGCGATCGCGTTGGAACAAGCCGCTGCCGCTGCAAAAATCACGCTACGATCGCGTTGGAACAAGCCGCTGCCGCTACAAAAAAATCACGCTGCGATAGCGTTGGAACAAGCCGCTGCCGCTACAAAAATCACGCTGCGATAGCGTTGGAACAAGCCGCTGCCGCTACAAAAATCACGCTGCGATCGCGTTGGAACAAGCCGCTGCCGCTACAAAAATCACGCTGCGATAGCGTTGGAACAAGCCGCTGCCGCTGCAAAAATCACGCTGCGATAGCGTTGGAACAAGCCGCTGCCGCTACAAAAAAATCACGCTGCGATCGCGTTGGAACAAGCCGCTGCCGCTACAAAAATCACGCTGCGATAGCGTTGGAACAAGCCGCTGCCGCTACAAAAAAATCACGCTGCGATAGCGTTGGAACAAGCCGCTGCCGCTGCAAAAATCACGCTGCGATCGCGTTGGAACAAGCCGCTGCCGCTGCAAAAAAATCACGCTGCGATAGCGTTGGAACAAGCCGCTGCCGCTACAAAAAAATCACGCTACGATCGCGTTGGAACAAGCCGCTGCCGCTGCAAAAAAATCACGCTGCGATCGCGTTGGAACAAGCCGCTGCCGCTGCAAAAATCACGCTGCGATCGCGTTGGAACAAGCCGCTGCCGCTGCAAAAAAATCACGCTGCGATCGCGTTGGAACAAGCCGCTGCCGCTGCAAAAAAGCCACGCTACGATCGCGCTGGAACAAGCTGCCGCTGCAAAAAAGCCACGCTGCGATCGCGCTGGAACAAGCTGCCGCTGCAAAAAAGCCACGCTGCGATCGCGCTGGAACAAGCTGCCGCTGCAAAAAAGCCACGCTGCGATCGCGCTGGAACAAGCTGCCGCTGCAAAAGCCACGCTGCGATCGCGTTGGAACAAGCTGCCGCTGCAGAAAAGCCACGCTGCGATCGCGTTGGAACAAGCTGCCGCTGCAAAAAAGCCACGCTACGATCGCGCTGGAACAAGCTGCCGCTGCAAAAGCCACGCTGCGATCGCGCTGGAACAAGCTGCCGCTGCAAAAAAGCCACGCTGCGATCGCGTTGGAACAAGCTGCCGCTGCAAAAAAGCCACGCTGCGATCTCGCTGGAACAAGCTGCCGCTGCAAAAAAGCCACGCTACGATCGCGCTGGAACAAGCTGCCGCTGCAAAAAGCCACGCTGCGATCGCGTTGGAACAAGCCGCTGCCGCTGCAAAAATCACGCTGCGATCGCGCTGGAACAAGCCGCTGCCGCTGCAAAAAAGCCACGCTGCGATCGCGCTGGAACAAGCTGCCGCTGCAAAAAAGCCACGCTGCGATCGCGTTGGAACAAGCTGCCGCTGCAAAAGCCACGCTGCGATCTCGCTGGAACAAGCTGCCGCTGCAAAAAAGCCACGCTACGATCGCGCTGGAACAAGCTGCCGCTGCAAAAAAGCCACGCTGCGATCGCGCTGGAACAAGCTGCCGCTGCAAAAAAGCCACGCTGCGATCGCGTTGGAACAAGCCGCTGCCGCTGCAAAAATCACGCTGCGATAGCGTTGGAACAAGCCGCTGCCGCTGCAAAAAAATCACGCTACGATCGCGTTGGAACAAGCCGCTGCCGCTGCAAAAAAATCACGCTGCGATAGCGTTGGAACAAGCCGCTGCCGCTACAAAAAAATCACGCTGCGATAGCGTTGGAACAAGCCGCTGCCGCTGCAAAAATCACGCTGCGATAGCGTTGGAACAAGCCGCTGCCGCTACAAAAAAATCACGCTACGATCGCGTTGGAACAAGCCGCTGCCGCTGCAAAAATCACGCTGCGATAGCGTTGGAACAAGCCGCTGCCGCTACAAAAAAATCACGCTACGATCGCGTTGGAACAAGCCGCTGCCGCTGCAAAAATCACGCTGCGATAGCGTTGGAACAAGCCGCTGCCGCTGCAAAAATCACGCTGCGATAGCGTTGGAACAAGCCGCTGCCGCTACAAAAAAATCACGCTGCGATAGCGTTGGAACAAGCCGCTGCCGCTACAAAAAAATCACGCTACGATCGCGTTGGAACAAGCCGCTGCCGCTGCAAAAATCACGCTGCGATAGCGTTGGAACAAGCCGCTGCCGCTACAAAAAAATCACGCTACGATCGCGTTGGAACAAGCCGCTGCCGCTGCAAAAATCACGCTGCGATAGCGTTGGAACAAGCCGCTGCCGCTACAAAAAAATCACGCTACGATCGCGTTGGAACAAGCCGCTGCCGCTGCAAAAAAATCACGCTGCGATAGCGTTGGAACAAGCCGCTGCCGCTACAAAAAAATCACGCTACGATCGCGTTGGAACAAGCCGCTGCCGCTGCAAAAATCACGCTGCGATAGCGTTGGAACAAGCCGCTGCCGCTACAAAAAAATCACGCTACGATCGCGTTGGAACAAGCCGCTGCCGCTGCAAAATCACGCTGCGATAGCGTTGGAACAAGCCGCTGCCGCTACAAAAAAATCACGCTACGATCGCGTTGGAACAAGCCGCTGCCGCTGCAAAAAAATCACGCTGCGATAGCGTTGGAACAAGCCGCTGCCGCTGCAAAAAAATCACGCTGCGATCGCGTTGGAACAAGCCGCTGCCGCTGCAAAAATCACGCTGCGATCGCGTTGGAACAAGCCGCTGCCGCTGCAAAAATCACGCTGCGATCGCGTTGGAACAAGCCGCTGCCGCTGCAAAAAAGCCACGCTACGATCGCGCTGGAACAAGCTGCCGCTGCAAAAAAGCCACGCTGCGATCGCGCTGGAACAAGCTGCCGCTGCAAAAAAGCCACGCTGCGATCGCGCTGGAACAAGCTGCCGCTGCAAAAAAATCACGCTGCGATAGCGTTGGAACAAGCCGCTGCCGCTGCAAAAATCACGCTGCGATCGCGTTGGAACAAGCCGCTGCCGCTGCAAAAATCACGCTGCGATAGCGTTGGAACAAGCTGCTGCCGCTGCAAAAATCACGCTGCGATAGCGTTGGAACAAGCCGCTGCCGCTGCAAAAAATCACGCTGCGATAGCGTTGGAACAAGCCGCTGCCGCTGCAAAAAAATCACGCTGCGATCGCGTTGGAACAAGCCGCTGCCGCTGCAAAAAAATCACGCTGCGATAGCGTTGGAACAAGCCGCTGCCGCTGCAAAAATCACGCTGCGATCGCGTTGGAACAAGCCGCTGCCGCTACAAAAAAATCACGCTGCGATCGCGTTGGAACAAGCCGCTGCCGCTGCAAAAAAATCACGCTGCGATAGCGTTGGAACAAGCCGCTGCCGCTGCAAAAATCACGCTGCGATCGCGTTGGAACAAGCCGCTGCCGCTGCAAAAAAATCACGCTGCGATCGCGTTGGAACAAGCCGCTGCCGCTGCAAAAAAATCACGCTGCGATCGCGTTGGAACAAGCCGCTGCCGCTGCAAAAATCACGCTGCGATCGCGTTGGAACAAGCCGCTGCCGCTGCAAAAATCACGCTGCGATAGCGTTGGAACAAGCCGCTGCCGCTACAAAAAAATCACGCTACGATCGCGTTGGAACAAGCCGCTGCCGCTACAAAAATCACGCTGCGATAGCGTTGGAACAAGCCGCTGCCGCTGCAAAAAAATCACGCTACGATCGCGTTGGAACAAGCCGCTGCCGCTACAAAAAAATCACGCTGCGATCGCGTTGGAACAAGCCGCTGCCGCTGCAAAAAAATCACGCTGCGATCGCGTTGGAACAAGCCGCTGCCGCTGCAAAAAAATCACGCTGCGATAGCGTTGGAACAAGCCGCTGCCGCTACAAAAAAATCACGCTACGATCGCGTTGGAACAAGCCGCTGCCGCTACAAAAAAATCACGCTGCGATAGCGTTGGAACAAGCCGCTGCCGCTGCAAAAATCACGCTACGATCGCGTTGGAACAAGCCGCTGCCGCTACAAAAAAATCACGCTGCGATCGCGTTGGAACAAGCCGCTGCCGCTGCAAAAAAATCACGCTGCGATCGCGTTGGAACAAGCCGCTGCCGCTGCAAAAATCACGCTGCGATCGCGTTGGAACAAGCCGCTGCCGCTGCAAAAATCACGCTGCGATAGCGTTGGAACAAGCCGCTGCCGCTACAAAAAAATCACGCTACGATCGCGTTGGAACAAGCCGCTGCCGCTACAAAAAAATCACGCTGCGATAGCGTTGGAACAAGCCGCTGCCGCTACAAAAAAATCACGCTACGATCGCGTTGGAACAAGCCGCTGCCGCTACAAAAAAATCACGCTGCGATCGCGTTGGAACAAGCCGCTGCCGCTGCAAAAATCACGCTGCGATAGCGTTGGAACAAGCCGCTGCCGCTGCAAAAAAATCACGCTACGATCGCGTTGGAACAAGCCGCTGCCGCTACAAAAAAATCACGCTGCGATAGCGTTGGAACAAGCCGCTGCCGCTACAAAAAAATCACGCTGCGATAGCGTTGGAACAAGCCGCTGCCGCTACAAAAAAATCACGCTGCGATCGCGTTGGAACAAGCCGCTGCCGCTACAAAAATCACGCTGCGATAGCGTTGGAACAAGCCGCTGCCGCTGCAAAAATCACGCTGCGATAGCGTTGGAACAAGCCGCTGCCGCTACAAAAATCACGCTGCGATCGCGTTGGAACAAGCCGCTGCCGCTACAAAAAAATCACGCTGCGATAGCGTTGGAACAAGCCGCTGCCGCTACAAAAAAATCACGCTGCGATAGCGTTGGAACAAGCCGCTGCCGCTGCAAAAAAATCACGCTGCGATCGCGTTGGAACAAGCCGCTGCCGCTGCAAAAATCACGCTGCGATAGCGTTGGAACAAGCCGCTGCCGCTACAAAAAAATCACGCTACGATCGCGTTGGAACAAGCCGCTGCCGCTACAAAAAAATCACGCTGCGATAGCGTTGGAACAAGCCGCTGCCGCTGCAAAAATCACGCTGCGATCGCGTTGGAACAAGCCGCTGCCGCTGCAAAAAAATCACGCTGCGATCGCGTTGGAACAAGCCGCTGCCGCTGCAAAAATCACGCTGCGATCGCGTTGGAACAAGCCGCTGCCGCTGCAAAAAAGCCACGCTACGATCGCGCTGGAACAAGCTGCCGCTGCAAAAAAGCCACGCTGCGATCGCGCTGGAACAAGCTGCCGCTGCAAAAGCCACGCTGCGATCGCGCTGGAACAAGCTGCCGCTGCAAAAGCCACGCTGCGATCGCGTTGGAACAAGCTGCCGCTGCAAAAAAGCCACGCTGCGATCTCGCTGGAACAAGCTGCCGCTGCAAAAAAGCCACGCTACGATCGCGCTGGAACAAGCTGCCGCTGCAAAAAAGCCACGCTGCGATCGCGTTGGAACAAGCCGCTGCCGCTGCAAAAAAGCCACGCTGCGATCGCGTTGGAACAAGCTGCCGCTGCAAAAAAGCCACGCTGCGATCTCGCTGGAACAAGCTGCCGCTGCAAAAAAGCCACGCTGCGATCTCGCTGGAACAAGCTGCCGCTGCAAAAAAGCCACGCTGCGATCGCGCTGGAACAAGCTGCCGCTGCAAAAAAGCCACGCTGCGATCGCGTTGGAACAAGCCGCTGCCGCTGCAAAAAAGCCACGCTGCGATCGCGTTGGAACAAGCTGCCGCTGCAAAAAAGCCACGCTGCGATCGAGCTGGAACAAGCTGCCGCTGCAAAAAAGCCACGCTGCGATCGAGCTGGAACAAGCTGCCGCTGCAAAAAAGCCACGCTGCGTTCGAGCTGGAACAAGCTGCCGCTGCAAAAAAGCCACGCTGCGATCGAGCTGGAACAAGCTGCCGCTGCAAAAAAGCCACGCTGCGATCGAGCTGGAACAAGCTGCCGCTGCAAAAAAGCCACGCTGCGATCGAGCTGGAACAAGCTGCCGCTGCAAAAAAGCCACGCTGCGATCGAGCTGGAACAAGCTGCCGCTGCAAAAAAATCACGCTGCGATCGAGCTGGAACAAGCTGCCGCTGCAAAAAGCACGCTGCGATCGAGCTGGAACAAGCTGCCGCTGCAAAAAAGCCACGCTGCGATCGAGCTGGAACAAGCTGCCGCTGCAAAAAATCACGCTGCGATCGAGCTGGAACAAGCTGCCGCTGCAAAAAAGCCACGCTGCGATCGAGCTGGAACAAGCTGCCGCTGCAAAAATCACGCTGCGATCGCGCTTGAAGAAGCTGCCGCTGCAAAAATCACGCTGCGATCGAGCTGGAACAAGCTGCCGCTGCAAAAAAGCCACGCTGCGATCGAGCTGGAACAAGCTGCCGCTGCAAAAAAATCACGCTGCGATCGCGCTTGAAGAAGCTGCCGCTGCAAAAAAATCACGCTGCGATCGAGCTGGAACAAGCTGCCGCTGCAAAAAAATCACGCTGCGATCGAGCTGGAACAAGCTGCCGCTGCAAAAAAGCCACGCTGCGATCGAGCTGGAACAAGCTGCCGCTGCAAAAAGCACGCTGCGATCGAGCTGGAACAAGCTGCCGCTGCAAAAAAATCACGCTGCGATCGCGCTTGAAGAAGCTGCCGCTGCAAAAAAGCCACGCTGCGATCGCGCTTGAAGAAGCTGCCGCTGCAAAAATCACGCTGCGATCGAGCTGGAACAAGCTGCCGCTGCAAAAAGCACGCTGCGATCGAGCTGGAACAAGCTGCCGCTGCAAAAAAGCCACGCTGCGATCGAGCTGGAACAAGCTGCCGCTGCAAAAATCACGCTGCGATCGAGCTGGAACAAGCTGCCGCTGCAAAAGCCACGCTGCGATCGAGCTGGAACAAGCTGCCGCTGCAAAAATCACGCTGCGATCGCGCTTGAAGAAGCTGCCGCTGCAAAAATCACGCTGCGATCGAGCTGGAACAAGCTGCCGCTGCAAAAAGCACGCTGCGATCGAGCTGGAACAAGCTGCCGCTGCAAAAAAGCCACGCTGCGATCGAGCTGGAACAAGCTGCCGCTGCAAAAAAGCCACGCTGCGATCGAGCTGGAACAAGCTGCCGCTGCAAAAAAATCACGCTGCGATCGAGCTGGAACAAGCTGCCGCTGCAAAAAAGCCACGCTGCGATCGAGCTGGAACAAGCTGCCGCTGCAAAAATCACGCTGCGATCGAGCTGGAACAAGCTGCCGCTGCAAAAATCACGCTGCGATCGAGCTGGAACAAGCTGCCGCTGCAAAAATCACGCTGCGATCGAGCTGGAACAAGCTGCCGCTGCAAAAGCCACGCTGCGATCGAGCTGGAACAAGCTGCCGCTGCAAAAAAATCACGCTGCGATCGAGCTGGAACAAGCTGCCGCTGCAAAAATCACGCTGCGATCGAGCTGGAACAAGCTGCCGCTGCAAAAAAATCACGCTGCGATCGAGCTGGAACAAGCTGCCGCTGCAAAAAAGCCACGCTGCGATCGAGCTGGAACAAGCTGCCGCTGCAAAAAAATCACGCTGCGATCGAGCTGGAACAAGCTGCCGCTGCAAAAAAATCACGCTGAGATCGCGCTTGAAGAAGCTGCCGCTGCAAAAAAATCACGCTGAGATCGCGCTGGAACAAGCTGCCGCTGCAAAAAAGCCACGCTGCGATCGAGCTGGAACAAGCTGCCGCTGCAAAAAAAGCACGCTGCGATCGCGCTAGAAGACGCTGCCGCTGCAAAAAGCACGCTGCGATCGAGCTGGAACAAGCTGCCGCTGCAAAAAAGCCACGCTGCGATCGAGCTGGAACAAGCTGCCGCTGCAAAAAAGCCACGCTGCGATCGAGCTGGAACAAGCCGCTGCCGCTGCAAAAAAATCACGCTGCGATCGCGCTAGAAGACGCTGCCGCTGCAAAAAAGCCACGCTGCGATCGAGCTGGAACAAGCTGCCGCTGCAAAAAAGCCACGCTGCGATCGAGCTGGAACAAGCTGCCGCTGCAAAAGCCACGCTGCGATCGAGCTGGAACAAGCTGCCGCTGCAAAAAAGCCACGCTGCGATCGAGCTGGAACAAGCTGCCGCTGCAAAAAAAGCACGCTGCGATCGCGCTAGAAGACGCTGCCGCTGCAAAAAAGCCACGCTGCGATCGAGCTGGAACAAGCTGCCGCTGCAAAAAAGCCACGCTGCGATCGAGCTGGAACAAGCTGCCGCTGCAAAAAAGCCACGCTGCGATCGAGCTGGAACAAGCCGCTGCCGCTGCAAAAATCACGCTGCGATAGCGTTGGAACAAGCCGCTGCCGCTGCAAAAAAATCACGCTGCGATAGCGTTGGAACAAGCCGCTGCCGCTGCAAAAAAATCACGCTGCGATCGAGCTGGAACAAGCTGCCGCTGCAAAAAAGCCACGCTGCGATCGAGCTGGAACAAGCTGCCGCTGCAAAAAAGCCACGCTGCGATCGAGCTGGAACAAGCTGCCGCTGCAAAAAAGCCACGCTGCGATCGAGCTGGAACAAGCCGCTGCCGCTGCAAAAAAATCACGCTGCGATAGCGTTGGAACAAGCCGCTGCCGCTGCAAAAAAATCACGCTGCGATCGCGCTAGAACAAGCTGCCGCTGCAAAAAAATCACGCTGCGATCGAGCTGGAACAAGCTGCCGCTGCAAAAAAATCACGCTGCGATAGCGTTGGAACAAGCCGCTGCCGCTGCAAAAATCACGCTGCGATAGCGTTGGAACAAACCGCTGCCGCTGCAAAAAAATCACGCTGCGATAGCGTTGGAACAAGCCGCTGCCGCTGCAAAAAAATCACGCTGCGATAGCGTTGGAACAAGCCGCTGCCGCTGCAAAAAAATCACGCTGCGATAGCGTTGGAACAAGCCGCTGCCGCTGCAAAAAAATCACGCTGCGATAGCGTTGGAACAAGCCGCTGCCGCTGCAAAAAAATCACGCTGCGATAGCGTTGGAACAAGCCGCTGCCGCTGCAAAAATCACGCTGCGATAGCGTTGGAACAAGCCGCTGCCGCTGCAAAAATCACGCTGCGATAGCGTTGGAACAAGCCGCTGCCGCTGCAAAAAAATCACGCTGCGATCGCGTTGGAACAAGCTGCCGCTGCAAAAATTGATTTTACCTTCATTTTTTCTTCCTCAACAAGTCCTCGAACAATTTGATCAATCACATTCGTCGATAAACTTTCAATAACCAAATTCATTTTTCCCAATTCTTGCATTTTTCATTTTTCTTCAATGATGATTTCCAATGGATTTCGTCGTGGTGGAGCAATTGTAGGAACTGGGAATTTAGGACAACTTGATCTCCATCCATAAATATCAAGGGTTGATTTCAAATCGTCAAATGAATCATGCGCGAGAAGCGAGCAAAATTTATCGAGTGGATATCCAGCATTATCATAAGATGATAACAGCTTTGGATCTGCTCTGATCTGAAAAATGATAATTTTGGACATGAACACGTTTTTATTATTTATTAAAAAACGACGTGAAATTTGAAACAAAATTGTCTAATTTCCAGAATTTTTGTTTTAAAAACAAACCTCGTTGAACAATTTTTGTGATAACATCATACGATCGAAATCCAGGTTCATTAACACATTTTATGCCACGTCTCTCAAAATCTTCATACAAATGCCGCAAAGTTTTCCCAAATTCTCATTGTTCATTTTCTCATCAAAATGGTCGACTTCCAAATCGCAAAAAATATATCCGAATAAAATATGCAGCCAGCCACGTACATCTTTCAACAAGTTCCAATGCCAAAGTGTCACTTCTTTTCGAACAGCTCGAGTTCGACTCCATAAGAAATTATACCATCCGGTTCGTTGTTCAGCGGTTTCGGGGAATTTATCGAGAACTTGAGAAAGGAGATATGACATTGTATCGAAGTTCGTGGGGAAGTGGACGTTCTTGATCAGCGGCGGATCGAGCATAGTCCTAGTAAAAATGAATATTTTGATAAATACCAAAGTTTTTTGAAACTTACCTTCACCATGATTTGATGAGCCACAAAAGTCGCCTCATCACAACTGGCGATGAACGTTTCTGCACACTTCTCATATATATAACAAGCCGCCGCTGCAAACATTGGACAGCGCAAAAATGCTGAAACCACGCTGCGATCGCGCAAGAACAAGCCTCCGCTGCGACCGCGCTGCGACCACGCTGCGATTGAGCAAGAACAAGCCGCCGCTGCGACCGCGCTGCGACCACGCTGCGATCGCGCTGGAACAAGCTGCCGCTGCAAAAAGCACGCTGCGATCGCGCTGGAACAAGCTGCCGCTGCAAAAAAAGCACGCTGCGATCGCGCTGGAACAAGCTGCCGCTGCAAAAAAAGCACGCTGCGATCGCGCTGGAACAAGCTGCCGCTGGAACAAGCTGCCGCTGCAAAAAAAGCACGCTGCGATCGCGCTGGAACAAGCTGCCGCTGCGATCGCGCTGGAACAAGCTGCCGCTGCAAGAAAAGCCACGCTGCGATCGCGCTGGAACAAGCTGCCGCTGCAAGAAAAGCCACGCTGCGATCGCGCTGGAACAAGCTGCCGCTGCGATCGCGCTGGAACAAGCTGCCGCTGCAAAAAAAGCACGCTGCGACCGCGCTGGAACAAGCTGCCGCTGCAAAAAAAAACCACGCTGCGACCGCGTTGCGACCACGCTGCAACCGCGCAAGAACACGCCGCCAAGATCGATGCCAAAAAAAAGGAAAAAACAAGCCGAAACATAAAAAAAGGCAGGAAGTGACCCTTAAAACATTAGAATTCAAAAAATTGGCGCAATTTGCAGTGGAGCGCACTTGCTCGTTTTCCAATTCGAACACGTGTACTGCTCTGGTTTTTCGAATAATATTTTTGTGTCAACACGGCAACAAAGACTGGCGCATTTTCCGTCGTCGCTTTTCATTTTCTTAATTTTTTTTGAATTTTTTTTCTAGAAAAAACATGGTTTTCAGCTGTTTTTTGCATTTTTCATATTTAAAAAACGAAGCAGTTTTCGCACAGTTGATGTGACGCCAAGTTTTCAGATGTTCCAAAAATTGCAGCTCTCAAACCCTCAAAAAAAGAAATAAATATCTAAATAAAAATTCACGAATACTTCTACCGTACCCCTCATAAAGGCGCACACAATTTTTCTCCCGTGTCTCGCAACGCGTGCAACGCGCGTTGATTTTTCAAAAAACGAAAGTCTACTTCCTTTTTCTTCCCTTCCACTTCTCATTTTCACGTTGATTTTGAACGGACAAATCGAGAATCCACTAAAAAGGGAGAGTGCAGAGAAATCGCGCCAAGACCACACTTGGCTGTGCGCCAGCTAATGGTAAAATGGCGTACTGTAGCACTATTTCAGCTGTGTTTCTAGCTTCTTTTCCCTCTCTTATGAGAGACTCTCGATTTGTCCCTCTTTCTATTGTTTTAAAATAGCGTGTTTTTGGTTCTCTCTTGTTAAGCGCGCATATTCGCTCTATTGAAAATCATAGCGTGTGTGTGTTCATTTGAAAAACAAATCCCCAATAATTTTTAGTTATCCTCATTTCTCGTTTTTTCCTCCTTTTTCCATACCAGTTTTTTTCAGCCCACAATGAATATCACAAAAGGCCGCACACCCGCCAAATCTAACGGTCTTTCGATGCGTAAACGCGACATGACGCCGACTCGCAACGCAAACATTTTACACAATCCCTCAATGGTGGGCGATCGATTTATGGGTGTACGATTAAATCGAGACGAAATGGAATTTGCGGGTCATCTTTTGACAAGTCAAATTCTCCAAGACTCACACTTACACAACAGACAAATGCAACAACAAAACGAGAATCCGTTGTTGCTCAATAATAGTACCGAAACTGAACCAGCTGAAGAACGGGAAGCGAGAGAAGCTAGAGAAGCACAAGAAGAACGAGAAGCTGAAGAGGAGAATAAAGAAGGCAAGAAGATCACAAATCTGATTCGAGGTGGAGTTGCTGGAATGAGCGATGCTGATGAGGGTGATCGCATTTTATGCTATAAAAAGAATTTGGCACCGCCGCCGGCGATTGGATATGTGAATCAAGCAAAAGTTTTGTATTCAACGAATAGTGTGATTAATCCAAGTTCTTCGGTGAAGAAAGCTTTGAGACATGTTCCAACAACTGCTTGTAAAGTTCTTGATGCGCCTGGATTAACGAGTGAGGGTTTATGTTAGAAGTTTTTGATTCTTACAAAATAAAATTTCAGAAGACATGTATACTCGCCACATGGATTGGGGTAGTCACAATTGGGTGGCTGTTGCGCTTTCGAATGAGTTGTATTTGTGGAATACTGAAACAAATACCATCAAGGTAGAGATTCACTGGAAGAATGGGAAATCTAGATTTTCCTGTTGCAAAATATTCGTAAAAATGTATTCGAAAGCTGTGTGAACTTGGAAATTTCATTCAAAAAACTAATTTTGACCGAAATTTTCAGGTTCTCGCACAGGGGAAAAATTATCGGGACTTTATCACAATTATGCCTGAACCTTGAAATTCCAGCCAAACCTGAAAAAGTGATTTTGGCTGAAATTTCCGGGTTCTCGCGCAGGGGAATCTATCGTCAATTTTTCAAATCAAAATAGTAACTACACAATTCTGCCTGAACCTTGAAATTTCAGCCAAACCTTAGAAAAGTGATTTTGGTTGAAATTTTCGGGTTCTCGCGCAGGGAAACCTATCGTCAATTTTTGAATTCAAAATCGTAACTTCATAATTCTGCCTGAACCTTGAAATTTCAGCCAAACCTTAGAAAAAGTGCATTTGACTGAAACTTCTGGGTTCTCGCGCAGGGGAACCTATCGCCAATTTTTCAATTCAAAATCGTAACTACATAATTCTGCCTGAACCTTGAAATTTCAGCCAAACACAAGAAAAAGTGCATTTGGCTGAAATTTTCGGGTTCTCGCGCAGGGGAACCTATCGTCAATTTTTCAATTCAAAATCGTAACTACATAATTCTGCCTGAACCCTGAAATTTCAGCCAAACCTTAGAAAAAGTGAATTTGGCTGAAATTTTCGGGTTCTCGCGCAGGGGAACCTATCGTCAATTTTTCAATTCAAAATCGTAACTACATAATTCTGCCTGAACCTTGAAATTTCAGCCAAACCTTAGAAAAAATGCATGTGGCTGAAATTTTCGGGTTCTCGCGCAGGGGAACCTATCGCCAATTTTTCATTTTGATCATTATTCAAAGAAATCCCAATTTCTTCCAGAACTTCTTCGAAGATGCTCCTCCATCCAACGAAGGTATGATCACCGGTGTCCGCTGGTCCGAAGAAGGAAAATACGTGTCGGTGGGTTACGAAAGCGGCGCAGTCCGAATCTACGATCCAAATCGTCCACGAACCACACAATATGTCAGGGAATTGCGCACGTTGCGTGTAGGTGGAGCGCAAAGATGCGCATCAATTGCCTGGCGCAAAAATGGTATCATGACTTGCGGATATAAAAGCGGTGATCTAGTGAATCATGACGTCAGAGTTAGCCAACACGTTGTATCCGTTTGGGCAGGTGAAAATGGCCATAGAAGAGATGTGACTGGAATCGAATGGTCGAATGATGAAAATATGTGTGCCACGTCATCATCGGATAGAACAGCGAAGATTTGGGATGTGAGAAATGTCCGTCCAACAACACCGAACGCCGAAATCGCCCCGATGCACACAATCGACGAACATTTGGGACAAGTTCGAACAGTTCAATTCTGCAATTTCAGAGATGGTGTTCTAGCGACTGCCGGTGGAGTTGGTGATGGAAGTGTCAAATTGTGGGATGTGAAGCGGAATTGCTTGAAGATTCGAGAAATGCCAGTTTGTGAGAATGGCGGGGTCAGCGGAGTGGTGTTCAATCGAGCTTATAATGAAATGTTGGTGGCGAGTGACGATGGATGTTTGAGGATTTTTAGATTTAATGCGACTTATAAAATGACGCATGAGATTCAAGGTAAGAAATGAGAGCCGGAAATTCCAAAATGCCACGTGATTTCAAGCATTTGAAGTGCTCGAAATGACGTGGCAGAACCCGAAGATCATCTGAAAATACGCCTGAACCTTGAAATTTCAGCCAAAAATTGTATTTGGCTGAAATTTTCGGGTTCTCGCGCAGGGGAATCTATCGTCAATTTTTTAATTCAAAATCTTAACTACATAATTCTGCCTGAACCTTGAAATTTCAGCCAAAAGGAGATTTTGGCTGAAATTTTCAGGTTCTCGCGCAGGGGAATCTATCGTCAATTTTTTAATTGAAAATTGTAATTACTTAATTCTGCCTGAACCTTGAAATTTCAGTCAAACCTTGGAAAAAGTGCATTTGGCTGAAATTTTCCGGTTCTCGCGCAGGGAAATCTATCGTCAATTTTTCAATTCTCAATCGTAACTACATAATTCTGCCTGAACCTTGAAATTTCAGCCAAACCTTAGAAAAAGTGAATTTGGCTGAAATTTTCGGGTTCTCACGCAGGGGAATCAATCGTCAATTTTTCAATTCTCAATCGTAACTACACAATTCTGCCTGAACCTTGAAATTTCAGTCAAACCTTGGAAAAAGTGCATTTGGCTGAAATTTTCCGGTTCTCGCGCAGGGAAATCTATCGTCAATTTTTCAATTCTCAATCGTAACTACACAATTCTGCCTGAACCTTGAAATTTCAGTCAAACCTTGGAAAAAGTGAATTTGGCTGAAATTTTCAGGTTCTCGCGCAGGGGAATCAATCGTCAATTTTTCAATTCTCAATCGTAACTACACAATTCTGCCTGAACCTTGAAATTTCAGTCAAACCTTGGAAAAAGTGCATTTGGCTGAAATTTTCCGGTTCTCGCGCAGGGAAATCTATCGTCAATTTTTCAATTCTCAATCGTAACTACATAATTCTGCCTGAACCTTGAAATTTCAGCCAAACCTTAGAAAAAGTGAATTTGGCTGAAATTTTCGGGTTCTCACGCAGGGGAATCTATCGTCAATTTTTTTTCCAATTTTGCTGGAATTCCACGTTTCAAAAAAAGCTAGAAATCTTGATTTTCAGTTCATTTTTTGCAGCCTCATCCGAACCAATCATGGATCTTGTCGCATCGCCAGTCGACGAAGTATTAATTGGAGATATGGAGGAAACACTCAAAGTGTTCAAATTCTTCGCTGTAAGTTTTTTTTCGCTGAAAATCTGGAATTTTCAGCCAAAAATCCTTATTTTTTCAGTTCGACAAATCGACAAATATTCTGGAAAAATCGCAACCGAGAAATGTTGGATTAAATGTTCGCTAAAATTATTTTCTATGAAAAACTTATTGTCAAATAAAATTCTTTCACTTTTTTCCTGTGTCTCCTGTAAAAAATCCATATTTTTTGACCTATTGGTTATCATTTGACTATCTATCTTATCAGTGTTTTCCTCCGTTGTTTTTGAGTAAAATTTTAGAGAAAATTATGCGAAAAACGCTGAAAATTCTGAATGCCACGTGTCCCTACAGTTCACCGCTGGAGAATTTGGCGAAAATTCGAAGTTTCGAGCAGATTCCTGGACCCAGAAATGTACCGCTGATTGGAAGTTTTGAGAATTTGAAGTTTGCGATCGGAGCTGGTGAGTTTTTGGGTTTTGAAACAGGAAATTTTGAATTTGGCGCCAAAAAATCAGGATTTTCTCGCAGACCAAAAAACGATTGAAAATTACACGGGCTATCTTCAATCACTCTACCAAAAATACGGACCAATTGTCAAAGAAAATCTGGGATTCGGCCGAAAATATGTTGTGCACATTTATGACCCGAAAGATGCTCAAACCATTTTTGGAGCGGACGGAAAAATGCCATTTATTGTACCGCTTCAAGAGACTACACAGAAGTATCGAGAAATGAAGGGAATGAATCCGGGATTGGGAAATTTGTGAGGAGATTTTTGGGGTGGGGTGGTTTTTGGATGAAAATTGCTGAAAATTAAGGTTTTGTTGATTTTCAGCGCAAATTTTTGATCTAGGAAAATTCAAGGAAAATTTACGTTTCAAAAATTTTGTATAATTTCCCAGAAATTGAGAATTCGATACAATTCTTGTTATTTGAGAAAATTTGCGCTGAAATCACTGAAAATTGCTGAAAATAAATAATTCCATGATTTCCAGCACAAAATTTTGGTCTAGAAAAATTCACGAAAAATTCATTGTTTCAAAAAATCTGTATATTTTTTGAACTGTTTTTAGAATTCGATTATGTTTTCCTCTATATCGAAAATTTAGCGCTGAATACCCTGAAATCACTGAAAAATGCTGAAAATTAATAATTGCATGATTTTTACCACACATTGTTGGTCTAGAAAAATTCACTGTTTCAAAAAATCTGTATAATTTTGTTCAAATTTATAGAAACTTGATACCTGCGAGTATTGTAATCTCAAAAGCACTGAAAATTGCTGAAAATAAATAATCTCACGGTTTTAAGCGCAAAATTCTGTTTAGAAAAAATTTTCTAAAAAAAAATGTACTGTTTCAAAAATTATCTATTATTTTGTTCGAATTTACGAAAACTTCATTTTACTTTTGCGCTGAATTTCAAGAAATCACTGAAAATTGCTGAAAAAGGAGAATTCCATGATTTTCAGCACACAATTTTGATCTTAAAAAATTCAAGGAAAATTTACGTTTCAAAAACTCTGTTTATTTTTTTCAAAATTTTCAAAAGTTGATATTGGAATTATTTGTACCCCTGGAATTATATGTACCATAAGAAGACTGAAAATGAATAATTTCTTGATTTTCAGCACAAAATTTTGATCTAGAAAAATATTTTCTTCAAAAAAATATACTGTTTCAAAAATTTTGTATATTTTACAAAATAATTGAGAATTTCATGGTAAGGTGGTTGATTCGAAAATTTTGCACTAAAATCACTGAAAATTGCTGAAAAAGAAGAATTCCGTGGTTTTCAGTGCAAATTTTTGATCTAGAAAGAATTTTCTAAAAAAAATATACTGTTTCGAAAATTATCTATTATTTTGTTCGAATTTATGAAAACTTGATTTCACTTTCCTAAGTTTAACCTGAAAATCACTGAAAATTGCTGAAAACTAATAATCTCACGGTTTTCAGCACGAAATTTCGATCTAGAAAAATTCAAGAAAAATTCACTGTTTCAAAAATTCTTGTTAAATTTTTCAAAACTTGATTGTAAAACTATTTCTAGCTCAGAATTTTGCGCTGAAAATCACTGAAAGTTAATGATTTTATGATCTTCAGCGCGAAATTCTGATGTAGAAAAATATACTGTTTCAAAAATTCTGTATAGTTTTGTTCAAATTTATGGAAACTTGATATTAACGGAAATTTGCGCTGGGAACCACTGAAAAATGCTGAAAATCAATATTTTTATGATTTTCAGCGCAAAATTCTGATCTAGAAAAATATTTTCTAAAAAAAATATACTGTTTCAAAAATTATCTATTATTTTATTTTATTTTTGAAAACTTGATGTCACGTTCATAAAATTTGACCTGAAAACCACTGAAAATCGCTGAAAATTCCTGAAAATAAATAATTCCACGATTTCAAGCACAAAATTTTTTCTATAAAATTCACTGTTTCAAAAATCTATACTTCAAATTCGTGCTGAAAACCCTGGAATCACTGAAAATTGCTGAAAATAAATGATTTCATGATTTCCAGCACAACATTTTGGTCTAGAAAAATTGACTGTTTCAAAAAATCTGTAAATTTTTCCACGTTTTTTTAAAACTCAATTTATCTTCATTTTTTAGTGCAGAATTTTGCTCTGAAAACCCTATATCCACTGAAAAGTGTTGAAAATAAATATTTTCATGAGCTCACAATTTTGATCTAGAAAAATTAAAGTAAAATTTAAGAGGCATCACTGATGAGACCTCCTCTTTGCCGTCTGATGAAAAGGTCGAAACGGCTTCCCTTGCGTTCTCTATTTACTTATCCACTTCTATTTTATTTAATTTTCCCCTCTCTACTTTCTTTCTTTTTTTTCAATTAGTTTCTCTTTCTTTATTACGTTTCAAACATTTTGTATAACCCCTACAATTTTGAGAATATATTCCCATGTATATTCCCGCGCTTATTTTTTAATTCAAGAGAATATATGACCACTGAAAATTGCTGAAAATTAATTTTTTCATGATTTTTAGCACACAATTTTTGATCTAGAAAAATTGACTGTTTCAAAAAATCTGTATAATTTTGTTCAAATTCATAGAAACTTGATACTTCCGAATATTGTAATAGGGCTGATTCACGAACGAAAAAAATGTTAAAAAATGTTTTTTTAACATCGAAAGATCAATTCACGAAAAGTCAAAAAATGTCGAAAAAACATTGTAGGTCAAAATTAGTTTTTCGAGTTTTTCAGCCAAAAATGATGACAAATCAATATTTTTCAAGCTTCTGGAGTAATTTCTGATGAAAATAAGCTTCGAGAACCCTATTTTGCTTTATTTTATGATTTTTTTCGAAATTCATCAAAATTCAAAAATTTTTTATTTTACGAAAAATCAACAAAACCTTCTGGAAAGTGAATTTCAAGGCCAATTTTACTCAGAAATTACTCCAGAAGCTTAGAAAATCTCGATTTGTCATCATTTTTGGCTGAAAAACTCAAAAAACTAATTTTGACCTACAATGTTTTTTCGACATTTTTTGACTTTTCGTGAATTGATCTTTCGATGTTAAAAAAACATTTTTTGACATTTTTTTCGTTCGTGAATCAGCCCTAATCTCAAAATTGCTGAAAATAAATATTCTCACGGTTTTCAGCGCAAAATTCTGTTTAGAAAAAAATTTCTAAAAAAAATATACTGTTTCAAAAATTATCTATTATTTTGTTCGAATTTTTACGAAAACTCCATTTTACTTTTGCGCTGAATTTCAAGAAATCACTGGAAATTGCTGAAAAGAGAGAATTCAATGATTTTCAGCACACAATTTTGATCTTAAGAAATTCAAGGAAAATTTACGTTTCAAAAAACTCTGTATATTTTTTTCAAATTTTTCAAAACTTGACTGTCGAGTTTTTTGCTCAGAAATTTGCGCTGAAAATCACTGAAAATTGCTGAAAATTAATCATTTCATAATTTTTAGCACACAATTTTTATTTAGAAACAATTTTCTAAAAAAAAATATACTGATTCAAAAATTCTTGTTAAATTTTTCTCAAATTTTTCAAAACTTGATATTGCTTTCATGGTCAATACTGAAAATCACTGAAAAGTTCTGAAAACTAATAATCTCACGGTTTTCAGCACGAAATTTCGATCTAGAAAAATTCAAGAAAAATTTACGTTTCAAAAATTCGTTATAAATATTTCAATTTTTTGTAAATTTCAATAGTTGTAGAGAAAAGCCTTTATGATTTTCAGAAGAAAAATATCTATCTAGATCCCCCGAAAATCAAGATTCTTCCAGAAATGGTGAAATTTGCGCTGAAATCACTGAAAAGTTTTGAAAATAAATAATATCACGGTTTTCAGCGCAAAATTCTGATTTAGAAAAAATTTTCCTAAAAAATATACTGTTTCAAAATTTATCTATGAATTTGTTCAAATTTTTGGAAACTTGATATTGCCTTGGTTAATCCTGAAAATCACTGAAAATTGCTGAAAATTAATCATTTCATGATTTTCAGCACACAATTTTGACGGCAATTTTCAGTGATTTTCAGAAATGCTTCGGGAAGTTGAGAGAAGTTTCTGAAAGTCAAAATTTCAGCATTTTCAGCCCAGGAGAAGCTGAAATTGGGCTGAAAATCGAAATTTTTGATGTTAGGCTGAAATTTTCAGAAATGCTTCGGGAAGTTGAGAGAAGTTTCTGAAAGTCAAAATTTCAGCATTTTCAGCCCAGGAGAAGCTGAAATTGGGCTGAAAATCGAAATTTTTGATGTTAGGCTGAAATTTTCAGAAATGCTTCGGGAAGTTGAGAGAAGTTTCTGAAAGTCAAAATTTCAGCATTTTCAGCCCAGGAGAATCTGAAATTAGGTTGAAAATCGAAATTTTTGAAGTTTGATTCAAACTTTCAGAATTTGCTAGGAGACTTCTGAAAAGTGTGTGACGAGATGATTTTTCGGATTTTAAGACAGGAAAAGCTGGAGGCTGGCTGGAAATAAGCTGAAAATTGAAGGTTTGATTCTGGTCTCAAATTTTTATAATTGGTTCGGGGAATTGAGAGAGGCAGCTGAAAATAAACAATTGAAATTTCTGATGAGAGTTAAAAATTTTCAACCCAGTTCGCGGTAGTTGGGAGAAGCTTCAGAAACTGCCGATTTCTTTCTGGATTGTCAGTCGGGACAAAGTTGAAAATCGAAAGTCAGGCTAAAACTTCGAGAATAGTAAGGGGAAATTCCTAAATGTGTTAGGAAAAATTCTCAAAGCTAGGAAAAATTCTGAAATGAATTTTTCCCGGTTTTTTTAGCCAGAAGAAGTTAAAAATTATCTGAAGTTCGAACTTCAGCATTTTTGTAGAAAGAGACACGGGCTCAGCCATAACTACTGTTTCCTGCTGAACGTGGGCAATTTTGCAACGATAGGTTTTTGCGATCCTCGGGAAATCGTATGCCGTCATGCCGCGTTTATGGGCTTTTCGCGTTCACTCGGCGCTCAGAAAATCTTTATTTCCTGAGTTCTGAGCGTCGCGTAAACGCCAAAAGCCTCTAAACGCGGAGTAGCACGCTTGCGATTTCCTGAGGAGAAGCAGATTTCTAGAGATTTTTCGTCTATTCATCAATTTTATTGTTTGATTCAGCCGCTGTCGTATTGGCTAGTTGAATTTTCGCTAGTTCGAATCGCAACTGAATTCTAATTCTCTTTCTGTTCTCAACCTCTGCTCCCGGTCCGACAGACCTGCCGGCTGCTTCAGGCTTGAACTTTCTCTGCAACCGGAAAGTTTGGCGGGTCCTACAACGATCGATAAAATCTATGATACGTGGACCTTTCAACTAGCGAATGGGAATTTTCGGATCTGAAGGATCTGAAGGTTCAAAGAGCACAACTTCTGCCTCTGATGTTACTGTTCAGCAAAGTTTTAGATTTAGAACCTGCCGATCCTTCTTCTGATGTAGTTAAACATTGGTTGACTCCGATTCGGAAGTTGCTGATTGGGGTGATTTTTCTCCGAGTGATTCAGTAACATCAGAGGCAGAAGTTGTGCTCTTTGAACCTCCAGATCCTTCTTCCGAAGTTATAGCCGATATTCTGTAGATACTCCTGTCGCCGAATTTGAAATCTAGCGATTTTTCGGTTGGAACTATGCTCGCTTTTTTAAACTGGATCTTCTCCAGGATAATCTAATGATCCTTCTTCAAAACTTTTTGTTGTGATGGGTTGTTTAAAAAAAAATTCCCATTCGCTAGTTGAAAGGTCCACGTATCATAGATTTTATCGATCGTTGTAGGACCCGCCAAACTTTCCGGTTGCAGAGAAAGTTCAAGCCTGAAGCAGCCGGCAGGTCTGTCGGACCGGGAGCAGAGGTTGAGAACAGAAAGAGAATTAGAATTCAGTTGCGATTCGAACTAGCGAATTCAACTAGCCAATACGACAGCGGCTGAATCAAACAATAAAATTGATGAATAGACGAAAAATCTCTAGAAATCTGCTTCTCCTCAGGAAATCGCAAGCGTGCTACTCCGCGTTTAGAGGCTTTTGGCGTTTACGCGACGCTCAGAACTCAGGAAATAAAGATTTTCTGAGCGCCGAGTGAACGCGAAAAGCCCATAAACGCGGCATGACGGCATACGATTTCCCGAGGATCGCAAAAACCTATCGTTGCAAAATTGCCCACGTTCAGCAGGAAACAGTAGTTATGGCTGAGCCCGTGTCTCTTTCTACAAAAATGCTGAAGTTCGAACTTCAGATAATTTTTAACTTCTTCTGGCTAAAACCGGGAAAAATTCATTTCAGAATTTTTCCTAGCTTTGAGAATTTTTCCTAACACATTTAGGAATTTCCCCTTACTATTCTCGAAGTTTTAGCCTGACTTTCGATTTTCAACTTTGTCCCGACTGACAATCCAGAAAGAAATCGGCAGTTTCTGAAGCTTCTCCCAACTACCGCGAACTGGGTTGAAAATTTTTAACTCTCATCAGAAATTTCAATTGTTTATTTTCAGCTGCCTCTCTCAATTCCCCGAACCAATTATAAAAATTTGAGACCAGAATCAAACCTTCAATTTTCAGCTTATTTCCAGCCAGCCTCCAGCTTTTCCTGTCTTAAAATCCGAAAAATCATCTCGTCACACACTTTTCAGAAGTCTCCTAGCAAATTCTGAAAGTTTGAATCAAACTTCAAAAATTTCGATTTTCAACCTAATTTCAGATTCTCCTGGGCTGAAAATGCTGAAATTTTGACTTTCAGAAACTTCTCTCAACTTCCCGAAGCATTTCTGAAAATTTCAGCCTAACATCAAAAATTTCGATTTTCAGCCCAATTTCAGCTTCTCCTGGGCTGAAAATGCTGAAATTTTGACTTTCAGAAACTTCTCTCAACTTCCCGAAGCATTTCTGAAAATTTCAGCCTAACATCAAAAATTTCGATTTTCAGCCCAATTTCAGCTTCTCCTGGGCTGAAAATGCTGAAATTTTGACTTTCAGAAACTTCTCTCAACTTCCCGAAGCATTTCTGAAAATTTCAGCCTAACATCAAAAATTTCGATTTTCAGCTCATTTTCAGCTTTTCCCCAGCTTCACCTTGCTCAAAATGCTGAAACTCCCACTTTCAGAAGCTTATCTGAAAGTTGTTTGGGTCACCCAACGCGCGCATCAAAAAAAAGAAGAAATTTTCTATGCAGAAACTAACCTAGGTCAACGTTGCTTATCCTGCCAGATCGGACGACTTAGCGCACAAGGAGTATCAATCTACTCAGGTCCCCTAGATCGATTCCTGCCGCCCGTTTTTTCTTTTTTTCTGATACTTCCGGATTTCAGTTTTTTGCCGCGCAACATCGCTTTTACTAAGTCGACTATGCTCTTTCAGATGAAATACAATTATTTTTTCGTGTCGCCCCCCCTTTAAACACTCTCTATAGAGATTTTTTTTCAAATTTTTCAAAACTCGATTGTGAAACTATTTCTAGCCCAGAATTTTGCGCTGAAAATCACTGAAAATTGCCGAAAATCAATAATTCCACGGTTTTCAGCGCAAAATTTTGATCTAGAAAAATTCAAGAAAAATTTACGTTTCAAAAAATCTGTATATTTTTCGAACAATTTTTAGAATTCGATAATATTTGCGGTTTTGGAGCAAATAAAAATTCAAGAAATATTCACTGTTTCAAAAATTCGTTATAAATATTTCAATTTTTTGTAAATTTTATTAGTTGTAGAGAAAAAGCTTTATGATTTTCATTATAAAAAAATATCTATCTAAATCTTTTGAAAATCAAAATTCTTCCAGAAATGGTGCCGAATGGTATCGTCTTCGTTCCTCGATCCAACAAGCAATGATGCGTCCGCAATCCGTTCAAACCTACCTTCCATTCTCCGAAAAAGTCGCCAACCAACTAATCCAACACATTTCCGAGCAACCGGGCCGAGTTGACATGCGAAAAATCGCCGGAAGATGGTCCCTCGAATCAGCCGGTCAAATATTATTCGAAAAAAGTTTGGGATCTTTGGGTCAAGAGAAATTATGGGCGGATAAATTGGTGCAATTGAATCGGGAAATTTTCCAACTCTCTGCAAAAATGCGACTAGGATTCCCGATTTTTCGAGTGATTTCGACCAAAAATTGGAGAAAAATGGTTGATTTTGAGGACAGATTTTATGCCGAAGTTGACAAACTCATGGATCAAGCGCTAGATAACCTAAAGATCCTTAAGGACCCTAAGGACAACCTTAGATTCGCTAGCTATTTAATTAATCAAAAAGAATTAACACGCCGTGATTGTAAAGTGATACTTCTCTCAATGTTTTCTGATGGACTTAGCACAACTGCTCCAATGCTTATTTATAATTTGTATAATCTTGCGAAACATCCAGAAGCTCAGGAGAAAATTCGAAATGAAAATGGGTCGAATAAATACCTTAAGGCGTGTATTAAGGAGACATTTAGGATGTTTCCGATTGGAACGGAGGTTTCGAGAGTTTTGCAACAGGATTTGGTTTTGGGTGGATATTTGGTGCCCAAAGGGACTGCTGTTGATATTAATACGAATGTTTTGATGAGGTGAGGCGGATTTTTGGATTCTCTGAGAAATTTGGGATTTTTTGACACTCAGCATGATAGGGGTTTGAGGAATTCTGAAAAATTTCAGATTTTTAGGGTTTCAGAAGTTTCAGTCTAGGATTCCTGGGTAATGTCAGAAGTTGTAGACTGGATTTTTGGATTCTTCATGAAATTTGGGATATTTTGACACCCAACATGATAGGGTTTTGAAGAAATTAAAAATTTTAGGGTTTCAGAATTTTCAGCCCAGGATTCCTAGTGAATTTCAGATGTTCTAGGCTGGATTTTCAGATTCTTCGTGAAATTTGGGATTTTTTGACACCCAATATGATAGGGTTTTGAGATTTCTGAAAATTTTCAGATTTTAGAGCTTCAGAATTTTCAGCCCAGGATTCCTGGAAATTTCAGAAGTTCTAGACTGGATTTCCAGATTCCTCGTGAAATTTGGTGATTTTTAGACACCTAACATGATAGTGTTTTGAGAATTTTGAAAATTATAGATTTTTGAAATTTTCAGCCTAGGATTCCTAAGGAATTTCAGACGTTCCAGACTGGATTTTCAGATTCTCTAGGAAATTTGGGATTTTAGACATCCAACATGATAGCGTTTTAAGATTCTGAAAATTATTGATTTTTGAAATTTTCAGCCCCAGTTTCCTAGGGAATTTCAGAAGTTCTAGACTGGATTTTTGGATTTTTCATGAAATTTGGTGATTTTTGACACCCAACATGATAGGATTCTGAGAATTTTGAAAAGTTTCAAATTTTCAGGGTTTCAGAATTTTCAGCCTAGGATTCCTGGGGAATTTCAGAAGTTCTAGACTGGATTTTCAGATTCTTCATGGAATTTGGGATTTTTAGACATCTAACATGATGGGGTTTTGAGAATTTTGAAAATTATTGATTTTCGAGGGCTTCAGAATTTTCAGCCCCAGTTTTCTGGAAAGTTTCAGAAGTTCTAGACTGGATTTTTGGATTCTCTGTGAATTTTGGGATTTTTAGACACCGAGCATGATAGGATTCCGAATGAATTTTTTTAAAATAATTTTTAGGGCTTCAGAATTTTCAGCCTCGGCTTCCTGGGAAATCTCAGAAGTTCTATGCTGGATTTTCAGATGCTCTGTAAAATTTGATAATTTTAGACATCCAACATGATAGGGTTTTGAGAATTTTAAAAATTTTCAGATTTTTAGAGCTTCGGTTTTTCAGCCCAGGATTTCTAGGGAATTTCAGAAGTTCTAGGCTGGATTTTTAGATTCCTCGTGAAATTTGGGATTTTTAGACACCCAACATGATGGGATTCTGAAAATTAAAAAAAAATTCAGATTCCAAAATTTTTTTCAGAACCCAAGCGCTCTTCCAAAATTCGCCAGATCAATTCAAACCAGAAAGATGGCTCGAAAAATCTGCCGAAAACGCTCATCCCTTCGCATTTTTGCCATTTGGCTTCGGGCCAAGAATGTGTGCGGGAAGACGTTTCGCCGAACAGGATCTATCGACAGTTTTGGCGAAATTGTGCCGAAATTTTCGAATCTCACATCACGGCACGCAAATTCGCCAAATCTATGAGACACTTTTGTTGCCGGATGGAAGTTGTGAATTTGAATTTGAGAAAATTTGAGCATTTTTTGTATTATAAATTTTTTCTAACATGAGCAATCTGTTTTTACCGAATTTTTTCGCGTGACCTTATTCTCGCCACGAAAAAAAGCCCCAAAACACGTAAAAAAAAATCCCCATTTTTATCCCCGAAATCCCCCGAAAATGGTGATTTTCATGCAAAAAGTCTCAAAATCAAAACGTCAATTTTTTCGCTGGTCAACAATTTCGATGTTAACCATTTCAACAATCATCCAAATCCTAATCCTAAAATCAAAAATGGCCACCGTTTTCGAGTTCAAAAATGTGGAATTTTTGGAGAAGCTGCCCGCCTCCATTTTCTGGTCAATTTTTATCGATTTTTTCGGGCTGTTTCTCGCGATTTCAATCGATATTTTATTGCTGGATTTGCTGAAAAATATGGGCAATTTTGCGTTGAGAAAAGGCCTTGAAGATGGGTATTTTGTGAGTTTAGGCCCTACTTTAGGCCCAATAATTTAGGCCTTGGGCCCAACTAATTTCGGCCCTTTGCAGATTTACCCGGTCTACTCGCTTATCTTGAGCTCTCTATTCATTTTGAATAGTTGCGTTATGACTGGTCGATTTTCTTTGGGATTTGATGGATTGTTTACGAAGGTGTTGGTTGAGCAGTTTTTGGAATATGAGGGGAATCGAGAGGCGAGATGGTTTGTTGATACGATACAGGTGAGATTTTGGGGAGGGATTCTGATCATTTTGATACCGAACATGATCATGTTTGGTGTCGAAAATCTTCAAATTTCACGGGGAATTCGAAAAGCACTACTAGAATTGATGAAAGCCCAGAATTCTGATCATTTTGATACCGAACATGATTGGGTTATTATCACTGACGTCAAAAAAAAGCAATGCATAGTTGCATAAAACCCATCCTTCGTCAGTCGCGTGCGGCTGTGCGTCGCGGTCGGAAGAAAAAATGAATTATCGATTGTTTTCCGACCGCGACGCACAGCCGCACGCGACTGACGAAGTATGGGTTTTTTGCATTTTATTTGATAAATATCAAAATTATCAGAATTCTAGGCTTACTAGTGGATTTCAGATGTTCTAGCAGCGATTTTCGAATTCCCCGTGAAGTTTGAAGATTTTAGACACCAAACATGATCATGTTTGGTATCAAAATGATCAGAATCAGAAGCCAGCGATCACAAATCAATTTTCAGACGCAATACACTTGCTGCGGTGTGCATTCTCTCAACGATTTCATCGATTTATCAGCCATCGAAGGCTACGACGACGCAAAATCCATCACTCCTCAAACGCAAATCTTCTCAAAATGCTCCTCAACCTGGGAATATTGTGCAATTCCGCTGAGTTGTTGCAAAACGTCGACTTGCACCAACTTTGGCGCACTTTTTGATGCAAAAGTGCAAAAAAATGCGACGAAAATTGCCGAGCAATATTTTCATCAGCAAGGTTGCTTGACAGCTGTTTCGGAGACTTTTTGGTTCTGGAAATTATCCACGTGGCACATTGTTTTTCTCGTTTTTGTGCTCGTTTTGCATGTCGCGGCTGGATTTTTCATGCAGGTTTGGTTGGGTTTCTAGGCCAGGATTTCTAGGCCATTATTTTTCAGCTCTCAGTTTCGGCCTACGCATCTCTAGTAGAATCTGGCCTTCCAGACTCGGAAGAATCTTTCGCGTGGATTCTGGATTTTGGAGCTCCGCGAGCCGCCGAAATTTGTGGATTGATAAAACCTGACACTCACACGGATTCCAGCCAAAATCCGAAGAATTCTGAAACTCAGCCGGAAGCAGTGTCGAAAAATCCAGGAGTTACACAGAGAATTGCAATGTCTAAGAATCCAGAAACTATAAAATCATCTGAAACCCAGAAATTCGGTGCGAAAATTCTGGGAAAACTTGGAAATACGATGGGAAAAGTTGAGGAAAACGAGGAACAGGAACATTTTGGTGTTTCGACTGGAACTGCAACTGCGACCGGAACAACAACTGGAACTGAAACTTCGAAACCTTCGGCCAAGCCCAAAACTTCCAAAAAACCGAAGAAAGCTTCGAAACTCCAAAAGAAGCCGAAGAAAAAACCGAAAACCAAAAAGAAAACTGCGAAAAAGCCGACGAAAAAGAAGGAGAAACCGACGAAGAAAACGAAAAAATCGAAAAAATAAATTGGAAATCATTATAATAATAATAATATTTACATGCATGCAATATAAAATATCAAAATTTTAAAATAATTACAAATTTTCTCTAGCAATTTCAATTCTCACTTTTAATTGATTATTTTCTTTTTGCAATTCTTCAATAATTCGATTCATATTTCGATCCGAAAATTTTGCATTTTCCAATCGTTTTTTCATTTTTTCAATTTTTTCATTCTCATTTCTTCTACTTTTTCGATTTTCATCCAATAATTTCATTTTTTCATTTTTCCAATCATCCAAATATTGTTCAATTTCATATTCATATTGCAATATTTTCATTTCTCGATTTTCCACATATTTTTGATGATTTTCCACAGCTTCTTCATAATTCAATTTATTTTGTTTGATTTGAAGATTTAAAATCTGCAAATCTCCCTCTTTTTCATCAATCGTCTTTTTCATTGATGTTCGAGTTCTCTCAAGTTCCTCGATTTTTCTCGCAAATCCCATATTCTCCTTCTCAATTTCGCTGCATTTCTGGCAAGTTTCCACGATTTTTGTCTCAATTACGACTTTCAATTTCTCCGTTCTCGATTTTTTGGATGATTTATGTTTATTTTCCTCGTTTTTCTCACTCTTTTTCTTCTTGCAATACCAATTTCCATCAATATTGGCGAAATCGAGAAAATCCTTGGTTTCTTCTCTCAAAACTGGTCGAATTCTTGAAACCGCCTGAAATTTTGTGTTTTCAAAACCTTTGTTCTCATATTCAAAAAAATCCATACATCAAGATATTGTCTTCCGGGACAACCTTCACCATATCCCCCAAAAAAGTGGATAAATCTTTTCAAAAACTTGTCAACTGGCTGGAAATCATCGTCTTCACACATGCTAGCAATAATCTTTCTGCAAAAAAAGACATTTTCAAGGAAAAACGCTGGAAATTGTTGGACTTACGGTAAATTTTTGCGAAATGTGGTCATAACTCTACTCATATGATCCGCTGAACGATCCCGTCGCATTTCTTTACTTTGCATTCGTTTTCCACACGGATCGCCGAATTCGAAGAAGTAGTGTTCTTTGCAGAGATCTGGAAATTGTTGGAATCTAATTCCAGATTTTCTTTGACTAACTAACCATTATGATATGAATGCACATCACCAAATCGATTTTTCATCATTTGCCCACAACATTTATCAATTTTTTCAATATCATAGAATTCCATCGAAAATGGGTTTTCCATCCAATATTCCAAATCATCAATAGTTGCCAACCCCAAACTCCAAGCTTTCATTATATTTTTCTTCAAATCCAAATCTTCTTGCCTATCAAAAAATCTTTGAATATTCATCATCATTAAAGTGTACTTCAAAAACACTGCAAAATTCATTGGTTTGAAAAATCGGATCTCTTTACTTTTCGGCATTCCAATTGATTTTAGAAATATTTCCACTGCTTTTTTCGGGATTTCCGTGCTATATTGAACAGCTCCGTGAATTGAGGCTAAACCCGTTTTGACCGCCAATTTTGAATATTTAAATTTTTCAATTATCTCATCGATCTCACTTGCTAAATGATATCCTTTTTTGATATTTCGCATTTCTTCAATGATTTTTGTTTTGTGGTTTTCATGTTCTTCACTTTTTCTATGACTTTTTGGCCAATAAATATCACAAACAGCAAACTGAAAGAGTAGAAATTGAGCCTGGATTTGATGATAAACTGGTTTTCCATTAGGTGATATAACTTTCATTGCACAATATCCCATAGCTAAGGGTAGTTCTGATAGATTTTTAGTGAATTCAATATCTTGAACAATCTTGAATCTAGATTTGGGGATATTTAATAAATCTAGCATTGTTTCGAAACATTTTACAGTTATTGTCGATCCATTTTTCCGCCATTTCTCCAATTTTTCGTGTCTTTTATCATTTTCATCATCTGATAATACATATTCAAGTGCATTTATAACATCTTCATTGAAAAAATGCCATTCTTTCCGATCTTCTTTTTTCGATTCGCACAAAATCCTCAAATATATTCGTCTTCTCTTCCTCTCCTCCTCTTCTTCCGCATTATTATTTTTCTCGAAAATATATGGAGTTTCTGTGGCTTCGTGTGCAATTTTCACTGTATTTTGCGCCAAATCGCACAAAAATTTCATATTTTCAATGTCTTTTCGAGACGAGAAATATTTGAGCATTTCCGAGTGAAAGCTTTTCCGATAACTTCCAAATTTTTCGAGCAAATAACTTCGAGCATCTTCAATGTTCCAGAGTGTCAAACCAGGTTCGAATTTGTTTTCCATCAGTTTGTCTGAGAAATGTTTAGTTTTTTTTTTGGAAACAGAGGGAGAAAAATAATCACCTTTAACTATTTTGTTATTAATACAAACGTATCTTAGAACGTATTTTTCGTTGACAAGAAAACATTTCGATTGTTTCACTTGTCCGCCAATTTCTTCATTGAAAACAAATGAGAAAATACGTGCCTCTGTCTCCATCTTTTCCCGATCAAAATACTCCAGAACACATTGCATCATTTTCCGGAGAACTGTGGAGTTTTCACACAAAGTTTCTCCATCTCTCAATTCCATCGAATATCCAACTTCGCCAATCCATATGAATCGCTCAGCGTATATCATAGCAATATCAACAAGTTCCACCATTTCTTTCTGGAAAAAAACACGACAATTGTTGAAATACTAGCGAGAAATAAAAAAATCACGAAAAAATGATGAAAAACAAAAGTAAAAATTTGAATATTGAAATACGCGCCACTCAAATCGCTTCGAAACCCGTTTAATCGGTATGAGATATTTCAGTTTTCTGTGCTCCTTTGAAACTACTGTGGCGCGCTGTAGAATTTCTTTTTTTCAAAATTTTTTTTGAGTTTTCGATAGGATGAAATTTGTGCTGAAAATAAATTTTTCATGATTTTCAGCGCGAAGTTTTGGTCTAGAAAAAATTACGTTTCAAAAATATTGTATAATTTTGTTCAAAATTATGAAAACTTGATTTCAAAATTTTTCTATCATGAAACCACTGAATAATGCTTGATACCAAAGTGATCAGAATCCCACTGGCATAAAGAAAACTGCGAAAAAACCAACGAAGAAAACCAAAAAATAGTTCTTTTTTTGAAAAACGTGACCCATTTTCTCTGGAAATATCTACTATATACTAATTGAAAACTGCTTTTTAAGAAGTGCGTATGTCAGATGGACCAACTTTTTTTCTACTTCATGAAAAGTTTTGGTTAAAAAAAGAAAAGTTTCCAAATAGTTGCAGCATGATGCAGAACATTATGAAATTTCAAAGTTTTTTGTTGTAGTGCGCAGGGAAACTTTTAACTGAAAAAACTCCTGAAATTCAATGTATTTTTGAAAATAAAAATGTGTAGCCGACCGTAACTCAATTTCTAGAAGACCGTTTTGAATGAGACTTGGACCAACGTGTTCCAAATTTTTCGTAGATGATGCACGATATTCGAAATATTTCAAAAGTGCGCAAGTTTTCACGTGAAAAATAAAAACTTTTTCCGTGTAGAAAAGAATGAACACGTTTTTAATCGGAAAAAAATGGCTAGGTCACGTTTCTTATCTGATCTTTCTATTTCATTCATAGAGGGGGACATTTTTAATCATTTCTCGCTATTACTCTACTCCTAATCGGTTTGGAAAATGAATGGAAATTAAGTGAGTCAAATTACTGTAGATAAATTTATATACTGTTCGAACTTTCAGATATTGGATAATTTCTTTTACAAGAAGAAAAACAAATACTTTAATGTGAATGTTTGATAGTGAGTTTTGATGTGTTTGGGAATCCCAATATAGTTAAGCCCAAATTATTTCAGTTCCGTTTTTTTCTATGATTATTTACAATTTTCTGTGAAAATCGAATTCATTCAAAATTTCTTTTTTTGATCAAAAATAGACTCGTGGCAAAAAAATCGGCCCGAGGTTTTTCGTTGGATAAAAAAAAATCGGCTCTGAACGGAAAAAGAGGGGTTTAGAATAAAAAGAGGGGTTTTCAAAAACTTCATTTTTCAAAAGCTTCAAACGATTTTCAAAAGTTAGTTTCAGAAGTTGCTTTTGTTCAGAATTTCGAGCTTAATCTGATCCTTGCGCTTAAATTTTATGAGAAGTGAAAATATTCCCACATTTGGGAGAATAAAGTTTTCAAAACCCCTCTTTTCCGTCAAATCCCCTATTTCTTTCAAAAACCCCTCTTTTTTTCCTAAAACCCTCTTTTTCCGTTTAGAGCCAAAACATCGGCCCGAGTTTTTTTTCAAAAAATTGGGCTCGAGTTTTTTCAAAAAAAATCGGTTTTCGTTGGATAAAAAAAATCGGCGCGAGTTTTTTTCAAAAAAAAATCGGCTCGAGTTTTTTTCAAAAAAAAATCGGCTCGAGTTTTTTCAAAAAAAAATCGGCCCGGCTTTTTTCAAAAAAATCGGTTTTCGTTGGATGAAAAAAAATCGGGCCGAGTTTTTAAAAAAATCGGCCGATAAAAAAATCGGCCCGAGTTTTTTCAAAAAAAAAATCGGCCCGGCTATTTTCAAAAAAAAATCGGTTTTCGTTGGATGAAAAAAAATCGGGCCGAGTTTTTTCAAAAAAAAAATCGGTTTTCGTTGGATGAAAAAAAAATCGGGCCGAGTTTTTTCAAAAAAAAAATCGGCCCGGCTATTTTCAAAAAAAAAATCGGTTTTCGTTGGATGAAAAAAAATCGGGCCGAGTTTTTAAAAAAAAATCGGCCGATAAAAAAAATCGGCCCGAGTTTTTTCAAAAAAAAAATCGGCCCGGCTATTTTCAAAAAAAAAATCGGTTTTCGTTGGATGAAAAAAAATCGGGCCGAGTTTTTTCAAAAAAAAAAAATCGGCCCGGCTATTTTCAAAAAAAAATCGGTTTTCGTTGGATGAAAAATCGGGCCGAGTTTTTTCAAAAAAAAAATCGGTTTTCGTTGGATGAAAAAAAAATCGGGCCGAGTTTTTTCAAAAAAAAAATCGGCCCGGCTATTTTCAAAAAAAAAATCGGTTTTCGTTGGATGAAAAAAAATCGGGCCGAGTTTTTAAAAAAAAATCGGCCGATAAAAAAAAATCGGCCCGAGTTTTTTCAAAAAAAAAATCGGCCCGGCTTTTTTCAAAAAAAAAAATCGGTTTTCGTTGGATGAAAAAAAATCGGGCCGAGTTTTTTCAAAAAAAAAAATCGGGCCGAGTTTTTTCAAAAAAAAAATCGGGCCGAGTTTTTTCAAAAAAAAAAATCGGCCCGGCTTTTTTCAAAAAAAAAAATCGGTTTTCGTTGGATGAAAAAAAATCGGGCCGAGTTTTTCAAAAAAAAATCGGCCCGGCTATTTTCAAAAAAAAAATCGGTTTTCGTTGGATGAAAAAAAAAATCAGCCCGAATGAATCAATGAAAATAATCAAAGGGCGGCGGAGTTTACTGTTCTTTGGTTTTATCTTCCACGGCTCTGAAAATTTCAGATGGAACATAGAAGCTTATACTCAGAAAATAAGGCAGCATTTCTTTTCGCTCTGGATATAGATTTTTTGGATATAGATTTTAGATTTTCGGAACAGTTTCGCCAAATGTTGTGCTTTAGTTTTTGAGACGTAGAAAATTTGGATTAACCTTTTTATAAAATCAAGAAATTTTTTCGCACATTTTTTAAAACCATTTTCGTCAATTTTCTTTAGAAATTTTAAAAATCATACCTAGCGGAGAACGGAGAAAGAATTCAACGAAAATCAAAATTTCGGTTTTTGTTTAAAGAATCTTTTCCAACTTTTCAAAAACTACAACTCTGTCGTATTTTAAGACGAAACATGTTTCTGTTTACACCTAAAGAAAACTACGCGCGAAGCCGGGACAATCCAGAAGGAGGAGCCGGCGTTAGCCGGCGGAGCCCTTCTGGTAAAAAATGTTATTTATTACTTTTTTCTATTTTCAAAAATGTGAGTTTTCTCTTGAATTTTGCCATGTCATAACGAATGTCTAAAATTGAGCTAACTTCACTTCAGAATCCTTGAATTATGACGTGGCAAATATAACTCAAGCTTTTCTATAGAGTCGAAACAAAAAGCTGTGAAATTTTCAAAAATGTATGTGAAAAAATATGAAAATCTGGATCTTCAACAAAAATCGCAAGTAACAAATCCACCAACACAAAATTTTTAACACCGTGAGTTTATTATCCAAAATAAAAATTTCAATCAAAAAATTGTGAATTTTCCAACATCGAAATAATAGTTCGATGTTCGTCCTCTTCAATTTCTTCGCTCAACTTTTCTTCCAATCTTTCTCGAATCAATTTCAAATAACTTCCATCTTTATAATCATTTTTTCTTGCATTCATAACAATCGAATTCAAAATCGCATCCTCCGCAAAAATATCATGTACTCTCTCGTGTTTGTCTGTTATCTCAATTGGCACAACTCTTCGATTCACAAAAAATTCATCGCCAATTCTATGCCTTTCCACATGTTCTTCTATGATTTTCGAGATTTCCAGCGCCGCTTTTCGATCCGATTTTTGAATTTTCCAACTTTTTCGATTATATTCGCCCATTCTTTCGTCAATCGATGCCATCATTTCCGAATGTTTCAAAATTGGGACAAGTGGGATTTTTGGCAGATATCTTCTGCAAAAAATTGTATTTTTAAATATGTGGAATTTTTTTTGGCGCGAAACTTACAGGAAAGCCTCTCGAAATTTCTCCACATATAATTGAAAAGGCAATTCTTCTTCCTCTTCCAAATTTTTTCCACGAATTGCCACATTTCGAACGAATCCCTGGATTTCCAAAAACTGCATGACTTTCAAATTTGTCCGAATGAAAGTGTTGAACAAACTTCGATGAAAAATCCCATAAACATCTTCGGCTTCGAGGAATCTTTGGTCAGGTTTTATGAATTTTTTCATGTAAAATTCAAAATCTTCTCGTAATTCTTTCTGATTTTCGGCATGCGGCGCCATTTTCCGCATAATTTCCAGCGATTTTTGACGAGAAAATTTCTCCCAAGGATCGCGAATTTCAAAATGACATTTATCATCAGGCTTTACAAGTTTGCCCAACTCATCAAAAGCCCGCTTCAAAATCTCATCAAATTTCCAAGTCTCAATACAATATCGATAATTTCGTTGAGTACTGAAAACACCTTCTGAGATCAGCGATTCGAAGAATTCCGCAATTTTTCCAACATTTTTTCTGTCGATTTTGCGCCATAAATTCATTCCAGTTGAGATTTGTTCGAATAGATCAAGGAATGTGTGACGAGAAAGTTTACAATATGTTCCGTATGGTGTATTTGTTGGGGCAGATTGGTGGATTTTCACAGGGAGAATCTGGAAATACTAGAATTTCAGTCTAAATCTCTGCTGAAATTCCTTACCGTCATATCTTTCTCCTCCAATTTCAAAATTCTCAAAACCTTGTGAAACGTATCCATCTCCACAGTCCTCAATATTCCCAATCTTCGATCTTCCTCATTTTCCACCGGAATCAAACCCTTTGGAAATGGTTTCGAATACTTTTTCATCATAACAATGCCCAAAATATCTTCGACTTCTTTCGCCATGAAAAAAAACGTATCGCCCTTGTCCGAATCTTCAAATTTTCTGAGAATCGCATATTTTTCATCAAACCATGGAGCATCTCTGAAGAATTCGGTGACAGATTCGCGCCAATCATACATTTCCTGGAGAACTTCAAGGCTCTTTGACTCGTCTATATTCGGGTAAATTTGTGCGAATTCATCAATCAAAGAATCGTCGAATTCTTCATTGAATAAACTATGAATCCCAAAACCATCTTCTGTGCATGGATAAACTATTTGCAAATCTTCTTTGACATGTTCCTCTAGCAAATCAAATGGGATTAATTCAAATGTTCCTTCTAAACGTCTTCCAATCTCATTCAACACTGATTTTTCTGTGAGTCTTGCGCAAATCCCAAGTTCTCCAACAACATCTGACGAATTCGAATAAAACCAAGATAATGCATCTTGTTTCGATATAAATTTTTTTTTCGTTTCTCTGTCTGACAAAATACACTCTTCGTTCACATAATTCAGGCCGCATCCATAAAATTGCGAATTATTTGGAAAGTATTGTGATCGGAACAAGTAGCCAAGCAACCAATCCGGATCATGAAACAAAAACATGGTTTCTGGCTTTGTGAATAGCAATGACAGCACCATTTTTCTGTCAACTGGTGTTAGACCACCATCCGGTGGCAGGCGATTGACTACATCGAGGAATTCTTTCGAAATTACCTAAAATCATTAAATTTTGGAAAGAAAATGCATAGTTTGACCTACATTTCGATAGACATTCTTTTCAACAACAGCTTTCAAATATTCAATATTCCAATTAGTCAGAGAATGAATGAATTCCTCCATTTTTAGGCGGATCTTTGAAGCGAAAAAAATTATTTTTGGTCTGCACACACCGTAATAATTTGCTATTGAATTTGAATTTTCATCGACGCGCCACTCAAATCGCGTCGAGACCCGTTCAATCGTTATCAGATATTTCCAATATTTCTGTGCGCCTTTCAAACTACGGTGGCGCGTTGTAGCGTTTTTCACTTGTTTTTCACATTTCCCGTGTTTTGAAGCGATGAAAGTGGTGATTTATATGTTTTTTAATGATTTTCAGATGGACAAAGAGGAACTTTTGATTCGTGTGAGTTCGAGTGATGAAGGCAACACCGAAAAACATGGTTTTGGTGATATTAATAAGGGATTTGTGAGTTTCCGCTTTTTTTCGATGAAATTTCCTGATAATCATGATTTTTAGGCTGCAGAGCTGGATTGGTGGAAAACGGGCGGACAACAGATGAATTTGTCGCCAAAACCAACAATTTTGGCAAAGAAACCGGAAGAAGATGATGATTTTCCAGAAGAGGCTCGCTGGTGGCCAAAAAATGACAATTCCGAGTGGAATTTAGGTGAAATCCAAGTCAGAAAAGATACTACAGAGTCAAAAAGACTCGAATATGCTGCTGAAAATTATGAAGATGATACAAGTTCTGAAGAAGAAGAAGAAGATGATGACGAAAATGATGAAGAGCCCGAGAAATATGTGCAATTATCATTTTCGCGACGTCAAGTGTTTCGCGACGATCCGACCAACCGATTTTTGGGATTGAATTTGGGAAAAACCGTCAAAATGAAGACGTATATTATGGAGAAGAATGTGAAACCACGATTTTTTATCGATTGTAATCCGCGTGAGTCGGAAATTGTGCCCAATTTTTGAGAAATACTGATTTTCAGAGCAATATGAGACTGCATCAGGAATATTATTCAACAATGATCAAGAAAAAGATGAAAATAACAATTGTTGTGATCGTGGAAGTTGGTTTTTCACAAAATTTGATATTTTTGCCATAATCTATGTTTTCTAGTAGCTTTCATCGTTCAAAATTGTCAATCTCAACTCTGAAATGAGTTATGACGTGGCAAAGTCGGAAAATTGTTATTTTGCGAGGTTGGACATTGACTAAATGAAATTTTCAGGTTTTTTAGGCAAGTGAGTTGAAATATTGAATTCTAATGTTATTCATATGATAGAATGGTCTAAGACGAACAGAATGATATAAATTTTGATGACTTTACGTTATCCATAAGTGATTTAGCGACGTTTAGTCGATATTTAGTCGATAAATCGCTAAATCACTTATGGATAACGTAAAGTCATCAAAATTTATATCATTCTGTTCGTCTTAGACCATTCTATCATATGAATAACATTAGAATTCAATATTTCAACTAACTTGCTTAAGAAACATGAAAATGTCATTTAGTCGATGTCCAACAGTTATTCCTCGTAAAATCACAATTTTCCGACTTTTCCACGTCATAGCTCATTACAGAGTTGAGATTTGCAATTTCGGACGACAAGATAGGTCGAAAATCATTTTTTCTGCCAAAATCTCCGAAAATATTTTTTTTCGCAGAAGACAAATGGATTTTCTACAAAGAAACGAGTCGTTGTGTAAATCCTCTTCCACCGCGAAAATACAAAACATATTCCTACGAAATCAACATCGAGCACATTTTTCACGTTCCAACAAAAGCTGTACGACAAATCGAGTTTGTTTTTGGAACTATTAAAGGTGTGACTGAAAAAAATCGATAATTATTAATTAATTAATTTTTGTTAATTTTCAGATACGAATATGATGATGAAACCTGAAAATGAGACGATTAATTTGAGAGATTGACGCATTTATCCATAATTTTATTTTTTATTTTCCTTTGTAATAAAAAATAAGCCGAAACCCTATGAAAATAGCGAAATAGAGTTTGTGCGCTCCACCGAAATCTATCTTTTTCAAAACATTTTTCTCCCTGAAAAGTTGTTTTTTTTTTCAAAAAACGAAAATTTAGATGATTATATCGGAACTCGTCGAAAATCTGTCGGAAAATGCGATTATTTCGAGCCTGGGTGCTGAAAATCTAGTGGTCTATGATCGAAATCAGCTAAAATTGTATTGTGGTTGGAGAAAGTTTGGAGCAAGTGTGGAATATACGAGTGAAGTGGTGAGAGAGGCTGAAAATTCGATTTTCAGTCAAAATTTCAGCAAGGGAAGTGTGTATGAGTCCCAGACACATGTTTCTGTACAATTTTTCACGCTGAGAAAGATCCTGTTTTCAATTTTTGCTAAGCGACTCTCTAAAGAGCCCAAAAATGAGCCAAAAGTAGAGAATTTTTGAAATTTCATGGTTTAAGAGATGATTTTTATGAAAAACTAAATGCATCACGTTGTTCTAAGCAAAAATTTGTGACTTTGGTTCAGTTTTTTATCAAAATCATCTCTAACATGAGTTATGGGCTCTTAAAACCACGAAATTTCAAAAAATCTCGATTTTTGGCTCATTTTAGGGGTCTTTAGAGAATTGCTTCGCAAAAATTGAGAACGGAATCTTTCTCAGCGTGAACAACTGTACAGAAACATTTGTGCCTCATTGAAAATCTCCGGGGACTCATAACACACTTTCCTTGTCAGATTTTTATCGAATTTTCATTGAAAAATTAATGAAAAGCTTAAAAATGAGCTGAAATTTTGCAGATTCTCCAACTCTCCAATCCAATTTCATCGCGAATTCAAATCACCAATTTAACCGTCTCAAAACGTGGTGAATTTGTGATCTTATGGTCGAAAAATCATGCGACAGTAGTTCGAATCAACCCGGAGATTCTCACCAAAAAATCAATGTATCAATCGGAATATTTGTGTGAGGCCAACGAGATTGCGCTCAAAAATCGTGCGGCGAAAATTGAGAAGATTCGCATTTTACCGCAGAAAATGATGGGAATGACGATTTGCGGAGTGTTGTTTAGCGATAATTTTGTGCGAATTTTGAATTTGAATCGGAAAAATGTGGAATCGCATTTGTTGGACGTGGATTTTAGACCCTTTTTGGCGCTGGAAAATGATGAGAATTTAGAGATTTCGCAAAATACCAGTGTTTTTGGGTTAAGAAGACATATTGGTAAGGGATTTCGGGTTTTTTTGGAGCCTAAAAAATTAAAATTTTCTTATTTTCAGTTTCCTTCGATTTTTTGCCATATCTCGAATCAAATATCTCCTTTTCAATTCTCGCAATCGATTCAGAATCTGATATCTATTCAGCTACAATCTATAAAACTTCGATAACTGAATCGGAACCCGTCGAAATTCGTCAATTAGAACGACCTGATGAATTGCCGTGCACACCGTTGGATTTGAAAAATATCGAAATTTCTGCCGAAAATCAGCAGATTGCGAGTGTTTTTGTGATTTTGTTCGATTCCGGGATTTTGAGTCATGTTTTATTGATTGCCAATGATGAAAATGGAGCGAATTTTGAGGTGTTTTTGGAGGATCAAATTGAAATTCCGATTGGAGCGCGAGGAGATCCGGAATTGGTTAATTCGACTGAAAATTCGTATTATTTGTGAGTTTTTCAGGGGCTGGCCTAGTAAATGTTTTTTTTTTCTGGGTTTCTAGGCCACATCGAGAAATCGTCCCGATTTTCTACGTTTCAAAAAATTTATGATAATTTTTTTTAATTTTTTGAAAATAATTGGATTTCTAAATAGGCCACCCACAAGAAAATCGTATAATTGGATTCCTAGGCCACATAAAATTTGTGTATTTGGATTTCTAGGCCACAAAAAACTATCATATATTTGGATTTCTAGGCCATACATAAAAATGTTATATTTGGATTTCTAGGCCATACATAAAAATCATATGTTTGGATTCCTAGACCATACATAAAAATTTTATATTTGGATTTCTAGGCCACTAAAAATTGTATATTTGGATTTCTAGGCCATCATTCAATTTTCTCTTCCAGAAATCGCTACGAATTGGCCACGTCCACCAGTCTTTATTCAATCGATATCTCAAAATGGTCTGAAAATTTGCTGGAAGCCGGGCAAAATCGAGGAGAGACGGAGGTTTTCGAGTTGGCCGAAATTCTCGCTCATGAAAATTGCGCGAATATTGTGAAGTCATGCTCAATTTCTGTGTTCTGCGAAGAAGAACTCGATTTTCAAGAGGAAAATGAGGAAATTTTGCATTTTGTGGCTCATTTTGGCGCTGGAGCGCGGTTTTTGACGGCGATTTCGAAATTTGGCGCAGAAAATTTGGGGGAAAACAAGAGAGATGCTGGAGCCAGGAAACACGTGTCAAATTTGGTGGATAATGCGAATTTTGAGATTTTGATGAAGGAAAATGGAACGATTCCGGCAATTTGGTAGGTGATTTTTTGGCGGGAAAAATTTATTTTGAAAAAGGATCTTTCAGTTTATCCGAAAATCAAACAATCGAAGAAGCCACAAAAATCGCCATGGAATATATGAAAAATGTGGAGAAGAAGCTGGAAATTCATCGAAAACTGGCTGAAATCGCGCTGGAAAAATTGATGAATCAAACGAAATCGGCGAAATTGTTGACGGAGAAAAACGAGAAAATCGACGAGAAATTGATGGATGAAACGGAAAATGTGGAAGAATTGAGGAAAAAAGCGTTTGATTTGAAGGCGAGAATTGAGAATGTTCGGAAGTATTTGAGCCAGGTGAGAGGTTTTGGCCGGGAAATATGAATTTTTCGCGAAATTTTGGGTCAGAAACTTGAGTTTCGAGGAATTTATTTCGAAAATCAGCCAAAAACCCATGATTTTCTATTTTTTCATTAAATTAGATATCAGAAAATTTATAAAATTCTTCCTGAAATTAAAAAAAATTACAATTTTTAAAATTTCAGCCAAAAAAATGTTTGGGTTGCCACGTGGCAATCTCGCCAAAAATTTGAATGTTGAATTTCAGTCCTTCTAAATTGACTTCTGAATTCCAGAAAAAATCAATTTTCGCCCAAATTTCCAGCGCTTCCCCCTGAAATCCCAATTAATCTGAAATTCAGCTCACCTCTCGCTACGAGGAAAACTCTCCACTTTCCGACATCGAACTTCAAATGCAACAAAGATTGTCACAACATCAGCACACATTAAGCGAATTGTCGTTCAGAATTCCAAAAGTGGGTGCTTTTTTTGGCTCCGAAAAATTCAACACAATTTTTGCAGCTCTCCTTGGAAATGAACGAACAACGAAGATTGGCACAATTGGAAATTCTTAAAGGCGCATCACACAAAAATCGCGATAAATTTGGGGATATTGAGAAGAAGTGAGTTGGTAAATCTGAAACTTTGCTGAAAATTCGATTTTCAGCGAAATCGAAATTGAAAAATTGACCGAGCGAATCGAGAAACTTCATTGTCAACTAAACGGTAACTAAATTATTTTTTGATTGTTTTTTTGGAGAAGTGAATATTTTGAGCATTATGAAAGTACTGTGGTTGAGTCAAGACGACGGCGAGCAATATTTCGATTCTGAAATTGAATTTCTAGAAGTTATTGTATCTTTAATTAACTCACATCATCAATACTATGATTCCTTTTTCTTGACATAATTGGAACTAATTGCAATTCACCAGCCGCTTCTCTCAACGCCAAATCGATTCGTTTCCTGTCAATATGAGCAATACTTCTTTCGCCCATCACAAATAGTTCCCATTTGGTGACGGTTTGACTACAATTCAAATCCACATAATCGGATTCCATTCGAAAACCGATTGGAATCTCGTTGCCCGCTGATTCTTCTTTGTCACTGGAAAATCGGGAGACTTTTTCTGAGAAAACTTAGCCTCTAAATTTGGTTTTTCCAAATTATTCACAATAGGGCTGATTCACGAACGAAACAATGTTTTTAACATCGAAAAATCAATTCACGAAAATTCGAAAAATGTCGATAAAATATTGTAGGTCAAAATTAGTTTTTCGAGTTTTTCTGTCAAAAATGATGACAAATCGAGATTTTTGAAGCTTCTGGGATGATTTCTGATGAAAATTGACTTTCAGAAGTTTTTGCTGATTTTTCGTAAAATAAAAAAATTGAAATCTTTTTATTATACGAAAAATCAGCACAAACTTCTAAAAAGTGGATTCCAGGGTTAATTTTCATAAGAAATCATCCCAGAAGCTTCAAAAATATCGATTTGTCATCATTTTTGGCTGAAAAACTCGAAAAACTAATTTTGACCTACAATGTTTTTTCGACATTTTTTGAATTTTCGTGAATTGATCTTTTCAATGTTAAAAAACATTTTTTCGTTTGTGAATCAGCTTTATAGTAAATATTTTGGAAAAAAAACCAAATTTTGATGATGGGCCTATGCAAAAATCATATTTTTCCTATGCAGAAAAACGTCGAAAAAACAAAATATTGTCATTCCGAAAAAATAAGAACTTGGAAGAGAACCGAAATGGCCTAGGACACCAAGACTACAGTAGACTTCGCAAAATTTTGGAGTCTATTTGAAAAATAAAATGCGAAATTTACACGTTGGCTATTTGCCAACCAGTTTGATGTGCATGTGTCACGTCATTTTTAGTCTACTGTACGTGACCGCCAATTCAAACGGGGGTTCTTTTATTTTCGGAATGACAATATACCGTTTATTATTTTTGAATAGAGACAATGTAAATTTGAGAGAGTGCAGACAGAAAATTGATTTTTCGCACAAAACATACAAAAAAACCGTCTGCACTCTCTCAATTTCAAATTGTCTCTACTCAAAAATAATAAACTGTATATTTTATTTTTTCGACGTTTTTCTGCATAGGAAAAATATGTGTTTTTATTACAAAATATTATTTTACATAGGCCCATTGAAAAATGTTTCGTTCGTGAATCAGCCCTAGGGCGTCTGTACCAAATCTAATAGGTGTCTGTACCAAATTTCCTTACCTATAAAAAACTTCTCGTTCAATCGGATGTACATCGCCACCAATTCCTCGTCCCAAATCTCGAATCAAAACCCGAAATTTGCCAACAAATTCATTTTGCAACTTCTGATTGATCAATAATTCGATTCTGCTAATTATATCCCTTTTGTTCAAGCTCAAATCATTGGATTCTACGATTTTCATTGGCGACAATTCGACGAATCCCATTTTCTTATAAGTTGCTCGTTCATCCATACATTTCAACAAATATTGCGCTTCTTGAATTGCCTTGCAATTTGTGGCATCTAGTTTTTTGATCTCATCGATTACTGTGTCCGAGGTTTTAAGAAACGCTTCAACATCTTCGGTGACTTCATGTAACTTGAACATTCGATTGTGTGAACCTTTGTAGTTCAAATAAGGTGACGCCAAATACATTGCTTCAATTAATCTGCAAATAAGATTTTGAGGTTTTTCAACTGAAAATTGAGAAGTTTTCAAAATTTTTGACTGGAATTTTCATATTCTTTGAAAAAAATCAATATATTTTCTAAACCTCCCTTCCCAACTCCTTTTAAAATCAAACTCACAACAATTCCATTCCTCTAACTGCTTTATGTTGATAAACTTTATCATGCAATTCCAATCGCGAATCACCAATTACTTTAATATCATTTCGAACCTTATGATAATACCCAATTCTTCGAATTCCCGTTTTTTCATCTATCACAACTCGTAAATTATTCAATAATCGATTAATTGATTCCAAATTTAATGCAATTGGAACACCAGACAATTTCGAATCTCGCAGCAAATAATCCATTTTATCGACATCGTGTCCAGTTGTCGTGTTTGAGACAATGTCGTATAGAAACGATTTTTCAACACCTCTTCCTTTCATATCCCACAATTTTGCAAATTCTTCTTCTCGTCTTCGCATATCCCAATCAGCTGGTACTTGCTCATTTTCAATGTCTTGTGTCTGAAAGATTAACTATGGACTTTTGGCGGGAAATTTCCCCTTTAAGCTTAAAAATGCACGAATTTTTTTCTGAAGAAAAAACGGCAACGCCAGTTTAAAGGGACATGAACCGTTTGTAATGGAAAAACTCAGAATGGCTGAACCATATAAAAAGTTACATACACCATTCGAATCTACGTGAAAAACTGCATCGAAATAAGGTTCGAGTGGTGGATTTAGTGTAACTTTTTTCTCGCGGTATTCGTGACGGGACCCTATTGCCTTTTCGAAAAAATTTCCTTTAAGAGAGAGCGTGCGAAAAAGAGAGACGCTATTGCGCACACACATTTTGTGTGCAAACACGCTGACGCACAAATGCACCACACACGTAGGGGTTCGCACCGTAGGTTTTTCAGCAATTTCCTCGATTGAAAATACGTGAATGAGGCATGGCCTAGAAAGCTTAACTAATTCTTAGGCCATTTTGTGATGCGCGCTCTATCGCGCATCAAAATTTATTTTTGTTTTTTTTTTTCAGTTTGGCTCCCAACTTTTTGTGTTTTGTATACGGGAACATGCAAAGAAATAGCAAAATTCAAATTTACGCTACGTTACGCTCATAATTCACGTGAAAAACGGAAAGAAACTGTCATTTTCATAAACGATTTTGAAAGTAATCTTATTGTGAGAATTCTCTCTGATTGTGAGAAGGTTTCTTTGATCTACTCAAACTCACAAATCTTTTAGATCCAATCATTTCTTTGATAAAGTTCACATTTTTCCGATACTCTTGTCCTGTCGATAAAAACTTCTCCATTTCCCTTCGCACTTTCTCATTCTCAATCATTAATCTTTCCACAATTCTCATCGACATATCTTCGTGTTTCCACGATTTTCCTAATTTTGCGGCAAATGGTCCATCGAAAAGATGTGAATGCGGACCATGACCAATGTCATGTAAAAGTGCTGCAATGCAAACGCAAAGATGATCTTCGGATGTGATGTTGAGATGCGGTTCGCGGCTGCGCATTCGATCTAGCAGATTTTTTGCGAGGTGATAGGCTCTGGAATATTAGAGCTTCTGTTGTTTTTCTTATAATTTTTTTTGTTTTTCAAATTTGTCTTTATTTGATCTTGTTCGCTGGAGCGTACTTTCTCTTTTTATGTTTGCTGTAGTGTAGGGCTGATTCAGGAACGAAAAAAAAACTCGAAAAACTAATTTCTACCTACAATGTTTTTTCGACATTTTTTGACTTCGTGAATTCATCTTTCAATGTTAAAAAAAACATTTTTTAAAACATTTTTTTCGTTCGTGAATCAGCCCTTGTCAGATTCGATGTTTGTTTTCATAGATCCTGAAACACTATCTGTGGCTTATGAGATCGGAATGTACTATCTAGCGATATTTATCTTTGATTTTAAAGCACGATTATTTTTCCAGATTTTTCAGTAAAAATATCTGGAATTTCCATTTGACAAGAACGACTCACCCTAACGAATGCTCAAATCTTGTATGTGTACAACTCGGATAAACCCGATTCACAATTCCCGTCTGCTTCAAATCCCGTAGTCGCTGAAATTCCTCCGTATCGATCAATGAATTGATAGGCCGTGGGATTTCGATTGAACCATGAACAATATCGTTGACTCCGGCGTGATGGAGATTTTCGGGCCACTGTGTCATGCTGTAAAAATCTTTGGTTCTAGTGCCAAAATTTTTATGATTTTGATAACGGTTGATATCACTCATCATATTTTTAAACCAATTAAATAGAAAAACAAAAACAAGGTTTGAGGTTTGTTCAAAAAAAACAATAAGATAGCAATTTCCGCTCAATTCAAACTCAAAATAGTTTGACTTGTTACAAAAAACCTCCTCTCACAAAAGTGAAAAGCACTATACTTAAATAAACAATGTCAAAATGAAGATGAAGCTAAAAGGTAAAACCGACGGGGGTGAAAGTGACGAAATTTGCCCAAAAAATCAGCGAAGACGAGAAAGCGAGATTGAGAAGTTCGATAACATTTTGAATGTTTTCTTAAGAAAAATGGTAGGCGAGAACAAAAAAAATGATTTTTTCGACAGACGAAATGTTTTTTCGAAACAAAAGAATGATTGTCTAGAGAAACGGAAATGTTTTTTTTTCGTAAAAAATGGGAAGATTCCAGAAAATTTTGACCGAAAATATTCTACAAAAATCGAAATAGGCTTCAGAATCTCAAAATCATGGTTCTGGTGGCCTAAACACCCAAATTTCAAACTTCAGGTCGAAATTTCGGGTTCTTAGCTCGCGAGAAGCATGATTTTGAGGCTCTAAAGCCTATTTCGATTTTTGTAGAGTATTTTTAGTCAAAATTTGCCCTCCTGGGATTTTATGGCCTAGAATTCCCGATATAAAAGTTACGTGGCCTAGAAAACCAAAAATGTTAGCCTATCGTCCGAAAACTTGTCGAAAAATGAAAAATGCTCAAAAAAATTTTCTTATCAATATTTTTCGTAATCGAATCACATAAAAAGTCTCCAAAAAAGTTTCTGGAGGCGGAAAATTTGATAAATTTATTTTTTTATTTAAAATAAAACCGCAAAAATTGTAAACGAAAACACAAATGCAAAAACAAAAGTTTGGTGACAAACACAAAGACGAGTTCCAATAAATCACCCGCCAAAACCCCCAAGCACCACCCATTTTTACACCCAAATCAAATAAACAAACTTTTTACGGCTCAAAATTAATGCGAATTTATTCATATTTCTATTGAAAATTAGTCGAGTAGCTGTCATTTTTGGTTAAAAATTTTATCGAAAATGCGAAAAATCACACGTTTTTTTCACGTAAAAATAGATATCTAAAAATCGAAAAAATGTAGAGCTTTTGCTCAAATGAGAGATAGTGAGAGGGTTTAGAGATAGAAAGAGAGAGAGAGAGAGAGAGAGAGGAGACGCAGAGAGAACAGAAACAGCTGGTCAAGCTCTTTTGTTTCTTATTTGATCCTAGCTTAGGGGGAGGGGGAGAGAAATTTCAGATTTTTGAAAGAATCTGAAATTTCAGCCCCTTTTATATGTGGAAATTTCTAACATTAACATTATTTTTTTTTGGGAAAAACAAAAACAAATCATTGCGGTAAAAAGTTCTCAGCTTAAAGATTACTGTAGTAGGTAGATCAAATCTTGACATTTTTTATCTACCTTACTGTAGTCACCTAAATTTAAACCCTGTGAAATATCTAAGCTACAGTAACTCTTAGCCTACTGTAGATTGATATTTTAGGCATAAATATTGTTCTAAGTACAACATTTTGAAGACTACGGTAGCTCCCTTTCAATTTTTCGGTCGAAAATTCGGTTAGGTCATGAAAGTTCGGAAATGAGACGAAAATGAGAAAATTCTCCGTTGATAAGACATTTTTCAGATTGACAGCCCCAATTTTCTGGAAGAAAAAAGAGAAATGACAAATTTCTGGCGCCAGAAATTATTTTTTAAATGTTTTTTGAACCCGGAATTTTCAGATGGTTGGGAAAAAATAAAGGAAAATGAAATGAAACGAAAAATTTTGAACTTTTTTCCGGTTATCTTCCAATTTTCATCTGTGTTTTTTAAAGGCGGAACAGGTTTTTCCGGGAACGCATAAAACAACAACACATTTTTGCCACGTCACAAATTTGATCGGGTAGATCGAATTTCGCGCGGCACAAACTAACAAGGTACAGTGTATTTTTGCCACGACAAAAATCGAGCCTGCGGCCTGAAAGGCCCGGGATCTGACCCACCCGCGTGTCTGATTGTGAGAAGAGCTCCGAAAAATTGCCACGTGTGCAAATCGCTGCTCCAAAACTTCGCTCTCCGAGCGAATATCCTCCATTTTTCTGCAATTTTCAACCAAATATTTAAAATTTTTACTATGAACATAACAATTACAGCCAAAAAGTAACAAAAAAAGTATAGATAAGAGACTTGTTTTTTTAAATGATAAAGAAGAGTAGAAATTTGAAAACAAAACAAAAAATAAGAGTCGGAAAATTCTTAAAGACGCATCACGGAAAAATCGCGATAAATTTGGGAATATTGAGAAGAAGTGAGTTTTTAAATCTGAAACTTTGCTGAAAATCTGATTTTCAGCAAAAATTGCATCGTCAACTAAACGAAAACCAAGCTATGTTTGATTACTTTTGGAGAAGTGCATATTTTGAGCATTATGAAAGTACTGTGGTTGAGTTAAGACGACGTCGAGCAATATTTCGATTCTGAAATTGAATTTCTAGAAGTTATTGTATCTTTAATCAACTCACATCATCAATACTATGATTCCTTTTTCTTGACATAATTGGAACTAATTGCAATTCACCAGCCGCCTCTCTCAACGCCAAATCGATTCGTTTCCTGTCAATATGAGCAATGCTTCTTTCGCCCATCACAAATAGTTCCCATTTGGTGACAGTTTGACTACAATTCAAATCCACATAATCGGATTCCATTCGAAAACCGATAGGAATCTCGTTTCCCGCTGATTCTTCTTTGTCACTGGAAAATCGGGAGGTTTTATCTAACTTGTCTGAAGAATGTACCAAATCTACTTACCTATAAAAAACTTCTCGTTCAATCGGATGTACATCGCCACCAATTCCTCGTCCCAAATCTCGAATCAAAACCCGAAATTTGCCAACAAATTCATTTTGTAATTTTTGATTAATCAATAATTCGACTCTGCTGATTATGTCCGTTTTTTCCTTGGTCAAATCATTAGATTCGACGATTTTCATTGGCGACAATTCGACGAATCCCATTTTCTTATAAGTTGCTCGTTCATCCATACATTTCAATAAATATTGCGCTTTTTGAATTGGCTTGCAATTTGTGGCATCTAGTTTTTTGATCTCATCAATGACTGTGTCCGAGGTTTTAAGAAACGCTTCAACATCTTCGGTGACTTCGTGTAACTTGAACATTCGATTGTGTGAACCTTTGTAGTTCAAATAAGGTGACGCCAAGTACATCGCTTCAATTAGTCTGCAAATAAGATTTTCGGGGTTCATTTTTAAAATTCCTATGTAAATCGAACTCACAACAACCCCATTCCTTTAACGGCTTTATGTTGATAAACTTTATCATGCAATTCCAATCTCGAATCACCAATAACTTTAATATCATTTCGAACCTTATGATAATACCCAATTCTTCGAATTCCCGTTTTTTCATCTATCACAACTCGTAAATTATTCAATAATCGATTAATCGATTCCAAATTTAATGCAATCGCAACACCTGACAATTTCGAGTCTCTCAACAAATAATCCATTTTATCGACATCGTGTCCAGTTGTCGTGTTTGAGACAATATCGTATAAAAACGATTTTTCGACACCTCTTCCTTTCATATCCCACAATTTTGCGAATTCTTCTTCTCGTTTTCGCATATCCCAATCGGCTGGTACTTGCTCATTTTCAATGTCTTGTGTCTTAAAAATTAAATATGAACTTTTGGCGGGAAATTTCCCTTTTAAAAGGGGAAGTCGATGTCCAACTTCACCCAAACTCACAAATCTTTTGGATCCAATCATTTCTTTGATAAAGTTCACATTTTTCCGATATTCTTGTCCTGTCGATAAAAACTTCTCCATTTCCCTTCGAACTTTCTCATTTTCAATCATTAATCGTTCCACAATTCTCATCGACATATCTTCGTGTTTCCACGATTTTCCCAATTTCGCGGCGAATTCTCCGTCGAAAAGATGTGAATGCGGACCATGACCAATGTCGTGTAAAAGTGCGGCGATGCACACGCAAAGATGATCTTCAGATGTGATGTTGAGATGCGGTTCGCGGCTGCGCATCCGATCTAGCAGATTTTTTGCGAGGTGATAGGACCTGGAATATTAAGTGGTGTCCAAAGCAGAAAAAAAACGTCCAAAGTCACTGTCTGTTATTTCCCCCTATAGCCGCGATGCGTGTGCGTTGCGGTCGCTTTCCCCATACAAAACGCCCGTTGGCTGTTTGCCAGCGCGCTCTCTCACTGTCTGCGTCTCTTCGAGCAAGTTCAAATTTATTTTTTCGCGGGCTGACTGAAAAATTACTCACCCTAACGAATGCTCAAATCTTGTATGTGTACAACTCGGATAAACCCGATTCACAATTCCCGTCTGCTTCAAATCCCGTAGTCGCTGAAATTCCTCCGTATCGATCAATGAATTGATAGGCCGTGGGATTTCGATTGATCCATGAACAATATCGTTGACTCCCGCATGATGGAGATTTTCGGGCCACTGTGTCATGCTGTAAAAAACAAGTACCCACAATCCTGCGGCCTGAAAAACCCAGATTTCTCGGACCCCGACTCACCTGCGTGTCTGACGGTGAGCAGAGTTCCGAACAATTGCCACGTGTGCAAATCGCTGCTCCAAATGGTTGCTTGCCGATTGATAGTCCGACATTTTTTCTGCAATTTTCAACCAAAACTGTAAAATTTTTACAATAAACATAACAATTTCAGCCAAAAAATAACAAAAAAAATAGATAAGAGAGAGAGGAACCAGTTGTTTTTTTTAAGTTGTCTTTCTTTTTGATACTACCAGCCTGATGAAAAAAATAGTCGCAATTTGAAAACAAAACAAAAAATATAAGAGCCGGGAAGGACAAATAAAGGGTGGCCTGATCCCGCCCTCTGATAGCCTACAGTAAACTGAAAAAAACAACTTTGTTTTGATTAATTTTTGCATCCAATGTTTTTGCGGAAAAGTGCAAAGCAATGAACATTGAAAACTGCACGTAGCATTTTCGACGCCAATTTCATCATTTTCAGTCATCCGGAAGAGTTGAGTTGATAATCTGAAAGCCCGTGAAATTCTCCACAATGCTCTAAATTTCAAGAAGAACCTGTAAATTTCAGAAAAGGCTTCACATTTGGGTTTCAAAGATTCCTCATAAGCCTGCCTATCTTCAAAAATTGAAAATTTCTGAAATTCAGCTCAGAAAGCTTTGTGAAATTGTTCATACTGTAGCCCAAAATGCTCCAAATTTCGAGAAGAATTTGAAAATTTCAGAAAAATTATCTGAAGATTTTACAATTCAAAAGTATCAATTACGAACTTTAGCATCATCCCGAATTCTGCGTCTCTTCTAAACAAAACACTATCTCGTCAGATGTTTTCTATTTTGATAAACAGCTGACATGCAAATACGAGTAATTGAATTGTGCAAAAGTGAAAAAATAATCCCAAAATGAGTTATGACGTGGCAAAATTTGAGCTCAGCCTTATGAAATCACAAATTTATGTGAAAACAACAAATTTCCTGAAAACTCTGATGTTGGACTCTAGATTTCCACGTACACACCAAAAAAGCACTTTATTAATTATCTTGCTCAATGTTTTTTCACACCTCTCCACACTCTTTTCTTGCTCTTTCTTCTCCCCATAAATTTGCTCGTTTTCCGTCTCACAAATCCGATTCCAGTATCTCCCGAATAACTAGATCCTTCCGAATAACTTCCACCACCTCCAACCACCGCCAAACTCGTCGTTCGCAGCGGGCATTTGCAGTATTCTCCGTCATTTCCAGGTAGGCCATCTTGTCCAGCACCTCCCATGGGCCCAGGCATTCCTAGAGCTCCAGGCCGTCCTGGAGTTCCCATGGGGCCTGGTGGCCCCTGTGGGCCTTGCGAAGATTGTCCGGGAGTGCCTGCGGGCCCTGGTGCTCCAAGCGATCCAGGAAGTCCGATAGGCCCAGGTGTGTTGATCTTCCGTTGTCCATCTTGCCCTGGATTTCCATCGCTTCCCGGAGCTCCCGGAATACCATCAGGCCCGGGAAGTCCCGAATTCCCCTGGCGGACCTGCAGGCCCTGGAGGTGCGCCAGCTCCCGGAAGTCCAGGAGATCCATCAAGGCCACTCGGGCCTTCAGGCCCATCATTTCCAGGAGAGCCCGGCGGGCCAGCGGGACATTGAATACAACCATTCTCCATCGCCGGGTGTGGCTCGTTAACTCCAACAGCTCCAGGCTTTCCCGCTTCGCCAGGTAATCCAGGCTGGCCCGGTTGACCTGCAGCACCTGGAGGGCCTGCCGGACCAGCTGGACATCCGGTGGATTGCTGTGCACATTGACAAGTGGGCTCTTCGATTTGTGCACCGCCTCCTGAAACCGCAGCTGTTTGGTAGTATTGACGACGAATTCGGATGGTGGATTCGGAATTGGTGAAGATTTTGTCGCGTGATGACGTCATAGTGTTCCAAGAATCCGTCGAGTAGAACTGGAAAATATTTTATTTTGATAATTTTTGTGTAAAATTTTAGAATTTGTGACCTAAAAACATAAAAATCACACTTTTCTGATCAAAAAACATCCGGAAATTTAAAAAATTTGCAATTATTACGAAATTGTGTCTCATTTTTTTCTTTGAGAAACTAGTATTTTTCGGGATGATTGATTAGTTTACAACAGAAACTGTGATTTCAGAATTGTCACGATTTACAGCCGGAAAACATTGGCTGAAAATTTGGGGGATTCAATTACGACTCAAAATCTACACATTTTGAGCCGAAAATTCGATGCTCTCAAGTTTTCAACAATTTTTAGTCGAAACTAAAAATTCGTACCATTTTAACTTTTTCAGAAAAAAAAACCATTTTCAGCTGTATTTTCAACTAAAATTCAGCTTAAGCTTGAAATTCTCAAATTTTTAGCCAAAATAAAACATTTCAACGTTTTTGTTTCAGAAATTTCCAGATTTTTGGATGAAAATAATTCTTTTTCGTTTCTCATCGAGAAATTCTCAAATTTCAAGCTTTTTCCAATCGAAATTGAAAATTTCAGTAGAAATTAGAGCTCAGCTTTGAAATTTCCCAATTTTCGAGAAAATTCAGCGAAAAATGAAATTTCTACACATTTTGAGCCTTAAATTCTCGTTTTTCAAATTTTCAGCCGAAATCAGAAATTTCTTCGAGCTGAAAATTCAGGTACCTGTAATTTTGAGCCAAAATTAAACAATTTGTTTAAATTTTTCAGAAATTCCAAGATTTTTAGACCAAAATAATTCAATTCTTGCTAAAGCTTCAATTTCAGCTTCAAAAAAAATTAAAATTGAGAAATTTTCAGCTTTTAGGTTAGCTTGAGCTGAAAATTCTCTTTTCTCATTTAGAATTCCTCAAATTTCGAGCTTTTTCCGACCGAAATTAAAAATTTCAGTAGAAATTAGAGCTCAGCCTTAAAATTTCCCAAAACCTCACCTTCCATTCTCCCAAATCCTCCTGAATTCTCTCCTGGAACTCTCGAATCTCCAAAACCATCGAAATCACACAAAACACCGCCAGAATCAGGCAACTCGTCGAAACGCCAATTGCTCCACGAATTATTGTCTTCACCATATTTTAGTTGGAAAAAGAGTGGGCCTAAATTTTGCCTTAAATAGGAAGTTACAGGAACTAAGGAGGGAGGTAATTATGATCCTTGACGAAAAAAAAGAGAACCACTTGAGAAAAACAACCCTTCATATTTTTAATAATAATAATAACAATACAATTATTGCTTTGTCTTTTTTTTAACTAAATCGAGAAAAAGTGTACATTTTTGAATTAATCAATAGATATTCTAAAAAAAAAAAAGAAAAATGGGTCAAAAATACCCGCGTGCACAAGAAAAACCTGATTTTTTTTCGAAATTTAATCAGCCGATGGCATAACTTTCAATCGATCGAACGCGGCTTTGTCGAGCGATTCGCGTTGCGATGGATGAGCAATTTTGATGAGTTCGTAGGCGCGTTGACGCATGTTTTTGCCCCACAATTGGGCGATACCGTATTCGGTGACGACGTAGTGGACGTGAGCACGGGTGGTGACGACACCGGCTCCCTGGAAAATTTTGAGGTTGAGGGGAGGATTGACTAGAGAGTAGTTTGTAGATTGAAGATTTTCGGGGGGAGCAAGATTTTTAAAAATTTAATAAATCAATTTTGAAAATTTTCTGTAATATTTGGGGATTTTTGAATCAGACCAGGCTCTTTTAAAATTCTGAAATGGACCAAAACAATCAATTTATGGATCAGAAAATTCACGAAGCTCAGGAAAAAGAGATCTGATTCAGAAAATCAGATTTGGTCTAAATCAGGGCTGATTCAAAAACTCCCATTTTTTCTTATAAAATTCCAAATTTAACGAAAACTGGGAAAACTGGGGATTTTCTTATGATTTTTCAATTTTTCTGGAATTTTGGTGACATTTTCAGCAAAATTTTATATAAATTGATTTTTTGCAAATTTCAGTATTGCGAGAAATTCCAGGAAATAAATTTTTACAAGATCCCAAAATTTTTAACACAAAATCCACGTCATAGCATAATTCACCTCATTGCACTAAAAATAAAGTTTTTTTTTCGGAAAAAAAAAACAGATTTGGTCTAAATCAGGCCCGATTCAAAACCTCCCATTTTTTCTGATCAAATTCAATATTTACAGGGAAAACTGACGATGAATTTTCAATTTTTCTAGAATTTTGGAGAAAAAAAAAACTACTTCTCACAAGGTTCCAAAGAAATTTTAAACACAAAATGCTCACCTCATTAATAGTTGGCACAATTTTGGATTGTCCCTTCTTTGAGATGGATGGCAATGCAATAATCGGTTTTCCCAAACCATCATCTCCAATTCCAGCACCACGGATAAAATCGACTTGTCCACCAAATCCAGACAAGAATCGTTTACCAACCGAATCCGACACAACTTGTCCAGTCAAATCAATTTCAACAGCCGAATTGATTGCAGTGACTTTTGGATTTCTTCTAACCACCGCTGGATCATTAACCCAATTAACATCACCGAATTCGATGAGTGGATTATCATGAAGATAATTGTACAATTTAGTAGATCCGTAGACGAACGACACAACCAATTTTCCGGGATGAATCGCTTTTTTCGCGTTGGTAATTGCATTTTTCTCAATCAAATCCAACACTCCATCAGAGAACATTTCAGTGTGAATTCCGAGATCTTTGTGGCCACCCAAGGCTGAGAGTGCGGCATCTGGAACAGCGCCAATTCCCATTTGAAGGGTGGCACCATTGTCGACCAAATTGTCGGCAATGATTTTTCCAATCTTCTTTTCTTGATCGTTTTGTGGTCCGATGTTTCGTTGATGAAGTTCGAAACCGTCGGCTTCGTTGACCAAATAATCAAAGTGAGATTCGTGGATGATTCCGTCTCCGAAGGTTCTTGGCATGTTTTTGTTGACCATGGCTGGAAAATTTATTCAAAATCAGCTGGAAATTGGGGAAACTCGAAAATTCCCTAGGGATGAGGTTAGGAAATTTTGATGAAACATATCGAAATATATCAAATCAACCATGCTGATCACGTTTCCGAAGTCAAAAATTGCCACAAACGTTTGTGAGCACTTTTCTGGAGCTCCAAAGTTAGTTCGTCCATTTTCACCATGTTCCTGGGTGAAAAATCAACTTTTATAACTTGGATAAGGTTGTTCACCAGATTCTAAAACCTATAAGCTTTTTAGTTTATCAAAAAAAACCAACAGGTTTTCGAATGTTGTAGGCAACCTTATCCAATTTATAAGAGTTGATTTTTCACCCAGGAACATGGTGAAAATGGACGAACTAACTTTGGAGCTCCAGAAAAGTGCTCACAGGCATTTGTGGCAATTTTTGACTTCGGAATCCTGATCAGCATGGTCGATTTAGTATATTTCGATATGTTTCATAAAGGTAAACCCCCTTACCAATAATCAAATCAGCATTAGTAACAGCAGCGCGAGCTGTATCCACAGATGTTCCCAATGAGCAATATCCTTTGCTGTCTGGTGTTGAGACTTGAATCAAAGCGGCGTTGAGTTTGATGGCTCCTTTGCGGAAGAGAAGTGGCACTTCGTACAAGAAGCATGAGTTGAAATCGGCGATTCCTGGAAAAATGGGGAATTTTTTAGGTTAAACTTGCTAACTTTGTTGAAATTCGTAATTTTAAACCAGATTTCTGATCAAAAATATCGATCAGAAACCTAGTTTCAAATCATAACAGGCTGAAAATTCCGGATTCTTACAAAAGTTGCAAGTTTCACGGAATTTTCGGCCGGTTATAATTGAAAACTAGGCTTCCGATCGAAATACATCGACATTTTAAGTGAAAAGTTGAAACTTCCCGGCAACCCAGAAATAATCATGTTTTAAAATAAAAGTTTATCACTTGAATATACTAGTTTTGTCTTTAAAAAGTCATAAAAATGCTCCGCGAGCTCGAGAAAAGTTGTTTTTGAGACTTTAATATTTTTCTTCTCAGAGATTCGCTGGCCAGCTCGCCACCAGGTGGGGAGGCTGGCTGACCTGGGAACCACATGGAAACCATGTCGCCCGATTTTTTTCGCTGGCAAGGTGGCCAAGCCCTGGCTAGGTCACGGCCACATGGCTACCATGTGGTGGCCACTTCGCCACGTCAAAATGAATTTTCATGAAAATGTCTGAAAAACTTGTGAATTGAGGCATTTTCGAAGAAATTGGCTCATTTTCTGTTTTTTCGCAGCACTAGAAACCTTAGGAAGTGAAAAAAACAGTAGAAAATGCAGTGTTTTGAGTACAAACCACTGTCTTGCCAGCTTTCCAGAATTTCAAACACACAGGCCACGTCGCCGGAAAACTCGAGGCGACCTGGCGGCCATGCGGTTTCCAGGTGGCCGCAGCGATCTGGTGGCGAGCTGGCCAGCGAATCTCTGAGTTGGACTAACGGAGCATTTTTATGACTTTTTAAGAAAAAACTGATTTTTTCGAGTTATAAACTTTTATTTTAGAACGTGATTATTTTTGCGTTGCCGGGCAAGTTTCAATTTTTCACTGAAATTGTTCAATTTAAGATGTATTCCGATAAAACCTGGTTTTTAATTATAACCGGCTGAAAATTCCGTGAAACTTGCAACTTTTGTAAGAATTTCAAAATTTCCAGACTATAAAATTACCATTATTAACAGCAGCTCTCAAATTGTGTCCAGTGAACAACGAGTTGGATCGAATTCGATCTCGAACACCTTCGGCTGTCCACGGTGTAGCTCCTTCCAAATGCAAATGGTGCAATTTAATTCCCTTCAAGTTGTTGGCAACCGCGTGCTCCGACAAACTTTGCAACAATGGTGTTGGTGTGGCGGCGATGCCGTGTACGAAAACATTGTCGCCGGTTTTGATGTCACGAACAGCTTCGGCTAATGAGACGACTTTCGGGGATTTTCCTTGGATTGGGAAGGCGACTTCGCGTTTGTCTTGGTAGATTGAGGAGGTTCGATTGGCGGCCGCAGTTGTGCCGAAGGCGCGCGATGAGAGGCGAGACAACATTCTGGAGAAATTCATTTTTGGAATCCAATCAGATTGGATAAAGGGAAAAGAAGAAGAAATATGACGAAAATAGGGGAAAATCTATGTTTTCTGCTAGTTTTCGACGTTATGACGTGGCAAATTTGAAAAATCGAGCATGATTTTCAGGAAAACCTGATAGCAGTCTAGAAATGATGTAATGCCATCAAAATTCCCTAAAAATCATGTTTGAAGTTAGTTAAAGTGTCGAATTAACGTTACGCTCGAAAAAATGGGCTTGAAAACCGAATCCAAAATTTCCTGATCAGTTTTCAATAAAAAAGAAAACCGAACATGGAAAAATGTGGGGTGGTGATAAGAGAACTTCTTATCTTCTTATATTATTTTTTTTATTTGTTATTTTTTTGTCGGGTTTTGCATCGATAAACAAGAAAAATTGATTTTCTCAACATAGATTTGATATTTCGACGAAACCGAACTCAAAAAATCTAGCACAAAACCGAATCGACTGACGAGAAAAAAAATATGAGAACTCAAGGTCTCAAAAACAAGAATGAGAGAGAATTGAAAAAAAAGTGAAAGAGAAGACAAATAACACGAAACCACGCGGTTGCTTGCGTTTTATCTGCTTTTTTGACTGTTCTCTGGTTGCGTTTTGAGGGTTCGTTGATTTTTCGATGATTGCGATGGGCTTTAAGAGGCTGTTTTCGACAAATGTCAAATTTTTGTGGAAAAAATAGAAGTTCAACTGATCAAACTTGATAGATTTCGATGAAAACTGGAAAATTGGCTGATGAAATCAGAAAGTACTCATGGTCAGAGTTACTGAAATAGGATTTTGACCGGTTGGTTACGATCCCATCGTCAAAAATTGCAGAACTCAACTTGCTGGTAAGTTATGACGTGCCAAAATTTGAAAAATCGTGACTTTATGATGCTATAGCTAACTTAAAACATGATCTGGAAAAACTGATAGCACAGCGTTAGATAGTATGCTATTTATCAGATTTCACTGAAAATACCGTTTTAAATTAGCTATAGCCTCATAAAGTCTCGATTTTTCAAAGTTTGCCACGTCATAACTTATCAGGGATCTCGAGTTGAGTTCTGCAATTTTTGATGACGGGATCGTAACCAGCCGGTCAAAATTGGTTTTTAATGTTCATTTTTTAGCCAAGACTTCCTCAATAATTATATTTCACCGAAAAAAAACCTAAAAAACAACAAAACTTCGTCAAAAATCTTGTTGACAGCATTCTTCATCTGATGAGAATCAATTTCTCAAAGAGCAAAAAGGAAACGTGCCGATTCTCTCAACAATAAAAAAAGAGAAGAACTTTTGGAATCAACTTTCGATCAGAAAACACACACAACTGACAAGAGGAATGGAAATGGGAAAATAAAAAAGCCGGCACGTGGTATGAAAATAGACGGAGAGTGCAGAGAAATAAAAATGACCGCCCGTTTTTTTTGGAGGATGCAAAAAAAGAAAGAAAAGGAACTTTTTAGACGGAGAGAAGCTTTTTGTGTGAATAAATGAAATTATATTACACTGAAGAAAAAGCTTGAGTTGTAGCCTATATTTTAAAAGATCATTGAAACAACTGATTTTAAAATTGATTTTTTTTGTTTAAAAATAAAATAAAATGAAAAATGATCGTTCTTTGAGTTTCGTTCAGTGAAACATCACAGATCGGGTAATGGATTGGGATTTTTTGAAAACAAATTGGACTTTTGATTGGGGGAAATCTACTGAGAAGTTCAACAAAAATGAAAAACAGAATTTTCAAGCAAATCTCGATAATTCTTGTTTTAACTTGAAATTTCCACTTCCCAAACTCGCTAAAAAGCTTCATTACAACTTTAAAAACAAGCCTCAACTCAAAAATCTCCCCAAAAACACAAAAAACCTCCCCAAAACTCAACGCGCGCGCAAAAAACAAAAACAAAAAGAAAACAACAACACTCCGCGTTGACGCTTTCGACAACACATCAAATTTGACGCGCAATTGCAGAATTAAAAATTTTGAATTTTTTTATTTTTTCGGGGAAAAAAGAAGCTTGAGCAAAGTTCATTTAGAGAATGATGAAGAAAAGGCAAACAAACAAAGAGAAGAGAGAAAAACTATAGTTTCTTATCTCTTCTTGAGAAAAATGAAATATCAAATGATGTTTTACAAATATTTTCCAAATCCCTTTTCGAAAACCCGAAATTCACTGAAGCTTTTTCGAATTCTTCCGATAAATTGCAATCATTCATCAATCCTTTGTCATCGGTCTATAAAAACAGTTTTTTTAAATAAATTTTGATGAAAAACTCACACAAATCGCAATGGGAATTCCTAAATCCTTCCAAAACGGTAAATGTGATTCTGCAATTGTTTTCGTTGTTTTGCACAATGTATTCGATGTTAGACAAATCTCCAAAGGAATTCTTAGATCTCTCATAATTCTCACAAATTCCGAATTTTTATGTAAAAATGTTCCATGTCCAATTCGATCAGGCCGGAAGATTAGAAAATCCATGATTTCTTGGGTATTTTCTTCAACTTCAGCTAAATGAATTGAGATTCCGAGATTAGAATTTCGTGCTTTCTGGAGGGTTGGGATGAATTTTGTGCCATCCAGGATGGGATTTCCGCTAAGTTCGATGCCCACAATGAGACCAGAATCTGCAGAGAAAATCGAGAATTTTCCAAAAATCTATATTTCTTACCATCATCAATCGCAATTTTGGCAGTTTCCTCAGCTTCTTCAATATTCTGCCTTCGATCAATACTCAAAATCAATCTAGTCTTCATTTTCCGTCTATCCTCAAGCCTCCGAATCGCCTCCAAAATCACATCAACATACTCTTTCTTGCTCATAAATTCCGTACACTTCGGAGTTGTCCTCAATTCCAAATAAACCACTCCATCCTCCTCGAATTCTCTCATCACATCTTCCACCGCAATTCTCAAATTCTCCGGTTTTTCAGTCAATTTCTGAATCAGCGGAAACATTTTGAATACCTCTTCCATCGTTGTCGGCTGTTTTAATACGAAATCAGTTGGAATGACGATGTTCGATCTTCCTTCGATTTTCAAGAGTTTTCCGATGGTTGCGATGGAAATACTGCCATTTAGATGAGCGTGAAGTTCGACTTTTTCGAGTTTTTTGCATTCTCCGAGAGAAACTGGCTGGGTCATGGCTGATAAAATGAAAACTTTTTGATAAGATATTTAGTGCGGCAGGGTTTTGTGGGCGTGGCTTGAGTTCTTGATCATCAGAGGCTCACAACTATGCGGAGAAACTGAGAAAAAAGCAGAAAACGTGATTTACTGCGCAAAACGTTCAGAGGATTTCTATTGTGCGAAAAATAGTATTTAAAACGAGAGGTTTAGACAGAGAAACAAAAATGTTTTTGACCTACCATAAATAATATCAAAAATTTGAGATCCAAAACCCCAAAGAAAGAACGAAAAAAATAAGAGTGTATGTCAACACAGACAGCCCGCAAACACCAAATTCTACGCGCAACCCTGACAGTCTGAAGAAAAAGTCTTTTTTCCTCCTGGTGAAAAAATCTTCTGCAAAAAGGCGTCACGGTGTTGTGTTCAAAGCTATGTGCAAACACACGCACGAAAACGAGTTGTGCATTAGAGCGCATTTTCTTGTTTCATTTCGTAGGTTTTTTAAATGGCCCGGCAACAGAGATTATGAGTACATTTAAAAATGTTCAAATGTTGAGGAATGAAACTCAAAATGCATTTACTTCACAAAAAATTGAAGTTGAACGTAAATTTCAGAAAAATAAAAAAACTGAAAAAATAAAAGATATATGTGGCCGAACTATTTTGGTGGCCGAGAGGTGTCGGGAATTCGGCCAAAGCAACAAACGCGCTCCAACAATGCAACATTAGAGCGAGTTTGTTGCTCTGGCCGAATTCCCGACACTTCTCGGCCACCAAAATAGTTCGGCCACATATATCTTTTATTTTTTTCAGTTTTTTTATTTTTCTGAAATTTACGTTCAACTTCAATTTTTTGTGAAGTAAATGCATTTTGAGTTTCACTCATCAACATTTGAACATTTTTAAATGTACTCATAATCTCCGTTGCCGGGCCATTTAACTCGTCGACAGATATTTGTTTTTGAGGAAAAACATGGGCTGAGTTGCTACTAGATTTTTTTCAGTAAGACTTTCTTTAAACCAAAAAACGTCCTCCAACTGCAAATCGAAAAATTTCCAGACTTTTCTCGCACATGGATCTTTACTGCAAGAGATCAGACCAGAAAAAGGTCATCATCCTTTGTCAGCGTGTCTTGTCTCAGGTCATATTTTTTCTATCAACAGCTGCCACCCTTTTCCCATCCAAAACATTTGTGTTCTTCTCATCTGTGTTGCCAATAATTTTTATACTCTTTTTTTTGAGATTCTATGACTCAGGTTATACACTTTCTTCTAGTATTTTTTCTACTCGGGAAATTATTCGCTGTCGATGAGGAGAACAATAAATGTGGTTTGAAACCTTATGAAGCAAAGGGTGATCCAGGCGAAGGTTCGAATTCTTATGTTATTGAGATTAATGGAACTTCGGAGAAGACTTTAGATATATCCCAAGGATTTCTTCCTGGGGAAACATACACAGGTAAGAATTGAGAATGATTGAGAAAACTTTTCAATTTTTGCCAGTATCGCTGCGCGGTTGGCGTAATCAATACACCGTGAAAACCTTCCGTGGTTTTGTTGTGACGTCACTCTTCGAAGACGACGTCAAAACATCGGCCGGCGCTTGGCAAGTTGTCAAAGGTCATGGTGACGCCCGAATCGCACCAGGATGTCGTAGAGCCGGTGTATCTCACGCGAATCTACGCTCCAAAACATCGGTTCATATGTTATGGAAAGCGCCAGAAGTTATGACAACTGGTTGTGTGATATTTCAAGCATCAGTTATTGAAACAAAATATGTGTGGTTTACCGAGGCCGATGGATTAACTTTCAAATTCTGTGCGAAGAAAGGTGCCGAAGTTCTGAAACCTGTGGATGATGTTGGAGCAACTTGTTGTGCTTGTGATGTAGCTCAATATGAGTTAGAGTTCACAGGAATTTGGAGTAAAGAAACACACCCAAAGGATTATCCAACATGTGAGTTCCATAATTCAAGAAAATCGATTTTTAAAAATTTCAGTGCTTCACTTGACCCATTTCACTGATATGCTCGGTTCATCACATTCTGCAAATTACTCGCTTTGGAAGATCGGTGGAACTTCCACGGATGGAATGAAAGAGATCGCTGAATGGGGAAACACGTACAAAGCAGAAGCTGAGGCCAAAGCTCAAGCATCCGAAGTTCGAAGTCTGATGAAGGTCAAAGGATTGTGGTATCCCGAAGTTCAAGGTGTCACCAAATCCCAATTCATCGTCAACAAATATCATCATTTCGTATCGCTTGCCACAATGTTCGGGCCATCGCCAGATTGGTGTGTTGGACTATCAGCCGTCAATTTGTGTCTACCAGATTGCTCGTGGGCAGAGGAGCGGGTTTTCGAGTTACAACCTTTTGATGCTGGAACCGATTCGGGGCCAACTTATATGAGCCCAAACTCTCCGACAGAGCCTAGAGAACCGATTCATTGGATAACTACTAAATTGAACCCGTTGAGCCCATTCTACAATGAGAAAAGTGAAACAATACCAACGATGGCGAGAGTTGTATTACGGAGAAAAAATGTGAGTAAATAATAAAAAAAAATAAATAACGAGACTCCACTTGCCTGTTGTTTATCTATGCCATAATTTTTTAAATACAGGTAACTTCCTCAACCTGCCGAACAGATTCCGAATACAAAGCCGAGGCTCACAACATCACAAACACTAGTGAAGATGAAGAATATGCGGATAGACGAGAATGTATGATGACACAATGGGAACCTTGGAGTTTATGCTCTGCCACTTGCGGAAAAGGAATCCGAATCAGAAGTCGTGTATACGTCTTTCCAATCAAGGCACAAGTTTTCCATTGTCATCGACAAACTTCGGAAAAACAATTCTGTAACGCGAAAATCAATGAGTGCGCTGATTCAGAAGCGTTCAGTACAAAATGTCAAGTATCCTCCTGGGGATCTTGGGGAGCGTGCAGTGTTGAATGCGGTCACGGAACTCGATCGCGCAACAGAACTTTCCTCTCGCCATCAGCAACACCCGAAGATTGTAGTCAAGTCGAACTATCTAAAACTGATACTTGTGTTGGTGAAAATGGTGAAGATTGTGCAGTTCAGCCAGATCCACTGTGTAAAACTACATCCTGGTCAGATTGGTCGCCTTGCTCGGCTTCTTGCGACGAAGGAGTTCGCGTCCGAACTCGATTGTTCTTTTTCGCCGAGCATGAGAAACGTTGTCTACATGTGAAGCTACAAGAGAAGGATGTTTGTAGTGTTCAGAGTTGTCAACGATTTATTGAGATTAATTCGGAAGGTGGGTTCTGCAGAGTTCCGAAGATCCTAATTTACTATTATTAAAATAAGTTGGCTCCAAAAATTAATACGAAAATTTAAAAAAAAATTGATAACTTATCATCACAAACCAACAGTGAACTGGTAACTTTTGGTTTCCAGGAGATTTGTTTTTGATAAGAATAAATTGAAAATGTAGAACCAAATCATTCCAGAGATCTGCCAAGAGGACAAGCAACCAGGACAATGCGCAGGAATGTTCCCGCGCTATTGGTACAACTCGGAAAAATCGCAATGCGAACGCTTCATCTTCACCGGCTGTAAAGGAAACCGCAATCAATTCGAAACCGAAGAGGAATGCAAACAAATTTGTCTGCCGGGATATGAGAAAATGAATAAGGCCCTTGTGCCGAATCAACAACTTCTTGAAGAATTCGTCGACGGAAATGCGATTGACGATGGTGGAGATCGAGTGGATTGCGAGGTTAGCAAGTGGACAGCTTGGGGTGCTTGTTCGGTGAGTTGTGGAAGAGGGAAGAAGGCGAGAACTCGTCAAATTGTGAAATTGCCAAGGAATGGTGGAACTCGGTGTTCGGAGCATATGATTCAAGAGCTACAGTGTAGATTGAGACCTTGTCGTGAGTTTTTCGATATTTGGAAAAAACTGGGGGTGCAGCTCTATTGTCGAAGTTTAAAAATGTGGCTGGAGTAAAAAATAAAAACCAGTACAGCTTTGCGGCTATGCGTCGCGGTCGTACGAGAGATGACGGGAGTCTGACGTCATCTGAGACAGAGAAAGACTTTGAGATATTTTCGAGAAAATATGTGTCCCTTTGAAAAAATACAGTATTTTGTTTCAAGGAACACATGTTTTGTTGAAAATATCTCGAAGTGAAATTCATTTTCGGGATACATTCTCAAAATACTGTCGTCTAGCGTCTGACTCAATGGGCGCCCAACCGCGACGCAAACCCGCACGCGACCAACGAAGTGGTTTTACTTTTTTCCGGCAGCCAGCAGCTCCAGAAGATCCCATCTACTCAACAAAAATCAAATTTCAGCCGTCAAATTAGCGTGCCAAGTCGGCCCATGGTCACGCTGGTCAACGTGTTCAGTATCCTGTGGCGAAGGTGTACAAACCAGAAAGCGACGCGTCATCCGAGCACGAAATGATGATTGGGAGGAGATTGAGTGCGCGGAAAGTGAGATGGATTCGAGAAGATGTACGGGACGACATCAGTGTCGATTTTAAAAAATTCCTTTTCTTTTTTGAATGAAGCAATCTGCTGATTTTTTGTTTATTCTTTTCGTTTTGCGAAAAATTGCTATTTTATGGAGGTCGTAAATAATCCTGATTACGAAATGGATGATTTTCGGGTCACGTGAATTCAAGTTCCGCGATGAGTTTCAGATTTTTTCAATCGACGTCACTGAGTTTTGAACTTTTCGCAGCAAAAGTTATCTTGCAAGTCATAAAACATGACATTACAAGTTCAGAGACATGAATCAACCAAAATAATGTCAGAAAGTACACCCGGTGAGAAAATCGAGCTTCCAAAGAACATCACAACTTTCTCTCTCGCTTCTGATAACCTTAATTAGTATCTCTTGATTACGTCGATAATACATTTTTCTCACGAAAAAAAAAACCAATTTTGCTGTTGCTTGATCGCAAAAAATTTGTCGTCTTATCTATTTTCGGTACCCCCCGAAAAAAAAAATTTTTTTTGGGGAGCAAGCCAGAAAAAAAGCGGAGGTTATCAGTGTAGTTCAAAAGTGAAGTGAAGAAGCATACGCACATTTTTCGGTTTACATTTTGCGGACATGCTTTTTGGAAAACGCAATATTCTTGGGAATCTTTTCAACGACGTGCAATGTGAGTTTTTTTAAAGGAGCAATGACTCATAGATTTCTCATTTCTGTAAAAAAGTGACGCCATGTCCAAAAAATTTCGCAAACTTTGTCATTCTTTCAAAAAATGTACTTGAAAAACTGTGAGTTTTCGAAAAATTCCCCCAGAGCATCAGGACCCGGAAGCATGAGGGAGGGGGGTTAACTTTAGGTGCATTTTTGAAGGTAGGGGCCTTAACTTTGAGTTAGGGTGGTTAACTTTTCGAAAATTTCGCCTGGGAGAGGGGTCCTCGGAGCTACTAGTGCATGTATGCTCGGAAGACTTCACGAGTCTCATTCATACATGAATTAGTCGCTCCAGAGACCCTTGAGTTAACCCCCCTTCCAGGAAATATTTTCAAAAAGTTAACCCCCTAACCTATGTTTTGTGGGTTTTTGACCCCTGAATGCATAAAATTCTTCAAAATTTTCAAAAGTTAAGGGACCTACCTTCAAAAATGCACCTAAAGTTAACCCCCCTCGGAGGCGGGTTAAAATACATGAACTGGGACTACGAAAGCGGAGGTTAACCCCCTCCCAGGTTAACCCCCTCCCTCCGCTTTCGTAGTCCCAGTTCATGTATTTTAACCCCCCTCCGAGGGGGGTTAACTTTAGGTGCATTTTTGAAGGTAGGTCCCTTAACTTTTGAAAATTTTGAAGAATTTTATGCATTCAGGGGTCAAAAACCCACAAAACATAGGTTAGGGGGTTAACTTTTTGAAAATATTACCTGGAAGGGGGGTTAACTCAAGGGTCCTCGGAAGACTTTACGAGTCCCATTTCAGGCACCCCACAGCATCAACAACAGAAGCGTCAATCGATATTCCGTAAATTCTCAATGCTCTCCTCGCGTCGCTCAATCGATAGTCTATCATCAACATTATCCTCTCCGCGAACTCCATCGCCACGTGGAACTTTCAGTGCCACAAACTCTTGTGAGCTGACAATTGTAGCCGCTCTTCAGGGACATATTTTGACTGTGGATGAGATGCGATTCTGCGCTCTGGAAATTGGTAATCTATCAGATGCTGAGAAATTGAAGTTACTCACTTTTCTCAAATCCGAATCATCGGCAATCATCGAGAATAATGCGCTGAAAAGTTTCCAATGTGCCAGTTTGAATAGTTTGCTTCTCGAAAATCTTGAAATCCTCGACGGATTGTGGGAGATTATTGTTGATGTTGTGATTCCAAATCTGCAATCAATCATCTACACATTAAGTGAGGTTGATGCAAGTTTCGATGTGCAAAAGTGGATCTTCACAGCGTTCAGGGATCGAGTTCTGGCAAAGGTATGTGATTTGTTTTTGACATACCTTTTGAATACAATTCCCTTGCTTTCAGCTCCTTCAAGATGTTCAATCTGAAATCCCCAAACTAAAATCAATGCTCACAGTGATAATGGTGGAAACCGATGATAATTTAAACCCCACGACTCGCTCGAAATTCGACATTTGCTTGGGAAAATCCAGAAAAACCAAAAAACCTTTGGAAAAAACGCGCTCAAAAACTGATTCCTGCCTGGCTTCCACTTCTTCATCTCCAACAAAATCGAAATCTGTCACTTGGTCCACATTCAGTAGCTAATATATATATTTTTGTAAATTTTTGCATAATTTTTTTTTGTATTTAATCCGGGTTGTACATAAATATGTAATTTTTTCAAAAACCAATTTTTCAACAACGTCACATTGTCACATGACTTGCTTGATAACGAAAAGCTTAATTTTTTCAAAACTTTTTTTTGAAAATCAGAAAAAATTTTCTTTAAAAAAAGCTCGATTATTATTTATCAATTCACAAGCAAAAAAGGTTGTCCAGGAAATATTTTTTTTTGTTTTTTTTCTTGGGTTATCAGGAAAAAAGTAATAAAAAGCACAAACTGACCATTTCTCCTTTTTATTTTCGGGGAAAAATCAAAATTCAGACATTTTTGTGGTGATCATCATGTAAATGCCCATATTTTTGCACATCTTCAGGTTGTTGGAAACTTTGGAGCAAGAAAAATGTGCCAGCTCCAAGAGCAACTGAAACAGCGAGAAGTAGGCAAATGGCGGAGATGATGAAGCAGCAAGCGGACCCGAAAAACTGCAAAAATTCAGGTTTTCAGCGAAAAAAACTGGATGTGGCCGAACTTTTCGGGTGACCGAGAAATGTCGGGAATTCGGCCACGTGTAAATATCACCAACCCTTCGATTCCTCGCCTTATTCTTCCCCTTCTCATCATTATCATCACTTTCTTGATCAGGTTGGATTTGGCGCGAAACTTGTGACGTCACAGATGTTGGTGGATTTTGTGAAACTTGCGATTTTTGTTGAGGAGTTGGTAGGAATTGAACATCGTCCAGATTTTCATAGTCTTTTGACATTTTTGGAAAATTTCACAGTTTTGAATCTATAGAGAAAACTTGAGTTATGACGTGGCAAAACTCGAAAACTTAGAACTCACATTTTTGGAAAATAGAAAAAATAATAAATAAATTGTTTTTGTTTTTTCTTTCAATTTTTTTTTTTGAAAAAAATATGTGGGTCACGTTCAAACCTGGGAATTTTTACGTTTTACGGTTTTACGGCTCAAAAAATCGTGAAAAATCACTAAAAATAGTGAATTTTGACAGAATCAAATTGAAAAAAACACAACATTTTTTAAAAGAAAATTTTGATTCAATCCTAATTAATCAATTTTTTGAGAATATTGTTAAAATTATTTTGGAGTTACGATAAGTTACCCAATTTTTGAAGAAACTTTGCCGTTTTTCAGTGAAAAAATAGAGTAACAAAATTTCACGAAGTTTTACGGTGCCACGTAAAAATTTCCCAGGTTACTCACATTTTAAGAAAATAGAAAAAGTAATAAATAAATTTATTTTTTCAAAAATTTCTTGAAAAAATATGTGGACACGTTAAAATAATTCATCTCCCATTAAAAAATCCAATCAAAACTCATAATCCGATCGTTCATCAACACCCTCTTCTCGATCAAATTCCGAAATTCGTTCCTCATACGAATCACCATCCAATTCATCATCATTCTCAAATTCTCCTCTCCACTCAATAGCTCTCCACCGATAGTGTTCTCGTTTTTCCTGAAGCCGAATCACCATTAGAAATGATTTCTCAGTCATTCGAAATTTGGCGTATCTTTCAGGCTTTCCCTTGATGTTCAAGTCAAACCAGATTGCATCTGGGAGATCGGGATCAGTTTCCTTGTTCAAAACATCCACCTTTAGATTTTCCTTTCCCTTTCTAGTTTGAAATATGACTTCTGGATCCCACGGTTCTTGATCTCTATGATAATCCAATCGAAGTTTCTTAATGTTCTCATCGATTTTCCCATCTTTAACTGCTAAAATAAACGATTTCAAAGTTTTTGGAGTGATTTCAACATCATAAATTCTAGATTTTCGAGCGGTGATTTGAAGTAACTCTCGGAGATTCAAAGAAGGAATTGGGCAAATGATGTTTTTTCGAAGGTTGTTTACCTAAAATATTCAATTTAATATTCTGTAATTAAAAAAACATTCTCACCAATGCAAAATTCTCAAATTCATTATCGCACAATTCTTCCTTTTGATGTCTTCGATCATAAATTCTGAGTGTTTCCAAATGTTGCAATTTCTCCATATTTTTGAAGTTTTGATAAATCAGCGTTTTATAATAATCGAATTCGATGCTTTCCAAATATTTCGAATTATCGATTAGTTTTTGGAATCTTTGAAATGGGTAATTGAGATCGAAGTGTTTGATTTCCCATTCATAAGTTAATGTATCATCGCTGAAAATTTGAAATTTTCTGACCTGAGCAATGCCGAAAAAATTCGTTTTTTTGGTGAAAATTTGGATTTATTTACATTGAAATTTCTTATAGCCTGAGCAATGCTTCAAAAATATTTAATTCTGCACTAACATGAGCAATACCTCAATTTTCCCACAGAAATTTTGGAAAATTGAATTTTGAGCTTTATTCTAACATGAGCAATGCCTAAAAAATTTGACTTTACTTTGAAATTTCTTATAGCCTGAGCAATGCTCCGGCTTGAAGCATTGCTCAGGTTATAAGCTTCTAGAAAAACGTTCTAACATGAGCAATGCCTCATTTTTTCCACAGAAATTTCAAAAAATTAGCTTTCTAAATGTTTTCAAAAAGTCCCCCAGTACTCACATATAAAATTCAATTTTATACAAAACTTGATCATCCTCGTCTTCCTCATGCAGATCATAATAATCCATTCGAACCTCACTATAATTTCCAAAATATTCCAATCGAATTTGATAAAATCTGTCCCAACACGGCTCGCTGAATTTGATGGATTTCAGATAGTTTTTCGAGCCAAGCACCGCAATTTCACAATTTTTTGAGCACCGCGAAAATCTCGCTTTGCTCGCCAAATCCAAATATTCGATGACTTGGATTTTGAATTTTTCCGGTAAATTATCCCATACAAGTTTTGCTCCAGTCGATTTTTTTCGTTTTGCACACAAAATTTTTCGCATCATCGTTTTCTAAAAATGATGGATTTTTTTGGCAGAAAAAATTGGAGGTTTTCACGTTTTGGGAAATTTTGAATTTTTTTTTCGGATTACTGTAGCCCGGGTAGCTCAGCTGGTACGTTAGATTTTCAATAAAACCTGAACAGGTTCGATTCCCCCTTTTCTATTTTGAATTCAAATACAGTAAATTCCAGACTACGGTAGCTACGGTAACCTGGGTACTGTATGAGATAAGTGTACTGTACTGTGGCTCTGACACAAGATGCTCTCTTTCAAAAGTTTTGGAAGGGTGGCTCAGTCGGTTAACTATCAATCTCCCAACCTATCCCCCTGGCTCAGGTTCGATTCCCCCTGCCTGCAACATTTTTTTTATTTTTCCCATTTTCGGCCCCTTTCTTCTTTTTTTTCGCTCAATTTATCCACCACCTGTTTAATTAATGTTGATTATTATAATATTGCTATGGTCCTTTCTTTCAAAAGGTGCCTATAATATAATAAATGACGTAACAGGGGGTTAACGAGAAGAAAAATACTACACGGTGTGTTGTAGATTATTTACACCAATGGCGGCGGCTTTTTTGTTCTACTTCACAATATTTTTATGTTCTGTTGTGTGTTATGCAAGAAAAAGCGAACAACAAAGGTTGGATTATGTCATCAAGAGAGAGAAGACAATATTATTATGAATGAAACAATCAAGAAAAGTATTGATTGATTTTTGGAGAGGGTACAGTATCCTGGGTACTGTAGTTTTCTTGCAGTTTGGATTACTGTGTTTTCACTTTTTTGCAGTTGCAAAATTTGCAGTTTGGATTACTGTAGGCTCTGTAGTGTAGCTTCAATTTCCTAATTTTGCAGTTAATGCAGTTCGAACTACTGTATCTTCTTTTTTTGCAGTTCGGAGTACTGTAGCCTCTAATTTACTGTAGTCTATAGTTTTTTTCTGGAGATTTTTAGTTTCATTTTTTTGCAGTTTGGATTTCTGTAGCTTCTAAAAATGTCTGGTTTTTTCTAGAATTTTTCTACTTTCAGTTTGTTGTGCAGTTCGGATTACTGTATCCTCACTTTTTTGCAGTTCGGATACTGTAGCCAGTGAAATGTTCTATAACTTTTTTTCTAGAATTTTTTTAAAGTGTTAGCTTTGCAGTTCGGATTACTGTTTCTTCGTTTTTTGCAGTTTGAACTACTGTATCTTCATTTTTTTGCAGTTTGGATACTGTAGCCTCTAATTTCGTGTAGTCTATAGTTGTTTCTAGAATTTTTTAGTTTCAATTTTGTGTAGTTCGGATTACTGTAGCTTTTTCAGACTGCAAATTGTTCCATTTTTCAGCAGTATAACTACAGTACTAATTTTAATTCAAAACTAGCTTCTAGATTACTGTAAAAGACAAACTCCTGGTCTTTTACAGTACCCTAGAACCCACAGTAACCTAAAGGTGATCTACAGTTTTTTAAGTTTGAAAATAATCCTTAAAAAATTAATGTTTCAAAACAACCTGTTTTATGACTACAGTAACCTACAATTTTCCAAATGCTCCCTACAGTACCCCAGCCACAGTAATCCATAGAAATTCGAATTCAAAAAACTCATTGAAAATTACTCGCAATTCATCGCAATTTCATTCATTATATAAATTTTCATTCAAAAATTTTTTTTGTGGGCACCAAAATCAACAGCTGCTTCTCCTTTTTTTGACTCATCATCAAAAAAAGAGGAGAGGAGTACTGTAGTGTCCGTCAGAAATTCAGTCAATTAGACAGACACATTTCGCAACATTAATTTTTCGATGAGGTCAAATTTGAATAATTTATTTTTATTTTGATGGCTCGCAAGAAATTGGACTTCATTTTCATTTTCCAAAAAAATCCCGCTGTGCGTATTTGAATTTTTGTGGATTACTGTAGCAAGGGTACTGTAGGAAAAATTTTTCAAAAAAAAAAACAATTTGGGTTGCTGTAGCCAAGAACTCTGGAGAGATTACTGTGAGAAATACTTGGGTTACTGTAGTTGGTTTGAAACCTACAGTACTCTTTGAAAGCTAGTTGGCACTTTTCTAAAGTTCCAAAAATTTTGGGATCACTTATGGGTTACTGTAGATAACGCTTTGGATACTGTAGGTTCAAAATTACTGTAGATCATTCTAGGATTACTGTAGGTCAATCCTGAATTACTATCTACAGTACCCCAAAAAGCCATATAAATTTTAGAATAACAAAAAAAATTCCAAATATTCGTGGATCACTGTGGAACCCAAACGTAAATAGCTAGAGCTACAGTACTTCCAAATACTGTAGCCTACTGTAGCTTCAAAAAATTCCTCGTAAAACTTTATTTTCGGCGAGAGACATGTAAAAATTGTTGTAACAAAAAAAAATACAGGAAAAAAAACGAGGTGGAAAAATTAGACGCGGCGCAACTTTTTGGGATTTTTGGTGACATAAAAAAATGTGGTGACAAATGAAAGAATCATGGATTTTTTGAGTAGAAAAACAGAAAAAATAGATAGGGTTATTATATGCGAAATTTTTTTAAATATAGAGAAAATGAAAAAATAAATAAAAAAAAAAGAAAAAATGGGGGACTTTTGACTAATCACGAGATCGTAGTCGAAAAGTTGGACAAGAGCCAAAATGGGAGGGGGCCAGAATGGTCCCTAGGAGGCCTAGAGAAAGCCTAAAAGGTCCACGGGGCCCCCAAGAGCAGGCTCGAGAACTTTTCGACTCACGGATTTGGGGGGAAAGGAAAGGGGGGTATAAAAACACCGGGTGCAATATAAAATGAGAATCAGCAAGCCTACATAATCCTCAACATTTTCGGCGGACTTTCATCATTATAATCTGACAGCGGATGTTTGCGCTTCTTCTCGGCAGAATTCGATGGCGACGAGACATCCGACGAGAATCCCGAATCATTGAGCGGCGTCATCGGAAGTCGCAAATTCTTCTCATGCACCATAACCAATTCTTGGTGATATTTTTCGAGCTGCGCATCTAGATCTTCTCCGTCTTCATCATCTTCCTCATCATCATTCGGTGTCAAATTATCAACAGACGAGGATGGCGCAAACATTGTTGGAGGTGTGTGTTGGGTGACAAGTGGCTGCTCGGGTGGTGGATAAATCGGCTCGCCAGATTGACATTTTTGAATCATTGCGATGTACGAATCCATGAGATTCTGAAAAAAAAATTAGTTTCGGATTTTTTCGCATTTGAGAATCACAAGCTCACCTCTTGAAGTTGAAAAGTTGTCGAGATTAATTGCTTCAAATTCATGGCAAAAATCGCATCGATATTTGTTGATGTTGCAGCGATATAGTGCAAAACCACAGCGCATTGCATTGATGGGAAAAGTGTGGCCAATTTGTGCACTGAAAAAAAAGAAAAATTATTGATTGGTTTCAGAAAAACTTGAGGAGATGTTAAAATTTTACGACTGAAAATCACGGAGATCTTACAAGGGAACTGTTTAAACTTGCAATCGAGATTTTTAATGAAATATGTTTTCTAGTAGTTTTTGACCCGCTGATCACGATTCCGCTGTCAAAAACTGTACAGCTCGACTCCTAACATGAGTTATGACGTGGCAAAGTTGAAAAATTTTGAAAAATTGGGACGATTTCTGAACCTGTTTTCAGAACTTGAATCCTATTCAAAGTTTCAAGTAAGCCTAGAAAACTTGTCAACCAAACTTTCCCCTCTTTTGTGTCTTAAAAATCGTCTAAACCAAAATTTCGGGCTGAAATTCACAGGAACCTTAGCTTTTTGATTCAGAGCTACAAATTGGCCTGAAAATCCCAAACTTTTTTCCATCCCATCATATCAGCCCAGCAAATCACCAGCCTCCCCTCAAAACTTTCTTCACAGTCCAACAAAAAAAAGTTGCATCTCCGCGCGTGCGCGATTTTCCCCTTTTCAAACGAGATAAGCATCTAGAGGTGAGGTGTGATACAAAAAGGTGTAAATTTTCAAAAAAGTTTCGTTTACACAAGGAGACGCATACGGTATTTGTGGAGGTCAAACGCGTTTGCCGCCAAAACACCTCATAAAACCGTTTTTCAAAAAAGAAAAGAACCTCCTTAAATCCCTAAATTGCTCCTTAAACACCTGTTGACAGTAAGCTAGCTCATCTAAAAGAATGTTGCATAATTAAGAAAGCAGCTGTCAAGCGCCCTTTTATTATGATTCTTTTGAATGAGTGCGCAACAGTACTCCAATTCAAATTTGAATAAGAATAAGAAAAAAATATATTTAAACAAAGAGCCAATTTGTCATCACATCTAGGTCAAACGGAAAGATTCATTAGTTTTTTCGCTTCAAAAAGTTCACCCAGATGTTTTTTTTTCTATTTCCAAAAGTTAGCGAAACTTGATGCCACGCGGTCGGTTCCATTGTTCTTTATGTAATCTACAGTAATCCAATCTCATGTGCCTTCCCAAAAAAAGTTTATTTACACAAAAGATAATCTATTACTTTTTTCGAATAACTATAGAGCTCAAGCAGGTGCTCATTAGCAGAAGAGCACCACTAATTAACACAACAAACTTGTTGATTGACAAGACAGATGGGTTTCTTACGGTAGAATTTGAAATATGACTTTTTTGAGGTTTTTGAGCATAGAAAAAGTTTTTAGAACTTTTGAAAAAAGAGGATTTCTCAGATTAGGACGAAAAGCAGGCTGAAAGTTGGAAAATAGCTAGTCTTAGGCTTAACCAAAAGGTTAGGCTTAGGCTCAGATCCTAGAATTTCAGGCTTAGGCTTGGGTCAAACCCTAGAATTTCAGGCTTAGGCTTAACCAGAGAGTAAGGCTTAGGCTCAAAATCCTGGTATCTGGGCTTAGGCTTAGACACTAGGCTTTTATGATTAAGTAATATCCCTGGTAAAACTCCGTATTCAAATAGCCGCGGTGCACACAAAACGCGCCAACGTCAAAGCACTGACGTGTTTGTGTTGCGCATTTCTGGTTTTGCTTTGTTTTTCAAGGTTTCAAACCGAGTTGAGCTTTTGCTTGTTTTTCTAGGGTTTTAGTAGGTTTTGTGTCTCGGGACGGTCCTAAACCGTCCCCCTTCTTGTCATAAAATGATTTGCGATCAATAAATGATTGCATTTCAACCTGTTCGTGTATTTATCGTTTGTGTAAAGTGGTTGTGATCCACTTCAATCTTTGTTGCTGGAAAGGAGTTCAAGGGAACCAAACCTTGAACTGCCTACTTGGGGGCCGAACTAAAACCGATCGAGGAACCAGATGGACTTGGCGAATCGAGAGGAAATATGGATTGTTGGATTTTCGTCGGAACTCAAAGAAATCTTTGAGCGAATGAAGATTTATGTGATTTTATTGATCGATATGCTGCTTATTCGTTATTTTGTTCGTGCTGGGGGTTCGACGCGACATTTGTCGGAATCCGGCAAACGTAACTGTCTGAATCAGATAGTTTATGTCGTCGTTGACCTAAAATCGTCAATTTATTCGTATTTTTGCAGTCCGACAACTCCATATCAACAAAACTGGCAATATTGAGACATCCGATTGAAATATTATGGATTGGAATGACAATGGATGGGGTTTTGCGAGATGAAAATCGAAAAAATCGAGAATTCGATATCAGGAGTTTGTGGAAGATGGAGAATCGGAAGAAATGTAGTCTGGAAGTGGAGCAGAAGGTCGATTGGTGAAATCGAGATGATTTGGATGCTAGAGGAAGCTCCAAAACCTGTTCGCATGGAGGATATGTTGTCTGAAGATTGTTGGAAGCAAATGGTATGATTTTTGAAGGAAAGATTCAAGAAAACTCAAGGTTGTGGAATTTCAGGAAAAAGAGTCAGAATTTGGAAGAGGAGGAAGCTACTCGAAGGGTCGAGGGATAGGTGCGAAGAAAAAGGGTAGGAAATCCTGCACCGAAGTCCGAAAATAGCAACTCCATGAATAATGGAAGCGATCGAACGTCATTTAATGGTTATTTGGCGCCAAGGTGGACACCCAGGTGAACGTGTTTCGATGCGCTGAAGTTTGGATATACTTCCGAAGGATGAAATTTGGCTGAATGGTGCAAGATATTGGTGTGGTGTATGGCCAAAGCATCGGAACCAAGCACACAATTATTGGAAAAATGGCGCTGGAGACGCTGGAAATTTGAAGAAAATGAATGTTGAAGATGAAAGAAATCATGTTGAAGATTCAATTGGATGCGCGTCGTGGAGTCTGGATGTTCGGAGGTCGAAAGTAGATAGGGATCGAAATCGATGAGAAATAGGATTCCGATGGCATGGATTGATGATTTATGAATTTGTTGAACAAAAAGTTGATGTGGATTGAATGGTTGATGGAAAGATTGGTAGGATGGGATGAGTTCAAAATCGATATCAAACGGTGTTGATGATCGACAACAATTGGATAAATAAATGAGGTGTAATTTGTTTATTTTTTGTTAACTCATGCCCTAAGCTCTGCCAACTCTACGGTTTTATAGTAAAGCCGGGACGGCTTTTTTGAAGGAGGGAAGTAATATCCCTGGTAAAACTCCGTATTCAAATAGCCGCGGTGCACACAAAACGCGCCAACGTCAAAGCACTGACGTGTTTGTGTTGCGCATTTCTGGTTTTGCTTTGTTTTTCAAGGTTTCAAACCGAGTTGAGCTTTTGCTTGTTTTTCTAGGGTTTTAGTAGGTTTTGTGTCTCGGGACGGTCCTAAACCGTCCCCCTTCTTGTCATAAAATGATTTGCGATCAATAAATGATTGCATTTCAACCTGTTCGTGTATTTATCGTTTGTGTAAAGTGGTTGTGATCCACTTCAATCTTTGTTGCTGGAAAGGAGTTCAAGGGAACCAAACCTTGAACTGCCTACTATTAGGCTTAACCAAAAGGTTTTTCTAGACTCAGGCTTGACCAAAATTTCAGCCCCTCTATTTCCGGGCTCAAAAATCCCAAATTTTCCCAACTTCTCGCTCCCCCAGGTTTTTCAAACAGCCAACCAACAAAAAAAAACCACATAAAAAACATCTTGCCTCCTAATCTCTTGTACTTTTCTTGTTTTCTTCATTCAGTTCCGCCAAAGAGTGAAATTAGAAAAAAAGAGACACACACACAGTCGTTTTTTTGATGGGTGGTCTTTGTTATACATATACATATTCTTCTTCTAGTGTTCTGAGGCGCTGGGTGAGGTGGACGACAGGCAGGCACGCGCTGCTGCGAGGCGATTTGCATAAAAAACTGGGTGGCCTGGGGGAGAAGAAGACAAGATGAGGAAAGAGAGAAAAGAAACGGACCGTGCGCAAAATCAAACAATTGTAAAAGTGTATAAAATGAGATGGGGGAAATTTAATAGATTTTGATACATAGATATGGGTCGCCGGGTGGGGATAACCGGAAAAATATTGACAACTTTTGGGGCGGAAGGGGCTAAGGATTTGGATAGGCCAAACTTTAGGCTTCGCCGAAAAGGTTGGGCTTAGGCTTAACCAAAATGTTAGGCTTAAATGTTGAACCTAACTTAGGCTTAGCCGAAAGGTTGGGCTTAGGCTTAACCAAAATGTTAGCCTACATTTTGGTTAAGGCTAAGCCCAACCTTAACAAAAGGCCTCAAATTTCAGTTTTAAGGAACCCTAACTATTTTTTAAGCCCAAAAATCCCCATGCTCAAACTCACTTTTCTGACACTTGTGCACAGTCTCCTGAAACCGTTCGCGAATCATCGAAATCGCCGGCAATCTCGCCGTCAATTGATCGAAAAAAATCGAAAGCGGTCGGCGATTCGGTTTCCCATTGCAATTGATTGACAACCATCAGCTCCCAACTCAAAATATCGTCCACTTTCAGACTATCATCAGCGTAGTAGGCGATTTTGGTGGCGTTTAGTGGATGGGCCATTTTCAGCTTGCTGGCAACGAAAAGAGCAACTCCTGCGAGCATCTGAAATTGAATTTATTTATGATAACTTCCTCCAGATATCTATGAATTGGATCAAATTCCATCACCGGTTTCACATTTCTATATAAACTATAAACTAGCAACAACATCTGCCGTGTGTGTGTGTACGCGCAAAAAAAAATCATAAATCAAATCATCGTGTCACCACATCCATACACAAAGAAACCGGAGCAGAAGGTAATAATAATATTGTATGTGAAAAATATAAGAGGGGGAAGGGGGTACTGTAGAAATAGCAGATAGTAGCAGCTGGTGCGCGAAAATATGATTGACTTTGAAAATTGACCAAAGTACTGTGAGATTATATTTTTAAATTTACTTTAGACTTAGGCTTAGGTAGAACCTTAGGCTTTCCCAAAATCTTAGGCTTAGGCTTAACCAAACCTTTAGGCTGAAAAACCTTAGGTTTAGGCTTGCCCAAAACATTAGGCTTCTCCAAACTCTTACGCTTGTTCAATAGCTCAGGCTTAGGTCCGACCTAGATCTTAAGATTAGCTAAAATCTCAGGCTTGTCCAATTTCTTAGGCTTAGACTTGAACAAAACATTAGGTTTGTCCAAAATCATAGGCTAATCCTTAGGCTTAACCAAAATCTTAAGATTGGCCAAAAATTCAGGCTAGTCCAAAAGTTTAGGCTTGACCAAACCTTTAGGCTTAGTCAGGCTTGTTCAATAGCTTAGGCTTAGCTCAAACCTTAGGCTTGTTCAATAGCTTAGGGATAGGCCTGGCCTAGATCTTAGGCTTAGCCAAAACCTTAGGCTTAGTCAATACTATAGGCTTAATCGAAAGCCTAAGCTTGGGCTTGTCCAAAACCGCAGGCTTAGCCAAAACTTCAGGCTTGTCTAATTCCTCAGACAATTCCTTAGACTTGACCAGCCCTCAGGCTTAATCAAAACCCTAAGCTTAGGCTTAGTCGAAACCTTAGGCTTAGTCTAAACATTTTTCACTCAAAACCCCCTCTACTCACCTGAATATCATGCTTGAAAATATTCTGATACGACAAAAATCGATCAATCAACTGCACAGCCTGCAAAAACACATCACCATCGCACTTCTCCTCGCGTGCCACATCAAAAATCCACTCGACAGCCTGCTCACGATGATACGGTTGAATGTGCTCTTGAACGGCCGTGAAATAGTGATAGTTTGATTGGAAATACTCTTCGGATTGCATCAAATTCATCAACGATCGATAATCGAGCTGGATGTTGGGATCAATTTGATTGAAGATTGAGGAGCGATAATTGTTGTTGAGAAGACGATCGGTTGTATTTTGCTGGAAAGAATGACATTATCTCCGAAACAATCTCTCTCAATTTCACTTTCCTAATGGGATAGTTAAGTGGTAGTGTGTTAGATTTCCAAGAAAAAGGTCCCGGGATCAATTCCCCTTTGGGGCAGGAAAACTCACTCTTCTCATAAACGACATTCTTGGCTGATTTTGAGCTGTTTCATGAAACTGCGATGTTGATGGTGAATCAGATGTCAACATCTCACTGCACTCCAATAACAGACCAAAACCGCTCGGGCCAGCCGACTCATCCATTATATATATATTTATTTTAAACTCTGAAAAATCCAAAAGTCAAATCAAAACCAAAAAAAAAATAAAGTCAAAAAGTGTCACACAAAAACCAAAAAGAGTAAAGGAATGAGAGAATGGGAGGAGACCTGGGGGAGGGGAAGACAACCTGAATTGACTCCGCCCACTTTTGCGCACACCATGGGTGGAGCTGACTGGGGGCTGATAGATAGATGGTGTGTGGTGACGTCATGAAGACCGAGGGGTGAATCAGGGGTCAGTGGGTCAAATTTGAGCTTTTGCTGGAAATTTTGGGATTTTTCGCGGGAAAAGCATGGTTTCAGGTGGATAAGAGAGTAGTTTACGGTCTAGAAACCAATAAATCGAATTTATGATCTAGAAATTCAACTGAACCCATGGATTTTGATAGAAGATCAGGAGACCGACTAGAAAAGCAAGCAAAACTTGAAAATTCAGATTTTAGACTCGAAAATCTGGCTAGTGGTCTAGCAACCATGGGAAAACTGATTCAGAAGTAGAATTTTCATCTGAAGATAGCACAACACTATATTCAGAACCTTTGAACGATTTCAGAACGAAAATTTTCTGTCTGAACAGTATGAATAGCACACCTCGGCTAAGCCGTGGCTGACCAGAGTACAATTTTGGAAAAAAAATCTGATTATCAGGCCAAAACTGACGAATTCTGAGTTTTTAGAGGTAAAAATTGAAAAATTCAGTTTTCATACTGTAAAACGTTAGCGTACCATTTTTTTTATTTTGAAAATCACGATTTTGACCGAGGTGTGATGAATAGGGTAGAAAATTACAAATTTTCTAGAAAACTGCAGATTCTCATAGCGGACAAAAGTTCGAGGCCCAGAAACCGAACACTGGACCTCGACTGGAAATTCAATGTTCCCAAGAAAATCTCGAATTTCAGAGAAATCTACGATTTCATAGTAAATTCAAAGTTCCACCTTAGAAGACCGAGTTTCTCTACGAAAAATCAATTTACCCAAAAAATTTTTTGGGCAAAAAATGTCCCGCAACTTTCCAGAAAAATCCATCACTAATCCCATTATGCTAAATACTTTCTATTTATCTAAATCCCTTCAACCATCAGATCTGCCCGCCTAACTTCCCATTCCGATTCGCACAAAAATACGAGAAGGGTCAAGACTTTCCCAAAAACTCGTCACATTCTTTTTCCATACACCACAAAGTAGGTGCCAAAAGTACTCTTCAACCAAACCAAACCAGATGGTTACGTCAGCGAGTTATCAAGAGGATTAGGAGGAGGTGCCACAGTTAGATACATAGATAGATAATGGAACCATTATTGTTCCAAATAATTATTGTAAGAAGCAGATGGGAAGAAGACAGAGAGCGGCGGATGTGTCAATCATTATTTGATGGAATCTTTGAGAAGATGTTGGAAGCCTGAATGGGCCAGGTGGTTTTTGGCCTGATTTTAGGGAAACTATGGTGTGAAAATCGAAAAGGGGATTTTGAAGGAGCGTCTATTTGTCTGAGATCAAAGAGCAAAGCTATAATTCGTGAAAATCGATTTGGTCGTACCAAAAACACAGATTTCTAACTTCAGAGCTCAAAACTGATCTTCTGAAGATCAGAATCTAGTTAAGTTCAAAGAGCAATTGAGCCCTGAACAAGAGTAAAAACTGGATGAAAACAACGAATTTCTGACAAAACTTCTCACAACTAGAGCTTACAATTAAAATTAAGCTTCTGAAGAACAATATTATTTTCTAGCTCAGTTTTGGATGAAAATTTCGCATCTCGGAAGCTAGGATAACTCACAAAAATCGTTTATCCTGTGAAAATCATTAGGAAATGAGAAAAATTCTAATCTCCACATCAGAGGTCACGTTTTCAAACAAAAAATGCGTGGCTTTCGGCGCCAAATTTCTGATTTTCTGATTCATTTTTGAAACGAAACTCTCTTATCTTATCCTGCTCCCTAATTTTTTGTCTGAACACCGTTCGCTTATCAATTTTACAACCTAGAGTACAATATTTTGCACACACAAATTTAGCGCATTTGAAAGTGAGCAAAGTGACGAAAAATCAATTTTTCCTCGAAAACCCGGGGGAAATGGGGATTTTTAGCGGGGTAGATCAAAACTTTTTTCTTTTTAATTTCTAGAGACAAAAAAAACCTTTTTCAAGTCTCAAATCAATGAAAAGGTGAGAATTTCGTCTCCCGCAGATTGTATCTTTTTTCCAAAAAAAAACTTTTCTCACTTTTTTTAGAGGGGAGGAGGGAGAAAAACGAATAGGTAAAAAATGGCTGGTGGCTACTTCTCCTGGCTATGTGAAACAAAAAAGTACATGTGACATTTCGTATGCCCCGCGCGGGCAAAGACAAAAGAAGTACATTCGCCTAGGGAAGGGAAAAAGTACGGAGAGTGCCGAAAAAAAAGCTGCTTGATATATATAAAAATGAATGTATCATATAGAAGTAGTTAATCACTCGGGGGTGAGTTATTCCTTTGAGGTTTTTTGTGCGGGTGAAAAGGTGCCAGGAGGTACCGAATGGCAGAATGGATCTTGACGGAAACTTTTTCTTGAGAAGGGGGGGTTAAAGGTTAAGAAACTTCGGAGACAATTTTGAGTCAAGTTACGTAAAAGTTACGTAAATGGCATTTTCATGTTTTTTAGCAAGTGAGTTAAAATATTGAATCTCAATCGTATTCATAGGATAGAAAGGCCTAAGACAAACCGAATGATATAAATTTTTATGACTTTACGTTATCCATAAGTGATTTAGCGACGTTTAGTCGATATTTAATCGATAAGCCGAGTCGATCGACCAAACGTCGCTAAATCACTTATGGATAACGTAAAGTCATAAAAATTTATATCATTTGGTTTGTCTTAGACCATTCTATCCTATGAATACGATTAAAATCCAGTATTTTAACTCAGTTGCTAAAAAACCATGAAAATGCTATTTATTCGATGTCCAACAATATTTTAGGCTCTCCAACCTTTCCAAATTCAAATTAACCTATTCTACCGTACGCTCTTCCCCATTTTTCGCCGCAAATGTAACAATTTTCAAAAAAAAACCTACCCATTGTCTCTCCCATGCTCTTTGAATATTTTCGTCACCTTTGCCATTCTTCATTCTTCTGTACATTTTTAGTCATAAATATTTGTTTTCTCCCCCCCCCACACTTTTCGATTTTTCGCCAGCCAAAAGTTGGTATTTCTTCACGACGGGGCGCCAAACGAAGTGAAGAGAAAAATCAAATACGACTAGGAGAAGACAATTTTTGAACTAATCTAGAAATCATTCAATTTTGACCCCGAGACTATCAAGTTTCGTGGTGCAAAAATTGTTTATTTGAACAGCGTCGGTGTTTTTAGCCAATGGATTGATTCTGGGTGGGTCAGGAATGGATGACGTCAAAATCCAGTTTGCGTCTAGTGTAATTACGAAAAACATGTGCCAATGAAGATTTTTATGGTGCTAAGGTACCAGCAAAAAAATGCGCAATGATAGATTGCGCACATTTCTTTGGTGACCTTTGGGAGGTGGAGAAAATGAGGAAATTAGGGGACAGCGAGGTAAAGCTAGATTTTCGGATAGAAACTTGAAAGAGGCCGGATTTTCGAGAAAAATCTTGAACTAAAATTGTTAGGATCTCTTGGACAGAACTTCACAATGCAATCTAGGTGCAAACTATTTTCTACAGAACTCAAAAACATGCGTGAAACCGAGTTACCGCTCAGAGAAAGCCGGCGACTAATCGGCGACCAACAAGTTCGTCGCAAGCTCGTCGGCGAAAATAGTGTGTGTTTCCCGGAGACGCAGACGAAAAAGTTTCAGGCGACTAATCGGCGACTAATCGGCGACTAACTTATGATTGGTCGCCGATTAGTCGCCTGAAACTTTTTCGTCTGCGTCTCCGGGAAACACACACTATTTTCGCCGACGAACTTGCGACGAACTTACGATTGGCAGACGATTAGTCGCCTGATCTCGATTCGTCGTAAGTTCGTCGCCGATTAGTCGCCGGCTTTCTCTGAGCGTTCAAAAAACAAAAAAATCCCAAACATTCTCCGCGAGAAATACACAAATCTCAAAAGCGCCGCAAGACCCATCGAGTAGAAGAATCCGTGTGCCTTGATTTTATTTTTTTATTTTTCACACATTTTTCGTTGTGCTTTACGTAAATACGTAAATTACCCAAATAATCGCCACGTCATTCTCAGCACGGTGATCTAATTTTTATAACCCCCCTGTTCCACTTCCAGCTGTGCGCAATACCTATAAATAAACAGATTTGTGATGATTTTCCGCGCAACACCAATATTATTGGCTGCTGGGGTGCTATAATCATCTATTTTAGTGTACTCCCAGTTACTTTTAAATACCTTGGGTAACAATTGTTCGCCACCCAAGAAAAAATGTATGGAAACAGCAACAAATGGTGTGACAATTGGTGATTTATTGGCAGGGAAGGAACAAAACAAGACTTTTGTCTTGTTCTGTTTGCACCATGGTGGTTTTTGAGAAGATGGGGGAGTGTGGCTAATTTGGCGCATTAAATTGGTGATATTCGTAATAAGCCGATTATTTTTGATATGAGAAGTGACAGGTAAATTGGAGCACTGTTATCAGATTGTGCAAATAATTGGCTTACTTATCTGTAATTATCTATGGTGTAATTTTGGCGCATTACACATGGGGAACTGATTTCGACGAAAAAAAACAAAACTTAATGTAATTATTAAATAAATAAATATCTGCCTTATTCAGCCTTGCTTATTCTCAAAATCTCCAGGTGTTCACCCAGCTGTCATTTATTTTGTTCCTCTTCTTCACCCCTCCAGCAAAAATGACCTCGAAAGCCGCCAAAAATCATCTTTTTTCATGACCAACTTATGGTTCTTCAGGGATTGTACAGAAAAATTGTGAAAAAAAATTCACGAACGAAAAAAAAAATGTTTTTTTAACATCGAAAGATCAATTGACGAAAAGTCGAAAAAACCTT